CACTTGGGCTGTCCAGCGATGTGTTCAGGGCCCCGTTCAAACTGTTTAATCCCCCCTCGATATCACGAACCAAACGGACGAATTCCTCTGGCACCAATCCGCTCTCTCCGGTTCTAGGATCTTCTGCGACAAGCCAACCTTGCCCGTGCCGATAGGAGACTAGGATAACTTGGCCTTCTTTTAATGGAAGCTCATTTTCGTGTTCGCGGGTGAAATCGAAAAGCGCAACCGCTTTTCCATGCATCTCTTCATCGGGTGAAACAATGGTGAACTGATAATCTCGGGAGTATCGAGAGGGATCACGCCATTCGTCATCAGAAATATCGTCATCAGACTCGAGCTCAAAGTCGCCGCCGTGAGGTTGGCCTTGGACTGAGGTGGTGAAGTGTGAATTGCTTTGCATTCCATGGGCATAGGAACCAGCACTTAGGTATGACTGGCTTCCTCCATCAGCTGGGTATGTGACATACTCTCCTCCTGGCCCATCTTCGGCAGAATCATCGCCTCTTACATAGTAGGTCTCGCTGCCATCCCCATTCACTCCAATAAAAACGCCTCTGTCACTCTCCTGACCGGAGTTAGGCCCCATATACCCTCTCGCAGGGCTTCTGGTTCTCCGTGAGTCAGATTTGTGTTTCCGGTGTTTCGATGTTGTCACGATGGGGCTGTGTAAATCTTCGTCCTCGCTGTACGGCGGGCCATCTCCAAAAGCCAACGCGGGGAGTTGTTGCTGGCCATACATGGCTTCAGGATTCCAGTGCGGAGCAGGCCATGTTGAGCGTACCGCATCCCACGAGCTGGGTGGATCTGACAGTCGTCGCGATTCGCTGACTGGTGTTGTTACGCTTGAATCTTTTGGAGGCGCTCCATAATGTAGAGGGTGTGTGGGTGGATACGCAAAGTCGCGCACGAGAGCGTAGGGAAGGCTGGAAGGAAAATAGGGGAAGGCATGCGAGGCGGGACGCGAACGGTTCATGGAGCCGACAGAATGCGTGGACATGCGATTTTTCCCATAGGATTGACGTCTTGGGGCTGTGGGAGCGGCAAGAGATGACCGTTTTGACAGCTGGGTGGGTGGGGAGGAAGCATCGAGTTGTGGCGGGGCCGAAGAGGGAGAGGTTATCATGGTGGCCATTTTCGCCATCCAAGAGAAGACTCGATAGGAACGAATTGGCCTGAGGAGAGCAAGACACGGTTAAGGAGGAGGGCAAATCGAGGCGCAAACTGGCCGGTACTCTGGGTCAATTTATGAGAGGACCTGCCGAAGACAAAGGACATTAGAATGGTTGAAGATGTCTCAGTTTGCTTAGACTCGAAGTTGTCAACAAGGGCAAAAAAAGGATAGGGGATGACAAACCTTGAGCGACTGGATTGCCTCTCTTTCTACGGCTTCAGAAATGAGGAAGGGAAAGGGAAGGGAAGGGGAAAAAAAAAAAAAAAAAAAAAAAAAAGGTTCGCAATGCGCTAACCTGCCAGGCTCATGAAGCGAGTGAGCGCGCCAGGCTAGGGGGAGGTCTCCCCTCTCAAAGGAACACCGAGCAAGCGTCGGAGATCGTACAAGAGATTAGTTGAGGGCTGTTGATTGAAGAAGAATAGGCTTTCAGAAATTATTATGCAAGTCATCACAAGCATCCACTCCAAAAAGAAAAAATAAGATGGTGTCCCGGAGAGTGAAACAAACAGCCGAAGAAGGGTGGAGGTCCAAGGCGACAGAAAGTCAACCCCCGATTGTTGAATAAGCGCCCACGCCAAACAAAACACCGCGTGGCCGGGACGCTCAGGCAGTCGCCTAGCCAGATCACTAACTCGAAGCGATAGGGCTGTGTTGAAACAAACGTCTGTGGGAGAGGGTTGGGGAAGTTCTCGACGACACAGTGAGAAAAATCCAGTTGAAACAGCGATCGAGCAAATTGGCGGGCGAGCAGGCGGCCACGAGAGATGAAACACACCGCACTAACCCGGCCAGCCAGCTATGACCACCGGCGAGTTTCATCTGGCGGCACAGGGGTGCGAAAAAGCCAAAGGCGCGAGACGATGTTTGGGAACGAGCACGCTCCACGATTGGCCCGGCTATAAATAGCAGCGCCGTCGGCATCAACGTCCGGACGGGTTCGCAATGATCAGCCAGCGCGATGCAAGAGGACGGCCGGATCGACGACCATCCGCAGCGGAGGAAGATATAAATGAGTACATAGTTAATAGAACTAAGCGGCTGTTCCCCAGGATAGACTGCAGATAACGGAGTTACGGAGTTGCACCCTCTTCACCACGTCTTCCAACTGCTAACGTCGACAGTCCCCATGTGCACAGGAATAAAGAGACCTCGAGACCTGCGAATTGCCCCAAGCCTTCCACTCCTGCCCACACTGCTTTCGTGATCCCCATCGCCTTCTTGATCATCTCTGACCGATAAGCGGGATCAGTCGACACGCAACCAACTAAAAACGATGTGGCGTGGCTTTTCTTCGTTCAACTTCAATCGCTTTTTCCAGTAAATATCGATCCTTGCTTTCTATCGACGATGCAATGGAATATACATATCCGAGTCCTGATTATCGGCACTTTATAATAGGAGGGGCCCGTCATGACCAGCAGGCCCATACGTGCCTAGCATTCAGTCTACTCTTCTACGTTCGTAAGCAGATCACTTCCTCCCTGGTTGGAATCTGCATCCACAAAAATCTTGCTGCGACATCCTTGGCACAGGATGAGCTTTCTGGAAAATGCACGTAAGCCTCAGCGACGTGCGTTAACTAAGTAGTATGTATTTGGTAAGCTGCTGCACCTCGCGTGTGCGCTGTCAGTGTGCCAAGTGGTCGCATCATCGCGTCAAAAAGTTCTCGATCTTCGGTAAAAGAAAAAAAGGGCGCCTATATTCCGTACCAGAGCTCTATTTCGTATTCCATGGAAGCCATAGACCCACCATATATATCCATCGAGGCCGTGGAGCCAGCATCTGCCACAGAATATGTTCTACGACTTGGATAGTATCTCTTAACCACCACTTTCTCCTAGAAAGCCGATCTTGCTATTGCGATTTTGACTGAGAAAGTCGCTGTTAGAATTTACACGTGCAAAAATACTGAATTTAAGCGGGATCAATGTTTTTTTAACTCTCATTCGGTCAAACTATCAACCTAGCAGTGTAAACACACCGGACTCGCTGATTTCGCATATCCATGCAAGTCTTCTCCGGCCTAAGTGCTAATACAACCAGATTTGGAACTTGTAGATACTCCGTTAACAATAGATAATAAATAGGCTCTCAACACGTTTAGATGCAAAGCTTCCAAGAGAGCGCGAGAGAAATGTAATGTATGAATAACCTTGCTCGAACCTGCGAGCCCTTGCCGCCAGTTTAGAGAGCTCAATAGCGCATTCAAGTCACCTATTTCCGTCTACCACACAATGAACCATCGCACACGCTGGACGGCAGGGAGCCTGGGCGAAGAAGACTGTGGAGCATTTCTATCTCGCTGACTTTTGCCATCGGCTTCATCGAGCTGCGCCATAGTCTGTGTAACAGTTGGAACTGTTCCGGTTCCCGAATTTGACATTCGTCGAGAGCTAAAGGGAGCGGTGGTGTTCGAGAATGGCGGAGCGGTTATCGAGCCTGACGGGGCCGTGGATAAGCGAGAGGCTCCTGCGTCTCGTTAGTGTCTTTTTTTCTTTTTCTTTTTCACTTTCCTTTGTCCTTTTTTTTCTTTTTTTCTTTTTTTTCCTTTTTGAAGGGAAGATGGATTTGAGCTTATGGCATACCTGTTGGCATAAGACCTTGGCTGTTCTGGCTGACCTTTGTGGATGGTCGGGCTACGGTTTTGAAGGTCGATTTGCCCGCACCGCCTGACTTGTCCGGTATCACCAACCCATTGTTCAGCTCAGCAATTTGTGAGGGGATAGCCGCGTTCTCTAGGGGCTGATCTTTAACATATTCCTTCTTCCCATCACCCCCGTTCAAATTCTGAAAGATCCGGTCTTTGACAATATCGACATCCATGCAAGTTGTGTAGATTTCAGCTTTGCCTTTGGGAAGACCGGAGTCGACATTCGGTGCAGTAGGCCAGTCCCACACCCAGTAGAGCGTGTAGGGTTTATCGGTAGGGACTTTTTTTGGCAGAGCGATGTCTTGCTGGCACCACAAATCCGCCCCCATCAGTTCGTTAGGTTTATGAGCAAATTTCTTCTGACGTTCTTTTGAAATCGGCTTATCATTGATCTGGTAACATCTGCCGTCGTCGAAATTTTGCCGTGACAGTAGTATCCCTCTCCGATCGCCTCCGGTGCCGTCGGAATTCCAAACTTTATGAATTGATAGAAGGGTGTCATCAGGCCGAGGATCGGTGGTTCCGTATACGTAAACGTCTCCGCGATTATCTGGCTTTCCAGGCTGGCTTTCAGGTAGAGTAACATGACCATTCTCTTGAAACCTTAAAGCGATAGCGGCTCCAGGGTTTGCTTTTAATCGTGGGCTTCCTTCTGTTTGTTTAGGAGAGCGTTGTGTTTCTTTGCAAATCTTGTCACTTTTTGATATCCCAGAATCGGCGGGCCGAGTGTTGGGAGGAAGAAGATATGTCATTTTGGGATCGCCAAACCCTGGGTCGCTGCGCTTGACGTTCCCACGAGGGTATCCTGGCTCGCCAATAAAGGTGCCATTAGGAGCAATATTAATGAGTTGCTCTACCCAGCTGTGACCCGTCACAGTCGGTGCTAGTAGAAAAGAGAACAAAAGGACCATCAAGACCCTGCTTGGGTCTATTTTCGCACACAGCATGCTTGAATAATACCTTTGGGTTTGGTTTCGAAACATGAAAAGAGGGGTGGTGTGAGCAGAGGACAGTGTTACCGAGAAGGGTTGCGAGGCTGTCAACTAGAAAATAAATAAAAAAAAAAGGAATCGGCCAGCGATTCAAAAACTGTTCAAATTTATGAATTTAAGGGCAAACAAAGGATCAGATCAACTATGTGACTCGAAAGTATGCACTCTTGACGAAGGAATGTGTGTGAGAGAAATATCTACTTCATTATAAAGGAAACAGAATGCTGTACAAGGCAAGAGTGAAAATTCCGTTAAAAAAATAATTAACAATACCTGACAGAAAATTCATCAATCATGATGATGAGTAACAATGTGGACAATACACATTGAGAACAATTGACTCAAAAAGCAGCCTGTGAAGGTGCCAGAAGGCTTCAATGACTCCAATATATAATAACAACGCATTGGACCAAATTGCCAGGGTATCAGGGCAACCCTGGAAGCCTGGATTCCTGTTGCAAAATAGAATATTTTGACATCTCTATCAATGCTTTTTGATACTTATTCCAACATCCCTGAAGAGATTGAACAATGGATGATCCAAAGCCAACCGATCTTCAGGTTTTAGACATCAGCCAGACAGGGCCTTGGAGAAGCAGGAACATAGCGTTTCAAGGAGCTGGATAGCACCGTTGCTTTCAGAGCCAGAAATAACCCCGGAATCTGACCTGGAGGCGCGTACAAGCATTGGCATGGGTGATGTTCCAGTCCGTTTGGCTGCTAGGTGAAGTTCCCCAGCGGGATGCAACCACAAACACCAGTGTCTAGTGTAGGGGTGATTGGTTCCACACACCTCCTCGGGCGGCTATCAAGTGCCACTCAGTGCCCATGCCGCCGCTGTGCTGCTGCCAGTGCTCGCCCGTGCTGGTGTGGTGTTGCTCGACGGTGTGAAACGCGATGGCGGATGTCGTCAGAAACGCTGGCTTGGCGGAGCCGTTGATTGGCCGTTGGAGCCTCTGTGGCCAGGGACCAGTCTGTGACCAATCAGCTTCGAGCTCCCTGTGCGAGGTCTTGGCGCGAGGCTCACGAGTCGCGCCCACAAAAAGCACGGCCACGACCACGCGTGGATGGAGGAATGTCGGCATTCAGAGGGGCGGCTTCATTGAGAGTCTTGCACAAGTTCAGTTGCCGTCAAGGGGATGGTGCCGAACGCCTGAGGTTTACCAAGGATATATGCTTGTCCATACACATAATGTTTACTTCCAACAGTCTTACAGTCATCGCAATGGAAAAAGGACTCAACTGACAGCCACGCCCAACTTTGTGAAGGAGGTCACATGCCTTGAATGACAGCGTGTTAGTATTGTTCCTGAAATCCTCAATGTAACTGCAAGCGGGAGAAGAACCAAAGGCTCGCTTGTCTCAAAATCAAGGTTCTGTTTTCGGAACAGCGGAATCAAGCTCTACACCGGTGAAAGCTTGATGATCTGATGATGTACCAGGTACTTTCTCGACTGAAACTTTTTTATTTTCCACAGAATACTCCGTACTCTCGTCCACATTTGTTGCAACAGTATGTTTGTGTTAGTTCTTGCTCCCCCTCACCTGCCCCCCAGTCGATTTCGGACTCCGGATGTCCCTCGCGCATCACTGTATGCTGTACGCTGCGTGCCTCTGCTGACTAGTTTTCAAGGAATCATAACTATTTGGATGGAATGGATGCCAAATAATATCGTAGATTCGGAGAGACCAAGGTTATGGTGGCTTGTCATGTCGCTTTCTCCAAGGTATGGACTCCCGAAATCTCGGTCGTCTCTCAAGCTGCTCGACCTGCACAGGTCACCGTAGGTCGCCACATATAGACCATTTCAACAGATGCGAATAGACTATTGCATAACAAACCTCAGCCCCGAACTCCGTACGAACCTGCACGTACAACTGATTGGCTTGGACGCCAGTATGAGGCTAATTCAAACCTTTGTGAATGCCTTGTTGGCAATCTCCGGGGGGCCCTGGTTGCAACCAACGATTAGGCCTAGATTAAAACTGGAGGAAAAGCAGTTATCAGTACTCCGTACTGGCCCAAAAGATCAACCCACGAATTCGTCGGGGGGGTAGACGTTGCCTCGAATGAGAGGCCCCGTGGTGAATTTTCCTTTTCACATAAATAGACATAACATCCTCGTCAACACATTTAAAAGATCTTCGTGACGATCGAGATTTGTTTCAAGTGACGGTACGTAAATTATGCAATGTGGTTACCAAGGTCCTGGGTTAGTATGTAACTTGATACCCCCAGCGTCTCGGCGTTTTCGTTTTTGCAGAAGCGCGACGCGGAAGCTGAAGCGGTCTGTGAGAGCTGCGATTCAATAATTATGTATTCTTAACAGCACTGGAGCAGGAGTTGCTTGGATCACAAGGCTGAGATATTTGCGTCGTTCTGGGAGTCAGCCAGCCATTATTTAACTGCCACCTGCTTGAGGCATGTATGTATGTATGTACCGGGTACGAACGGGGATCACCCTCTGTGGTGTGAAGAGGCGTTGTTTTAGCGGTAATTCTTGTCCCAACAAAACGGGCCCCCGCTTAGCTAATCACAGGCTGGGCTGCGGATTCGCTGGGTGAAAGGGGGCACAAACTTCGCGAAGCTGCGCTGAGATCACCAAGATATTAATTCTCCGCCCTCAGATAATAAACCTGACTCCCCAGAGTCTGGCCTCCTCCTCCTCCTCCTCCCCTCCGCCTTCCCCTCTGCTTTTCCTCCGCCTGTCTCCTCGCCATGTCTCTGTCCTAGATCCGGATTCGCAGAGCTCCAAATAACGCCCTCGCCACTCATCCACCCTCGTCCGCTTCTGTTGCCTTAACAAAGCCTTCTTAGCCACGGTCCTCCCAGCCTTAGAGCTTCCGATTCATGTTTTGAATGTGGTCAATCGCAATCGTCCAGCCGTATCCTTCGTTTTTAGCTAGAGGTAAGTCATCCATACCAAAGATTTACCTTCTCAATTGCTCCTTTCATTCGTGCCGTACTTCGTGATACGAAATATTCCTTTTTTATTATTATTATTATTTTATTATTATTTTTATTTTTATTTTTTTTTTAAATAAACAACAAAAGAAAAGAAAAAGACTGTTTCTGATTGAGACCGCATCTCGTCAAAGTCTGAACTAACATCATACGCTAGCATCTTTTCTGGTCGCTTATACTCCGAATTTCCTATTTTCAAATTTCCCTAGATATCCGGGCGGGGAAAAGCGAAGCGTTTCAACAAGGAGCCCGTCATGAGAGGCTCCTCCCTGCTCCCTCGTCGTTTTCGCGAGGTCACCTCTGCCGATTCTGCGGATGCTGGATGGATGAATCGCCATGTGACGAAGCTGCTGCAGGTGGTTTCGCGTCGAGCTTGCTTCCATCCTATCCATACGATCGTCGTCATTGCTCTGCTCGCGAGTACTACATACGTGGGTTTGCTGGATGGTACATTATTTGATTCTGTGAAGCAAGCAAATTATAGTCCCGGCTACCTCGATGTCGATACGCTTCTTGCGGGTGGAAGAAACCTACGACTTGGCCAGCAGACGGGCTGGAGATGGCAAGTCGACGATACGTTCAAGCTGGGAGACAGTGACGTACGTCCCATCCCATATCCCCACGCAAACGCTGCTCTTCTAGCAAGTTCTAACGCTTTGGGGTTATCATTAGGCTGCACGACATCTAGCCTTGACCACTTTCGTTTTCCCTGACTCTTCGGCCCGTTCGCCTCAGATAGCTCCGCTGGCGGAGAATGTGCCGCTCCCTCCCAATTCCTCAGCCCGCTCGGTTCCACATACCCCTAGCCTCCTGGCTCCAATCTCGCAGGATTCTTCTCTTGCTTTCGCGGTCCCTTACGATGAAATATCTCCCTTCCTTCAAGCTGTACGAGAGATCCCTGACTCATCCGGTCTGAAAGATGGAACGGAGCAAAAGAGATGGATAATGAAGGCCGCTCGCAGCCCAGTGTCTGGCTCGCGCGCCGCTTTGCGAATTTGGCTGACCGAAGCCTGGACGTCCTTTATTGACCTATTAAAGGTATGTCTTATGCTAGTAATCCAAGGCTAGAGATAACCCGCCACTGACCGGGCTAGCATGCGGAAACGATTGACATACTTATCATGGTTCTGGGATACCTCTCCATGCATCTTACCTTTGTGTCTTTGTTTCTGTCTATGAGACGACTTGGATCCAAATCCTGGCTTGCTGCCACGGTACTCATTTCTGGCGGGTTCGCTTTCCTGTTCGGCTTACTCGTCACTACCAAGCTCGGTGTTCCGATCAATATGGTGCTGCTTTCTGAGGGGCTGCCATTCCTTGTTGTTACAATTGGATTTGAGAAGCCGATTATCCTCACCAAAGCTGTACTTTCGGCATCTTTGGGAGGCTCCAGCCAAAGCGCTGCGGGTCAAGGGAGTGATGCTCGAAAGGCTCCTCCTGTCCGATCCATCCAAGACGCGATCCAACATGCTGTTAAGAACAAAGGCTTTGAGATCGTTAGAGATTATTGCATAGAGATCGGTATTTTGGTGATCGGTGCTGCTTCTGGCGTCCAAGGAGGCCTTCGACAGTTCTGCTTTCTCGCTGCCTGGATTTTATTTTTTGACTGCGCGCTGCTGTTCACATTTTACACTACAATCCTTTGCATCAAGCTTGAGATTAACCGAATTAAACGCCATGTGGCACTTCGAAAAGCCCTTGAAGAAGATGGAATTACTCGTCGCGTTGCAGAAAATGTCGCTTCGAGCAACGATTGGCCAAGGGTGAATGGAGGAGAGAACGGCCAAGGCTCAAACGTGAGCTCCAGTGGTATTTTCGGCAAAAAAGTCAGGGCGAGTAGTGTCCCCAAGTTTAAGTTCCTCATGGTTGGAGGCTTTGTGTTGGTCAATGTCCTCAATCTATGCACCATTCCCTTCCGCAGCCGACAGGATGGCCAGATTATGCCAGCATTGGCAAAGTTGTCCAACGTCCTAGCACCGGCGCCGATCGACCCATTCAAAGTCGCTGAAAATGGCCTCGATGCGATCTATGTGAACGCAAAGAGCCAGGGGTTAGAGACAGTAGTTACGGTTCTGCCGCCCATCAAGTATAAGCTCGAGTACCCGTCTGTTCACTATGCAGAGCCCGATACTAGTGTGTTCGATATTGAGTATACAGACGTCGTTGGTGGTAGGGTTATCGAGAGTCTCCTAAAGAGCTTGGACGACCCCATAATCAGCAAATGGATCATTGCCGCGCTGACCTTGAGCTTGGTTTTGAATGGCTATCTCTTCAACGCCGCACGCTGGAGCATAAAAGAGCCTGAAACAGAGAAAGAACCCGAGAAACAACAACCTGAACCTCTCCCCAAGCCAGTTGTGGTCAGACAACCAGTTGTGAAGGCAGACGGCTCGGTCAGGACCCGTGAAGAATGCGAACAAATGCTGAAAGACAAGCTTGCTTACCTTTTGGATGATGAAGAGCTTATTGACCTGTCAATTCGAGGCAAGATTCCCGGATATGCTCTTGAAAAGACTATGGAGTGTGAAGGCATGAGCCGCACAGATGCGTTCACAAGAGCTGTTAAGATTCGAAGAGCGGTTGTGTCAAGAAACGCGAGTACCTCAGCCACGACCGGATCCCTTGAATATTCCAAGGTTCCTTACCAGCATTACAATTACTCTCTTGTCCACGGTGCTTGCTGCGAAAACGTCATTGGTTATCTCCCTCTCCCGCTAGGAGTTGCAGGACCCTTGACCATTGATGGCCAGAGCTTCTTCATTCCTATGGCAACAACAGAGGGTGTCCTTATAGCTAGTACGAGCCGCGGATGCAAGGCCATCAATGCCGGAGGCGGTGCAGTTACTGTTATCACCGGTGACGGTATGACCAGAGGACCGTGCGTGGGCTTCCCAAGTCTTGCTCGTGCGGGCGCTGCCAAAGTCTGGCTTGACTCAGAGGAAGGACAAACCGTCATGAAGAATGCATTCAATTCAACGAGTCGCTTTGCAAGACTCCAGTCTATGAAGACTGCTCTTGCTGGAACTTACCTGTATATCCGATTCAAGACGACAACCGGCGATGCCATGGGTATGAACATGATCTCGAAAGGTGTTGAGAAGGCCCTTCATGTCATGGCCACGGAAGCTGGGTTCGAGGATATGGCCACCATCTCCGTGTCCGGAAATTTCTGCACGGATAAGAAGCCCGCGGCTGTCAACTGGATCGATGGTCGAGGCAAGTCTGTTGTCGCAGAAGCCGTCATCCCAGGAGACGTTGTGAAGAGCGTCTTAAAGAGCAACGTCGATGCCTTGGTCGAGCTTAATATCAGCAAGAACTTGATCGGAAGCGCCATGGCTGGCAGCGTTGGTGGGTTCAACGCTCATGCTTCCAACATCGTCACGGCATTGTTCCTCGCCACCGGTCAAGACCCGGCTCAGAATGTGGAGAGTAGCAATTGTATCACTATTATGAAGAAGTAAGTTTGGACTGCTTTTTTACGTATTAATAAAGCAAAAGGACCCATGCTGACCTGTCATTTCCAGCGTGAACGGTAATCTTCACATCAGCGTTTCCATGCCGTCCATCGAAGTCGGCACGATCGGAGGCGGTACCATCCTCGAAGCACAATCCGCGATGCTCGAACTCCTGGGTGTGCGTGGCTCTCACCCAACTACCCCTGGTGACAACGCTCGTCGTCTCGCACGCATCGTGGGTGCCGCTGTGCTTGCCGGAGAGCTCAGTCTCTGCAGCGCCCTTGCCGCAGGACACCTGGTCAGGGCACACATGGCTCACAACCGGGCAGCTCCTCCACCGACACGGTCGATGACCCCCGTTTCGGCCGCCGTGGCTACGACGTTGACGGATAAAAAATGATGACGAGGATATTATGCCTTTTTCCTTTTTTTTCTTTCTTTTCCTTTTCTAGTTGTTTTTCTCTATCTCCCGGAGTTTCTTGTTCTGGGGTTTGATGCGTGGTGCGATATTCGGTTGTGCTCCCACATACCCCTTTAGAGGTTTTATAATATAAGATATACTGGTTTCTGCTACCATGAGCAAGTGTATATAAGATGGAAAAAAAGAGGCAGATGTAATGTTTAGCATTGAGAACAGTGTCAACTTTTAGGATGAGACAAATACATGGAGGAGATATATCCATGTCTAATGATGATAAACAAATGAAACGGTCAGTCCAATTAAACATGTGTGTGTGAGAGAGAGCCTCTTGTCTTCCAAAGCACTGCATATTCCTGAAATGGGCTGTAACCCCGAGAAGGATTGGCTTATTCTAGTTATGAGTTGCGTGTGTGTGTGTGTGTGTGTGTGAGTGAGTGTAAGAGAGAGAGAGAGAGAGAGTTGGACGTTTGGTCAATTTAATGCGCATTTCGTCCACCCAGGCAGATGGAGTCAGAGTCACGGCAACAGAATGCAACTGTGAATCCTTGTCCATAAAAGCCATCAACCCTGCCACTCCCATCCCATCACCCAAGTGAAGTCATTTTAAACAAGATAATCCCTTCTGGATCCTCATTATCCTCATTTATTTCCCCCCCGCCCAACAAAAAGAATTCTCCAGAGCCGACCGCGATGTGCTGCCGCGTCGCATTTATGTAAACCCAGGGCGGGACGCTGATTGGATCGCGGGCGTGCAGTCCGGGGTCGAAAAGGAGACAAAAAGGCTGTTTTTTGTTATTTGTTGGTTAGTTAGTTAAATGCTCGACAAACTCGCCCGCAGCACCGCCAGCAGCAGCAGCAGCATCATCAGCATCATCAGCACCAACCAGCCAACCAGCCAGCCAGCCAGACCTCAAGGCCGGCTGCTCCTAATTGCCGCTGGGCTGAACTAGTTAACTAGCTACGGGGTATTATTTTACTTTCACACTCTTCCTTTTCTTTCTTCCTTTTTTTCTTTTTTTTTTTTTTTTTTTATTTTGGTCCCTTTTTTCCCTTTTTTCTTCTCTGCGGTCCTTAATGATTTTCTACCTTTCTTTTCCCTCTCTCGCTCTTTTTACTGGATCTGGCAGATAATTTTTCTTTTCCTACGTTCATTCGTTGATCTCGTTGCTTTCTTGTATCTTATTGTCATTTATCTTTATTTTCCCGGGTTTCCGAGAGACGTCGTTGGATCCGAACGGAGCAACCCGAAGTTGTTGATCAAGAAGAGCCCGTAGAGAGCTAGACAGACAGACAGACAGACAGACGGAGAGAGAGAGAGAGACAGAAACTCACGGCGGAGACTTGCACGACAACCCTTCTCGCGTGTCTGTTGGACAGACCCCCGATCCGCTCTTTTTTTAACTTCCCCTTCACTTACCAAGGTCTTTCTTTTGATGCGCCCATCCGCCAACGAGCCGGCAATGTGTTAACAGAATGCGAGGGTTTGCAGTTCTAGAGGGGGTCTAACATCTACATCTGGCAGTACATACATTCTACATACATATACGTGTACGATAAACTTCGAATCTAGACTCGTCGCACCCTTGGTTCCCAAATCGCGTTTTGTCTCCCCCCGTGATCGCCCAAATCGACAACGCTTGAATGACGGTTCGCCCGTTCAGCCGCCCTTTCGATATCCTCCCTAACCTCCCGTTGTCACGGCCGACGCTTTCGGAATATAAACGATGTCTACAATTTCTATGGATGGAAGCGAATGGTCTGGGATCAATCAGTATCAGTCCAGCGGCAAGTCGGAACCGTCTCTTTCGCCTAACCTCACGAACCATGGCAACCTGCCCACGCCTCCAGCGTCAGGTGGCTTTATGTACAACGCCCTTGGATCGAATCCTCCTGATACCAACGGTCTCGCGCCGCCCCTCCGCAGCAATGGCGCGCCCCAGAACCCTTCCCCTCCGAGCTCGATCGTGTCGGCGCCAAGATCGAGAGCCAGCGACGGAACGCTGTCGGACCCAAATAGTCGGAGACATCGCCGGATGGAGGAGATCCTATCGCAACATTACGCTCTCTTGAAGAGATTCCTACAGGGATCCAAGGAATACGACATGAACGAGATAAAAGCCGCCCGCGCACGTGATAAATTAAAACGCCTGTCGCCGATCCAGTTTCTTGATATGAGTACGGATGTTTACGACGAACTTCAACGCCGTCTGGCCGCTGCAGCTGCTAATCGTCCTGGCGCACCGCGTGTAGACCTACCGCCGCATCTACTCCCTCGCCCAGAAGTTCACGCGAAGCGGAACCAGGCTCGTGAGAGGCTCGCCTTGCTGCACACACAAAGGTTCAGGGAACTTGCCATGGATGTGCTTTGTGATTATGAACGGAGGTACCCGCACCTTGTAGGCCACGATATGAGTCGTCACGGGAGTCCCGCGCCTAGCCTTCGGGGTCGTTACGGCCCTGGCCCCGAGCCTAACGGACCGGGTAGGCCGCGGTCTGCACCACGAGGACCGCCGCCCGGTCCCGGAGGTAGAGGGTATCCGCCTGGTCCACCGGGCGGTCGATTTCCTCCCAGACAGGGATCACTGAGTGCGGGAGCAGGATTGGGGATCAATGGAGAGACGATACCGGAAAACGCGCCCTACCAAAAATCTTTCCAGAGCAATACGATCGTGCCGAACAAGAGTACGCTTGTTGAGGACGACGAGAGCGCTGCCTTCGATGACGATGACGATAACAGACGGAGTGATGCTTTTGCGTTGGATAGAGTCCTGGATAGCAGAAGAGGAACCGCTGCAACCCTCGGGCTTTCCGAACTTGATACCAAAAGGCTCCAGGATGCTGAAGCGCAAGTGTCGGCGTTACAATCCAAAGTGGAAGAGTTGGAATCGTTATTAAAAGGAAAAGAGGAGGAAATTGACGGTCTTCGCAAGAGTGAGGGAGACAGCTTAAATGTACTCTATTTCCCCCCCATTTTTTTTTTTTTTGGGGTGGAATCTTTCGACTAACTCACTACCCGCAGGTGTTGGAGTCTGAGAAAAAGCAGTGGCAAGATCTCGAAAATGAGCTTACGAATAAATTGTCGGATGCCCAGAATTTGAACGAGTCTCTTCGGAATGAACTTGAAAACGCGCGACGAGAGCAGGAAACGATGGAAAGGGAAATGCAGGAACATCTTGAGCAGATGCGCCTAGAGCAAGAACAGCAGCAGAAAACCCGACAAGAAGCAGATGCTGCTGCTGCTGCTGCTGCTGCTGTGGCAGCCGCCACGGCCGCTGCAGTTGCAGAGTCAGACGGTGGTGAATGGAAAGCGAAGTTTGAGCAGCTGGACAAAGAGCATCAGGCCCTCAAATCAGAATTTCAGCAGCAGCAGGAAATCACAGACCAAGTGAGACAGCAGGCATTAAGCTCATTAGAAGAAATGAGGGCTCTGGCAAGCGATGCCAACTGGGAACGCGAGGAAAATCTGACACGAGAGGTTCACCGATTAGAGGACGAAGTGAAGCAGTGGAAGAACCGATACGCGAAAATGAAGACCAAACAGCGTCATTTGCGGTCTTCCTCTCTTGGATTACCCGGCCACATTCAGGATGCCACGGTTTTCACAAAAGGGCACGAACTAACGCAGCCTGACGGCCTGGTCAAAGATGTGCATATTACGAAATTCCAAATGGCCATTGACGAATTATTACGGATTGCACGGTCAAATGAACCGCCATTGGTTCTGGAGCAGATGAAAGCGGTCGTCGTCGCCGTGCGGCTTATGATCCGGGATATCGAAGTGGCAAATGAGAAAGGAGATGATTACGGCCAACCCCGTATCAGAGCCAAAAGTAGAGTGTCTGCTACGGCTAATAATCTAATAACTGCATCGAAGAACTTTGCCAATTCCAACGGCATATCCCCCGTCTCTCTTCTTGATGCGGCGGCCTCGCATCTGACCGCCGCTGTGGTCGATCTCATTCGCAATGTTAAGGTCCGACCAACTCCTGAGGATGAGTTGGGAGAGGAGGATGAATTGGATAACCTGGCCCCCATGCAGTCGCCAGGCTACTTCAGCACGGCGCCCAGCCAGGCCAGATTCAGCGGGAATGAGTCCGTTTATAGCGCGATAAGTTCACCTTCATTACGCTCACGAAGCCAAACATATTCCCGCATCGCAAGCGCAAAACTCACGCGAGCAAGCGGCCAGAGCTTCGGTGGTTCTGGGACGAAATCCGGCTTCGGAGTCCAGCGAGGCTCTGATCGAGAGCTGGGAGAGCTTAGGGTATACCTTGAGGACCAAACAGAGGGCCTTATTCAATCGATCCAGGCCCTGGTGGCTAGTATTCGCGCGGAAGACGATATTTCCGTTGTCAGAACCCACATCACATCCATCTCCAACGTGGTCAAGAACGTCGTTTCTTGTACCGAGGACGCAATTGCCCAGCCTAATGCCAATCGTTCTCTGCGGGAGCGTGCGGGGCCGGTGATCGGGCTGCTCTCGAGTTGTTGCGACAAGCTGATAGAGGCGGGTGACCAGGGTAGCAGCCCAGAGCAGATCCGTGAGGTGACGGCCAAGTTGCCTCCGATTGCATTCCAGATTGCACGCGAAACAAAGGAGCTCGTGCAGCGGGTGGACCAGTTGGAGATGGAAAGTCAGGATGACGATGACTTTCGATGAATATAAGTGGTGGTAATGGGGAGTTTATCGAACCTTTCTTCAACTTTGCTATGCAGCCTTGCGATTTCTTTTCTCTCTATTCCATTTTGAGAGTCCCTATCCCCCCGGGGTTTCTTTTTACTTTAAGTATTTCTTATGTTCTGGCTGGGCTCTCTCGATTACTTTTTTCGACTTCTGTCTTCATTTTATGCCTGCTTCGGACAATTTCATGATCTGAGCCGTCTGTTATTATTTGGGCTATGATATCTCTTCAGCGTTCTGTTGCACCTCATCAACACTGTTGTCTTATTCCCTAGATTCTACTTCTGGGCGCTATTCCCCTTAAAGTATTTGTTTCAGCCCATTATGCTATACTACCGAGGGTCAATGGCCCTATTTTTCATTCTTCTTTCATTGTCGTTTCCAGCTTCGCTTTTTCTCTTTAGGATTTCGAGTTCGTTGGTTACCGGACACTCTGTGTCACCGGGCTTTTAAGTGTATTTGATATCTTGTGTTCGATCGGACTAAATGTGTATTTATGCCAGCAGTGTCCATTTTCATTCACCAGGCAGGCTTTGCGTATGTTTAGTTGCTCAAGTCCAGTCCACGCAACGTTTTATTACATAATCAGTGCGTTTCGGAGTATATATCTTCCGAGGGTTTTTTGTGCACAACAGGTATTTTTCGGCGCGTTTCATCTGAACTGGCCTCTGGTGCTGTACATAAGCTACATTGATTGCTCGTTATCCTTGGAAAAACTCCACAAGTATCTTAAGGTACGTAACAGCTATTTCTCTTGTTATTGATACCGCACACGATCCAATTGCTATCAATGCTACGAGAAGTTGTTGATACAAGCCATCTCGCTACGCTCTGCTTTTCACGCACGGAGCTTCAAATGGAGCTCCAAAGGCCCCAAAAGTGCAGTCAATTGAGTGCCAGAGGTGCCAGAAGTGCGGGTAAAGCCGCCGCATATGAGCTTTTGTGCACTGCTGCCCCCGGAACATCCACTGGAAGAAGCATGCAGCTCTTGATCCTCAGTCTCCCTCAACTTCACTCCCAGTAGGTGTCGTGTCTGAGCTAACTCGGTTGCCGTAGACGCCAAACCCGCTTAGGCCTAGCGCAATTCGTAACCCGGAAAGCAAGGGCCGATTATCTAATCTGCGCCGACAACCGCCGAACGATACGTGACGGAAAACAAACCGCAACAAGGAAAAAATGCCCCTCCTTGCGCGCTGCCCCACCTTGCTCTCTGCTACCCCGCCTCTGGTCACTTCGTCTACAAGTGCTGCTCTCTCCCGCTCTCTTCCTCGTTATTCTTCTTCCTCTCTTCGACCCATTGCTCGTCCTTCCATCAATCTCTCCACCAAGAACAACTCCCAATTCTCTCGACAGTTTCACGCTTCCTCCGCAGCCATGACGATCAAGACTTTCTTCGACGTCGAATACACCGATCTCTCGGGGGCTAGTAAGTTGTTCATTCATCCTCCCTTTCACGCTGCTCCTGTTTTTTTTTTTTCTTTTCTTTTCTTTTTTTTTGTAATTGAGAGTTTCCTATCCATATTTTTGATATATCGCCTCGTGAATTGTCTTTATGGCACTCCAGCGAAAGCTAAGGGCAGAATCGCTGTTCACATCCCCCCTCCCAGCATCAATTGGTCTCACATTCCCTTCAACTTACTAATACTGCTGTTTTTTCTCACTCCAGAGAAGACTGAGCGGATCGTCTTCAACCTCTTCGATGAGGATGTCCCAAAGACTGCGGAGAACTTCCGTGCTCTCTGCACCGGCGAGAAGGGCTTCGGATACAAGGGTTCTTCTTTCCACAGAATCATCCCCAAGTTCATGCTTCAGGGCGGTGACTTCACTCGCGGCAATGTGAGATTCTCCAATCGCTAAACCACGCCCATTCGGAAATTGCAACTGACCAAGACATCTGTTTCCAGGGCACTGGTGGCAAGTCCATCTACGGTGACAAGTTCGCCGATGAGAACTTCAAGCGCACCCACACCGGCCCTGGTATCCTGTCCATGGCTAATGCCGGCCCTAACACGTAAGCTACATCCCTGGTCGACGAGAGACTTCGTTGATGTACGTTTGGATAGTCGTCGCTGACATCTTACTACTACGGGTAGCAACGGCTCTCAATTCTTCATCACCACCGAGAAGACTAGCTGGCTTGACGGCAAGCACGTCGTCTTCGGTGAAGTTGCCAACCCTGAGTCCCTGCAGGCTGTCATGAACATCGAAAAGACTGGCAGCAGCTCCGGCGCCATCACCACCAAGACCAAGCCAACCATCGTCGACTGCGGTCAGCTCTAAATCTGCCATTTGGCCCCCAAATCTTGAAAAGGATAGGATGTAACGGACGAAACGGGATACATATGGGGCGGCTGTTTTAAATAACGACCAAAAGCTAAGACTACTTTCCAATTAATACGTATGCCATCCGCTGTGGCTTCCCGCCTTTTCCAAACCTTTCTCAGCTGTGCTTTACCGCTTTCCCTTGCCGCTGATACCGGGAGCTCTTTCTAGTTGTTGAGCTGATTTAAATTGTCCTCGACTTCTGAACGGGCACCCAGGTGGAAAACCTTCTCTCATAACTGGTAGTCTAGTCAATGATATGCTATAAGTTATGGTGTATTATTTGCTCTTTGGAATCTAATTGAGTGTAATGGTGCAATGGAACAACCTCTCTTCCAGAAGTCTTTTTTTGGTCCAGATTTCTTGTCATGGTCGCAAGATTCGACACCAGCAAGGATGCTGCCATACACGTAGTCACAAATATTTGCTTGATGCCACTCTTAAAGCAAACCTTGAGCCAAATGAGAGACATGGCACTAATCTTTTCTTGATAGCTCACATTGAGTACATAATGGCACCACCACCTCCGATAGGAAAGTTGATAATGTGAGGCCTCAAATGATGAAATCTAGGGCGAGATGCTCGCTCAACTGCGCATCATAAGCATAGTGTTGTGGATGTTCAATTTGCAACTTAAACCAAATGCAGACGATGGGAACATTAACTGGATTTGATGTTTAGATTTCTATAGCATTACCCATGGGCTATATGGTTCCCTCGCCATGCTGGGCAGGTGGCACCACCGCTTGATATCGACTAGGCCTGTGATGGATGACTTCTGACCCTTGGGACGGTCGAATACCTTGTGAATCCCCTCCCAATTCCGCGCTGGTTGAAAATAAAATTCCCCACTCGTTCCTCTATCGCATGTGATCATCGACAAGAAAACGACCCGATGAGCCATAAGCCATAAAATATTCAGGGCTATATGCCACGATGGGCCGATATTTCTGCACCTGTCGATAGCAACAGTGATGCCAGTCGCCCCCCACTCGGGTAGCACCAAGTAGGGGACACGGAAATGGGCAGTTATCCGACTATCGTTCAAAAAGTGGCGGAAGCTGTGGGGATCGCCTGAAGCGGGGGAGGAGTTTTCCCTAGGCTTGTCAAGAAGGGCAAATGGTCCCGGCGCCTTCATATCCCATTGGGCAACAAAAAGATCTTTTTCTTCTCTCCCACCCCACTCGACAGCGTCTGTATCACATCAAGGGGCGTGGATCGATCGTAATTACGTTGCTTCCTCACGAATCTCACCCCACTCTTCACGGTTCCATATCCATACCGGCCTGATAGCCTGTTTCTCCCTCAAGAACCCTCCTGCCTGCGCTCTTCAAAACCCCATTTAATATCTCTCTCACCTGCTTACACCCGTCAATTCCCACCGCAAACACGGTCTCCAAATACGATATATGGACGCCAGACTCCATCCGCACGATAGAAAGCATCTGCTCCTCCTCTTCGCCCTCTTCTGAAGCACCCGCAACTGGATTCGTGTTTGCGACCGTCATGTGCGGCAACTCTAGTTCTTCGGGGCGAGATAGATCGAGCAGCGGATCCAAGCTTTCGTTTATTCCGCCTACTCGCGACTGGGCGAGTTCCGCGGCGGGAGTAGAGGCACGGCCACTCATGCCTACTGTGCACGCGCAGAGGAGGCCTGGCATGGGGATGCCGGCGTCCACTAGGGCAAGGGTACAGGCGTTTATGCAAGCAGCAAATATGGAGCCGTCAGAAGAGAGCACCGAGACATGAACTGATATCGTGCTGTGAGGGTATATGTGAGTATGCAGGTGTGGTTGGAAAGCGTCGCGCAGAGCGGACGAGAGTTCAGTCGTAGCTTGTCTAAGTTGTAGGAGTTAGAATTCATTGTAACAAAGACAAAAAGGTCCAAGCCGGGTCTCAATTGGCGGGAAAAATGGCTTGAAATAGAATTACCTATCGCCTCCACCACCTCCTCCTCCTCCACCGCCAGCCATCATGCTTTTCTTCTTCCTGTCAACACCCGCGAACCCGGCTATGTTTACAACCACTGAGACCACAGCTCCTCCCCCTCCACCTGCAGTTTCAGATCGCTTTCCCTCGGCGGGACCGTGGACATTGCATACCACGACGGTGTTCCCCATTGCGAGATATGAAGAACCGGAGCTAGCTGGGTTCGTGGAGATTTGAGCTTGGACAAGCCGAAGCTCGTTCCATCTTCGGCCATCGAGACGGAGTCGGGTGAGACGGTAGGTTGTAGAGGTATCGAGGGGCATTGTGACAGATCCCGCTTTTTCCTCGGTGGGATTTCCAGCGTATTGGACGGATTGGCGGGCGCGTTGTTCTCCCCGTCGCTTCGCTGGGCTTTTTGTTTTGCGATTATGGATAGTTAGCGGCTAGGTAGGTAAGATTCCTCGGATTATAGTCGGCCCGAGGACGGCCTGAGGTGTCGTCCACAGGGCTGCTCCCCAAATCGCGCCGTTGATCTACCATCCCCAAAGCTGCTTGACATTCATCGGGGCAATTGCTGTTATCCTTCATCTCTGTATGGCCTGCGAGAGAGCATGTTGATCGGGTAATCCGTCATACAGAAGAAGTGTGAGCCAGTGGTCATGGATCTACCGAATCCGGCCACACTCTTTCGTCGATATCGGGTTGGTTGGGTTGACGGAGCGACAACATTGATACCTGTTTTGTACCTTATCCTCTTTTACCCTCTCTCCCGAAATAACTTCGCCTCTCAGGTTTCATCAGAGAGATGTCAAGTTCGGGATTTTACCCTCAAGACTTAACTACATCATGAGCATATAGTTAAGCGTAGTCCTCCACATACACAGTATCGTTCTGCCTTCTATTGGATTGCCGCCAGCCCGCTCTTTCTCTGTGGTTGGATTGCATGTGCTCCCTTTGCTTTTATGGCCTGGCCCTTCTCGTCCACACTTAGGCCCTTGAAATCTCCAAGTGTCCTGGCTCGCCCGCAAGAATACCAGGGATCACTCCGGAAGCATGATCAGCCTCGGAACGGGGGGGAAAAGAAGGCAGCATACGATGTCTCGGACGGTGGGAAGCTGCGACATCGATTTGGACGGCACAGATGCCACGCATAGCAGGCGTTGACCAGCCATTGCGGTTACTACTACTGTGCCTGCTTTCTCTAATGCTGGGGAGCCGCGACTGGGTGTCTTGCAGCAAGAGCGCGGGCAGCCAGCCGCCGTGCGCTCCGTCGCATCTTACGAGTAGACGACCGCAGCGGAAAACACACATGCTTTTCTCTTCTCTCCCTGTCCATTGACGTGCTATTCATTATAGTCATATCATCTAGAATTTGATTTGATTAATTTGGTGACAATGAGCCATTTAATGCATTTGAAACTTTCCTTCGAGCGGCATCTCCGGACCAAACCTTCCCGGATGAGCACGGTTATCGCCGAAGCTCTGCCGGAACGTCTTCCTGTTGAGGAGGAATGCAGCTCTTCCTACAGCCCAAATCACTTCTACCCCGTGCGTCTCGGAGAGATCTTCAATGAGAGATACCAAGTCGTTGCAAAACTTGGATTTTCATCCAACTCAACTATTTGGTTGGCGAAAGATCTTCACCAGTGTGTTCCGTTCCATCCTTGCTCAAGGGCTATCACTGACGGAATAGATGGCGTTGGCGCTCGGCACGCTACGTTGCCGTCAAAGTAAATGCGAACCCTGACGATGTCAAGAGTGCTGCTGAAAGGGAATTCCAAGTCTCCCAGCTTCTCCAAGGGACCAAATCACGCCTCGTCAATAGCAAGCCGGCCGGGATTACGGGACACCAGTACGCCCACATACTACAAGACTATTTCAACCTGAATGGGCCGCATGGAGTCCATTTCTGTACCATCTCTGATCCCCTGGGAGAGTCTCTCGAAGATTTAAAGCAGCGCTTAGAAGGGAGGATTCCTTTGAATCTCCTGAAGGCTGTCACCAGAATGATACTCAGAGGCCTTGAGTTCCTTCACGCCGAGTGCCTCTTCATCCACACAGGTACCTTATCAGTTCACAAGATTGTTCTGTATCAATTTCCCGGCGCTAATAGATATCCAAGATCTGAAGCCGGAAAGCATAAGGTTAACTCTGGGGAGGTGGGAACCCCAAGCTGTCGCGCGGGCCGAACGGAAAACACCACGGCCTCAGAAGAAACTCGAAGATCGGACAATATATACTTCGCGCCAGGCCGGCGATCTCAACGACCTGGTAAGAGTAGTGATTACTGACTTTGGAGCTTCGGTGGCTGGAAATGACTGCTTTCGGTATGAGCATCTAATCCAATCCCTTCCATACCGCGCTCCAGAGGTAATCATTGGGGCGGGGTGGAGTTATGGTGCCGATATCTGGAATCTCGGCGTCATGGTATGAGTGAATTTCCTGCCAAACTCTGGAGATGACGCTAAGCTATCGCGGTAGATTTGGGACTTGCTTGAAGGAAAGAACCCATTCGATTCAATCTCTAGCATGAACGCAGCTTCAGCTAGGAAGCATCTTGCTCGTCTCATCGGCTTCCTCGGGCATCCACCAAACGATCTTCTTGCTCGGGGGTCAGATACCCATCGATATTTTGATGATAAAGGTAATCTTCAAACTATTCTCCACTTAACTACCCAGCTAATGGGTTGGTAAGGCAACTTTCTATCTCCCGAACTGATACCCGAGAGTGTTCCTTGGGAAGGCCTTCTTTCTCGTGTTCAAGGGAACGAAAAAGCCGTGTTTTTAGACTTCATCAGGAGAATGCTGTGCTGGAGGCCAGGCGATCGAAGCAGTGCCGAGGAACTTCTTTTACACCCGTGGACGAGTCAAGTGAAGACTGAAAGGCTTATAGGTCGGGAGTGGTATCACTAATTACTTCCTTGGAGAGTTGGCAATATTGGATCTGCTTCAAGATGACTTCTATGGGGCCTGTCCTTGGCAACTTTTCAGGAATATACCCTCCCAGACATAACAAACTGAAGCGCACAATTCACTCATTTATCTTCGTGCACAGCTTCCAGAGTGGAGGGAAATGTATAAGGTAAGTAATGGGGTATTGCTGGATTGCTGGATTGTTGGAAATAGATGGCTCTAATTAATCATAATCATGTAAGTCATTGAAGATATGGGAAAAGAAACATTGGGCCCAAAAAAAAGAAAAAAAAAAAAAAAAAAAGAGAAAAGAAATTAGGAAAAGCAGGATAAAAACAGGTACAATATATTATTAATTACATAGTTACTGAGTAGATTAGAAGCTAATAATAATAATGCTATTATTTATATTGGCCCTGACAGTCATTGTCTACTTTCACCCTGTGACGTTCTAACTGACAACTGCATAGGATAGTCAGACTCTTAACCTGTGCAGGTTATCCAAGGGACCAAAGAAGGATATTCCAATTTGATCACTAAGTGCCATTCACACTACAACATCTGATAGAACCTTTCTGCACTTCAACTCTAAAACAGTGTACCTGGTACCAAAGACATGAGAAAAGCCCTGATGATCATTGCTGGTATTTGCGTGCGTCGCAGACACCAAAAAGCCCGTTTAATCTCTTCAAATAGCATATTCTACCATTTTATGATGAGTTACCCAAGGTTGCTTTACTTGCAGGCATATCTCCATTCTGGGCCTCTGGGATGACTCCTTTTGTGCATTCAAGGCCAGAAAAATTGGCGAAGATAAGAGCTGTTGATATTTATTAGCAATCATTCTGATCTGGTTTAATAGGCCTCCTGTCCATAATGTCTTCGTGGATTGTCCCTTCGATCCTGATTCTGGGAAATCTGGGCCAATTTGACTACAGATTCAAAGAACCGAAAAGACCCCCCGTGCTCTTATTTCAATGGTGACCATGCGGTTAGAAACTGCTGGTATAAGGACCCATCAAAAGCCGCCGAGGAATGGCAACAGGTTAACATGAGGAGGATTGAGGGGCTTCATGTCAGAGAGGCGGTGGAAGCCAGAGAAGAGGCGGCAGAGATTGGAAAACCAACACACTCTGTACTCACTTGGGGAATCACGAAGGCTTCTGGAGGAAATTGTCCTGGAACCAAAGCCACCAGTCAAAGACAGCGTTCTGCACCGCGGGATCAGGGAACTTGGCCCATTCACCAGCACTGCTGAGTTCCAGGACGCGTTGACAGATGGCATCTGCCCTCACACTCCAATCCTTTCCTGCAAAATATTTGGTGAAGAAGCCCTCCACATCTTGAAAGGTGCACCAACAAATCTCTTCAAATATCCTCCCTTCCACCAGCTGACACATCTGCTCAGGTCCTTTTTGTGACAATGACATGGCTGTGTCAGCTACCTTTTGGATGACAAGCCAGACTAGCAGTTGACAGTGATCATAGCAGAGGTGGCCTTGCCAGACGCGCTTAAATAAGTCTGCCAAATCTGAATCCACATTTTGATCAGCAATTCATGATTGAAGGTTGAAGGCTGCATCCCCTCCCTAAAGAGCATGAAGGAGGTTTGAAAGCGCATTTTGATAGAGTTGGTCAAGACTATTGATGGCACCATTGGATGAAATTAGATATGACTCATAGATTTTCTCTGCCTCTTGCAGCAAGCTGCATAAATCATTAAGTGAGTGGGTTAAAGGGTGGTCCTTGATGATAGATTTCTCATCTAGTGAAAGCTCCACCATGCTGACAGTGTAAGGAGATTAGTTTTGATATTGATGCGAGGAAAACATATGGAGGTGGTTTGGCTTGGTGCGACCATTTCATGCGCCTGGGCGAAACGGGCCAACGTTTCAAGGTTTGTCGCGTGCCAGTTAAACAGAGCCAGAAAAGTTGGCTGTGTCAATATCAGCGTTGCTCGTGCTTTCGGTGTGGAACTAACATAAAGCTTGTCTTGGGCCGTATAGTATGCCGTCGCTCTTGAATTTGCCCGACTTTTTACTCGAGGGGATCATTGCCATGGGCCATGTGTTATTTCGGATTCAGCATTAGCTGGTACGGTGCTTCCAGGACGGACAGGGTGATGGATGGACTCTTCTCGGTTTCTCTAGCAGTTTCTTACCTGCCGCCGCACAAACACTCTTACGACACGTACTTATTCTTTTTACCTAGAGGCATAACTATTTCACGTTCACATAGTCTGGTTTCCACAAAGATTCGTCGATTTGCTTGGGTATGAGAGGCTGAACTACACAGGGTGGATGCTTTCTGGCGATCCCTGTTTCGAAAATCTGTAAATTAGATCTACCTCTGATGATACCTCTGGGCGCTTGAGACAGACATCGATACCGATGGAGTTCGTGCGGGTAACTAGTTAATTAATGACTAAAAAAGATCCTCGAAGACGCCATTCGAAAGAAGCTGTTGGATATGATCACGTGATACCGCATCTGACTGGAGAGGTTGATTTCGCGTTTCGCGTTTCGCAGCACCGTCCCGCCTCTCGACTCAAGTCTTCAAACAGGGTTCGTGACAAGCCAGGATGGTCAATCACTGGGAAATAGACGATTCGGATGCCTCCACACAAAGCAGCGAGGATGATGGATTGACAGATCCTATACCAAGGGAGGGACCAAGTAACATTAATATCAACGATGCCGTCGGGAACGGGGACAACCCCATCATTGACATGTCCGACACCCCGAGTGCGGAAAATGATAATAATGACGATAATGATTTCTTCAGCGACGGAGAAACCACTTATTTGCAGTTTAAGAATAGAAAGAAGCGGAAAAGATCCGCCGCGCTGAAACGGAATTCGAAACGTGCACAGAACAGTTCTATTGTCGGCCGCCGCGAGGAGCGGAAGGATAATGACAATGAGGGGCATATTCGTGAAAAGCCTCGCCAAATGAAAAGTTACGGTGAGGCGTCTTCTGAAGGTGAAGCGATGGAAGATGCTCTCCCCGATTATTTGCAAAGGCGTCGCTCTCAGTTCGACAAGAGGAGAGAACGTCTCCTGGAGGCGGGCTTGAGGTTACCGCCGGATTATGAGAGTGTTGAATTCTCGGATGATGAGCGCCTGCAGGACTTGAGAGAAAAGCCTTCGTTTACGAATATTAATCCCTGTCGGAAGTATGAGGACATACAACTTCCGTATTCATTGGGGTTCGTACCCGCTCCGATTGCGCAGTGGCTTCGAGATTATCAAGTGGAAGGTGCAAGCTTCCTTCATGAGCTGTTCGTTTACCAAAAGGGTGGTATCCTTGGGGATGATATGGGCCTTGGGAAGACGGTACAGGTTATTGCTTTCTTGACGGCTGCCTACGGGAAGACCGGCGATGAGAGAGATGCCAAGCGTATGCGAAAAATCAGGCGAAAAGGAGACAGCATTTGGTATCCAAGATCCTTGATTATATGCCCAGGCACCCTAATTCAGAACTGGCGGTCTGAACTTAGCCGTTGGGGGTGGTGGTCTGTTGAAGTATATCACGGAGACACGAAAGAAGAGGCTCTGCAATCTGCCATTTCTGGGAGGGTTGAGATTCTGATTACCACATACACTACCTATCGCATGAACAAAGATTCATTAAATATGGTTGAATGGGATTGTGTTGTAGCTGACGAGTGTCATCTCATGAAAGATCGCAGGTCAGAGACGGCAAAATCGATGCATGAACTTAATGCTTTGTGTCGCATCGGCCTTACAGGGACCGCGATTCAAAACAAGTATGAAGAGCTATGGACCCTCTTGAATTGGACAAATCCTGGTAAATTTGGTCCGGCTTCAACGTGGAAGACCACGATTTCCGATCCGTTAAAAATTGGCCAGTCTCATGATGCCACAGTCTATCAACTCAGCAAAGCCCGGAAAACGGCGAAGAAACTGGTGAAAAATCTTCTCCCTGCATTTTTTCTTCGACGCATGAAGACGCTAATCGCAGATCAACTTCCGAGGAAGAGTGATCGTGTCGTGTTCTGCCCACTCACTGAAACTCAGGCAGATGCATATGAGAACCTGCTAGACAGCGCCATGATCGAATGCGTCAAGATGTCTTCTGACCCCTGTCCATGTGGCTCAAAGAAGAAGGCGGGATGGTGCTGCTATAAGAGAATTCCTGGTGGCGGACCGTGGCAGAACTACGTGTTTCCAGCTATTTCCAATTTACAGAAGTTATGCAACCACCTCGCAACGCTTATTCCACAATCAACTGACCCAGAAGAAAAGCAAGAGAAAGATCTTGCTATGCTAGAGGTTGCAGTACCCGATCAATGGCGCGAGTTGTATCGCACTCGAGGTTCGATCCTCAATTATTCGAATCCCGAGTTTTGTGGGAAATGGAAAGTTTTAAAGAAGTTGCTCAAATGGTGGCATGCGAACGGGGACAAAGTTCTCGTATTTTCTCACAGTGTTCGGCTGCTGAGGATGCTACAGATGTTGTTTAACCATACCAGCTATAATGTCAGTTATTTGGACGGCACAATGAGCTACGAGGACAGAGCTAAGGTTGTTGATGATTTTAACGCGGACCCTCGGCAATTTGTATTCCTCATATCCACAAAGGCTGGCGGTGTCGGCCTTAATATCACGTCAGCTAACAAAGTGGTTGTTGTCGATCCGAATTGGAATCCTTCGCATGACTTGCAAGCACAGGACCGTGCCTATCGTATAGGCCAACGGAGAGACGTTGAGGTATTCCGGCTGGTGTCTGCCGGTACGATTGAAGAGATCGTTTATGCCCGACAAATATACAAGCAACAACAAGCAAATATCGGATATAACGCAAGCACAGAACGAAGATATTTCAAAGGAGTGCAAGAAAAGAAAGACCAAAAAGGCGAAATTTTCGGTCTTCGCAACTTATTTGAATATAAGGATAATAATATCGTTTTGAGGGATATCGTCAACAAGACGAATGTTGCAGAGAGTAAAGCCGGCGTTGACGTTGTTGACTTCGAAATTGACGAACGAGGAGATGATGAGAACAAAACCCTTGAATCCACTGATGCATACACTGAGGATGCTGCAATGAGCCAGTTAGCGGCCTTAGTTCAAGACGGCTCCGATGCTATTAAAAAATGGGGTGAAAAAGATCGCTCAGTTACGCCGGCTAGGCATGATCCCATTCAGGCTATCCTAGTCAGTGCTGGTGTGGAATACACTCACGAAAATTCAGAGGTTATTGGCTCATCGAAGATCGAAGAACAGCTCAGCCGTCGCGCAGAAATGGCCGATGATGGCGGCGATATAGGCAAGGAGCAAGTATTCCAGGCGTCCCAAGGCGATGCCAGCTCATCGTCACTCTCGGCACTAACCCGGGATGGGAAATTGGTCAGGTTCAAGTATCATCCACCTGAGGACGTTATGAGGAGACAGTTTTGTAGTATGGCGAAGGAGAGTGGCTACGAGAACGCGACAGAGTTTGCGTTGGTGGTAGAAGGAATGACACAAGCTGACAGGCGAGCGTGGCTAGAGAAATGGTACAAGACGAGAAGGGAGCTTTTACTAGGGGAGAGACCACGTACGAAGTCACCGAGAACTGGTATGAAGATTAACGAAGAACTGGGCCAAACTTGAACTGTGAAACGAAGGATGACGGAAAGATATGGTGTCAAAGCTCGTCGTTGTGACCGAACAACCGTCGGCATGGTTCAAACCCGTGGTTTAAAAGAAGTATGGTGCAGGCCCGCCGCTCTCAGTCTGATACGGCCGACTACCTTCCCTTGTGACCAAACGGGATGATTCCTGCTCGTATCCGTCGTTGGAAGTGGAGAGAATATTCAATTTGAACAATTCACGTCTCGAGTTTGTATAGAAGGCAGTCGATCAAGACTGGGTCAGGTATTACCGCTGGCCTGGGGGCAACATCGAACCGCATAATACTCGAGTTAGGCCACGAACATAAGCTCATGACAAAAGTTGAGAAGGATGAAAGTTGATGTACAAAGGTCCGATTAATAGTGGATGAGGAACGCGCTGTTGTGGTGACAGCTGTGAAGGATTCTCGAAGATACAGGGCCACGAATGGCATATCAAAATTAAATCAAAACCAGAAAAGCAATCATCTATCCCATGTCGTCACCATCGAAATTGCCCTTGTTCTCCCGAAGCCTGATGTAGGGTAAGAAAAATGAAACACATAACTCCATCGCTAGAAGACCGAAAATTGCACCAAAAGCCATGCCGCCGAGGATATCATAAATCAAAACCACGAGAGAGTCCATAAAGCAGGGAGATTAGGCCATTTCTCCTGCCACTTGGCAAGGATCTCAGGCACTTTCTCGTCAAATCCCTTTCGAGCTGCACCACCTCCCTGATCCCAGCCATCAATCCCGTTTATCTTTCGTTCCTGGTCGGCAGATTCATTTAATCGGTCGGCGAGGTCAAGGATCGCCTTGCTTCCAATCAATGCTTCTTCGTGGTTGTCTCTAATATCGACATTGAAGACATGAACCGGCCGATTTAGCGGCGCGCCGCGATTCATCAAATCATCCACCACGGCGTCCCAGCATTTCTCTTCACATGTGATAATCACATCAACAATACCACCTTCTGTCCCAAGGCTGCCTTTATCACCCCGTGATACATGATCCAAGCGTGGCATTCCAGGGAGCCACTCTTGGAAGCGCTCCGGTCCCCATTTAACACTCCTGTTTCGATCAAGCATGGGTAAGACGCCATTGTTCCTATATAACCGCGGGTCTTTGGATTGCAGTTCATCGTAGATTTGAGAATATGATACAGTATTGAAGTTATACACGTTTGGTTGGGTGATCGTCGGACCAGGGAGGCGGACCAATGACCCCGTGCCGAATGAGATAACTGGATATGACGAAGGGGGAGCGGCGAGGCGGTTGTGAGCTTCCATAGAGCGGTTTTGGTTTGCCGCGCATACTGTGCAGAATTTGAGCTTGTAGGATGTAGAAGTGGGATGTGGAGGGGTAGAGGATGGTTTTTCTACGGTGCCATCAGGCGCTTGGGATGGTGCTGATGGGATCGACTGAAGCTCTTCTGGTAGAGGTGGAGGCGGAGGAGGCGGAGGAGGGTTTGGAGTGACTGATCTTGAACTGGCGTTGCCAGCTAGGCGAGGATCTGAATTCATGGCAAACTGTCTCTTGCGAATTGGCCCTTTTCAGCAATGGTGGAGCGGATGCGAGTTAAGTCCTAGAGCCGGCTGGGCGCTTGGGGCGAAGGGATACCGTCAAAAAAGCTCTAAGAAAATGACAATTAGCAAGTCTAGTATTGTATGAACAATTTACTGATATGATTTATGGAGTAATTATAGCTGGATCAGAGTGATTAAAGTTGCGTATAGTCGTTTTCTCCTCACAGGTAGAGTAGGACAGCTCCAATAAACAGGTTCATCATACAATCGAAAGGGACAAAAGGGAAGATAAGAAGAATTTCGACAGTCTACCATACCTTAAAAGCAACTGGATCTACTTTAGTCCGGAAATATTTGTGGCGGTTATCGATCCCTAGCCATGACTGTGATGAAGCTCTACGTTGGCGATGGTGGTGGTGTTTTCGAAGCGAAGTCGAATTTACCTTTTAAGAACGCTGCCTGTCTAAGCGCACTACCCCTAATCGGGTTAGTCTCCTATACTAGTTATCACGTGGCGACGGACAAATGCCCCAAGGTCGGGAACAAGCTGGGATCAAAGTCGATCACCGTCAAACAGCGACAGCCCAGAGGTCAGGAAGAGATGAGCGGCAAAGGGAATGGTGAGACTATAGATCATAGACGTTGCTTTGTACGGAGTATGTGCTAGCTAACAGATCAATTGTGCTCTCTATGCAAGAAGCGCCCATAATACTCTCACAATCGGGAGTTTCTGGGCTCAGCGCCAAATACAATGCGCTTATCCCATGCAGCTTGTGCCTTCCAAGACCCTTGCGAAGCATCGTCTCCAAGGATCCAGCGCCTGGCAATCTCTCGCGCAATGTCATCCTGATCTCTTGATGCATCCAAAATCAGGAGGCAGCCACAAACAACATGCTCGAGGTCCCGCAGATAATTTCGCCCTTCCCATTTCAGCTGCTCCTTATCCTTGTTATTGACGCCCGTAAGCCACTGCTCCCATACCCGCTGGAGCTGTCGGCCTTCATTGTGGAATCCCTTGGAATTGGATACGTTTAGTGCATTTGAGACCCAAGCACCTAAGACTGCCAGGCATTGCGGACCCTCTCTTCCCTTGACTACGCGGACGACGTCGTCGGCCATGATATCTGTGGTTCCTTCCCAGATGCTCAAAACGCACGCATCTCTAAAGATTCGCGCAATATTGAATAGTGGATCTTCGTTCTCAAGATATCCAACACCGCCAAGGTTCTCCATGCATGCGCGTACTCCCTTAATTGCTCGAAGCGCTGTCTGCGCTTTGACCATGGGTGTAAGAAGGCGCAATAAGGCATGCGCCTGCTGTGGAGTTTGAGGAACGATGTTCGCTTGGGCTGCGGGCGTACGCCCGCTTTCTTGGCCCTCAGAAACGCCCAACAGAGCTGCCACGAGAAATGTCAAGTGCGTGTTGGCAGCGTATTTCACATGGTCTTGTGCCAATTTTCTAACATGTGCTGGCATATCCATCAACATCGTGTTTCTCACCGCTCTCACCTTTGCATAAGCCTTCGATATGGCCAAGCCGCGGCCCCAGTAGCTTACAGCCGCAATAGCGTTTTGTAATCTGGTTATATTCAGGAGGGTAGAGATCTCTTTGACTCCCTGGCCTTCCTTTCCGACAAGGTATGCCCTCATGCCTTTGAGTTCCAATTCTGCTGTAGGTACGGGCTTGGTGCCCAATTTGTTCTTGAGTCGCTGAATCCGGATCCCGTTCAATTCAGTTTCGCTATTTCCTCCTCTTACTCTTCTGCGCAGCGGGGCGTAAAATGCGCTCACCGCTCCATCCTTGCTTGTTTTCGCAAGCAGTATGGTCATATTGGCGTCGGTCGCCGATGAAAACCATTTGAACCCATCAATGCGCCACGGCCCCAGCGGCATACCATGGGCATCCACGCCGTCCGTTTCCAGTTTCTCCGCCCCTGAAAGTTTTCTGGCTACCGTCTCCGTGCCACGGACATCGCTCCCTCCCTTACGTTCCGTCATCCACTGGCCACTTGTCCACGCAATGGACGGGTCGCGACTGGTAAGTCGTCTCCGAGCTTCCGCGAATATTTCTCCATTCTCTCCGTCTAGATGCCTCCCCAATAAACAAGCTGCTCCATCCGTCATCGCACTGGGACACGTCACCATCGCTGCGCTTGGTACCCAGAGGAAAAATTTCAAGCTTTGATATACCCGGTTATTCCAAAGGTCTCCACCACTTGCTTTCTCATAGCCACTCGCAACGATTCCCTCTTTGATGCCGATATCTTGAAGCGTCCGCCAACCTTCACCGGTAAATAAAGAATCTTGCTTGTTTTCCACACCAAAAGTTGTAAGAGGCTTTACAGATGGCAAGTTACGCTCTGCATCAGCGATGTGCGACTGGATCGGCTTGGAAAGCACCAAGTTGGAGAACTGTGTGAGGTCTTGGTACAGATGTTGCGGAATAGGGCTTGGAAGGTGAAGGGAAACCACGCGACGGAAGATGCCATCGTCTTCGATCGAGGGAGGGATGACCGGTGGGCCTTGGAAGAAGCCGGCGGTAGAGCTAGATGGCTCCATTCCGTGCACTTCGAAGTGGGTAAGATGCTTTGCCTTGTAGATAAAATCCTGATTAGTCCTTCCTGTAGCTCGACTACGGTAGAAAGGAACATTTATATCGGGATATCAGGTTGTATATGTTTTTATAGATCTTTTGAGCTTCTCCACACTTCACATTTGCTTCCTTGGGTTAAGCCTCGGCATGTGAAGCCATCTCGGTAACCGCAAGTTAACTCTCTCCCATTGAACCTAATCGGAACAACCTCACTTTATCTATAGCATTTGAGGCAGGACGGTCACATATTCATGACCACAGCCATGGTATGAGGCTGGCATCCTCCATTCGCCCCCTTCCCACTTTCGTCTTGCAGAATCTTGATCATTCCTCAGCCGGGTTAAAACACATGCAGGCAGAGTGGAGCAGTCACACGGTGGTTTGCCTCGGGGTTTGCCCGTTAGTCATCAGAAAATGCCGAGCACTCATCGTTTCATCGCAACGGTGGGGGCAAGCTGCGTATCACGACGTTGACGGTGCTGACGGTGGTGATGATGAGGTGCGACCCAAAGGCGCAATAAATTGATGGACAAGCTGCTGGTTGAAAGTCAAAAAGATGGATGCGACAGATGCTAACAATGGCTTTCGACCAGCTCTCATCGTAGTGGACATGCAGGAGGACTTCTGCTATCCGGTAAGTTCTGCAAGCTCTGATCATGCCCAAACAGAACGCTCTCAGGCTGATTAAAACCGCTGTCTGTCGCTGCAGAATCCTCTTGGTGTTCGCGGTGGACGTGAGCTTGTCCCGTTAATAAACGAACTAATTGGGTACCCGGGATTCGTCCTCAGAATTGCGACTCAAGATTTTCACCCCGCGACCCACATCTCCTTTGCTACAAACCACCCGGCACCGAATAACAAACCATTCGAGTCGTATATAACTATGAAAAACCCCGCGCCAGGCAAGGAGTCTATAACCATGCCTCAGCGCCTGTGGCCCGTGCATTGCGTGCAGCACACGCCCGGCGCGGAACTACTTCCTGGGATTGAGAAGGAGAAATTTGATTTAATAGTCAGGAAAGGGATGGATGAGAGGGTAGAGATGTATTCTGCGTTTGCGGATGCGTTTGGGAACACGGACTGTGTGGCTTCCGGGGGTGCAAGCGCGGACCTAGAGACGGCGCTGAGGGAGAACCAGGTGACGGATGTGTTTGTGGTGGGTGTCGCAGGGAGTTACTGCGTCAAGTTTACGGCTATCGATGCGATGGAAAGGGGATTCAATGCCTACGTGATTGAGGAGGGTACTAGGTGTGTTGATGAGGGGGACGTGTGGAACGAGACGAAAGCCGAATTGGCTGGTCACGGTGTTAAGGTTGTTCGGCTTGATGGGCCAGAGGTTGGAATGATAAAAAGGAGTGTGTGAGCCGTGTTAGCGAAAAATGGGCAGATGTTACGGGAGTGCTTGGAGGCCTCTTAACCGGCTACCATATATTCTTTGCAGCCCTCAGTATAGATGACCATTTTTGTTATGAGAGTGGACTTTGCATTGGTCGGATACAATAACTAAGTTGACTAAATAATACCGAGAGCTGTCGTATTTCCGCGACGGAGCTGACGCTGACACCGATTTAGTGGTAGATTGGATAGGAACTTCACAAACCGATCAAATCGCATTGGCAGGCCTCGGTGGGACCGCCTCCCTGTCGCCGCGTCGGACGTATCTGCAAGGCTAAAAATGGCGCCCAGCAACGCCTCCCCTTTGACGAAGAGAGATCGACATAATATTTGGTCCGTTTCGCAGCTTCGCGCGTTGCCAGATGCCCAAGGTTCCAACAGACACCGGAGATGCCAAACTGCAGTTCCCCCGCATCGATTCCAACAACCGATGAACTCCCGGCCGCCGCCACAGCGGCTACTCAGCTCGCCAGCAAAATAACGGAAACAGAACCGCTGCCTTACTGGCTGGTCAACGTCTCGCCAGAGCAATGGCCGTCGGAATGTCCAGAATTTCTTCGAAACCTACCAGAGAAATCGATCAAGATTCTTTCGACCCCTGACTCCGAATACGTCCGGCAAGATTGGCAGCTGGTCAAGCAGATAACAGGTTGAAGCCTTCTCCTCCGCTGTGACTGATTGCCCCACGCGATATATTAAACTACATACTAACCGTGGCCCGCAGCAACTAATCAAATCCATCTGTTCCACCGTGTGCCGTCGCACCTGAGAAAGTACCTCGAGTACATGGCCAAGATTAAGGCGACTTATGGTTCTGTCCTCGACTTTATCATCAAGGAACGGCTGCGCTGGGATGACTTGAAACCCAAGAGTTTACGTCCTTTTGAGCATTCAGGTTCGTATATAGACGTCACTGTCTCAGTTTTGTGTATCTTGTTTTCTTCTTCTAATTCTCGCCTTTTTTTTTTTTTTTTTCTTGTTCCTCTCATTTTGATTCAGGCCGTCCGGATTTTACATGTGCGCTGGGAGAGTGCTGCTGACTCCCGGATGTATGATAGATGACTACAAGGTTCTATATAATGACTGGCCATATGGGGTTGAAGAGGACATCGTACACTTGGTAGTGTGGACAAAGTTCGAGCTTGAAGATGATCCCGCGACGGATGATTTGACCCCTCAGGCCAGGAGAGAGATTGACGACTTTGTTGGACGGGTGTTCAGATCAAAGGTTCCGTCACAACAGGTGAGTTGACTGGAGCCTCAGAGCGATGGCCGTGGAGGTCTGGGTAGCGGCCAGGGAACACTGATTCTTCGCTCCAGGTGGTGTGGTTTAAGAATTGGAAGTCATTGAAGTCGGTTCATTCAGTGGAACATTTCCATATTATGCTAAAGGCGCCAGACATGGCATTCGTGCACGAGATCACGAATGGCGACGTGCCCCTGGTTGCAAAGGTCCGAGCTCAATAGGTGGTCGCATCTTACTGGCGCCCCAGTTGCTGTCATACATAAATTAGGACACGACAGTTTTTAGCCTCGTAGCCATGCAGATATCACAGCCAGCGCTAGGGAATCTGGACCCTGGACCGAGGATTTTGCCCCAACGGAAATTTAGATGAGGCTGTAGTTAGTTGGGTTCCGTCTTCCGCTTCTCGAAATTCGGGCCTCGGGGGCCTGCTGGGGAGACCCCTAAGCTTCTGAAGATGGGTTCTCAAAGAAAACCAGCGCCAGAAGGAAGAAGATTCTTCCCGCTCAAATCCACTGACAAATGCGATCTGCCAGCAGTCCCGTTTGCAACACCGACGGAGCGGCGACGACGCCGGGGAATTTGTGCAAACACCAACGGGTTCTAGTTGTTTAGTTCCGTTGCCTGCCCCTCATTTGATAATCCCGCAAAAGCTTCTTCTTTGCCAGCCCGTTCCTTTTTATTTTTATTTTTTTTTTTTTCAACAAAAAAACAAAAGTGAATTGCACTGCTGCGTGACCAGCGCAGAGTCTCTCCTCTCTCTTGAAGCTCAATAATAACTACTAATTTTTCTCTCTTCTTGATCCTTCGTAGCACGCTGTTGCATTCCCTCCCAACACCCCTGGTAGTTGACCCTCTGCGTTTGTATATCTCTTTTTCTTCCCGCTTGACCTCATACGTAAGAGGCATCCAGATATCATCGCCGACCGTTTCGCCACTGTCGTGTGTACATTTGCCTAGTCAACAAAAGCCGGTTCCTAGCAATTCGATTCCTTGATGTCTTGACGTGATATTTTCGATTGTCTGAGCTAGATCATCTAAAATTCAGAACTTAACATTTGACCCGTCATGCTACCCAAGCTACCTCTGGGACACGGCCATCATACTCCCCGCCGGTCCTCGTTAAACAGTGCGTCTTGAAGGTCCTTGCTGTAGCCAGCCCGTGCGACTTCTTTTTGATTCATCTTCGCCGTGTCGCCAATTGGCACCATCATGCGGCCCATATCTGACACTTTATCTTCCTTTGCACCTGCAGGCAACAAGTCATCCACCGCGGATGAATCGAGCCAGCCTACCTCACCTGGCGTCGAAGATGAGACGGTCGTGGAGCCTGATCAAGGCAATGGTGAGTACACCGGCTCTCCTATGATCAGACCTGCTCTGCCACCCACAGCTGCTAATCGCCTGTTGCATTCTCGCAGTCCTGTCTCACATCATCTCACAACTACGGCCCGGCGCAGACTTGAGTCGCGTGGTCCTACCCACGTTTATCCTCGAGCCACGTTCCATGCTGGAGAGAATCACAAAGTACGTCGAGTTGTTCTTCCCCGGTGTATACTTGTGGTCTTGCTTGTTGGTTGAACAGGGCTGTATTAATGGGGGGATCGCTTGTAATAGTTTTATGGCCCATCCGGAGACTCTCCTCGACATGCCCAAGATCGACGACCCACTCCAGCGATTTGTATCCGTGGTCAGATTTTATCTCAGCGGCTGGCATATCAAACCTCCGTACGTGATAATGTCCTAGCTGATCTACGAGTGACAAGATAACGGACAACTAACCTCGAAAACAGAGGTGTCAAGAAGCCCTTGAATCCAATTCTAGGGGAAATTTACACATGTTACTGGGAGTATCCAGATAAGAGCCACGGCTACTATATTTCGGAACAGACGTCGCACCATCCTCCCAAGTCGAGCTACTTCTTCATGGTTCCCGAGCATCATATCCGTATCGACGGTACCTTAAAGCCGCGAAGCCGATTTTTGGGGAATTCCGCCGCAAGCATGATGGAAGGGATAGCTATTTTGCAATTTCTGAATCGAGGAACAGAAAACCATGGTGAAAGATAGTACGAGACCCTCCCCTTCAGTAATGTCTCTGTGGCTTCGCTGACACCTGGTGTAGCATCGTTACACAGCCAAATATGTATGCGAGGGGAATATTATTCGGCAAAATGAAGTACGAGCTTGGCGACCACAGCTATGTAAGGTGTCCTGAAAACAACCTGGTCGCAGACGTGGAATTCAAAACCAAAGGCTACTTCTCCGGAACCTATAATGCTATTGGAGGTTCGATAAAAAACGAAGCTACCGGAGAAATATACTATGAACTCTCTGGGTTCTGGAACGGAGAGATGTATATCAAGGATGTGGCTGTAAGTATGTTGCGACCCGGTTCCAAACTCACATGCTGATTGGGTGGACGTCCAGACCGGGAAAAGGGAGCTCCTCTTCAACGCCACAAATGCCAAGCATTCACCACCTCTCACTCGGCCTCTTGAGGAGCAAGAGCCACGGGAATCCCAAAGGCTTTGGCATTCAACAACCCAGGCCTTGCTTGCAAGGAATCATGAAGTAGCTACCGAAGAAAAGACAAAAATAGAGGACAGGCAACGCGAAGAAGCGGCTCAGCGAGCCGACAAGGGCGTGGAATGGCGCCCAAGGCTATTCAGGCGCGTCAAGGGTGGACCTGGTGGCCCCGAAGAAGGAGAAGAGGATCTTGACTGGATCTTGAATGCCGTTATGTGAGTTATACTAAGAACCCTGGCCTAGCACAGTGCTGATATAATTTCAGTGATTCACAAGACCCAAAGTTGGCTACACGTCAAATTTTGGCGGTGGCGCCGATATTAAAAGGACAAGTCGTTAACCATCAGTTTGATATTCCCGCACACTGTCCATCATCTCACCATTCCAGTACACCCAACTCAGTCACCAAGGAGCAGCCTAATAACCTTATCGACCTTGGAAATGATGGAGCTGCAGATCAGCGAGAAACTACGAAAAACAATGGATCAGGAGAGTTGGTGGATTTGCTCAGCGGCAGTGGAAACGAAGGCCAGAAACAGATATCTTTAACAATGAACCCTCTGCAGCCAACAATCAGCGACCAGGGCCACCCAACAAGGAGAAGAGATTCCGAATCGTCAGGCGTGGATGAATTTGTTGATGCTCAGGATTGAAATGTGATGTCTCGGATATGACCTTCAACAGGACACAACACTCTGAGCTCGCATGCCACAACCAGGACACGTTCGGCGGTTTTGTTGGGTGGCGATAATAGTGAGAGATTGATATCTTTAGCGTGCCTCCCAATGGCGTCGCAAGATGCCAAAGAACTACATGAGTTATCATACCCAGGCGAGGTATTCCGATCTCCTCCTATTGGCCGAAAATCAGCCTATAAACCCTAAAGGCACGCTCGGCCAAAGATGGTTATCTTAAATCGCGTAACGACATGGAAACGATTGACGTGCATTTTCTACATCAGATATTTTGATGAACATCTTACTATCTTTACGAAACTATTTACATCATGTGTGCGGTGAAAAGGGGATTTATGAAGTTCCAAGTTCAAAATTTTGTTTTTTCCTTTAAAAAAAGGGCATTCACAGAGCTTTTCTTCAGCCTGTGTAGACACTATAATCATAGACGACAAAGCTTAAAAAAATTAGTGTGATGGAATATGAGTTTTCTTTAATCTAATTCAGTATAAGATAGCGGTGTAAAAATCCCTCTGATAAGCATCCCTGGGTATAGGTATCATCAGTCCGTACGCGTTTCCTGGTCCTGGCCATCCAAAACACCGACCCAAAAGGAAAATACAAGCAAATAAATTTGCATCCAGATACGCCAGGAAGAGACCACAAACTCCAAAGAAGAACAACCAACAAAGCAAACCCACCGCATTATGTGTACAGCTCTCCTCTAACCCCCAAGCCTTTCTCTTGATCTTTCCTTCTGCTAGGTCTTGACCCTCCAATCCCCAGCGTGCTGACACCCGCACCATCACGATCCTCTTTTTCTTCTTCGCCCAACAACTTCTCCTCTTCAAGCTCCTTCTCGATTTCCTCCCTCAAGCCTAATATATCTGGTGGAATCACACTCATTTGCACACTGGGCGCACCTTTGATATATCTCAATTGCTCCATTGTACTCTGCACCAACGAGTCCAGGTACGCTTTAGAATTTTTATTCTCAACTTTCCGCATTTCCGACAAAGGCGGAAATAATGTGCAATCGGGACGGAAGTGATTGCGGAACTTTAGGGAGTCCGGAAGAACGGGATTGAGGTCGCTTTCGGCTTCGAGGCAGATGGCTGTTTCGTAAGCCCAGAGCCGCGAGACGTTGCGAGGGGTGTAGCCACCTCCGCCGACGACGAGGGTGGGTAGACCGAAGGTTTTGGTGTATGCGACGCAGGCGCCGTGTGCACGGATGTTAAGGTTGAAGCAACCGAGGCGATCGCAGCCAAGACTGTCGGCACCACATTGGAGGACGATTGCGCCGGGTTGGTAGGTGCGGATGCAGGGTCCGATAATGGCTTTGAAGAGGGCAATGTAATCGTTGTCTTCGATGCCGTCGTTTAAAGGGACATTCAGGGAGTGATGAGCGCCGGGGTTGAGCGGATGTGAGGGGCCAGTGCTGTCTAAAGGTCCGGTGCCGGGGAAGAAGTTTTCCTTATCGTATTTGTGGAAAGAAACCGTGAGGACACGGTCTGTAGACCAGAACGCTTGTTCAACTCCATCGCCATGATGCACATCGATGTCGATATACATCACCCGCGGGTGGATTCGGAGTAACTGAAGGATTCCAAGCACGATATCGTTAACGTAGCAGAAACCACTGGCTTCCGACTTCTTAGCGTGGTGCAAGCCACCAGACCAATTTATAGCGATTTCAGATTGATTATTGCAAAGTTTACGCGCTGCATCTAGGGTTGCACCGGCGTATAGCGAGCAATAGTTATAGAGTCCATCGAAGACCGGGCAGTCGTCGCCAAAGTTGAAACGGGCGAGGGTCTCGACTTGGGCCGTTGACTCCATGTCTGCAGGCATCACTTGGGTGAGAAACTCGAGGTAGTCCGTACTATGGAACTCCGCCATTTCCTCGTACGTCGCCGACCGGGACAGGTACAAGTCCATCGCGTGGTGCATGCCGTAGGCCAAAACGAGTTGCTTTGTGAGAGTGAGTCGCCATGGCTTCATGGGGTGATTAGAGCCGAAGTGATGCGGTTCAACAGCAGGATTAGCGTGCCATGATACACGGTAGCCCTTGGGCCGTTTGACGATGTCATGTTCGACTTCGTTTGCAGTTTTGGCGTCAAGGGCCAATGTCTGATTTGGAATCGGTGGCGCGCCGTATTCTTGGACAATAGTGGATCGGGCCATGGCTATCTAGAGAGGTGAGAGACTGGGGCCAACGAAAGCGGCCATGAGACGACGAGCCAGTATGCGACCACAAATGGCACACTTCTTTGGATGGATCGCGAGAAGAGATGAAGATTGATCGTGAGACGGTGCTGGCGGCGCGTTTTCGGTCTGGCGTTCTCTGCGGCTCCGGCCATCAAAATTGGGCGGCCAATCGCAGGCCTTCCCTTCTGAGGTACGGCGCTAACCCTAGTTTGGCTTAGTGTTTCGTCCAGCATCAAACCATAACGCTAATCCAAATATAGTTAGTTTGTTGGTTCGTGCACGTGGCGGCGTCAAGGCGGTGTGATTCTGCCTTGCGCCATCGACTTTCTTTGCCGGCGCGTCCATCACCTCTTCCACCCCGGAGATATCGAGACGATCACGCTCTTCAAAGCAGCCTGGTGCTTCAAGTTTGCTAGTTTATTTTGTATATCGGTGTATTGTTTTTTTGGGATCGCTCTGGTGGTCTTGTTGCGTCGTTCCTCGATATGTCCCATACCGAGGACTGCTCCACGGTTCTGGAGCAGTTTGTCCATGATGGTAAGTCACTTCACAATATCTTTCACTGGTCTATTCTCTATTTAGAGCTAACAGTCATTCCACAGTGGCAAACCTTCCTGCTGAAATCAACCATTTGATGGAAGAAATACAAGCCAAAGACAAGATAATACAGGAGTGCCGTGCTATAATAAACTCCCGCGATGCTAGTCTCCAAAAATTCATCAAGCTCAATGGCAGCCATTCGCTCAACCCCAAGGAGGAATCGTACAGCAGCACCATACTTCAGAATATGGACCGTTGCCAGACATTGCAGGACGAAAAGATTGCGCTAAGCGAAAAGGCAGCAGTTATTCTTGACAGACACGTCAAAAAGCTGGACATCAAAATCCGCGACTTACAGAACGATGGCGTTCTTCCTAATGACCCGCCTATTCCATCTCTTTTCGGCACCAAAGGCCAACTTCGCGATCCTACCAAATCAATACTGTTTAACGAACCTGGTCAGGCCGACGCATATCCTTCTCCTCTCAACCCGACATCCGGAAACGCGGCCTTGCCCGCTAACCTGCTTCAACGACTAAACAGTGCTGCGGCGGCTGCCGCTGGGATATCTGCTACGGGTGGAACAGGTGGAAGGAGTTCCGCCCCGGCCACCCCTGCAGCCGCCTTACATTTTCAACAACGCCATCGTGAATCTTCTGCTGGTGCGACTGAGAATAAACGGCGAAGGCTCAATGCCTCTATAGGGAATTTGCCGGCGGCCCCTTCTGGACTTCGTCAATCATCCTTGGGCCCTGGCACGCCAAAAGGTGGGACCCCTGGTGCCACCCGTGCCGGAAGCGCCGGACCTAGGGCGACGGCTGTAACAAAGAAAGCAACTATTAAAAAGGTCGCCCCTCATCAACAAGTGCGAAAGATCAAAGCCGGTGCCGCGGCTACAAAAGCTACCAAGCGCTCATCTAGTGGAAACGGTCGTTTAAAAGCTGTGTCTGCTAATGCTGGTTCGCGAAAGAGGTCTCCGGCCTCGGCGACAAGCGTCGTCGAAGAAGAGGATGAATCTATGCTTAGCAGCGCCGATCTTTCAGACTCTGAGAATAATGTTTCCCGCCGCCAGGCTGGTAGGGACTCTGACGAAGAGATGGAGGATGAAGAAGATGAGACAGGAGAGGATACCAAGGTTTATTGTACTTGCCGGAGTGTAAGCCATGGGGACATGGTTGCCTGTGACAATGACAATTGTCCGTATGAATGGTTCCATTGGAAGTGTGTAGGGCTCACAAGGGAGCCACTTGGAACATGGTACTGCGAGGAATGTCGGAAGAATTTGGGCAAGTGATTATCATTGTCCTTCTTTTTTTCTTTTCTTTTCCTTTTTTTTCTTTTTTTTTTTTTTTTTTTTTTTTTTTTTTTTTTTTTTTTTTTTTTTTTTTTTTTTTTTTGGGGAATTTTCAGTCTGGCTACTGTTCTTCTGCGGATTGTCATTAACATGGGATGACGAGTTATGATGATCAACGTCTAATTCATTCATGATATATTTATTTTAATAAAGTGGTCAAAAAAAAACAGCTCCATGTATAACATCCAGTACGGAGTACATGTTATTCATTTGTTCTGGGCATTAGACCTGACACTGCCCAATAGTTGTACAAACATCCAAAGCAAAATGTCAGTGTTTAAGTGTGAAACAAACTCCGACGCTATGCTGTATATTTGTGACACAAGAATATTATATCAAACATTTTTTTTGTAGGGCTTTCCCGAGTTTTGTAGATTTTCTGATATCCGACCTAGCCCTGAGTATAGACATCACTGAGAGTTGGGTTTAGTTGTCGTCTCCAGAGAGTAGGCAGGGAGGTAAAAATGAGGAACGGCTAGCATGAGACGTGCGATAGCTAGGTTGCAGGTATTCGTGAAGCGAGGTCATATTAGTGTTGATGCCGTCGAATTACACTGATTGAATGCGTTGCAAAGTTGGAATGTGCGGTAAGAGATATCTTCGAGCACATGAGTTAGAACGAAAGACGTGCTTGCAACCAATCCTGGAAGTATTCGCAGTTTTCTGCATTGACAGGTCCGCCTTCGTTACAGAGTGAGAAGACTGGGCATCTGCCACATGGTACTTCGGTCATGCCATTACTTCCGAGAGTAAGCTGATCTTGATCGGACGTGTCCTTTCCAGCCCCCGGGGCCTGGAGGCCGAGCTCCCGCTGGAGAGATATCTGATTAGGCTTTTTAACACTTTTGTAAGCCGCTCCATCACGGAGAGAGATTAGCCTGCCATCGTAGCAAAGCATCTCGAGAAGTTGCGCTATACTTCCTTCTCCTAATGTGACAGGAGTCAAGCCTGAAGCGTTGATCGCTTTGGTGATGTCCATTACGGTGGGATAGCCTCCGTATGAGGGTAGATAGGGGATATACTGGGATTCGGTGGACTTCGGGATGTCGTTTTCTAACTTTCTCTTCTTCTTTTGCCGATCGGCCTTTTCGGTATCGTACCAACTCCTTGCGCTAACCCAGCGCTCTATCCAAACACCCAAACTGTGTATAAAATCTGCATCCAAAACACCATCCGTGAACCAAGCTCCTCCAGTGACTTCCTCGCTCGGCTGCAGTCCAGCCAGCATGTAGATCTTGCGCTGTGGGTATTTGACATTGCGTACTGATTTGATGTAGTTCTTCGCTTCGAGTGACTTCAAACATCGGTTCATGATAGTCTGGTGTAGATTGGTTCGCGCTTTAATTGTCTTGGTCCAGACGCCCTGGCGGCCGGTGGAATGAATGACATTATACACCAGGCGTTCTTCGGCATTGAGGTTTTGAAGTCTGCGATGAGAGCAAGACGATTAGCTTCTGCTTCTTTGGCTAGTAGGATGAAGACGCTCCGCCCAGACACACTCACTTCTCTGCATCTGACTGTTCGACGACCTTCCAAGCAAGCCGATCATCTTTACCATGGAGCAGACGGAACAAGCTCTGGTCCACAAGTGACTGAGCGCATTTCATCAAGAGAGCCACATCGTTATTCGGAATAACGCCCAACCCCAGCAGGTCCTGCTGGTAGAACAGGTGATCGGCAGAAAACCCCGAAATACATTTATCGTAAAGAACCGAGGCAAGCTCATTTACGTCTTTTGACGCTTTGGCCCTTGGGCCAGCTGAAGAGGACGAGGCCATGTCGTGAGAGGAGGTGGATACAATGCTCGAACGGCCGAGCTGTGAAAAAAATCACCGGGGCGGCAGAGGATAACTCATAGTCGAATCTCTGGCTTTCATCCGAAAACGAGACTGACAACCTGTGTTAACTTGTGTCTCTGATGGTGCGTTAAACAAGCACCTCCAGAAGTCGACAGTCCACTGCCATCAACTTTTTTTTTAATATTTTATCTTTTTTATTTGGTGGAAGTGGGGGGGGAGAGTATAAGCTTGGAGGAGCCAAAATTTAGCCACGGAGAGATAACACTATAAATGTGCGAAACTTTGATCTGGTCCAAAAACAACGATGGAAGTAATAGGAGGATCAGGGAATCCGCCTGTTTAACCCCTACGGAGGGTGCTCGTCTAGATAGTTGCGAGCGCTCTATAGATACAACTACGGAGTATTTATTTGGAGTAAGCTCCCTATATATATATATCCCCAACCGACAAGCCGCCAAGTGACTCTATATCTGTCACTATTCCGTGCCAGAGATGATTTGAGGATGACTCAACAACGGCGGAAGACATAGCCCAAGCTTGTCAATTTATTGAAAGCGAAGCTGAGCCAGCGAGCGAGCTTTTTGTGTTGTTGTTATCGGCTGCGTGTAGACGGCATTATTTCAAGCAGGTCGATTTGGCAAAGTGTTCAAAAGGACCAGACGCCAAAGTAGGGGGCGAAGAAGTCGACATGCAAGTAGTTCGCAATGATAATTTTGGACTTGGTCGAACATGCGCATCTGAAGCAGGGCTGAATCCGCCCTCATACTGCTGAAAGGTTGTTGATTCGGCATCGCAGATATCCAGTTACTGTCGTTGAAGCCGCTCATCGGCAGCGCCACGATTTTCCTCCAGGAACAAGCAAAATACGGCCTTGCTTTGGTCAAAATTCGGAACCCAAAGCGATATATTTTCACCCCGTAGATGTAGCAAGTGGACTGCAGCTGCAGACTGGGTTCAAGGCGAGTTAAGTTCCGAAGAGTAGTTAACTAGTTACTTGTGTTTGGGTGGCCAGTCCCACAGAGCATGAAGTCACCCCCAAGCAAGAGAGAGCTCGAAATTTCCAGAAGCTCAGCGCAATACGCTCTTTTCCCACCATCCAATCTTCCCATCTCCCCGCGTCTCCCTATCCTCTCTTCCGCAAAGCATTCCATTTTGGCGCGACATCTCACACGGTCATATTTTGCATTTTGTTCTTTGACTACTCGACAATTTAATTTAATTTATGTCCGCAATGGCCGACGCTCTGAAGGCTGAGGGCAACAAGGCGTTCGCCGCGAAGGACTTCAACTTAGCCGTGTGAGTATTCCAACCCACGCTCGTCCTCCACACAATTTCCCTACTGACCGGTTACGAGGCAGTGAGAAATTCTCCGCGGCCATTGAACTCGATTCCAGCAACCATGTCTTGTACTCCAACCGGTCCGGTGCCTACGCTTCCCTTAAGAATTTCGACAAAGCCCTCGAGGATGCCAACAAAACCACCGAGTTGAAGCCAGACTGGCCCAAGGGTTGGGGCCGAAAGGGCGCTGCGATGCATGGATTGGGAGATCTCGGTACGTCCCAAATTCTCTCCAAGTACACCGTTCAATCGAGCTAATAGGATAATGTTTAAATGTCAGTCGGTGCCCATGATGCATATGAAGAGGCTCTCAAGTTGGACCCAGCCAATGCCCAGGCGAAATCCGGTCTTGAGTCCGTGAAGCGGGCAATTGATGCTGAAGCTAGGGCAGACGGCGTCGCAGGAGACCCAACAGGTGGCTTGGGTCGGATGTTCAACGACCCGCAGCTCATCCAGAAACTGGCGAACAACCCCAAGACCTCCCAGCTCCTTGCCGATCCCTCATTTATGGCCAAGCTTCAAAAGGTAGCGCAGAATCCAAACAGCATCGGCGAAGAGATGCGTGACCCTCGGTTCCTTCAAGTCATTAGCGTTTTGCTTGGAATTGATATGCAGTTCGGAGCTCCTCCCGAAGGTGGTGCTCAACCCAGTGGACAACCAAAGGAAGCCGAAGAGGATGTCCCCATGCCAGACGCAAAGCCTCAAAAGGCGCCTGAACCAGAGCCCGAGCCCGAGCCTGAAGACGAGGAGACAATTGCAAAACGAAAGGCAAAGGAAGCAGCCGACAAGGAGAAAAATCTAGGTACAGAAAATTATAAGAAGCGACAATTTGATGCTGCCATTGAACATTATAGCAAGGCATGGGAATTACACAAGGATATTACTTACCTTACCAACCTCAGCGCCGCTTATTTCGAAAAGGGCGAGTACCAACAGACGATCGAGGCCTGCGAGAAAGCCATCTCTGAAGGTCGTGAAATGTTGGCCGATTTCAAGCTTATCGCAAAGTGAGTCTCACAACGCTTCGACCCATGCCTTTCTCCCTGTGCTGACCTTTTTGAAATAGGGCGTTTGGAAGAATCGGTTCATCATACGAGAAGCTGGGAGATTTACCAAAAGCTATTGTCAATTACCAGAAATCCCTTACCGAACATCGCACGCCCGATATCCTTTCCAAGCTACGAAGCGCGGAAAAGGCCCAGCTTAAGGCTGAGAAGGACGCCTATGTTAATCCCGAGGATGCTGAAAAGGCTCGTGAGCTTGGAAACCAGAAATTTAAGGATGCTGACTGGCCAGCCGCTGTTGACGCCTACACCGAGATGACAAAGCGTGCTCCTGACGATCCTCGTGGCTATAGCAACCGTGCCGCTGCATTGATTAAACTTATGGCGTTCCCCCAGGCTGTCCAGGATTGCGACGAGGCGATCAAGCGTGACCCAAAGTTTATTCGAGCATACCTGAGAAAGGCACAGGCACTGTTTGCCATGAAGGAATACAACAGGTGCCTTGATGTGTGTACTGAAGCTGCCGAGCATGATGAAAGCGGGTCCAGTGCTCGTGAAATCGAACAACAGCAGCAGAAGGCCTTGGAAGCGCAATTCAGCGCGCGTGCTGGCGAGACCGAAGCGGAGACTGCTGAGAGGATTCAGCGCGATCCTGAGGTATGACTTGACTACGTCCCTTAATTAAGTTCCTATGACCAAATACTGATTGTGATAAACCTTTAGATTATGGCTATTGTGCAAGACCCAGTCATGCAAAGCATCTTGCAGCAGGCGAGAAGTGACCCCGCCGCGTTGCAGGAGCATATGAAGAATGCTACTGTTAGGATGAAGATCCAGAAGCTGATTGCGGCTGGCGTGATTCGTCTTGGCCGGTAATGTGTGTTTGCTTGCGGGAGAGCCGTCGGGTTCATGTTGACGAAGTGGATGACCTGATGAACGAATAACTCGATTGTGATCCGATGCAGTACGTACGTGATGATTATCTCTGAAGCCACCGATTCAATCAATAGGTTAACCTGGCCCTTAACCCTATTGTCACTCATATCTACCAATGCAGATTCAAATACCCTGCTTAGCCTGGCGTCCCTTCATAATATCACTATTCGTCGGGAACGCCCGCTAGTTTTGCAAAGCGAGCAGTGGTGCGGACTTTCAGGCTTCAACTCTTAAATCAATTCACTCCACTCAAAAGTACAAGTTTAATTCGAAGCACTGGCTTTTGCAACGTGCACTATCAACGCTTAGAGGCCAAGATTTCTCATGCCGTAGTAGTGGTACTGTTGGTAGAGTCACCTTGGGTTGTATTCTTCTGCTAAGCATGCTAATGCCCCGTCTGATATTCTTGTCCAGCGGATTGTAAATTTTCTGTTATGAAACAATTTAAGTTGCTATGAGGTACGGAGTAGTTAGCTATCAATTCAATATTTTATGGTAGCATTCGTATCTTTGTGATTAGGGAATTGTTGCCGGCAAGGTCTTCAAATCACCAGCGCTGGTTCTTCATTTGAGTCTTGGATCAAGATTGTGAAACCTCATTAATGATAATATTCCCAAGCCACCCAGGAGAATGTCTATAATCGTCTGAATTTTCGTTTATTGAACGACATCGAATTCCGTGCTTCCTATACTCCATAGCTGATCCATGAACGTCTGGAGAGCTATAGTCCGTTCCTATGGAGCTAAATTGGGGCGTAACCCATATGTCACTTGATCATTGGATCCTTTGCGAAGAGAGTCCGTATTGCCAGCTTGTGTTTAGGGCCATGAGGCATCTGATGGTTTCGCGTCATTCAGTAGATCATTTGATGACATATTCGATCACAGCATTAGGACCATCCACGGCGAGGACTATTCTACTGCAAATTTGCTCCTCCAGAAGATTAGAGGGAGAACAAGCAAGTCAGCACTAAGTTCCTCCCTCTCCACGGCATACTGGTCAAGCAGTAGACATGCTGGAATGCAGTGGTATGGTGAAGCTCTGCAATCAACTTGGGTGCGGATGTCAGACAATACCGTGGAATGCCTTAAAGCAGATTTCCAACGGAGCAAAAGTTGAGGAAAATATTGACATGAGGGTTATATGTCAATATGTATGGTATGTGGTAGCTTAGTATCAATAAGGCGAGTTTCTCTGCGGTAAACTATGATCGAGATAAGATGGAATGCAACTCATTGGGCCGCAATTCGCGCCTTTTGAGGCCAATGTCAATCAAGCTCATAACCAGTACTTTGTTCCCCTGTCTCAAAGTCAAACTTTGGACTCATGGGTACGTTGCTGTTTTGACCGGTCGTAGAATACGGATAATTCGAGGCAAGCTTCGGGTCGCCAGCTTTCCATTTGAAAATACATCTGGCACTGGGAAAAAGAACGAATGAACTTCCAGAATCACTAACATTTGTGGATCAGCTGTCAGGGTTTGAAAGAACAACTCCGCACTGGCCCCTCGAATGTCTTCCGGGAGCTGTTCTGGCATCTTGTTGTTCAAGTTTCTGGTGAAGTGGTGTTCTTGTGTGTTGCCCAAGACAAGGCAAAGACTCACGCTTTATTATCAGCATGTAGTTCGATTGCCCGACACCGGTTTGAAGGTCATTTCATTTTCAAATCCCGTGGGACGGCAGGACATTTCCCATATTAGCACCGCAATAAAGGGCGGGTATGTTGCGGTGTGCTAGTTGCACCAATCCCAGACAAGGAAAATCGATTGGAATCTGTGTTAAACACCGACATCAGGTACTCCGTACATAAGTATCTCAGTTTTGGAGAGCGGGGGAGGGAGAGAGCCCTCTCTCTCAATCCAGGCTGCGCAATTTCCTAGAGGATGTGACGCGCAAGAGATGCACAATTGAGTTTGCTCGACGCGAGCTTGCAAATGTTGCGTTCTCCTCCCAGCCACTTCGACCGATCTTTCCATCTGATGGCCATGAGGATGTGTGATTGTGACGCATCTCGCCACACCTCCACACGGACGCAGTCTCTTGGCTTTTTCCAGTGGTTATCGGCATGACACCCCCGCCTCCCTGAAAAGTTGGTGCTCCGAAGCTCCAATGCAATTGCTGGCCCTGGTTACATCGTAATGGGTCCCTGTCAGCAGCTCTCTCACGAATACGGAGGAGAGAGCAAGAGATTGGGGTTTTAAAATATTCCCATCATCTCCAGAGATAAATGCTCTGTCCTCCGGAGCAAAGATCTGTTGTGCCAACTGTTCAATCTGCACGTCAGTCTGGGCGGGCGAGCCAAGTGGAGTTTCAGATCCGATCAACGGAGTTTTTTGGAAACATTGTTTAAAAGAGGGCTGGCCACTTGGGAGATGAGGAACTTGCACGGCTCCATACGATCGTTTAGCCAAGAGGAGCTAGTCAATCATCGAGAAGCAAGCGTCGCCGCGTCGATGGGAAGTGGTACAAAACGAGCAACCCTTGTTTTTTTGGGCCTGCATCTGATAACCAGGCATCGTTCGTTTGAATTCTCGCCACATCGCGTGTTCTCCGCAACGGGAGCTTGTTCCATGGAAGACGGGCAACAAGGGCGTGACAGGTGAGAAACGATTTTGCTGCTGGCCAATTTTCCGGTCAATGGAACTCGTGTGGAGTCGTGGTGAGATTATGGTAAACTCAAGCAGTTTAGCTCAACCAGACAGACCCTGGCAGAAGGCAGAGTGGACGACCAGTGGCTTGCGCAGGGTGGGATTCCGCTGGTTTCGCCATCCACACGCCGTAAATGCTTTTTTATTCTCGCAGGCGAACATCGCCATCTTTTTTTGCCTCCTTTTCCGGCTTCACACCACGCCGGCGGCTGTATCTTTCGCATGTATGTACTACGTACGAGCCCTGTATTGACGCCCCTCAAAGAAACAACGTAGCTGTGGCTGTGCAGATAGAGTGGATGCTGTGTATGTACTCCGTATGTGGCTGGAACCAGGTAATATTACAGTCGGGGTGGAGCAGACTTGGGCGACTATTAATCGTTAGCGTAATATTTTACATGGTTGATGACGATTTGGGGTTTCTCCGTCACTTTTTTTCTTCCCCAGAGACAAAGGGGAGACAGGAGTCTAAATTAAAAAAAGAAAATTAATAAGAGGAAAAAAAAAGGAAAAAGCAGAGAAAAGCCAAAGGAGGGAGAAGGCAGACGCAGAGATTGCCGAAGAATCTACCCTCCATCAAGCCATCGTTAGAGTGACGGGCGACCTGTCCTCCATTCCTTCGCTAGGCTAGAGTGAGCTGAAGTGCCCATTTGTCGTCATTTCTTTCTCGTCCAGGTCCGTTGTCACCATTCCCTTAAAACGCCGGCTTCAGCTCATCCTCCCCGCATAGACATTGCTGTGTAACCACAAAGCTCCTACTCCTGGGAGATTGTGGAGTCCTAGGACAATTGCAGAATTGAACGGCTCAAGTTTAGCTTCATTTCGACTGCAAGACGCTGCATTCGAATGGGCATCTTTGTGTGGTCCAGCCAACCGATCTGTCTTGTGAACAATGGCGCTCGCTGCTGAGCACATTGACCCTCTCAAGGGTGACCTGAAGCAGGAAGAAGTCGTCCAGGCTGCTCAGGACCCCCAATCCAACATTCCCCCAGAGACCGCCGAAAGAATCCTCGTCGAGAAGAGCAGGAAGGCCGGCTCAGTTGCCTACCAATTCGATCCCAATGCGACTCCTGAACAAAAGGACGAGCAAGTTAAAATGGTAACCCGATCATCCCCTACTCTCTTTCGCTCAGGAAGCTCTCGAATTTGTACTTTAAACTATGGAAGATGCTTACAGTTCGCCGACAATTCCACCAGACCATTCCCACAAACTTTCACCGTGACAAAAAGCCATCTCCGGTTGCTGTAACCACTGATGTCGTACGTACAGCCAGTCCTTTTGGGTTTTATGCGCCCGATAATTTGTGTAAATGGCTCATGTATTTTTCTAGATTAACGGCACCGCTGTCGACGGAAAGACACCCACCACGGGGAAGACAGATGGCCAGCTATCGCCGTTGCCCCCAAAGCCGAGCACGGAACTCTCCGAAGAGGAGCGATGGGCGAGAGACCGAACCGGGTGGGCACCCCGCTTTCACATTAAGGAGGACGAGGTGGATGAGGGAGAGATTCTTCTTGACCACCAGACCTTGCTTGAAAGTAAACTAGACGAAAATCTATTTGGAGGTATGTCCATGGACCTTCTGCTGTCTTGACAGTATATTTTCAAAACTGATCACTATGTATTCCATTAGATTGGTATCACAATGCCGGCATCATCGTCTTTGCTTGTCTTGCTTCATGGTTCATCGCTCTTATCGGTGGTGGTCTGGGATGGGTGTTTATCATCATGGCGGCCTGTGGAACTTACTATCGAACATCGATACGCCGTACCCGAAGGAATTTCCGAGACGATATCAACCGCGAATTGGCTAAGAATCGACTTGAGACCGATACAGAAAGTCTCGAGTGGATTAACAGCTTTCTCGTCAAGTTCTGGCCTATCTATGCACCGGTTATCGGTGACACGATCATCAATTCAGTTGACCAGGTTCTCAGCACGGCGACGCCCTCATTTTTGGACAGTTTGCGGTTGAAGACCTTCATCCTAGGTACCAAACCTCCGCGATTGGAGCATGTTAAAACCTACCCAAAGACAGAGGTCGATACCGTTCTCATGGACTGGAAATTCAGCTTCACCCCCAACGACACCATGGACTTGACAGCCCGCCAGCTTCGCAACAAAATCAACCCTAAGGTTGTTTTGGAGGTCCGTATCGGCAAGGGCGTGGTCAGCAAAGGCCTTGACGTGATCGTCGAAGATTTCGCCTTCTCAGGTTTAATGCGAGTCAAATTCAAGCTCCAGATTCCCTTCCCACATATTGAACGTGTGGATGTATCCTTCATGGGCGAACCTGAAATTGACTACGTATGCAAACCCCTGGGAGGAGACCTGTTGGGCTTTGATATCAATATTATCCCCGGATTGGAAAGCTTCATCAAGGACCAGATCCATAGCAATATCGCACCCATGATGTATGACCCGAACGTCTTCCCCATCGAAATCGCAAAGATGCTTGCTGGAAACCCGGTAGACCAGGCTATTGGAGTCGTCGCTGTCACCCTTCATGGCGCCCACAACCTTAAGAACACCGACAAGTTCTCCGGCTCCCCTGATCCGTATGCGGTCGTTTCTATCAACAGCCGTACTCCGCTCGCTCAAACCAAAACTGTCCATGAAACTACGAATCCCAAATGGAACGAGACGCACTACATTATTATTACCTCTTTCACCGATTCACTCACTATGCAGATTTATGACTTCAACGAATTCCGGAAGGATAAGGAACTTGGCACTGCAACTTTCCCGATGGAAGGACTCGAAACTGACACAGAACATGAAAACCTATCACTCGACATTATGGCGAACGGCCGACACAGGGGAACTTTACAAGCGGATGTTCGATTTTTCCCAGTTATGCATGGAGGCAAGAATCCGGAAACGGGGGTGGAAGAGCCACCGCCGGAATTGAACACGGGTATTGCAAAGATCACAATCGAACAGGCCAAGGATCTGGACGGAACCAAGAGTCTTGTTGGGCAGCTAAATCCCTATGGAGTTCTACTTTTGAACGGCAAGGAAATTCATATAACCAAAAAGCTTAAGCGCACGAACAACCCCATCTTCACGAACCCATCAAAGGAAGTCCTTATTACTGACCGGAAAGCTGCTCGTCTTGGCTTGATCATCAAGGATGATCGCGACCTTGTCACTGACCCAATCCTCGGAACCTATCAGATCAAGCTGAACGATATGCTGAAGATGATGGAAAAGGGACGCGAATGGTTTAATCTTAATGGTGCAAAGACTGGACGCGCCAAAATGAAAGTGGAGTGGAAACCTGTTGCTCTCAAAGGTGTCGTTGGCAGCGGTGGCTATGTTACCCCGATCGGAGTCATGCGAATCCACCTGCAAAATGCTAGGAACCTTAGGAACGTGGAAACTATGGGTAAATCTGATCCTTATGTGAGGGTACTTCTTTCTGGAATAGAAAAGGCTCGCACTGTCACCTGGAGAAACAATCTGAACCCTGATTGGGACGAGGTTGTGTATATTCCGATGCACTCTCCTCGGGAAAAGATCATTCTGGAAGTTCTGGACGAAGAAAGCATTGGCAAAGATCGACCTCTTGGGATGTTGGAGCTGTCTGCTGCAGACTACATTCGAGAGGGAGAAGACGGTCAATACGAAGTCGATGATGAGAAACAGCTTCTCTCAACCCCACTGCGTCTGGAAGGTCGTGGCAATCCTAAGGGCACTCTCAATTACACAGTCGCCTTTTACCCGACGCTCAACGTGGCAGACCCTGAAGAAGAAGAGGAAGAAGCCAAAACCAAGCAGGCTATGGACGGCCAGGTGGCTGTGGAAACCAGGAAGAGCATTGATAGTGCGCGGTCCGGAGCCACCGGCCCACCCCAACCAAATGGGGAGGACAAAGCCAACGGCCGCCCAAGCGCTGACACAACCAGGTCCAAACAGCTGTCTAATGGTGAAATGGAAGAAGCTGAAACCCCGACCGAAAAAGTTGTTCCGAAGATCCGTATTACATCACAAGATGTGCATAATTACGGTATGTCCTCGATTGGATATGTTGCTCCGATTTGGGGGGGTTCGTGGTGCTAATACACTCTAAACAGAATCCGGTTTGATTGTTTTCAAGATTATTGAAGGCCAGCTATCCCAGCAGGATGTCCATCTTGAGGTTCTAATGGATGATCATGCGTTCCCATGTTACACGTCTAATAAGGCACGCTCCAAACATATTACTTTCAATGATGGTCAGTATCGTTAACCTTTCAACTTTGAATAATTTGCTCACTTATAGTTTAGTTGGAGATGCCTTCGTCCGTGAACTTGAATTTTCAAAGATAACTCTTCGCTTGGTTGAAAAGTCCGATTCGAAAGGCGATGACGATCACGATGGCGCTATCGCGAAACTCAGCGGTCCGACGCTTACTACACTACAACAATGCTTGGTGCGAAAATTGATATCGCCCGATTTCCTGACAAGTTGTCCAGCTAACAGTTACTTAGTATAAACCGACCGAGTTGACGCTTAGGTCCAGCGAAGGTGCCGTCAGCAAGGTTACAGTGAGCCTGAAGTATATACCAGTGAAGATGACGCTGGATCCTTCAGAAAGTATCAATAATATGGGCAATTTGCGGGTCGATGTTCTTGATGCTGCAGATTTACCGTCCGCAGATCGAAACGGATTCAGTGACCCATACTGCAAGTTCAAGCTTAACGGAAGGGATGTTTTCAAAACAAAGGTTCAAAAGAAAACGCTACATCCCGCTTGGAACGAGTGGTTTGAGTGCTCTATTCCATCAAGAATTGCAGCAGATTTCAAGGTCGATGTATATGACTGGGATTTTGGAGAAAAATCCGATTTCTTGGGTGGAGCTTCGATTGCCCTGGACCAGCTTGACCCATTCCGTTCACAGGAAGTGTCCATTCCTTTGGATGGCAAATCAGGTGCCATTCGATTGAAGCTCCTTTTCAAATCGGATTATGTGGTACGATCCAGACAAGGCTCTTCCACCTTCTCTGGAACTTTCGCTGCACCCGGGAAGATCGTCGGTGCTCCAGTGAAAACTGTTGGACTGATTGGCGGCGGGGTGGTCAAAGGTGCTTCATTCTTGAAACATGGCATTTTGCGAGTCCGCCACGGCAAGGAAGACTCTGATGCTTCTTCCGCCACCGAGATTGCATCCCCAAGCAATGGTGCTCCTGTTGTGCCAAATGTTGAAGTTACTCCCACGCCTCAAAAAACCCCAGCTCTCGTTGACAGCTCACCGCCTCCCTCTACAATCGCGTCGTCTCAGCTGCACTCCCGTTCTCGAAGTACCGCCTCCCAGGTTGGGGAAAGACTTGGCTTCGGTGGTTCAGGTGTGAAGGGGGAAACTGGAATGGCGACGTTCACAGTCGTTTCCGCCACTGGCTATCCACCATCCACCAATGTCCGGGTTACGATTAAACAGTCTACCGCCAAGGGATGGAAAGAAGTCCATAAGTCCAAAGCTCACAAGGCGGGCTCAGGAAGTGCAGTCAATTTTGACCAGGCCCAAGAGACCTTCAGAGTGAAGGACGTTGCTGCAGATGTTCAGTTCCAGATCCAGGTCAAGGACCACGCCACCTTCGGCTCAGACCAGGTCCTTGGCGAAGGAATCTTCTTCGTGGACGATCAAGGCTCAAACGCCGGAAAAGAGCGCAGTGTCAAGGTCGGAAACGGGATGGTTAACATCAAGACAACATTCACTCCAGCGGATAACATGTCGATAAGACCAGGGACTTCGCACTCGACCGCCGGGCCAATGGACGAACCGGATAGCCCAGAATCAAGAAAGCCCAGAAGAAGCTTTTTGTCCAAGCGAGTCATCAGTTCTTCTGGTAGTTAAGTTAAACCATGTGGTGGGGTTCCTTTGCGCTTGTGTTTTGTTATATTCCTGTCCTACCTTTTTACATGCATACATTGAACCGATTCTCGGTCTACAAGTCATTTCGGGTTGGCGTTATGTTGATTATGGTATTTATAACCGATATATACAATTCTCTTTATGTTCGCTTCTTTATATAGTCACTGTCCATGAGCTTTCTATATGTCCTATTAATATTTCCTGTTTTATGAACTCGGTCATACAGTACATCCCTGGCCCTTTGGATAGCTAATATTTTTTTATCTTTTTGCGAAGGCCAAGTCGAGGCTTGTTTTGTGCTCGTCCCACTTGCGCTTTGGATTCACCCAAAAATCGAGCGGTTTTTCCTTTTTTCTGGATAATGAAACGGCCATAGTTGATAACATATAGGGATTTGTTTTTTAACTGAATCTTGGACCTGGCCCATTCATCTGAGGTTGTATCATCTTGATATCACGCACTCCGTAGATGGCTGCTCTATTCGAGGAGGGGAAACGAGAGCTAGTTTCCCCACAACGCACCCGCGGGTTCCCCGCAGCGCAAACCACGACACAGTGAGGGTTTGGACGCAACCCGAGGTAAGGCGGGTGGGACGCTGCCGGAGATCCATACAATAGCTTTGCGTTTGTGTTTTGCAGTTTGGGAAATATCGAGAACTAACGAAGAGCGAGGAGAGGGCATCGTTCAAGCACAATTGCACCGCTTCACTTGAAATCTCCATGCAGACCTCGGCTAGTTGAGTACAAAGTTACATCCATGTAAATCGCGCCAGGCCTGCGTTGAGCTCCCAACGACATAATCCCTGTAATTCGCAGCTAAACTACTCCGTACATACTCCGTACTCCCAGCCTCACCTCTTTTGTGAAGCGTGCATTCATCGAGCTCAAGTAAATCACAGTCTCATACTCCGTACACAGAAAGCAATGGCCACCCAGCCGTTCACCATCTCCCCCTCCTCGCTCCGAACCCTCCAGGACAAAACCATCCTCATAACTGGCGGTTCTTCTGGCATCGGCCTCTCCACCGCCGAACTCTTCCTCTCCCTCTCACCCACAAACAACATCTCCATCCTCGACCTCTCTCCTCCCCCTTCAACCTCCCCGCTAGCCAGTCCCCAAAACTCCCGTCGCGTCCACTTCCACAAATGCAACATCACCGTCTGGAAAGAGCAGCGCGCTGGGTTCACGGCGACAGTCTCGCATTTCGGATACCTCGACGCGGTGTTTGTGAATGCGGGGATTGCGGAGTACGGTGACCAGTTTTTCCGGGATGAACTAGACGGCACTGGGGGGTTGAAGGAGCCGGATCGGAGGGTATACGATGTGGATCTAGCGGCGGCGAATGATACGGTGAAGTTGGCGATTTATTGGATGAAGAAGACGATTGGAATGGTAGAAGGCGGGAAGAGGACGGGGAGTATCGTGATGACGGCGAGCCTGGCGGGATATTTGGCGAGTGCGGGAGCGCCGCTGTACAGCGCTGCAAAACATGGTAAGACCTTTTTCATTTATTTATACCCTTCCATGCTTGTCATCCCCATTTTTTTCTATTTTCGTTCGAATCTCTCTCTCTCCTTTTTTTGGCGGAATTGTATCGGATTGTTCATTGCTCTGGCATTTCTCGATTAATAGGAATCGTCGGCTTGATGCGCGCGCTGAAGAATGATACGGCGACGTTGAATATCGCGGTATCTGTGGTCGCGCCAGCCATCACGGTGACGCCCATTATTTCTAGCCCTTCTAAGCGAAAGAATGTCGACCCGGCAGAATGGGCTGCTCAGATGGAGAAAATTGGCGTCCCGATCAATAAGCCAGAGAGCGTGGCCCTGGCTGTTGCTCACCTGGTCGACTTGGGCATGAAGGCAAACGGTATGGGGCTGCTCGTGCAGAAAGATCGGATGGTGGATGTTGAACGAGGTATCGCCAAATCGCGAGAACAGTGGATGAGCAAGGAGATGTTGGACTTGTTTAGAGGGGGAAGAACGGCCCCTCTGTTTGAGAATAAGCTATAACTACATAGTGGTATGATCAGAAATTCGATCGATACCAGTTAAGAGGTATTTTAGGGGATTTTAATGCTGATTGGGGCCAATCAATACTCCAAGGGAGCCATAGATTATCATTTAAGTGTATGTAATCCATGGCAACCTAAACAGCAGGGGTCATACGTCCATTCCTGATTATCGAAGTCATGATGGGAGTTTTAACCCAGCATGGCATTGTTCAGCGAGCAGACAGACGGCTTCGTGTTGCGGAATCCAAAGATAAAATGGAACCATCAAAAAATATACACAACAAGTCAGCTCTGGAAGCGTGAGAGCTCCTCATGGACTAGCTCATTCCGACGGTCGTCAAAATAAGGACGACGTTGATGGGTTAAGTATGACCTAACATGGGAGACCCCATCTTAGCATTGCAAAGCTGTTTCTGGATTGGAAAATGCCAATGGGAAAGATGGGAGTCCTCGGAAATACCTCCTCAGAGGCCAGATACAGCAAAATCAGAGGGGGGGAAAAATGGGAAAAAAAAAAAAAAAAAATGAATGGTCACATAGCATCATAACTTTCATATATCCATATAGCATGTCCTAATAGTCTTCTTATCCAAGAATTGGGTTTATACGTGATGACGTATTCCCCAAAAAGGGTGTTATAACATACCTCCTAAGTCCCTTAAGGTCATGAGAGTGTGTCTGGAGTCGTGGTCATGGTGGTGGTGGTAGTGTCTGGTTTATCTTCAGGTTGCACGGGGGTGCGCCAATTTTGAGACCTGGCTGAATTTCCTTCCTCGCAATCCTGGCGACCAGTCGATCCCGGTTTACCTTCGTCCCATTTATCCCTTTCCGCTGGCTTCTGGGAGTTACCCCGAGCCTTGTTGATGTGGAGTGGACTCCCCCACACGGCGCTCACACCACCCAGGGTTTTGATGGCTCTATCGGCCTCTTCAGAGGATTCGAGATCGACGAAGAGGAAATAATGGTTTCCTGGTTGCGATCGTTTGGAGGGATGCGGTGATATGACTTTACTGATTGCTTCACTGTTGAGCGAAAATGCGTCAGCGATCGAAAAAAAAAAAAAAAAGAGATCAAAAAGAAGTGGGGAAGGGGACAAAGCAGCAGGAACAAATAAGAATCTCACATTTTGAAGCCGTAGAATAACTTCTGAATCTCATAATCTGCCGTAGCTTGATTTGGCATTCTGGGTAGACCTCCGACAAAGAGACGACGTCCTTCGTCGGCAACGCCGTACCAGTGGCTCGAGGCATCATCTCTTCCCCAACGATCGAATATGAATGGCCGCGGCCGCTCGTCTTCTTTACTTGAAGGGTCTCGCCTACCAAATTGAGGCTTTGGTGATTTCGGAATACCTGGTTTGATCTTCACCGGGCGTCCGAGCATATCCCTGCCGTCCAGCTCTTCCATGGCATGGGTTGCCTGTTCCTTGCTGGCGAGCTCGACGAAGCAGAACGAAGGGTTTCTCCCAGTGAAGGGGTCAATCGAGATATCAATCCGCTCTCTTTTTAAGGGAAAACGGCAGGGAAAAGCCAGTCATTAAGGATCAGCATTCGCTTCGCTCAAGGAAACAGGTAGGAAGAAAGTTGGCGCAAAAGGCGACTCCAACGCAGAAGCAGTGGGAGGACGGTACATTTGATAATATCCCTCTCCGTGCTTTGTAGCACTGTTGAATAACGCTTCAACGTCCTCCTTCTTGGCCATATATGGCATGTTACCGACGTACAGCCGTCTTCCTTCGGCAAACGAAGCCGGAACATCGGGGGCCGCCACCAGGACATTGGCACTGTTTTCGGAACCCCTGTTGGAAGGGCGGGCAGCGTTCGTAGGCTGCTCACGGTTGGAATTCCTGTGGCTGGGGTTGGTGCGATTGAGGCTGGGGTTGGTGCGATTGAAGCTGGGCTGCGGAGGTCGGGAGTCCCTCTCCCACCTCGAGCCGGATCCGCGTTGCTCGGTTTGTTGTTCGGCGGAGTCCTTTGAGCGCCAATTCGGAGAGTTCTGCCAGCGGCGGTTCACATTGGGCCTTGGGGTTCTGGGGCCAGGCTCATTGCCTTCATTAACTTGGGCCATTGCGCTGTGTGGACCTGTCTACCTGGTGAGGGGCTGCGAGTCAGCGCGAAATTGTCCTTGAGAGCGCAGATATTGACGACAAAAACGCTTCACCACAGTTGCTTGGTGCAATTGAGGGAAGGTTTGGATTGGCTTACCTGGAAGAACAAGTTCCTTGCAGGCCCACAGAATATCAGCACACAAGGAAGGCCTGTGAACGGGGGGGTTCTCGGATGCTCGCCTTTCATATCTTTTTTTTTTTTTTTATTTTTTTTGTCCTTGGTTGATGACAAAGTCTGTGGACGCCAAGCCCAAAACCCAATTCACGATTCACTGGAAAGCGGGAGTGGAACGGGTTAGCTAGCTAGTTAGTTGGCGTGTACTGAGCATTGGAGGCCAGTGTGTTCTCCGTAAATGCGTATGTAGTGTCTACGAGCAGCGGCAGTTCAGCTCCAGGGTTGGGCTTCTTTGGCCGTTGCTGGTTGGTTTGCTCTAACTATGACGGCTTGCTACTGCGGAAGACCTGGCGCAGATCAACAAGCAGATTCGATCCGATCGCTGTGTGAGTTCCCCTCGAGAGCGCGTTAACTCGCTAATTAGTGAGCTTAACTCGTCGACTACTCCGTAGTCTATTCTGCCACGACGACGGGCACATCCGCGTCGATCGTCGAGTGTACATCTGGCACTCGCTCCTGGAGGGAGATGGGCCAATGATGGAGGCAGCACGAAGCAGTCCGCTCAAGCGTCGACTGCGAGAGATCCACAGGGGCCAATTCGGCTGTGTCACCGGCTATAAATAGCAGTGAGCAATCCATCGTGCTCCTTGGGAGGGACGAGATGAATGAGAATAAAAAGGGGGGTTTTCAAGGACTCAAGGGTGGGTAACCAGCTCGCTGGGCGTGTTCGCTGGCCAGGCCTCCCTTTTCCCAGCTGCTAGGGGGGACGGAAGCGGGTGTGCTTCGAAAAGGCGCCGAGTGGACAACGACGGAGGGCAAATAATTCCAAGTAAATTTATTAAGATTGGAGGGTGGGGATTGGAAACCTTCGCTGGCTGGATATCTGGTGGGTTTGGTTTGATTTTAGCTCGTCGGAGCTCAAAAGGAAAAAAAGGCCCAAAAATAAACAGCTCCCTTTCCCCTTTTCCCCTTATCGACTGGGGGCTGGATTATAATACTTGGATTTGCTGCTCTGACCTGCTATTCTGCTCGCACAACGTCCTTCAGTCTCCGAAACCGACAAGCCGTAAACTGAGCTGGTTTACGGAATACAGAGTTAACTAGTTAGCTCGTCGTGTGTCGTCGTTGGGCCAAAGCTGGTTGCATCACAGTCCACATCCAAACCGCATATTAGCTAGTTAGTTACATAGTAACACTTCACTCTTTCCCCTCCCCAAACTGCAGCAGCAGCAAAGCAAGCAGCCCAGCTTTTCGTCCCATCAAGGTGAGTGCACGATATGCATCACATCTCTCTTACCGCAATGCCGTGCAATTGGGGCAGGGCGAGTGCTTCAATCCCATCATTCCGTCATCCCTCTCGCCGCCAAGACGCTGCGACGATGCGGTCATCTGTTTACCAAGCTTTCCCTGCTGGCGGCGACAAGGTCTTAAATCCACCCCCCAGGGATGCTGCCAGACTCGAAATCTTAAACCAATTTTACCTCCCTTTTCACTCCCCTGTTTTCAATTGCCGTATATAATCGTCTCGTCCTCCAGCACCGCCCCCGGTAGTGAGCCATTCGTCCCGAGACTGACTTTTGCTTTGCTCCCTCTGCCAGGTCTAACTTCTGCAGCTCAAAACGCGTCGATATTCTGAACCAGCCGCTCCTCCAAGATGGCCAGCAGGGCAATTCCATCGCACCTTCGCGCTCCAAACACCGAGTCTCGCTCCGCCGAGGAAAGAAGCTTCGTCAGGCATCATGGCAAGTCTCAGTCACACATGGTGAGTGCCAACGTCCTGCCGTCGAGGAGGTTTTCCCCTTGAGCAGGTCTAGGTAGTCCCTGGAGGACGGTGTTTACCTACCTTTCTGCCATCTCGGCCACCTCTCTGCGAACAATTCGTTTTTCTGTTTCTCTCTCTCTCTCTCTTTTTATTTATTTCCTTAGTGAATCTGAAGAGAAACATTGTTCGTTATGGGTGTAGTCAAGCTAATGAATTCCTGCTGTTTTGACAAGGCCTTCGAGCATGCCTCCACCAACGTCGCAGCTTCGCAGATGCGCAACGCCCTCAATGCCCTCTCGGACACCGTCAAAGACCCCAGTGAAAAGAAGCGTTTCGAGGCTGAGATGGACAACTTCTTCTCCCTCTTCCGCAGATTCTTGAACGACAAGGCCAAGGGCAATGTTCTCTCCTGGGATCGCATTGCCCCGCCTCAGCCAAACCAGGTCGTCGAGTACAGCGAGCTCAGCAACTCCGCTTCGGTCGACTACCTCAAGAAACTGGCCGTCATCAAGTTGAATGGTGGCCTCGGTACTTCTATGGGATGCGTTGGTCCAAAGTCCGTCATTGAAGTGAGAGAAGGCATGTCCTTCCTCGACCTCTCCGTCAGGCAGATCGAGTACCTCAACCGTACTTACAACGTCAACGTTCCTCTCGTCCTGATGAACTCCTTCAACACCGACGACGACACCCAGTCAATCATCAAGAAATACGAGGGTCACAACATCGATATCATCACATTCAATCAATCACGCTACCCGCGTGTCCTCAAGGACTCTCTTCTCCCAGCACCCAAGGACTACTCCTCTCCGATCACGGATTGGTATCCCCCCGGCCACGGAGACGTCTTTGAGTCTCTCTACAACTCTGGGACCCTTGACAAGTTGATCGAGCGTGGTGTCGAGATTGTCTTCTTGTCCAATGCTGACAACCTCGGAGCAGTCGTCGATATGCGCATTTTGGAGCACATGGTGACGAATAACTCTGAATACATTATGGAACTGACCGACAAGACCAAGGCAGATGTCAAGGGTGGCACCATCATCGACTACGAGGGCAAGGCTCGCCTACTTGAAATCGCCCAGGTTCCCAAGGAGCATGTGAACGAGTTCAAGTCGATTAAGAAATTCAAGTACTTTAATACCAATAATATCTGGCTGAACCTCCGCGCCATCAAACGCGTGGTGGAGGAGAGTGCTCTTGAAATGGAGATCATTCCAAACGAAAAGTCCATCCCTGCGGACAAGAAGGGAGAAGCAGATATTTCCATCATCCAGCTGGAGACTGCTGTCGGTGCGGCAATCCGTTTCTTCAAGGGTGCTCATGGTGTGAACGTCCCTCGTCGCCGTTTCTTGCCAGTGAAGACTTGCTCCGATCTCATGCTGGTCAAGTCTGACCTGTATACACTTCAGCATGGCCAGCTGGTCATTGACCCTAACCGATTCGGCGGTGCCCCACTCATCAAGTTGGGCACCGACTTCAAGAAAGTTTCAGATTTCCAGAAGCGCATCCCGAGTATTCCTCGCATCCTGGAACTTGACCATCTTACTATCAGTGGAGCCGTCAACCTGGGACGCGGCGTTACTCTCAAGGGCACGGTCATTATTGTAGCTACGGAGGGAAGCACGATCGATATCCCACCAGGGTCGATTCTCGAGAATGTTGTCGTGCAGGGAAGTTTGCGCATCCTGGAGCACTAGTTCATATGTGTAATGTCATTCCTGGAAGCGTTTTTGCCTTCTTTTTGTAGCAGGACGTTAGACATGCATGTCTTTCTGCTGGCGTTTTATTTTGCACCAAAACTATTCCCGAGCGTGAAACTTGCTGTATCGACTTTTTAATACTGTATGGCTTAAGGAGGATTTGAGGAATTGTTCTTTTTGTTTTCTGATTACCATGTTATTCCAATGCATAATGGAACAAGCTCTACGAGGGCTTAGATTCTGAAAAGCAACCATGGAGTACGTGTAGAAGAAATTCGTGGTTCAGTCTCATTCCAGCTTCTTTTTTTTTTTTTTTTTTTTCCTTTTTTTCGCCCACTGTGCTTTTTATTTCCTGTGCTAGGTATTTCATGTTGATCAAGCCGACGAGCAGATGCCAAGGGGTTTGCCAACGTCATAATCCCGTTCTACGTCCAAGTCGTTTCCATAACATGAACATACTCGCCACGCTCCTGACGACATAGTGTGTTGATAAGGCTGACATGGCCAGGGTAAATTTGGAGTTGATCATGCCGATCGTTTTGGAGGTCTGTTTGCCAGGGTATGGCCAGGGGAGGCTCTGATAAACCAGCCGGAAGCTGGAGGGTTGGCTTTCTGGTTGGAGAACGCCTTTGAAAGCCGATCTCCCTGTCGCGGGATCCATGAATATTCCCTAACTACAAATCAGGGAGTATGGAGTACTCTCCCTTTTTCCACCCCCCACGCGGCAGGATATCTGGTTCTTTTCCTGATCTGATAAACGTAGGAAAGACGACAGAAAAGATGGAGAGAATACGAGCTTGGGAGGATCGTCGAGGCATCCATATCATATCTTTTCTGTCTCCCTGCTTCTTCGGCTTTTGCCTTCTCTTCCTTTTTTTTTTTCTTTTTCTTTCTTTCTTTCTTTGTTCTGACGTGATGTGGATCTGCTCAGAGCTTTCCGATTCCTGCCTAGGGAGCGCACAGTGCTCCGCATATCTGTACTACATATTACAAGTTTAATGAACACCATAACCCCCTTTTTCTTTGACTTTTAATGTCACCTAGAGGCGGCCAACCGGGTAAACATGATGTCTTTACACCGCATCTGCCTTGCCGTCCTGGCCGTCGTTCCGTGCGCTACAATAGCCGCCGAGATATGTGCCGGGATAACATGTCGCTCTCCGCATCTAGGATACGATGGGGCGTTGCGGCATCCAAATGCGACGGGAAATTTTACGGTGGATGCGTTCTTATTTGATTCTGCAGATGCTGGCCGAAAAGTGGTAAGGGATGGTCGCGATCATGACCTTGACCATGAGCATGGCGACGACGACCACGACGACGACGACGACGACAGGGACCGTGATGACTACGATGATGATGGCGATGAGGAGGATTGGACCTGGTATACGCGTTTAATGGACGTAAATGTTTCGGAGACTGAGAATATTGTCCACCAGAGCTTTGAGCTGTACGGTCGATTGCGGATTGATCGCGGCCATGATGGCCATGATGATATTGCAGTACCAAGGAACGTTTGTGCAGTGGTTTTGCAGCCGGTAGACAAAAAGAGTGAGAACGAGGACGGTGATTGTTCAAGTGTATTCCGGGATGATAAGATCCGTGAAATGGAAGATGAGCTGAGGAGTGCGGTGGGAAGGGTGCATGGACGGGGCCTCAACAAATCACCTTGTGGAGAGGTGAGGGGTTTCAATTTTGACATAGCTGGAGGTAAGACCTCCAGCTCCCTTTTTTTCCCGCCTTTTCACCACTTATATACGTCGGGGTGTGGAATCTTGAAAGCTCTGACTCTTGTTGTAATCAAACATCTTAGATATATTATCCTCGAACAACATCACCAGTGACATTAGAGATCGACGCCTCATCGCCCAATACCTCTTCATCCAGTCTTCGGATCCTCACAGCCGGGACGACGCGGGGTCATATATTGCCACGTTGAACAAGATAACACCCATTTTCCTGCTCTCCTACCCTTCTTCACTACCGACACGGAGCTGGCCTAGTGGTGATATGTCAGACCTGATTCAGACGAGGTTAACGTGTGTGTGGGCGCGAGATATTGCAAAAGGGAGCCCCGGCCCGGACCCGGGGCCAGGCCGCGGTGACGGTGACACTGGCGGAGATAAGGGTGGAGCAATGAGATTGGGAAGTGGTGAAGGAGCAAAGTGGACACTTATATTAGCCGGGCTTGGGTGGTTTGTTTCATGGCACTATTTTTAAAATCGCTTCACGCAAAGACAGCTGTTTGGACCGTACTTATAATGAAGATTGATTCTGAGCTGAGAGTGGTTATAGGGGAAAGAGAAATGCCATAAATGAAAGGTGAACCAAATGAAAGTTGCGGTCGTATATCAAGGCCACCCCTGTGTGGCTGTCATACACAAATAACCAGAAAATAAACCAATAATGGACGTCAAACTCATCAGAAAGGGGAAGACGAAGGATCCAAGTAGGCAAAGTCAATCACAGCATGGAATAAATAGGAAGCATGTCATGAATTGAGTTTGGAGAAACAGCAAAAGACACCTAGTCGAAATTTATCCGCGTTCTTTATTAGTATGCTTTTTCAACAAAAAGAAAGAAGAAAGAAAGGAAATATAAGGAGAAGAGAAAGAGGAAAAATTAAATAGGGATAAATGGAGCATAATGACAACAAACTTAATCCCGCTCAGTTCTATACCTTTTTCCTGGCCCCGGAGCAGACTGATACTTCAAGCCGCCCGACAATGAGAATGGCCGTTCTACGGGGCCTCTACTTCGACTTCGCCCTGCGTTCCTCGGTCTCGAACTGTGACGAGACCGTGAGGGCGCATGATACGACTCGGATTCCACTCGAGGAACATAGTATCGGGTGTATGTAACACCACCTGGAGCTGGAGGAGTCCTGGAGTGCGACTGAAGTCGAGGGGGCCCGGCGAAGCCAGCTGCCGGTATTGTGGGAGGATCGGGTTTGGTGAAGTCAGGGTGGATGACCTGGTATTCTTTGCTCCGTGGTCGAATAGGTTTCGTGGATGGATTTGGGGGAGTAGGATAAAGGGCTCTGCGAGTTGGCGCTGATGTGGTGCGGTAGGTATAGTCATACTGAGGACGGGGTTCCCCCGTGTACCTCTCCTGATTGAGTTGATGGGAGTAGCGTCGCGCTGATACCGGTATGAACTCCTTTTGGATGTTATGACGTAGCTCTTCCTCCGCGTCGTCTTCATCTTCATCTTCATCGTCTGAGGGATAGGCGTGGGCGTAGTGATATCTTCGAGAGTGCCCGTCCATTGGAAAATCATCTGATTGTATTTCTTGTCTTGGATCGTAGTCTTGGGCCCTGCGAGGTGATTTGCTCCAACGACGCTGACGAGAAATCCCGGCATCGTGGGGATGTCGACGTTGATCAGATGCCCCGGTGGGATATGGTCTATGCCGGTAAGGTTCTCGGAAAGGAGGTACACTCTCAGACTCAGATTCAGACGAATCCAAGGAGTCAGACATTACTTGCGACCAGCGAAGATCACTTGGTGTGCATGACCGACCGCGTCTGCCCTCTTGTGGGGGTGATGGGCGACCATGACGAAAAGACTGAGAAGAACGGCTCTCTCTAACTGCAGTGCTTGATTCATTTCCACTTTGGCCACGCCTTCGTGCATTCTCGTCCGGGCTTTTGCTCCGCGGCGATGGGTCATTAGGCATCACCCGGGTACTCGAGCGGGGATATGGAAAGTTTGGGTGAGGAGCCATTCCTGCAGGGACATTTTGCTCAGATCTCGATGTTAGATGCTCACTAGAGAAGCAGTCACGAGTCGTACATCCAGGAGGGCCTTTCGGATTTGGTCGATTGTCTGTCGAAGAGCGGCGAGGGAAAATCCCACTTTTGCTTGCCCAGAAGTCTTGTTCCAGCTTTTGCGTCACGGATTCATGCCACTGCACTATTTCAGGGTCTGGCCCACTTGGAAATACTGACCTTGGGATTTCCTTAGGGAATACTTCGCCGGTGGCGGGGTTGATGATATTGAATTTCTTTAAAGCCCCTTGCAAAAAGAAGGCATGCTCTTCAGGGCACAATAAAAGCTGAATCGTCTGCCACCGGACGAAACCATGTGGAAGAAGAGCAGGAATAGTTGGCGCTTCAAAGGCATCACACGTCGGCTGGAGTGAGTGGAAGCAACCTAGCTTTTGGTATATAAAGGATAGAGAGGCAGGTGGAGTGCGTAGGAAGATATCGTCGTAGTCCCCTCCAACCTGCTGGTAAAAGGCGGCGAGTTTGTCCGGCATCAAATCTCGAGTATTTGATTTAGTCAGGTTTGACTACAGCGTCAAGTGTCAGTTGATTCCCGAGTAAGACAGGTTTAGGATAATTACAATGAAGAGTGCAATGCCCAGACACAGTTGTTCAAGCTGAGCAGTAGGGCTTTTATCTGGGTTAACCAGATAGCTCCATTGCACCTGCGTGGGGTTGCCCTGCGATGCCATGGGTGCGTATTCGATCAATTCTAGCATTCGGGCAATATATCCGTACAGAGATCTACTATAGGACCTTCCGTATCTTATTTATATGGCTCGAAAGCGAGTCTTGCCCGGACAACCGTGAAGACAAAAGCACCAAGGTGGTGGTTTGTTGCAGCGCCAATGTACCTGAAGCCTGGGGATCCTCCACTTAATGGACTCCTCGAGTCCAAGGATTTAGAGTGACAGAAGAAAATGCCCGACACCCAATTCTGCAATGTCAGCCGTACGATTCAGCCGGTCCGACGATAAATGCGGCGGTCTGGGTTTCTGTGCCGCGCGACGAGCCTTTCTATTTTAGAAGCGAAATCGATCAAGCACTCACGCGAGAAAGGCGGATATTCAACGAGAGCCACTGGAATGCGGTTGCATCCGAATATAATAAGTATATCTGTCTGCAATCCATGCCCGGGACGTGGACTGTTTTGATGTTGACCCCTCCACCACTCCGTCGGCATTGGCGCTGTGAGGGCGCAAAAGTGATTCGACGTCAAACAGGGCAGGGATGTTGATTCGGCTGGGCTAAAGTCCCGCCATGCTGCCTAAAAGCCAAGGGATGGTGACCTCCAATAGAAGTGCATCAAACCGCTCCCTCGGAAATGAGTTCCATCACCAGCGACAAGGTGCACAGACTGATAGTCGACTGAGCCGCCAAATGATGGCGAAGGAAAATGGCACCAAAAATCAAGCCATCCATCCCCCTTGTAAATAACGAAACTCCCTGAACCGTCAGGTACCAAGGCACATTGCTGGTCTCCTGGGAAGATGTCGAAAGCTACATACATTATTGTGAAGCACTCAGTACCATTCGCTGCATAAAACAATAGTCGGCGCTCTGAATTAAATTGCCCCTGAACCGAAAGCCGAAAGGCGTGCAATTCCGTCGCCTGAACGCCTTGCCCAAGTTCCATACCGCCCTATCAACATTGTCATCACACAAAACGGCCCGGACTTCCGTCATACGACGACATCACCAGAATCCAGCGTGGATATAATTTTAATGTCTCCTCTTACTCGGTTCCGGACTGGGGCTGCGGCTCACACTCCGCTCATCTCTGCCTCTCAATTTCAGCCATTTCTTGGTCGATAGCTCCAGGTCTCTTTCCAACTCCGCACTCGGTTCTTTACGATGTATAAAATTACAAAAGCCTCCACGAACACATCCCTCGCCGCTGTTTAATCGACAGCAGGCTTCCCTGAAATCCGTCACAGGTGATAATTCGCAGTATATGGGCCGTGCTGCGTACCAGCGGGAGTTTAATGCATCGCATGCTTTTTGTGCAGAATCTTCATATTTGAACCGAGCGTAGACATTGCCGATCAGGTCTTAGAAGGAAACGGGGAGGGGTTAGTGTCGAGTGAATAGAAAGCCAAATTTTCAGAATACACGTACGGTCATTGTTATTATCACAGACAACCACCTCCTCTAGCTCGCCATATTTGCACATTTCGCACCAAAAGTCCTCGTAGAATGCGTCAAAGTGATTCTGTAGCTGGCTAGGGTTCATTTTGTTCTTGGGATCGAACGCTGGGTTCTGGTACATGTTCGGCAGGAGAATTGTTTGAGAATAGGATGGCTTCACATGCTTCCGCGAGCAGCGATCGCCATGGCGGCAAGCGCCAATTTTATAATAGAATGAGCAGTTGACCTATGATGCGCGTGAGCCAATCGCACTCGAAACAAGAGGGAGAGGGTGAAGTCACTGACCTTATCTTGCTCGGTACCGAAGATAGAGGCGAGATAGTTAGCCATTTTGCAGATGAACTGGGATCGTCGTTAATGGAAAACTCAAGTACTCTCAGGACCTTTTTACAGGTGAAAAACTAGCCCCCTGCTTGAGAGTAAATGAAGGATGAGCTGGTCGCATTTCATGAACGAGTTTCCATTCTTTCGAAGCTCCGGTGGCAACGAGTACCACGTGACACGAAACTGATGACTAACTAACTCACTGACTAATAAAAGATACAGCGGCGTGAGAAAAAACTAAACTAGAAAAAGTAATAATCACTTCCATCCATCGAGTCAATCACTATGAAAAGCCCACCAGCGAAAACTATCATCTTCGAAGCACGGAATGGCTGCAGCCTTGTCCCTTGCTCGTTGCGGGAAGAGGGTTGGGAGGCGCCAGTATTCCAGGGATGTGCCGTAGCGTTAAGATGCTGAAGTTCAGAAGTCTTCGTCATCGGAATCATCTTGTCGCCGACGGATTTTCCTCCACCATGCCTTGATCCGTTTGCGCACGGCAGCTCTCCAAGAAGGCTTTCGCAATCCGAGCTCTTTGAATCCCTCTTCCTTTAGAAGCTCGCCATACACGTTGATAATTAAGTCGCGTAGGTTCTTGGCCGCTCTGTCGACCGCGTCCCGAGTCGTGCCCACGAATTTGATGGTAATTGCGCCATCGTTGTCAATCTCCACTTCCTCTGTCTTTCAGTCAGCTGCGGATATTTTATTGAAGCTTTCTTGGATTTCTTACGGTGCACTTGCGCCAACTTGCCCATTGCTTCGACTAACGCGATTCGAGTCTGGACTTCGCTCAACATCACGGCTGGTGTCGTTCTTAGCTTGTCTTTCTTCTCGCTTATGAGTACACGACAGGTGATGCTTACCCGGCAACTCCTTTAGAGATATATCCTTCCAGAACCCTCCTTGGTGTACTGGATTAGATTGTTATTCGCTGTCCTCTCAGGCATTGCATGAGGGGGCCGTCAGTTAACTTACGCATATTCAACTGCAATTTCGCCGCGATAATAGTTGATAGCTTATCCTCGTACCACGTTATCATCAACTGACCGTCACCCTCTTTGAATGCCCACGGGTGTGCATATACACAGTTGCTTCCGTGGTACGCCGGAGAGAGAGCCCTAAAATCAACAACTCTTGTCATCTGATATGGCCCTGCAGCACGGTTTGCGTATCCAGTGATGATGCTAGGATTTTCGGACATGTCGGTTCCGAGGAAACCCCAATTGTAACGATGTCCGAAAAGGTTCGTTCTGAAAAAGGAGCCAGATGAATAGCCGGTGAGCACAGGCTCCATTGCGTCCATGTCGTGGGTGAATGTGCGTCCATTCCAGAATTCGTATAATTCACGTTGGATCGCGTACCAAATTCCAACACGGGCCAGGTATATATGCTCTCCTCGCTGTCCCCAAAGATAATACCAAGTGGCATACCGGACTGCGCAGAACGTTCCAAATGCGGGCTCTTGTTCATTGAAAATTAGCTGCCCATGAACAACCCGGCGGCTAACGACCTGGCCTGTCGTCTCATTGACCTTCACAGGAGCAATCCCGGTTCCACAAAAGACTCTGATTCTGGTTCCGTCTTCCATCAGGTCTTCCATGTGTTTCTTATACCATACCCACCCGTGGCCAGGAGGAGCTGCTTCGCATATACCTCCCTCTGGAGTGATTATAATTTTGCAGTCCGTGTCGGCTTCAAAAATCCTTTCTGTCTCGGTTAACTCAACTAGCGGAACTGGCAGTCCTTCTGGAAAATGCGCCAGATCAAGCGGATTTCCACGCTTGTCGATGACGGGAGCGCTCGTGTTGGGGATTGCCGCCACTAGTTCACCGTGGGGACCTTTCTGGATCGTTTCACCAAACGTGAAAAAGGGACGTTCATTAAGGAGGGCCGAGCGTCCGTTCGTTCTATATTCAGCCACGTCGTAATAGTCCGCCAGACTGCCGAGAATTCGGAGAGACGAAGCACTCGGTGGCACCATGGCACGGTAATTTTCCCTCCCTGCGGTGACAATGATATCACCGCAAGGGAGTGAAACCCTCTTAGTGGTATGAATTGGCACAGACATCGCCTTCCTGGGAGGTTAGCTAACGGCTTATATAGAGTATCTGGCCCCCCTGCGCTGCGGAGACTCACCTTGACTCTGTGATATTCTACGGTTGAAAGACTTGTTCTGGTTTGATGAAAGACCTGTTGATGGTGAACTCAGATCTCTTTGATTGATTAAAACAAAGATGGTTTCTTGAAAAGAATGAGAAGACGACTGGGAAGGAATCTCGCTCTTCCAGGTTCTTTGTGGAAAAGAAAATATGAAAGATAGATGGAAAAGATTGAATCTGGAGACGCGTGGGGGGATGTTTAGTTTCTGGATACCTGCATGTCCAGACTCTCCTGTTTACAGCAAGCTGTCCAACTCACATTTTCGCGTGCTTTACAGCGTTAAAGTGACGGAAAGGCATGTTGTTTTTCGCGGCATCTCCCTTCAAAGACAGCTAAACAGAGTTCACGTGAGTAGAGCTGGTCAGAGAGGAGAACATTCTCCAAGCAGAACATATATGCTAGGTTTGGATGTTCTGTTTCATGCCACTCTTGTGTTGCCTAACAGGGGATGCCATTGTATGGAGCCTTTTCATTGAAGGATGGTCCTCTGGAATATTTTAGGTACAGGAAGTACTTTCTTTTGCAGAATCTTGGTCTGGACTTTTTTCTGGATGGCTGTCATTCTTGTGGAAAAAGGGAGGGTGGGGGGGTGACTACTGGCCTTGAAATACCTGTGGTATCCATATCCAGAAGACACAGATCCAATAACGTGGTATCTGAAGGATTGATTCAAAGGTCTATATGGCCTGCACATTGGGAATTCAAAAGGACTGGTGACCAAAACCTGTCGCCCTTGCTGACCGGATGGAACAGTTCCCCGATTTACAAGCGCAACGCGAGACAATCTCATGTGTCTTAGCTAGTACTTAGGGCTGATTTCTTGCGTCTACTAATGTTTGGATGTCGGGTATGCTATAGACTACTGAGCAGTGCACCTCTTTTTCACCTTTTCCTATCGGCAAATTCATCCGGCGGGCTCTGTGCTGGCGCTGGGGACCCGCCGGTCAGCATCGACTTGCCAAAACGGGGAAAGCGTCAGGTGGTTCTGATCAGATAAGGAAAAAAAAAAAAAAAAAAAGGTCACGTGCCTTGTTAATCTCTTGACAGGCTCAAATTATGTAAGCAGCCGGTTTTCAGGGGTTTGAAGAAACGGTTGAAGAGCCGCCCAGAGAGTAGTTCTGGAGGACGACGCCGGTGGAAGCGAAGTAGTATTGTCGTGTACATACATAGATTTTGCACGCCATCCATATGTAGCTACTAATAGGCTATTAGCCGTGTCCAATGTGATCTGCTGGCGGCCACGCCGCGACTCCCAATTACTGCGGTTAGCTAGCGCCAACTGTCGGAGATATGGGGAACGATGGGCGGTGATTGGAAGCTAAATTGGAGTTCCCCGCACTCGGGTTCGGCGCAACCGGCCCAGTCGCTGAACACGCCGAACCCAGACGCTCGTTCCTTTAAAGAGCTTCCGACATTCCCTGTCCAGATCTCCTTCTCCTTTTCCTCTCCCATGCTCACGCACCTTGTAGGAAGTAGACATCAAGTGGCGGGCTTCCCATCACCAACCACCCAAAATGCTTCCTCCATTCGATTACTTCCAGCATCGCCGGGCCCGGTAAGTACTAGACCAGACAAACGATGCACGCGATCCCCCTGTCGCAAGCTAATATCGACCGTCGCACAAAGGGACTGGAAACAGAGACAGCGTGCACAGCGCTTTGCCAGCCTCCCCGCCGCCTACCATTCCGCATTTACGGCATTCGACAGATCGATCATCGACGAACCGATCGAAGATCTTGTTGAAGGTGTACAGAAAGGAGCCGTGTCGGCACGGGCTGTCCTGCAGACATACGGCAAAGTAGCTATCAAAGCTCAAGAACGGACAAACTGTGTAACAGAACTTCTCCTTCCCGAGGCCGAGAAATGGGCAGACCAAGAGATTAATCTGAAGGGCCCCTTGGCAGGAATTCCTGTCTCGTTGAAGGACTCTATCCATGTGAAGGGGTTCGATACTTCGGTTGGATATACGAAGAATACAGGCCAACCACTGGCCGAGGACGGAGGCTTGGTTAAGCTGCTTAAAGATGCCGGTATGGTTAGACTTGCTTGTTCAGCTTTGATGATCCGGACCCAAAAGATTTTGATTTGACTAAGAGTTACCGTTTTCTCTTCACAGGTGCCATTCCATATGCAAAGACCGCTCTGCCGATAACTTTGTTGTCCTTTGAGTCTACAAACCCTCTCTGGGGGGTGTGCCGTAACCCCCATGTGCCGGAGTACTCTCCTGGAGGCTCGAGCGGTGGTGAGGGCGCTATCATTGCCATGGGCGGTCGCATCGGCGTGGGCTCTGACGTTGCCGGTTCTGTTCGCGTACCGGCCGCGTGGAGCGGAGTCTACTCCCTTCGATGCAGCACTGGCCGCTGGCCCAAGGCTGGCGTGAACACTAGCATGGCGGGCCAGGAAGGTGTACCAAGCGTTTTCAGTCCAATGGCACGAACATTGAATGATTTGGCCTATTTTACACGCTCCGTCATTCATATGAAACCATGGAAGTACGATAACACTGTACATCCGATTAGCTGGAGAGACGAGGAGGAGGATGATGCTCGGACCAAAAAATTAAGGATTGGTGTGATGAAGTCTGACGGTAATATTGATCCGAATCTTTGTTTTGAATTTTCAGGACATAAGCTAATAGAGAACTGCACAGGAGTCGTCCCACCTACGCCTGCTATTGCTCGTGCAGTTGACACCACTCGCGCCGCCCTTGCTGCTGCCGGCCACACACTCGTCGACATCACACCGCCGGCAACGGCTACTCCACTAATCGGACTCAACCTCGCCTCTCTCCTTCTCAACTCCGATGGTTGCCAGACATTCAACTCCCACATGCGTACCGGCGAAACCTCCGATCCCGGTGCTGACAAGCTTACCAAATATGCCAACATGTTCCGACCGTTCCGCTACCTCTACTACCTCTATGTCCGCTACATCAAGCGCGACAAGGTCTGGGCCTATCTCCTCAAAGACTTTGGTCTCAAGACATCTACCGAGCTCTGGAAGCTCGTTGCACAACGTGAAGCCTTCCGCGCAACCTGGCACAACTGGTGGAACGCCAAAGAGCAAAGCTACGACTTCATCCTCTGCCCCGTCAACGCTACTCCCGCCCTTCCCCACGGTGCTATGCGTGACGGTTTCAGCTCTTGCGGCTACACCTTCTTATGGAACATGCTCGATTACTCTGCCGGTGTTATTCCGGTTGGTCACGTCGATAAAGTCAAGGATGCTCTCGTTACATCTGACGGCAAGCCAGCTAAGAAGAATTCGTATAAGCGTGTGCTTAAAGATCTTGGTGCTGACAGCACCGTGTCGAGAGGAGCTTGGAAATATTATGATTCCAATGCTATGCATGGACTGCCTACCGCTGTGCAGATCGTAGGAAGAAGATGGAACGAAGAGAGAGTCATAGGATACATGGAAGCGGTGGAGAAAGCGTTGGAAGACTACAAGGGTCCCACTGGCGAGGGAGGAAAGTATAAACTGCTTGAGGTTTGACGTCATTTGTATATCCGTGTAAGAGACGGCGGATATGCGCTTTGATTGAGCGGATCCTTGTCCGCCTGGATCTATATCTGTTATTTGTCTATATCCATTGAGCGCGATCAACTGAGTTTATCAATCAAGTATTTAGTATATACTTTTTAAGGTGGTCTAGCCAAATATCAAGGTACTGTACATGAAACTTTTCCAGCAGAATGCTCTAAAAATGTACAGCCATTCATGCTGCCTCACCTCGCCTCAGAGCGCCGTAAGAACCCTCTCGTCTCTCATTCAATGCATCGGGCAGTAATCTCTCGGTCTCACCAACATCGCAGGCGGCTGATCCAACTCCCATCCACCGCCTATTTCTCCACCAAACAAACCAAGCTAATACGCCGCCCGCAATGGCCCCAGCCCCTGTCAATCCAATATTCACCGGCACAGGATTCCCATGCAAAATTTTGATCGTTAGAATATCTAAAGGACTCTGTAAAAAGTTCCCCAAACCTGCAAGAAAAGTAATCAATCCATACACCTTTCCGAATGTTTGGAATCCAAATATTTTTGCGGCGTAGTCGGACACGACGGTGTAGAAGTACGGCCGGTAGAGAACGAAGAGGGATATGTTGGCGTACGCGGCGGTAAGGCTATCTGAGATGCATCCTAGAACACCGACGAGAGTTGCACCGGTCACAAGGAGAGTGAGGATGCCGGGTAGAGTGCTCTGATCTAGGATGATTCCTATGAAAGGAATAGCGATAAGGCCGCCAAGTGGTAGGAAGAAGTCAAAAAGGTGGTTCAGCTGCCTTGCTTGATTGGGTTGCGAGAGGAGGTATTCATATTGCGGATGGATAGTGGATATAAAGTAGTTTGTGCGCAGCATTTGAATGATAGTGAAGATGGTGATAAAGATGAACCAGGGAGAAAGGATTTGTTGAAGGGAGGAGGAGGTATGCATTACCCCCCAATTAGGGTCAGCTTTGAATGCAGGATTCGAGGTATACTCAGAGCCCGATTGGGAGTTTTGGTCGTCGATAAGAGCGTTGATTTGAGAAATTAAACGTTGGTATCGTGGGGACAAGTCCGCGTCGCGTTCCTGGGTATCTGCAGAGTGACCTCCATTTTCAGATTCGTCCTCTGCGAGGGTCTCTTCGGCATGTTGGAGTAATTCTCCCACAGTGCTATAAGATCGAGACGGCATCAATAGGACTTGGGAAGCAAGAATAAACGCCGGCACAATCAAATATATCAAGAACAAAGTTTTGATGGTAAAGAAACCATTCGCCTTCCCGTGTACCAGGCGGAATAGCAAAAATAAGGCGCTCGAACAATCAAATGCGCCCGTCAGCATGGACAAAATGAGGCCAGCGTGTTTTGGAAATGTATTCGATAGATGGAAAGAGGATATGAATACGAACGGGCCACCAATAGCGAAGAGAGCATAGCCCGTTAAACGCCCATCGTATGGAAAATGAGCGGGATTTGCAAATAGAAGTGCACCAAGAGCAATCAAGATACTTCCAATAGCACCAGGAACTCGAGGACCGCAGGAGTCTAATATGCCCCCGACGGGCAGCGCACAGATATTGGTCACAACTGCGGCGACTGTGAACATGAGATTCAAGCTAGAAAACGTCAGCCGCTCCCATCGAATCGATGAAACTAGCCCGGTGTTTAATGGCTGGGAGGGACACACCGAATCTCCTGTTCGGAACAGACCTCGACGCCCTGATCAAGCTCCTCTTTCGTGCAGCGATCCCGATAAACGCCCTCCATGATAAGAATCGGCTTGAGTGCAGCATAGCCAAATACAATGCCTGCTGCTAGCAGGCAGTATACTACAGCCGCGCATATCTGGGCTAGATGGTCTCCCGTTAGAAATGTACTGCAGATCACCCGGAGCCCGTCGGTATGTTCTCCGTACAAATACAAATCGTGAATGGACCCGTGCACCGCCCGGGCCGGTTGAAAAAGGAAAGTGGAAAGGTGGCCTGACCTATTCTTTTCCATTCGCTCACATTATAGGCGCCCAATATTTTCGTGTGCTTCAGTCTGCAGCATTTGGCGACCATAATCCACAGGACTCTGACCCTCTGCCTCGCCGACGTTCATGGTAGTTCGGGGAAAAGTACACCGGGCAGATCCTGATGCCTCCCGAGATGACGTAGTTGGTTACTAAGCGCCAAGCCACTAGTTAAGTTAATTAGTTAACATAGCATTGACGGGTCTTGGTTACTAATACGCGGCCAACATGTGCGCGTCTTGTTTTGCGGGAGGTTCTCTCTCGGGAATAATTGCACAGAATGCTCCTCAACTACAGAGTAATTAACATTGAAGGAACCTACAGATTATTCCGGAATCAAAATGCACTTGTTCTGTGGAGAATCTGGCTAGGGAAGGCCTGAAGACTCTGTTGCAGTGGTAAAAATCGCCTGTTACGACTACATAAAAGGTACTGGTTGAGCCTTGTCTCTTTGGAGAACTGGCACGCCCGGACAATTTATAGGGATGGGCCTGTTGATTCTCGCAATGGTGGAAGCATCTTGAGCTCTGCAAACTCTTCCAGCACCTTTTTCATGGATTCCACAGTGTCGACTGTCCCAAAGAAGCCAAGTTTGTGAGCCTTGTCCATACTACCCGACCCAGTGAGTTAGCAAGCTTCCCACAAATAGCTCCGGAGCATGGCGACGAAGATTTATACGGAAAATGTATGTGGATTACTGACTTGAATTGGAGTGCTGTCACTCCTAACATCATGCCGTCAGCGAAGCCGAAGATTCTCTCGCGATTCTTCTCGTTGCTGAAAGGATTTGATTCAAGATTGTGTTTCTTCATGAGATCTTTCCAAGCGGCTTGGACTTCTGGCCTGCTTGCCCATTCCGAAAAGGTATAGCGAAATCGATGCGTTGCACGTGGGCCGAATCTGGAACAGACAATTAGCCGTCGCGTTCACGTACTATTTTAAGTGCAACCGTAGCTATCAACAAAACCTCACCCTCTTGGCGGAGGCTCATATGGAGTCTGAACCACCTGGTACTCCGCATTCTCGTCTGGAAGTTCATATCTTACACCGTACCACTTCGCTAACCTGAGCCAAAATTTGCCGAACGTGAACTGGCTGTTATCACAAGCATTGAAAGCTTCATTTGCAGCTGCCGGGGTTAAGACCGCCCATTCTTCAAGATAACCATTCATCATGGCAGTGGACATATCTTGCACCGCTTGGAACGAATTAAGGTCACCTGGATAGACCATTGGCTTTCCCAGATAAGATTGCACGGCGCCGAACACTCCCAATGGGTATACCAAGTTCATTGCTGCGTCTTTGACTGCCCCTAGGATTGACGATGGCCTCACAACGTTCCATCCAGCACCAGTTTGTCTGCAATACTCGAACAACATGTCTTCCTGGGGATAGTAGAAATTCGATTCGAGTGTCACTCGAGGATCAGACTCATGCTGCGGGTTAATCGTTGGCCCCAAATGCACACCATAATTTTTTGCACCGGTCTGGAGCATAACTCTCTTTGGAATGATTCCTGAAAGCTTCAGCGCATCCAGAAAATTGCGCAAGAGGGAGACTTCAGAGGCACCATCAGCGACAGAGCATCATGCTTGAGAACAGAAAAGGTTCGAAGGCAGGAAAATACCATTGACTCTCGTCATTTCCTCTGCGTCAGACCACAGGCCCTGGCCCTCCTTCGGCTCAGCCTGTACATACGAAAAGAAGAAAACGTAGTCCCTGGCCAGACACGGGTTATCAAAATGGTGATCCATCTTTCTTCAGATTCTGCATATGAAGACCGTACGCTTTGACCCCATTATCTTTCATGGACTTGGCTAATTCTTCGGGAGAACTATTCAAGAAGTCCAGTGGAAGGTGCTTAAAGTTGGCCACCCATTTTCTCTGCACTGCCGGTGGTCTACGCGACATCGCGTAGATGTTGGTCCATCGTTCAGGAGACTCAGCCAAAACGCGCATCATATGATCGCCAGAGATGCCATTGGCGCCCGTGACGATGGCCGAGAGGCCCTTGAGTGGTTGAGGGAAGACCGGTAGGCCATGGTAGATGCCTTTCGTTTGCACGGTCAAGTATTGTGGTAGGGCAGACATGATAGGCTAGGATTCCACAATATCAAATTTGGACGTACGGAGTAGATTATCCGCTTTAAAAGTTGTATGTAGTTATATGATAATAGTATGTTTATGAACACCATCTGAGGATGCAAGGGAGTTTTCTGTCATTGCCTCCACGCTTAATTATATATATGCACAGCTAGCAACCAATTGCTTGTAACTCCCACCCCAGTCGGCTTGCCGGAGAGTTTGCGGGAAATTCCTCCTCGCGCTTGAAAACAATCTGCGCCCGAGCACAGATCTCGATTGAAGCTTCGAGCTAGTTAGTCGTCGAAGCGTCCTGATTGGCCCTTTTCCCTCGTCTCGTCAAAGTTTCTCTTCACTCATTGGTTGCATATTAACCTTGGACGATATTAATTATCTACTGGGCATGCGCCTATGTTGGCAGGTGTCGTAGCTCCACGAACAAAGGTTTCTAGACCGGATGGCCTCCTGGTTGTTTGCTGTCCAATTCTCACTTGCGTCGATTACAAGCGACAGGGCGAGCGGGGACTGCAAGACGCTTCTAGTTGTAAGTAACTACCCGGTCCCGCGGCAACCTCGGGCCAAGTATTAGCCAGCTGCTTGAACTTTCAACCCCTCCTCTCTCAGCCAGTTTTCTGGAACACTATTCACCTTGACGCACGCAAAGGTGAGGTGAGAGAAAGAGCTGCTGTAACCCGAGCCGCCCAGATGAGAAAGTTGCTGCATTTCCCCACCGCAAATCCCTGGTGGCACATTCCGCTGCATCAGGGATCAAAGAATCATGGGGTAGCAAACCAGAGCGAGGAGAAGTTGCCCAGTCCTTTTTTTTTTTTTTTTTTTACCTCGAGCTCTCGGTATAGGTGGAATGAGCACACTCTGATATCGAGACCTGGGTGGTCCAGCTGAGACTATACAAGAAGTAAAAGACGTAAAAAATATCATCAGCTCCTTTGAGGCATTTGTTAACTCCACGTTCATCCGCCCAGTTTCGGGTATTGGACAACATACCCACCTCATTGTAGTATCACATTCAGCGAAGGCACCATACCAGTTTTGGGCAGTAGACCGCAAAGGTGAATGCATTCAATTTGGAAAATGGGAAACCCGCGTGGATCACTCCTCTTTAGAGTAAAATAATGAGTTCCCGTCTCAGTATCGTGGACGGAAATAACCATCAGTTCTGATACATTAATACAAAGTATCAGGGAGCTATTGGCTGGGTGAACTGTCAATCACTCCCGATCGAGCATTGTGAGAGAGCATTGTGTTGTGGGATAATATTCGGTCTTAATAGCAATGCCGCCGCTCTGACTTGGGAAAACAAGAATCGTTGAGCGTAGGAAAAAGCGCTCACCACTGAAGCGCAATTTCTCGTTCATACGAGGCCGGATTGCTGGCCCATCCCATGGTGACTGCGGATGTATCTCTAGGCAGGCCGTGTCCAATGAGCATATTAGATGCGTTCACGAAGACCTCGGGAATAATGACAAACATGGCATGTCGCTTCGGGTCATTATGCAACTCTCCGATCCGAGTTGGAACGATTCATAAACAATGAATTCGAATTTGACTGCAAGACTGAGCGCACAGCGGTCCATTCCAAACTCCTATAGGTGGCATAAAAGGCATGAAGGACTACCCTCTTGTCGTCGAGTGTGACGGGTGTACGACGTCAAATCCGCTAGATCACGTTTCTGTTGCACCGCAATAAAATGGCTCCGTACGCAACCCAGGTCTTAACGGTTGTTAGTATAATAATTAAAAAGACCGAGGAGGCCGGCAAACCGTCCAGGGACTATGCTCTTTGTTTCGCGCGTAAAAGCTGCCCCTGTTTCCGGTTGTGAGAAGCCCTTAGTGACTGTGAGGTTTAAGAACTCGGCTGCAATGGGTAAGCAGAACGAAGATATGGAGGTGAGCTACTGTTTGTATCTCGCCAATGGGCCCTCTTCCTCCTGGACAGGACGTGAGCGGAGGAGGGTGGGAAAGAAGCCCAGACCTCAAATTAGAACCTTCTTTGCTTCTCGGACTAAAAATGATCCAGCCCGAAATGGCCAGCCGACCTAAATCCAACATCGGACAGTTGACACCAAATTCGGCTGAGCTGAAGAGCCGGAGGAGCGTGCTTCAGAGTTCTCTCAGAGATGAGCCTCTGTTGGGAAAATGATCCAACGTCTATTCGTGATTGTGGAAACGGTAACCGTCACAAAGCACGCAATCTTCTAGCCCGGCCCCTTGCTCCGCTACAGCTGATCCTGTTTCATAGATATGGGCCCATCATCAGTGCCCGCAAACATTCATTTGAAGGCTAAAGGCATGCATATTGTATAGATCCCTATGATGCGATGCCTGTACCCATCTATCGTAGCAGATATGAATGCAAGTTCCCTCGAGATTTGGCCGTTTTTATGGCGAGTGTGTTAGTACAAACCCTGACTCAGAATACCTTTGGAGTGAATTTCATTCCACTGTCGGATCTTGTTATCGTCTATCGATTACAATGGTGCTAAAAGACTTTCAAGCAACTTTCCAACTTCATCGCAGTGGAATCAAGAGGAGCAATTGTCAGTGCAATCGTCGACGCATACATCCATGTGCCAGCCAAAACACCGGAGGGGAGAAATGTATCTGAAGCATAGTGTACTACCAATACCGCCTTTACCAATAAAACTTTTTTCCACGCTGGATATAACACACAACATACTATTGTCATAAAAATGCCACAGGGAGAAAGAATAAAAGGGGCAAAGGGAAAGGGAGACAACATCCGCCAAAAGTCCGTCCATTTCTTGATCTGGCAGCAGTCACGACTAGCAAATTGTGTGACCAAACATTAAAAATGTTATATATATAAAATTCGATTCAAAACGCTCTGTCGCTCCAGTCGAGCCCGAATGAAAACAAGTCATCATCCCACACATTGCCCTGAAGAGCCAATGCGAGATTAAGATCCGCATCCGGAAGGAATCCCTGCGACCAGACATCCTGCTGCTGTCCTGTCCCCTCCATCGTTCCTGGTGCTGGTGTGAAGCCTGGATGCTGGCTATATGTTGGTTGGTATCCGGCAGTGATGGCAGGATGAGACGCCGAGATAGGCCCAAGTCCCATTTGTTGATTAATGTAGGGAGTCATAAGAACACCGGTGGGCCCGGACATTGGTGTATCGGAGGGAATTGTCTTGGTGGTCGGAGCTGTCTGATCAATAGGTGCGGAATGGGTGCTCGGATGAATGGTCACAGAGGGATTTCTGGCTTCACCTGGTGGTGAAATTTGTGGTGCTTGATGTTGGTTACTCTGCTCCTGCTTCGAAGTCACATCTTGCGGGTGGCCTGTGGCTACTTCGCTAAGAACATGCAAGGGTGTTGGGCCGCCATCCGCAGAAGCCTACGGGCAGAGTGATTAGATATATACCCTTGCATCAACGCAATGACGAGTACTTACTTTGCTATTTAGACCGGATAATTTCAACGAGTTAGAATTCGCGTCGTCAGAATCTCTCGGCTGAAGGAAAGGAGGCACGACCAAAGGCTGCCGTTTATCTTTACTCCGCATGTAGCAACTTTTTAACATGGCTATTATCAGAGCGAATTTAACTCCAAGACGTCCACCATCCGTGTCGCCACATGCTCGTAAATGCTGGATTAGCTTGTCAAGGAAATATTCAACTTTGAAATCTGCGGGATTGAAAATGTGGCTGAGCCGGCTCCCAGACGATATCACCAACGAAAACAGCTTAAGTAGTGCAATCGATCCATAAGTCATACGGACAAAGTAGATTGTTGGAAGGCACATCAGGTCTTGGTGCCCAATGGAGCAGAACAACTGAAGCGATTTGTGAATCGAAGTTAAACAAGTTGTCAATGCATCAACATGGGCCGCAGTACCCAGGTCGGCTGGACTGTCCTCGCCAATATCCGCGATGAATGGTGGTTTGAAGTCGTCGATGTTATGGTCGATGTGCATTCCGATCTCGTGCATATATATGTTTAATATGTGATCGTGATGTGCAAGTACAGCTATTTAGGCCGTCAATCTTGCTAACTCTATAGGAAACCCGGGCGTAAACTAAATCAGTCGGACTTACGAGTATATAGCTCCGATGGCACCTCTTTACGCCAGTCATCCAGCTGTCTCTCAAAACCCTTTAAGGCATATTGGATCTTTGGATCAGTGATATTCACATTGGTGGTAGGATCATCCATCGAAAACTGGAAGCCAACATCCTCCGTAATATGTGCTAGTTTAACCCACTGAATCACAGTCTGATCGGAAGGCAATGCATCGGGAGAGGTCTTGAGCATATCGATGCATTCGTCGTTGTAGGGTTGCCAGCGTACGAAAAGTGGTCTTCTCAAAGAGATAGAGGCACTGTACAAATTAGTAACTTCCTCGACGATTTTCAGGAGAAGCATAAAGCCAGGAGTGTAAGGGAAGCATACTTGACAGCCATGGAGTAGCATCCCAGCCATGCTCTTCTCGCTTCAAGAGACTTAGGGTCGACTATAAGTACTTGTTTCCCAAAGATCTCCTTCCACATCTCTGAAGCTTTGGAATTCGGTTTGGTTTTTCTGTTCATTCCAATATCCACGCCCATGACAGCGGCCGTATGAATAAATTGATAGAACTTGAGTTCCTCAAAGTGGTCCGGGGGGAGATACCAGAGTGTCGCCACGAGGAGAGCCTGGACAAGCTCGAGTGATTTCTCTCCCCGTACCAGAATTCGATCTGCAAATACACGGTGTGTTTCATTCTGTAATGGCAGCTGTAATTGAGGGCAAAATGTAGCGATTGATATGGAGAGAATTGAAAGAAAAAGAACCGGTTTCGTGCGGCGGACGTCAGACATCGTGGTGCCTGGGGGGAACACAACAAAAGGAGCAGATGGAGCCATATCGTTCACGTAACGCTCAAACGCCTTTGTCGAAGTTTCTATATCGACAACCCCTCGGTCAATAACATCCCTGTATTCATTTTCCACTCGAGGTTTGGCTTCAGGTTCAAAGGAAGAATACAACGGCGGCCAGTCTCCATCGCCACTCCCACGCATATGTGCATTGTGCGCACCCGTAGGTCCATCGTCCGATGGGCTGCGGTGTCGCGCCGGCAGTGGAGCAAAAATGCGGCTCACTGGCGGTTTCTTAAGCTCCCCGCTATGATGTCTCTTCGCGCCCGCAAACACTGAAGCTCCATTCGACTGTGGTCCCGATAACGAATTGTTACGAGACGGAAATTGTCCCAACCAGCGTGCACTGAGTCCCTCTTGTTCCAGCGTCTGGCGCAACGGCGGATCGGGCTGATCACCACTCGAATTCTGCGCTCTCGACGCGTGCAAGCTGGCAGTCAACGCATCGATCTTTTTTTCCAGTTCTGCAACGCGACTATCAGCCTTCCTTTGTCGTTTGCGTGTCGGCACCGTGACGATGCAGCGACGATTCGCCTTTGTACATCTCTTGCACGATCCATCTGGATGATTTGTATCGGGATCACACCGGACTTTCAGTTGTCGACAAGCCTCGCAGGCTCGGGGCCGTTTTAGGTCCGCTAACGAATCGGGCCCTCCAACATTTGATCCAGTCCCAGTAACCGTCCCAGGCGCAGCCCCTGGAACGGCTCGGTTATCACCGTGCCCTTGACCGGAGTAAGGTGAATGGGGAGAGTCGGAAGGAGAGTGGTGTGGAAGGGGTTGCGGGTCGGAATTCGCGGATGTGGAGGCAGTTTGTGCAGATGGATTGATGTGGCGGCCAACGTCCATCTAAAACAATGCCGGACAGCGGCACATGGAATCGATAAATATAACCGTAACACGGAGTATTACGCCGCAGTGGCTGGACTTGCAGTCGGCGACGCGGTGCAAACCTCTCGGTCCAACCTCGGAACACGGTGGTGTCGGTGCACCGATGACACGTTCAGCCGACGTTTTGCGGGAGCCTGGGCTGCAGCAAGCGTTGGGTTGGATCGCTGCGATCGCTAGTTAATAATTTTATCCTTGAAGGGAAATACTAAAAGAAACTTCAAGCGAATCTCTTCACAAAGCTCTGCTGGGAAAACTGTCTGAGAACCGAATAAGTCGCAGGGCGTCGGTGGGTGGATAGGCAGAAACAATTCTCGTTTTCAGCGCGCCGTAAGTTGGTTAACTAGCGAGGCATCTTACCAAGCGCGACCCTTAACCGGCAACAAAACGCCAGGACTGGGGATCTCGCTCTCGATTTCTTCATACTGGATAAGCACAGTTTGGGGTTCTGCTGCTTGATTACGATGTGAATTTACAGGAGAACAAAGACGGTTCGTCGGCAAGAGGCTGATCGAGACCGTGGTTAAAGCAGCAAATCTGGCGGGTCTGGAGATACCAAGCTCCTTAGCCGTCTCCATCCCTCAAAGCCAAGCAAAGAACCCCTAACTTGTACTCTTTAGCGAGCTGCTTTGTATTTGGAAAATGTTCGCAGCAAGAAAAGGGACTGTTTGCATAATTTTCTCATTGTGCGACTTAAGAATAACTATATATCCTGTATTGGAGGACCTATTCCCAAACGGCCACAAAATTCCTAGTATGTTCACCCGTTGCAAACGCCATTGAATCCCAAGGAGAACCGATCCATATTCAATGCGAACACCATTTAATCCAGCAGGTTGTTATGCAAGCATAGACTCTCCAACACCATCCAAAAGAAAGAAACAGTTCATTAGCCACCAGACTAAAAGCAAAAACTCCAAAAGAATTGCAGACAAAAAGGCCTTAAAAAAGCAAGGAGAATCGCCCAGGATGATGCAACCACATGCATGGTCTGGGATCTAAGCTAAAACTTTATGCACGGGACACTCCTCCTTGCGCTTAAACCATCCAACGATGCAAGACTTATGAAATTTGCAGAAACAAAGTAAGCGTGTTAGCTCCACACCAACTTCATACTCTTCCATGCAGATGGTGCATTCCTGCGACGTACCGTCCTGGCTGATGCAGTCCTTCTCCGTCGCTGTGAAATGCACCATCTGACCGCTACCAGGAGGGGGAGAGGAATGTCGATCTGATGTTGCTCCGTGACGATCACTATGACTACGGATACATCCGCGTATATGTGTTTCTCGTGCTTCTTCGTTTCCATCTCGTCCTTGAGGTGGAAGCATTCTATTGCAAATTGGGCAGAGATCAGCTTCGTCGATGCGCTGGGATGGCCGCTGTCTAGGGGGATGAGGAAGTGGTCGACTCGCATCTAATTGTGGATGACGGTGATGATCATGGTGAATCTGTGTGCGTTGAGATAGCGAATATGCGGGTGAATAATTGAGACATTGCTGATAATCCTGCAAATACGCTCAGTTAATTATCCAGTCATCCATAAGCGGACAAGACGTAGCTAGCAAGGGCTGGATCCTTACAAGAGCGCTAGCAGTGCGTGGAGAATAAGATGAAGTAGGAAACTGAACTTGGTCCTCCACATCCTGAGACTGCCTATAGGAAGGCGGAAATGCAGGACTAGTGGTTCCAAAGGCATAATCAACCGCGTCGTAGGATGGTAATCGCCTGCCTCCCATACCTGCTTCATTTGTATGATGTAGACCGGATGTTTCAGGATGGTACTATAATATATATTAGCAACGATAAAAAGGCCTAAAAGGAGGTGCCCACATACGGTCATACGAGCCCGGTGTCGTCGGAGTTCGCGGGCTGCTTCTGAATTAATAAAGGAAGCTGATCCAAGGGAAGCAGAAGGCCTATGGAAGGATGGCAAATGTTCATATATCTCTGAGCTTCGAAGAGAGGAAGATGAAAGAGAAATGTGAGGCCTATTGCCTGTAACGTTGGACGACCTTTGACGCCCAGTCGACTCCATGATACTGTACCGCCGAGGAGGTTCTGGATTTGGATCAGGGACACAAGGGTTGCAAAGGCGAACTTCCTCCCCTCCACCAAGAGCTTGGTTTGAAAATTGGTACTGCTGCTCATGCTGGCGAGAAGAAGATGAGGGTGGTTGGTTGACATCCTCCTCGTCATCATGAATGAGGCTGATAATTTCCGCCCTTGTTGAGATCGGTTGTGCAATTGTGGGTAGTGGTTTGCGCGATTCTGGTGGTCTTACAATGAATTGGCGAGGAATGGTGATCCTATGAGGTGAACAAGATGCGCAAACAACCCGCCCACATTTCCTGCAGTGATGCTTTCGATACCAAAAATTAAAAGCCGTCCGGCAAATTGGACAATGAGACACCTCTGAATCAGGCTGCCATCTTGGGAGAGTGTAGTCTGTAAAACTCCTCTCACGGTGTCTCAAAGAATTTAGCTGGCGAGCCATTGCTGATGAGTTTCGGGGTGAAGTACCACCATTATCAGATGCTGTCGTCGAAGTCCCAAAACTGCTTCTTGCCCTGGAAGCGTGTCTAGAAAGACCTGGTTGGGCACTCGAAGGGCCTCCAGGAATCGAGCTTCGCACTCTTTCTGGCTGACTACTATTATCCCCAGCACTCGCTAATCTTCGTTTTCGGTTTGTTCGCGGAGAGCTCCTAGAACTCGCATCACCTGATCCCTGACCGCCGGAAGACCGGTCTTGCAAGAACTCCGACCAAGTTTGACCATGGAGATCAGACGTCTGAGCATTTGCACTATGTCTGCGTTGGGCCGTCATAGGCTGAAGCTCAGGACTGTCGCCCGTCAAGTCTACCACGGGGAGGATCGCCCTCGCCAGAGGACCCCCCCTCTCTCTAGTGACGACTGGGGAACTCCGAGCCACACTAGTTGCCTGTAAATCACCACTAGGAAGGGCTCCGGAACTTGGCGGTTTCGTAGGAGGGGGCATGAGGTCGAGGAAGGGATAGGGGTTCGTCTCGGTGAACGGAAGACAGATATGGGTTCAATAGCCGAATATCTTCCGCAGGAGAAGAGATCAATCTCCGTCGTTTGGACGAAGGGAAGTCATTTGCTGCAGAGTAAGGATACTCCACGTTGACCCGCGAAGCTGGTGAAGCGTATTCTCCCGCTCCCAGCTCTGGATAACTAGTGCCGAGCGGCGGGGGAAGGCTTCTGGAGCGCGGCGAAAGATCGTCAGTACTCCGTAGGGTTAATCGGATGAAAAGAATCCTCGAAATCTCACAAAACTTGATCAAACGGTAAGCTTCCGCAACAGCTGCACGTGAAGATGGTTGTGTGCTCTGCCAGGCCCAAAAAAAAAAAAAGGCCACTAACGAGGTTCGAGGGACAAGCATCAAGCTGTTTCAGAAGAGAACGCACGAGGTACCGCCAACGTTGAAGTCCCCCAAGAAGCCGTCGAGGCGATTGAAAATTACTCTTTGCAACGCAGAGTTGCCAGTGGATTGCACCATCGTTGGGTGGAGAGTGAAGTATGCGAGAGGATCCGAACGGCACCAAAAAAAGTTGCCCTTCCCCTCGCCATCAGGCGGGAACCAACCGCAGGCCATTTCGTCCAACCGGATCAGCCTAACCTGGCCAACCACCCTTCACAACCAAACCCAAAGGCCGTGAAAGAACTTATGATACGTACATACAAAGAATGTATGGATGTTACATACCACTCCACCCCGTATATTCGAGGAAACCCCACCGTCACCTGTGCTCCCATAGCATTCGCGCTACCTACCGGCTGGCTATCGCCAGTGATATCAGCATGCTGAGTAAAAGATCCTGTCTCTGCTCTTTAAGCATTTATCAACTTAACCGGCTTCCAAGGAGGCCGGGAAAAAGGAATGTCAAAGGTATAAACAAGTGTTAGCTATGTAAGATATCTGCTATTAATGCTCTCTTTCAACCATTCTTCTCATACATGAAGAAATCATAACCATCGGGGCCATCGCTGGAAACAATATTTATACAAGGGAGGAAGTATGTCGTAAATATTAGGGAAAGGAGGAAAATGAAAACTAAGACAAGCAAGATATTCTGGAATCATAAGCCCGTTTGCCTTCTATGACGTTGAACAAGAGTTTAAGAGAAAAGATCAAAGGAGAAACCCGACCAATGGTAGGTCATCATACGAGGCCGCAAAAGGAAAACGCCTTCGAACAAGCCAACGCTTCGCCGATGTATGTACATTCTCCGGGAAAAAGCCCTTTAACGCCAGGTGTTCGAAAAGGCATCGTCAAGGATACCAAGAGCACCAGCAGCGTGAAGCCATCGAAACTGGTACTCAACGAGGAAAGCGTTCAAGGGTCTTTGACAATCTCCGCCGTGCTTTCAGAAAACGGCGGGCTAGACGAGTCCGTATTGTGAATATGATCGCTTGCCCGATGCTGCTGGACGTATCCCAAACTGGAGGGCCGATCTGCCCATTTGGTCGAGCCGTATCGCCCAGGGCTTGACCTCATTCTTCGGTGGGCCGGACGAGGAGTAGTCGGATCTTCATCCAAAGCGTTGTTGATACTCGATCCTGCAGAGTTCGAGGAGATCTGGTCACTACGAGTCGACGATGATTTGGAAGAGAATGGCAACCGACTGGTCTGTTGGGCGTGGCTGAGCTGAAGATGCTTTGGTCTCGCTTCGGCAGACTCTTGATCGATAGATAGACGTGAGGTAGAAGCGGTTTTCCGTGCACCTTCGGACCCGCTTGTCATATCCACAGACGAATGCCGTTTTGAGCTTTTTCTTGGAATTGTTGGTGGCCGTATTCGCAGACCCTGAACTTCCGTGGGCTGCTTTGTGGACTCAACACGACTAAGCAGCTCAATGTTGTCGGTAGTGGTTATCGGTGGTAACGAAGGAGGTTCTGCAGGAGCTTTCCCACTATTGGGCGTAGGGTTCTTTGTGTTTCTTTTGGCACTGTCCACGGGTGATTCTGTGGTTCGTACCGCATCCTTGGAAGGCTCGGGTTCATCCCGATAAGGCTCAGGAAACACGTCAGGTTCTTCCGAAAGCATCAATCCAGGTGGAGGCGCGCGTGCACTGCGCACAACCTCAAACCCTCTTCCTTTCTCTTTAGTTTTCCCTCTAAATAGATTCCGCAACCATCCAGTGGCCGAAGAAACCGGGCCTGTGGGATCGGCCGGGCCAGTCTTGAGCTTTCGAGTTGGGGCACTGGAGAGTGCCGGGCCGCGAACACGGTAATAAAAATCAGCTTCACGAACGGCATAATCAGTTCGTGGTTGAGCAGGGTCGTCGTCTCCGTCAGGATCATCTTTCGCAACTCCAAGATAGGCTGGCGCCGGTGTTCCTCGTCCAGACCCTGACGGGCCGTCCACCGTTTGAATCTCGTCTCCACTAATTGTGTTGCTGGAGTCTCTTTTATTCCAGTCACCCCAAGAGCTATGTCGCCGGCTAGTTGGCGACATCCCATCAAGGGTAGCGCGACGTTGCCTTGGAGGCCTGTAGAAGTGATCGACCGTCTCAGCGTGTTTCAGTTTGACAAGGCCGCCACGTGGTGACGCGGCTCCGCCTGGATGTCGACCAGGGCCCGAAAAGGCGCTGACAGTTCCTGGAGTTGTCGGAGTGTAGGTCATGCTTCCATCTCCACGACTTTGACCCACACCGTACACACTGCTGACCTCAAATCCAGTGCTCATCCTGCTTCCCGCCCCAGATCGACCCAAAAATATCGCGGAGCTCCCCGAAAAGCTTCGTGGTCGCTCCCCATCCAATTGTGTTGAAGGCCTTTCCATTTCACTGCCTAACATTGCCGCTTCAGAATTGATGCTATACCGGGGGATGTGACGGCGCCTGGACGTTCGACGCGAGAGCTGGCGCATACCAAACACCTTCTCAGTGGTTAGCACGTCCTCCAAAATATGACCAAACATGAAGGGGTTATTGCATACCTTAGAAAGTCCGCCTCTAGCAGCTCCTCCTTCAACACCGTCTTCCCCACCTGCTCCAAGTAATCGTGCGATGACTTCGATGAGCGTCTGAATCGCATTGAGAAAAAAACCGAAAACCAGAACAACGCCGTGTATTACGAGAATAACGTAACCAATCCAACCACGGGTGCTGTTCGAAACACCCAAAGACGGAACAAAAGCGACATTCAGAAGAATAGTTATGCATTTGATGACGGCCAGAACAGTGTAATAAGCATTCATCGAGGTTGGGTATTCGAAAGGCCGAAATGCAGCAACGGTAAGGACAAGGATGATCTCGCAAATCGCTAGTAGCACTATCTGGGCTATGCCAGATGGTTGAACTGCCCCTACCGCGATGCCCCTGATGAATGTAAGAAGAACGGAGATCCATGCAAAGGGGGCCGCACTGTCCGAAAACGTGTTGTACAAAGGGCCATAAAGGAGGACTGTGGGAAGATCGTCGAACAAATAGGACCGTGGGCGCGTCTTAGCGATGAGAACCAGGAACCAACCAGCAAATAGAATCAAGAAAACAAGCAGAACGGCAGCTAGTGCAACAGTAGACACTGGTGATGAGCTAGCAATCACGAACTGAAACATAGAAAGGGACACAATCGGCAATAAAAAGTAAATGAAAACGATTCGAATAACGTTTCCGAGGGTGAAAGGTAAGTTTTTCGCCCGGAGATCTTCTTCCGGGACATTAGCTATCTTCCGGTGTAGCCATTGGAACGAGAAAGCGAGTTGTGTAACCAGGGTGATAATAGCGAGCACTGAAAGCAGCCAGACCACCATGCCTAGCCATACATCCTTGTTTGCTGACATACCGATATATTGTCTCATCCGGTCAAGTCCGTAGGTGCCATTGACGCTGTAAACTCCATCTTGGAGTGGCTGCGTCCCGTTTCCGTGGCTGGCCAAACTCTCGTTGAACATGAGGACAGACCATCCGACGTGACTCACGACGGGCTGGAAAAATCCAGGATAATTAAGTGTCAACGAGCCAGACAAAATGACGAATTGGATGTATTGTAAACAATCACCGAAACCCGGAGTGACAAGACGTAGGAGGTCTTCGTCGCGTCCATAATTGCTAGTCCACCGGAATATATCCGTTGTACCCCACGGACTGTATATAGCGGCGGATATCGTAGCGACACCAACTAATATCAAAATAACTAGTGGAACGTATGTGAGGGCGTCTTTGATCGGGGACCCCAAATCAGGAGTAACATCAGCCGTTACGCAGGCGAGAGGGGTTTTGGCTTCGTCGCCGGAGACAACGTCGAAGTTCGGCACGATAGAAGCGAATGAGTACGTCGAGAAAAGGTTGTGAGAGAATGAGAAAGCTCGTAGCTGCGGGAGGTCATTTCTATAGTTGAAAAAAAGGTTAACCTTTACACCCAGCGCCCTAGCGAACCGGGAGGGGGGAGACATACGGATCTGCATTGAAAACAGGTCCCAGGGGGCATTCTCCTTGCACGACAGAATCGCAGAACGGACGCGGGTCTGCTCTGTAAGGTGTGAAACTTAGCACATCGAGATGGGAGAACAGGGTGGTGTATTTCAACGTTGACTGGTCGACGTTTACGATCTTGCCGAGAGTGACATTGGGATCAGACCATCCAGGATCATCTGGCTCCGGATATGCACCCCCCGTCGCAAGGCCCGTCACATTGCCGTATACGGTAACTGTCAGGTTCTTTTCTACCGACGACGAATTAAGGCTGGCGGTGACGAAAAGGGGGACGAATTGTAGCTTTGCAGGCTTCGACTTGACTATCGAATTCGGGAGGCAATTATCAAAGGGAACGAACACAGCGTCCACGGGTACAAGTGCCAGGAGGAAGAAGAGCACCTGGAAGACGGTGAGGGGCACCCGGTGGTGAGCGAGCAGCGATGTTTGTCGAGCCATCCGGTGTCGAGTCAACTGGGGTTCTGGTGCGAGATAGGTCGGTGCAAAGCATTGCCGGCGAGCCTCGAGAGAACAGTCGTGTGAGATTCCGTCAAGTCCATCGATCGGCAAGTCGGGCAGCCCAGGGTCAACACCGTTCATCACTTCAACCGGCAGACTGATGAGACGGCCTCCAAAAGGAGGACGGTCTCCTCCTCGCAGTTCGAAGCCACAATTCCCCCTTTCTAACGTCGAGACAATCGTCCTTGTTTTTTCCTCACTCCACCAAGAGACATGAAAACCAAAAATATCTCATGAGTCGTTCAGGTGGGCCGCAAGTTTTGGGGGGGCTTTTTGCCGGGAAGGACAGGGGAGCTTTTGGTTGTTATGATAAACAATCTGCCAAGGGCATCCGCGAAATGCTTGTCGGGTCGGATCTTCGCTAGACGAAAGCAACGCGGAAACCAAGCCAGGGGGAGGGATTCAAAGGGCTTTTTTTCCAAGCTTTGATTGCAAGGAATTCTGCCTGTCAGAAGGAAGGATAAAATAAAAATGGAAAAAAACTGGGGGGGAAAAAAAAAGAAAAAGAAAAAGAAAGTAAAAGAACCTTGAGGACAAAGGGCGATGAGTAGAATCTGTAAGAGCTAATCCAAACGCACAGCCGCACAGCCGCAAAGGAGAACTAGAGATCCCAAAAGAAAAAAAATAAAAAAATAAAAATAAAGAATAAAGAATAAAGAATAACTAAACAAGCTACGGAGTAGCAAGGCTTCGAATTTGGCGTCCGGGTCCGTTTGAAGAAGCCAAAAAAATAGACACCCCCCCCCCGGCTTCGAGTCTGGAAAAATAATCAGCACTTTGTCGCTCTCATGTCGGCTGCGGGCCAGAGTTTGCTCGTATGTAGCGTATCAAATCGCAGTGGGAGGAGAGACGAGACACCGGAGCGAGCTGCCAGCACATTCCACCAACTGCGTCACTGACCAGCAAACTATCCAGTTACAACAAAGATCACGCCTAAGCATCCGTCTTTTCCACCCCTCCGCACTGAGACACGTCCCCATCGACTATTTAGCACCTCCTCTGAGAAAGCCCCAGGATCTCTTCGGGACTTCTCCTGTCCTCCCTCGCTTTGGCTGTGAGTTAATGAAATTATCCAATTGCAAAAATGTGATTACGCTGTGATCCTTGTGATGGAGGCAACACAAAGATAGCTACGGTGCGCGTTCCTGAGACGATTCCAAACTCCTCAGCCCGGGGACCCTCTAATCTAGTGCCCGATCATCCCTTTGAAGTTTGCACCCTCGCCCTGGAGAGTGGAACGGCTTTATTGGCTCCTACGGAGAAAAATACTCTCCAGCATTAAACCCCAAGCAAGAGTCAAATGGACAAAAATGGCTTGGGAAGTTGGGAAGCGAATCCAGTGGAGAATTCCAAACGGAGTGGAGTGGAGTGGAGGATACGAGACTGACGTTGATATGCTATTTTTGTTACAGGGCCTCCGATCGGTTTGCCTCAACATTCATCCTGCCGAGATCTGGAATCACAGTTCGAAGCCAAGAGCATACAAACATGTCCAGTTTACTCCGTACTTTATGCACTTTTTAACATCTTCGGCAACTTCCGGAGAACTTTTTTTTTCCAGATTTCTCGCATTCCCCGCACAAGTTTTCGGCTTGGGAGGAATGATAATTACAAATAATGAGATAAAAATAGCTTTTGCGATCGTCGACATGGAGTACGGAGCATGGAGTTTAGTTACATGATGGAAATCGCGATTTCTCTCAGGGCTAAGTGGATGCAAGGCCAAAAAGTCCTTGCTCTTTGGTCCTGTAGGCCGCGCTGGGTGAGATTGAATGAGCGCTACTGCAGTGTCATGCAAGCACGCATTGTATTTGCATGGACAAGCCATAGAGATGGGAGATCGAGGCAGTAACTAATCCTGCAAAGCGAGAAGCCGCCTCAGGATGCTAGGCGGCTGTGATAAATTTTATGTTTAGTGGCTTCCCAACGTAGTGCGCGGGGAGCAAATAGGTTACCAATGCGAGCTCGTAAAAAAACAAGATAATCGCGCTGGCGGACAGAAAGGGCATCGTCAGCCTTGTGATTGAGGGACAAGCAATCTCAAAACTAAAAATTGGGCCGCTCATTACGAAGCCAATCACCTTGGGCTCCGGCTGCTTTGGGGATCCCGAAAACTTGAAAGCATCGTCACTTGTGGACGGGTCCCATGGCTTGGTCGAATCTTGTCTCAAACTTCTGGCAACGGCCTGGTTGCAGACCTGGGTTATTCAACAAAGAAGCCCTTGCTTGGCTCGCCAAGATTCGGCCTTCCATCTTGCTGAGCAGGATCTCAGGGCAATTTGCAACAGTGGGACATCACCACCGAGTGAAGTACGGAGTAGATATGTAATAAACCCCAAGAGGTGAGAGACTGAAACTGCCTGCTTGCTGGCATTGTGCTGGCGCTCGATCGACGGATGACGCGTGTTAGCGAAGGCCCAAGCCACACCCATCCGCACACAAGCCTGCCTCCGTGTCGTGGCGCATCCTCGCTGCTCGCGCTGCGCTCCGCTGCAAAGGGCCAAATCACCGTGCGCTTGGAGGGGAGCTGATAATGGCCTTGTCTTTGTCGTCGGGGAGGAAAGACGAGCAGGGACGGACGGAGCCTGCGTATGGCACAGAGCAGCTACTTACTTGTAGGATGTACTCCATACAGTACATACATCTGCCCATTCATCTTCCGTGTAACCTCTAGCTGGGACCCAGGAACAGTCCGTGGGGGACAGAGTACTCCGTACGCAGTAGTTCTGTATGTCGCGGCTCCGTCGACACTGTACATCATAATCCACGCACCATCACGCAGAAATCGGGACTTCCTAGGCGCCGTGCGATCGTAGCGATGTTGACCTCTCGCCCGCGGTAACTATGTGAAGGTCCACAGGAACGCGGATCAACAGACTTCCCGGTGAAATCGACCGCGAGAGGTGATGCTATGAGTGTCTTCTTTTTTTTCCTTCTTTTCCTTCCTTTGTGGGGTGAACCCAGTTGAGGAATGTGTCAATAAAAGCGAATAATGAATCATATATAATTAATATCGACTTGGAGTTTATAAGTGTGTCGAGGGGGTGGATAGTTCCCTCCTCGTTACATATGTACGCGCGACCTGCACGGAGAGATCGGCGGTAGCGAGTGCCGCCGGGATTGCTGGTTGGCCGAGAGCAAGGTTTACCAGCGACCCTCGTTTCAGGATGCCAGGATTGGGCCAAGGGGAGGGGGCCGCCCAAAATCCATGTTTCATCTTCGGCTTGTCTACGCTGGAGGGCGCGGAGAAACTCTCCCAATCGATGCAGCTCCCACGGTTCGGCCCAAGCCATGTCCACCGGAGTGGACAGGCTCTGCTGGTGGTAATTAGATCACTTTAATTTACCCGTAACCCAACTTCAATCAATTGAGATTTATCTCAAAAGGGGCCTTGCATGGAGCAAATGACAGGCCTTGCAACGGCTGCAAGACCCTGGAACACTTCATGTTTTGGCGTTTAAACGGCCTGTGAGATCCTCAGGCGTGTGTGCCATTGTTGCTCCAGGCACCTCTTCATTATTCTGAACACCAATCTGTCCACTTCTTCTTCCCATTCCATCTGTATGTACGTTCTGATCATTTCTCTGATGTTGTTTGTTCTTTGCCCGACGCGCCTGTTTGTTTATCCTTGCTGATCCTCCAAGAAAAAGCCCCGGTTTCATTAAAACTACCCCATTATGACCAGCACGTGAGCGCTCCTCTACCTGCCAGCCGACCTCCCTCCCTCCCTCTTCCGCACCACCCCCAGCTCTTCTTTCACCTGTGTGACAAGTTACTTCGAGAGTGATGCCGGGACGTCAATGCTCTCTTCTTTAAATTCCCTCCTGACCATTGAAGATCGCAATCAATGATGGTGGTCGAAACCTCAGAGCATGGCATAAGCGCCGTGGCCGAATCCAAAGCACGAAAATGGCGGGACAAGATCTTCTCCAAGGAGAAGGACTCCAAAGCTGTCCGCGATGCACAGATCGATGACTTTCTCGGTTCCTCCCGCATCCAACCCCAATCCCAGCCCCGTGCTCCCCCTCGGCCCGGCGTTCCATCCCCACGGATCGATGTCTCCGTGTCTCAGCGCAGCCATGTGAACGTTGAGCAACCCTTGCTCGACTCCTCTTATCTTTCACACAACACCACCAGCCCCGTTAAGCGCCGTCGCCGCAAAGGATTGAAAGTCCAGTTCAGCAATGATCCCCCTGAAGTCATGGGCGAAGGTGGTGATGAGGCTGAAGCCCCGACCAAGGACATGATAGCCGTATACCGAACCCGGTCGAACTCCTCCGCTTCCACCTTTACGGACAGATCAGACTCATCCCCCGTTGACGAACATTCTCCGTCCGAACCTCATTCCTATCGTCATGGCATTCCACCATCAATCGCCGTCCAACACCAGTCGCCCGTTTCAGAGCAGGAGGTCCCGTGGCAGCCACTCCTCATGCAGAATTCCCAGGACACTGACTTTCTCCTTTCGCTTGGTGAGAGTGTGCGTGGCTCTCGCCTATCGCTTAGGCAGTCTTCTGACCCGAACTCGTTTGCGCGTCGTGTTCAGGCTAAGATGAGAGCTGAGGAAGGACGCGCATTTCAGAAGCATTTTGACGAGGAAGGAGACTCACCAACGGACACGACTTCGCCGGCACAGTCCTATCCCACCCAAGCTGCTTCAGATCTACCGAAGACCGAGGAAAAATCTAGTCCACCATCTTTCTGGTCGAGTGTCCTTAGTGCCTTGCCTGATGAAAGCCAACACTCGCGTCGGCCTTCGCCTCCATCCTCGAATGCAACTCCTACTTCCGCTCACATAAACAACCCTCCGGCGTCATATAAAGCACCGCGTCAACCTTCCCCTCCATTCTCGAATGCAAACCCCACTCCCACACACGCCAGTGCCACTCCCGCTTCGTACACAACAACGCGTCCTCCTCCATATCTCAAATCTCCAGAAAGCTCTACCGCTTCTACTCAACAATCTTTCCAGAGCTTCACCGAAGATAAGGACTCCTCATCATCAAAGAACTTACGAAACGTCGCCAGCATGGTCAGCGATACCGCTTTATCGGACTTTTCCGACTATGTGAACCACTTTAACAAGCTGTTCAGTCTATCTGCCGAAAGCGTAAAACCTTCAATGGAGACATCCCTTTCAGAGTGGGTAAGAGCGTGCGTCTGGTGGTTCTTGAAGGGCCGTGGAGAGTTAGAGGTCTCTATACGATCGCGGCCTTCGAGCTCGGGCGGGAATTCTTCTCAGGCGTCGCCGGGCGACCAGTCACAACAGGCAGTGGTGAATTTGGCAAAAGCCTGGTGGATAAACCAGACCATCGTTCCTCAACATCCCGAGTTGTCGAGATTTGGGAAAATAAGCACTGATGAAATGCTATCTGTTGCCAAAAGCACCGGAGATCTACGCATTGCACATCTGATCACCCTTCACCAGAACGTGATCCGTCATCTCCGAGGGTTAGCGATGTCAATGAAACGTCACAACATCCTTCCTTCTGGCAATGACGCCCCTCCACTTCTCCAGTCAGTCGATACCAGCGTCTGGATCAAGTATCCGTTCTTTGCTCCCGATATTTCTGCTATCCTGTCTGGTTCCGTCTCGAAATCAATGCTTGTCGACATGTCAACCAGGCACCCCGATCTTGGGGATGTGATGCCCATGGGTGATACTAGCCGATATTTCTGTTATGGGCGAATGTTTGTGGAGGCCCATATCAGTTCTGGAGACGATGCCTCTCAGCAAATCGCCATCCCTTGTATGTTGTCCATTACTCGTAATAGAAAAGATTCACATGTTATCGCCACTATCACCAGTCAGAGCGAGCTGGTGAATATTACCATCCAGGCTGATAAGAAGCAAGGACCAACATGGGCTGATGTTGACTGGCACGTGAGAGGCTGCACAATGCGCCTCCAGCTTCCTAGAGGATTTGAGTTGGACGTTCACTTCAGACAGCCTGACTTTAATATGATATGGAAAATTGTTGAATATTCACGCAAAGTTGAAGCTAGCTTTAAGCCCGAAGCCGGTGAAAAGTTGATTTTTGAAGAAGTCCTAGATGTATTCCAGTACATGGACCCTCGTCCCTCCAAAGCTTTCCCTCCAGAACCTTCGCCACGATGTCGAATTAGACTCTTTGAAAAGACAGTTAAAATTACTGAGGGTACTGGAACACGCGAATCACATCGTGGTTATCGGTTCATTGCTGTTACAAGCCCCAAGGTTAAGAGTCTAACCAGTGTCTCACATTTCCTAGGAAACGGTGCTCCTGTTGTGTTTGGATATCTGCGTGGTGACAATGGGGCACCAGCACTGATGTTAAAGGTCCAAGATGGTGATGCACTATGCTCTATGATTCTAACATTTTCTGATGCTGAGCATCGATCCAAAATGCATTCCTTGCTGTTGGGCATCATACCCAGTGATGATGAATTGCAGACTGCTGAAATACCGCTCAAATCCTTCTCTATTGAGCAGCCAATTGAAAAAGGTTCAGGTGGTTTGCAGTCAAAGACACCATTAAAATTCACTTCTCCAAGTATTACTGTTATCAACCAAAATCCAAGCCTTACTGACCATGGATATGCGCCTACAATTCTGTCTGAACGTCTACGAGCGTTTGTCAGTTCAAACTGGGGCTCTGTTACAGACAGGATTAATCTGGGTAAGGATTTCAAGAGGCCTATTCTTTGTCTATATGTGATAATATATGTTAATTTCATGTCTTTTAGGTCCGGGTGATCTTAGAATTGGCCTTGATGTTAATGTTCAAACTGCCATGACTGTCTATAGGCCACCGCAGAATGACCTGGCGATAGCAGTGGCTGAAAACTTGGTGCCAAAGGAGCTGCCTGATGAACTAGCTAGTCTTCTAAAGACCGCAAGTTCGAAATCATTGGTTAGAAGATACAATTTTGCATCTGTTCAAGGTTTGATCTTCTTACCTGCTCCTGTAAATCCAATAGCTGACTGTTGTGCAGCTTTACATACATTCCAACAAGCAATAACTGGCTTCAAAGTTCGTTTTGATGGGTAATGCCTTCTCACTTCCTCCTGCGATTCCGGATATGTTGCTCACAGCACTTTTATTGTAGATATTCCACAAGCTTTGCCATATCACGCAGAAGAATGGTAGTTCCCATTTATAAGAAGTGGGAGGCTGGCAGAACCCGACTCCAGATCATCGAACAAGAAAAGATTGTCCAGCTTGTGGTCTTCTTCTCTGACTTCAGCCATGGAAAATGCATGAACTTTGTGCTGAAGAGCACTGATAACTTCGAGAGTTCCTCCCGGCCTGGCAAGTACGCAATCAAGCTTGTGGATGCCAAATTTGCACTCCCTAGAGGCAACGATGACGAGTTCGCAGAGTTTGTCTGCTTGGACATGCCAGAGTACCCTGGTGAACACGATGACATCACGATTTATTTTGATTCTGAGAACGGTAGGCCATCCCAGTGTCACCGCTCCTGTCGTCGAATTGCCAGAAAAAGCAGCTAATATACGTTGCAGATCGATTCAATTTTCAATCAGCCATACCTGGCTCTGTTAAAAGTCCACTAAGGGCTAGTTCATTCAAGCGATAAGCAGGCGTCGCGATTCCCCTCCCCATTTACAGGCGCATTTTGGAGTTTAACGATGCTTTGCTGGGGGCGTTGGCACAGGGTCGGATATGATGACACCATACAAGCTGTTCGGTCTCTTTTTATCTGCATCCTTCTTTTCTAAAATATCGTGGGATCTCCTCGGAGTTACGGCCGAGCTTGCCATTTGGCCTAGTACCGTCCTATGTTCTCTTGTGTTTTCTTTTTCTTTTTCTTTTTCTTTTCTTTTCTTTTCTTTTTTTTTTTCGTTCTCTTTTCTTAAGCCGTACGGAGTACTAGTGCCATTTCCCATTCTCTGATCCATACGGCCATCCAATATGACGTTTACAAATTCCAATTCTCTTGCGCCCTGCGACATCCGTTATGTAGACCGATCACGCCCGTATGAACATTGGGAGGAACTCAAAGTTAATTCGTGGATACCGGCACCCGGAAGCGGGTCGGGCCCCTCACAGGGGTAGACAACCACATCGTTAGTATCGAGGGTAGGGAGTCGTTTAATCAACTATATAAAGCCCAGACTCTCACCTTCGACGAAGTAAGGGCCACAACTCGCCGTGAATATCCCAAAATGGCCGAGAGCATTCGCAGCAAAATGGAAGATCTCAATTTGAACGGTTGCAGCAACGCCACCGTCGCCATACATGCCGATGATCCCATCAACGTCGTTACGGATGTTGCGCCGCCATTGCACGTCTCGACCACCTTTAGATACTCTGATAACCCCGACGAACTAGTCCCATTAGCAGAGGAATCTGTAACTATGCCTTCAATCCATATATTCTTACGAGTTTTCCACCGAAATCGACTAACAATGCTCATCCTAACAGCAGGAGATCCCCAGCCCCACATCCCACGTCTACTCGCGCTACACGGCGCCAAACTACACCCGCTTCGAAACAATCGTCTCCGCCCTCTTGGGAGGTCACAGCGTCACTTACGCCTCTGGCCTCGCGGCTCTAAACGCCGCCCTGATCTTTTTCAATCCGAAACGCATCTCCGTCGGTAATGGTTACCACGGCAGCCATGGCGTCATCAGCATCATCTCCCGCCTCACGGGCCTCAAAAAGATCGATCTCGACTGTCCCGCCGAGCAGTTGGAAAAAGGTGACCTGATCCTACTCGAGACGCCCGTGAACCCGCACGGGACGTCTTTTAATATCCAGAAGTATGCGGAAAAAGCACATTCGCGCGGGGCTTACTTGCTTGTGGATAGTACCTTTGGGCCTCCTGGCTTGCAGGACCCGTTTCTATGGGGTGCAGATATGGTCATGCATTCTGGCACGAAGTATCTAGGTGGCCATAGTGACATGCTCTGCGGGGTATTGGCGACTAAGAATGATGAGTGGAGGCATAAATTGTTCATGGATAGGCAATACTTGGGAAATATGATGGGGAATATGGAGAGCTGGCTGGGTGTTCGAAGCTTGAGGACTCTAGAAGTTAGAGTCCAGCGGCAGAGTGAGAATGCCACGTCGCTGGTCGCATTCCTCGACCAGGCGCTGAAAGTGCCGAATCCCGCGGCCAATGATCCTGCGAGAGTGGTCCAGGCTGCTGTGAAAGAGATTTTCCACTCCAGTCTACAAGAAAACGATATGGCTTGGCTGTCGAAGCAGATGCCCGGTGGGTTCGGCCCGGTTTTTTCTATGACGATGAAAGAAGAACGCCATGCCCGTGCGATTCCGTCGAAATTGAAATTCTTCCATCATGCTACGAGTCTTGGAGGGGTTGAGTCTTTGATCGAATGGCGCGCAATGTCGGATGACACTGTCGATCGAAAGCTTCTGAGGCTAAGTGTGGGCTTGGAGAGCTGGACCGATCTTAGGGATGATTTGTTGGCCGGATTCCAGGCATGCTTGAATCTGTGATACAAACATACGCCTGCGCTTTCAGCATCTACCTACATGTTCCCTCCGTACATACGCATACATCAGTACATAGTGGTTCCAGTGCCGACATAGGGAGATCTCTTAAAGGAAATGATGATTTTTTAGTGTTTTAATTGTGCATACTGTTCAGCAAGCATCTCAACATCTATCGTCATCAAAAGTCAGCACGCCCAAATGCCATCTATCCCCGACAGCAGACTGCTTCCACTGCTGTCTCGTCGGATCTCGCCAGTCACAGGGCGTTTGGGAATGGAGCACAAATTACCCCGCACTCAACTTCCCCCGCACCTAGCAATTCCTGCCAAGCCTGGCGATCAGATAAAAACAAAACTTCTTTTCCTTCGCAGAGCCGGAAAGGTCATTATCCATTTGCATATCAAACGAAGACACCCTGCACACACAGAAACCATGGCGTCCACCTCCGCCTCCCCAGCTTTCATCTCCAACCCGTCGACCGCCGCATCCCAACTCAATGGGACTTTTCAAATCCACTATTTCGCCAGCGCTTTCTCCTTTACCGGTAAAGCGACCGAACCACTTCCTGCTCCTTTGCCCGTGCACAAGCTCTTCGATATCCTGGACGAGCGATACCCCGGTATAAAAGAAAAAGTGCTGTCTAGTTGTGCAGTTAGTGTCGGACTAGAGTACGTGGATGCCGATGGGGAGGATGACGATGCGAATGGCAGAATAATACAGGCCGGAGAAGAAGTTGCAATTATTCCGCCCGTCAGCTCGGGCTAAAAGGTAGCCGGATGCCGCTGTCTAAGGTGACGCCTAGTTCCTAGAATATCGGGTTATGCGACATCGCCCTTTGACATGCTACCATTCGACTGTTTCAATGGAAACACATTTATATATCCCGCCGAGGGTGCGTCCGGGCTGCAACGTGATGAGGCATGTCGGATGGATCATGTTAAAATCTGGATTGCTTTTATTTCTGGTGCTCTGCGACCCTGAGTTACCTGAGTCCCGTCGCCTCATGATCCTTTGTCTTATCTTTTTGGGAGAGGAATAGAGTTTTATTGCGTTTTACATTATCCTTAGGCAAGGCTACTTTTAGTTGCCTTTTGACTGATGATGGGTGGGCCATTGTGACCTTCGGAAAGCGGAAGTGTAGTCGATGCAAGCTTTCTCAGACATCGCCAACAAAGATTCCATGAAGTCACACAAAATGGGCCATATAATAGCAGCATGAAAAAGCTGGAGATTTTAACCGCATGTGCAATTATTGTTGTTTGGAAGAAGTCCATGGGAGGCAGAATGGTGACAAATGATTTGCGAAGCTGAATCACATCAGCTCATATGTCTGGGGCACATACATTAAGGAATCAAAGCCTAAAGCGCTTGGAGTGGCGCATCTTGATCACAAAATACCACAAAAGTGTCCTTGCAGCTGAGTATGTGTTGATGGTCAGTTTTTTCTTTCTGTGTCAGATTTTGTGTAACTCCTCTCACTTCCAAGCAATATTGGATACAGGCTTTTGCAGATTGGGAACTACAGCATCGGACTGCTGCATGGCGATTTCCTTCTCAAATGCCATGAGTACTATTGCTCAGAAAGAAATTAACACGGAACAAGTCTTGGGTTGGATATCACCTTACACAAGTATCCATGAGAGTTGTTACAAGTGCGTGAACACGCTGATATTACATGGCATCAATATGATACCAAATGTATGTACTCTGTATATATGTACTGTACATACATACATGTACACAGATTTGAACCAGTGCTTGCTTGGTGGTATCTGCCAGGGACATTTCGAGCAACATGGAACATGGTCATCAACAATGTTTTCTCCAACTCGTAGCGTTGAGACTCAACCTAAACCGCTGGATAGCTATGATCAGCGATGGGCGCCGTAGATCCCCGTTGCGACGTTTCACAGACGAACGACTCTCTGGAAAACCCGGACAATTACCGTCCTCCGCTTTCTGACATCGTCATTCGATACCATCGCATGCAGATGACGGTGTGCAAAACGAGTTGTGTTGATGGTGGTCTGAATTTTTTTTCAGAGCTCTCACACCCGCCCGCACCCTGCATTTCGAACGCCTGATATATGCCAAACAAAACTGAATTTGGAATCAGGATGGTGGAGCAGGCGCCATATTGAGTCGCCAGGGTATATAAGCGGTGTCACTATCACCGACAAGTTCCCCCGGATCAGCCGATCTTTCCTGCGCATCTGCAATAAAGGCCCGTGAATTAGGAACGGAGGGTGAAGAGAAGCATCATGTGTGATGTGGTAAATGTTTCTCTTTAACGGAAGGACTGTTGCTGTATCACGTTGAGAAGCCGAGGAAAGAGGCCAGTCCATTTCTGGGTCGTTCCACCAAGTTGTATCAGACAGCTCCTATGTGTTAGGAAGTGCCCGGCCAGTTATGAATTCCATTGATTCACTGCAGGTTTCTGGATAATACTTCCGCCTCGGTGCCTCTGGCGTCGATGCTCCTTGACAGCATAAATACCAAGGCATTCAGTTGTTTTCATCTCGTTTAATTCACCAACCCAGGTTCAAGGCTTGATGTATTGATATTGCCAAGTCAATTTTTTGCACTATTTTGAACCATCGAGGGAGATCATTATTCGTGATGAAGTTTGTCAGCGCTTTCATCGCTACTATAATTGCGGCACGCACCTTGGGCCTCGACATCCCGGAGTGCGCGGTAGGTTATCTCTTTTGGTTATATGCCAAATAACAACCTTGTTAATATTATTTGCAGACACGATGTTTTGAAGTTGCAGAATCCAATCTTGGATGCAATGTTCCAATTCAGTACAGCTGTCTTTGTGTACTTTCGCCCGTTAGCAATGATTTTCACCATTGTATATTCAGGCTTTGCAGTCCCGGTGACCGAGAGACTGCCCGTAATGTTGTGAACCAGCAATGCAGCCGAGGTTCTCCCCCTAGTGAACGTCGAGACGCATCAAATGACAAGGAAGGTGAGGCACTTTTGGGATAACAAGTCATTTTTTGGCGTCTTTGTTAAAATTTCGATTCTATGGGCTGGCATGGCTAAGAAAAATCAATCCCGCATCGCAGCGGTCCATCCCCACGCAGCTAAGCAACGCCGGACCTGGCCAAAGGTAGTTAGCAACGCTTTCGTTTTCGCGTTCTGCTGCTTGAGTATGAGTCTTGTGGCGGTTATGGTTTGGTCACTTATCAGATTCTGGAGGACAGTTTTAAATATTCGGCCCCGAAACCAGGCTGCTACCGCGAACCCAAATTACGTATGCGGATATCCAGAAGCCAGAACACAAGGCTTTCGCCAACGAGTCATGACCGCGCTTTGAAAAAGGAAGCCACCTAGGTTGGCAAACGAGCAGTACAAAGGGAGGACATCGAGGGTTTATCTGATCTTGGATGTCACAGGGAAGGGTTCGTGGCTCCATATGAAAGGCCTCTCTGCGTGTATTTCCTTAAACATTATCATTGATCCAGTAGTATCTATGAGCCAATTTGTGCTGTACCTTGTGAGATTTTATTAAATATCATTTTTCCTCGGCCTCCCTGCTGCTGCTTCATTCCGGGCTGGTGTGAGACGAAGCGGGTCCACAAAACCCTCCAGCAAACGTTACCGTTAACATGCAATATAGATTTGCGCAGGTTATCTCCCACCAGCATGCTGATGTTTCGCTGCAGAAAACGGTTTCGAAGGCTTTTGCCCTTGCAAGCACTGCGGGTCCAGTTACGACTCGGCTATGCAAGATCACGAGTAACCAAAACTGGCTGGGCCAGGGTCATTGGCCCGGGACGAAAGGGGATGCATCCATATTTGCCTGCTCGCAATCCACAATGACATTAGCTGGGGGATTTGACTGGAATATAAAATATCGTTGACAATAAGGAAATTAGGAGCTTAAGCATCAGCGCTACAAATCTCACCTGTGTATTCCCATGCCTTCTCCGCGAGCTGCTGCCCGAATGCAGCCTCTTTTCTTGTGCTTTGCAGCCTTATGAGGCTTCCCAGACCTGAAATTCATAGTGATACCAAAGTTAATAGAATTCAAGATAGAGAAACTGGCCGGCTCTCCCAAGGAAATCCATGGTATTTGGTTTGGTATATACGTAGCGAATGGGATCACAAGGCAAATAACATTAAAGAAATTATCGTTGCCATATGCAGAGCTTTAGTTTCGACTTAAGCGAACCACGTCGAGGTAGGTTAGTTATGCGATAATATATATTGATGAAAACTTGGCGGATGCCGCCAGTCAAGCATCCCGAAATGGCCGCGCATGCTTCCAGGCCTTCTCGTTCCCGGCTATCTGCACCAAAATCTGCACTTCTAAGATTTCCAACTTCCTAGTAGTTAAGCAGCCCGTAGTCTTCATGGCTGACCCAGCCGTTTTGCTGCGCAACTGAAATAGAGAATCGCCTAGACAAAAGCTGCAGCAGACGGAGGCAAGCAGTGGAGTGCTGGAAAACTGCTTGCTGTCATGAACGTGGCATTCCCCTAAGTTCCGGGGTCGAAATTTTTTGCCCGGGAATAATGATTACGACCTGAAAGTGACAATATGAGTATATTACCTGTCGAAAGCTAAAGGGGGACCCCCTGTTGGCGTACTGTCTCTCGGCAAACATTAATTCCAACCACCTCTGTGGTAGACTGGATTTGATCGCAGTCACCTGAAGTCCCGTCGACGATATTATTTTGTCTAACGAAGTCGATGGCCTTGGTATGTAGCCGCTCAAGGATCTTGTCATGCGCCAAGTCGAAGGCTCAGTCAATGGTGATAGATGATAGATGCTTAAAGTATGCCATTGGTACTAAGTTTAGTGATTGGCCGAAAGTCGGAATCTTCCTATGCTGTTCGCTCTGTGTTCCCCAAAAACATTCAGAAGTCACAATTTTCGTAAACACACCGCAGCAGAAACATTCTTTTGCTTGTCCTTTGGACCCAAGTGATCACAATGGACGGATAGATAAGGCACCTGGTATGACAGGATATCGAGAAACCTGAGTTTTCCTCAGTTTCTTCTTCTTTCCACCCTTTCTCCTATGGGAGGGACCATGACCGTAGGGCATCTTGCGGAGTGGGATTTGACCAAAACGAGAAGGAAAGAGTGGTTAGGACCTTCATATATCAAATCGTAAGTAAAAACTACTTTACACCCCGATGTGACCGGCCTAACTCCATGGTAACAGTGGAAACCCAGACCCTGAATGATGCTCGATACAACGACAGGTAGAGTCGTTTTTAACGTACAAGTTTGGCCACCGTGGCTGAGAACGAACTCTCGGCCCTTATGCTGCAATGGCAAACAGGTAAACAGGGTGCCGAATATTCCATCCAATCTAGGCTAACTCTGGCGAGAAAGGGGGAAATCACCCTCCTGGTCAATGAGCAGCTTGCCAAGTTCTATTCGGACATGCTTGGCAGAACTTAGGATTTCCAATCTTCAAAGTAATAAATTGTTGCAACAGCTTGGCGGATTACCTTCCATGTGGGGGTTTGAGTTTCCAGCCGACTTTCATCCAATTCCCAATATTTCGTGGTCGAACCGCCATCCGGTTCGTCTTTCCTCGCTTCATAGCTACTCCTGGAGCGGGTATCGGTAATGGCTGCCACATCGTGAGGAGACAATGGAAGGCCAACGGGACTAAGGCCCTGCACAGTCAAGCCGGAATTTGAGCCATCGTCGGCAGCATTGAAATGAACAAGGTCGCATTTTCGGAAAAGTTCGTCAAGTTCTAAGGGGAAATTTTCCTTAATCGACACGATCTCAGGCGAGTCCTGCGATTCGTCATCGAATTCCAATCGTAGCAGCTTCCGCTTTCATGGTTCGGCACCACGGATCGTAACGCGATGCATTAACGATACATAGACGGAGTGGGAGGGAGGTTGGAGAGGCAATGTTTGTGCGGCAACACAACGTGATAGGATAACTCCGTCCTCCGGATGTAAACCGGATAAGGAAATGCCCTAAAACGAGGAGAACCAATTCAATGCAACATTGTTTCACAATATTGCGGGCAATTATTTCGAATCCGGGAACATTGCAAAAGACCTTTCTTCCTCCGCTGATTTCTTGGACTCCACGTCCCGAAAGTCGCGTCCCGAACAAGACGCGTTCCCAAGGAAACGCGCTGAGAGTTTTAGCTAGGCCGGTTAGCTAAACCTTAAATAAGGTTAACTAATTTCTCTTGCTCGATGACATCACAGCCAAGATCCCTGTCAAAATGGTTGTGGAAGTGTGAAAAAAAGGGAACCACCTTCGCTGCGTCTGGTATCCGTGCTGAAATAAGGGGCATGAGTAAGATATTTTCTCTTTACGGAGTACATTGCAAGCTATCGATATCAAATAAAGACTGGGGGGTTCCAGTAGATAAAATACTCCATTGCCACGGCCGTCTCTCTGCACCTGTCCCAACCCCTTCAATGCCCAAATGCTAAATACGTCATTCGCTCTTCCACTTACCCCGGGTTAATGCATCTAGCGCCAAAAGTTTTCATCCTCCTGCTTATGCAGGTGGGGCAGCAGGGAAGTTATTATCAGAAATTTTTGGCAACCATCCCGAGGTATCCTTGCAATAAATTTCCGCAGCGACCGGCCATCCTTTGGCACCATCAAGTGCTGCGGTGCGGACGATGTATTTCCCAAGAACAGTTTGGTGATGATAGACGTGGGTAGAGCAAGTTGGACAGAAGAAGCAGTGCACATCGTTCCCTGTTCCCGCAAGCGATGTTAGTAAGATAATCCACTGGTTAATCAGCATCCTTGCAAGGTTGTGCGGACCAGAGTCTCCCTTGTACGTGTATTTGGATAGGTTCCCTTTTTCGAGGTTGAAGTTCTCTTGCGGGATAACTTGGTTCAAGGTGAACTCTCCGCCGTTGATCTGCTTGCACGCATCACAGTGGCTAGATTTGTAAAGTTAGTATCTTCAATTTCTCCATGCGCCTCACTCGCCTGGGGAACTGGCGGGCGAGAACGAAGGGTTTGGATTATACCAGAGGATATGCGACTTCTCCTGGTCTGCGAGCTTCACAGACCATTCAGACTGACCACAGTGGCACTTTCCACGGATGGTACTCATTTTTAGCTAGTGGTAGGTTGTCGATTCTCTGATGTGATGAAGGATGAAATGCGAAGTTTTTCGGATAATTGCGATTTAATATAGCTATCGGGAGTTTGGACATCGTTCGAATTGGGCCCTTGAACCGAATTTATAGGCAGAGTGTCTCGTGTCCTCAGCTCAGGCCCATTCAGCTCCGGTCAGCTCGTCCATCCGCTCAGGAGGCCTGTGTCACCCGGGACATGTACCATCTTTGTATCGACCGATCACCCCGCATATTCAGCAAGGATAGCTCCTCTGTACGCTTTACATCTGACGTCTGGGGCTCTGGCCCACACCCCGCACTCGTTTTGCATCCGTGGAAATCTGGGGCCTTAGCTTTCAACAGAGCAATTCTACAGCTAGAAAATGCTTGAGGCCTCGCAGCCGCCACGGGTCTCATATTGGACGAACCATCGTCGAGACAGGAGTGAAGTTGAAAAAAGGAGGTCTTTCATTAATAATAGGAGGTTCTTTTGGTAGCAAAGTTGTAACAAACTTTGCTCCGTCGTACATGAATCCTTGGTTCCCCCAGGCATGTGGCAAACCTGGCCGGAACGCATCGCCCACGTGACTTGCCGAGAAAGAATCGGAGTCGCTCGGGTCGCCCCGTTACATAATCCGCTGGGTCGGTCTAGACGCAACTCCTCCATCGCAGAAGCAAGTTATTAGAAATCGGAGCAAAGGATTGAATTGACCTTGTTTGGGACCAATCACCTGGAACCCAGGTATATCATGCATGAAGATCCGATTTATCTTCGATCCCAAGCCAGACCCCCGTTCTCGAGCAATTTTAACAAGCCACCCCGCTGTTTGATCTGCGAGATTCAACTTCGCCAGATCTTGCCTGTACTCCCTACAACTGTCGTCTAGGTCTGATTTCTCGAGGGTGTGGGGGCACATGGGCTGGTTCAGATCATAATTCTTTCCTTTTTTTTTTTTAGAACTTTGGCCCCATATTCCGCATCGCCGTTTACTATCTGCATTGCTTTACGGAGTGCGGCTGTCTTGACGTTGACGTTGTTCTACAATATGACAAATCCTAGCGGCAAACAGCCTAATCCCGTGAGACCAGCGCCCCTGGCATGTCTAGAATGTCGCCGCAAGCACCTCAAGTGCGACGGTGGCACCCCTGTCTGTGGACGATGCCGCAAAGCCCAGTCTGACTGTCAGTATACGCCTTCCCGCCGTGGTTATAAGCCAAGCTCCAAGCCGCCGGCCCCTTCGACGATAGGTCGTACTCCACGCGCTGAGGCTCCACCCCAGCCGGCTGGAACCCCGATAGCGCCGCCTCAGTCACCGTTCCTGGATCCCTCTTTGACCATTCCAGGCATACCTTTATCGCAATCGCTGGATCGAATGGGGTTGATGTCGACCGATCGAATCTCCCTGGACCCTGACGTCTTCACGATACCAGACACCTCCGCCTATCTACAAGGAGATGGGTTGCTTTTCGACTACTATTACGCATTCTTCCACGACGCTCATCCGATTCTTCCCCCCTCACATCTGCTGCATCGCTTAGCGCCAATTCCACCATGTCTACAGGCGGTTATGAGATTCATCGGCGCTCATTATACACTCGATCCGTCGGCTGATTTATACAGAGAGTCCGTTGTGACAGAATTAGCAGCGGCTACTGAACTGTCTTTCTACAAGGTCCAAGCTCTTCTTCTATTTTCGATTGTCCTGCACGCACGGGATGAACGAGCCGATGGTGTAGAGTCGTTCTCGGCAGCTGTTGACTTGGCCTTTGGGATGGGTATGAACAGAGCCTCGTTCGCCTCAACTCTGGGCGGTGACGATCCTGTGCGGGTGGAAACACTCCGACGCACTTGGTGGGAACTGTACATTGTTGACGGCATGTTTTGTGCTTTTGACCAGATGACTTCGAAGATCAACAATAGTACGCTGATGGACACGCTGCTTCCGTGTGACGACTTGAGCTATTCAGCGGGTATCTACCTCACCGAATCACCATCCCCGACACATTTCTATGATCGTGTTTTTGCAGATGATGACGAAGATTTTTCTTCCTTTTGCTACGCTGTCGAAGCCGGCCGGATTCTCAAGCGAACTTTGGATCTCGGTTACGCCATTGATGATTACCAGCTCGCAGACCAGGTTGAATCAATTGATGCCAGCATCGGTAGCTGGTTCCATCATCTTCCGAACTCCAAAAGAAATATCCTTGGCCCGGATGGCACCGTCGACCAATTACTCTTCCGGGCACATATGATTATCAACTGCGCGCTTATATACCTCCACCTTCCTCGCTCAAACCTTCTATCAACCCCCACCGCCACTGCTAGTATCCCCTGCGCCCGACGCAGTCTCTGCATAGCAGCAGCTTCATCAACAAACCTCACCCACGCCATCAAATCCATCAAAGCTGCGAACGATCTTGCTGCTCTTGCGGCGCTCCGATCCACAATAATAAAGCAAACTCCATTCTTCATCTGTGGGCTCGTACTCAGCGCTATCGTCCAGCTCTGTGCATGCTCCGTGAGGGCATCCAACTGTTTGCAGCCACGGCGAGACCGAATCGCCCTCATCGTGGGAGAACTCAAAGCACTAAATTCTACATGGGTAATTTCACGATTGGTGATGAAACAGATCAAGCTTGTGGCGAGAGAGGTTCTGGAGATTGGAATCCAACAGCCGTTGTTTCCCGAACTGGAGGACCAGGGTCCAGATATCAGCTCGATCATCAGCAGTGACGTTTGGCTTGGAGACATCCCCATTGAGCAATGACTTTTCATAGAAGCCGGATCTTTGGCTATTCACTGATATACTTCGTTTACTTCTTCTGCTGTATTATTAAGTCACTATTTTCTTTTTCTTTTTCCGCGGAAACCATACCCAGTTAATACAAATATAGATGTTCAGCATTATCTACGTACCAACGTACTCCGTACTTCGAGAATAATCAAGTCGCCCTCGAGGCCTTTCCCGGTTTTCAACAATAAGTTTTTTCCCTCAAAGTCAAATCCACCAGCCCGAGGAATTGCGAAGGGAACTTTTCCCGCCCCAAGGGAAAGGGGGTTCCCATCGGGGTCTATCGGGGACCACGAGGCTCGAATATTGACTTTTCGAGTTCCCACAATGCCAAGCCCGTGGTACGACCGGGCCGGGGAGCTCCCGGTGGGGATATTCTCGGCATATGACGTAGTTATTTTCAGCCTTATCTCAACGACGGAGAAAAAAGAGTAGTTGAGTGCTATCATGAATACAATCGGCGTGGCGATGGAGAAGGGGAGAAGGGGAGAAGGAGAAAAGAAAAGAAAAAGAAAAGAAAATTAAATTATTCTGATCCCTAAGTCTACGCAGTACCCATGGAAGCGGGACAAAGTCAACCCTAATTAGGAAGAAGGAAAACTTGCCGAAGACTCGTCAATTAACATGGTTCTTAACAGTCAGTGAACCTTAACCAGAAAGCGGGAAAGCAATCGCCGCTTATTTTTTCCTCAGCATCAACATCGCCCACCCAAACAACCGATAAACGGCGATAATCGCAATCAGAATGCCTACCCACTTCCCTTCTCTTCCAGTCTTGTAGCCATATGCATTGAGCACTCCCGTTCCGGCGATCTTACATTGATCCGATAGCTCACTAGGATACATGCATTGACAGCCTGAGGCGCAATCATATGTCCGTTTCGAAAACTCGTTTACCATCATCCCTTGGAAAACGTACGCCTGGTAGTCAATGTAATGGAAGACGTACTTCCAAAACACATTGAGGATGGTCGGGGAAACAAGGAATCCCCCAACGCTCATCCAAAGGCCGTTGGCGAAGGCGGTGAGAGCAAGAGCAATGACAAAATTGGGGAACAGTGAGGCCATAAGCACCACTAGAGATTCTCCAGCAAGGAGGTCAAGGAAAAGCCACATTACAAATGTGAAGAATGCGCCAGCACCATCGCGGAAGTTCACAAGCCAATAGGCAACAATGGAGAAAAGCAGTGTGATTAGGACTATGGAACAGTTAGCACAGATCTTCCAAGAAACTAGGAAGAGAGCCACTTACATAAAAATGGAACACCGATGATGAAGTTTGAAATGATAAAAGATGTCGCACCGTAGAGTCCGTTGGCCCTCTCTTTGATGAACGTTGACCTATCTTCAAGGAATGAGGGCACATATGCAACAGCCATAAATGACATAAATGCTGAGCTGAAGAACTGTGGCATTGTAAGTAACAGGGATCGTAAAAGAGGAAGAGCAATGTTCACTCACAAGAGCATTAATAAAGGGCTGAATATTCTCCTGGTGACTACCCAAACGCAGCCACACAGTCCCCATCATTATAGCCAACCCTTGTACAGTGTTAGCTTTGGCGCGTGATAGACGAACGGAGAGGAATACATACCAAGATACATGGCGATGCGAATACCATAGGCAACAACATCCCGGTAGCTCTTAATGAAAGACCGATGAAGCAAAGTCAATATAGTCATCAAGAAACCAACCTTCCCGCCTTTTGGAGTCGAAATGTGTTCGAATTTCTCGGCCATACCCATGTGAGACTCTATCTCAGCATCGATCTGAGAGGCCTCTGGAGACCTGGCCCAGACATTATGAATTTGGCCAAGCCGATCGGATGCGGCGTCCCTATTATTCGCGAAATCCGTGCTCACTAAATCCAAAACGAATTCGGCAGGATTTGTTTGTAGGGGCATAAGATACCCAGCGCCATCAAAGTAAGATTTCATTTGAGTCCCTGGCCCAAAATAACATGTTTTTCCAGTCGACAGGATCAGAAGCTTGTCAAAAGTTTCGAAGGTGGCCGTCGATGGTTGATGGATGCTCGCGATCACAATGAGCTGTAAAAGCGTTAGCTTACTCCTAGCTAATCGACGTGGAAGAATATACACACCTTGTTTTTAACAGCAAGCTCTTTTACGAAGGACATCACCTCAAAGCTGGCAGTAGAATCTAACCCGCTCGTAGGTTCGTCCAAGAACAAGATTTTCGGTCGAGTGATGAGCTGGCTCGCAACGCTCACACGACGTTTCTGACCGCCACTGATCCCCTTTTGAATTGGAGTTCCGATCAAGGTTTTAGCCTGATTTTGGATACCAAAGGCGTTTAGAAGGCTTTTAATACGATGTAACCGCTCCTTTTTCGAAATTGAGCTGTAATATGTTAGAGAATACATGATAACCGCCGTTAACAATGCGTGCTTACCTGGAAAGCGACAATTGGGCCGCGAAATACAGTGTCTCTTCCACCGTTAAAGATCCAATAAGGACATCTTCTTGTTCAACGTAGGTACTGATGCGTCTGAATGTCTCTAGGGGCACTTTTCTCCCGTTTACTAGGATATCCCCCTCGACGCTCGCCGCCCCAAGACTGCTGTTTCGATGGGCAAGGACGTTCAACAAGGTGGTTTTGCCGCTCCCCGAAGGCCCCATGAGGACCATGAGCTCTCCTGTTCAATGTTGTTAGCACTCCAGATGCACAGATTTCAAAGAGCAAGGTATTCTCTTTTGTATTTTATTTTATTCTTCCATTATTAAAAAATAAAAATAAAAATACAAGTAGAAGAATAAAAACTTACCTTGATTCACATAGCCAGATGTATCCGAGAGGATACTTTTCCTTTTCTTCGTTTGGCGATCTTTGACATTTACTGTAACACCCTTCCAAGCGAAGCTATGAACAGTATCATTCATCAAAAAGCTGTGCTCATTTTCATTAGACTCAAGGTCTACATTAGTATTTAGATATTCTGCTGACATCCTGACCCAAATTAACAGATAATTTAGTCGAGGATCGTGACAGTTGTAGGCAGTTTCAAGACCTTGAAGGCAGCAATAGCACCCTTTTATATTATTAAAATTATACGGAGTACTCCGTAGATCAGAACAATCTACAAATGCATTTGTGATTACTGTCATACAAATCACCGCAGAAAAGCTTGTCAGCGGGAGCCCGACCCAGATCGGCGACCGTTTAACGGCGACCTGAATCTTTGCACAAAACAGGCTACCACAGAAATTAGAAAAATCAAACCATCAATATTCTAGTGAATATCTGTGGCCCACAGATGGAATTTAAGTGTAATTGGGCGGAGACCCCGACTGAATGCGCAATGCAGCCCTGCTGCCATCCCTCTCTCGGCAGAACTTTCTGTGCGATGGCCAGTTAGCGAACGCAGACGTATGGGGCCGCTATGGTCCGCGAAATCCACGTTGTGAGTTCCGGGGTTCTCTGGCTGAGGTACCCGAAACCTTGAGTTTCTTCTCTTATCGTTCCCTCCCAGCTCGCCGCCGCTGTTGTACTGTAGGTCGAGCTGGAGCTTGGTTGACGTTGGACCCCTGCTTGCCGCTATTATTCAACCTCGCCGTCCATCTTGCGCCCGGGGGTTGATTATTTAATCCTGCCCTCACGGCCTGGGTTTATTCCGTATCTGGCTAGCCGCTATGGGAAGCGGACTAACTAGCCCATAATAGTTAGGTAAATAACCTTACCTATCAATTCCTCAAACGGATCTTAGTCGGGCCGGCCTCAACGCTGCTTGTCAGGGGAACGGTCTTGAAAGCGAGCGGGAAGCGAGTTCGAGAAAAATGGATATGTAGCCTTGCTGCTTCCTTGATATAAAGGGATGCTACTCAATGCTTCCGCCCTGTCGACCAGGGTTCTCATCCTCTCGTTGACAGGACTCATCCTCTTCCTCTGGCTGCTCGTCCCTGGCAGCTCCTCAACCATCAAAAACACCATCTCCATCACCACCAGCAATCATGCCTCTGCTGGGACGCTAGCTGAGCGACAAGTTGATTTCTGGAGATCACTCCTTCCTGTCCTCGAATCCGCGGCGCCCAATTGTCCCTCCCCGAAACGAAATGGCACGACGGGCGCGATCGGTTTCGACGCCGCCAATCCCCCAGAGCGCCCGGTCCGCATCGAAATGCTAGATACCGATATTCTGCAAATGCGCGATGCACATTCACAATTTCTCCAGAAAATCAGGGAGACACCGGGATTGCGACCGGTCTATGTACCAAAGACGAGGGGGATAGTGTATGCTGCTGGCGGAAAATATCTTCCCGTATTTGCCATTGGTTTGCGCATGCTGCGCCGCACGGGATCCCAGCTCCCAGTCGAACTGTTTTTGAAAGACAAAACGGAGTATGAGCCAAGGATTTGCAACGAAGTGCTCCCAGTTCTAAACGCAAAATGCGTCGTGCTGGCAGATATTCTGGAATCCGCGGTCTCAAATTCAACGAAAGTTGAGGTAGCAAATTATCAACTAAAAGCATTTGCGATGCTATTTTCTTCATTTGAAGATATTGTCTGGATCGATGCAGATTGTTTTCCCCTGCATAAACCGGAAAATCTTTTGGATTCCGAGCCATATACGGGCACGGGCATGGTGACCTGGCCAGATTTTTGGATCTCTACTGTGTCACCTCAATATTACCTCATCTCCCAACTCCCAGTTCCCCCAATCAGTCTTCGGGCCTCTTCTGAGACGGGAGAGTTCCTTATTTCCAAGAAGAATCACCAATTGACTCTCCTCCTAGCCACCTATTACAACTACTACGGCCCATCGCATTATTTTTCCCTCCTTTCTCAAGGAGCCCCAGGTGAGGGAGACAAAGAAACATTTGTGCAAGCCGCTTCCGCTGCCGGCGAGCCTTTCTACACCGTCAGCGAGCCAGTGAAACCCATTGGGCATCGCAAGGAAGACGGCCAAATAGCTGGCTCTGCGATGGTTCAGTTCGACCCTATTGAAGAATACAAGGCTCTTAAACACAAAAATACCAAACCACCGCGCTCGAACGCCCCACAAATCAACCACCTGGCTCGCCCACGCGCATTTTTCATACATGCCCATTTCCCCAAATTCAATCCCGCGACCGTATTCTCTAATACCTCAGAAACAAAGCCCACCTATAAACCCGATGGGAGCGACAGTCGTGCATGGCTGGTCGACGAAGATACCATTAAAGCGTTTGGATATGATGCTGAGAAAGCGTATTGGGAAGAGATCAAGTGGGTGGCGTGTAATCTGGAAAATGAATTCCAGTCGTGGAAAGACAAGACAGGAATATGCAACAGGGTAAATCAGTATTGGAATAATGTTTTTGGGGGAGAACAACCTGATGAGCTGAACCTTTGGAGTATGTGAGCTAGAGAGGTTTGTAATTTTTCCACAGCTTGATTATTGAGGTCCTCTTTTTTTCCAAGGGCTTGCTTCGTGTGCGGAGTAATTATTCGAGCAATGATAGCACAATTAAATCTAAATTAGAGTTCACCTACCTCATTATTCACAATGAGCTTAAACCCGGCCCAGGGACAACGTAACGCCCCAAGGAAAGAAAAAAAAGGCAAAAAAAGACAAGAAAGGCTCGGTTTGTAGGCATGATAGTAGTTTTCAACACTACAATTTCATTGCAGAGATAAGGGGAGGGAGGCTTTGCCTCATCCCGTCGTGCTGTCTAAGGCCTCTCTCTATGGGATAATGGCAAGTAGAAAGTGACAAGAGTCAATATGTACAATCCAAAGGAAAATCGAATGAATATATCCCAGAAAGGTATAAAGCCTCCCGCAAAAGGCACACGTGTAGTATAACAGTCCAACTTGTCCCATTGTAACACAAAAAAATATTATGCGGGTAGAGAAGGATCGATTTGATCAAATCTATTAGATACCGATAGAAGCAGCAAATTCCAAATCCTTCTTGCTCCACTGGTGTTTCTCCTCATCGAACTTCCTGTTTTTCTCCTCATAGAGTTTCATAGTGAGCTCTTTGTATTGGAAAGCATGGCCGCCATTATATCGGATACCATGGTCAGAATCAGTGAACCATGTGCCAGCCATTTTGTTGGGTGATACACCGGCACCCATGAGCAAGTCTGACAAAGCAGCGGAATGCTGGAAATGGACGTTGTCATCGCCCGTGCCGTGTTGGAGAAGGAAACTTCCTCGAACGTTCTTAAAGCCCTCTGTCTTGCGAACGGCACTGGCATTGTAACCGGCTTCATTCATCTCGTAAGTCTTCATGTATCGTTCCGTATACATGCTATCGTAGAAACGCCAGTCCGAAACAGGGGCGGAGCTAATACCGAAGGAGAAACGGCCGCTGTCGGTTTCCAGTGTCTTGGCCGTGAGGTAACCTCCATAACTCGTACCCCAAATGCCAATCCGCTCCTTGTCTACATATGGGAATTTAGAGAGCACCTTGGCAGCATAGACCTGGTCCTCAGCTTCAAGAGCACCGAGTCTCTTGGCGACCGTCGAACGGAATTTTCTTCCCTTAAAGCCAGTACCCCGGTTATCGACAGTCCAGGTGATGTATTCGAGTTCTGGATCGGATGCAATATAGGCGGTCCAGCCAAAAGATTGGAAACCAACATGAACCTGTTGAGAGTTTGGTCCCCCATATGGTGTGAATAACACGGGATACTTTTTGCTGGGGGAGAAGTTGGCGGGAAGTCGCTGCATCACATTAAGAGTTTCGCCTGATGGGAGCCGAATATCGAGATAGTCAATTCTGGGAAGTTTGTATTCCTTGAGCTTGTTCACAACATCAGCATTGCTATTAATTGTCCGGATTGCCTTCCCGGTCCTCGTTGCAAAGAGTTCCTGGTAAGGAACATCCGGACCCTGGTAGTGGAGGACATAATAACCACCCCTTGCAGAGAAATTAGCAGTGTAGTGGCCAGCCTCACGATCATTGACTAGAGCTTTTATTTTCATATCGCGGTATGAAACCGAGTAAAGATGACGTTGGGTACTGTGGCGCTTGGTGGCAACGAAATAAATCAACTGACGTTCAGTGTCGACGTGGTTCAGAGCAGTAACCTCCCAACGGCCACGGGTGAGTTGGATGGGCTCTCCTTCACCGACAGGGAAAAGATAAAGGTGACTCCAGCCGTCCATATCGGAGATATCGACATAGTAATTTGCTCTGCTGTTGAACCGGCCGCCCTTGATCTTACCGATGTAGCGGATAGCCTGGTTATTTTCTAGCCAACCATCTGTACCATCACGTTCTTGTATGATTGAACCCGCGCCGGACTCACTGTCCACCAGGATAATCTTTTCCCTGTCCTGAACGCGATTGAAAGCTCTGAGTGCAACTTTCTCGTGACCATCAGTCAACCATTTAACTTCACCAATGATGAGGTCATCCGCCTCAAAAGCATCAAGTGTCACATTCTTTTGCTCTTCGGATTCGACATTCAGAAGGCGGAACTGGACAGTAGGGTTGGTTTGCGACACTTTAGGATAACGAAGCTCCAATTCTCTTGGATACGGAGGGGCAAACTTTTGATTATCCATGTAGTATGGGATAGTGTATGTTGGGACGCCAGTTTCGTCGGTCCTCATGTAAGCGACATATTCGCCGTCGGGTGAAAACCACAACGCAAACGGAGTACCGAAAATTTCCTCTTCATATACCCAGTCTGGAACACCGTTGAAAGTATTTGGACCTCCATCTTCCGTGATTTGAGTGACCTCTCCGTTCTTCCAGAGGTATAAATTGTTATTGCGGACATAGGCGATAACATTTCCTTTGGGACTCCAGGCAGCGTACTGGATATCGCCGTTTTGGTCATTGTCCAGGGGAGTCAGTGAGCCAGATTCCAAATCGAGAATGTGATAATCCGCAAAGAAGGAATGCCGATACTGTTTTTTGTAGTTTGTTGCCCACAGAACGGCGGAGAGATCTGGCTTAATGTAGTAGCTGTAAGAGTTCTCTGGAACTTTGTCGGCACCAACTAGCGTTTCGCTTCTATTTGTAGCAATATTTTGAATAATGAGCGTTCCGTCGTTTTCCTGGAAGACGTATTGCCCATCTTCCTCTCCGGGTATCCAGTCGACAAAGGTGGTTGTCGGTGAGATGACGCGCCTGGTGACAGTCTCGTTGTAAGTCAAAAGCTTGCTGCCACCGCCTCTGGGTGGGAAAGGCTTGCGTGGCGGGTCGACAGCCAGGCAGAGACCTGCGAGGAGGAGGAGAGAAGCGATCTGCACGACGGAATCAGCTCTAGAAACCTATATCTGGAGCTTTGTTTGCTTCAACGGTAGTTTCAATTTGAAGCAGAGAAGCGCATTTGACATACCTTCATCTTCAAACGAATGTAATGTGAGCCAAATCAATAAAGCATCACACTCAAGAAGGAGACTCCCTTCACAGTTGCTGAGGTCCGTGTCTCAGTGTCTGCCTCCACAGCTGCTGGAGTCAAAAAAGCACCACAGTGTTGGGAAATCCGGGGGATCAGCAGCTTTATCAACGACAACATCCCTCCCCTGTACCGAACAAAGCCAGGTCCTTGCAGGTGCACTCAGCTTCGGTGCCGGCCCTGTCTCTTCTGGGCACGTTTATAAAACTAAAGTGACTTGGTTTGTCTTGGCGAATCGGGCACCGTGGAAAGGATGTAACATCAGGTGCCAGGGCAAGTTCTGTGGTCCAATCCACATGGTGTTTCTCTCTTCCTCCTGACGGGGATAGAGGCGGAGTTGCACACGGCAAGCTTCCCGTCTCCTCACTTCGCCCATCATCCATGAACCCCCCCTCCCCCTGGCTGTCGGTAATTTACTCTTGCCCATTGCGGCGTGCACCCAGAGGGTTCCGTTTAATTTTGCACAGCAATTGAATTTTTGGCCTTTTTGGCCTTTGGTTCGCAGTGGGAATGCACAGCTGCCCAAGCTAAAGCTGGCCTGCCGGCCAGTTCGGTGGGCTTGTTGCGCCTGAGAATGCAGGAGGTGACATTCCAGTTGGTTTATCATCAGCAGATCATCGGGAAATAAACTTTAACTCCGAGGCGTAGGAGCAAACATTAGCACGCTCCCGGGTTTGCACGCAAACCAAGCCAAGCGGTTTATCCCCCTGCCCAAGTTGTTTTCCCGTCAATCCCCCAGCCTGTTTCCCCTCCCAGCTTGCGCACGGCGCGCCGTTCGATAATACATGGAATTCTCCTTGCGAATAGATAGCACCTCGCACCTCCATATGGCAGCTTATACGAGCGATAGAGCGAGTCCCACTTGCACGCGGCGGTATCCTGGCATGGAATCTCGCTCAGAAGCGAGGAATCCTACCTCGATTGACTCTTAATTTCATTTCGTGTCCTACCCTTGTATGATTTGGCTTTTTGGAAAAGACCATCGATCTTAATCCCGGACCCGGGCAATTTGCGGTCATCGACGGAGCTATTCATAGCCAAGTCCTTACCAACCGACTGAGATGGGAGAACAGTCTTCTGTGGGGGGACACTCGCGAGTTGCTTGCACCACTGTCTGGTCTCCAATTCGTCGTCGCGTATCTGGGGTAAGAAGTCGCTTGACTCGGTTAATTTCAAGGTCCATGAGTTCAGAGGTGTTATCCGTCACGAATATGCCAAGGATGTTACCGATGCTGCCTGTATAAACGACTTAAGCGGCTACCTTTTGCGCAGGTGTCGCTCTTAATACTTCTCGGTTCATACTGGCATTGGCAGCCGAGAATCATCGGCAACAGCGTACACCACACAGCCATCAGTCAAGAGTAGACGTTCGCAGGCAACGCTCAACCATCCATCGGGTGTTGATAATTGATAGCAAAATGAAAGAGTAGCTTCCATATCGGCCTAGACCATACTTTATTGAATTAAGACTGGCCACAGATCCAGACGGATGTTCCGCCAGATAAACTAGAAACCGCCCAAAACGCCTTCACCTAATTCCATGATCCCAAAGTATCCATAAAACTTGTTCGTTACATCATTCCTCATATCAAAAATGAAAACCCAGCAGCTACCTATGCGCAAGACGACGCACCGCCGGATGCTGTACAGGGTTGACCTTAACAGGTAACGAAGCATTACTATCACCAACGGAGTCACTTCTCATCCACTTTAGAAACAGATCATAATTCTTTGTGTTCCCTATGTCGGAGAAAGGACAAAGGCAGGGCAGACGTAGAAGAAATATTTCATGGTGGAGGTATTTCCACAAACTCGTCCTCCATCGAATGATTGGGGATGACCTCGGTTCTTGCCAACGGATCTTCAGGCTCTGCGTCGTGTTGTATTTGGATTTTGCAATGTGGGTATTCCGTGGATGGGGCCTCGACCTGGTCATCCACGATCCAGTCATAATTCGCTCCACGGCATTAATGTTCCAGTATGCCACTTGGACCCCCCGGTAGCAGCTGGGAAGCCTATTGAGCGGATATGATTAGCTTGGGTGCTATATAGCTAGTCTTGAAAAGTGTTGAAGGATCAGAGCTTTCTGTGCGGAGAAAAGGATCGGGTGTGTCCTACAGCTAGCCTTTCTAGTCGGTGTGTAGCTGTTCGCAGTCCCAAAACTTTGACTTGAGCCACAACGAGGCATTTCTCAAGTTGTAACCCACCGCCCTAGCTCTGCGTTGATGCGCTTCTTGCAGCTTATCCACAGTAACAAGTCCCATATCAGTCCATGGAGCCTGTGGAAGCTCGCTTTCAGGGACAGGTGCATAGAAACAAGGCTGGAGTTGGTCCGCTTGGGCCACGTCGAGTGGGAGCAGTCTGATATTCAATCGGTCGAGGTCACTCTCGTCAAAGGAGCGGGGTTTGAATGATTTTGCGTTGAAATCATCGACTTCAACTGTCGCATCACGGTCTGTATTTTCTGGACACGGGGGTCTGTAGGATCTCGCTTTACTGCCGGAGCCATCTTCAGGAATTGCCAAAGATGCAAATGGGATAATAACCGGGGGATGAATTCGCTGGTGTTGTCTTTGGCAGCATTGTATGAAAGCTGAACGGTAGCGTGCGAATCTTTATTTTTTTATTTTTTTATTTTTATTTTTATTTTTATTTTTTCTTTTTGAACAAGGATATATTTATAGAGCCTGAGAGCCCATGTTGGCTATCTAACTGACTCGAACGGCTTCCCCAAAACAAAAAAAAAGCGGCGTCTACTAACTCACTCATGAGCTCAAGTCTCGTCCAGTCAACCACCAACATCAGTCGATGCATGCCAAGAATGATCTGACGCAGGGAACAGCCGGCCATATGTACTCCCCGTACACCATTCCGTTGTTCAACTTTCCTTCAAGTTCTCGTTGGCGGCCACCTCAAGCCATAGTGATTCGTTCTTCCAATTTTCGTCTGGGGCCGATGTTGGATATCTTAGCAGAGAGATGGTATTAGACTTAGAGCGCCTCTAGCCTCTAAGGATTGATCCTTTTTGGCTCAGTTGGTTAGTTCAATAGATGGTTATCCCGTCCAGAGTTTGAGGAGTTATCACGAACTCCTAACATTCTGGAGAAATGCTGCCTGGTCAAGAGCGATGTTTGTTAACTATCCCCGCGCCTTGACCCTCCAATAGTTTATTCCGGGCCATTGTGCCCGCATCTCGGCCGCTCACTGACTTGGTCGTCTCAAAATTCCGATAAGCCATAACGTTATGTCGTGTCAAGCCTTCGGCCTTGGCCGTACAGAACATAACGACATGGCATATTGCAATTACCCGTTGATACTCCCGCTTTCAGGGAATGTCTCCGAGTTTCCAATGTCTTGATAGGCAATAATGTTAGTATGACGAAAATGTCCTTGGCGACTACTGAATACATAGCTCGATTACCACAAGCTATCGCTAGGTACCTTATGTATGTATATACATGCACATTTATATATATCATGGCTCCTGCGTTATGCCGCTCCTTCGCCTCTGTCTCCATCGATATGTATATAAACCACTCCCATACCCCGAGTTCTGTCTCGGTTCCCCAAGCAGCCCTACGTTGCCTTGGAATATCAGAAGATCAAGAATTACTTGATTTTAATTTCCTATTCAAAGACCTTGCTGTGAATAATTCTCAAATACTCACTGATATTCCGCCATCATGCAGACCTCAAACAATTGGACTTACCACTCCATCGTCGGCGCCTATGCCCTCGGCATCTTACCGCATGGATACTACTATTGGAAAATGATGCGAGCCACAAACTGGAAGACTTCAAACCTAATGTATGTCCTTTGCTTCCCTTTTTCTTTTTCTTCCTTTTTTTTTTTTTTTTTTTTTTTTTTTTTTGGTGACTCTTGAACTATCACGTCCCCCTTCTTTTCCCCGTTCCATACCAACATTCTTGAACAGGCCCCGTGAGAACCTCAACTCCCTCCGCGACAAAATCCCCGCAGACATCTGGGCTCGACTATGCCGCGCTCGCGGTGCCCATCTCAACGCTTTTGAAAGCCTGCCACTATTTGCGGCTGCAATGGTAAGAATCGCCGTCTCTTACATATATCCTAATTCTAATGCCGCCTCAGATTGCAGGAAATGTGTCAAACCTCCCGACTAAGGAACTCAATATCCTAGCGGCGGAGTACCTCGGCGCGAGAGTACTTTATACAGCGGTGTACATGGGCGCACGCTCAGAGTTAATGAGCTATGTAAGGACGGGCTTGTACGGTTGGAGTGTCGGCATACCTCTTTATGTGTTGATCAAGGCGGGAAACAGCATGTTGGGGGGTGGGAGTGTTTGAAGCCTATATTTAGGCGGTTAGCTATGAATTAATTGGGTGCTTAGCGGAGGAAATCGGTGTCTAGACATTCATATTTGAATCATGTGGGAAGCATGGTTAATAGAGTTGGGTAGGATAACTGGAATGTTCTGTATTACTTGCTAGATATAACCTATTATCAATATTAAATGGATGCAAGCAGTGTATATCCAAAAGAAAATTTTATATTGCTAATATCTTGCAACGTATTGCGTAATTTTGTTTTCCCCCCTCCAAAGCCATTAATTCGATCTCTAAACATGTCTCGCAATTATCATTACTTTTGCCATCTGGCAACCCCAAACAACATGCAGGAACGACAAAGAAATAAAAAGCCAATGAGTAAACCAACAATGCATATTCAAGAGAGGAAGGAAGCCACCCGTACAAATGATAACTTATAAAACAAAAAGGACAGAAAAAGTTTCCAACCCGCTATATGATCTATGGAAGCATGTAGAACAGGATTATCAAAATCCACGAATTCGTTTAGGACCCAATGCAGACCGAGAGAAGCGGACTCAGGAGGACAGGCTTAACCTTCAACATCTTTAGGCTTGACAGATCTCTGCTGACGCCACATGACAACGCTACATGTAGCAGATAGAGCGAAGAGGATGCTGGAACTGCGTTAGCATACCATGAGAACAACAATGGCATAGACTTCTTACCAAAGAGCAATGCTTAGACCCCAGATAGCCTTAATCTCAAGGCAGTTTGGCTTAGAAGTGCCGACCCAGTGGGTATAGCTGATCTTGTCGCCATTTTTGGCAAGGCTGTTGCCCAAAGCGGCAGCAAACGCGTATGCCGAAGACGTAGCGTTTGAGACTCTCCCGAGGACGTTGCAGTTTACGTAGGACAGCGGCTTTCCGACGGTAACGGCAACAACAATGACGGCGATTAGATGAAGACCATCCAGACCAGTATTGATCAGGAACGGTAGGATGTTGTCCATGAACAGGATGAATGTGACAACACAGTATAGGACAGCAATGCAGGTCTGGACTGTCACATTAGTTTAACGCACCACTGTGTAGAAAAAGCCCACTCCAACGTACCACGCTGATAGTCCCAACAAGGACCTCGGGCGGAGTGGTATTACTCGACACCATCTGCGAGATGAAATTGGCAGTCATCCCAATGATCGCAATAAGGCACACGACCTGGAGCATGCGGACAACCTTGAAGGTCATACCAATCGCGCCGTACTGAGAACCAGCCATTTTAAGGGTAACTGAGTAAAAGAAGGAGAAACAGCAAGAGGAAATGATATGAAATGTTAAAGAGATTGGGGGTTTTGTAACCGTGGCCAGGTATAGAAGCGAGATCGTAAAGACCGTGTAGTAATGGCAACGAAAAAAAAAAAAAAATAAAAACAGAAACAGGAGATGACTTTCCAGAGTCAATCAGTCCTAGGAGTATGCTTGAGAGGAATGTGTCAACAAGCAAGCACTTAAGTAAAATATCTGCTAAATGATAGCTTTGAAATTAAGAATGAGAGCCAAAAGCAAACCAAAGAGAGAAAAAGGACAAAATGAAATAGGAAGACACCAAGGAAATAGACTCAAGAGAAAAAAAAATGAGATCTTGTTGTTTTTGATTGCTGAAGGAGGAAACAACAGAGGGGGAAACAGGCAATCTTGCCAACAAGATTCCATGGTTATATATCTTCAAAGATGGATCTATTGAAGCTTCATCAGAGCTTCAACACCATTGTTATTTTTGACTCATTTCACTGCGGAGCTGTTTGTAGACTGTTTGACCTTGATTGAAGATGCGCTGAGGCGTCCAATAGCACGCAATCATGCCCAGCTCCCTTCGATATTCAGGCACACCAATCATCAGTCCATTGATGGACAGAGTGTTCGCACAAGAGAACCCTGCATGTCTCTTGCCACTCTGGCTCGCTAATCTAGTCTGCCGGCCCTGAGAAGAGCTATCATCCAAACAGTCCCTTGTGAAGCTAGAGCTCCGAAGTGGTGGTGGGTCGGAACCCACAGTCCTCCGTTTGAATAGACCTGTCCTGAGATCAGTGTCTTTCAAGGGCCTAGAACAATTCACATCCTGGACCATGGAGCCGGATGCAATCCAGCTTGCCGCCGCCAACTGCAGGGACATATCAATCAGAGTTTCTCTCGAGCTTTGCATGGGGGCTAGAAACACTTTGTGTTTTACATATTCAAGCCTGAGTGCAAGCTTAGGGATGATTGGAGGGTATGATGGGATTCCAGAAAGCTTAGGCCAGGCTGGCGGGATTGCGTCTGGGTTGATCTGATTCTTCCCGTTGAGGTTTGCTGGATGTCGAGCCTGGAGGCGGCGATTGGACGGCGGCGGGCGCTTAGAATCGTGCGGTCTCATTGGTGGACTGTCGCCGCAAAAAGTAAGTTAACTTATAAGTCTGTGGCTTACTAAGCTAGCCTTGGCGAGATTCAGAAAATCCGTTCGCGCTGTTAGTTCAAGGTTTGCCAAATTATATACAGAGAGAATCAACTATTTACTAGTCTTTGCAAAAAAAATAACACCAGAACCCCTTCTCCTTGACTGGCTAAGCCTCGTCGAGACAGTTTCCATCTCCGCACCTGCGCACAGCTGCGTAGTACAGATCTGCAATCCTCCTACAATGCACACCCTTCCAGCTCTTTGACCCATCGTATTGACTACACTCCTCGTACAGATCGCTCTTGAACTGATCGTCAATCCGCTTCCGTAATGCCTCGTCGAAACGGTTCTGCTTTTTCGCATTGCGGTAACCGAAGTCATGGCGCTGGCATGACGGAATGAAGTTGAAGCCGATGGGCTTGTCCGGTGAGCTGCTGCAGTTATCGGAGCTCCAGTCGAAGCATGATGGGTCTTTGGCGTTGCGGTGCTTCAGGAATGTCTTCATGGAGTCTTTGAATACATATGTGTCCGTCAGCGACGGAGTACATGGATCCGCCCGCGAGGTGAGCGAAGTATGCGCGCCAGCGTTAGCATCGGCTTTGAACTCGACGGGCGCGGTGAATGCGAGGGGGGCCAAGAGGCCCACGAGAATGACTGGCCGGGTGTTAAGCTTCATCCTGAGTCGAACAAAGACAGGTGGGCTTTTCTCTCTGGAAGCGGGGTGATGCGCGCGCGCGACTGTGTATCCGATCGCAGGAAGATAGAGAGAAGGGCTTCTTAAAACTCTCTTATCCGTCTGCCCGAGCAGCACGCTTTGGATACTACTTTATGCGCTCTTGCATCCACCCTTTAGGAGGGGGCCGTGAGCCTGTATTTATATTAGACAGCAAATCCATCATGCTGCAGGTTTTACCGGAGCGGTTATTCCAAGAAGAGGTGATCAGCACATCGTCCCCACGTGAAGGGCTTTTTGGACGTTGATGCATCATGTTTTTTTCTCGGTCGAACAAGGGCGAGCATGGCGATCTCGTATATTTAGTTACGCACGGCCAATCCCGTTTTGCATCCTGTCATGCTTCTCCGTAATGCCGGTCCCGGCCAAGCTTGGAATCTCGAAGGATGCAAAGAGCGGGTATTTACAAAATCCTTGGGCTACATAAGTCCGGAGTACGGAGTAGATCAAACCGTAAAAGCTTTTCAGGCTAAAATCTACTGAAAGTATAACATACATTTGAATGATACTCCGTGTGGCTCTAATATTGCTAGTAGTCCGGGGGTTTTACCATGTGGACAAGAGGAAGGTTTGGGAGGATTTGAGTTGCGTTCTTTCGAGAAAACTTCGCATCTGCACTTGGGACCCTAAGACAACGTCAACCATCTGCACTAGATCCTACGATGCAAAATGCTATGTGAAAAAGGGCATATTTTTAAATTTAATCCGAAATCAATGTTCATCTGACGTTTACTTCTTTCTATAATCCATAATATTTAACATGCAGTTCACGGATCTCCTGTTTTCCCTCGGCAACCCGGTTGAGGATGCAGAGGAAGGTGGGTTTTTCTCTCCCGCTTCCAAAGAAACTCGACTGTTGGGTATTGCGAGGAGTATCATAATAATAAGCCTGGAAATAAATTACAGAAGCGTTTCTTCTTTTCTCGCAAGATATCCCTTCGCAAAACCTGGGTTTTATAAACTCGCAGTCACACACTGTCGAAGTCTCTGTGCTCAATCGGGATCTTACGATCCACCAGTCGCCAACAGTGCTCTCCTCCAGCAGAGCGGGCGGGACCACGGGGGCAGGTAGGCCCCCCTGCTTTCAAGATAAATCTTGGCCTGTGGATTTAGGGTTCCCTTATCCCTGCTGATCATGGTCGACCGCGCGCGAGATATGATATAATTTAGTCCTTTGGAAGATCTCCCCTCTCTTTGCCCGATGGCTCTGCTCGAGCAATAACATCCTATGGGAATCATCTATGCTTCACCAGCACTCTACAGTCATAGAGCTGGGCTGCGGAGTCGCCGGCGTTCTGGCACTTACCCTCGGTCCTTCCGTAGGGAAATACATCGCAACGGATCAGGAATACGTCCGAAAGCTATTCCAAGAAAACCTCGAAGAGAATCATCACGTAACGAGGCGCCATACGGTCCAGGAAGACCGGAGCACCGATCGCAACCGCCAACACCGTCGCGGCTCCCAGAAGCCAAGGCATAAATCGTACCCCGGCTCTGCGAACCGCTCGCCCGCAGAATCCCAATCTCGCTCTCGCACAAGGCACGTTACCCATTCCAGCACATCGAGCAGAAGTCCCACTGCCCGCGGAGAATCCGGCGGCAAAGTCGAATTCGTCCCCCTGGACTGGGAGACCGATACGCTTTCAAGCATAACCGGCGTCGTTGAGGACGGCTTCGACCTGCTCCTCTCATGTGATTGCATATACAATGACGCACTCATCAGTCCATTCGTCCAGACTTGCGTGGATATAGCCAGACTCCGACCGTCCCTCGCGGCACATACATCCGCGTCTGCAGATCAAGGAAGAGAGGATTTGGCACACGGGAAGCCAACGATATGCATTATTGCGCAGCAATTACGCTCTCACGAGGTACTTGAGAACTGGCTACGAGAGTCATTAGCTGAGTTTGCGGTGTGGAGGGTTAGGGATAAGGTTTTAGAGGCGGCTGGTTTGGGCAGTGGCTCAGGGTATGTGGTTCATGTGCTTGTGCTGAGAAAGTAAAAAGTTGGGCTTCAGAGACTTTTGCTGCGGTCTTTTGAATGTCGTAGTGAATATAACGATGGACTGAGGTTTGTATCGTAAGCTACTGTACATTACATGTTTAGCAGGCGATGGAAGGACATCTGTTCTATGTGGACCTACTGCACCGTTTCATATAGCAACAACGGCCTACACATTGATGATCTACCCATTGAAGTTTGGGAAGGACTTGTTGAAGTATCGAATGATTTCATCAACAGAAGATTCATAAAATATACATCAGGAGAGGAGAATTCCTATATTCCACAGACGGCCTCGACCTTCCTCCAAAGAACCTAAGCCGCAATCGCAGGCTCTCAAGAGTATAGATAGAAGTACGCCGTGGATGAATTAGACACGGGAGGCACAAAGAATTGATCCTTTTTTTTGAACGGGCCAGCCAGAACCATTTTGCCCATCAAAAAAATTGCCCTTGAACTCCCCGCCCTTCCGGAACCCATGCATAAAGTTTTTGCACGATAAACACAAGTCTCATGTTTTAAAACCACCAAGAAAAAAACTCCAACACCCGTGGATGTATACCCGTAAATATCGGAGGAAAAAAAAAGCAGAGCTTGTATGGTTACAGGTAAATGGAAAGAGCCAATAGGGAATAAAAAAAAAAGGCTAGATATAAAGGACACAGGAAACGAAACGAAGAAAACAAATAACCATGACGTGACAATAGACTAGTACAAATGGAGGCATTAGCGTTCAGTAAGCGCATTACTTTTGAGATACCTCATTTACACCGAGCTGGACATTCATGGCTTCTTCTCTTCACCGGAGGCCTCGCCGGTCTGGGATTGTTGTTGTTGCTGGTTGCTCTCTTCCTGGCGAGCCTTGTGCATCTTGTCGAAGAGGGACAAGCTGGCAGTCTGGAGCTCATCAACCTTCTGCTTGAGCTCCTCGGCAGTGGCAGTACCCTCGCCAGACTGGCTCTTGGCGACGAACTCGCGGAGAGAAGCAATTCGCTCCTTGATCTGGTCGGCTTCGGTCTTATCGAGACGATCCTCGAATTCTTTGAGGGCCTTCTCGGTGTCGTTCAAGACGCTGTCAGCGCGGTTAGCGGCTTCAATGGCAGCCTTGCGCTCGCTATCCTGAGCACGGTATTTCTCAGCATCTTCAACCATGTTCTGGATTTCAGAGTCAGAGAGACCAGAGCCCGATGCGATGGTGATAGACTGGTCCTTGTTGGTGGACTTGTCCTTGGCGTGGACGTGGACGATAGAATCAGCATCAATGTCGAAGGTGACTTCGATCTGAGGGACGCCGCGGTGAGCAGGAGGAATGCCAACAAGCTGGAAGTTTCCGAGCAGCTTGTTGTCCTTAACAAGTTCACGCTCACCCTGGTAGACCTTGATCTCAACAGCAGTCTGGAAATCGGCAGCAGTGGAGAAGGTCTGAGACTTCTTGGTAGGGATGGTGGTGTTGCGGTTGATCAAGCGAGTGAAAACACCGCCGAGGGTTTCGATACCGAGGGAGAGAGGAGTAACATCGAGAAGCAGGACATCAGTCACTTCACCTGCGAGGACGGCACCCTGGATGGCAGCACCAATGGCAACAGCCTCGTCTGGGTTGACGGACTTGGCTGGATCGCGTCCGAAGATGCTCTTCACAGACTCGGTAACCTTGGGCATACGGGTCATACCGCCGACCAAGATGACATCCTGGATATCCTTGGCCTGAAGGTTAGCATCCTTCAATGCCTTTCGCACAGGCTCAACGGTTTTGGAGATGAGGGGATCAACGAGAGATTCCAACTGAGAGCGAGTCATCTTCACGTTGATGTGCTTGGCGCCAGAGGCATCGGCAGTGATGAAAGGAAGGTTGATGTCGGTCTGGAGAGCAGAGGAAAGTTCGATCTTGGCCTTCTCGGCAGCTTCACGGATACGCTGGATGGCCATGCGGTCACCAGTGAGATCAATTCCACTTTCCTTCTTGAACTGCTGGACGATGTTGCGGACGAGAGTGATATCGAAGTCCTCACCACCAAGGTGGGTATCTCCGTTGGTGGACTTCACCTCAAAGACGCCCTTCTGGATTTCAAGGATGGAGATATCGAAAGTACCACCGCCGAGATCGTAGACGGCGACGACACGATCCTGCTCCTTCTCAAGACCATAAGCGAGAGCGGCAGCGGTGGGTTCGTTGACGACACGAAGGACGTTAAGACCAGCAATTTGACCGGCGTCCTTGGTTGCTTGACGTTGGGAGTCGTTGAAATACGCAGGGACTGTGACGACACCGTTCTTGACAGGTTTGTTAAGGTAGGCCTCGGCGGTCTCCTTCATCTTCTGGAGGACGAAGCCACCGATTTGGGAGGGAGAGTACTTCTGGCCCTGAGCCTCGACCCAGGCGTCACCATTGCTGTGTTGGACGATCTTGTAAGGAACTTCGTTCAAGTCACGCTGGCACTCTGCGTCGGAGAATTTACGTCCGATAAGACGTTTTGTGGCGAAGAGGGTGTTTTCTGGGTTAACGACAGCCTGGCGTTTGGCAGCAATACCGACCAGTCTCTCGCCATCCTTTGTGAAAGCAACAACGGAAGGAGTTGTTCGTTGACCTACCCAAGTGTTAGTTTTCGGAGATCTGGAACCTTCTACCCTCGGCAAAGGGACGGAGCATCGTAAGGGGGGAAATGAAAAATCTGCTCACCTTCGGAGTTTTCAATGATTTTTGGGGATTTGCCTTCCATTATAGCAACGGCAGAGTTTGTTGTGCCTGTAATTGCGGTCAGTGGTGTTCTGCAGAGCTCAATTGCCCTAGAAGCACGGCGCAAGGGACTACACACCAAGATCAATACCGATGACGGCACCCTTGACCTTCTCCGAGCTCTCCGTGGATTCCCATCTTCTGAAGGTGGTGGAGGGAACTTTGAAAGCGTTAGAGCGTGCGAATGAGGCAGCGCGAGGAAGCTAATTCGGAGTCAGCCCATAGCTCTTTGAGTGCAGAGGTTTTTTTTTTTTTTTTTTGCCCAAGAGGAAGAAAAAAAGGAAAAAAGAAAAAACTCACCGCGCGCGAGAATCGGGAAGAGAGCATTATGAACTTTTAATAAATCGAGCTAAAATACAAAAGCAAAATGAACTATGAATACAAGAGAAGAAGAGAGGGAGCAACAAGAGGGATGCGGACTGATGGAAAGGGGAATTGAGGATGAGTCCGGAGACGTTGGATGAAGAGGGAAAAAAGGATTTCTTGGGAAGGAAGAAATTTTGCGGTTTTGAAGGTCAAATACCAAGGGCCGGGGCGTGGCGCCAAACCCTCTGCGGACTAGCGCAGTGCCGGCGATGCCAATCGAAGTCCATAGAATTCCTAGCACGTGACGTTGCTCCTGGGCAGAGAGCATAAAAAGTACACAGAGAGAGAGAGAGGGAGAGGGAGAGAGAGCATCTCTTTTGAAGACGCAGAGAGGTGGGCTAACTGCAGTTACACGGGTTCTCTCGTTATAGCCAGGCTGCCTTGTGCTGAGTTGAATGGGCATTGGGTCATGGGGCGTGTCGCTGGTTGAAAATCCATAGTTATCCTCTCTCCGGCGCGCTCATTCTGCAGGCTATGTAGTGAGGGCGTAATTGGACATGGTTGATTTAGTTTTACAGGGACAATCCAGGAGCCATGTGTGTTTCTATCACAGCCGACAGCGGTGCTATATTCAAACTGTTGTGTCCCCCGCCCAGCGGTCAGCACCTGGAATTTCTATCCTTCTATCCTCGCAGTGTAATAACTACGGAAGCTCAGCTCCTTAGTCAGCCCCACTGCGCTATTACTTAACTAGTTAGTGAGGTGAAAATTACGGGAGTCGTTACGGACGCCGGGGCGGTTACGTGGTATTGTCGGGGTAACTTTTCAACCAGCACTCGGTACGGAGTACTATTCGATGCTACTCGGTATCGTCCGTACAGAACCCGCTTTGAAGCTTGGGCCGGGGCAACGGGGTCCCCTGGAGCAAGGGAAAGCCGGCAGGGTGAGAAGAGCACCCGCCAGGGAGGTGTAGCTTCAGCACCTGGCAGCTGCTCTGGACCCAGCACGCTTCCGCAGTCGGCTCGCACAGGACAGACACAGCTTCCACCAGTCACACGCACATCCTGCCTCTGACGAAAGGCAATCTCTTGCAGCGCCATGTGCCATAACGTACATAGTTACCTCCGCGTACGGCTTTATTGATACACGCGGTAGCGTTAGTTACGTGGTTGGCCGGTTACGTGACGGGACAGCCCACCCCCAGCCAGTGAGTTATCTTTAGGTTCACTTTGCAACGCCAGCTTGACTTTCCCCGGGTCGCCATCGTCTGCCGTCATCGAAGGAGTCTCCGCCAGAACCGCTCCAATTCTGACGACTCTGTTCAAGGAAATATCATCTCTCTTGGTGTCTACGCCTTATCAATCCGACCCTCAGACGCGATTTTACCAGTTTCCCGACGATAGCCTTTGCTGCCCTATGCTCCTCCTCCTCCTGCAATCCATGTCGTAGCTCGCGTGCCCGCCCAAAAGCAAGACTATGACGCTCGACTCTGCATTGCTGTCAGTTGCACAACCCTGTGCCCATCACCCTCCCCACACAGCCATGCTCACTCCTTCTAATAGCTATCGACCAACCGACTCTCTTATTCTACCTGACCGTCGAAGATTCTTTCCCTTCAAAATCCCAAACTCGTTCGTCTTACCCTTCATAGCTCAATTGAATACTCGTTTCGCTGACATGGGGCCCCCCCCCCAAATTGCAGCCATCATCAACTCCGTCACTATATTAGCACCTCCGACCCGGACAGGATCTATGTCGCTGTAGGCAGGATCATATATACTATCCACATCTCGTCTCGCAAACGCGAAATCATAACCGTCATCCCCTTCGAGCCAAAATGCCTGACCGCCGGGTTGGGTTGGATCGGTATCGGAGGCAGCAAAAACGGTGATTGCGCATTCATCAAACTGGGCGACTCTGGAATCACCTCTCCACGAACTAGGGCCGCCGCCCTCGACGCCGATATCGATTCTCCGCTTCCTCTCGATCTAGATCCTCCCCTCAGGAGACTACCTCCACGCGCACCTGGTAACTCTTTTCTCTCAAACCCACGGCAAGACGCGGTGTGCTGAACAGTTGCTAGAAGTGATTGTCCAGGAATTCGGCGGCAGCATCGTCAACTCCGTGACCCTCCATCAGCTGCCAGCCCCACGCGAAGGCCTTGACCATGAAGATGTTGCTGTCCTGAGGTATGTAAAAGCTCCTTTTTTTATTTTTCCCCCCACCAAGCACCATTTTCTTCTATATCAAGAGCGGCATGCTGATTGAAGCGGTTGGGATAGCAATAACGACAAAACCGTAAGCATTTTCTCTCTAACTCGGCAGGAGATGCTGGAAACGATTCGCCATCCAATTTGCATGAACTATGCCATCATCTCGCCGGATTCAAAGGTCCTAGCAGCAGTAGGAGATGCGAATCAGATCTGGTTTTATCATGTTCGGCCAATTACCGATGAACACGGTCCCGTACAGGATGGAGATAAGCTTCTCTCTGAATGGAAGTGGCCTCTTATTAAGAAGGTCGACCTGGACTCCGACCCCCATTATGATGATCAGTGCTGCTTCACAATCGCCTTCTCGCCATGTAGCAGTCTATGTGCAGTTGGATCTCAGGGTGGAATAATCACGATTTTCGACATGAATTCCATCCTCAATGTTGACTTGGAAGGTTACAAGGCCGGCGAAGAGGTTCTATGTGTCTTTAGATCATCCAGGTCCTTCTTTGACGGCGGCGCGGTCCGCTGTATGACCTTTTCTCCACGGCCTTGGGATTTACTTGTTTGGGTTGAAGATCATGGCCGAGTGGGAGTAGCAGACATTCGTCAAGCATTTTCTCGCCGACAAATTCTGAACCTGGACATAGAAGAAGAAGGGCTCGAACGTATTCGCACCCAGAATTTGGATAAAATTGATGATGGCGAAGGATCGGAACCCGAAAGCGAAAACGAACCTTCTCGAGATCCAACCCGGTCACCTGAAGATGCTCGGGGTACTGGACGCATGTTTCGTAGGAGAATGCACGAGAGCCAACAAGATAGCCAAACTATGCGCGAGGAGCTAGCTCGAGACCTTACAGCAAGGGAACGGCAGATTATCGATTTTCTGAATACGGCCAGATGGGCATCATCTATTGAAGAAGGCCCCCAAAGGGCTCCAAGGTATGCAAGCCCGCTTCCCGGATCTGGTTCTTCGCCTCCTAGGGGTAGTCGCCATTCACCGCTTTCATCGTCCCCGCCGGATCACTTCCCTCGGCATGAGCACATCAGGGATCGTAATCTGGAGCGCACTCGTATAGGTGAGCCACGACGCCGTAGTTCTGTCGTCCTCTCCCAGGACAGTTCGTCTTCCCATAACCAGCCTAATCCTCCCAATTCAGCTTTAATACCTCACCCGACGATCACTTTACGATGGACTGCGTCCCCATCGCAATTGCCACCTTCAGATTCCCCATTCGAAACAACTCCCAGCAATTCAGCAACGACTTCGTCCGCCATCCACGTCAATGGACGAGCCAACTCTGGCTCTAATGGACATGAGGGTACTTCCGAAATCGCTATCCCGCGAGCCCGTGTACTTTTTGACCGCTCCTTAGGAGTCTCTACAAGTAACGGAATTGGCCAACGGCAGCGTGGCCTCCGATCTAGGTCCATACCCCGCCGTTCCGAGCGACCGCCGGGTGCCACAGCTGAGGTTCAAGACTCTCCAGGTGGCCCGAATGCTGAAACACGCACGAATCTAGCGGCCGAGCGGCTACGACTCCAGCGGCGTGCAGCCATCGAGGAAAGCCAGCGCCTTAACCAGTGGGAGCAACAGTATCGTCGGCTTATGGAGTTTGACCAACTTCGCAACAACCCTCGGTTTAGGAGTTTACGGGGCGACTTCTCGGACCGCCCTAATCGAGAGGAAATGGGCGTTGGGACCGCGGGAGTTGGTTGGGGCGAAGATGGACGGACGCTGTAAGCTATCTGTATAAGTGAGAGGTACTTTAGTTCGGTGACTAATTGGAATTCTTCTCCAGGTATATCGGCACCGAGGAGGGTATTTTTGAATACCAAATTAATATTCAGGACCGGAAGACATTCCCTGGTATTTCATGTCGGTAATCCATGGATTTATTTGATGGTCAAAAGCCATAGGCTCTGCATGTCGTCGACGAATTTCACGTATTTTGTTCCAAGGCGTTGTTATGGAGTATCGGAGGGCAAAATCTTGGTCTCTGAGTTTGCTATGCATTTTGGATGCATTTGGAGTCTTTTTCCTCTTTTTCTCCTCCCTTTTTCTTATCTTCTTTGTTTTTACTTGCATATGGCATGTCAGGGTCATGGGTTAGCAAGCATCTCCGGGCAATGATCAGTTATGATGACTATGTTGGGTATCTTCTTTGGTGAATGGGAGTATATATCATTAATGACAGTGGAGAGATTTATGGAGGACGAACATGGCAGATTGCAGGCGACACTGGTTAGGCAGGGATTAGGTGCAAGCAATTACACCCATGATTTTTTTTTTTTTTTCTTTCCTCAGTCAATCTTTCTAGAGGAATATCCTGGATTTTCTCTGTTTTGATCTCATGTCACCCTTAAGTCGTGTGTCACTACTTGCGATCACCTACAGTTTGTGATCAGTGTGAGACGGCATGTATAACCTACATTCAATATAGAATCAATACATTGTCATTTTATTGGTGTAGACAGCTATTTATCAAAATTATATCTCTCTGCTGGAGTTGATTCTCTAAGGGAGCTGTAGCGGGCTGGTCAAGTAACTAGGTGCATCTTGGTGCTCAGCAATTGAGATTTATCATCTAGTGATGTCGTAGAAGTAATAGTATGTAGACATTGCTTTCATTCAAAATAATTACATGAAAAGACATCTCTGACTCTCTCTCTCTCCTTTGCTTTTTTTTTCCTTTCCTTTTCCTTTCTTTTCTTTTGGGGGGGTTGATTTGCTCTTTGGACGTGCTTCTTCATTGAGCTGCCTTAATTCAAAGTTGGGATTTCGTCAAACTTGCCGCTTTTAGCTCAGATTTCCAAGCAACTTCACTGCACCCTAAGATACAGCTCACGACCTAAATCTATGTCAACAAAATATAAATAACTAGTTAACCCAGTTAAAGAGATATAAAATTAGTTGACTAGCACGCCATTCAAGGAGAGGCTATCCCGGCAAACCAAAAGCAGACCAAGCGACCAGAGAAAGCCAGCCAAGGCCAAACATGGCCAGCGACCTCGCCTCCGCCATGCAGCAGGTGCAGATCAACGCCCAAGCCCTTGACGTAGATGCTGAACTCGACGCCTGGATCGACGGGGCCGGCGAAGCCACAGAAGGCAAGCGGCGAAAGCGACAACCCCAATCCGCAGAGGAACTCAAACGGGAGCTGGAGGAAGAATTCCTGGCTCCCTCACCAAGATTCAACACCCAATGGCTAAACCGGCTCCAGAAGCGCTGGGAGGCTCCCGTCGATTATGCAGATTTATTCGAGCTTGCGCCCACCCAGACCCGGACAGTTATCAGATTCACCCGCGAGGGCCTGGAGGGTAGGGTTACTCGCTACCGTGAAGTCACTGTGCCTGCGGGTAGTGCAACGGCGAAGAACTCGACGTCGCTTCGCAGGCGGCCAGCTGGGCGGGCGGAGTTTGTGAGAGGTGCTGCGGGGTTTTATCCGTTTGAGCCCGGCGGTTTGGAAGCAGTGGAGGCTATTTCTGTTCTGGAATCTGAGGCGCAGGCTGAAGAGCTGCGGGCAAGCGCGGCGGCGGGGAAGTCTTCGCTTGATCGAATTATCAAGTTTGGAGTTGAGGGTGGGCTGTTGGAAGTTGCGCCGGGTTTATCGCGTGGGTTGGATTTCAAAAAAGAGAAAGCTGCCGAAGCTGAGAGGGATGCGGATGATGTGCAGGATGCGTTGCAGCGAGATGACAGCCAGCTGGATCGCGAGGTCGGAGAGGCTGGACACGAAGTCGATGGTGGACCCAAAAAAGAAGAGCCAGACGAAGGATTGGCCTCCGATGAGGAAGAAGACATTGATTCCTTGCTTCCTGTTGAATACCCAGCCTTGGAGCCTCGGGGGGAACTTCTGGCTGCTTCAGCGAAGAAAGCCGGGAGAGAATGGGCTCATGTGGTGGACGTTAATAAAGAGATCACGAATTTTTACGATTTGGTGCCTGATATGGCTCGAGAATATCCATTCGAGTTGGATACATTCCAAAAGGAGGCAGTCTATCACCTTGAGAATGGTGACTCCGTTTTTGTTGCGGCCCATACGTCTGCCGGAAAGACGGTCGTTGCTGAATATGCCATTGCATTGGCTGCCAAACATATGACCAAGGCCATTTACACCTCTCCAATCAAGGCGCTGAGCAATCAGAAATTCCGAGATTTCAGAAATACATTCGACGATGTGGGAATTTTAACGGGAGATGTTCAGATAAACCCCGAAGCTAGCTGTTTGATCATGACCACCGAGATTTTGAGAAGTATGCTCTACCGCGGTGCGGACTTGATAAGAGATGTAGAATTTGTTATCTTTGACGAAGTCCACTACGTTAACGATTTGGAAAGGGGAGTTGTCTGGGAAGAGGTTATCATCATGCTTCCGGAACATGTCACGCTGATTCTCTTATCCGCTACCGTGCCAAACACTTACGAATTTGCATCCTGGGTGGGTCGGACGAAGAAGAAAGATATCTACGTCATTTCTACACCCAAACGTCCCGTGCCTTTGGAGCATTTTCTCTGGGCCGGCAAAAGCATGCACAAAATTGTCGACGCTGAAAAGAGATTCATCGAAAGTGGCTGGAAACAAGCCGATGACATTTTGTCCGGGCGTGATAAGATTCGTGCACAGAAGGAAGCAGAAGCCAAAGCTAACCAGAGAGGTGGGTTCGTTGACCGTGGACGCGGACAATCTCAGCGTGGTGCCCAACGTGGTGCTCAACGAGGCGGAAGCCAGCGCGGCGGTGGCGGTCAGCAGCGAGGTGGCCCACAGCAACGAGGACGAGGACAGCCAGCTCCACGAGGCATTGGCAACATCGCGCGAACCGGACGAGGGGGCGGGCGCACCACAGCAGCTCAAGATCGAAATATATGGGTCCACCTTGTGCTACATCTTAAAAAAGAAAGTATGCTTCCAGCATGTATTTTTGTGTTTTCGAAGAAACGGTGTGAGGAAAATGCGGATTCGCTATCTAATCAAGATTTTTGTGTGGCCTCCGAGAAGAGCTCGATCCACATGCTCATTGAGAAATCGTTAGCCCGTCTAAAGGTGGAGGACAGACGACTCCCTCAGATTCGAAGAGTGAGAGAATTGCTCAGCAGGGGAATCGGCGTGCATCATGGTGGTCTTTTGCCTATTATCAAAGAAATTGTGGAGATTCTCTTCGCCAGAGGTCTCGTTAAGGTTCTATTTGCTACTGAGACGTTCGCCATGGGGCTGAACCTGCCTACTAGGACCGTGGTCTTCTCCGGTTTCAGGAAGCATGATGGTAGGCAATTTCGGGACCTTCTTCCTGGGGAGTATACCCAGATGGCCGGTAGAGCCGGGCGCCGTGGTCTTGACACTGTTGGGTCAGTGATAATTGCCACCTCCGGGCGAGACGAGGCGCCTCCGATTTGGGCTTTGAAGAAGATGATTCTTGGTGATCCTACTAAGCTTCGTTCCCAGTTCCGTCTCACTTATAATATGATCTTGAACCTTCTGCGTGTAGAGGCACTGAAAATTGAGGAGATGATCAAGAGAAGCTTTAGCGAGAATGCCACACAGGCGCTCTTGCCTGAACATCAGAAGCAGGTGCAAATATCCGAAGCTACGCTGGAAAAGATAACACGAGAACCATGCGCCATCTGCGATATTGACCTGGAAACATGCCATAGAGCATCAGTTGAGTTTGGGCGTTTGACCGTTAGGCTCCACACTCTCCTTTTGGCGTCCCCGGTGGGCAGACGGCTCTTCGCAACGAAGAGGGTAGTGGTATATAGAAAGGTAAGTCGTTACGTTGGCTTCTTAAGTGTTCTACTGACATCTCCATAGAATGGTGTGCGAACAGTCGGCATGCTGGCGAAAGAGGGTGTTAGCGGCGGCGCTGCACCCTCGCTTCAAGTCTTCGAATTTGGGCCTCAAAGTCTAGTCCGTCACCCTAGTGATATCCTGCCGTATCTCCCTATGTTCCGGCATTACTTCGTGCCGCTGCCAAGATTAGCTTCCGACATGCATCTGAAGACTTGCAAGGTCCCACTTATGGATCTAGAATGTGTCACGTCGGCCGTGGTAAAGTTTGGAGGTCCGCCTTACGCTCTAAATAATAAGAAGGGTGAGTTTTGGGCTCGATGCATTAGGTTAATTGGCTTTTATTAACTGCGTATCGAACAGAGGGATTGAAGATCGCAAACAAAGAGTTAATACCCTTGGCTTCGTCGTGGGAAAAGGCTGAATGGGATGAGCTTGACTGGGGCCGGATGAAGGAATTGCAGGTTATAGAGGTTTTAAACGAGAGGCAGAAACAACTGGAAATCGCCCAGTCATGCCAGTGCTTTCAATGCCCCCAGTTCTTGAAGCATGTGAGTAGTAGGATCGGATGGCAAGCTGCTAAATGAAAGCTAATATGAGAACACAGTTTGAAATGCAACATGATGAGTGGCAGGTGAAGGAGAATATTTCGCAATTAAAACAGCTGATGTCAGATCAAAACCTTCAATTGCTGCCAGACTATGAGCAGCGGTTACAGGTGTTAAAAGACCTTGGCTTCGTTGATGAGGCCTGCAGGGTGCAGCTCAAGGGTAAAGTTGCATGCGAGGTGAGCCGTACCATTTTATCTCATCTCAATAACTTAATGACTAACCTGCGCAGATCCACTCGGCAGACGAGTTAGTCCTCACGGAACTGATACTCGAGAACGTCCTGGCCGAGTATGAACCCGAAGAAATCGTTGCTCTTCTATCCGCCTTTGTGTTTGAAGAAAAGACCGAGAACGCTCCGACGTTGACGCCGCGACTAGAAAAGGGTAAAGAAGCGATTATCGATATCTCTAATAGGGTCAACGACCTTCAAGTCAAACATCAAGTGATATTGTCCAGCGAAGACGCAGGCGACTTTGAAAGCAAACCACGCTTCAACCTTGTCGAAGTTGTCTATGAATGGGCACGAGGAATGTCTTTCAACCGCATCACTGATTTAACTGATGTGATGGAGGGCACAATCGTGAGAGTGATCACTCGTCTCGATGAAACATGCCGCGAAGTGAAGAGCGCCGCGAAACTGGTGGGGGATCCTTCGTTATACACGAAAATGCAGACAGCACAGGAGATGATCAAGAGAGATGTCATATTCGCCGCCTCTCTATACATGTAGACCTTTTTACGAGCCTTTCGCCACGGGGGGTAGGTGTCAAAATGACGCCGTTAGTGGAACGTTCTCGCCTCTGTTCGGTTCGAGCCCTGCTTGGGGGTCTCTGTGCAAGGAGGCTAGCACGCTTGAATGAATTCCTATGCTGTGAGACCCAAAGGGAGTAGTCAAATCGGAATCACCTCCTTCATCCACTAGGCGAGGGCAATCGCCCTTTTCCCTCATGTACCTATCGTTTTACTGTTGAAGCGTGTCGCGACATGCAGTGTGGGCGCCAACGAAGACAGAACAAGGAAAATAGACAGGCAGGCAGCCGGCGAATTTATCGTTGGATCTCATTTGTAGCGATTATTCCTGGTTTTTTGACGATTTTATTGGTAGACATGGAGCGACTGGGTATAAAAAGATGTTCCTGAGCGGGCGGGAAAAAAAAATAAGTTTAGGAGAACCACTCAATTTATTAAATATTTTTTTTCTAAATCCTTGTCCCCGCCGATCTGTGCATTCAAACAATTCTGACCCCAGAATTCTGAATCCCTCAAATCGACGGTCTCCTTGGTCGTCTCCTGAGCCCGAGCTTGCATGAGGCCCAGCCTTCCAGTAATAATTTGACCTTCTTCTCATTCATCGCCTTTGACTCGGTGCTGGGGGTTTATCAGGTCCGCAAAGATGGATGTGGCAGGCCTACGGGACCGCATTCAGGCGACTCTCGATGCCAACGGGGATATTCGACGACAGGCAGAATTAGACTTGAAATATGTGCGTTGATCGACATTTCCCTCAGAAAAACATGTTACGCTTGTTGTACCAAATCTGCTAACGTGTTTATTCTGCTTGATTCTCGTCTAGGCTGAGAGCCAACCTGGGTTTCCGAATGCGCTGTGCGATATCCTTCAAGCCGAGCAGGACCAGGCTGTTCGACTATCCAGTATGACGAATAATCCCTCCATCCCATCCCTAAGCGCGATATCACTTGGATTCTGACTTGTTGTAGCCGTCGTCTACCTGAAGAACAGAGTGATTCGAGGATGGTCTCCCGAAGAAGATCATTCCCTCCACAAGCCGATCCCAGAGGAGGAGCGAGGGTCCCTGCGAAATAGATTACTCCCCATGCTCGCGTCCTCCCCGCCCCCCATTAGGTCGCAGTTGGTTCCTATGCTTTCGAAGATCTTGCAACACGATTTCCCAGAGAAATGGCCCAACTTTATGGATATCACGTTGCAGTTGCTCAATGGCAGCGATGTCAACTCGGTCTTCGCAGGTCTTCAGTGTCTATTGGCCATCTGTCGAGTGTACAGCTACAAGGTAACCGAGGATGATAAGAAGGCCGAATTCGATGAGATCGTGGATCATTCCTTCCCTCAGCTATTGAATATCGGTTCTCGACTCGTCAATGAAGAAAGTGAAGAAGCCGGAGAAATGCTTAGAACTGTGATGAAGGCCTACAAGCATGCTATCTATGTGAGGCTCCACGTTCCCGCGATGTTCCCATAACGGGTTCCGTGAAGACTGACTGCTCAACGCTCTTTCGTCTAATTAGATGGAGCTGCCTTCGCATTTAATGTCGGACCAAGCCACCGTTGACTGGTGCACTTTATTTTTAAGGATAATTGACAAAACGCCCCCTCCATGCTCGATGACCGGAGAACCCGCTGACCGAGAACTTACCCATTGGTGGAAATCCAAGAAGTGGGCATATGCGAACCTCAACCGTCTTTTTGTCCGGTATGTCAGGTTTTGGTCTTACATTCATCAACATCATCATTTTAACATATCTTTTGCTCTACAGATATGGAAATCCATCGGCACTTGGAAAGTCTAGCAAACCGGATTATGCGCAGTACGCCAAGATGTTCATGACCGCTTTCGCGCCTGAGATCTTGAAGGGTTATCTCCAGCAAGTGGACAAATGGGTGTCAGGAGGGTTGTGGTTGAGCAAGCCAGCCTTGTATTACACTCTAGTCTTCCTCGAAGAGTGCGTCAAACCGAAGGCTGTGTGGGACCATTTGAAACCGCATATCGAGAACCTGGTTGCGCATCTTATCTTCCCGCTTCTCTGCCAGACGGACGAGGATATTGAGTTGTTCGATTCCGACCCAGCGGAGTACCTTCATCGTAAACTGAATTTATTCGAAGAAGTGTCTGCTCCAGATGCAGCTGCGACAAACTTCCTTATCGCCCTTACAAAGACACGGAAGAAGCAGACCTTTTCGATTCTTACCTTCGTCAATAGCGTTGTGAGCAAATACGAATCTGCGCCGGATGATCAAAAGCTGCCTCGCGAGAAGGAAGGTGCTTTACGCATGATTGGTTCTCTAGCCTCTGTCATCCTGGGCAAAAAGAGTCCCATCGCCGACCAGGTCGAATACTTCTTTGTTCGCCATGTCTTCCCAGAGTTCCGCAGCCCTCATGGGTACCTTAGAGCTCGTGCCTGCGACACTCTAGAGAAGTTTGAACAACTCGATTTCCAGGATCCAAACAATCTTATGACTATTTACAGAAGCATTTTGGATGCTTTGGCAGACAGTGCTCTGCCAGTTAGAGTTGAAGCAGCACTTGCATTGCAACCCTTAATCCGTCACAATGTCATCCGCACTTCTATGCAAACGAATATTCCGCAAATCATGCAGCAACTTCTTAAACTGGCTAATGAAGTCGATGTTGATGCTTTGGCAAACGTTATGGAAGACTTCGTTGAGGTTTTCTCAACCGAGTTGACGCCCTTCGCCGTTGCTTTGTGTGAACAGCTACGGGACACCTACATGCGCATCATTCGGGATCTCCTCGATCGAAAGAATTCTAAAGGCGAAGACGAAATGTATGGGGACTTCTTGGATGACAAGAGTATTACGGCATTGGGTGTTTTGCAGACCATTGGCACCCTGATCCTGACCCTCGAAAGCACCCCGGATGTGCTCTTGCATCTGGAAACCATCTTGATGCCAATCATTTCCATTACTCTCGAGAACAAACTCTATGGTACCCTCTACTCTCTTGACCTTGGACACATTTCAATGAGTTAACTAACATTTCCCAGACTTGTATAATGAAGTGTTTGAGATCATCGATTCCTGCACTTATGCGGCGAAGTCTATCTCCCCAACTATGTGGCAAGCTTTTGTCTTGGTTCACAAGACATTTAAAACAGGAGCAGAGCTTTATCTTGAAGGTTCGCACCTTGTCTTTTACTTCATGATTCTAATTTTGTTGACTGACTTTTTGTTAAGATATGCTTCCGGCCCTGGACAATTACGTGACTTACGGATCTGCCATGTTAATACAAAACCCTGAATACCTTGCCGCCATTGTAAGCATGGTGGAAGACATATTCCGCGATGACAAGACAGGCGGCGTAGACAGGATCTGTGCATGCAAGCTCGGTGAAGCGATCATGCTCAATTTGCGCGGCCATGTGAATCAATATATCCCAGTGTTCATCAGCTTAGCGATGCCAATCCTAGCCAACGATGGAGCTATGACCAAATCTTACCGTATTCACCTCATGGAGATGGTTATCAATGCCATCTACTACAATCCTCTCCTGGCACTCCAGGTGCTGGAGAGCAACGGATGGACCAATAAGTTCTTCAGCAGTTGGTTTTCCAACATCGACAGCTTTAAGAGGGTGCATGACAAGAAACTATCTATCGTTGCCATCAGTGCTCTGTTGACGATGCGAGCCGAAGACGTTCCTGCGAGCGTGCAGCCAGGCTGGCCCCGGCTTCTTCAAGGGATTAGCAGGCTGTTCCAGACGTTGCCTGCCGCCGTCAAATGTATGTCGTTCCCGCTATATCGTCTTCTGCTTCAGGTGTACTGACTATGTAACAGTGCGAGAGCAAGCCACAAAGGAATCTGACTTGCAGTTCGATGACACTGGCGATGACGATGATTTCGACAACGACTGGAGTGGAGAGGTGGAGTGGACAGACCAGGACGAGACAGACGGCGCTGACGGCGACTTTGGAGACGAAGGCTCAGCCTATATTGAGTTCTTGAACCGAGAGGTGAGTTTGATTCTGCCCCAAAAGAAAACAATACATCTTTAATGGTTGTTCCGATTGACCAACAATGCTAAGGCGGTAAAGCTTTCAACTATTCCGGATGACGACGAAGACGAGCTGGACGAAGAGAGTTTACTAGAATCCCCTCTCGACAAAGTGGAACCATACAGCGTGTTTAAAACTTCCCTTCTGAGTGAGTAACAATGCTACGTCACATTTAAGCTGCTCGCTGACCCGAGATGTTCAGATCTTCAACAGAGCCAACCTCACCTCTACGAGAATCTCACCAAGATTCTCAATGCCGAGGAGCAGCAGGTGATTCAAGGGGTAGTCGATGAAGCAGACGCGCACGCACTGGCAGCTGAAAATGCAAATGCTGAGCTTGCAAAATTAAACGGAGGGTCTTGACGAATCAAAAAAGTAATAATCTACAGTGATAGAATGGCCGAGCGAGTATGATGGGATATCTTGCAAAGACAATGTTCTCGTTTTGAGTTTGACACCCCATGTTTGTTACTCTTGTTACCCCCCAAGGCGTGAGTTCTGTCAAAGTATTTGCGTTCTGTTTTATGTCACCCATTGGCTCCTCATGCAGTTCAAAGTTACACCAAAAATGAAACGGGTTATGACCGCAAGAAGGGTCTAAACTCCTTTCCCGATCATAATATGGACAATTTTCCTGTGCAAAATGTCCCTCGAGAGAGTTGAAGAAGTACAACACACATAGCCATTTACACTGAGAGCGAGCTCGAATTGCCGTTCAAGGGGAAACCTGCGTTGAGCCGCGACAGCCGGAAACTCAATTAATCCGTTTTCCGTTATCTGTCAGCGGACAGTTTTGGCAGTGACGTCACAGTGATGCCATTCTCCATCAGGCTCCCCTGGCTGGACGAGATCATTTGCCCGTTGCGCTCTGCTTTTGGACGCCATACACAGGGGACACTCCAACAGTCGACCCAGCTGGAACCCAGGAAACCTGGAATGAGGGAAAAGCTTTCTCCATGGAAAGCAGGATATTCGCCCCTCTATAAGTAATTTAAGTCTTTGCAGGCGTACGGATAATCAGCGCATATTTTCGTCAAACATCCTTCTATAACATCAAGAAAAAGAATCATTTTCTGAGTACCATCCCAACTACAATAAACTTGAAGCCTCTCCTTTCAGAAACATCTTCTTCTACCCGAACTCAGACGATTCCCTTCCTTTGATACGTCCAAGAGTTTACCAAGGCTTGGGAGACATATACAGACAACCACACAATGTTTGCAGGCCGTCAATCGCCGTCCCCTTCCCGGCAAACCGGGCGCCAGCAATCCGACCTCCCAGGTTGGACGGGCCAGGCGGAAAGCCACAATGGTCATGCCTCACTGTTCAATCCTTCTGCGCACACAGCGAACGCCAAACCAACCAAGGAAGAGATGGAGGACCAGAGCCGAAGGAAAGACAGTGCTTCGAGCGAGACAGATGGAGGAGTTGAACACTTAGAGAGCAATCCGGTGCATCCACTGGCGGAAATAGCGAAGGGGAAGATTCATTGATTTTTGCTTGAACTTTCAATATGTTACATTATGTTGCGGGATATGAGAGATAAGACAATGCACCTGCAGAGATGACATGTTGGGGTATACGGAAAGTAGGCTGTCAAAGAAGCGATTCTAAACACATTAGCATCAAATTGATTCTTCATACTATTATTAATATCGTGAATAGTTTTAAGAGCAGTAAAGTGCAAACCCTTTTTTCACGAAAGCCGCTAACATTACAACCGGATATAAAAAGAGCCCGGGCCTGCTGATTACACTGTATCGAGAGGGACATATTCGAAGTTTGGGGGGAAAAAAGAGGTGGGAATCTGAAGGAATGATAAAAGTGCCCACAGTAACGCAAAGAAGTAGAAGAGTTAAACCTTTGTTTCAGTGGCCGGAGCGGCTTCACTCGCAGCAGGATCACCAGCAGGCACCGCCGGTGGCTGCTCCTTTTGCTCTGGCCCCTCAGCACTCGGAGACTTTTCCCGTTTCAAATCCGCCAGACGTCTCGCTTCACTATGGATATCCCGGACTTGCTTATCACTATTGAGGTAGAAATCCCGAATCTTGCGACCGGTGGGCGTATCGAGAGCCTTCTCGAAGTAAGAGCTAAAACCTCTCCATCCCCGCTCTGCCTTCTCGCTAATCTTGTAGCTCTCATCGATCCCCTTCGCCTTGTCGGTGGCATGATATTTCCTGTCAAAGTTGGCCAAGGCGGTCTGGAAGCGGTTCGAGAAGCCATGCTTTTTATCGATCTCGATGGCCTTTTGGATAGCGTTGTCACTGATGACGTAACCTTGCGCGAGATATTCGGCGAAGATTCTCGAACGAGGTTTGTCTTCCTGTTCTAGAGTTTGATTGTTCTCGTCTTTGGCTTGTGATGCGTCAGCGGCCTTGCCTCCCGCAATTTCGTCAATCGAACGTGCGGCGGTTACGTGGACGGATGAAGGGCCGAGCTGGGTCTGGTCGAGAAGGAGAGCAGTTTTTGCCGCGCTGTGAAGGAGGTATTAGCGAAATCGTCTGTTAATTGACATTGACATTGACATTGATCATAGAGTATATTGTAGACAAATAGTAGTTAAGGATAGTGGGTGCTCTTACGTCTCCTTCTCAAAGGTCACAGTCGCAGATTGCGGGGCATCCTTTTCACCGGATGATGGAGTGAGGGAGAGCGAAGTGATCTTTCCACTGAAGAGGCCATTAGTGATGTTCACCCAAAAGTTAAATTTCCGGAGGCGTACTCCGTACGGAGTACAACATACCAAAAGCTAAAGAAATCTGTCACCTCCTTCTCGCTTGTGGAAGACGCAATATTGGATACATGAACCGTCGTAGACATGATGGACTGTAGAGACTGGTGAAGCAACTTTGTTTTGAAGATCTCAGCTTGCCAGCTTAAAAATTTCCCTCTAGGCAACAATAAGATGGATAGTGGAAAGCGAATATTTCCCCCCTCACAAAATCAAGATTCCCAGGTGTTATATATCTCTAGGGGATTGCTCCGAGCCAGATGACAAACGATTTGAACGGCGGGGTGAAAGTAACTGCGCCACAGGTGACGTAGTTGCTGAATCCACCAGCCACAGTCTAGGCGGTCGTGTCTGATTGGTCGATTTGGCATAAAGACTCCGCTCTGGAGCGCATTTGTATCTCTTTGCGGTAAAGTCGCGGGAAGGGTACCTACGTCACAAAGTAGGGAATCGCTGCGAGTTTCTCCCTCCAGCTTTGGGGAATAACGGCATTGCTGGGATCGTGAGGGATGGCAGATGCACCCATTCCTCTCTACTATCATCTAGTAATTTCCGCTGATACAAACTATCCGAGTATGGTATGCAGTTCAATTCAATGAACGGAGTAGCATTGGAAGGAATACATTCTATTACATTCCAGTGAATCTGCCTTGGATCACAATTTCTCCATCTCAAGTTCTATCCAGCTGGAGTAAAAGGAAAAGCGACAGCATCATAAACCCGAATACTGGACCCCCCATCAGAGTCGAAGAGCCTTTACCTTCACCTCATTGGTCATTGGAGATCGACGCCGCCCGTAAGCCAGCCGTAAGGGTCGAGGTCGCCTCTGAGATTCTGGTCCGTCCTCCCGCTTCTGATCGCCGATATTCTCGAATTGTAGCCTCGAGTTCCCTGACACGACGGCGAAGCATCTCATTTTCCCTTTTTGTAGCTTCCAACTCGGCCCGATGAGTGGAGACCTCTTCATACCGTGCTGCTGCATGGGTTGCTGAGAGAGATCCGCGACGAGAGCCCTCCCTCGGAGCTTGCGTCTGGCCAGAACTGCCCGGCGCAGGGAGGAAAGTCTGCGACAGCCTGTAGGAATGAGAGTGAGGATGGCTCGACGGCATGAAATGTTCGCCATGCTGCTGGAACGATGACGACAATGCTGGGGATGCGTGGCCCGATGGAGCACGGGATGCAATCGACGGTTCGCGACTGGCGTTTCCGCGATGATAGTCTAGGGATTGGCGTGATGGAGGACCGCCCTCTCGCGACGGGGTGATGCCGGACACGCTCCCGATCGGCAGAGACGTGGCACCCGCAAAACTACGTGAACTGAGTGTCGAGGACGATCGATTTCGCGATCTCGGGTTGTAAAGAATGGGGCCTTGCTGGTGATCCGCGAGATCATTAACATTAGTCGATGTTGAGGAGGCAGTCGAGGCAACAGACGCGGTTTGCTGACGCAAGAGACTCAATTCACGGGTAAGACGGTTGACCTATAAGCAATATTAGAAGGGAGCTCATATGTAGCCATTATCGAGGTCGTGTGTTCGCTCCGTACAACTGCCTCTTGCTCTTTCTCCATCTCCAAATGTAGATCAGCGACGGTCATCGGACGCGGGTGACGTAAGGGATCTATCAGTGAACAAACGAGTCTGTCAGCCAGGGGAACTTGTTGTCTCTATTCGCCATGCATCCTTGTTGCACTGATTCTTCTGGGGGTCGCAGTACAATTTGGTGGTGTTCTGCCATCATCGCCGTCCTTCACATCGGTCGAGTTTGCGATAGGAGTAGGGCCCGACATGGCATGCTGGCTTTCCAGATCACCTATCCACAAGGGCAAAGGCATTCAAAGTCAACAATCCCAATTTCATCTAAAGCCAAAGAGCCATGTGCCCTGGAATTTTGGGTTTTACCGTACCAGGGGGAGCGTTCCGCTCAGGAGGATTCATAGTTTCCGACCAACTCTCAACCGCACTAAATGGTATGTGCCACTGTGCTTGGGTCTGCTGTGGTTCAGTTAATCATGCTTTGACATTCATGGTTCAGGACAGTCTTCGCCTGGAAGATGCTGAAAGGCTTTTTTTCTTTTTTTTTCTTTCCTTATTCAAATTTTCCAGTTATGGCTGAAGATGCATAGATCGCCGTAGCAACAAGAGCGACTAAAAAAGAGTGTTCCTTTGACGCACTTCCGTCCATGATCAGATGTGTGGTGCCTAGTTAGTGTGCCAGCAGGCCTGCCAACTGCCAACTAACGAGTTGCCAACTGGGGGGTGCGTAGTGTAACCATGTCAATATCACATCATGGAGGAGATCTTACTCCAACTATCCAAATTAAACCAGGAGGAAATTCAACCACCAACTACAGCCTCGTAAAGTTAAAATATACATTTTTCCTTGATAAATTTGATACAAGTCAAAAAAGAAAACTTTGAGTTAGCTTGTATACCCTGTGGAACTGTATTTGAAATCGACCTTGAACAAGCTCTCCAGCTGCAAATAATCACCTTGAGAGGAGCGGGTGACAAAAAATTGAATTGCCAAAAGAGCAGCAAACGAAAAGGAGAAAACAATCACCGCATTTACTCCTGTACAAATTAATTGGAAACAGCCATGCCACAAAAGTTATCCTCAAAACATAGTCATCCGGATCCCCGCGTCCCAAAAAAAAAGAAAAAAACTCCACATCAGCGCTTCAAAAAACCCGGAGTGTATCACCTAGAGTACAGTACGAATCAAAAGGTGCAAGAGAGAAAGAGAAGGGGAAAAAAGGACCCACAAAAAATAAATAAAAAAAAAAAAGAACGCTTGATTCCCCGGGATCAGCAAACTTCGTCGTATTCTGAACTTCGAAAGGAGCATAAGGAGGGAATAAAATGGAGAAAATTGCAGGTTATATCAGCAGCACATATGCGTAGCCAGCCGCTTCAAAGCTCTCCTGTCATGAAGAGGCACGTTCATCACCTGTGTCTTGACTAGCTAGCTTGCGGTGCCTAGACTTGATTGCGGAAGCACCTCCGCTGAAGACATATGCACTTCTTTACCCAGAGTATCCTTTTGTTCAAGAGAGGGGGAAGAAGATAGTAGCGTAACTTGATCTGGTTCGTTTGGCGCAGAATTTTCGGAGGGCTCCTTTACTGCTGGAGCTCCCTGTACTTGTTCGTTCGTGCTTCCAGGACGATTCATACTTTCACCAGAATCACCCGATGGAGTATCATCAATCATTGCGGCAAGGCTTCTGAATCCATGAATGGCGGCCAAACTGGAACTCGACCCGTTATGCGGCGTTCCAGAGCCTATTGATTCGCCGAATGCAGACTCAACAAGTGAGGAATTGGAAGAGGAGGCACTAGAGACGTGGCGAAGATGCATATTTTTGCTTGAGCCTTCCAGCATTGAGCTGAATTGCTCGCCCTTGAGGTCTTTTATGGTAATCTTTGGTGGTTCGGTCGAAGAGCCTGCTTCAGTCGATACACCTGGCCTTGGCTCCGAACGATCTACGCCTTTGCCTTTGTTCGCGGACATGTCGAGTTCAGAATTCGCTCCACCTGCTGTTTGAACAGCAGAATTGGCGGAAGAGGTACTCGATGTAAGATTGCTCGGATTCTGGCTATCAAGCCCAGCCTTCTTTGCACTCTTTTCGGCCTTCTTAGCCTCCTTCTCTCGACGCTTGGCTTCTTTTCTGGTTTCTTTCTCTTCCTTTTTACGTCGTTCTTCCTCAGCAGCCAAGCTCAGCCTGATGGCTTCCATCATCATCATCTCTTCTAGCTCATCGATCCGGCTACGGCGAGAGCTAGCTCGAGGGGGAGCAAGATTAGTAGTGCTATCAACCGGAGAAGCGTTGTCGCGATCAGTGACAACCCGTCGCTCGGCAAGGTATGCCATTGCGTTTACATGCGAAGGTGCCGTCCTGCCACCTGGGCTATCTTGACCAGCGGTTCTTCTCAACATGCCGCGTCGCCTGGGCTCACCTGGACCCCCGGGGTTATTCATCATATACGCAGCCGTATGGAGCGCGGTGGCAGCGGCGGATCTTCTGGCGGCCTGCGCTCTCGCTGCAGCAAGTTTCGTGGCCCAGTCTGGACGAACCCTGTCGGTAGTTATCACGCTGGGTGAATCGGCAGATATCGAGACAGCGCGCCGCCTGGTACCCGGGTTGGCACCCCCAGAGACCAACGACGACGCTGAGGACGCAGCCGAAGAATTAGCAAGCGCATGGACGCCAGGACTGGCTGCATACGCTAGCCCGCGGCGGAACGGGGGTGGAGTATACATGACACCGAATTCGGGTTGGACGCAGAAAGGGCATGCCGCAGGTTCCGAAACGAGTTGTCCCTCCGGCTCGTCCGGATGGGTGGTTTCGGAATTGTTTGGATCATGATGCTCGGGAGGGTGGGGGTCTGGACGTTTTATCTGTACAAAACATTCCGAACATATTGGTTGATCGCAGCATCTCGTCTTGTTCAGATAAGGCGGGTAATAAAGGAAACAGATAGGGCATTCAGAAGCATCTTTGTACAAGTATGCCTCGATCGGCTGCCCGTTGACAAAAGGGTCCTTGGGAAGCTGAAGTTCGCGAGGGGCCATATCAGATGCGGGCGTTTTTGAAGATGTCGTCAGAGAGGCCAACGTTTTAGCACGGCCTCTAAGAAAGGAGTTTGTCGGACTCAGAGCTCCAGGTGACCGCGCGGGCGATATAGTACGATTAATCGACGACGTATCCGAATTGTAAGACTGGGATCTCGACGTTATTGGGACCATTAAGGTATTGAGATTTCTTTCTGGTGGCTGTTTTTCCGCGGAAGACTTCGAGGGTATTTTATATTCCAGCTCGGGGGGCACTTCATCCGGCGCGGGGATTGGCATCCCTCTAGCAGCGGCCATCAACTGGTGCTCCGTCCATGACTCCGAGAAATCATTCAACCCTCTCCAAAAGGGGGCAAGGCGTCGTTCGATCTAATGCCAGTGTCAATAAAATATTGGCTCCATCACCAACCAAATATGTGATGGAATCCGTACCATTAACTGCCTTACTATCGCTTTATTGAAGTCCTCCGTGCCAACATACACCCCTTGTGTCACCAGATAGCCACCATCGACATGCTCTTCCTTCATGCTGCGCTGGCGCTCTTTAATTCTGGCTGCATTTTCCTTTTCTCGCTTCCTAGCTTCTCTCTCTTGTCTTGTTTCGCGACGATGCTCCACTGGCTCTCTTTCAGCTCCGAGACCGAGCAGAGCAAAATCAGACCGGCCACCGCGGAGAGCGCGGGACGAGCTAGCATGTATACCATCTGAGGGCCTGTAATGATCGTATGCTGCCGTGGAAGCGGTTGATCCGCCTCGCGAATGCCGAGCGGAGTGTTCCTGCGAGGACCGGCTCTCCTTCGTCGCTGCGTTTCCCATACTGAATATGGGCGGTAATTAGGAACTCCAGCAGACCAGGGCCAAGAAGGATAGGGGGAGGGGAGACCCGACGACGACCTATGGAAAGAAGGAAAAGTGAGATCTCGTCTCTATGAATATTCGAGGCTTTCTATAAATAAAGAAAGGGGAAAGTCTGAGGATTTTTTGGTGGGACTGTGGACCGCCTGCAGTGCCCTCGTTCGTGTGGCGGGCCGCGGAACAGGTGCACGGACTACGAAGGTACCGTAACCCTTGGACGTACTCGACGTTTGTCAGGAAGCAGAACGGCCATATGAGCGAAGATTTTGCGTGCAGGTTATGGCGGTGAAGGCATAGCAGTACAGTGGAGGAGTTGGTATGGCAGTGATGGCTCGAAAGGGCGGAAATGAGAGTCCAGAGGGTGTTGGGCAGATGAATCACTTTGAGTTTATGACATGCGTCGTGGACGGGGAGTCCAGATTCACATGGAAGCGGGTAGGACGACCTTATTATAAACGTTGAGAGCAAGTGATGGCAAATTGCACGTTAAAGCAGCTCCGTAACAACAGTTCTCTTGTGGAAGATCATTGATCCACCAATATCGACATGGATGACGATAAGTTGTGTGCATTGAGAGCACAAAGGAGATTTGTAGGTTCAGGATCTGGAAGGGAACCCCAGACGCAGGCCTGGAGGAGGCTTGTGATGGACTGCTGGGGGAGGGGAGAAGGTGGTGAAGGAGATGGGCAGCCAGGCAGCGCCTCCACGAGAGTTATCGAGTTTTCGCCTCCTTCACCGTCGAGCCGGCGACTGACAAGCGTTCGGCTGGGCCATTTCTCTTGCGTTCCTGCTCGTTCTGGCGGTGGCGGGCACCGATTACCTCAGCTGGGGCTTGTTGACGCGGCGCCACATGATTCCGTTGCTCCCATTGGACAGTTCCAATTATGTAATTTATTTCAAGGTTTCTTGCTTGTGATTGGCTACAGGGCGTCAAGGCCCGAAAAAAAGCGAAATTTCGCTGGGAGAAGAAGATACAAGCTGCTGAATGCTGGTGGTGCTGCATGACGGCAGCTGGCGAGGACAGAGCGGGTGCGATGGCCTCCAGAGCACACCCAGAATCCTTATGACAGCTGCAGAGCCCCTATCTTGCCCTCAGCCTCGATCCCCGATGTCAACTTCCCCGGTGAAGCGACTCCACATCACGCCCCTGGACGCAGCTCTGCTCAATACCATCCTGCATCCGACGACCCGTTCCCTGGCAACAGACATCTCCTTCCACACCGTCCAGACGTTCCCTGAGAGTAATTATGGGTTCGTAACGCTGCCCACGGCCGAAGCGGAAAAGTTGGTTAAAAAGCTGAATGGTTCGATCCTGAAAGGCAGGAAGCTCCGGATCCAGGAGGCTAGGCTCAGAAGGGAGATACCGCTCGAGGAGCTCATCGCTTCTCCCAAGGATCCTGGCCCAAAGGTAACTTGCAATACCGCTATGGCGAAAAAACGCAAAGCTGGTGATGACGCCATCGAAGGTTATGAATTGCCGTCAGAGCGTCGCGTAAAGCGAGGATGGACTGAGGCGCCCGATAAAGAGAATCGATCACGGAAGGCCGACAAGAAAGAGCAGAAGAAAGACAGCAAGGGCAAGAAAGCTCAGAAATCTAAATATACAAATAACCCGGAATGTCTCTTTCAGACCCTGCCTCCCCCCAATAAAGCAGACCTTTCCAAAGCGGATAAAAAAAGAAAAAGAAAGCCATCCGACACCGCTGCTGTTGTGGTCCATGAGTTCGAAAAGTTGACTACCCATCCAAGCTTCTTAAGGACCGGCCAGGACTCGTCATCGAAGAGTCTGACAAACGAGTACGTTGACGGGAAAGGGTGGCTTGACCGAAGTGGGAGCGTGAAAGAAGCTAGCTCGCTGAAAACCAAGCCGGAGCCCACAAGTCGGATAAGGCCGCAAAAGAGAAATGTCTCAAAGATTTCGGTTCAAATCACCGAAAACTGGGCTCCAAGTTCTAGTGAGGACGAGACTTCATCGTGCGGATCGTCAAGCGAAGAAGAATCGTCTGGATACTCGTCCTCGTCCTCTAGCGATGAGGCCTTAAATAAAGAAACTACGAACGATTGCGTTGTTCCTCCGTCGCGGTCTACCTCCAAGCGCAGTTCCAATGACAAATCACTTGCGGGAAATGGCGATATACCTTCGTCGACTACCTTGGCAATGGACGAAGCCTCCAGCGATTCTACTTCTGAATTATCTGACGAGGGCGGCGTGGATCAAGGGAATGAAAAGATCAGGGATCGTCACGATTCCATTGACGGTGTTGATGATGAAACATCCTCGAGCAATTCCTCTAGCGAAGATGGCACCGCCGTCTCTAGTTCAGCCTTGGATGGCGGGGACTCTCACTCCGATGAGGAGGAGGAAATCGAAAACGAACCCCCAACCAAAGAGGTTCAACAGGCCGACACAACCCCAGAGTGCGTGCATGCCCCCAAAGAAATCCACCCCTTGGAAGCTCTGTTCAAACGGCCAGCGTCGGCGGCAGCAACCCCGCCCGGAAAGGCGCAACCCGCGGCTAGCACGGCGTTCAGCTTTTTTGGCAACGCCGAAGAAAATAGCGACATCGAAGACGAAGATGATTATACGACCAGTCTCCATGGGGCCGATGGCAACATTGTTGCTGAACCTCAGACGCCCTTTACAAAAATGGATTTGCAAATCCGCGCTGTGCGTAGCGGTGCCCCTACTCCTGACACCGCTGCCGTCAGCAAAGTTAGATTCTGGGAAGAAGATGAAGAGGAGGACAGTGCAGATGTCGACGCAGAAGGGAATGACAGGGGCGTCGGAACTATGAAACCAACAACCATCTTATCTAAAGCCACCGAGCGAAAGGGCCCAGAGGCCGATGGAGAAAGCGAATTTTCGAAGTGGTTCTGGGAGAACAGAGGCGATAACAACCGTGCTTGGAAGAGGAGACGAAGAGAGGCGGGTAAAGAGAAAAGACAAAGGGAAAATAGGCGACGGGGAAGATAATAACCCGTACGGGTCCTACGTTGAAAACCATATGCATAGAATGTTTGCGATGTGGCTATTATACTCTTGACTTGATGTGGAAATGAAATAGAATATGATGAATGAAACTTTCTTCTTTTTTCCACGAGATCAAATTCTTCACTCTATTTGCAACCCCCCCTTGTCCTTTTTTTTTTTTTTTTTTTTTTTTTTTTGTGGCTCATTCCTCTGCGTACAAATTAAGTGATCATCAAGAGATTTTAGCCTGCAGCCCCTGAATGTGGGATTCGTCTGCGTGTGACTGTTGCAATTGTTGAGGCAAGGTCATGACTTGGATCGGATGTTTTACATTGATCATACCAGGAATCAATGCTTCCAGGGCGAGTGCAAAGGCTGTTCCACTGCTTCAACAGGCCAAACAAGTCCTCCCTGCTCCCAGACATTGAGAAATGTTATAATTTGCTTTAGTGGATGACCAAGTGCCTTGTAATTAGCACTCCTGGTAAGACTAGTCCAAATGCCTTTAACGTAGACACTTGAAAGTGCCAGCCATACCTGTAGAAAGTTGCCCGTTGTTATACCGTAAAAATCGCATGCGCTCATTCAGCTGCACAATCCACCAGCCCTGTGCGCTCTCCACTGCCCAGCACCAACCATGGTGTACAATTATGGCTTTGTGTAAATTTTCCAAGGCCTCCATCAATTGCTTGCAAGTGGACATGAACACCTTTCTCAGGATGACAGGGCAAAGGCATGCCCCCACCAAGGGGGATACTAGAACCCTGTGATGACGTTTTGTTCCAGAGAGCAGAAAGATTGTTAAGTATATTATAAAATGAGAGGTATCCTTGTATGGAGTACTCCGTACATTCTGAAGGATTCCATCCTGATTGCAGATCTCTTTTTCTTTTGTTTCCATTTTCCTGAAGCTGTGGCTTTGAGGGCTGCATATGTGTTGGTCTCAAGAGCATGAGCTATCCAGGGATAAGGCGTGCATGCTACCGCGGATTTGGTAGCACAAAGAAGAAAGCCGCAAAAACGCTCAGGGCTACTCTGCACTCGCGGGAGATCTGGTTGGGGGTAGAAGAGGTTGGTGCGAGGGAGGTTTCATGGAATCAAAGATACATGTCACTCCACACCGTTCGCTGTAACTTGGTTACAATACCACTAGTTAAGAATTTTAGTGCAGAGCGGTCAGCAAGGCAAGAGTTCTGAGGTCATCGAGCGAGACTGTAATATTATCATCAATCAACAGCACAGTAGAAACCTGTTCTGCAATCCACCAATACACACATATCCAAAATGATAATACGAAGTCACACCCTCTCTCTCTTCCTCCTAATATTCTTGTCCTCACTACCCTTCATCAGCGCTGCGAGTACGTCCTCCCTTTCCTCCTCCAGCCCTCTCGCTGATATCACGCGCTGACCACACCACTCCAAACAACAGCTCCAACCTCCTTTTGCAAATGTACCTGCTTTTCCAATAGCACCATCATCCCACTTGGCCCGCCCAAGCCTCATACCTCCTCAAATCCCACGCTAGGTAGACGCTCGATATTCACCCCATCTCTGTTCTCCCACCGTGCCGTCCCCCGGGACAACGCAGGTGTCCAACCAGCGGAGTCTCATGGCGATAAGAACAAGAGTACCGGCGGTGATAAGGACGACAAGAAGTTCCGCGCGGCCAATTGTAATGACTGCAATCGCAAATTTTGTCTGGACTATCACCTTCCGATGTGCAAGGGTGCGAAGGAGGATGATGTTGTAACGACTTGTTTCCGTGCGTCTTGTCCCTCCTGTCCAAATATCATACAACATTCCGGGGAAAGAGCCAAGAATGCAACACAACTGACTTATGACTGTCTAGAACGAGAATCTAATAAAGACAAAGCCGTTGTGCTGATATTCATTGTCGCTACCGTGTCATTATTGGTTTGGGCTGCATTGAAACCTTGGGCGGAAAGGTGGATTCAGGTACGGGTTGACTTATATTCTGCATTGGATTTCTCAAATGATCAAAGTTCTTTTCTTTTACGTCTCAATCATGGTGGATTTTTGATATACTTACGACGAACTCCAATATTCTAGGCCGCTCGTGAAAGGCGACTATACATTCCTATCTCATCTCGCGAGGATAATAACTAAAGGAGGCTCCAAAATTCCCGTTTCATGTACATTGCTTACATTTATCCCATTGGCGTTCCCGGCAGCAGAACATCGGCTATGGTATACATATATCAGAAGAAGAACAGGGCGTTTGGAGGTCTTTAAGGTGCCGTGTTTCACTATACCAACATATCTATCTCGTTTCCTCTACTCGCGCGGGAATCTGGTACAGGTAGAGAAAGTTTCAATAGATTTATGCCGAAATATCTCCTTTGCCGGGCTAGCTCAATCGGTAGAGCGTGTGGCTCTTATGCGTAAGGTTCATAAAAACCGCGGATTAACCACAAGGTTGCGAGTTCGACCCTCGCGTTCGGCTTCAGTTATATTTTTTCATCTTCTTCCCCGTCTATTCTTTTTGTTCTTTTGCAAAACTGTTTTCCCTGGAAAGAGGACGAGTGAACATTTCCATTGTGCAATTGCTCTTCTAGGTGGATGATGCTATGTCTTGATACACAGGAGCCCGACTTGTCTTACAATGCGACACAACATCCCGATGTACATACATATAGTCCGTACTACTGGGCGCTTTTTAATTTAAACGGCTCGGCTATCTATAATGATGCTCGCCACATTGCTGCTAATATCGCCCGAATCGCGCAGAAAGCTCACAGTTTTGAGACCACCACCTTGAACGCCGTTCCGCAAGTAGAAAACGAAGGACGTTTAAACGAATGGGTCAATAGTCGGAAACTTTTAAACCAAACCCGAATAACCGGGATCAAAACTGGCCAAGCTAAATAATAGCAAGTGAAGGAGGTAGAAGCCAAAGTCTAACACGCAGCAAGGGTATCGAGCAAATAGGCTCACTTACACGGCATCCTGGTGGTCAACACTGACATGCACAATCTCGGGAGCTGGAGTTTCAGTATGTTGGTAATAACCGGGTGCGCCTGTGGTAATGGAGACGAATGAATATTTTTTAGGGTGCATGAACCAGAGTTGCAACGCTCCGACAATGGCGGCCAAAGCACTGGCCCACCACGCGACTCCGGTGAATCTAACGCGAGAACCCACGGTATAAAGGTATCCAGCGATCGGCGGAGCAATAGTCCGCGCCGCAGCACCAGCTGATGCGGCTAACCCGTTAATTTTCCCTAATACCGAGTTTGATGGACTAGCTTGCTTGATGAGGATAAGCAAGACGGGATAATCGAGAATTGAGAAGATATTCCGAATCGTCAGGCAAGTATAGATCCCAGGGTAGAGTATGCCGGATGGGAGTAAGGCGAGGAATGGTACTATAAAGTAGGCAATCGGATGGAGAATAGTCACGAGGACGAAGACGTTCCAGACACCGAGCCACTCCGTGAAAACCGGGAAAACGACACCTTGAATTACCAGCGCGATAATTCCGTTTATAGACATGATTAGGCCAACAGTCTGGGTGGATAATCCCAACCCACCAGGAACATGAGGGAGACCAGATATTGGCCATTTGGCTGGTTCGCTCTTCTCGTCCTGGAGAAAGATAGGTAGAAGATGGTCGTATGTCATGGAATGGTAAGTAAATATGCCCAAAGCGATTATTAGCATTATTACACGACGTGTAAAGACCTTTGAGGGCTCTGGTGAAGGAAGGAGTTTTCCGTCAGGCCTCACATGCCATTCCTCGTCTTCATGCATGTCAACATCATTGAAAGTGCCGTAAGACTTTGCTCTCAAATCTGCACTTGCGCAAGAGAGTGATCCAGCGGTAGCCACGGCGGCTAATGCAGTACCAAATTCGGTGTCTTCATGGGTTTCCATCCGGGTATATCGCGTCTGCATGTCCGGATGGGTTTCATGGAGGAATAAATACCCAGCAATAATGCTGATCAGAAGTAGCACCGAGCAGATAACGTTAGGGAGGAGATACGGGAAGATGCCAAATAACCCTGAACGGGGGAAAATAGAAGGAAACGTCTCAGCAGGTTTTGAACAGGCACCTCCAATGGCTTTGCAAAACTGTTAATGGTGTTCTGATACCAACTGGAAAAATAGAGAAAACCTACCTGGGCCAACAATCGTCCCGATTGACCAAACAAAAGGCATGACCGCATACGCCCTCGCTAATAAGGAAACAGAGAGTCAGCATACAATAAGACTTGAAGAGTATCAGGCAATGAGAAGGCCAAGCATACGTTCATATTCCGGCTTCTTGACTAACTCGCCGACCATGGTCTGAATAACTCCTATATTCCCGTTCAAAACGCCGCCAACCACCCTGCCCAGCAGGGCAACCCAGAAGTTGGTTGCGAAGCCAACAATGAGCAGGGAAACCATTGTTCCAAAACAGCCAAAGAGCAAGACTGGTTTACGACCGACCTTATCTGAGAGACTGCCCCAGAACACGCCCGTCAGGCTCTCCGCGAGGGAAAACGCAGAAATGAGGATGCCAGCATAGAAAGAAGCGCTAGACTTCTCGCCGATTTCGAAGTCCCTCACCATAACCCATGAATATGGGAATATGGAGGTCAACGCGATTGGCTCGGCAAAGCGACATATTGCTGCAAGCCGAACAACGTCAGCGGGATGCAGACCAAGGGAAGATATCAGATTGGAGACACTCACCGAGAATGAAGAGCTGGAGGGTTGGGAAACCTTCGTTGGTGTTGTTGGGAATATGTGTGGGGGAATGGCCTCTTTGACGTGTTAATCTCATGTTCTCTAGGAAATACAATGATTCTTACGGCAATCCTCCCAAGCAGTTGCGGTAGACAGTTCCCGCGTCTCCTGAAAGGCCAAGGACTTCTGCTTGCTGCAACCAGGAGACTCTCTCTTTCTCAAACTCTGACTGTCAAGCAGGTTTCAACCTAGCCGATGACGTCTGTTGTAGTTATTCTGATCTTGCTGTCAATTTCCTTACTCCAGCGCCTTTATCTCTTGCTTCGACACAGTGAGAGCACAGGAGATTAAAAAGTCAAGGGAAGAAGATAATGGATATGAGCAAATATCTCTCGGTCATGGGACGACCGTCCGCTCTTAAAGGAAGGGGAGAGGGGGGGAGAAAAGGCTAGCCGGCTGAGGTTCCAGAGCCATGGGAAAAGGAAAGATAGGGACACGAACGGGTGGCGGCAAGACCGATTTGCGTGCACCGACAAGGGACACGCGGGCTGAGACAAGCGTCTCGCATGTACTGTACACACAGAGTATGGGTACGGAGGACTCCGTCCAGGCTCGAAAATCCCGTCGCTACTGCAGTCCAGGTGGAGCCAGATGGGCATGTGCTACAACCCACTCCCGTGTCATCATGAGGTGTTCATACATACGCTCGTGTCGAAGCGGGACACAAGATGCTGGCTTTCCCGGTGGAGAGATTCGAGCTCGCCACTATCTTTGAATCGGGCCCACGGTACGGAGTCATAGCAGTTCCGGGATCCTATCTCCAACAGCCAAAGCCAATGGGCCACTAGCGTTCCCAAGGTCATATGCTCAGCTTTTCGAAAGTGCCAACTCCAACCAAAGGCTGTCCTGCGATCAGACCAAACTGTCCTAGGTGATACAGGAGGATCATTGCAAGCCTTGTCACTGCAACTGTTCCGACACAGCACTCAAGGCCTGCACGGCCTGTGGCTCCCGCGATGAATGATGCAAGTGCAGGTCAGCGCCAAGCATCACATGTGTAGGTTAAAGTTTGCTAGCGCAGCCCTAAGCCCTGGGTTGCGTTCGAATCGGTGTTAGCTTTGTTTACGTCTGGTTGCTATGTCGAGAATGTCTTTTTGTTGTTGCGACCAAAACATTCAGCTCGCCGGCAGTCAAGCTTGTCGTCACACAGCGCAGTCCGTTCGACAGCCAATTCTGACTATTCTACAAGAACCCCTTGATCTGCCAAATGAGGCAAATGCTACCGAAAGGAATAAAGGTGAGATCCCTCCCTATTTGAGCAAGTCGACTGGTGTAGGAGGCCCATGTGCTCATTGATAGCATCGCAGCGCGCGACTTAACCCCCTTTCAAGCTGGCAAACGCCATACACGCGATACGTCATGACGAGTCCGATCTCAGTCCTCTCTCCCCTCTCCTCGTCGAGGCAAAATGCCCGGTCTCCCCTTGTTGATTCCTTCCCTGAAAGTTCGAAACCGTCTGCAAATAGCCCTCGGGGAAGTTTAGAGAAGCGCTTTTCAATCTACAACGAGAATGCTTCCCCGTTAAAACAGGACATGCACACAGCCTCTCCAACTTTGGATGCGGAGGAAGAAGGGCTTTGCGACGAATGGCCTCCTAGCTCACCGTTTCAGGAGATGGTATCCGGCGACCTCACCGGCTTAACACGAGATATGGCCCCCCGGAAAGATGGCAGCGGCTCCCCTAAAGGCGAAAACCCCGGTGAGGACGATGTTAATATGGACCGAGAAGACTTTAAGCCGGACGAGCCGCCTGTGCCTACAATGGAACACGCGCCGATCATGGCCGACATTACCTTCACTGATGAACAAAAGGACGTGGTACACTTTCCTGATATAGATAGCAGTATCATCCACTACCGCTCCGAACCGGTCCAAGTCCGAAAAGTGTCCGGGATGACCGTGAATCATGAGAATATGAGCATCGTGTACCACCCAGATGAGGAAAAGGAAAGTCCTGTTGAGAATGGCATGGGGGGTCACGTCCATTTGGGCTACGATACCGGAGATGACACGTGCTTAAGTACTTTTTCGGCTGTGCCCAATGCCGATATGACCCTCTTCGCAAAGTTGAGAGCGGATTCGCCACTGAAACGTGCTAGAGAAAATACGCTCAGCCCGAAGAAGGTAGTTTCCCCATCGAAACTCGGAGATTCTATATTGAGGACTCCAAATTCTGCCAAACGAGACTACAGACGAAACGGTTGGGGCGATCAAGGCGGTGACTATGGATCCCCGACTCCTGGAAGAAAATACCCTCGGATTGACGATACTCCCAACTTGCTTGAATTTACCGACCAGCTCAATGGGTCTTCGCATAGACAGTACGCTCTTGAGACCAGTTACGCGTCCCCCGCTCGTCGTAACCCGCGTTTGTCTCCACTCAAGACTACTGAACGCTTCCGATCCCCCAGCAAGCTCTCGTTGTTGGATTTCGACATCCCCCCCGTCCCTACGCCACGCTCGATTCCATCTATCACTCCGAGAGAGCTAGAGTCTTTGAAATCGTCCTTCCTATCTCAGATATCTTCTCTCAAAGCGACTTTAAGTGGAAGAGATGCCGAAGTGGCAAGTTTGAAGGAAGCTGTGGCCGACGCTGAACGTCGAGTCGGTGAAGCTCTCGAAGAAGTGCGGAATGAGGCAGCACGGAAAGAGGCACTGGAGTCCGAGCAGCGGGAGTGGGAACGTCGTGGAAAGGAGATGGAGAGTGTTTTGAGGGGCGTTAAGGCCGAAATTGTGGACGGCGAGCGCGAAAGAAAGAGACTAGCCGATAGAGTTGAAGAGGCTGAGAAGTCGAAAGAACACCTTGAAGGGAAGATTGTCGAATTACAGAGTCAACTCTCAGCCGTCAGACAGACCTCTTCTGAACAGACAACTACTACCACACTTTCTAATTCTCAAAATAAAACGACTGACGAGGTGGCGAAGGAGGTTCAAGACGCAGTTGAGAAAGTGGCACGTGAACTGCACACTTTATACAAAGGAAAACACGAAACCAAGGTTGCTGCATTGAAGAAGAGCTACGAAGCTCGATGGGAGAAGCGGGTTAGAGAAGCAGAAAAAAGGTTCAGAGAAGCTATGGAGGAGAATGAAAAGTTGAAGTTGGACAACGCTATGTCTACTGCTCATTCCAGCATATCACCTGGAGATGCCACAATGTTGCGCGAACATGAAAACCTTGAGGCTGAGAAGCGCGTCTTGGAAGCTAAGGTTAAGGGTCTTGAGCAGGAAATTCTCTCCATCAAACAAGACAACGAAATACTCAATGAGCAGCTAAAAAACGAGCGCGCCGAAAAGGGGGAACTTGTTGCTGTTGTCGATGAGTTTTTTGCTATGCAACAGCAACAACAGCAGCAACAGCAGCATCAGCAGCAACAGCCAATGGAGAAGGAAGAGTCGCCACCACCCCCTCCTCCCCATAGGGAACGCACGCTGTCCGTGCTACGGACTGAAGTCGGTCAGGAAGAAGAAGAGTCTCTGCCAATGACCTTGCCTACCCTAGAGTTGACGGCGAAACCTACGGCTCCGTCAAATGAAAATGCTCCCCCAGCTAGTAACATTGCCCGCTTCTCCAACGCTCCGAGTGGGATACGACCTCGCCCTTCTCTTGGGCCCACGCCCAAAGTCCCAAGGTTTGGTATGCCGGCAGGTCATGTGAGAAGCAACAGCAAGGACGATAAGGGCCCGACTGGAATTCCGAGCAAAACTCCTCTTGCGCCGCGCAGCGGCATTATGAGTTCAATCGAGAGGATGGGGAGGGGTGGAATGTAATGGTCTGTACTGTGGTGGATGTTCCACATAATGTGAAAACAAATTTTTCAAGACAGTACAGGTGTTATTTTGTTCCCTGCCCCCAAACCCTTTTTCTTCACCTCTTGGCTTTTGTGGATGATTGTGAATACTATTCCTTTTGTTTTGGTTTGTGCCTTGCTATGTACAGAGTATGAGAACATGAAATGAACATGAATTATGACAGCTATTCATTTGTATTGTTGTGCCATTATACCAGAACAACTTGCCAGAAGAGGGGAATCTTAGGGGAAAAATTACAAAAGGAATAAAGGAAAAGAAAAACATTATACTTTTTTTGTCAATGATGGTTTTCAGCCCCCATCTTCGAGATTTCATAATTAACTTCATCGGCAATGTCATATGTCCACAATCCGGTCATCCATGAAGGCATGGGTAGCTTGCCTATATTGTAATTCACCCCAGTTAACTGCCTGCACAGAGGAAAGCATACATTCAATGTTTGGGTTACCAAGCTTACCCATTATGAATAAGCCAAAATACATCATGAATTCGGCCACTCTTCCTAAATTCTTTTTCTTCTGATCGAATTGTTTTCCCTTTTCCTGGATCGCATGGACTCGGGGTTTACGGATTTCCATGTGCTTTTGCATCACCTGCGCGATGGTTTCCCTCTCGATTCGGGCTAAGGCAGCGGCGGAAGGATGGCTTAGGGAATCGTATGTCTTTTTCAAGAAGTGGGAGAGCAGCATGGAGAAACATTCGACGTCCTCAAGGGCCTGGCATGTACCCTGCCCGCTAGTAGGCGTAAGTGTATGGGCTGCGTCGCCGATGACTATGACGCCGTCTCTTGTCCATGTTGGGAGTTCTGGTGTTGTGTTCACAGGGAATATAGTCTGGATATTGACCGTGCCGAGAATCTTCTGGATAATCGGATCCTTCCAGGTGTCGAGGCGGTTGTGTAGATCACGAAGGATGGCTTCTTTGTCCACTGCCCTTGGGTCCGGGCATGATTCCATCTCGTAGGTAGACCACCACATTACTGTGTCGCTCGGTGTCGTCTTGGACTGCGATGTGGAGCTAATGTATTCCGATGGGTTTGTTAAGGACTGCACGAAAGAATATCCGAAAAAACCATTCCTTCCAAAAACGAAGTTTATTGCACATGGCTCGACGAGAGATTTGAATTCCTCGCCTTGAACCACGCCACCGACACCGACTAAACCTCTATGGGTAGATATTAACTTTAGTAACAGTTTGGACTTAGAGGGCTCTATCAGCTTACGCAAACTCCGGGGGATAAGGGTCCTCCTTCGCCTCCGGGAATAGGGCTCTCCTGGTAGGACTCTTTAGGCCGTCTGCACCAATGACCAAATCTGCCTCCACGTCCGGACTTCCATCAGCGAACTGAATGACGCTTCTTCCATTCGAATTGGCTATGACTTGAGTAACACGCTTCGTCACAATAAGATCATCGGGGACGTAATTCCGTAGGCAACTCCAGAGAGCATGCCGACTTAACGAGATGGAATACGTATCTTCAGACGAACAAGGGAGTCGTGCGAGCTCCCTGCCATAAGAGCTCATAAACTTCTGAACGTTAAAACAGTGCCCTGCAAGCTTAACATCACGGGCTAAATCTTCATTCAGTCGTTCTAGGGATCTGACCCCGTTGGGATGGAGCCCAATGCCTCCGCCCACAATAAGAGAGGCGGAGTGGGTTTCACCCGGAGCATGCTGGGATGCGAGATTCCGGGTCGTGTCGTAGGACTCGAATATGACAAATTCATGCTCCGCCATGGAAGCTGGCGGCTGGGGGAGGCGCTTTTTGAGCGCGAGATAGATGGCGCATCCGCTGATGCCTCCACCGACGATGGCGATCTTCATGATAGGAAAGGTATCAAAAAATGTGAATTGATGCTATATTCAATGATCAGAGCGTTTTTGACGACTAAACATTGCTGACAGGGAGAAATCGCAGCCGCTTTTATGGTCCGTCGCTTTGAATTTCGGTTGCCTGGTGAAGTTCGGCTACTCATAATTTCTGTTGCAGGGCCAGCCGTTGTGGCGGGTACGGTTTAATAGGTGAGATAAATTAACGAATTATTGCGGCGTACCCTGTATCCTGCATGAAAAAAGACCTACAAGAAGAATCCAAGCCGTCGGATTCACAACTATTGAGCGGCACCGCGAGCCGCGATTCCAGGCAGAATAATTCCAGAGACAGCCACAACTCGCGCTTCGTATTGATCCCGGACACGCCCTCCCTATTATGGTTATTCTTCAAAGGCAAACACGAGTCTCCGAAATTCAATGGCCCCGTACTTTCTTCAATTTTGAAAGGGAGAAGAGAAGTTTTGCTAGGTTAAGAGTTATGTAACAGTGGCTGGACTGGTAAAGCTGGAAGGAAAGCCATCCCAATGCATCTTGGGCATTCACGCTGAAGGGTGTGTGGCACAATTGAAAATCAGATATCAGTGAGTTGGCTCTTTGCTAGCCATCCTTCTGGCAATTTCTGTTGCCTGGAACTAGAATCAGTATACCAGGCGAATTTTGGGAGCTTCTTGGAACTGCACGATGAATGCCCAGTTGAAGGCTGTTGCTTGGCTTCACGTGAACATATGGCTCTCCCCGCCTCAAACTTCCAACAAAGAGAATGCAACTCTTCAATAACAACAGCACTGTTAAAATGCAGCCTAGCCTAATTGTTTATAGGCCTGAAGTTGCATAGCTTCGTTCACAGTCCCCAAGGCCTCAAAAGTTGACCCTCCCACCCACTCTGTTGAGATGTTCAGGCCTGGACTTCCGATTGCTTACCGGCGGCAGAGCCAAGTCTGGGGTCACGGAAATTCTGCTCCAATGATCCCACAAGCTATGTAGGGAGTGAGTTCGACTCGAGAGCCTACCAGATTTTCAATGAGACTTCCGGTGTTGCTTGCATGCTTTGAAAGTCGATCAAGTCGCCGGAATCCGAATGTGCAATTTTCTTGCCCATAATAATTTTGCACGGAAGATCATCAGTTGATTATATGCTGGTCTCGATGGCCATTTTATGGCTCGGTCCCGCGTCCTAGCACCTTGGGCATGTGCCACCACTCCTCTAGACACTGGAGGCTGCATCGACCCTCCCAAAATTTGCGCATTACGGAAGCTTTTGGGTTTGCGCTTGTGCAATATATCATGATTTGCAGACTGTCAAATGCGTCAGTATCTGGGCTGATTCAGCTCCAAACCTGATACGAGATTTGGTCATGTAGTGGACTCTCTGGCCTATGTCCTCGTGACCTCGGGCCTTGTCGCGTCTTTTTTAGGAAAAGCAAACGCGGCAACTTTGGAGCTTTATCATTGTTGCATGATCGCTCGGAACTACCCCGATAAACGTGACGCAAACACGGGAAAACGGATAGAAGGGCCCCAGGTCTGGAGCTCGAGCATGCAAAGTTCATTTTTTGCATGCAGTATTGGTTGCGGAAAAGTCGGCTCTCTGGCGAAAGCAGTTGTGAACCTAAAATCCCATAGGACCAGACGTCAGATGTTCGAACATAGAACAAGAGAGGGGTTATGGACGTGACTGCATATACGAAAACATTGCATGCATGGCTAGACGGATGATCAATGGCTGCTTCAAGGACATGGCGTGCATTTCGCTATCGGTATCCTGGCTCTCAGCAGGACGTCTAAGCTAAGAGAGAGAGAGGGGGAGATAGCAAGCGAGATACAAAGCGATACCGCTTCAGTGGATCCCTCTGGTCAAACTGGGCCTTTACTCATTCCAAGATTAACTTTAAGCCAACATTGCGCACCTTACACTGGGCATTATTTATGCTACGGGAGAATGCTGGTGCAACTCGTTTCCCTTAGTGGCAAAATTATGGAAAGGGTGATGATAGATATTACGACACTCTTACCGTGAAAAAAATTGAAATCCCTCGGGGATGGCCCCATCGTTAGGTCGACCGGCTTGTCGTCTGCCTCCTATCGGCCTCTCCATTCCCTGCATCGGCCAGTGGATGGGGCGAGCCACATGGGAAATCGCGTGACATATCGCCTTGCCACCTACGAATTTATTGCTATGTTTCTTTCTTCAATTCTCCTCCTACCGCAACCGGTTTCCCTCGAAGAGTTCTAACAACTTGGGAAACTCATTTTGATCTGGAATTTACATATTGGTAGCAAGTCAAATTGTTTTGGGGCAATTTTTCCAACTCGATTCCATGCAACTGATGTTCAGACGAAACCAAGAATATCTCTATCGAGGGAATAAGCTCGATAGTAGTCAGTGAAATGTTCATTACGAATAGCTGAATTCTGGGTCCTTGTCTCGCTTTTGATCCGGAAATGGATATCGGTGCGGTTATCCCAGATCAACGAACCGAGCCTCCTTGGCAATGATGCCATTGCAGCTACGCCTTGGAGGGGGGAACATGTCAAGAAACAGCCATGTGGACATTATACTCAGAACTCGTTTATCGTTTGCCATTTCCAACGATGGAAGACTGTTGGCGCTCGAATGGTGATATTACATTGGCTAAAGCCAGAACACACCGGATAGAGAGTAAACTCTCCCACATCCGCATCATCAACCTTTCGTCTTAGCAGCTCCAGCCATCGAAACTCAAGTTGGTTGCTCACATTTCTGTCAAAGAAAGGGCTAACAGGCTTGCAGGATCCTGGAATGATGATTGCATGTCGCCTGCAATTGACGTTCAAATTTGCCTAATCGGGTATGGTGTTAGGGCTAACTTTGCTTATTGAGCCCCTAATGCGGAAAAAGATCAATAACTTGGGGAGCATCTCACCGTACCCGAAGATTCAACGCAGTTTGGTATTGCGTCGTTTTTCCGTCCATTGTTTGAACAATGAACGCAGCGAATGTTCCTTTGGCGAAACGTCCTCAGAGCTGGTTTCCGCGGGCCGGCCATATCAACATGGCGAACCTCATAGGTGGCCACGCTGAGGAAGGTTTGTTAGGATGCATGTTCACGGGCCATGATATGTTGCTTTCGATGGGGTTAAATCTCCACTGGATTCTTTTCTACGTGAGGGATTTCTTTTCGTCAAGTGGCTAAGGGATCCTGAGCGAGGGACTCCTTTTCGAATGGCTACCATTTGGAACGGGCGTGTGCGTCTATTATATTCCATCCGTTCTCAGACAATCTCGCACGTTGTCTATCTTCTCATCTTTGGATTTAATCTAGATCAGACTTGGTTTCTTTATCTGGCGACCAAAAGGCTCATACAGCTCTCCCAACCTTGAAAGCCACTCAAGAGACCCCCGAGAAGGAGACATACGAAGGCCACGAGGCTCTATAAATCAACATTGATTCCTCAACTAGATGGAATCTGCTATCCTCTAAGAATAAGTGTCTATTCCAGCAAGTTCATTAATCTTGTCCGATCCTCTTCGTATCTCTCAATCTCCAACGTTTGGCCTTGTTCTCTACGACGTGCAAACATGAAGCTGTTGACCTTCCTTTTTGCTATTCTCGGAGCATCAACAGCTATTGTTCTAGCTGCTCCTGCTCCTGTCGAGGGTAGTGTTGGTGCACCAGTTGCAAAACGCGAACCTGATCCCGAGCCAGGTGTGTAAATCGTTAGACGCCTTCTCGTGACCTGATTTGATTGACTAATGAGTTATCATAGTTGACAAGAGATGGTGCCAACGCCCTGGCGAACCTTGCTAAATGCCACGCCAGGCAGATGCCGCCATGCCTACCTATCCTTCAACTGCTCATACCCATGGCGAGCCAAACATTGGAGCATGCTACGACATCTGCTGCTAGTCATTGTTTCGAACATCTCGGAGGTATAAGTTTTGGTTTTTATATGTGCCATTTCTCTATTTACGCTACGTCATTGGATTAAAATCAGCCGTCTTTGAATCGACTTGATGTCCTTCCCTTCGCAAGCCGGACTCTGGGTCGGTGTGACGCCGACAATAGTAGTCTTTGGAACATTGCGCTGGCACATGACAACAGTTCCCTAAGCCCAATAACCAAGGACTTTCTCGATAACGGCGGACGGCCACATGAGATATAAATCGGGACGCGTATACGGCTTATATCTTTCACGCACATTGTTGACTGCTTTACGACTCCTCCAAAGTCTCTCTTTTCGTGGATGGAGTCCATGTATTTCACTTCAGAGGACATTCTTTTGGATATTAAAAAGGCGCCGTACATTTGTGTATATATGTGGATGTAAATACCTATATGAACCCGGGGGCGGGTATATGTATATATTACCTGATACTCTGTATATAGGAATTAAACCCGGATATATATATATATATATATACTCCGTACATACATTGTATACAGTGTTAACACAAGTCCGTGGTACAATACGTACATCAATTAGATTTTAACTGGCGCTTCAACACCATATGTTCAGACAAGGGACAACGTTAGTCCCTGAGCCAAAATCCGCTGTGAAATAGGGGCACTTTGGCTCGGACGAATTATTTTTAATGGCATGCATATCAGCCAAAAACATAGTTTCCAGCAAAACTGTAAGCACGATCTGCGAATATAAATGTTCGTATATCATCACAGATGGAGATCAAAGAAGCGCCATGGCGTCTTCCCACTTAAGCTACCCGCATGAAAACGGCGCAGACTTAAGTATGAAAAGTCCCAGTACTCCCTTTAGCTACACTGGCCCGAGTTTCACGCGCTGCCGTTGAGTTTAAGTGAGATACCTACTCGAACGCCGGGGTGGCCGCTAGTCCATGCTAGCAAAAAGGAAAATAGCACTGCGGCTTCGGGCCAGGCCCGGGCCTCTGCACTAACCCCATTTCTCAATTCCTTTCGTGCGTCAAGGATCAGAGCCGGTCCCGCCCGATAGCTAGGGCTGTAAACAGTTGAGATTGGCTAGGAGCGCACGGGCGAGGAAATGTAAACAGTGGATTCACCGCATTTGTTGAGCTAGAGGGAGGAATGTTCCTTCTTCGGGCCAAGCGGAACCAGTCACACCAGCAATATACGGTACATAGGTAGGACATCCGAGTTGGAAAAAGTTTCATTTCGATTATATCCATAGCCAGGCCAAATGAGATCAACGGCACAGCGCAGCCATCGGGTCGGCTTGTCGATATGCAGCCCACCTAAGCCGTTCTGAATGATTTTCAAGCTTGCTCTAGCTTTCTTAAATATATGCGAAAGATGAGACATCGCGGAAAAAGAAAAGAAAGGGAAAGAAAAAGAAAAAGAAAAGGAGATGCAAACATCTTCCACGTTGCTTTTTGCAGGCGTCCAAGTTCGCCTGCAAGTCACGTTTTTGAGGTTCAAGGGGCAACAATGCCACTCCTTAGTTAAATGTCTGGATCTAACACTCCGACAGGCTGAAATGTGGAGGAAAGCGGCCTTGGCACAGTTGACTCACAAGTCAAGGCACTTTTTTTCTTCCAAGTTGAAGGATGAAGCGATTAACCATGTTTTCGAATTGCTGGGCGGGTCGTTTCCCGTTGTTGGGCTGATCATGAAGCTACGACAAGAAGCTATGACAAGACAAGAGTGAGAACGTTTGACTTTTCATGTTGATGTTTAATGTATCGGGCTCCATCGCCGTGCAGTGCCGGTTTTCCACTCATAGAATAAGAAAGAAAGATAGGTTTCGGCCTAGTGCAGGCTACAGGCCATTGCCCCCAACGTGGGGAACTCCCATCAAGTTATGGACCTGAGAAACCGTCCATACCTTCGTCGGGCTACTAAACATGAGTGGACCAAGGATCCTGCTAGCCGAGCCTGGGACGAGCCGACGAAGGAAGCAGCACAGGTCAGCAAAGAAACAGACGAGAGAGAAGGCGACAAGCGAGTGAAATGTTGAATAAGGTGATGCCCCTCCCCCGCCTTTTCTTTCCTGGAGCTGAATATTCCGTAGCTCATCAAATATAGGGTACAAGTACGGGGTACTCCGTACAAAGCACTAGCTTTCCCCTCCGTGGGATGGGGTACCAAGTGGCCCGCGAGATCTAGGTCGAGGAAGTCGCCTCGTTGTTCTCCTGACTGGCCACTCGAAAAGATCCCAACACTCTGGCTGGGCCGTGCTGCCAACCTTGTTGCCTCAAGCCTAGGTCTTGGCCGTCGATATGATGGTACGCTAATACTTCTAAGTCAGTTTCGAGCAAATGCGAAGAGCACGCCGTTCCAGGTAAGCTCGCGAGTTTTTGGACGGGTCGACTACAGAGATCTCAAGTCGAAAACCCCACGCTCGAAAAGTGGCCTGCCGGCATCACAACCATGCTGGCGTAGGATACGAACCGGCACAGGCTCGTGCTTGGAGGCAGAAAACTCAGCGCCCATGGCAACTCAGCGAGGAGCTCTCGGTGTGGCTGCGATCACCGAACGGCGAAGTTCTTCGAGGCGATGGTAAGGATGACTAAGAAGGTTCGCCGCACCCTCTTGGCGGATCTTGGCAATTGCTATATTCGGACTAGCTCCGCGACCCAACGTCGACGCATCCTCGGTCGCCCGCCGAGGAAGTATCTCACGACGGGCTGCCCACCCACGCTGATCGCCGCCGAAGAGTGGGCTTGCACACACGCCCGGAGCGATTGAACACACAACCTGCCAGGCTGCCTGTGCTGCCGTGCCGCACCCGTTCCGCTCAAAGCAACTGTGTTCAAACTCAAACGTGTGTGCCCATATTCCCTTTCCCCAAGAGACCCCATGATATCATTGTGGTACTGAAATTTTGATACATTCTGAGGACTGAGGAACGCTTGAGATGCGGACCGACCAGATTTGAAATTCAGTGGGAATCACGAATTGACCTTGCTGGTTCGTCACCTTGTACGGGAGCGCCGGAAGAGGGAAAAAAAAAAAAAAGAAACAGTTGATGCTTGAAGATCATAAAATCAGTCTTGTCAACACGAAAGACGCAATCTTAGTTCCATCTTCCCTCACAGACGTGCCGTTATCCGACCGCCACCGCCGGAGTGAGATATGTACTACATACGGAGCAAGGAGCGAGAGAGTCGAGAAGACATTTTTTTCCTTTTTTTTTCTTTTTTAAGTTTTTACTAGTGGAATGGACACACGTCACTCAGATCCCAACGACCTGTTTGTCGCCGACCTCCTGAATCGGACCGTATGGGAAGGCCGTTATTGTCGGAAGATTCCCTTGAGAATCGAGATGCTCCATCTTCCGTGGACCCTTTTGTTCTTTTGGGGGAAAAAAAAAAAATTTAAAAAAAGAAAAGAAAAGAAAGGAAAAAAATATGTAATCCCTGTCAGTCTACTCCGTACCTAATCCTCGCTGAAAGTCTTGACCCTTTCCGTCCTGCCTTGCAGCGACACTCGTTCTCCGAGGTTGCGTTGATTCGGGATTTTGCGGGCCGAGTTATAAGTCCCAGCAACGAAGACGAAAGCTCGAATTCGCAGCTGCGAAGGGTTTTGCCTGGATGCATTCTGAGCTGGTCCTATTTTGTGTATGTGCATGAACGAAGTGCTTGAATCTCAGACCGTCCACATTTTTCCGGACCAAATTCGGTCCTCGCGCAGCGTAGTCTGGCATCCTAGTTAATCTGCGCATCCACACGCTAATAGATTCAACTTCTGATTTGACTTCGAACTTTCCCAAGAAATGCACCAGCCCCTGGAGGTCACTAACCAGGTGAAGCAAGCAGAACCACATGGATCGGGGAGTGGACTTCGGCGGTTCTGCAAGTGGAGCGCTGAACCTTCCACCACATTCCCCAAGGTGCTCACGCGGTCTTTCGACGAAAAATGCTCCCGTGTTAGCCATCCCGGCCTATGAGAGGGGAACGCCACTCTCCTACAGGCCAGTCGCGCGCTTCTCGGACCTTGGGACGGAGCTTTCTTCAACCCTGGGCCAATTATCGTCTACTTTCCCCATATCCCCCAAGAAAGGGGGGCTTTCACCCCCACCATGACACTTCAAACAGACAAACATTTCAGTTTCCCCAGTGTTTCTGTATATTTCTGGGGGAGGCAATAATGGCCAAAGTTTTCATGGACCCTCACACTTCCAAGCCTAGTTTGGGAATATCACTCAGCCCCAGCCTGGAGCACTCTGGGTATAATGGAGTGTATTTTCATCTTTCAATCTCAATTTTTAAAAAGCTTCCAGTTCCGCTCCCCGCATTCCCGAGCGAACTCTTCGCTTTTGTTGTAAACCTGTTTTGTTGCTTTTCTCTGCAACCTTCTTCACTTTCTTTCCTCTTTTTTTTTTTTTTTTTTTTTTTTTTTTTTAAATCGAGATCCTCTCCGCTCCTCTTTATTCGCGAGTTGATCATAGGACTGGAAAAGGGGTTTCAAATACATCAACTCCCATTTAGACACCGCATCAGATCTTGACATATTGGGAATTTTGAAATTGGAACAATCTGGACATATACGACTTTGGGGCTAGACGGTTACAACTCACCACATTTAACTTGAGATTGAAGTAATGGCTTCGGCGGAGGTTACTGCGGTTCAGCCTCAAAATAAGCGGAAAGCGGCAGCTGCTGGGATTGTTGGAACGACTCGTCCGGTGAAGAGGCGCGCATCGAAAGCATGTTGTTGCTGCAGAGCTCGAAAAGTGAGATGTGACGTTGTGGAGAGCGGTTCTCCCTGTACGAATTGCCGTCTAGATGAGGTGGAATGCATAGTGACGGAGAGTAAGCGCAGGAAGTCAGTTACCAAAGGAGCGGGAGCGTTTACTTTAGAATGATTATGTCGAGTTTTATTTCTGGTTGTGAGCCAGCGAGCTAATATTTGAGCTCTCTGTATAGGAAAGCCCGGCCTGATGGAGAAGGCAACAAACCCTCCTCTGAATCCTCTGCGGACGTATCAGATGAAATTGGTTTCCTTTTCGGCACCAAGCACAGCAGAACCAGAGTGCCCTCATCATCAATTCCAGAATCAGGGCTGCCGCTATCCCCTGGAAATCATGGTGTAGATTTGGAAAAGGGGCAACATGTGCCACATCTCATCTGTGGGTTTCGTCTAATGTTTCTCGGCGTCTTGAAAGATTGAAATGACTGATCTATCTCAGACCAAACTCAAGGGCAGCGAGTTAAAGATGGTGGCCGACGTCAACGGCTATCAAGCGTAGACAACATTCTTCCGGCCTTTTCGTCCTCAGATCTGAACGCCGCCAAGCCCGAGATTCTCAATTTTCTGTCGGGGCGAATGAATCAGTCGACTTCTCCTCGCACGCTCAGAAGATCTCTTCCGGATTATCTTCGCCCATTGCCTCTAAAGTTCCAGAGCGCTGATATCGACTATCTGGAGGCGAAAGGCGCTTTAACCATTCCAGACCCTGCCCTTCGAAACGAGTTGCTCCGAAGTTACCTTAAATGGGTACACACCTACATGCCGCTCTTAGAATTGGACGAGTTTTTGGGTGCTATCTTCCGAAATGATGGTTCTCAGCAGCTTAGTCTTCTACTTTTTCAAGCAGTGATGTTTGCCGCGACCGCATTCATTGATATTAAACACCTTTATGCCGCGGGCTTTGAATCAAGGAAAGCAGCTCGAAAGGCGTTCTTTCAAAGAGCAAGGGTATATATTCTGAACCCCCCGATTTTCTTCGAAAATTGAGATAAATCTGACTGCTCAAATAGTTGCTTTATGACTTTGACTATGAACTTGACCGTATCTCCTTGGTGCAATCGCTATTGCTCATGACGTATTGGTACGAAATGCCCGATGACCAGAAGGATACATGGCATTGGATGGGAGTCAGTCTTTCCTTGGCGCATACAATAGGTCTACATCGGGACCCGGCCAATTCCAACATGAATCCTCAGCGTCAGAAATTATGGAAGCGTATTTGGTGGAGCACATATACAAGGGACCGCCTGATTGCTCTTGGAATGAGACGACCCACAAGAATTAAAGATGAGGATTGTGACGTCCCGATGCTCCAGGTTAGCGACTTCGAGTTTAAACCGCTATCCCCAGAAGTTCTTCAGGTTCTCGGGGATCTCGAAATGACACACAATGTGACCCACCAAAGAGAACTGGCGGTGATGTTTATCGAGAAGGCAAAGCTTTGTCTCTGCATCAGTCACGTTCTCTCGGCCCAGTATTCTGTCCTCGGACACAAATTTGGCGGAACAACGGAGACGACTATGATGTTGCTGCCGAAGAAGTCCGCAGCAGAAACTTGTGAAGTTAGACGCTGTGATGACGAACTAGAAGCATGGTTTTCCAACCTTGCAGAGGAGGCACAGTACCGGCCGCCTCCTTCGAACCTCGCAACTGGAGATGAAGTAATCTATCTACATCGGGCGCTCCTGCTGATGGTCTACCTAACTACCTCGAGCGCACTTCACAGGCCCCAAGTTCTCCCAGCGACGCCATTCCCAACGGTAGAAGTCGAGTTACAGGCCCTGTCTCGCACCAAAGTCCGGCATGCAGCTGTGGAGATAACCAATATAGCTCAGACGCTGCACAGCTTGGACTTGACTCGTTATCTGCCCACAACCGGAGTCACCGTTTTACTTCCAGCCGTTATTATTCATTTGTTGGACATCAAGTCGAACGACATCAGTGTTCGCGCAGCGAGTCTTCACCGGTTCTATCGATGCATGCAGATCCTGCAGCGACTCCGGGAAATCTACGCCTCGGCAGATTTCGCTACCTCGTTCCTTGAGGCTGCGATTCGCAAGGCTGGCATCCACGTATCTACGCAAATTCTTCCAGAGGCCCCGGCGAAACTAGCGACCGTTGCTCCTGCGCATACCCGCCTTGGCGCGCTAACCCCTCCACCCGAAGCTCAATCCGACAAAGTATCTGAGAATACCGCCTCAAGCCCACAGATTCTATCCATGCCCACGTTTTCTCGACCCGAAGAAAAGGGCACTGTGTTCGCATCTACGCCGCCGCATTCGGTGCGCAGCGAGAACGGCAGCACCCAGAACAGCCGAAACGATGAAGTTTTCAAAACAGATTTATTCGATTCCTCAAATGACGACCCCGAGCCAAGCCTTACGGAGTTCATGAACATGGCCCATGACGCCGAGATCACGCAGAACGACTTAGACGCCTTAATCAACTTTGACGATGCCGGCGCGGATCTATTCGCGACTGAGGATGGGCTTGGACTCGATTTCGGCCTTCCTACTACGTTTTCCAATGACAACAACCCAGTATCGCTGGAGAACTTGAACTGGATTCGTGATTTTGCGGCTAGCGGGAACTTGCCCGTGAATTCGACGATAAACCTGCAAGATACTTCGGTAGAGATTGGGGAATTTACCAGCCCAGTAGCCGACAACACTGAAACCCCCGCAGATCAGGACTCGAAGAGCACGGAGGTGATAGCTAGACAGGAACTGGATGTTTCCTCTCCGTTGGAACAGGACGGTATTGGAATCGCTGCAGGGTTCATGACCGAGGTTGTCCTTGAGGCATAGTTCGAGGTGGACTTACTTAGGTAGTAAGGGCGTTTCTTTGAACACTTAACGAATTTCTTAGTTTCATCTGGTTCTGTCCCAATTGAGCATGCACTGCGTGTCTTGATACCAAACTCATCTTTGTTTGTGGTTAGCTACTCCATGTTCCTCAACTGGCGGATTCTAATGTCTCTCATTCCATGCGTCCATGTATTATATTCCTGGATATGATGATGAATCCCACAAAATCTGGTTAGACCTTTGCATGTCTATGGTATCTGACTGAGTTAATCCTCCATCCTCCCAAGTTACATATCTGGCGCTTTCGGCTCCTGAATGGATGCGGGCTCGAGATTAGTCAGACCAGGCACGGAGAAACTTTTAACTAGTTAGTAGGGCCGAGAAGAATCGTTGTTACTCCGTACAAAAGAAAACAAAACACCAAACTCAAAGGAACAATTCTGGCCGCGAAGCCTGTTGTGCTATGGCACGATATGAGATGTAAACATGGTTGATTCTCTCTAAGTCCCATGGTGCTTGGGAAGCTAGCTAACTATGACCTGATGACTAGTTAACTAGTTAAGTAATACTCTACACGTGACAAAGCCAAACCGCCCGGAAAATGGATAGTGCTAACTAACAGTGATAGGTTTGTGCTATTTTCAGACTATACAAGATGTCTTTGTGAACATAGATCCACTGAACACAAAAGCTGACAGCTTTTCATTCATCTGACTTTGGAAGACCAAGGTTTTTGTACCGTGCGGCGGGATGGTCCCGGCTCTCGTCACTGCACAGATTGGAAACTACCTTGATGATTCCCAGTCATCTTGCCGGGAATGTATGGAAAGCTCCCGACTCATTTCCCCATTTTCCACCCAAGGGGGCCCAGCTGGCCGATGTGTTGTTGATCTTCAGCTGCATTACTCCACCGCAGGGATGATCGATGCTATTCCGCTCAGGGAAATAGTGACCCATCCCGTCGGTTATATATATTTCTCGAGTCTCTCAACAATTAAACTAATGGACATCGATATGCATATATGCGAAGCAAAATCACCGAGGATTGCTTGAACGACGCCTGAATGCTTGATTAAATGCTTGTATTGACCAAGCAGTGATGTTGTGGGAGTGATCATCGTGGGATTGTCCTCTTCCATCTTAGCCACTTCATGCGATGTTACCTCGCATATCCTGGAAGCGAGCTGCTACGATTGGGGACCGTTATCTCCACCATACCCAGCTCTGGGGTACCCCAGGCTGCGGAGCTTCCGGCCCCAGCAGCCACTGGACACCCGGGGGTGATTCTCAATTCCGTGTGGATTATTCCGTAACGTGGTACCAACCTCGGGAGCAAAATATCTTCCCCGCGCTGTATTTTCAGATTCAAAACAATCCCATTATTTTCAGCTCCTGCGAGGGCCACCATCGCATTGCACCCAAAGAACGTCATTCTTTGAACCAGGATGGCATTGGTATTTTACTACGGAGGACCAACGGCGACTACATCTCGAGAGCTCCGTGAATGCTCATACCTCCAACTTCGATTCTTTTTGTCGTCACAAAAGCAGGTATTTTGACACTATGAGTTTAAGGGTGACCAGAGCATGGAAAATTCGGGCTGTCTGCCGCCAAATCATTCCCTTGCACCGGGTTAAACGCTACCAATCTCATACATATATGTAAGGTTTGTATGTAATGCCACGAACAAGCTAATCCTATCCTATTTTAGAGTACCAGGGTCTGGTAAAATTTACAATCGGCTGCCCGCGCCCGCTCGAGAACTATATGAGGACCCTCGTGTCCGCTGGTTTCCCGCCCTGGGTAAAATTTTCAATTCCTGGACAAGTGTGATAAATTTGGCAGCCGCCTTCGAGCCGACGACGCCGTAGTTTATGTGATCGCTATGAAAGGGTTGACTATATCTTCCGTCCTTTGCTGGACGACACTATTTGTGCCATTTGTTGCTAGTGCTGCGCTCCCAGGGCAGGCCTCAGAGATTCATGGCCGCCAGGTGCCAAACCAGCCAAAGGGAGTGAAAGAGATTTGGTCTCCCGATGGTTTTCGAATCAGGTACAAAGAGCCTGGCAAGGAAGGAGTCTGCGAGACGACTCCAGGAGTCAACTCGTACTCAGGATATGTCGATCTTGGGTTCGATTCGCATACATTCTTTTGGTTCTTTGAAGCGAGACATGATCCTGCAAATAAACCCGTTACACTCTGGCTCAATGGCGGCCCAGGAAGTGATTCGCTCATCGGCCTCTTTCAAGGTTGGCTATGCTTTCTGGGATAATCCGTCTCATGCAAGTTGTGGGATTGGCCGGTGCTGACAAAATCCTAGAACTTGGGCCCTGCAATATCACGGAAGACCTCAAGTCTAAGGTCAATCCTTACTCTTGGACAGAAGTGTCGAATCTTCTCTTCCTCAGTCAACCCGTGGGTGTTGGTACGTCCCATTGAAACATGGATAACTATGGCCCGATTTAAACTAATGGCTTTTATTCCTGGAATTAAGGGTTCTCTTATGAGAAAAAACAAGTCGGCTCGATGAACAACTTTACAGAATCAATTGAACCACCAGAAGTAAATGGTATCACAGGCCGATGGCCCAAAATTACCCCTTCTAAGATTGGTATGACTCTTTACATTGCATGAGGTAATTTGAAACATGGTCTAATTTGAATAAAGAAACTACCAAGCAAGCTGCAAAGGCCACATGGAACGTGGTGCAAGCTTTCTATAAAGCCCTGCCTCGACTTGATGGGAAAATTACGTCCAAGAGCTTCAATCTCTGGACGGAGAGCTATGGAGGGTAAGGAAGTTACAATATTTAAGAATTTCCATGTCATTGCTAATGAACTCTAGGCATTATGGTCCAACCGTGGGTGTCTTTAACAGAGCCGTGAATTTGGTCGAGAAACTGATACCGGGTTTATAGTTTTTTAGGTATTTCGAGGAACAGAACAAACTAATTGACCAGGGTAGGGCTCATGGAGTCAAGCTTGATTTTAACACCTTGGGAATCATAAATGGACTTATTGACATTGCAATCCAGGTCAGCTTCTTCTTCTCCAATCCATCCCTCATTTTCAGGCAAGCTGACAGGCCTTACGCATGCAGGCACCGCAATATATTGAATACGCCCAAAAGAATACCTATGGAATTCATCCTGTATGACTCTCGACTTCCATGTATGATACCATTGCCAGTGCAACTAACGCGCATCTAGCTCAATGAAACCGTCATCAATTACATGAAAATGGCAAATTCTATGCCGAACGGTTGCCAGGACCAGGTAGCAGTATGCAGATTACTGAATCGAACATCCCTCGTTCCCTACTCATATTGCAGCGGGGCACAGAGCATGTGTCGCGATAATGTTGGTAAGCGGAGAGTTCTCGGCCTAGTATGATCTAGAGCGTCGATTCTGATTGTGGCTGTATAGAGGGGATGTGGTACTCGTTCACTGATCGAGGAGTCTATGACATCCGTCACCCGCGAGAAGTAAGTCACCAAATACCCTGAGCGAAACGGCTCAAGTACAGACTCCTAATTCAGATGCATAGGACCCAACTCCGCCGGATTACTTCGTAGATTATCTCAATCAAGCGAAGGTGCAAAACGCCCTTGGCGTGGACTTTAACTATACGAGAACATCGAATCCTGAAATTTTCGCTGCATTCGGCCGAACTGGCGACTGGGGATACCCCGATTTCATTGAAGATTTGGAAGCCATCCTTGAGATGCCTGTGCGCGTTACCTTGATGTACGGTGATGCAGATTACATATGCAATTGGTTTGGCGGAGAGGCCGTTTCTCTTGCTGTGAACTATACCCATGCGGAAAAATTCCGAGCAGCCGGGTATGCCCCCTTGCTCGTTGATGGCGTTGAATACGGGCAAATTAGAGAGTACGGAAACTTTTCGTTCTCAAGGATTTACGAAGCCGGCCATGAAGTACCCTGTACGTATATATCCCATCTCTCTTCCCTTCTCATCTTTCTTTTTCTTTCGGCCTAACTGCAGGAACTCCATTGCTAACATTTTCATAGACTATCAACCCCTTGCGTCCCTCCAATATTTCAACCGCACCTTGAACGGGTGGGACATTGCCACCGGCCAGGTCAAGGTCGATGGAAATTACGGCACTTCAGGTCCACGGAGGTCTACACATACAGAACCATATGTTCCCTTACCCTCCGAAACAGGAAGCTAAGATCTTAAAGCCGAGACATGGGAGAAACCCATCCTTGTGTATAGATCATGGAATGTTTAACTCTCTACCTAATAAAATCAAGCAGATTAACTAATAATCATTTTACCTTTACCCTTTTTGTCTTTGGAAACGATGGCATAGACTTTACCCCATCACGAGAGGTAGAGGTACACATGATGCCCAAGTGAGAACCCGAATGGGGATAAGCAAACGTGTATCCGCATTTCTTAGGCCAGCTAGAGATTGCCAAAAGAAAATGAAACAGTTCTTGAGATTCGCCTTACCCGGGGACCCTACATAATCTGGTTACACGGTACACTATGAAATGGCGGACAATATTACGGTTGATGTAGGACGTAGTAGGCATGACTATATTAACACCATATCGAATTATGTCGGGAGTAACGACGTACTCTACTTATTGAGATTGGACTTTCACCGTAAGACCAGGGTGATAACTTGTTGGACTAAAATAAGCGCACAACATTTGAGACAGGAATAGTGGATAAAACGCTAACATTAGAGTGGATTGGCTCATGATTAGATCACGACAGGTACCGCAAGGTTCGAGTCGCCGGCTTTGTTTGCTCTTCCGCATCGCGTGACACTATTATCGAATGCAAAATCAAGATTAAAAAAGGGTGGCGTGTCGCCAGCCAAGAATAGGTTCTCTCCGGCCAGAACGAAAATGCCAGAACGAAAATGCCAGAATGAATCACGAGATTCACATCAATCTTGCGCCCCTTAGGGTGATGATGATATCGTGTTCAATCCATGCAGCGGGACACAGGACACCTTGAATTAAGAACAAGTTGTAAAATGGGAAAGTTAAAACCGCTCGTGGGAAATGCCTATTTCTCGTGGCGTTCCTCCAAAACATGTGTAGCGGCAACTTCTTCGATGGTGTCATCGGAGAATTTGAGGTCATCCTCGAGATCAATGGTATCCTTAATCTTCCAGAAGATGACGGGCGCCGCAACAACGAGAGATCCTGCCAAAAGACCCCAAGTAGAACCGAAGTAGACCTTGTATGAAATATGCAAGTCGTCAAGGCTATATTATCAACAAATCAGCAAGCTGTACATAATTCCTAGTCGTGCAGAAAAGGCACGTCTAAAATGGGCCCACATACCGCCAGGTGATGGCAGCACCAGCAGACTGAATGCCCTTATAAAACGCAGCAAAGTGTGCCAGTTTACGGCCGTTGTTCGTGAGGGAGCCCATGAACCTAGTTGATAGTCAGCATCTTTAGGCTAAGAAACAGAACAAGAGGATCAAGAGTAAGTATACCAGTAGCAGCAGGTTTGGAAGGCGGCATCATAGAAACCATAGAAGAGATAGAGAAACATAGGCCCAATATAGCCATTGTCTTGCCAGTCCATGCGGGGAGTGTGGTCATTGATATCCGCTCGGTCATAGTCTTTCTGGAATGCCCAGCCTCCACCCCAAACCGCCATTGTTAGAGCAAAGAGCAGAACAAGCCCGGCGCGAGCACGGACTGTCCGGCGAACTACTTTGAGATCAAGTAAGTAGCCAAAAACAAAGGCGCCAACCATCTGGAAGAGCCAGTAGAGAACATTATTTAGAGCACGGGTGCGGATATTGAATTTCGCAAGGTTGACAGCGTTGAACTGGTAGGTGGTGAACCAGTTGCTAGCAATGAACATAGGGAAGTAGAGGACGATGTAGTAGTCAGTGCGTGCGACCTCGAGGAGACCTAGCAGCTCTGATTTCCAGGAGGGATTTTTCATGAGGATGACATGAGAGCCATCAGCACGACGCACATACTTGGGGTCCACCAGGGTAAAGGCAAGGATGAATCCGAGGAACATGAGGACCATGAATGCGATGTATGTCCCATCGTTGACGGCGTTGGCTTTGCTGTGAATATTTTGGCCAAGGGGGACCTATGGAACATTCATTCGCGGTCAGTTTTGGGTGAAATAGGAGTCCAAAAGTGAGCTGTTTGTCCTCACCAAGCTTCCAATAACACCACCCAGGTTGAAGATAATCCAGAACCAAGAGATGAATTTGCCCTTGGACTTTTCCTCGGGGTAGCTCATCATAATGGCACCCTGAGCGGTCCACAAGCAACCAGCGCAGACACCGAGGAGAGCACCGGCAAAGATAAGAAAGCCGACATTTCCGTTGTGGTTATAGGAAAGAATCGATGCTACATAAAGGAAGTAACCGAAGCCACCGAAGAACAGAGCTGTGCGAAGACCTAGTCGATTGGCGATGGAGCCGGCGAAGAAACCGACAACGGCAAAGGTCGAGTACAAGGCGGTATTGGCTTTGTTAACGTCACTGGGATCAACTTGACCAGCGCCGCCGAGACCGTTGACAGCATTGAACATTCCAGGGCACAAGAAGCAGACAAACGAGACGATGAGAAGCTGTGAGATCGGCGACGCGTACCAGGGGAGAGTCAAGGGCCCAATTTTGGGAGACTTGTACATCCACGGTTTGCCTTCACGAGTCGTAGGAGCATGATGATGACCTTCCACATCCTCGAGGGGAGGAGTGGAAGCAGAGGAAGGGGGTCTTTTCTCGTCAGCGCCAGGCATTGCTGTTGATGTGGATGTCAAAGGATAGTTAGGTTAGATTATCCGGGTATACTTGGATATAAAAGCCGCCACCAGGGGCCTAGCCTCAAGAGGACGCTTTCTGTTGCCCGATGGCTTGTGCAACCCAGTATTAAAACAGAGTATCGGACTAATCTTAGTTAGCAAGGCTTTAGAGATGGGCTTTTGGATCGATAGTAAAACTCAAATGCAAAAAGAAAGAATAGCACTGAAGAACCAAGGAAGGGGAAAAGAGATACTTCTGGAACAATAAAGGGAGAAAGGGATTATTCTGTAGCTGTTGTAAGGAATACATACATACACTGTATTAGAGGGAGGACAGCAGCAAAAGAGAACAGTCAACAAGTGAATGAAAAAATAAATAAATAATACTAATATTTGAAAAAAAAAAAAGAAAGAGAAAGAGAAAAAGAAAAGAAAAAAGAAAAAAAGAAAAGAAAAGGACAAGGAAGTGAGGGTGTGCAGTTTTATTACTGATATGAGAACAAAAAACTGACAGGACGCGGGTGTGACACTGCTATGTGTCTAGTATGTTCAGTCGTTGGGCTAGGTTGACAAAGCACAAAAGTGCTACACTTACAGTGTAACTATAGCAGCTGAGCCAGAGCAGAGTCCAGGAGCTTGGTCATGAAGTTGCGACGCCAAAGCGCGATGCATTCAAGCTAAGGAAAGCATCTAACAGAGTGCCTTGGAAGAGTCTTGTCTTGCCCGGGGGATGAAAAGAGGAGAGAGGCTTGGAGAGGAGGAGATGATGAGGAGATGAAGAGGAGATTGAGAATGAAGGTGGAGGAGTTAGAATTGGGAGGGTCAGTGTTCGCTCAGGGTCACTTAACTAAGGAAGCGAGAAGGATGAATGAAAATTAGGATGACGGGAGACTTTGTTCGCGTTCCGTCCTGGCAACAGTGGCCCGTGTCCGCCCCCAAGGGTGACAGCAGCAAGTCGCAGGGCCAAAAGTCAGGATGGTCGAGTAAACTTTCCGCTAGCTAATTTAACCTTACAAGTAGTCAACCGAGTTTGCAACTATCAAACTAACCGTACATAGAGGCTGGCTTGATTTCGCGTGCGTGACTATGTTTCATTATTGCCTGATTCACACGCTCGGGTGCAATATCTAGCTGATGAGAGGAAGGAAAAGGATTGGAACAGCTGCATCAAACCACGACTCCCGCTTCAAAGGGTCATGAACCAGGTCCTAGTGATCTTTCGGGTTGACCCTCAAAAAGGCAAGCTGAACAAGCTTTTAAGTGACCCCCCGTTGCTTTTCGTCTCCACCACTAAATAATGCCAGTTCTCATACGGAGTACTCCATAAGTAACTGGGGGGAATCGATTTTGAGTTTGTCTGGGGGAGAAGAGCGCGGGTGTTTCTCCGCATAGGCTCGGGAGCAAACAGAACCAACCACTCCACGAAAATGTATGGATGTCCAGTATGTACCTAGCTACCCCGGGGTGGGTCATGGCGTCGAAGATGATATGTATTCTTTGTCTTGTGATTTAATCGCTCTGCTGCGGAGGACCCTTCATGGCCTTTTTTTGTCCTGCTTTCTGCAAGTACTTTTGAGTCACCTTTTGGGACCAGGTTGAGACCGAGATTCACGATCCTGTTCGCCTAGCACTTAGGCAAAAGATTTTACGCCGGCAGTGCAGATGTGTCTCCCTGTCGTATGGTGCAATGTGAGTGAGCTTTGGGCCCCGGACTGCATGGGTAATGGTGTCAACTGCAGAACAAAGGACACTTCGCTCGAAGGAAAAACACGAGGTTTGAAACTCTCTATGCGCATCTCGCACAGACAGCCGACGAACATGCTGTCCCCCGGCTGCCACATCTTGATTCTGGAGTCCGGTCTGCACGTCATCTCGCTGCTGTCGCGCGCTCTCTCTCGCCCGCTGCCCTGCCTTTTGATGCAACCAGACGGCGAGCGTGGCATCGGATTAGTTATCCCTAGCCGAGCACTGGCTTATCTAATCGTCATTCTCGCTGCTGGAGCTCTCTGCCGCATCGGGCCTAGCGCCCCTCTGACGTTACATCGACCGCCGATCCAACGCCAGCTCGGTCGGAGCATTATTCTGCACGCTTCAAAACTCCTCAGCAGCGTGTTGTGCTAGCAGCAGGAAAGTACTCGTGGACTGGACTATGTTACGGGAGTTGGTGCTGCATTGACGCCGCCCACATCGAAACTGTTTCGTTGACAGCGAACGAAGCGTACGAGGCTGGAGCTCCTTCACGAGCTCACCAAGCTTTTTGAAACAAGCCAAAGCTGCTACACTCCTTACCCGCGCTTTACATATACTAAACCACCGTACTGCTGAGGCTCGCGCTAAGATTCATGCCAGCGGATTTTTGGGGACCGTCTTGAAATACAGGTATTTACCCGTCACGTAAAGTTGTATTTTGTGGGAGCGTTGTATGGTAAGTACTGTATGGTCATAACGCTCTCCGCGAGGTGGTCCTGTACAGTACCGTAATACCCAGCGGCGGGGGGAAACGCCACTGACATAACCGCCTGGTAACAGCGTTCGTCCAGAAGCTTCGCCAGGTGCTCTCTTTACATCACATCAACACCTCGAGCTGCTCACGACGACTGTTCCATCTGGACATCTCCAAGCAGGACATGCTACCATCCGCTCCTCCACCCTGTCTCCTTCCATCTCCTTGCTATCGACAATGATGCGGCAGATTCTGAGGAATCCAAGGTTAATTTCCTTCGCCCGCGCCTTTTCCCCCGGATCCCAGAAAGTACTGTACATTATTCAGGATGTAGTTAGAAATCAATACCGAGAAAAAAAGTTTCCAGTTCCAAGGCTTCCTTTCAACCTTTGATGTAAAAAAGTTGTCTCCAAACCTCATCTTGCCCATTCACTGGATGGTTCCCGGGTGCCTTTTCCCCTCCCGCCTTTCCTCTCCTCCACTCGTGTCTCTTAATACCTTCTTCCTCTTCTCCCGAAACAACGAGTTGGCTGGCGGGTGAGTGGCTCCTCCAAACGTTTTCCCTATCAAGGCTAACGTTGAGCACTTCCAGGACTCTAAGCTACCTCTCCAGCAGTCCTAGCTATTTCCGTCCCAGTCTTCCTCCCGCAAGACTCGTTATTACCATCCACTCACCTGTTGATACGCGACGATGCCATCCTTGATTCGGAATGGGGATATACATCCTCGCGTCACAAAATTCACAAACTGCCGCCTTGCCATCGACGGCAAGCTCATTGAAAAAGACTTGTGGATCGACTCTGTGTCGGGCAAAATACTTCAGGATCAACGCGCCTTTTATGAGGATCATATCTGCCCCGATCAAGTCATCGACCTTGGGGGACGTATCTTGGCCCCGGGTTTCATCGAAGTACAGATCAATGGCGCCGCTGGATTCGACTTTTCCGTGCCCCGAGAAACCAAAGACGAGTATGACGCTGGACTAAGAGACGTAAATCACGCGCTGATAAAAATGGGAATCACGTCCTATCTCCCCACGTTGACCAGCCAGAAGAAAGAAGTATATGCCAAGGTAAGCCTTGATCCCGAGGAAACAAATCCTCCAGCAGAATATCATCCTGACAATGGCCAGGTTCTCCCTTCTCTCGGCCCTTCTGGTCTCCTCCGCCGTGCTGAGGACGGCGCTGAATCTCTCGGTGCTCACGTTGAAGGGCCATTCCTTAGTCCCGGAAAGAACGGAATCCACAGCCATGAGGTGTTGATTACCGCGGAAAACGGCTTCGAAGATCTCATCGATTGCTATGGAGCCGAGAATATTTGTGTCGATGAAGCTTCTACCGATCTGATCCCCGTTAAGATGATCACTGCCGCCCCAGAGGTTGGCGTCATGCTCTCGCTCATCCCCCAGATCCAATCCCAGGGCATTATCTATTCCATCGGTCACTCCGACGCAACATACGAACAGGCTGTCGCTGCTGTCGATGCTGGTGCCAACATGATCACTCACCTTTTCAATGCCATGAGACCCTTCTACCACCGTCATCCGGGAGTCTTTGGTCTCCTCGGCCAGTCCGAGAAACACCGACCGTTTTACGGCATTATTGCCGACGGCCTTCATCTCCATCCGACAACTATCCGGATCGCCTATAACGCTCATCCGAAGGGGATGATCCTTGTCACTGACGCCATGAGGCTATGCGGCATGCCAGACGGTATATACGATTGGACCAATGGCGAGCGGATCGTCAAGAAGGGCGCATTGCTTACTCTCGAGGGCTCGGATCGCCTGGCAGGAAGTTCAGCCACGCTCATCGAGTGCGTGAACAATTTCAGACAATGGGCCGGTGCAAGGACCGTGGATGCCATTGCTGCAGTGACAGAGACGCCTGCAAAGATGTTGGGTATCTTGGGGACCAAGGGTACACTGGCGCATGGTGCTGATGCAGATTTGGTTGTGCTCGGAGAGAAAAGGGATGAGAATGGAGGCTTGGGAACTTTGACAGTTGACCAGGTGTGGAAGTTCGGCGTGAAGGTGTTTGACGCTGAGAAGGCCTAGGGAACTAAGCACGGCACAGATTGATCATCATAAATGTTCCATTCTGCTATCTTAACAGCGTAAAATACCCTAATGTCTCTTCGTTGACCAAAAGAAGAAAGTTCACCTTCTCTCCCTCTTTGTGATTTGCTTCTGTGGTTTATTGCTCAAGCTGCTTTGATCTTAGAAGATGAGAGAGTACCTAGATGCACGCTTCGTCGAATAGTTACACGGCTAGGCATAGAGAGCACAAAGAGAAAAGACTCTTGTAAATTATCAAATATAGATTTTGCATTTCTCTATTACCTATGAGATTTTTATCAATTCAAGCAAGCATTGCTCTATTCAAGGGCAGATGTTCCTTATAGTTACACCCCCTTGTGAATTTCACCAGTCCTACCTGAAGTCGCGCTACTGACAGCTTGGTGGGATAAGTGAAGATGCAGGACGGCAATATCTATGTAACTCTTCTTGTAGATTGATTTTATTTTCTCTCTCCTTAATCTCCGATACCACATCGTTTTATCCAGAGCATCTGGACAACAAAGCATGTCGAGAAAGCATTTGGGCACCCAAAAAGCCAAAATATAATTGGCGGGATATATCGAAACTTTATACATCCAGGACACATCAACGCAACGCAATATCTATCCATGAATATCTTCATTAGAGAAAAATGAAAATAAGTCACAATGCCTCCCAAGTAATCATAACACCTTTTTATTTCTTTCTTTCTTTTTTTTTTTTTTTTACAGCCTAGGAGCAGCCCCCTTCCATCCGGCCTCCTGAGCAATCAATTCTGCCGCACGCTCGCCAATGGCCAAAACCGTCAACATCGGGTTGATAGTAGGCATATCCGGGAACACGCCCGCATCTGCGATGCGCACGTTTTTCAAGCCCCTAAGCTTCAACTGCGGATCTACAACCGCCATCGGGTCGCGAGTGACGTCGCCCATCTTGGTCGTGCCGGCGGGATGATACACCGTGTGCGCCACACGACGACCGTACTCGCTCAATTCCTCGTCGGTGGTGAGGTTCGGGCCCGGGGCAACCTCGCGCTTGATCCATTCTTTAAAGGGAGACTGCTGGGCGACCTTGCGCGCCATCTTGAGACCGTACACGATGGTCGCGGCGTCGTAGCCCTCAGGGTCGGTGAAGTAGCGGAAGTCCAGGGCGGGTTTGACGTTGGGGTCGGAGGAGGTGAGGTACAGACGTCCGCGGGAGCGTGGGCGCGGGATATTGGGGGTCATGCAGAAGGCGTTGGTTGGGGTGTCGTAGCCGAGACGGGCGGTGTTGAGGCAGAAGGGGATCTGGTAGCAGTGCATCATCACGTCGGCCGCGTCGCCGTCGAAGTCCCTGGCGTTGGGGGGTTCACGCCGGAGGAAGATGCCGGCATCAGAGTCCATGGTCGTCTGGTTGGGGGGAACGGGCTGGTTGAGTTCCCAGATGATGATGGATTCGGGGTGGTCGATCAAGTTCTCGCCGACTCCCGGGATGTCTTTGACGACGGGGATGTTGAGAGAGGAGAGCTGCTCTCGTGGGCCGAGGCCAGAGAGTAGGAGGAGTCTGGGAGTATCGACTGCACCAGCGCAGATGATGGTCTCCCGTTTGGGACGAAGGGTAAGCTTGGTGCCTGATTGCAGGGTAACGTTCACTCCGGTCACAGTGTCTCCAGAGACGTTGACGCGGGAAACCCAGGCGTCTGTCAAAACAGTAAGGTTGGGTTTGTGCTCCTCTCCTCGCAGCATGGGGTGGATATAGGCCACGCTAGCACTGCTACGACGGCCATCATCCGGGTTATAAGAGACAGAGAAAAAGCCCACGCCCTCGGTCAGTTTTCCAGTTGAACGGATCTCCTTGTTGAAGTCTTCGATGACTGGGATATCAAAGGTGCTTGAGCAGGCGTTGACCCAATCCTTGCAGAGCTGGTTCCGGTGGCGGGCATGGACCGGCTGGACGGTGTTGCGCAAGTTGTCGAGGACGCGGGAGAAGGTCTCAAAGGACCACCCCGTGCAACCTTTGCTCTCCCAGCGCTTGCAGTCATATTCGAATGGGCGGAAGGAGATCAGAGTATTGTGGCTGGAGCAGCCGCCAAGTACCTTAGCGCGAGAGTGCCGGATGTGACTATTACCTACATCAAAAAAGAATTCCATGTGAGTCCTAGTTCCACACGTCACACAGTGATTACTGCATTTCTTTTTTTTTTAAGCTTTGCCTGTTGGGCGTCCGCAGGTTGTTGTTTCAACCAAAGGCGGGTTCTGGTTTGCTGTAAACCACCCAAACCAACCTGACTACCGCGCAGGCGAGAGAGGGAGCAGGGACAGATTAGCAGTCATGACAGACGGCATCTTCAAACGTACCCATTGGCTGCTCAGTGGTGCCATAATCATAGTCAAGCTCTCCTCCCAGCAGATTCAGCCAGTCCTTGAGAAGGAGCACACGGTCATCCATGAAATCACTAGGGCCGCCTTCGACGAGTAGGATCTTCATACGGGGAAGATACTCAGCCAGCCTGCTGGCAATGACACAGCCGGCAGTTCCACCGCCAACAATGACGTAGTCATAGCTGTCCACGTCTCCGACGGGAAGTTCGGTCGTCGTCTTTGCGGGCATGGTCCTGGAAGTGATTCGACGTGTTGAACGAATACAGGCAAGCTAGTAACAAGACCTTGTTGAAGGTCCCGATACGCACAGACCAGGAAAGGCCAAAAAAAAAAAAAAAAAATAAGGAAAAAGGAAAAAGAAAAAGACAAGGAAAAGGAATCCTAAATGAAAAGAGACGACAAGAGAAGCAATCGGCGACTTTCTTCAAAACAAAGAGAGCGGCGATCGAGAGGCAGGGTCTCACGGGGCGGAGGTAGCCGGATATGCAACGGGCAAACAACGTCTAAAGCTTTTTATGGCGGAGCCTACTTTTACGAAATAAAAAAAAGAGAGAGAGAGAGAGGGAGAGATAGAGCAGGAAGAGAAGAACCACAGAACACGCCGCGCAGCGGGAGAATCAGATTTAAATACATAATGGCAAACGGACGAGCATCTGGCGGCGACGACAAAGCCACAGAAAAGTCTCTCGCCCTGCTGCTACACTGGCCAATCACCTGTCACATCGGACCGCACTAAGTGGGCCCCTGCCAAGCTTAACCAGCCACCGACGTAGGCGCTAGGCCGCAAAGGGTTAAACTACCCCAGTTTTGCAGCGTGGGCCGCCACATGCGACCGCCGGATAATCTTGCTCCAGGCATTGTGATTGGCCGCTGCCGCCCGCCGCCCCACCGAGGCCTCTTCCCCCGGCAAGCCGCCGTTCTGACCGCAGGCAGGCGGGAGGCGTCCGGGCGGCAGCGGAGAGGAGGAGAGCACACTGCCAGCGACCTGCAGTGGGCTTCAGCAACGACTTCAGGAAGGGTGAGTTTGTGTCTATGTTCGGAGAATATGTTATATTACCAATGTTGAAGGAATTACGGGGAAGTCCGCGGAGTGTGCCAGCAAAACCACGTCGCCCGGAGCGGTGATAACCCGAACCTCGCTCGGCGCAACTCTTGGCCCCACGCAGCGAAACCGCCCGGTCGGACGACAGGCGCCAAGCCCTCAATGCGCGGACCCACATTCGCGCTCTTGCCGATCCGGCCGATTGTGTCATATCACGTGAAAATGCGGCAGCTCAACCTTTTCGGTATCAACTTGGGAACGTTCGCTGCAGATCTTTAAAACGAGGCCTGTCCGGCAAATATTATCCGAACCACACACACCCATCATAAGTGGGGGAGAGGTGGAAAAAAAAAAAAAAAGGAGAACCGCAGGAGCTGGGATCCCTCAATTCATTTCCGGGAGTAAATATAACTACTATCCGAGCAAGATGGACACGCCGTCCTTTCCCACACAGCAACTCTACTACAACGGCGCAGTTCGAAAGGCGACCTCCGGTAAAACCTTCGAGACCGTAAACCCTTCAGATGCATCCGTCCTTGCGTCTGTTGAGGTCGCATCCCATGCCGATGTCGATAACGCCGTTAAATCCGCCGAGAGGGCGTTTTCCGACTGGTCGAAAACCCCAGTCTCGACCCGCGCCAAAATCCTTCTGAGGGCCGCGGAGATTTTGAGAGAGCGAAATGATGAGATCGCCCAGATCGAAACGCTCGATACGGGCAAGGCGTTCTCGGAAACGAGTACGGTTGACGTCGTCACGGGTGCCGATGTGCTGGAGTACTACGCTGGGTTGATCAGCGGCGGTGGGTTGAACGGAGAGACCACGCAGTTGAGGGAGGACGCCTGGGTGTATACGAAGAAGGCGCCATTGGGTGTTTGCGCCGGAATCGGAGCTTGGAATTATCCCATTCAGATGTAAGAGGCTTCGAGAAATGTGTGTTTCTGATCTTTGAGAGGCTGGATTCCTAACTTTGCACAGCGCTCTATGGAAATCAGCGCCTTGCTTGGCCGCTGGAAACACGATGGTCTATAAACCCAGTGAATTCACGCCTCTCCACGGACTTGTACTTTCGCAGATATACACTGAGGCCGGGCTCCCAGCAGGCGTGTTCAATGTCGTCCACGGTGCGGGTGATGTCGGCGCATACCTCACCGCACACCCCACTATCGCCAAGGTGTCGTTCACGGGACAGGTTTCGACGGGGAAGAAGGTCGCCGGCTCAGCGGCCGGAAACATGAAGTATGTTACTATGGAACTGGGCGGGAAGAGCCCACTCATTATTCTCCCCGATGCAGACTTGGAGAGCGCTGTAGATGGTGCAATGCTTGCCAACTTCTTTAGCACTGGACAAGTCTGCACGAACGGAACCAGGGTGTTCGTGCCTTCGAAAATGAAGGCGGACTTCGAGGCCCTGCTCCTCGGCAAGATGGGATACATCCGCGCTGGACCCCTGATGGACCCAAACACCAACTTCGGCCCGCTGTCATCTTCCGTACATCGCGAAAAGGTCATGAGTTATATTCGCCACGGCATTGATAACGACAAAGCAACTCTGCTCTACGGCGGCCCGCACCCGCCCGCAAACCTCGACTCGTCCTTTCGAGACGGATACTGGGTTTCCCCGACTGTGTTTACCAACTGCACTGACGACATGAAGATCGTCCAAGAGGAGATCTTCGGCCCCGTCATGTCCATCCTCACCTATGATACTATCGACGAAGCCGTGCGTCGAGCAAACAATACGCCCTTGGGCTTAGCAGCAGGCGTGTTTACCCGTGATATCAATCTCGCGCATAAGATAATTGACAGACTAGATGCCGGAATTACATGGATCAATTCTTGGGGGGAGTCTCCGGCGGAGATGCCCGTCGGAGGATGGAAGATGAGCGGTGTGGGTGTCGAGAATGGGCGAAGGGGAATCGAGGCGTGGGTGAGAAATAAGAGTACGTTGGTGGACATGAGCGGGACGGTGGCGACGGTGTTTACAAAGCTATAGTATAGCCTGACTGTACCAGGCCGCTCTCTGCTGGTTCGTTCACTTTTGACGGAAATGTCCTGGATTTGCTCCCTTCAGGTCTCTTGGGATAACATGTACTCCACAGTTAGTTACATGTTTGGCTGGTTTCCATAAAGCAATTCAACCAAAACCAGCCCAAAGAAAAGAAAAAAATTGAAGAATTGAAGTAGCTAACGAGACGCAAAAAAATTAAACAAAAATATCTCCCCCCTTGCATGAAATGGAATCTCTTGAAACTTTTAATATGGTATGATACAGGTATCTTTTGCTCTATTAGCAGGGGCAAAAAAGGAGGTTGGGAATCTTAAAAAATTGTTACAATACAAAGTGATCAGTAGCTAATGGCATGAAAAAGACAACTAAGCAGACCAGAATTAAGCATGTGTAGAAGATCCTCACACTCCCCCTTATCCACACCTTGTTGGTTCAAGGAATCAGCCGTTGTTGTTACGGGGCAAAAGCCGAGCGCACAACGAGCACCAGACTTGGCGCAGCGGTTAGTGCGAAAGGGGTGGAGAAGAGGAAAAAACAAAAGAAGGTTATGTTAAGAAAACAAAAGATCGCAACCTCGAATTAGAATGGAATTGTCGTCAATCGTAAGAGATCGTATGCGTCCAACCGAAATGCGTAACTATCTTGCTTGATGTCGCGCTCCTCTCAAATCGATGCAGAATTGGAAATCCGGACTTAACTAAGCGCGTGCTGAAAATCCCCTGGACGTAACGGAAATTTCGGAAGTCGCGAGGACGCATCGTGATTTTTTTCTCACTTTTTTCCTTTTGTCTTTTTCTCAATTTTCTGGGAAACGAATTTTGAATTTCGACGTCACATCATTATTTATTTTTGATCCATTGATTTGACAGCGTATGTCGCTCTAGTTAACCGTTGGTGACAATTCGGGATCCCATGCGGTCAAAAATAATGTCGCCGTTCAGCATGGTCTCGTCCAATCCTGCAACGGCAGAATCCAGGATACGGGAGGACATGCTGTCGGGGGTGAGCTCGTCAGGATCATCCAGCGGGCGTTGGAATCCGGTGTCGACCTTGAGACCAAGACCTGGCCGGGAAGGACTGCTGACATCGCCGTTGGATGTGACGGGCTTGTAGTAAGGCTTGGTGCGGTGGACAAGCGGCGGCCCCTGGGTGCGAGCGTCGGTGCCGGTCTGCTCAATGCTTTCGAAATACTGGCAAAGCTTGGGTCAGTAGAGGAAGAGAGCATCATGAGAAAATATGGTCAGGCGCTTTTTTTACCTTAACGGTTTTAACCCTGAGCTCCAGAGTTGCGTCTTCGTCGACGACGATCAAAGGATGCTGGTGAAGCTGCAACGCAGACAGGGTCCACATGTGGTTGACGGCTCCTTCGAGTCCCTTCTGCAATGCCTTTGCCTTGTGCGCTCCGGTCACGACAATGACGACCTCGTGCGCATCCATGATGGTCTTGATACCCACAGTCAATGCTTTGCGTGGGACCTTGGACACGTCGTTGTCGAAGAAGCGTGAATTAGATAGTATGGTATCGTATGCGAGGGTCTTGACGCGGGTGCGCGAGTTCAAGCTCGAACCGGGCTCGTTGAAAGCGATGTGGCCGTCTGGACCGACTCCGCCGAGAAACAGATCGATACCACCCACACGTGCGATCTTTTCTTCGTATTCAGCGCATTCCTTAGCCAGGTCCTGAGCATTTCCGTTAAGGATGTTGATATTGCCCGGCTGGATATCAACATGGGAGAAGAGGTGCTTGTACATGAAGGTGTGGTAGCTCTGCGGGTGGTCCCGAGGGATGCCAACATACTCATCCTGCGCGACACAGAACTCAGTTTCTAGTAGCCTGGAGCTGATGCTTATGGGAAGGGTTTATCTACCATGTTGAAGGTCACAACGTTCTTGAAGGAGATATCGCCGGCCTTGTAGCGCTCAACCAAGATCCCATAGATGATCTCTGGGCTGCTGCCGGTTGGAAGGCCCAACACGAATGGTTTCTCAGCAGTTGGGGCGAATGCTTTGATTCGACCTACAAAGAAATAACAGTCAAGAGGCTGAACTTCAAGATGTGAGGGGATACTGGAGCTGTGGCCACACATACTAACAATATAGTCGGCGATATACTCAGACACAGCCTGAGGGTCTTTCCTGATGATGACTCGCCTTCACGCGTGCAGAGACTAATATTAGCTGCAGAACAGCAAGTGTAGTTAATGGAACGACAAAGCCCAGGAGGATACTTACATTTTGATAGGTAGTTGAACGCGTCAATATTCAGTCTCTTGCCGCTGAGCCTCGGCGAGCTAACAGTTGTTCCGGAATCCCTTTAGAAGATAGAATAAAGAGCTTCTCAGATGGGACCGAAATGATGATCAAGTTTGAAGATGAAAGGATGCTGGAGTTGTGAAGGAAAGTGAGGGTAGGTAAGTGAAAGAAGATGACTCTGTGATGATGTGTTGCTGTGCAAGAGAGCAATTTCAACTTCCAAAGAATCAGCTAGAAAGTCTATAATTCTTACTTTGATTAATGTATATATGTATGTATGTACATTTTCTGGACAATATTTGACCATTCTGCAGCTTTTGTTTGGCCCATCCCCCTTTATCCTTTGACATGGAAAGCCTATCCTGAGCTTCAGTAACGTCATGTCTCAAGGATGCCGTAATTTAGTGCACGCCGAAATCCAGTCTCCAAAGCCATCCCTACCCAGATGGACGTCCTCTCTCCATCTCCGTTACCATCGAATCCGTGGTGCGGAGGACCAGTAAGTGTGCATTTCACGAATTACTCCGACGTAACTCCAACGTAAAGTATAGAATGGCCCCCGGGCCGAGTTGGCACCGTTTCCCAAGGGCAAAAACGGTCGATCTACTCGCGAAGTAACGATGGCAATATTGTGACAAACCAGGTCTCCTCGCTCGCGCCAATGGGGAAATTTTGCAAAGATTTGTGAGGGAGAGATTAGATCCATCGAGCGCTTTTTACGCACCCACATGCACCCTCCCTTTCCTCGCCCCCTTTTTGCCTAATCGGATGGGGTTGCGTTGAAATGATCATTTTTCTGCATCAGAGAACTAGGATCTAAAGCTTCCAACGGTGACGGATACCGGATCTACGGTCTCCACATTAGTATGGATACTGATGGGTTTCCTCTGTCCTTGATGCCTAGTTCATGATCATCGTCATTTTGATGTTAGAGGATGAGCTCCTCTTCTATTGGGGGCTGGAACGGTACACAAGGCTTACCATCTCGGTAACATCCGTGCAATAATTACATACCATTACGCTCTCAATGCGTATCGTATGGAGTACATGTATGTAATATGACCGTAATTTGCTGTGTAACTACTACGTATCGAGAATTCCATGCTTCAGGTGCAACCACAACGTCACAGTCTCAAGCTCGAAAGTCGACATCTATTAGCTTGCTGATATGTAACGTCGCATTGCCTTTGGCCTCTGAAATATGATCTCTTTACGCGTCGCTCCCAAAAGATCAGCAAGATCGCAACTTTCCTCCTTTAGTGATTAGATCAAGTTGCTGCCCTCAAGCTTGAACGAAATAGGGCGCCCGTCAATCGCCCTTCACTTTTGAAGAGTGACCCCAGAGTTTCAACTATGCAGGATGGCGGACTGATGTATGGAGTGTACGTTTATATAACTACGGAGTACTACGGCGTATATAACTTAATTCACCAGCGTTGTTGATGTATGTAATATTATGTATGTGACGTATTTACTACGCCTCCCGTTTTCGAGAGCGTCTATCCTCTTGTTTAGATATTTTCCTATGCGATAATTTGTCGCCGTAACTCCTTGGAGATGCCCCAGAAAAATGGACCGTTGACAGCGGTTCCCGGCCAATTACTTCCGAGAACGACATGGACCTGGGCTGGAGACACGATGATTGGTTGACCAGCCGCGCTGGGACCGATGACGGCAATCCGCGAACTGAAGGTGATGCCCGTGAGGTACGGCCTGAAGTTGCTTAGCCAGTTCTTATTGTGGACGTCATCATTCCTCAGCCAATGTTGAGAAAGAGCCGTCACTCGGCCCTCTATATTTCAACGGATCCAGCCGCTTCACGCAGGAATCCTGAGAGAGCTCGATTAGTAATGTGGGTAAATACAACTCCTTGAAAGTCTGCACATTCTACGTTGAATATTTAGTTTTGCTCCACACAAGCCGTTGAGCGGAGGCTTGTGATAACATCCTTTGACCTTCGCTGCGCCCCGAAAGGAAACGGGACGAGAGAGAATTTATCCTCGGAATTGCCACTCGGGAGGCTAACCACTCTCAGGGAAGACCCTTTTAAGTTTGTGCTGAGAGAGTTCATTCGGATCCCTGAGGTCGCTGTTAGGCCGCTAAATTTTTGCAGAGGAATCCAAAGGACGAACATAAACGGACGGAGAAGAGAATCCGTAAAGAGAAAGCGGCTGCATTGCCCACCAGTCATGCCCCACAGTGGCGGGCGTAGAGGTCATCGTCATGAAGAGCCGAGCCTGCAATCCCTGCGCTGACAGCGAGACTGACTACACTGAAGCAGGCCTCACATTTCAAGTGGAACTGAACATATTCTGAGGAAACAGTCAATATAAACAGGAGGTAACCTGAGGGTGAGGAGCTTGCCGGCCCTCAAATCCCTGGTGACGTGAGACTGGATCAGAGGATGCAGGCCATGGAGGGTGAAGATGCACTACTGCAAGGTTGCACTCTCCTGTGCGCCTGACCTTTTTGTCAGTTTTAAATCTCCCTATGGGAAACGAGTTCGAATATGTAAGGGGAAGTTGCGCCTTCAAAGGATCGGCTCAGTACCTGAGAGAATCCCCTCAACCAATGTCGAGAGCAAGACTCTCAACTGGCTCTTTTGTATCATGGCTAGCTTTAGTCGTTCGGGCTGGGAGGCAAGTTTTCATCATCATCATCATCTCAGCCCCCGGAGATATTGCATCCGTCGGGAGTGTATCTTGCCCGGTATAAACAAGAAAAACGAGCCGTGCAAGTTGACACCACGTAGCCCGATGACATTTATCGAGTTGCGATTCGATTCCAGCGGTTGAAGAAACAAATTGTTTCGAGAGTAACCGAAGTTCGAAGGGATAGAGACTGCAGTGTTGAGTAACTGGCATGGAGGGCCGTAAGAGAAAGTAAAAAGAGATTGGACGTTGAAAGAAGAGCTCTCTTGGAGTGGCAATCAAACCCTTGGTACTGCTCCTCCTTTGACGTGTGTCGCTTTCATAGCCGGCAGGACAGGTACTGTCGTTCGTTGGTCTATCTCGGCCCGGGGAGCCCCATATTAACGACCTATCTGTTCTCTGGAAAGAATCGTGTGCCCAAACAGGCAGGTCAAAGGCCAGAATAATCACGCAATTCAGATCTGAGATTGCGAGAAGCCAAGCGCCCTTAAGGATGCAGGGATCAAGGCCAAAATCGCGGATTCCTCAGCACCCACGATCATATTCCTGCCAGCCCAGAAACCCAGCGACCTTCCAAACCTCATCGGATGTGCGAGACGCTCGATGGCGCCCGGCAATAGCCAGAATGGGTAGAGATCGCAGCCTTCTTCTAACTCAGCAAGATGGTCGTCGACAGACCAGCGCAAAGACTTGGTTGCTTGCCTCGTGGCAGACGCGGAAATTAACCACGACCAAAGCGTAGCACGGGCCGCTTGCGACCAGATCCTGGGAGGGAACGTCTGCGATTGCCGTTGAGTTTTACCGGGAGGGGAGGCGGCAGGGCCTCTTTTTTTCTTTTTTTTTTTTTTTTTTTTTTCCTCCTTTTTTTCTTGGAGAGACCGGTGGAGGCGTGGCCGGGTGACAGCACACTTCTTCCCGCGAGACTCGCTGTCGTCCTCCCAGGCGACAACCAACCCTGCCGCCGTTTGACGGTCATCGTCATCGCGAGTCGTCAAAGCTGCGGCTGGCTGGCGACCTTATGTCAGCAACCCGCCCAATCAGCACACCGCAAGCCGGCCACCACTTTTCTCCGCGCTCGTCCAAACCGCAAAACCGTCGAACGTCCGAGAAAAGGGCTCGCGAAGCTGCATGGAGTGCAGCTTAACCGCCTCCTCTCTGGACAGTTAGCTGGCTCCCAGAGCTCGGCAGCTCCAGCCCAGATCCAAAGAGATTGGCCTGAAAGCTGGTACCGTCAGACTGGCTGTGTTTCATTGTTTTTGCCCCCCACGCCAGTCAACATTAGCTACTCCGTACACCTGAAGCTGCACACTGTGACTGTTATAGACCCGCAGCCAGTGCGCCATTTTGCCGCATCATTCTATTTCTCCCCCTCCATTACATCTCGATAGCTACTGCAAGGCCCGGGTTTCCCCTGGCCCCTTCTGGACCCGTCTGTTTTCCCCAGTTTACTGTACAGCTCCTTGCTCCACTGCTGTTGATCTTAAAGAGATCGTGTGGCCTTTGAGCCCCAGCGCTCCCGCCCCCCGATCCTCCACGTCAGACGTTAAAGTAAAATTCGTTTTTTTGCTTACCGGGGAGAACCAATTCGGCTGGAAAGAGAAGGGCACCACGGGTTCCCCCGTCGCCGCCATGGCAGCGGCTAGGGAGGAAGAGTCGCTCCCAGAATGGGACTGCAACGAGCTCGACAGGTATGTGTGCCGGTTTGTCCCCTCAGAAATCGAATGATCTGAAACTTAGCCTTTTGGCGCAATTTCACCTTCTATTTGCTATCCTTGACTGGGGCCATGCTTATTTGCCGTCGCAAATCTAATCCCTTGCTTCGAGGCCCTGTTTCTTTGTCGGGATGACGTGCACAATGGATCCAATTCCCAATGTCACCTCTCTCTCTCTCCCTTTTTTTAATCTCTATATTTCCCTCTCTTCATATTACTTCCCAGGAATACATTTTATGTTTTCTTTTTGTTTTTCTTTTTTCTTTTTGTCTTTCTTTTCTATTCTTTTCTTTTCTTTTCTTTTCATTTTTTTCGTGTTGATCTTCATGGCAGATAACCGGAAGAAGAACAAACTGGCTGACTGACATACCCGTACACCATGGGAGACATTGGCTACAGGCAGATGGGCCAGCTCTTTGTCATGGGCTTTGATGGAACTAGCGTCGATCCCCAGATCCGGTCACTTATCGAGGACTATCGGCTTGGTTCGATCATTCTGACTGCCAAGAATCTTAAATGTGCAGCCCGCCCCCCTCCTCTCTCTTGCTTGCTGTAACTCAATTTCCCCTATGCACTGTAGATATCCATGCCTATTGTCCTTCTCTGTCTGGTCTTCCATCTACCTCTCTATCCAGGCGACGCTCCTTCTCGGATTTTCCCCTTTTTGCTACCTAGCCCACAACACAAAAGCTATCAACAAACAACTAATGTCTCGATAGCGGCAGAAGAAACCACAAAGCTCGTGTTAGAGCTTCAGACTATTGCCCGGGATGCTGGTCACCCTGCTCCACTCATGATTGGCCTCGATCAGGAGAATGGAGGCGTCAACAGTCTTTTCGATGAGATCTATATCCGCCAATTTCCGAGCGCTATGGGAATCGCGGCTACTGGATCGAAGTCTCTAGCAAGGGAAGTTGCGAAAGCCACTGCTCAAGAGCTCAGTGCTGTCGGAGTCAATTGGATCCTTGGTCCGGTCCTGGATGTCTTGAACAACGCAAGAAGTCAGCCTTTGGGAGTCAGAAGTATTGGGGATGATGCTCAAGAGGTATCAGCCTACGGTGTTGAGTTCATGAAGGGCTATCAGGAAGCGGGCTTGGTTACTTGTGGGAAGCACTTTCCATCTTATGGAAACCTTGAAGTGCTAGGAAACCAAACGGACGTCCCTGTTATCACAGACACGCTTGAGCAGCTCAGCATGAGTGCCCTTGTCCCTTTTCGAAACGCAATTGCACAGGGGATTGATTCTATGATGGTTGGTGGTTGCGCGATGTCATCGGCTGGTGTGAACGTGATGCACGCTTGCTTGTCCGAGCAAGTTGTCGATGACTTGCTTCGGAAGGACCTCAACTTCAACGGCGTCGTGGTCTCTGAATGCCTGGAAATGGAAGCGCTCAGTTTCAACATTGGAGTAGGAGGAGGAACGGTAATGGCGATGAAAGCTGGCTGCGACTTGATACTCCTTTGCCGGTCATTCTCAGTTCAGCAAGAAGCAATCAATGGCTTGAGACTTGGGGTTGAGAACGGTATCATCAATAAAGAACGGATCAGGCAATCAGTGCAGAGAGTTCTTGACATGAAAGCCCGCTGTACATCGTGGGAGAAGGCATTAAACCCTGCCGGCATCAGTCTTCTCTCCCAAATGCAACCATCCCACACCAGTCTATCCACCAGGGCCTATAATAGCTCCATTACCATCGTCAGAGACAAAAACAACCTCCTTCCACTCACCAGCGTCCTGGAACCCGACGAAGAGCTTCTCCTTCTCACACCTTTAGTCAAACCTCTGCCCGCATCTGCTGTGTCCCTCTCAATCACTGAAAGTAGCAGAGAAACGGTTCTTTCCACAGATACAGTCTCCTGGGAGCGCAGTGCGTCTGTCATGAGCGGGGAGAGCGTTTTTCGCGAATTTGGGCGCTCGCTAGCTCGACATAGAAACGGTCGCGTTCTCCATACATCATATACCGCCAATGGAGTTCGCCCAGTCCACGAAAATCTTATTAATCGCGCAAGCGGTGTCATCGTTGTCACCGCTGACTCGAACCGAAACCTCTATCAGTATGGCTTCACAAAACATGTTGCCATGATATGCAATGCACAGTTTGCAGCAAATGGAGATAGGCGTTCCAAACCACTTGTGGTAGTGGCAGTGAGCTCACCTTATGACTTTGCCACAGATCAGTCCATTGGAACATATGTGTGCACATACGATTTTACAGAAACAGCTCTTCAGGCGTTGGTCAAGGTTTTATACGGAGATTTGACGGCTACCGGCGTTCTTCCCGGCACCTTGAGCCGCAGCCAGAAGCTTCACCAGTCAAGGCAGCATTGGCTTGTAGAAAATTGGAATGAGGATCGCGATGCGAACGCATTGGACGAACTGCTCACCGCTATCCGCGAAGACAGCACGCACAACCAACGATCGGCTCTTGCAGGTGTTACATCCAATACATTCTTGTTACGAAATTCTGATGTTGAAGAGGCGCATTTTGTTGTCAGGAATAGCAGCACTCAGGCGCTGTATGGGTTCTGCTCGACATACTTCTTCAAGTCCACTGGGACTGCTGTAATTGGCGCCCTGATCGTCGATCCGGGGAGGCGAAAGCTGTCGATTGGAAACTCTTTACACAATCGTGCAATTCGATCATTGATGCAGAGACAAGGCGTGAGGCGATTCCAGTTGGGCTCACGGCTCCCAGGGGTATATCTTGGTATTCCGACAGGAAACCCAGTAGAGAGAAAACGTCTCCGTCAGTGGTTCGCCAGTCTGGGTTGGAATACGTCTTTATCCAGACCTGTTTGCACAATGATCCTCCCAAATCTGGGGGAGTGGACGCCACCAGAAGGCCTTACTCGAACTTTGAAGAGTGCGGAAGTGAGTTACGATCTGGTTTATGGCCTGGACTATGCAGAAGCAATCCTCGATCACGTTAAGACGAATTCACGGCAGGGAGTTATGGAGATATACAAAATGGCGTTAAGTGGGTCTTCTGCGAATGGAATCATTCGCGCTAAACGGAATGGCGATGACGCTATCTTGGGGACTGTTGTTGTGTACACCAGTGAATCGACGCTGGCCGAATTCGTTCCCACAGTGAAGGAGGCGCGTCCTATGGGTGGAGGAATCTCCTCAGCGGTCATCTCCCCTTCTGCCGGGGAGTATTCGACCATCGTTCAAGGCCTGATTTTACTGGGAATCAAGCAATTACGTAGCCAGGGGGCCAGTGCGGTGGTTCTGGATTGTGTAAGTGGCTTATTCTTTTTGCCTTTTGCATATTAATATATATGTGTGTGAGGCTTTTTCAGCGTTCGCCGGAACTCTTTTTCCCTTTCCAAAAAAAAAAAGTTTTGCGCCAACAACCACCCCAAAATAGAGACCCGGGTAAAATTCGGGTCAGCGCGCCCTCTTGGACATGTTCTTTTTAGCTAACGGCAATTTGGCGGCAGGTGGATGGGGACGGCAATTTCGATGGTCTGTCGGCCATGGGGTTCTCTACGCTCCACAGCTTCGAGGAGGTGACCTGTGATGCGGCCACCTGGAACATGTTGACTTCGTCGTGATAATCGATCAACCGCTACAGAAATGCATTTTTATTTGCGATCCATTCGCTAGGGGGAGCATTTACACGCCTGGCGTACATAGGAAGCGGTGTAACGGTGGCTAAAGATTAATTTGATGGGGTTTCTTTTTGGTTGGGGGCCATCGCATCGCATCGTCTTGCTTCGACCCCATTTTGTAAGTATGTTTGTATGTACAGTACATACATGCTTTGGATATCCAGTTTGCCTCTAGAAGACCGTCTGGACATGACTACTTTTGTCAAAGATTCGGGAATTTTTTTTGACGATTTTCTTTCTTTGTTTATTATTATTATTATTATTAATTTTTTTTTATTATTTATTATTTACTATTTTATTTTTTTTTTTCCCCTTCGCCCTATCAGTTACACGGCAGGGTATGTTAAATGTCTCACGATTCTGCGGAGACTTCTACCCTGATTTCTGACTGAAAAGCGAGAGATAGAGAGGAGAGTTCTATAACCCCGAAGCCCGATGCGCTGGACTCCCGAGGGATGGTCGGACCAAGTGTATGCACTCGGTATGTGTGTATGTACTACGTTCGGCAGACCTGCGGTGGGACACTTTGTGGTGCTGCACAACTCTCCTTTTCGTGTTCCAGGCTGTGATCGCGGGTCCCTGATGATCAGACACATTGGCAAAGGAACTAAAAGACACGAAGAGACCATCTCATATGGAGGAGGGAGTAACTTCATGAAGAAGGTATTTCTGGTTAGATCCATCATTTGCCTCCCTCACGACCCCGCATCGGCGTGGGCCCCCAATCCACAAGGCGTTATATTTCCTGCTTTGAGCCGAAAGGATGCCTTATCAATAATGGAATTCAAGGTCCCTCGTCGACTAAGATATCCAACCGCGTCAGAAAGCTACCGGAGAAAGGCGAGAGCGTGTGTGTGTCCCAAGCTGATAGGGATGGATTGTTTGTGGGGAGAACTGGGGGTGAGCTGGGGGTTTGTTAGGCTGCTCGGCGAAAGGGTGGCTGAGAGAGATTGATTTTGAATACGGGAGAGCGCGGGGTACCATGACCCTTGGTCTTTGTTCTCTTTTCGATGTTTTGTGCTGAGCCACCGGGAAACGAAAGTTTTTTTTCCAACGAACCGCTGGGGAGAGAGGGGGGAAAAAGACGTTTGTGGGGAATTTCTTCGGGAGTTTAGGCAACCAGTGCTGTCAATCAGGCCGGTCTTGTTCGTATTTTTTTTTTTTTTCTCTTCATGATTTTCAATGTAGGATCTTAAGCAGACTCGATTCCCGCACGTGCGAGAATAGAGCAGCGAAGTTCATTAGCAGTTGGTCATACAGAGCCAGGACTCGGAGGATCGACCGTCCATCGTAGCTCACGAGAAAGAAGGTTGAATAATAGTTGACTAAAACTCCATCATCCGACGGGAGGGGACGGAGAGTGCGGTTGATGTCCGGCTGCAGTGTTTGCGATTCTGTATTATTCAGAAGCCAGGTCTGGATGTTGGGAGCACAGACGTCTTGTCCTTTTCACTCACTCACACACACACACACAGAGATTGTGCACATATTATCCGGCCGGAGGATCCCAACCGCCAGAATCCCGCGTGGACAGCTGAGTGTGGAGAAGCGCAGGTCAACTGCCGGGCCATCTATGGGGAAAGCTCTCACAGTATGCAGTACGGAGGAGGGATTCTTTTTTTTTTTTTTTTTTTTTTTTTTTTTTTTTTTGTTATTCATTTTTCTGATTTTTCTTATTTTCTTATTCCTTCGGAACAGCTCACCGCCAGAAAATAGCGAATCGAGTTCCGTACTCTGTGCTCCCCTGCTGACGATATGGGGGCGTCATCCATTTCTCCATCTTCACCCCCCGGGCCATTTCGCAGAGTTCAACGTCATGATCCACATCGCCAGCTCAACTAGCTCTTTATCGCCAACCAGTGGCCATTACAGAGTTGGTTAGTTAACTAACTTACCCACGAACACCCTGCTTCATGGCTTGTGGTATGACAGCATCGCCAATACATAATCCACTTCACCCAACAGCAGCAGACGAACCCCCAGATTAAGGGCCGGATGGATCATGTGTTTGAAGGTGGTGGGTGAACCAAAACAAAATAAAAAAGCAAAACACAAGAACCACATCACTGACTAACTTAGCTAACTTACGGAGTAACTAACTGACTAACTAACTGACTAGTTTAACTCTCGAATTTAGTTGGTTTGTTAGAGTTTCACCATTCAGATTCTGGAAGGTCTGAAAATCCTTCCAGAAAAAGAGCAGAAGCGCCCCTCTGCTTTGGGTTTTGCGTTTTAAACTCCTTCTAGAAGCAATTTAGCTTTAGTCCAAAATTCTCCCTTTCCCGGAACTGCCATGGGACGGGGCAAAGACAGGGACGCTCTCCCGTCTCCGAGGTGAAGGAGATAAATGGAAAGGGAGGGGGTTTTGGACCCGGTCTTGGAACACGCCGGATGGGGAGGGATTGCGGGTGAAATTGTCGGTCCCGCGTGACGGAAGAGGTACTGGTTGGCTGTTATTGAGGCAGCAGAGAAGATTTTGAGACTCCGTGACTGGTCCAGAGGGAACGGGACAAAACTAATAATATGGCCGCCGGTGTTCCAGAAGATTCATGGAAATTTGGGCTTCGTACCCGGGGAAACCCATCTGAAGGCATGGAATAAGAAGCGTGCTCGGTAATTAGATACGGCGAGGTGCACCTCAGATCTCTTTCTCTCTCTCTTTCTCTCCCTCCCTCCGTTCCCCCCTCTCTCTCTCTGTCTTTTTTCTTTTTTCGCTTTCGCTCTCCTTCGCTCTTCCTGCAGTTTCCCGCCAGGGGTTGGTTGGACGACAGATGGGACCAGGGTCGGCGCCAATTCCTCGACTCAAATGCATGTGATAACTACTTAGAACACTTTTTTTTTGGTCCGGGATAAAAATAACCATAATACGGAACCAGCAGCAAAAATAGGATGGAAAAGAAAAAGAGGAAAAAAAAAAAAAAAAAAAAAAAAGAAAGAAAGAAATTGAATTCGTAGAGATCGCGATTCCACCTCGGTGTCTATCTGTACACTTATTTCCGAGCATGTGCCCCCCTTCATCGAGAGAGATTGGATGGTTTGTTTTGAAATTCGCTTGCTTCGTATCTTCAACAGAACGCCTCGACGGCGATAGACGGGGTTTCTGCCTCACTTCCCGCTGTACGTATTCGACGTGCTGCTTTTTTCTTCTGTCGCAGGAGGAACAGCTTGAACCGCCATTGTGTCTATCCGAGAAACGAAAAAGGCGAACCCGTTCACTCGCTCCTTGTTAAGTTATCAGACATAGAGCGCGGATGCCGCCGGCTACTCGAGGTGTATTTTTCGATTGGCGGGGAAAACCTTGTTAAATTCCTTCTTTTCCTTTAATTCTTACCCTTTTTTTTCTTTTTCTTTTTTTTTTTTTTTTTTTCCCCTCAAGGATAAAACCGCCTGTTTCGCTGGAATCTCTCAAGTAATATCTGGCGGACTAACGAACTCGCTACTATGATTTGATCCTGGAACGTAAAATGCCGGACGCCCGCCAAGTCAGGCCAGGGCAGATTGCGGGGTGCGCGGGCTGCTGATTGGCGGAGTAACTCACTAACTACATAACTAACTAACTAGCTCAACGGCCGTTCTGATGGGAAGAATCTGCGTGGAAGATTTCACTGGGGCCGACGGCGCGAAGTTGTTGTCCTGGCGGGAGAACGAGATCGATTGAGAGAGAGTGTGTGGGGGTAAAAGCGAAGCAAAAATTAAAAAAAAAAAAAAAAAAAAAAAAAAAAAAAAGGAGAGAGGACACAGCAGCGAGCGTGTTCGGCGTCAAACTCGTTATTCTTTGCGACCTGCTGAGTTGGGAATGGCGGCTGCAGACACCCCTGGCTTGTGCTCGCGAAAGTTGAAGCTCCTGAGCCGAAAGAGCTAGAGTTAGTGAACTCCAATCCCTGGTTTCATCCTCCCCCAACTCAAAAAAAGAATAAAAAATAAAAAATAAAAAAAAAGCCAAAAAGAAGAGCGAATGTCGAAGATCGCTCGTGAGCTTGGCGGTTGGTGAGAAGGGGAAGGACATACACCTCATCCATGGGACTGGGAATCAAAGTCTGGAGAGGCACACACACACACACACACACACACCGCCTTGCCAGAAGACGCACTCGCAGGACTCGCGCGACGGAGGCCCAAGAGCGTGGGCAGGTCGAGAGGCGGTGATGTGATTATCCCACGGAAGAAGACCGCCCGCCTCCCAACCGCCCCCCCCCCCCCTTGGCCAGCATGTCATCCATGAGTTGCATGCCCTCGCGCGCGCGCCGCCAACAAGGTTCCTGTTATCCTGGAAACAGCCTAAAAGGCGCCGCCCTACTGAGGGAAAATCTTTCGTGGCGGATCTTCGCTAGCTAGTGAGTTTGACGGCTGCAGAACAACTCGCAGCGCGATGTGTATAATCCGTACTGCGGATAGCTTAAATTCCTGATGCATTTCTCGTGGGCACAAGGGGTGCAGAAGGTTTACTTCCACCCCGTTTCGAGTGCTCCTTCAGCAGACAAAACATAGGCGCCCGGTTCATTAGAGAGAGTTAGTTAGTTAGTCAATCAATTATGCGTTTGATCTTGCTAATTTGGAATTTTGGACCTGCATCATTGTTTCTGAATTGTTAAAAACGCCGGCCGAAACTCGCCAGAAACCGGCATGCTGGATCCCAAGTCCTTCCCCCCCCCTCCTTTTTTTTGCTGCCCAACACGCTAGGGCTCCGAGGGAAATAACCAGATAACAAAAACAAAAGAGACGGAAAGGGAAATGCTGGATGGTCTTTTTGGTCCTGAAAATCTCAGAGTCGGAGGCCGGGGGGGGGAGAACAGGGACTATCGAGTTTACGAGCTCGGATGCAGGGGCATGGTGCGTATATGTATTATGATAATATCCGGGAAGCGAATATGATGTACGAGCATACCATGTCCCCGACCAATCCCACAAACTCAAAAATAACCCCCAGCGCGAGAAAATAGTTGTTCGCCTGCAAAATGGATTACTAACTGCAGCGTGTTCTAGAAGGATCACGAGAGAGGGAGAGAAGGGGGTGGGGGGGTTTGTGCGTCCCTGTCCTTGTTCGCCATGATGGTGTGGTGGAATGATCAGCGCCGGTTTGGCTGATCAATCTGTTGGAATGCTGTGGGGCAAACATCCGGGGGGATAGGGATATCAGAAGATGATGTTGATAATATACGTGCAAGGGAGGAGGGAGCGAACAGCGAATCGGCGATGAGAGCAGGTCGAGTGGACAATCCGGGGTTGATGAGAAAGGGAAAGCTCCTCGTTCACCAACCCCTGCACGCAGATCATTTAAAATCGCCTTCCGAGGGCTGATAAACGAAAAAGAAAGGATGGCCGAGTAAACCGAAACCAAGGCGTTAGTCCCCTTTTGGCAGCGCCGGTGGAGCTTTTCTTCGATAAACACTCGATGATGCTTGACAGCTTATCGCCCCGAGAGAGAGAGAGAGAGAGAGAGGAACCTACCGCTGGACCTGAGAAAACCATGTGTCTGGCTGAAAATGATCCCGGTTCAGACATCCGCAGCATAACCCAGAACGCGGGCGAGGGCGAGAAGAGAGAGAAATAAGCCAAACAAGCATCATCATCATCATCATCATCATCATCATCATCTTGTGACCTCTCACACCTCCAGAGATGCGGAGACCCTGATGATCCACAATCGCCATCGCACTTTCGTCGTGCTGAGAAGCTGAGGCCTGGCGGGCTCGAGCTGATGCTCCTTTTAGCGAGCAGTTCTAGAACGAGGGTGAGACACAGCCGAACTTTCCTTCTGCCTCTTATCTGAGGTCAAACAGCCATCGAGGGGGAGGCCGTGGCGAAGAAAAAGAAGCTTAAGGGAGACTGCCTCGGCCTCTTTGCCTATTCGCCATGGATGAGGCTATCCTCTTTCTCCTTCATGCACGAATCAGATGAACAGAACCCATTTCGTCAAGATACTGGAGATAAACGTGCATTTGACCAGGTGTACCCTTGCTCTGCCTGTCAACATAACAGCATATGTAATGCGTTGGGAGGAGCCCAGCGACTCGGCGGCAAAATCGTCTCAAACACCCGTTGATGGGAGGCCACGAGGAAACCTTCCAGGCCAGTTATTTCCGTAGCCTGCAAATAAGAATTTACAGATCTGGGTGGGAAATTTTGATGTCATCCCGTAAAAAAGAATAAAATACATAGAAAGCAAACCAACTTCGGAGATTCTCCATGTTTGGAGGGGAGAACCTGGCACAGCATGGCGGCCCATCGTGTGGCAGACAGAACCAAAATCTCAACGTGCGAGAATGGCATGGATGTGCCCTTCTCAGCAATCGAGGAGAGACAAAGAAACAAGCTAGTTAGCTATCCCCACGCGGCCGCAGCCCACAGACGGGGCGGCGAGGAGTACTGAAGGTTTTCCCTTTTTTTTTATGTTTTATTTTTTTTATTTTCCTGTCATCGTGGCAGACAGGATGTGGGCATTTCCAAGCGTGATCGCATGGCTATCTGGGGTTCTTCAGGCAAAGAGAGTTAGTTAATGCGGGCGCAACCCTGTAAATATCTCCCAAGCATATTCTTATTTTATTTCTCTTGCTTCCATTCCCCCTTTTACATTCAATTTTAAGGCTCGTTCAGAAACAAATCATAATGCGGGACTACTAACTATGACCCTGTATGCTTGGCGGGACAAGGGTTCTTGTTTCTCGAGCATACGCCCAACGGAGTGAGCATTTTGCGGGGGCTGGAAAGAGGAACAAGGACCATCATGTGTAGAATCTGTATCCAATATCCAAGATGGATCTTGTACGGAGTGATATAGTTACATCTTATGTACGGAGTATGGAGTACGGAGTATTGTGATCAGAATGGTAGACTCGAGACGAGAGAGAGAGAGAGAGAGACAGAGAGCGAGACAGAGCCAGAAGGGCAGCATGGCGTTGAGTTAAGACCAGGAGCCACCGCGTGCCTTTATTAGTTTCATGCAGCGCGAAGTGGGGATTGCCCAGGGATCGCCATCAGAAGCTAAATTCGTCGGGAAAGTCAGTCTCGATCGGCTGCGTGCTAAGGAACAGGTTTAGGCGGGAACGGATGATACAGGGCCAACAATTTGGAGGAAGAGGAGGAGGAGGAGGAGGAGGAGGAGGAGGAGGAGGAGGAGGAGCGAGAACAGGGCGTGCAGTCTGTTGGCCGGTAAATTCGGGCAGGCGAGACGACGAGCGAACGGAGCAGCAGAAACGGGTAGAAAAAAGCAGAGAACCAAGCACAGGTCGGCTGTCGACGGGCGGATCGGCCAGCGCAAAAGCCACCGCCATCATCGCCGTCTGGAGAGCTTAACTGCGACATGGTCACTGGGCTTAGCTCGACGAGGCGGGAGATTTGAGTTGAGTTGATTTCGAATGTCTTTTGACGCTCTTCGAGACGGGCTAGTGAACTCCGCCATTCTCAGCCTGTTAAGCGCGGGCTGCTATGCGGTTATCAAGAAGCCAGCTACTTCGTTTATCTCTCTCTCTTCGTTTTTCTCTCTCTCTCTCTCTTCATTTATCTCTTTTCATTTATCTCTCTCTCTCTCTGGCCAAGAGAGATTTGGCTCGTCCAAACTAACTTAACTCCTGGCTAATCAACTTAGTGAGCGGGTTAGGCTGCTCCCTCTCTCTCTTCCCCACAGAAAAAATCGGTCTAAGGGCAGTTTTCATTATTAACAGGTCGGCAGCACCAAGCCCGGCCGCTAGCGAACACCAAGCAAGCACCAAGCAGCAGCACCACCACAAGCACCACCGTCAGCAGCGAGAAAAAGAGACGCAGGCCGGCGAACCCTTGCTCGTCCAGAAACCAGATCTTGATAAGCTCATTTGCCATTCTCGCAATCCTCGCATTTTCCCGCCCGGGCCGCTCCCCAGTCCTGTTTTCTTCTCTTATTTCATCCTGCTTCCCCCGTCGACATCGTTATCTCATTACCCTATCCTTATCCTATCCTCCATACATAATCTAATCCTGTCCTGTCCTGTCCTGCTGAGACATCGATAAATTCCCTCCGCCACTCCCGCGCTCCCTCTCTCCCTCCCTCCCTCCCTCCCTCTCTCTCTTGTCTCTCTCTCTCTCCTGTCTCTCTCTCTCTCGTCTCTCTCTCTCTCTTGTCTCTCTCTCTCACACTCTCTGTGTGTGTGTGTGTCTACCTACCTTTCCCATAGCCACCACACCCTACACCCGTCCTCCCCGTTAGTCTGCTGGAGCGCACAGCCCGTCCGTCAACTACTTTCGGCGCTAGACACCGCTCTAAACTAAAACAGCGCAAGTCCCGAAGGGCGGCTAATAAAGAATAAACCAAAAAAAAAAAAAAAAAAGGTAACATAGTCGAACCATTGCTCGGGAAAACGGTGCGGAGTCTGCTCTTGTATTTTCGCTCTTCTGCCGGCCTCGCGGCTACCGCTCCGCTTGTCTGTCTACACTCCCAACAAACCCCCCCTCCTTCGTGACAACAAGTTGAAGCTCGTCACCGTCGATGCATTCGACACTCTCGCCATTCGAGCCCATCATGGATTACGACTCGAGCATGCCTTACTTGGCCAGTCCGCTCTCCATGGGGAACCTGCAGAATGTCGACTACCTGAACGCGATACAGCCGTTGGACATCCCACCGCACCCTCATCCATACGACCATGAAGCGTTTGCCAGGTTTGTCTACACTCTCCCATCCTTGCTTTCGTCCCATCCCGCTCCATTCCCTCCAGATGGAGCTCAAAGGAAAGAGAGAGAGAGGTTCCGCTCTTTGTTTGGTCTTTTCGCTGACACTTCTCCTTTCTCGATAGCGGCGACGATATGAGCTTCTCGCAGCCATCTCTGACGCACCCCATGAGACGATTCTCGAGCAACCAGTACGACGAACCTTTCCCCGATATCCTAAGCCAGTTCGAGCCACTTCCGCCAGAGCAACCCCCTCAAGATTCGTCCGTCGATCATAATCATAAGCTGCTCAGCTTCTCGCTACCGATCTACGGCTTCACGCTTTTGGATTACTCTCTCCGGAAGACGTCCCTGTCCATGTCTGCCCAGCTTCATGGGATGTTCTTTCTGGCAGAATCCCCCTGGACCACCTCTCCCACCTCCGATACCAACATCCCACCCCCAGTCGCAGAATTGACCTGCTACCGCCGAAACCTGTTCCAGATCACCGGCTCCGTGACGCTACCTCGTGGCCTACGCTACATTTTGACCGAGCATGGAGATCGCATTCCCATCCTGGCACACGAGCTGACGGTCTCTGCCACAGAATCTGTTGAGGGAAACTCGGTGAAGATCATCTCGGTGCCCTGGAAGACTCCGGCGACGAACACGACCGGGCAGCCAGAAGATAAGACCGAAAAGGAGCCTCCTTCCATTCCTCTTGACACCATGACGGGCCAAGACCTGGATTCCGACTACGCCACCTTCTCGATCGCCTGGAAACGATTGCAGTTCCGCATCGCAACGGCAAACAATGGCCGACGCAAGGAGCTACAGCAGCATTTTGTCGTCCGGTTGAAGATCGTTGCAACGTTGTCGACAGGGACCAAGGTGCCCATCGCGGAAGCCCACTCCGGCCCCGTGATCGTGCGAGGAAGAAGCCCTCGCAATTTCCAGTCCCGCAAGGACCTCCCACTCAGCGGCAGCGCTGCCGCTTCCCGCAAGAACGCCCAAGCGGCGGCTCTCCATCGCGCAAACACGGCTGACGCTGCCCGGTCGCATCAGGCAGCCGCAAAGCGCAGCAAATCTCCCCAGGGCCCAACACCGGCTCCGGTACCCCTTAAGCTGGACACAGACGCCAAACCCTCATCCCCGCAGCAGCAACCTCCGCCATCTGCCACCCTCCCTGACTGGACTCATGTAACAAGTGCTCCCACTTCTACCACTCCCTTCTCCGCTCCACCGGTCACCGGTCCCACTGCTGCTTCTGCTGCGTACGCAAAGTCGAGCCCCGAGCAACCTCGTCCAGGAAAAAGAAGACGCACCAGTGCCAGCACAAAGCCCATAAGTCTGTCCCTTGCAGACGACGTTCCCAGCCCAGCCACCCCTACCACCCCGGTACACATCAACAGCCTTGCCACCACCTCCGCTCCTCACTTCACGAACACCACTCACCCCATTGATAATACGTCCCTGTTACAGAAGCACTCACCGCAGGTTACCGCCAACCAAGCAATGCCTCATACATACTCTACCTCTGCAAATATGCCCTTACTCGCACAATCCCTACAGCAGCTGGCACCTCCTTTGCTTTCGCCACATATCGTGAACCCCAGTGACACAGCTGATTTACTCTACGAATACTTCCCGTTGGGATTGGATGACTGGCAAGCTCCGGTAGACGCCGTCTACCGGCCGCATGTGGTGCACCATATGAATTTGCCTGATGATCCCAAAGCCATCGCTGCGAGGAACCGGAGTAAAAGGTACTTTGCTGGAGAAGGAAGTTGATGTATGCATCTTGGCATCGTTTATTTATTTTTTTTATACATTTTTTGTTTTTTTTTGGCGTGGTACCTCCCTATCGAATTACTTTTTTGGATTTACATCATCTTATGTTATTTGAACGCGTTATGAATAGCCGCCTATTCATGTCCTCCTCCCCCGCGAGTTTTATCTTCGCATGCCGTTCTTATCTTGGTATAGCATAAGCAACAACCTTTGGAGGAAAACCTTCTTGCATGGGATACAGATAGGGGAATTATGATATTACCTCTGGATTCATTCTCGGATATACACTTTTCCTTTTTGCGGCGGTCTCGGAGAGCGATTGCTTGGATATACATAACCCTATCCTTTCTCTCTCCTCTCTCACTCTCTCCCTCCTCTCTCTCTTTCTCACTCTTTCCCATACCCCGCTCTCCCCGTGTATCCCCAACTTATGATCCCCACGAATGCATTATTATTTTGATAAGTGTACTTTTATACATACATGGATGTATGTAAGGAACGTGTACGTTCAGATTATGTCCATACACTCGAGCCTCTACTTAATTTCCCTCGAAAATAAGCATAAAGATAAAGATTCCATTTTACTTTAATTTTGTTTTCTATATTTTTTTTTTTTTTTCCTGATTGGTCTTCTATGGCAATACCGCTTCCCGCGACCATCGGGCATCGCCGACGGCCCAGACAATGAAAGAGCTGAGGTGTGGGAGGGGGAGTCGATCGGCGACAGGCGATCAAGCCACCTGCATTTCTCGGGGGATTAATGGATCACCCCGAGCCACCACCTCCTGTAGCCTCCTTTTCTCGGGTCCTCTGTGGGGTCGACCTGTTCCGTCTCCAAGCACTGTTTGCCCGGGTTAGTCCGTACTATCCATGTGGACAAATTTCTACGTCATTTTGCATGTTTCTTTGGTCCGGAGGATGGCCGTTTTCATCCACGATGTGAAGTCAAATAAGGCACTACTAGTTGAAAAATGACAACAGTTCTCCCTTCCCCCAAAACTAGGGCTATCGCAATGGTATTCTTTTCTTCTTGGAGTTGAAACATTCCACCATGCTTGGAGGCTTAGGATAGACAGCATATGCGGGTGGGGTTTTGACCCTCCATGTGGACTCTGGGGTTATGGGGACTGCGGGGCCTTTCTCTCCACCGCCTTTCTTTGCAAAGTTCCGCATTATTAGAGGTAACTAGGTCAACAAATCTAAATTACCTTTCCAGCCTTCGAGATAGATGGGGAACGTCCCCAAAACGGCGTTTGAACTTTTAACCTGGCTCAACAATTAAACTGGCTTTTTTTATTGCATCACAAGTCAGGAAGGGTATAATTCCACTGAGTTTCAGTATGATGGCAATTTGCAATGGGACCTAGGCCCAAAGTACTCTACAGTTTTCGTGGTGTCAAACTCGGGCTTCCCGTGGGCCGTAGGGCACGCCCATCTGCGGGCGCACTGGAGGGAGGGACCTGTGGGGCTGCCTCGGCCCATTCGAGCGTTAGCAACGGGATATATTGTGATACAGAAGCCCCTTTAAGTAGGATGGCGGGCATATCAAGAGGGTGGGTAAGCAATATTTATCGTTGTGCTTATGTATACATACAGTTTCATATTCCAGTTGTGAATGTTCTCTCCCGAAGCTGAACATATAGTATACTAAGACTTGTTTGGCGCTCATCCTTGAGATTGACTTATTAATTGAAATGATAGCCTAGAAACTTGCCGTCTCCATTCCATACAATAGAACCGGATTGCGGAAATTGGTGTGGGGCCTGTTAGCAACAGAGAGACATGTGGATATCGGATAAAGTACAGAGACATTCCCGAGGGCTTGTCCGCCTGAAGACGAAAAGAGAGGGTGGAGTGCAGGTAGAGATTCTTCATTTTTCCTTTTGCAACTATTCTGGGTTGAAGTTTGCTGTTGCGGTTCCCCAGAATCCGCTTTATCATGGATGTTTTCCACTATGAAAATTGTGTGCTGATTGTTGCATTGGCTACGGCATATACAGCACTCGCGGTTGGAAAAAAGATTGCTAGGAATTTGGAAATGTTATAGATTATTTTGATTTGAAGGGAATCAGATGAAAAGAGGTTCTTGGGATCTATCGCACGCGCATTCTGTCTATATAGAGGATAACGCTGATCGCTTCAACCCCAGCCTATTCGAATGACCGATGCGGATCCCCGTGATATGCCACTCTAAATATGTAGGCTAGTCTTGTGTGCGCAGTCAAAACCGCGGGGAATCGTATTAGATCTAACTACGGAGTACAGAGTATTCCCTAGTATGCTAGCCCAGGGCTTTCCATGCAAACCCTGAAGATAATTTTCTCGTATACACCCGAGAAGGGGGTAGCACTATTCAATGCTTGGCCAAGCTTATACTGACCGTCAACCCTGGGCCTGGGAACGCCCAGGACGCGCACATTTTGGGAGATAAGTTCTGGTTGGCTGCAAAAAGTTTGTTTAGGCCTAGGGAGATTTATAATGCAGTCCTCAAAGGACGGACCTGGCCGCTCGGCCCGGGAGAAAGGGCGCCTGACACCACGATGATGTCAACGATATTCCCGGATAGGTAGGTACTGCGTGACCTGGATGGTTGGTAATGCGTGCTCTCCGGTTCGACAACTGCCCTGGCTGTCATTCGGTGATGATGCGCACACGAGAGTTTCCTCCTTGCGGATCTTCCCGAAGCGCCGGAAGCTTTGTGCCTTAGCTAGTGACGTCATGCCGATCGCTCCCAGAAACGCGCCATGATCCGAGATAAGATAAGATGATCTTATCGGAAGGGTCTTGGCGATCTTGCGCGTTTTGGAGCTGGTTCTCTGGTGGGCTTTTATTTTGTTCTTGATCTTTGATTTAGTTTCGAGGAGAACTCTTGCGTGTGTATGTGTTATGCCCGTGGAGTTTTGTCTTGGCTCCAAGCAAGTGTGGCTGTCGCATCCATGGGTTACACTCGTCGATGTAGCGTAATGTTACATTGGCTGGAGTACCCTTTGCTCCAGAGTGAAGCTTCAGGACTTGAATGTTCCGAGCCCTCCTTGTTTTTTTAATTCATTTATTCATTCAATATTTCCCCCCTTTTGGAAAAGGCCTCAGGTGCTAAACTGATAAGCGCACAATGGGATGGAGCATGTCAGATAGAGTGTGGTCATGCATCAGGAAGAAACTACCCTGGGCTCCGGGTGCTGTTGTGAAGAGCTTCGGAGGTTCCCCACCAAAAGAGCCCGAAAATGACACCCAAGGCATGGCCCGTGCAACGTTACGTTTCGAGACAGTTGCTGCTTGACTGTTACAAAGTTATTTCCTGACATGTTACAGTTTGTAACTTTGTAACTGCTGTACTGTACTTCGTATTTGACTTGGTTTTGTTACGCAACACTTCAACTTTGTATAGTACATACATTTAGCACATCTATATGTATATGTGAGCTCCCTCTTCTGTAGCCTTAGCAATACCTGTAAATAGTATATAAGAGCTATAATGTAAAGAGAAAGGAAGGCTTTCCAGATATCAATCTTATACCAAGGTCCAAAAGCAGTTCTGCAGAAGTGTACATGAGCATCACCTTCCTCAACTTTCAAGCCAGGGTCTGCAATACAGTGATACACAAAGTGACAGGTAATTACATACACACATACATCCATACATACGAAATTACTGTGCTTACTAATACAACCTCATACATAACTTACATAACATGTTCAGTTACAGTAAAATTACAGCAGTACCGATTTTCGGGGAAATTCCCAAAAACGGGTTGTCGTTGGCTCTCCACATATTTTATATTTTTTTTTTACACGCGTCGGCAGCAAGCCAGCGTCTTGACCTCAGTTTCCACTCCCGATGTCACCTTGCCTCAACTCAAGCACTCCACTGATGGAGTGACGGCCAACACGATGGCAGCTGCTAAACATTCACATAAGCTTCTCCACACCCTAGTCATTACGAGAGCTGTGAAGTCTTGACATCTTGGTCCCACTGCTACCTTTACAACTGCACTCTGACTTAATCAGGGGGTGGTGGTTGTATGAGTTGGGCTTGTTGGATGTACTGCAAAGCTCCTTTTCTGAAATTGCCAGTGCGACCCTGCCAGTTTGCTGGGGCCCTCTTGAGTGAGTGCAGAGTGTGCTTCTTCTCCAAGTTGTGTTTTCCTCGAGCTCTCTCGGGTTGCCTACCGTCCTACTCGAAGAGCGAAATGGTGGATCAGTTACACGTTCAAACTACTGTACCATCAAGCCTAAAGGTCACTTTGGAGAGCGGGAAGTTACAACAACAAAAGACAGCGAGTTCACTTTATGGATTCTGTTCCAAACAGAACCGTGGTTTTCTAGTGCATCCAGCTGCTCTCGAGGAACTTTGGTTGACCCGAACACCGAGTGGCTGCTGTTTGAGTCGGACACCTAAGAGCATTGTGACGCTGTGACAAGGAAGCGTCTGGCAAGGAAAAAGAAGAGCTTGCGGTGCTCAGCCGGGGAAAGATTAGGGCTTGGAGTGCAACGCAGGCTGCAGTTTTCAGTCTTTTGATCTGATATCCAACGTTACTTGTAAGCTTGGGCCGGAGGGGAACCTGTTCCTCCTGCAACGCTATTCGATATCGCTTTTTTGACTCTCTTCTCCATTCACGCGGCGTCTATAACAGCGTCTCCATTCGCCCTGGCTATCTTTGAAGTTCGCTCTGACTCTCTACATCTGCATACTGCCTAAGTGGAAAAGGTACCCCTTTGATTGCACGGAAATCCTACTGTTATGGTGTACTCGGTACATGCACATCCCGACATTCCCCTGACACTGATTCAGGGTTGATGGAAGGTGGCTTCTGACTCTATACCCCAACCTTCTCACCACCTTCCTAAGTACCCATCATCATACAGTAACTTTGCCCTTCCATTTTCTGCATGCTACAATCCTTCGCTCGAATTTACCCGGGCATGAGTCTCCCCGACCCTACCGAGAATCTCTCCGTGTTCCTGTTCCCCCGTGGTACCCTAAATTAATACCCTACTACAAAGTTGAACCTCGAGCCCCGATACCTCCCCCATCCTTATAGTAATTGCAGCTGGGCAGTTTAAATTCGACTTTCTCGCCATTGAACGAACTCGCCGCCCGCAGCCTATCGATCTCTGTCGCTCGTTATCGGAAACTGTCGTTTGATTCGGTGCGCTTCAACTCCCACTAATTCCACCTAAGATTTGGTTCCAAACCTACCTTTCTCTCGCTATGGGAGGCCATCTTATTAAGGCAGCGCATCAGCTGCAAAAACTCTTCAGCGATCTTGTCAGGATACTCCATAGACTTCTTCATGGATCCGTCCGTAAAGAAGTTTCTCGGAAACGACGAAGTTTTAGGAACCGATGGACCCGACGATCATTAAACGACTTCGTTCAAGAAGTCGAGCATCTTTTTCTCGGTCACCTCTCTCCAGAAAATCTTGCACTCATGTCAAATGAAATTGGTGCACAACTGCGCGCAAGTGCTAAATCGAGTCATATCAGCATGCTCCCTTCATTCAACCACTCTCTCCCGTCTGGTAAGGAAAAGGGAACCTATCTCGCGTTGGATGTGGGTGGTTCAACGTTCCGAGTCGCCCTAGTGAAATTAGCTGGCAAAGATGAGGGCGTAAAGATCCTGAAAATGGCAACATCGCATATTGACGAGGATGTGAAGGCCCTAGCAGGAAAGGCTTTCTTTGACTGGATGGCGCGGAAGATCGGCGAGATGCTCCCCCCAAGTGCTGAAGAATATAGCCAAGATTCAGCGCCTTTACCTATGGGATTGTCCTGGTCATTTCCTATTGAACAAACGTCTATTCGCAGTGGCAAGGTAATTTCTATGGGGAAAGGATTCCACTGCTCTGATGGCACCGTTGGCGACGATCTAAGAGAGCTCATTATGGAAGCATGTCGAAAACGTAATCTCAACGTTACTCTAGAAGCCATTGTCAATGATGGTTCGGCCACGCTCCTTTCCCGTGCTTATACGGACCCAACGACTCGGATGTCCCTTATCCTAGGAACAGGAACGAATATGGCGGTTCATTTCCCAGTTCATGCGATTGGAATCGATAAGTACGGAGAACGATCACCAGAGTGGTTCGCAAAAGCCGATCATGTGATTACCAATACCGAGATCAGCATGTTTGGGGGCAGGGTGCTACAGATGACGCGTTGGGACGATGATCTGAACCGCAACCATATCAAACCGGACTATCAACCTCTAGAGTATATGTGCACCGGGAGATATCTGGGAGAAATTGTCAGGCTCATCGCTGCAGAAGCTGTTCAGACGGCCGGCTTGTTCGGTGGACAGATGCCGGCTTCGATGCAACCACGATATTCACTCGACACCGCAATCCTAGCATACATTGAGGAGGATACGTCGCCGTCTTTCCAATCGTCTTTGGCATTTCTTCAAAAACAACACCAGTTCCGCGTGCCTCCAACCCCGGCTGACCTTGCTTTCTTAAAAAGGGTCACTCACTGCGTATCGCAGCGAGCTGCTGCATACCTGGCAACAGCAATCCATGGCCTCTGGTGCCTGAGAAATGAAAGTGAGACACCAATATTCCCAGCAACACCAGAATCGACCAACGACGAAGAAATCCTCAAAATTCCCGCAAAGGAGTGCACGAAAGATCCCATTCCACTACAGGTTAACATCGCCTGTGATGGCAGTGTCATAAACAAATATCCGAATTTTAGAGCCCGCTGTCAAGTGTATCTCAACCAATTAACTTTCGACTCCAAAACATCCGAAACTTCTCATATGATCCTTGATTCCGCGATAGCGTCCAAGAAAGCGTCGTCTCGAGTTGAGCAATTACGCTCTATCACACTTGACTTAGCTCCAGAAGGCGGCATCATCGGCGCCGCTGTGGCCGTGGCCGTTGCCGTTCCCGATGACGAATAAAAACTAGTTTTTGAGGCGTAACTCGCTTTCATTGCTGGCTTCTTCCTAGCCTTGAAGTGCCATCCTCTTCTTATGCCTTGCATCTAGATATAGGCGGCGTCGATATACCAGTGAAAAGCATGTCCGGCTTGCTCCTTTGCCCACTCCCTAGAAACCTTCGAGATCCTCACCGTATGCTTGTTTTCAACCAACCTTTTTTCCCGCCGACGTCACTCCGGTTTGGGGATTGCATTATTGTAGGAGGAAAAACATCTACTCGCTCGTCTGGCATCAAGCATGGAAATTATTGCTCATACTCTCCCGGGCTACTGATATTTCTTTATACAAAACCCGATACCCTTCCTCCATTGTTATTTTCACTGTCACATTTTCCCTGTTCGATATGCATTATTTGGCGCCACGGTATTGCATCAGTTACTACATTTAACATTTTTTATAATATGCGTACCAAATATTTTTATACTACTCTTCTCTTGTTGTGTTCCACCGAATCAACTCCGACCCAACGAAGAGAGTCTCGGCGCCTGGTCTCAAATCATTTTTTGCTAGGACCGAAAAGAAGATAGCCATATTCACCAAAACTCTCAAGTTATCGTTTACACGCACCCGAGGCCATTTTGATTCGCCCTAATAGGACGGGCCTTGTTTCCTAAGGGGTCCCAGTCCAATACCGGTCTTGAATCCTTCGATGTACAGAAACTTCCATAGGTTGTTGTGAATATGATTGACATAACTACCCTAAGGGAACGTCACATCTTTTAAAAGCTTCCAGGGTTCTAATCTTAATAGCCTGGTCCCCATCACAGTTGACTCTCAACTTGGATACCAACTTGTTAGTTGATATTCGACCTGTATTTGTTCCCAGCAAGCATCAATTTTAAGTTATTGTATCAACTCGAGGACTCCATAGGGGAGAGTGAACTTGAATCAATGAATGGGATGATGATACATGCGGTCCTTTTCGGGCATTTGGGATGCTGTTGAACACAGGTATTACAGCAGAGCCGGGAGCGCTTGTGAGGACAGCAGCTAAGGTATCATGCGTTCGGGACGCGGATTATACCACATAGCCCAGGCTCCATGGATCATATATACCAGATGCATGTCTTTCAGCATCACGCTACTAAATAGGGTCTTGTGACAAAAGCATCCTCTCTTGAGGACTATTGGAAGGCTATACGTCCGGGTGATCTGTGTCCTGGGTGTTGTAGGCCGCAGAACAATTCAGGTTTGAGAATGAGAATGACTAAACCCCCCCCCCAAAAGAAAGGGGACAACTGATTTGTATACTCTATTCTGCCATTGGTGTGTGCCTGGTAAGTGCATTTATGAAGTTTTTGTTAAATTATAATATTTGCAGGATTGACACTACAGACTGCTCTAGCATCCCTGTGTGTGCGCTCACTGAGGGCAACATTGTGAGAGACTCCTCAATATTATTCGCCATTGGTTTCTTCAGCTAGGTTGTGTGATATGTTAGTTAGTGAAAACAACATATTAACATCATAGATTCCTTGCAGCTTCATAAAATGTCTTCCTACATGCAGTGAACAACAGCAGTCAAGTCTGAAGCTAAGCTAATCTCTGCATCCTGGAGATCCCGAGGAGAGGAGCTAGGGCCATCTAGTCCTAGATATTTACTCTGGCTTATTGCATGTATCATAAAATGCGACCTCGGGATCGCCGTGTCAGCGCCTATTGTCTGGCTGGCTCTTGACGTTCCGAGGCACCTTGATGGCAAGGCGGTAAAGGTAAATCCCAGTCATTAGCCTGTCCGTGTGCCCTGGAGGGGAAATGGAATCTTTCCACAGTCAAAGTACGCCCGCAAGGGTACTGAAACAGGCTGTCCAATAAGACATTTCGAGGCTGCGACCGGGGACGGGTTGATTCGAATCGACGTTTCCTTAGCTTCATGGCCCAGAGTGATAACGACTTCGCTGACACTGTACTCCGGTACGGAGTACTCCGTACGGAATAATCAGTTGATTTTAGCCCAGTCAATTCCTCACGATGCACCCGCCGATCGGCTCTTGCGGAGACGGGCCGCCCGGGAAGATTCGATCCTGCATATACGATGCAGTCCCTGACCAGACAACAAGCCAAATGCGATTGGTGTAGCTGATGTCGAAGTCTTACCGCCATTTGCGACGCTCGTGGTGCTGCGCACGTCGTCGAGGGATCCGGGGGATAAAAAGGTATCATTCATTGACACACGCCTTGCATAGAGGAGTTGACCAGTTAGTGGATCAGAGAAAAAAGAAAGCATGTTGCATTCTTCACAAGTATTGGATACTTTTACCATTTATCCTGAGCAGAACTGTACGTTGACCAGGAAACATGGGGAAAAGGCCACCCTGGTATGTGTAATGCCATTTTATTGCATAAGCTAACTGGTCATATAAACATTTATGTCGCGCATCAATTAGCTATGAAGTTAAATTGTACCAAGGTCCATAGGCCTCACTACTTGAAATCAGTGCAACAGTTTCCTAGCAATGCTACAGAAGGGGCAATGGAAACCGCAAGTCAAAGACCCTGGGAAGCCAACAAACACCGCATGTACATAACTAGAGCGGAAAAAATGAAAAAGAGGGAGGAACAAAGGGCAGCATTCCGGATGCTGCGGGCACGGTGATTTAAGGCCTCAAAGCCACCTTCGCACCATGGGCACTAGCGCAGGTAACCGTTAGCAATTCTTCCCATGGATTAGGATCACGGGATTCGACGTGGCGGAATTCCTGCATCAATCGAACGGTGGTGTATGACGCTTCAGTAAGTGCAAGTTGCTCTATAAGTAAAATCACGAATTAGAGATGCAATCAGGGAGTAGGCCAAGTTGTTAAAGGGGCTGCTGGGAAACTCACGTCCAAGGCAGATTCTAGGACCGCCATTAAATGGAAGATATTCCCATCCGGGCCGCAATTTCTCCCATCTTTCTGGTTTAAACTCCGCGGCATCGGGTCCATATATATCTTCCCGTCGATGCATTGTGTAAACACTGTAATTAAGCAGAGTTCCTTTGGGCACAAACACGGGAGATTTGCCATCCGGACCCCCTCCAACGGGAACGAAGGTGTCGCGGACGGCAACTCGAGTATTACCAGGGACCACAGGATACAGTCGCAGGGCTAATTGTCGAGATGTAGTTGGTTAGAAAAGGTGAATAATCTCATGTGTATATTAAGTAGGCCAAAAATCGTAACGAAAGTACGACTAACCTTCGTTTACACAATAACGCAAGAACTTCATATTCTTTAGTTCTTCAAACGATGGTCTCTTTTTATTGAGCGCATCGACCTCATTTAGGAGCTTGGACCAGACGTCAGGCCTTTTTGATAGAACGTTCCACAGGCAGGCCAAGAGACTTGCAGTCGTGTCCCGGCCAGCAAGCAAGATGTTAAGAGCTTCGGAGCGCAATTCGACTGGATCTTGGGTAGATTTCACCAACTCATCCAAGAAAATGTATCGATTTGAAGTCTTGTCGCTGGTAATCATCCCGGACTGCTGGGCACGATAGTTCTCAAGGGCCTTTTGAACGTAACGATCGGCAAATTCGTGGACACCAGCTGCGTACCGGTGATATCGTCTGTCCGGGATCCCCAAGAATATGCCAAGCCGTGCCCACTGTCCGATGACGGCTGTACAGTAGGTGAAGATATCGCTGAATCGTTCGCCAGACCCCATATCTTTTTTGGTCAGAGTATAGGCTGATTCACCGAAAAGAAATTCAGTTGCCGTATCGAGAGTCAGATCAAAGAAAAGATCCTGGAGATCGACTGTTGAACCATCCGTTGGAATCTCTTTGAATAGATTTTTGAGATGTCTCTCAATCATGTCTAAATCTGCAACTTGAGAACGGACAAAATTGGGCCGCAACATTGCGCGGGAATGCTCCCACTCAGCCCCATCTGTTGTGAAGATTCCCTTGCCGAACAACGGTTGAAAAAGTCTTTTTCTGACAGTAGAAAGGTCAAAGTCCTGGAATTTAGTAGCCAGGGTGGCTTTGATATTTTCCGGGTCACACGTAGCAATAGCTGATAGATTTATAATGAGTAACACCGTCACAGAACGCGGTGGTCGGGGCGCAATATGGACACTGACCAGGTTTACCGATAACATTTAGCGAGTGGGTGTTGCCGTGCTCGCGAAAGCGTTTCTGTGTCCCTTGGAGGAACGTTCTGGACCGGCTGTATTTCATGCCTTTCAAGGCCCAGTCTAGTCCAAGGATCGGGTCTTTATGAGGATATGCTGGAGGTGGTCGGCAACCATTTTGCTGAATAAACTTCCGGCGAGCAAGACCCAAAGTCAAATATAGGTAAACTTGGTATAGTAGGAAGCACGCAGCGGCTCCAAGGGCGAGATGACCAGGAGGAATATCTTTCAGTGCTGACAGCATCTTACCAGCAGTGAAGGTTCGGATCAAGCTGTAATTCCAATTTAGCATCTGTTTCTGGAGCAAGAGCGTTGATGGGAAGTCAATCACGGATACCTAAAGATTTCGCCAGTGCGCTAACTTATAGCACATCGCACTCGACCTACCTTCAATATGATGGACACGCCAAATTAAACTATACAGGCTCGTGCCACAGGCTCGCTAGACGGTCACACCAGTCGAGCGACCAACGTCTGATTGGAATGGATCGCCCTTGGATATTCTGCAAGAAGCACAGCCAGGAAAAAAGAATAGAGGATAGAAATGGCAAATAGCAAAAGAGTTAAGTACCAGTTAGAGTAAGCTTCTGTAGTTGAAGTTTCTCGTCAACCGTGGTATATATGTCTCTTTTAGGTCACTGCCAGGAGGCCCTTCATTTCGATCAAACAAGCCGGGGGGAACGAAAAATCACGGTTCAAGCTGGGTAATTATTCATTTCAAACCATCCAGGTTCTTCCTCCATTATCATGTACGCACGGAGCATGGAGTGAACTTGGCCATCGGTATCACATGTGGACGATTCCCGACACGGCCGTAACCATGATAATCCCCCCTCTTGCAGAGGGTCAGATCCCTCCCCAAACGAAAAAAAAAAAGCTGGTAGACTTTGCAATTCTTGCTCTTCGGGCTGGCTGGGTAGCAACTCCACATCGTCTAGCGTGGCGTCCCTGTGTGGTCGGCCAAATAGGGTGCCGATGAGGGACCTCTGAGTTTCACCCTTAGACCAGTTAGCGGTGGAGGTAGCTGGTTTCATCGGCTATTCGAGTCCTCCTGACCTCCAGCGCTGGTAAGCTCGCCTCGGGTCATCTCAACTGTTCTCCGCTTTGGATGTGGCTCAATGGACTTAGGAGACCGGCGCGCGGGGAACCTGGACAGCGTATCGGTTCCACCCTGATGGTTGCTTCGGTATGCATTGCTGTGCGAACAATGTCAAAATCAATGGGCAACATCGCGTTGGAGAGAAGCCAGCCGCCGGACAGCATGATAAGAATTAATGCCAGGAGATGAGCCTTTGTCTGGGGGGGTCAGTAAGAAAGATCGTCAATTAAGTAGGCTAGTCAGCTTTCCAGCGAGGTAACTTGCTCCCAGCCAGCCTGTTGGCGACAGCACAAGTTCCCTGTTAATGGTCCTCACCACAGCCTACCTCTTTATGCTTGCGACAACTTGAACTCTTGCAAGCATCCAGCTTTCTGTTGCTTATTTCATTGATGCCAAAGCAGCTACGTAGCTATTCATAGGCAATGGCAAGATACGCTAAGGCTGAAAAACGTTTTCATCGAATAAATCATGGGCAGGTTACTCCACACGAATGAAAATCCAGCCAGCAATTTTTCCAGAGCCAGCAGGACATCGTATATAGAAGATGTGACTTCCATGTGGCACTATTATATGCTCAAAGTCCAGAAGGTAAAACCCGAAGTCGAATTGCGGGAGAATATATCTTGACACGTCCTCGATCCCTTAGCCGTACGTCCTATACAGCGCGGAGCTGGCGTATCCCGACTGCTCCGCCTTGAAGCGCATTGTGAAGAAAGAATAGGATCTCCGTGAAACTACGATGTCCTCATGTACCGAAGCTCATATAAAGGTACGAACGATCAACGGATAGGATTTGGACAAGTGGAAGAAAAATAGAAACAATAAAACCAAAACCGCCTGCTTTTTCCCATTACATGGCTGGTAGATCAATCTCGTAAAAAGAGAGGGGAAAGATAAATAGTACATACATTCTAAGTTGCAACTGTGCAGGTATCATCAAAATGCCCCCCAAATCCGATATTGCTTTTCAGAAAAAAGGTCATCAAAACTTCACCAAAAAAAACCAAAAAAAAAAAAAAAAAAAAGAAAGAAAGAAAGAAAAGAAAAAAGAGACAAAGGAGAGAAGGGGAAGAAAGGAATGCTAAAAAGGTCCTTCCCCGAAAGCTGAATGGACAGACACTGGGGTATCTCCCATATAAACCAGCACAGATAGCGAAAGAGATTCATGATTTCGTTCAAAGTCGTGCAAAGCCGGCGTCTCTGCAGTGAGTTCGGCAAATTCTGTTCGGTTCCGCAGTTCATGATCCTACTCACGAAATGACGCAGAATTTAAAAAATAAAGAAGGTAAACGTTTAACTTTTTGTTCGAATATAGGAAGTGTCGTTCAATTCCATGGCTTCCTGCCAACAGTGAAACCGCTGGGGAAATGGTCAGGAGTCCGCAAAGAAGAAGCAGAAAAAGGATATAGGGAGGCACTCACAAGTGAGTATATAAATGCATCTTGTTCCTGCTAACCTCCTCCGTCACGCCGTTTAGTAGCGTATACACTTCGTCCGGGGTCCAGCCGGCGGTGCGAGTGAACAAGGAGAGGGTATACGTCTCAAGGGCATTACCCAAAAGCTGCGCCATGAAATAACGTCCTCGTGTCTTTAGCGCCTTGTCCTTGGGCCATGTTCCAATAGGGACTACTCTTTCTACCGCCTCGACATCCTGAAAACCGGCTTGTTGAAGGCGGCCGGCACATTGAGGAAATGGATCAAATTCAAGCCCGGTTTGCGCAGTCACTCGCTCAAACTCATTCTAGAAGCTGTGGTTGGATGGCTGTTTCTCCAAGTAACATGTTCGATCAATGAACTCACCATCCAGTGCCGCGTACGACATTCCTGGGGGTACGAATTGTCATCACAGCAAAACCGCGGTCGGCACTCTGATATCTCTATCTGACCGCCTGGCTTCAGGTACCTTTCACGCAAGTTCAGCATCGCAATATTGATTTAGTATAGAATCTGGGGAACACCCTCACTTGTAACATTTCTGCATAAATGATAGCCAGTCCGGGATATTCCCACCTAGGGTGCGAATGTGGATGAAGTCAAAGGATGACTCAGGAAAAACCCAGTCCTGGAGTGCGTCGTCCACCAAGAATTGCACATTTGGCGGAGCCCTGGATTTCCTCTCCCGTTAGATGGTCTCTCCTCGTCTACAACCAATAGGAATTAAGGGTTGCGAACTGCATTGGGTGGTGCGAATCACTTCAACTTACCAACTGCTCTGCGTGGGAGAAAGGTCGGTTCCAATAACCTCAGCGGATGGAAAGGTCTCCCCGACTGCAATCTCTAGTCAATACAGGCCCAATCTCATCAGGGGAAGAATAAAATTCGTGCCTTCCATGGCCCACTAATACCACACCAATTGTCTTGAGTTAGCCGCTGGGCGGAGTAGTGTTACAGTTCATAAAGAGAATGAGTCTGAGAACGGGGGCACAACAGAGTACGTACAATACCAGTTCCAGTGCCGATGTCCAAGATGCGCTGGGGATTGTCCAACTTCGCGTAGCACAATTCCCCTCCCAGAGTTAAGCGGAATATATGATGGATGAAATCCAGACGTTCTTGCTCTCGTTCATCGTTGGGGAGCAGCTATGCACAGCGCACAGTCAGACCGGCCACCAGGTAAGACTTTGAAACGCTGTCGGAAGTGCAAGACGCAAAAATGAACGGGGAGGGGTCACAGACATATTGATCCATGCGGTGGGAATGATATCTTCTTCCATTCTGGTAGACGTAGTTCGGGATTGTGGAGGCGATGGAGGCGTAATCGCTCTCAACGGTCTGGTGCTCGGTGTCACCCGACGCTGAGCTATCCGGTTCTATCATGGAGCAAGTGTGATCCGTGGCCATGCACTACGGACATATGTTGGATGAGGAATTATTATTATTAATAATATTCCTTTTTCCTTCTCTTTCTTTCTTTCTTTTTTTTTTTTTTTTCAGTTTTTTTTTTATTGTTTTAATTTTTGGTTCGGTGGCCTTTTTCTGCGTTTCCCGCCGTTGGACTGTCGAGGGGGAATTGGGGGTGAGTTACCGGCGGTGTGGTACTGACGAAACGGGCGTGAGATCCGAGAAAGTGGTCGCGATGTGAGACAGAGTGTCCGGAAGCGTGGATTTAAAACGGCTTTTACCCATTCCACTGATGAGTCTGCACAATTGATAGCCGAGTGGTTGAGATCGTGAAGAGCACGGCAGGGCGGCCAGGGAAACGGAATTTTATTCTGTCGACCATCGGGGTCCTGAGGGGAAGAGAGACGAAAGTCAAGGCCAAAGTTTGCGTTAAAATCATGACACAATCAGGAAAACATTATTTCACCAGCACCAAAAATTTCGTCTGGACCGCTCTGCTGGCAGCCGCTTCTCTTTTGACTTTTTTTTCCCTTGCCCTCCTCTCGTTTCCTTACCCCCAGCCAGGGACAGATCACCGCTAATGAGATGAAGAAACACGCTAAGATATCTGCAAGTCGAGTCCACGGGGCCGGGAGCCCATGGCCCCATCATCCCGGCTCTCTGGGTCCCCAGCCGGTACCACGAAACGTTCCTTTGGGGAGCGCGCCAGAGAATCCGCCACTTTCTTTCATGCTGGGGTTTCTTCGCCGCCGTCAGGCCCTGCCCCTGGACGCCGCCTCGACCACGCCGGTCGCCAGTGCTGCCGTCTCCTGAGTTTGTTGGGCTTCATTCCAGCTACGGAGCAAAGGCCGTTTCTGTTATGATACTTCGCGGAGTCGGACATGTCGAACCCCCCGCCAAATCAGATCACCGCGCAGAGCCAAAATGTGGGAACAGGCCGCAGTCCCCCAGCGCTAGCTGCATATTTAGTGGCTTGACGTGATTCTGTACCGCAGCGGTCTGATCGCGGATGCCATCCCCAATACGCAACATTTTGCGCCTTACTTTCGCCCTTAAGAAATTAGGGTTGAAATTGCGATGGGGGGAAAGGTTGAAACGTCGCGTTTTCGAAAGCCCGCCGCCTTCTGGCAGGTTCTATGACCCTTATCATCCTGTTTCAGATCAACAACCCACCGTACGCTCCATGAACTGCAGCTCCAGGGGAAGATGAAGAGGAATTCAACACGAACAATTATTATTTCGATTCTTCAAGTGTCAAAACGTCCTGTATTGCGAGGGATGTCCCGAAAATATGGTCCAGCCGTGGCCGGATTAGGCTAGGGCCCATTCTCTGGCCACCAGAGGCTTGCACCAAGTCCGTGCTCAAACGGTTAACGGCATTATCTGGCGAAGGCACCTTTTTTCTCCCAACTGGCTGGGATCAGCGTAGGATGTACGGAGTACGGGGGACTCTTCATGCAGTTACTGTCTATGGAAGAGCGAATATGATGGGGTTGGACCACGGAACTGCTTGGGACCCTGCGCTGATGGCGTTTTATCATGTCTCTGGTCAATAACGACGACAACAAAGCAGCTGCTGGTGGTTATCTCGATTTGGCGCCATTTTTCCCATTGCTTTCCCCACCCGTCTCTCGATCTAAAAAAGAAATTCCCGTGCAATCTGGGTGTCTTAAAGAAAAGGTTAAAATCTTCGGATTTACAGGGGCTATCGCTGCCCATGTTGGATTCGTCAGATTGATACCCGCGACTGGGAGCTGGGGTGAGCACAACCAACCAGGAGGGAGGACCCCGTCCCCGGAGACATTTTTTTATGGACTGCCAGAACCAAGGATTCTTGAAGACGGGCAGGCCGGTCCAAGATGCACCTTGCAGTCAAATGACGCAGCTTTCGGGCGGGACCAGCATCGAATGGCTTCACTTTGACATGGATAGACGTAGGCTAACAGCTGAAGAAAGTCATCTAGAGCGGAGAAAGCGAGCATCCGAGCCAGCCGCGAAAATCCGCGCAAAGATGGCCAAAGGTTCTCTAACACCATACTTCATGTCTTAACATTGCCTACCCAAAAACGCCTAGATTTGCTATGCTATAAAAGAGGCATTTTGTGATGAGTTGCGAGTCTGGGAAAAGTAAGTCCAACCGTCATGGGTTATGTAAAAAAGAACAAAAGCAAACAAGCTTCACCGGAAATGAATTCCGTAAGGTGGCAATTAAAAAAAAGAAGCAGCATCAAATGCCGTCCCATCGCTGGAAACCTTCAAGCCAAAAACTGCTCCAAAATTCGAAGACTATACTATACAAGCCACCGTGCTCAGAATGGTTTGGGCACCAAACCTCAGATCGAACAGCGGGTAGGTAACCGGGAGTAGTAATGATGTAAGATTTGAGAACCCACTGAAATGAGTCAAGGCCACTGGCGGCAGTCGTGGCGGTCGGTAAATGTTTCCTTCTCGACGGGTACGACTGCGCAGTGTAAAATATATGCAGTAAGAGAATGGATAGAATCGTGTGCTCCGCTTATCGTCCTGTTAACCAACTCGCCCAACCTTTCTTTGTTTCGCTCGTGATTGTTTGCGCAGCGTCGGTTCCCCGATCGCCCCGGTTTTCTTGCGAAATCAAGTCTGTTGGTGCAACAACCGCATCTGCTGCCTTTGCGTTGATCGCCTCTAATATTTTTGACTTTTCTTCCCCAGTCTCAAGCTGCGCACTTGCACTCTCATTTACCTCGTCCTGTTTCATGCCGCCAAATAGCCAGCTTTTAGCTTTGTAAAACGTCGTTTCCTTCTTCAATTCCTCTTTTCTCTTCTTTTCTTCGTCGGCTGCCTTCTCTTTCTCTAACAGCTGAATCTGTTCAGGAGTAGCGGTTCCTGCGACATAGGCCTTTCTGGCGTCCAATAGCTTCTGCAATTCTCTATCGATCCATAGGGCTTTTTGTCGGCGATTATGTGATATCAATGACGTCGCGGAATATATAGTGAGAATACCAGCAATACCTATTAATCAGTATCGTCCATCAGCGCACTTGTAGTCAATTTAATATGGGTTTTGCCGCTCAAAACGTAGCGATAAATTCACTCCAACTGCAAAAGAGATCACAGCCATACCAGAAGCCGCAATAATGGTGAAAACAGTCACTTTATGAACCCGATCCGCCCACACTCTTCCCCGTCCTATTATTCTATCCATTGGTGACGACGATTTCGCAATTCGGGCGGCGCGAGCCTCCGCGCGAAGCCGCTCAACTTTCTGCTTGGGGGTCTCTTGACTATCTCCCCCGGTTGCAGGCTGGGGTTTTTCCTGACTGCGTCCCAATTTCATCCCCGGCCATCTTGATGCCGTAGATCCGGGTTTGGAATGGGCATGAGGCGCGGTCGCCGTGAATCGAGTTGCGTCCGCCGTGGACCGTGACATCTTTGCTGTATAATCTCAACTATGATGGGGGGAAAACAGGGACTTTGGCGATCAGGTCTTAGGATAAGGTCAATCAATCCATCGACTCGGCGTTCAAGCTTCTGATGGAGGTTGGCGGAACGAACTTTTTTCGGGGAATGCCAAGGCACAACAGTCTTATGTCAGCCGTTTTCGTAAGATCGATGTTAACTAGCAGCAGTGAACTGCGTCCACGGAGAGTCTTGAGGAACGGACTCAGTTTAGCATTTTCCTAAAACTGCATTGGAAATACCCATGGATTCAGGAGGGAGCCAAGTTCCTGATCTTGCAAGCGTCCTGAAAACCCTCTCCTCCTTCGTTCCAGCCCAAGCGCGCCAGGCCCCAGACAACAGAAACGAGAACCATGCGCGACCTAGGAGCCTGAACGACGATTATGACCCTCTGCACTTCTCACCGTTGGCCGTTGTTGATGGAGCCGCCCTCCCATACGCAGAACCACCCTCAGAACGTCATCAATACCCGTGTTCACACTCATCCACCCCAGCTCCTTTCGATAGCTTACCAGACCCATCGTCGATTACAGCATGGCCTGCGGCGTTGAAATTTGTAATGAAAGCTGTTGCTCAGAATGAAGCCATTCAGTCCAAGATTCGGCGGCTTATTCGGAGCCAGCATGATCACGAAAAGAAATGGTGGGAAGCACGGGAGGCTCTTCTCGCCAAGCAGAAGACGAGGGCGCAAAAAAAGGAGAAGCTCGATGAGGTTCTGTATGTGAAGGTGGAATTGAGCGTATAGTATATGCTTAGAGCTGACGTGGCGATGTGATTCTTATAGACGATCGGTTGGCGGAGCAATTACGACGGGTCCTGAGATGACGGTGCGTAAAATTGTCATGTTAATTGATTGAAAGTATCTTGTGATGATGAAGGCTAGAACTAATGAACAGCAGACCCCAGCAGAAGATGCGGCCGAAGTTGAAACATACGATAGAAAGGTATACAGTGCCATGTCGAGTATGTCTAGAGCGCTCGACGCAGAGCTGCGAGAATTAGGGATCCCTTTTTTCGCTATCAGACATGGCCTTGTCCACCCTCAGTCGACCATACCGGACGAAAAGGGGCATGCAAAGCTGCCTTCAGGAAATTCGAAAGATAATCTGTCGATGGAGGAACTCCGCTCGCTTCAGAAACGAATGTTTGATCTCCTGGAAGACTTGTGCAAGGAGTAGGCCCTGCCCAATACGTGCGACATCCCCTGTCTAATTGCGCACGCTCGAACCAATCTCAAAGGATACCTTAGAGGTTCCCTAGTTTGAACGCAATCGGGGCCAGCTCCGTAATCAGCTATTCGTTGAGCATGCTGCAATCGAGAATGACGAACGCAGGGCTAGTTCATGACCCGGCCCTTGTAGACGTAACACGGCTCTGGGGTTGCTCCATCGCTGCTAGATGGCTCTTTTGGCATAGATTTCGTCACACGGGACTCCAGACCGCAAAAACATAATTGGCCTTGGCGTCGCTTGGGGTCCAGGTACGAAGTCCTCCGTACTCCGTAGCTTTTGGTTGAACTGCAGGCCGTTGTTTGTCAACGAGCTGGCACATCTAAAACCTTGTCACCCAAACGACTCTGGCCAGCTTTGAAGGTTACGATAAGAGCCTCCAAAGGAGAAAAATAGAGTCGAAGATAGAGAAAAAAAAAGGATAGAACAGATTGGCCTAGAAAGCCATCAAGTTTTCCCTCGTTACTCTGTAACAACTCAATCCTTTCCTGACCATTACCATTGGCATCCAAACATCTCCTTCCCAGGGCCGATGCACACATGTAGGTCAAAAACCATGAGTTCACATAATCTCCGACACACAAACACCAACCCACCAACCCCATTCCGCGGGCGTATCAACAGGCATTCACCTGTGGCACCATGTCACTGCAGGCGCACAGCAGCCAAAGATGCTCCACCATGAATTTTTGTGCTGTCAATCCTCTCCTCTTAAGTTTGTGGCTCTAAAATACCCGACAATCACAGGTTATATCCGACAAAAAGTGGGGCTGACGGCTATTTTGACCCCTGGACGATCCCGCTTCTCGTGTGTCCCATATATAACCACCCTGGCACGAACCACAATTTTTTTCTCTTGTGATTCCTCTTGCCTTTATTGAAGCTGTTCATTTGTATAGTCATTTTTTTTCCCCCTGTGGCTTTTTTTTTTTATTACTCTATATTTTTTGGTGGGATCAGTTTTGAGCATGAGCATTTTAACAGTGCATAATTCTCCGGAGAGTGGGTGTATGTGAGACACAAATTGTTTGTGAAGCATTCCCGATGCCTTGTTTTCTCTCAGATGAATCGGCCCGATGAATACTACAATGGCATGATCTAGCTCAATTCTAACACAGTTATGGACAGAGAATATATGTCTGTTTTGATTTTATTATTTTTCCTTAGGGGAGAGAACTGTATCATTTTGCGAGCTCTATAGCCTGGTTGAAACATGCAAAAAGGTGGACTTGAAAACCGCGCAACCCGGAAAAAAGAAAAAGGTCAAAAAGATTATGAACCTTGAAACCAAAGGTAAGTGTCATCATCATGAGTCCGGTGCGTGACAAGAAACAAATTATTTTCGCATGCAGGAGAATTTGGTTTCAATGAAGAACAACAGGCCGAACGGAAGGTGAAAACAAAAAAAGATGCAGGCACAGAGAAAAACAAAATGCAGCTTCTAAAAGAATCCCCTCTATCGATTTTTTGATTTTAACCCTGGTCATTTGACTTTTTGTGTGTGTCTGCGCTTAGGAGGTGCCATTGACTCCATTGGCTTTGGCACCACGGACCTTTCTGCGAGTACGAACGGCGTCGGCCAGGTCCTGCAAGACATCGACTGTCATTTCCCAATTGATGCAGGCGTCCGTGATGCTGACACCCTTGGCCAAGCCGGACGGTCCTTCGGGAGGAACCTTCTGGTTACCCTCATACATGTTCGATTCAATCATGACACCAATGATGGCCTCTTCGCCATTACGGAGCTGGTCGGCGACACACTTGGCTACAATTGGCTGGTTCAGATGATTCTTTTTCGAGTTTCCGTGAGAGCAGTCGACCATGACGATCTCGCGCTGTCCTTTCTTTCGGAGTTCCTGGCGAGCAGCTGCGATGCTCTCTGCATCGTAGTTTGTTCCTTTGTTACCACCCCGGAGGATTACAAAACCGTGTTCGTTACCACTTGTTTTGGTAATGGCCGCCAATCCCTGCTTGGTTACACCGAGGAAGTGGTGTGGATGTGCAGCTGCACCGATAGCGTCGATGGCGATTCCCAAGTTACCATCGGTGCCGTTCTTGTACCCGATGGGGAAACTCAGGCCTGAAGCCAGTTCACGATGGAGCTGGGATTCGGTGGTACGGGCGCCGATAGCACCCAGCGAGATAAGGTCAGCCAGGTACTGTGGGGAAATGGTGTCGAGCATTTCGCTTGCAATTGGGATGCCCATGCCATTCAAGTCGGCATAGAGCTTACGGGACAGGCGGAGGCCCTTGTTGATGTTGAAGGATCCGTCGATGTCGGGATCATTGATGAGACCCTTCCAGCCGACGGTTGTACGGGGCTTTTCAAGATAAGCGCGCATGATGATACACAAATCATCCTTGAGCTTTTCGGAGATGGCCTTTAATCTTCGTGCATACTCAAGGGCAGTATCGGGATCGTGGATGGAGCATGGGCCGACGACGACGAGAAGGCGGTCATCGCGCTGTTCGATCACTTCGATGGCTTGGTTGCGACCGGAACGGACGGTTTCGATCGCATGAGAAGGCTGTGCAGAGAAGGTGTCAGTGCTGCCGAGAACAACGCCCCAATATATGGTATGACTCACTGCTCGAACTTCAATCTGGAGGAATTGGGGAGAGAGCAACGGGTCATAGCCCAAGACTGTTTGACAGATAAGTTTCGGGTTTCAATGCTTGCAGGCGAGATGAGGCCCAACTCACTTCTGCTGTCTTCATTGACCTCAGGCATAGTCTTACCCAAAGGCATTGTGACGCGACGATGTTTCACACAAAAACTGGTGTGGCCGAGATTGCAAAATTAGAACGGAGGAGTTACAACGCCGAGACGATGTTTCAAGCAAGATGTTGAAGCCCTTTTATCTCAGTAGGCATGAGAAAGAGTGAACAAAGTGAGTGAGAGAGATGTTTCTTCACAAAAGATGACAGCCGGAACAAAAAGGAAAAAAAGGTGCCAGGTTCGATTTCTAATTTTATTTATGTGGGGGGGGTAAAGCTGACAGCTCCGGCCAGCACAAAGAGTGAGCATTTGGCAACGCGCAGGCTTAGGTAAGTCACTTCGTCATGCGCTAGTAACTATGGGTTACAGGATTACCCCGTATATCATACTTTCTTATCAACACGTGATCTGCTCCGCCCACGCCGTTGCGGCTGTCAAAATGCGAGCACACACCTCTCTGTCACACAAAAAGCCCTCCCAGGCTTCTCCTCTACCGACAAGGCTGCTCAGAGGTGATTGATACTACAATCTATACGTTGTACAGACATCCAGGTTTTATTCAAGTTCCTCTGTGCCCCTCCCCCCCTGCTGTGGCCCTCTCCTACCATCGAACCGTCTAGCCAACACCCTCCAGACAAAACTTTTTAAGGGAGTCCTGCTGGCTCAACTGCAACCAGGAATCGGAGCTGCGAATCGGGGCAAAAAAGTGAGGTACTGGTGGCTGGGGACTGCATGGCCCGGCTGAAGCGTATCTGCACCGACACGCAGCTCTTGAACTGCCTAGTAGACTCAGCCGAGGAGAAGAGCTCGAATACAGGATTTAGAATCGGGCCAAAAGTCCGTATTTTCCTGGAATTACTGATGCCACTGGGGTTGTTGGTGCAACCAGAGATGCCACGCAATAAGAATATCAAGTTTCTGCATCATGTGTCTTGTAATTCTTTCTACCCATTGGACCCTGTTAGATACATCAGCACAGTGTTAGAGCAGGCCGGAAGCGAACATGTGCTTTCCAGAAGCATGTAGTCACACAATCCCATTTTCCTTAATGCCTTACCCAATAGACCTTGTTGTTATTAATTGAGCAATCCCTCCATTGCTGCTGTAAGGTATCCCGGACCCAACTTGTGCATGGCAGGCAAGCCGTGGTGGTAGTTAAGCTTTTGGGGAAACCATCTTAACCGCATGAAACCCCTGCAGCTGGATGCCGCGTGCTAACACTCTGTAACAATCTCCAAACACCCAGGGCCCCTCCCTTGCCATTTTGTGTACCTTGCACTCACAACAGGCAGCCTGGTTTACCATTCTTTCATCATCCAGAGCTCCCAGTTTGGTTGATCCTCTGTCTCTCTCACACCTCATCACAAATCAAATGTGGGATTCTGAACCCAACATGCAATCCGAAACAGACTGAGAGCTCTGTCTGTTTGTATCAAGCTCTACTTTATCGCATTCCTTTCCCTGTCACTCATTTACTCTCTTGCGTTCATTCAGAGCCTTCGAGGCCTTAAACCTGTCATAGCAGCTGTTGCCTGAACATAATCTCTCCGAGTTGAAGATCAATTTCGTGTTGATAGCTGAGAGGCGTGTATCAGACTACCATGTTGAATCCCTCTGCCAAAAGGCACAGGGAGGACGAACATGCCGAGACTGACGAGCCACATGCGCGTGCCATGCAGCAGAAGAAGGTGGGCTGGGCTTCCGGAACCTTCCAACTGGCATCCTTCACCGTTTATTCCATTCCTCCTCCGTCCAGTGATAGAGTGTGCGTGCTGACAGCCATTCATATCTGCTAGAAACCGCGGCCTCTACCTCTCCATACGTCACCCATTTTAGAACACACGAGCATAGTTTCCCACAGCCGTCCAGGCCCTCCATTCCCTCCTTCTTCAACCCTTACCCCCGCCGAGTCGTCTGACGATGACCTAATGCAAGATGGTGATCGAGACCTGTCACAGAACCGGCATCCCGACCTTCACGCCCAAGTTTTCAGTTCCATGAGGACGCCATACGCGGAATCGGACTCGGACTTTGAAATGGCGGACTCACAGCCGAGGTCTGCGGCCACGCAACCACTGTGGTCTGCTGGGTCGGGCCCATCGAGACCGGAATGCAACCTTGAATCTCCAATCCCTTCTTTTCTCCTCAATCGGTCTCTTAGCGTCAGTGGAGGACGCACGGCCACTCCAATATTTAGCCATTTTACATCGAATATGAACACGGACTCTATGATGAGGGATGCTACTCTATTCCCAGCAGAACCCCAAGTTCCTCACACATCTCAGCCAGTTCCGACGGACGAGGCAGGTTGGTGGCGGCCCAGAAGGCTTCCGAGCCCTATCAGTGAAGATGAAACGCTCGTGAATCCAGCAGACCCCGATGACAACCTAGTATCGCGTCCAGACCAAGCAGGAACCTTTTCCGGTCCATACAATCCGTCCACACCGCTCATCTCGGTCACACCCGTGCAAAACGACGTGCCACCGTCAGGATCTCTACACGACCAACCTCAGAACCCAATGCAAGCGTCACAGGATACAAACCTTGAGCATTTGCCCTTGCCCCTAGAAAATAACTCAGCTGATAATAATGATCACTTGACTGCGCCGCCGGCTAGGCCTGCGTTTAACTCGAGCAATCGCTCACAGGTTCAGCCTCTCCCAAAGCGAACTATTGCTATGGGATTCAGAGCAGACTGTGAGAAATGTCGACAGCGTGTGCCTGGCCATTACAGTCATATCATTATCACCAAATGACACTGTAAAGTGAAAGCAGCCTTTCTCATTGCTTCGTCATTTTGGCTTTCTTTGTTCCTTTTCTTTTCTTTATTATTCCCTTTATTTGGTGTCTCTCAATAGCCCCCCGAAACAGACGGTCTGGCTGGTTTTAATGCATTTTACGGATAATACCCCGAATGGAGCTGGTGTCGGTACTGCAAGTGGATATCCGAGGTTACAAATTATGCGGGCTTTTCAACATTCATTCTGATATCTTCCTTGAGTTTCATTATGCGATCTGATAGATGTCTCTGAGAGCGATCGCAGGTGATGGCAATGCAACTGTATTTTTAACTTTATGAGCTTCTGAAGAATGTTGTTCCTGAATCTTCCCAGATCCTTTGTGCCGTTCATTCTCTTGTAGAATGAACACAACTGTAAAGCACAGAAAACGCTCACTTTAGGGTCTGGATAATTGTACGCCCATAGTGGTGAGTGTAACCATTCTTTACCTTTTCCCCTTCCCACAGAATGATAGCTGCTCAACCTTCAGAATGTAAGATTCATTAGCTATGTTGCTTCCCTTGTTCACTTTCATTTGGCATTATATATTGTCTACTGCAAGTTCGTGCATTGTCCTTGTTGCACTGGGAGCTGTTCCTTCCAGGACTCCTGAATTAGACGAGATGCCAAAGCAAGAAAATTCTCACAATTGCCTTCCTTTTTACAGTCCATGCAGCCACACTCATGCTCATGACAGGCCTCAGATGTAGGTACTTCCCTACCATTTCCATATGTGTCATTCAGCATGCCGGAGAATCACGAGGATTCAAGAGCAATATCCATCATGCTACCAGTGATACCATTTTTGACGAAGAGAATGCAGGAAAGCCCGGGAGTCCAAGTACGCATCTATCCAACTACCACAGAACTTCCTGGCAAGAGTGAATCGTTTTGTTTCTGAAAGAAGACACTCTCATCTTCTGAGACGTTGACCATTCCTTTCTTGAACTGCTGAAAGTTGCGCTATATCATGATCTTTTGATCCGATCTCTCGCTTTTTTTTCTTCTCTTTTTCTCCTTTTCTCCTTCTCCCTTTCTCCCTCTCTTTTTCTTCAAAAAAAGACAACAATTTACTTAATAAATTTAGAAAAAAAGCCTTGATTGGTATTGTACACGGAGACGGCGCTTGGATTTTGCCGGAAGTTTAACTAGTTAGTAGCTTCGGTTTAATAGTTGCATACAAAACAACCCGGCCAACACAACTCTCTGGTCTTGTTCATGCTGTTACTGAACCTGGCGATGGGAGCCTGCTCGCCATACTCTGTACACTCAAATGCTAATGTCTAATTGGGAATAATTTTCTTAAAGCACAGGTTGTAATGACTGTCAAAGCGATGTTAATCTCAAACCTGTGCTGTCCCGGTTCTCTCGTCGGTAGAGTCTTTAGCCGTGGATTTTGCCGAACAGACGAAAACGAGAGACAACCCGGAAGAACTCGCCTACAAATGCCAATGCAAAATAGTATTACAATTTGTTGCTGGGTTTGAAGCTCAGCCTTCCTGACCTTTCTTTCTCTCCCTCCCCTTTTTTCTTTTCCCTTTTTTTCGCTCCCCATTTATTTCCCTCCCCCCTACGCCTTCTGCTCATAACCGTGTGAGCAGTCCCTTCGCTTCCAACCCGATCCTCCCCGCTTATACCCGCCGAAGCATCGCTTCTTCCACTACAGTCGCCATGGCCGGCTCCGTCCCGCGAGGTCTCAAGCAGATCCTCCAAAAATCTCCCTCCGACATCGTCATCCTCTCATCCCTCCGTACCGCAGTGACCCGCGCCAAAAAGGGCGGGTTCAAAGACGCCTATCCCGAGGAGCTCCTCGCCCATGTCCTCCGTGCCACACTAGCCGCCAACCCAAATCTTGATCTAGCCCTCATAGAAGATGTCTGCATCGGCAGCGTGCTGCAGGAGCTCGGTGGCGCGAAGGCGGGCCGCATGGCTCAGATTCACGCTGGCTTCTCGCACACGGTCCCTTTCCACACGATTAACCGGCAGTGCAGTTCCGGCCTGGCTGCGATCTCGACGATTGCCCATTCTATCTCTGTGGGAGCGATCTCTGTGGGTATCGGCGGCGGTATGGAGTCTATGACGCGGAACTATGGGTCGAGAGCGATTCCTACGGTCTTATGGCCTGAGTTGAAGGAGTCTGAGCTGCAGGATGCGAGGGATTGTATCATGCCGATGGGTATCACGTCGGAGAACGTTGCGTCGAGGTATGGAATTAATAGACATGATCAAGACGCGTTTTCGGCCAAGTCTCATCAGAAGGCTGCCGCTGCGCAGAAGAATGGCCTGTTTGATAAGGAGATTGTCGCCGTTACGACGAAGACTATACCCACCGATAAGCCGGATGGTCCAGCTGAGGAGATTACTGTCACGAAGGATGATGGTATTCGACCTACGGTATCCTTAGAGAAGTTGGCTACCTTGAAACCCGCTTTCTCACCGACGGGATCTTCCACTGCAGGAAACAGCTCGCAGGTCAGCGACGGTGCCGCTGCGGCCCTTCTCATGCGCCGTTCAACCGCCACAGAGCTTGGCTTGACCTCCAGCATCATTGGAAAATGGGTCTCTACTCAGGTTGCCGGATGTGCGCCAGATGAGATGGGTATCGGCCCGGCCGTTGCTATTCCAAAGGTCCTCAAGCACACCGGCCTCGAGGTGTCTGACGTTGGCATTTGGGAGATTAACGAGGCATTCGCTAGTCAGGCTCTGTACTGCGTTCGGAAATTGGGCATTAACGAGGATAAGGTCAACCCCAAGGGTGGTGCCATTGCTATCGGACATCCTCTTGGTGCTACCGGTGCCAGACAGTTGGCTACTTTGCTTCCTGAACTGGAAAGACAGGGTGAGCAAGTCGGTGTTGTGAGCATGTGTATTGGTACTGGCATGGGAATGGCGTCAGTCTTTGTAAGGGAGTAAAGGGATATTCTACGTCGTTACGGAGTAGAAAAGCGCTATTTCCAGTTTGCATAGTTGACACGAACCGTGATGGACACTTCCCCTGCTTTAGGATGTCCACAGTGCTGTCAAATAGTCACTTTATATACCCTAGATTGCATATATGGCGTGTATATATATCTATCAGGCGTCATCGAACTTATCTCGCCGTTTTATGTTGAATCGTAAATTACACAAGCGCAGAGACACTGTTCCATAGACACTCATGGAGTACATTGATGGAGGTCATGTCTGTCAATATTCAAATCGAACTTTGATCACGTGATTTAGTCTTGGCAACAGACCACAAGCTTCGAAAATGTTCAGACAAAATCGCTTTTCGAATCTCACTTCAACTCCAGAACTTCAACGCCGCCACAATGCCTTCAGGAGCACGTCTAATAACCCCATTGGAAGCGCTGCCCTATCGGGTCGGCAGCGCTCGATACGTTTGCTCCACCTGCAGACGCCAATTCATCCCGCGCTGCACCTCTCAGCCGATAATACACCACCAAACTCGTCGTCACAATTCTTCTGACAGCAACAATGTACCGTTTAGCGAAAAGGTTCGACGAAGGATTTGGGGAACCGAGAATCCTCCAGGGCTGAAGGATCCTTATGGTGGAGAGAGCTTTCTGGAGAAAAGAGCTCGCGAGCAGCGCGAGGCAAAAGCGCCGCAGCCAGAGCTAGAGCCAGAATATGTCCCGGAAGCAGAAACTGCATCCGTTGCTGAAGTGTCCGCGACCGAGGCTGGAGAGTACGTTCCCGCAACGACGTGGGACGGCTTAGAACACGTTGGATCGTCCGGACAGTGGTGGGAACAATCTCCAACACCCGCCGACTCTTTTGTTGCGTACGTACGCTGCATATCTTAGCTGCATATCTTTGTTGCTTTTCCAAATCAGTTCAGCGTACTTTGAGAAGATGAGAGTGATCCTAACATTCTCACAGATTCATGCACAAAGGTCAACTTACCACCCGCGACGAGATTCTTACAGCCCTCCATCAGACTGTCGTGGAACTATGCATCATGAAGGAGCTTAACAAGCCGTTCGAGCGCGTTTGCGAAATTTGGGAGCATGAGGACCGGTTACTCGCACTTATCAATCGCGTCGAAGTCAAAGCAGCCAGCCAGCCTGGAATCGATGCTCTCGTTTTCCCTAGCGAGACTGCAAAAGCGGCGTTACTGGAGTTCTTTCGCGATTTTGACCTTGAACAAGAGTTCGACAATGCCGAGAATCTTGACGAATCTGAGGGTCCTAGCTCGGTTTCCGAGTCCCACGAGCCGAGCAAACTAGCAGAGCTTAACAATACCGATTTGGAAATCCGCACGCCCGAAAATTTGGATTTCTTGTCCCTGCCACTCGAAGACCGAGAATTCCAGTTTGCTGTACGTATATATAAGCTTATCACAGAAAGAAACCACCTAACCTTTCATTTTCTAGTTCCTCAAGCGCGCTAGCCAGCTCACTGGACATCGTATTCCCGATCCGGAACTTCTATCTATTACTAAAGTATCCCGCCTGCTGGCATTGTTTACCGCAGCATCTAAACCGAAGCCAGCTAAGTTGGCCGATATTCTCATTGCGGAAGGGAAATTTGCGGCTCTTCCAAACGTGAAGATCTTTGATAGGAGACAGACCCCAATTGACCATGAGAAGGAAGTTGGTCGATGGAAGATCATCGAGGAAGAGCTTACTAAGAGAGGTCTGCCTGTTACTGGACGGGTTAGCACATGATTGTACACCATTGACTCCTTGGGTCATCTTTTGATGGTTTCAGTTGTTTAAGTAGTTGAAGCCTCTTGTTTTCCATGTAAAATACAACCTATACTCGAGCTTCTGCTCAGCTTTGGATACGGTTTATGTATGTATAAATATAGCCAGACAATTTTGTAAACATGTTCAAGTCGATTGTAAACATGTTCAAGTCGATTGAAGTCAAGAAAGCATTAATAATATATTCAAAGTCCCATTTGTTCGTACAAGTACGATTGGTACCTAGTTAAATAAGGCGCGGTATCTCCAGATGCATTATAATGGCAGCCTGTATACCTTATGAATGGACAGTTGACCTAGCAGACGTCTTCGGCGGGCCCTTTTGCATCATGGCTTCTGCGAGAATATCAACCACACAATACGTCGTCGCAAGCAGCATGACGATAACTCCCAAACAGTGTCCATATGCCAGAGGCCAGCGTCAACCAGATTTCAAAAAAAAAAAAAATAAAAAAAAGATAAAAAGTCTCGACTACTGTTTATCCCAGCACCACCAATACCCCGGTTCGGCGGCCAGCCTACATTCCCTGCAATAATCGTTGACAAATTTGGTTTCTGTACCCATGTTTGCGCAGGGGTTTCCAGCCTTGTCGCCTTGAGAGCAAATCTTGACCCCTCCGCGAAGAGAGTGGTTGCATGCGTGTTTGAGAACGACCGTGGTACACATCGCAGCTGAATTCCTGGTGAGTTTCGAATTCGCTTGATGTCCGGAAAGGTTGAGGTTGCAGAGTGATATTAATCAGGGCTGATGTTGCTTCAACAGAATCTTGATGTGGTAGCTTTGCTGTCGTGATGGTGTGGACGGAGGTAGATGCAATGTAGAAGTGCAAGCCCTGGCAGCCCTTTATGTTCCAATAGATACCGTAATCGTAAGCGAATACTAGTAATAAAGCCTAGTCACAAAAAAGTATAGGTAATAGTGAGTATATATATCCTTAGGACTATCGAACAGGTGGTGCTTGATGGGTGAAGTTGCTGCATCTGCTCCAAATAGGTTCAGGGAATCCAAAGAAAGCCAATGTTGTTGTGGCACAGGCAGTACATATTCCCTTGGAGATGGTCCTGTGGAGATACACCACTAAAGCCTAGGAAGGGATTCACACGAACTAGCCCCTTTATTTTAATTCCTTAGTAGACGGACTTCCGAAACGAAGGTACATGTAACTAGCGACTCTCGATGTCTCCATGATAAAAAGGAATAAAAATGCATTAGATCCCCGTATAACAAGTGAGAGGGACGCGTTCGATCTCAGATGTTAACGATTCTCAAAGACTGGCCATATAAATGAGAATTTCCCTTCGGTATATATATCCCATAGAATAGTGACGGACGACACATAGTCCCACGACTGCACGCTGTGGCCTATAAATCCATGTTGATGGGACGAAGAAAGCCGCAGAGACCATCATGCCGATAGAACATCGCGATCATCAGCGGAAAATCCTTAAAAGCGACCGGTGAACACGACCACGGGCCCGGTCCTTTTTGCAGTCCGGACAACGAGTAGGTTGGGAAGTTTCCTGCCGTTTCACTCTAACACAACGACCGGGCTGGCGCTGACTGTGGGTGCATGGGATGTACTCATTGAACTTGACGCAGCGGCATTTTTCGTAAAGCCAGTAATTTAAAGTGCACATCTCGCAAACCGTGTCGAAGTTCTTTCTTAAAAAAAAAAAAAAAAAAAGGGAAATCCGCGTCCAGATACCTGAAAAGAGTCAGCTTTCAATCCCGGCAGCTGTCCCGCGAAAGGAGGAGACAAGGACATCAAACCTCCCAGTCACTTCAAAAGTCTTAGGGAAAGTGAGGAAATAGGTTGTATCTTTGGGCGATCCTGACAGCTTTAGGGAGATAGGAGATCATAGCAATATATTCCCAGGATAGTGCTTAAGGACACTGGAGATTCTTTGTGTGGTCTCACCAGGGCAGTACGCCGTCATTCGCGTGAATTCCTAAGGTGAGGTAGGATGTCGATATTTGGGGAGCTTTGCTCGCATTACCCAATGTAGAAATGCGAACTCCGGTGCAGTCACGGTCTCAGATAGGGCACGTGACGGAAAGTTCCATCAAGTAGAAAAGATCCAGCAGCAATTAACAGCAGGCAGTTAAGGATATAAATGTTGCAATGTGGTCTTATTGTGGTGCAAAAACAACTGCCATCCCCCCTGCATGGTTTTGTCATTGGCAAGGTCTATGAATTCAAAACAGCACAGCATGTACTTGAAACAGTAAATGTACCAATACCATAGGGTAGACCTCAGCTCTAGAAAAAGACCAGGGCAGCCAGGATCATTAGCCTTCACATTTTGAGGATGCTGATCCCTGGAAAGAGCAAAGAATGAATTGAAAATATGGCCATTAGGGCCCTCTTCACATAACTAACCATAGACGCACATACGTCCAAAACTGGTTATGAATACGTCAAGGGCGTTGCCATTGGTAGTGCAAAGGATGCACAAAGCAATCACATAATAGTGCACCTCTAGCCTAGACGGGGGTTAATAAATTTCAAGTCACCATGTTGATATCGCGGCGGCTGCTATCAACCACATCATCTCCTAGCTCCAGACGGAATAGTAAAGCCTCTGGTCATAAAGTCGCCGTCCTTCGATTGCTGATTCTTCGAGCTTGATGTGAAAAGGCTCTGCAATGCCTCGCTATTTCCCATCTGTTTTCTCCGTTTTTTGCGTTCATTCTCTTCTTCCAAAACGCGGTTTGTCAACATTGCGGTAGCAGCATTTTTGATTCCACTGCCTGTCGATGGGATGGGGGTGGAGGTTTTGCTAATAGGTCCGCTACCAGGAGCGGACGAAACCTTTGTTTTTGTACCATCAATAACGGCCTCGCCTTTGGCGACAGTGGGATCAGATCCATTTTTCTTCCGCTTTTTTGAACCCGGCGCCTTTTTCAGTGAATGGGTGAGGCCTTCACCAGCCAACTTTTGCATACGCGATTTGAGACGTTCCTTTTCGGCCTCTTTTGTAGGAAGTATGGGAATGACGTTTTCCTCCTGGTAGGATTCGGTGCACTTAAAAGTAGTTAGAAGTGGCGAATACCTAGGCTGGGGGGAGAGTGGGACAAACCTGTAAGCATTTGTCCGATTTCATTTCACGGATAGCTTCTTCGGCGAAGGCATGGCCACACGGCACAAGATACACAGACCTTACGCTGGGGCCAAGCTCTTTATTAGTAACGGGGCAGATAAACCGCTTCTTCTTTTTTCCTTCGGCGTCTACAGCAACATCGTCAACCTCAAACTTAACCTCAACGATATCACGGAGACCCTTCACCCTCCCACACAAGATCTCCTCGCAGTCCGCCTTGGAGCTTATTCCTTCAACGTCATCTCCGGGAAGCAGAAAACGGAGAATAGTGTCCTTGTTATATAAATTTCCGACTGAATCTGATACTATTGGTGGAAGAAGTTCTTTATGCGACAGCGGACAAGTTGTCCAGAAATGCTCAAGTTGTTCACGCTGGGCTTCTTTTAGTTGCGATGCGCTAGGGGCTTTGGCGGCTTCTTTGACAAGCTCCCGACGAGTTGGAATACTGTCATTCCCTGTCAGTAATATTCTCAGCCAACAGAAATCCGAGATGCAACACACCTTCCGCCATCATTACCCATTTTGAACGCCTGCGTCGGATCTTCGGGGGAAAAGGCGATTGCTGGAGAGGCGATGGTGATGGTGGTGGTGGTGCAGCCGATCAGTTTTGAGGACCCTGAGGTTGCCACCCCCCCGAGCTTGCAATGACGCTATGCCCTATGAGGATAGTGGGCGTCGAGCTCAGACAACAAGGTATCTGGCCTCATTGCCGCGCCAGACGGGACGAATCGTACTTAAACTCGACATTCGCAACGGTAATGAGTTCAATGCTGCCACCATGACCCCCACCAGTAAAGCTTTCCTTCTTCTCAGCCTAGCCACGCTATATACAAGCTCGACAGCTTCAACTGCCAACCCTCGGCCACGCGGTGTTGGCCCTGAGTGTATGTCCGCATCAATGATAGCCATCTGCCCTTTCATCAATGGTTGCATACTTGGGCCACTGACTATATAACAAACTGGAGCAGTTGCCAAATATTACAAGGATGCCTCGACCTTCACATGTATATCAAACCCATCCATCAAGCTTCCATTCTCCGCTGTGAACGACAACTATTGCGATTGCCCAGACGGTAGCGACGAACCCGGAACCTCCGCCTGTTCCTTTATATCTTCTCTCTCCCCTTCATTCGTATCCGATCCTGGTGATGAGACGAGCAATCGAACGTCAGCCCTACCAGGATTCTATTGCAAGAACAAGGGACACAAACCGGCATATCTTCCATTTCAACGTGTGAATGATGCTGTATGCGACTATGACATATGCTGTGATGGAAGTGATGAATGGGAGCAACCTGGAGGTCTAAAATGTGAAAACAAATGTAAGGAGATTGGAAAGGAATGGAGGAAGCAAGAGGAGGCAAGGCAGAAATCGCTCAATGCCGCGATGAAGAAACGGAAAGAGCTTGTTCAGAAGGCATCCAGGTTAAAAAAAGAGGTGGAAGGTCGGATTAAGGATTTGGAGGTAGAAATCCAGGCCTCAGAAATCAAAGTCAAGGACCTCCAGAAAGAACTTGATCAGGTGCGAGCAAGGGATAGGGGGAAGGCCGCCAAGGGGAAGAAACAGGGCAAGGTCAATGTTCTTGCAGGACTTGCAAAGAACCGAGTTGAAGAGCTACGGACGTCCTTGATAGACGTCCGCCTCCAGAAAGACAGGCTTCATGATCGACTCGTTGCGTTGGAGGGAATTCTGTCGAAATTCAAAGAGGAATACAACCCCAACTTTAACGATGAGGGCGTTAAGCGCGCCGTGAGAAGCTGGGAGGATTACGTTGCCACAGGCTATGAGGATAATACAGGCCCTTACCAGGACCTTGACGAAGTCACCAAGCCCGATGGTCCTGATTCTGGCATCAACTGGGAACAGTGGGAGAATGAGCAGGACGAAATTGAGATCCCTCTCGGTAAGATTATCTCCGTATCGGTTTTCTTCGACGTATGCTCATGGATCAATTAGTCTACAAGCTTGCGGCATATTTGCCACCTTCCGTCGCCAGTTACATAGAGGATACACTGGCAGACCTAAGGTCGTTCCTTGTCTTGAACGGTATTCTTGCTGAAACGGATAGCGACGTGAGTGAATCCCAAGCCGTGCGGGATGCTCGTGACCGTCTTAGCGCTGCAGAGTCTTCGCTTGACAAATTGAGAAACTCTGTGAGAGATCACAAGACGGACCTCGCAAAGGATTTTGGCAAGGATTCCGTATTCCGTGCACTGAAAGGCAGCTGCATTTCAAAGGACTCTGGCGAATACAATTACGAGCTCTGTTGGATGGATAGGACAACCCAGAAATCCAAAAAGGGTCGAGGCGATACGAACATGGGTAACTTTAATAAAATTACCTTTGTGACCGTTGACGAGGCTACTGCTTCGGGGCAGATTGTTCCGCGGGAGAAAGTTGCGCTGCAATTTATGAATGGTCAGACATGCTGGAACGGCCCGGCAAGATCAACCAAAGTTGTGCTGGACTGTGGAGAGAATGATGAAATCGTCAAAGTTACCGAGGATGAGAAGTGCGTCTATTCAATGTATGTGACCACGCCGGCGGTCTGTGAGCTCATCAGCAGTGATGAGAAGAATATGAGTGGTGGAAAGGATGAATTGTGATTCCGCCGTCGTTATGGGCAAATCCGGGAACTCCGCCAGCTGGGATGTTTGCTGACCGAGCTCAAGGCTGACTCCCGTCAACATCCTCTCCAAGCTTCGCTTGGACCGTTTCCTTGTCTGTTTAATTTTTTTTCTTTTTTCTTTTTTTCTTTTTTGGATGAGATTCCCACAATTTCAACTGTGTTGTTCAGCATGCTAGTTGTTATTATCGCAAGATGGATACAAGTCAGCGAGTAAGATGGAAGTGAATTGAAAGGATCAGTCACCAATATGACAATCGCAGCATTCCATCAAGACATGATATTTGGGATGGGCAATCTTTTATTTTCCCCCATTCCTTTTAATGCTCGCATCGGGAAACCAGCTTCTCTTCCTTTCCTCGGAAAATTGCAACAGCATGGAGCTGCTCCGCCCAATCGTCGAGCGTCAACTCATTGCAACCGGAGTGCAAAAAAGCAACCATATTGACAATTCTCCGACCCAGTATCTTCCCCTGTTCCCCAATCAAAGAAGCCGCTCTCCGGCATTCAGTTAGCATCAAATAATATTAGTATCCCTGCTGGGTATCCAGCAATATCCTGCTTCAACCTGCCCAATCAGCGCAGAGTCCGGGGTAAGATGCAAAGACGGGGAATAATGGGGTTTGCAAAAGCAATATTCACATGCATATCCCGCGTGTTTTGGGATGGATCTGGGAATATTCTAAGATTTGCATGAACGTTGAATTAATCTATCTGAAATCATCATGAGGGAGGCTGAGCCACTCGCACGCGTTGGATCGCCGGCTCTACAAGTGACAGGCATGACCAGAAAGTGTGGAGAACAGGGACGAGTGAGAGCATGTCCGGGGAAAAGGCTGTGTGATTTCAGGATGCTGTCATCAAAGGACCGGTGACGCCTCGTCAGAGTAGTGCGCGATTAATTGCTTGTGAGTTCTGCTGTCAAGGCGGGCTAGCAGACGAACTGTGAACTTAAGCAACATAGCGCGTCATGCCATGCATTTGCCAGCGCCGAATCAGATAAGGCCTTTTAATCTCGACGCGGGGAAATTTTCGATCGATGTGAATTTACAGTTCATGCTTGTGGGCGCCACATGCTTGGATGAGCTTAGTGAGAATATCCACGCCTTCATGCCATTCAGTGGAAATCCAGTCTCCAAGACAGGTTAGCTATCAAAGAGTGCAGCCACAAACGAGGAGCACCAGAGACAGGAAGGAGGCTGAGGGACAAGACCAGTGTCATATTTTTCACTATGTGCGTTTGACGAGATGGTTGAGTTCAATCTAGGAGTGAGCTTGCTTTAGTGACTTCTCTATGGATTTCCATTGAAATCTACCTCTTCCTGTGCAAGCCGATGAAGTGAAGCAGCTCTCAGTAGTAGGATGATTCAGCTGTGTTGAGTTGTTTCAAGGAAATATTGAAACAATTTTGAAGGTTCACAACTGATACTTGTCACCAATCGTTCTGTCTTATGTGTATCGCTCAACAGGTGTCACTGTGTGTTGAAAGCTTTACTTATGGAAGAAGAGGAAGAGAAGTTTGCTGGCCATGCAAATTATATTGGTATAGGTATCAACAAATGAGAGAATATCCACCACCTGACCACCATGTCAGAAAACATCCGCAAGACTGAGAAAAACTCAGAAAAGCCAAAAATAAGATCGCATCAGAGCCAAAGACACCCGTCAATTGTCATAAGCCATCTCTATTGCACCCCGGTCGGTACGGTCAGTCGAATTCGAAACGATCGAAAGGTTCTTCAGTTGCAAACACCCGCTGGACTTTTGGCTATCAGGGGATGAGAGGAAAGTTCGATTCGAGTTTGCACAGAGTGAATGAAGCAAAACATTGCGATTGTCGAGATGGAGGAGAGCATTAGCTCAAAGGCAGCGAGTTATTTAGTGCTGTGGTATCAATGGGTAAGTAGGTGATTCTGAAAGGGATGGAGAAGGAAAGGTTGTCAACGTACGCCGCAGGAGCCGCAAGAGCAGTTGTTGCAGTTGCCGGAGCAGCAGTTGCAGGAGCAGGGATTCATTTTGACTGGGTAGTTTGAACGTAAAAACGTTTAAAAAGAGTTAAAATTGTTTAGAGAAGTATTTGCTTTGTAAGTCGGTTGCTTGGGAATGAAGAAGGAAGAGGAAGTTGACTTTGACGGGGGATGAAGGCGCCTTTTATGTCTTTTCGAGGACAGGCAGCTCTCCGAGCTGGTCGGTTCTCATTGCCAGCAGATGACGTCGGAAGGATCACAAGTGTAAGCCGAGAGTGTACGGTTCTGGCGGGTATCTTTGTTCGATGATGAGGCAGTCAGAGCGGATTGGCTCAAGCTATGGAACTAACCATGCCGCCCATGTGTTCCGAAACGACGAGCCATAGGCTTGTGGGCGTGGGATAGCGAAGTGTGGAGAAGAAGCTCTCCAATATCAGCCTTGCATGAAAGGCTGCAGCGGCAGACAGGCCATACGATCCAATCGAGTAACATTGCGCATCGGGAGCTCTAGAACTCGAATGTCTTGTGGGGTATGGGGATATTTTGTTGTCTCTTCCTCTGTCAAAAAAAAAAAAAGAAAAAGAAAAAGAAAAAGGGGATGAACATCCCGTTTGGTTGGAAAGCATCGGAAGCCTAACCCTTTCTTTCCAAAGGCCTTCTTCTATGTGGCCAGCAACAACTCCTTCGAGGATGCCGGAGGCCGGTGTTGAAGGCTGATGCCGCAAGACATCTTGAGAGGCAGCCGATCTACAAACATGTCACGCCCCGGGGGGAAGACCAGGATATTCGAAAGTGACCTGAGCTCCCAACAAGCCAGGGGAGTCAACGCGGTTTCCAGCCCACCACCCGAATCATGTCGGCAGCTGCTCGAGAAATCGGACCCATTCAAAAGAAATTCTGGTCCAAGATTATGTGTTGAGCCTGGTGACGTGGAAGCTTGCACCGGGCAAGGAGAGATCGCGGCCTCTCTGGAGGAGCAAAAAAGCAATTTGTTCCCTCGAGTCACACACGCAAAAATATTTTACGGAGATCCAGAACAGTAAGCAACAAACAGACGGGGGGCGTTCGCTTCCCTGAGAGCCGGCAGGTCACATCCGGTGAGGGAGGGATTGAAAACTACATCCCAGGTACGCAGTACAAGGCGCTCTCCTCAACACCGGGATGAGGTCATATGCCACGGTGTTTGGTGGGGAGGGGGGTGGGCGCGCGGCGAAGCTGATGCAGACACAGTTTTGAGACCTTTGCGGGTTTTTAGCCTGTGTGGCATTTTTTCTTTTTCCTCTCTGCTCCGTCCGTACCCTGCCTGACAAGCAACTGGAGATCTTGGGCGCCCGTGTGGAGACGGAGGGATGGATGGCGGAAGTTCTTTGTCGTTGGCCATCCCTCTCCGCGCTAGCACAGGTGCCAAGTCGCCGCCAAGCCCAATCCCGAGGCGATTGCGGGGCTGTCACGTGAGCCAGCGTTGACCCCACCCAAATTCTCCGTTTCGTCCGATGTCCAGCTCGGAGGGCGGGCGGGATGCCGTCTCGTCTCGGGGTCCCTGTCGAGCGCAGGCAGCCCGCCGCTGTCAAGCAGGCAGGGAGGCACGGAGGCAGGGAGGCAGGCAGGCAGGCAGGCAGGCAAGAGGGCAGGCAGGATTTCCCATGCAAGGAACTCATATCGAACGATACGGAGGCCGGCCCAGTCGAACTCTCTAGAGCGAAGATGGGCCCGTCGGAACCGGAATATCCCTCCCTCTTCCCAGAGTCCGGATCCCGTCCGCCGCTGATCTGCATGACAGAGTTGGGCTTCACTGGTTCAGGCGTCGAAGTCCAGTTGAGAAATTTAATATTGGAGTACGGAGCAAAAAGCGAATTTTTTTTGTTTTGAGTTACTGATGGCGAAGACATATGGACGGAGCAAACGATCCTTATGATTTCGTATTGCAGGCCAAGCGATAAAAAAAAAACATGTAGGCAGATACACGATCATAAACTCAGTCCAGAGACTATCCTAATACCCATCAATCAACCTCCCGAGTTGGGCCGCACCCTTCCTTTCACTCTCCGTCATGACGCATTTGGCTTCGACATCGGTCGGTTCCTTGTGCACTCGGTGTTCGGCGGCCAGAGAGAAACACGAAGACCGCGGATATTCGACTTGAGGATCCGTGTCGAATAATAATCTACACCGGTTGGAGGGATGGATAATATGTGATCGCGCCTCCGGCGGCATGATTTATTTCTTTACCTCGATTAGTCCAGGAGGGATGGAAAATGGGATGCGAAAGAAAGTTGCAAGTATTTCTGGAAAGCGGCGTAACTTACGCAGTTGCAGGCGCCGGAAGGACAAGAACAAGCGGAGCCACAGGTGCATCCACATCCACCTAATCAGAAAAAAAAAATTTTTCGGGTCAGCTCAGAATTGTTGTAGACTGGGTGGTCCACATGACGTGGACGTGGACAAGAACATATGCAAGAAATCAGACAACGCAGAGGAGATCTTTTTGTATAGTTCCCAAAGTCCAGGTGGGGTGGAGCATACTCATGTTTGCTGTAGTGGGGTAAGAAATATCCGCGTTAGAAAACGAATTGATTGTTTTTATCAAGCGTGACTGATAGTCCGTGAAGATCGTATTTTGAAGAGGTGTTGATGGGAAAAAAAAATGGGAATTCGAGAGGTGGGTATCACCCTCCCCTTATATACAGCAGCCTGAGGTATATTTTATTCTTCCAACCCTGCTCAGGCCTTTCCATTCCCCCGTTTCCATCCATGGGAGGGGGCGAAACCTTCCCAACCGCTTCACGTTCTCCAAGTCCTGGGTTTCACGCTAAAAACGCGCACTGAAATGCAGTTCCACCAATGAATAGCATCACGAGATACTCCAGGGGTCTCTCAGGCAAGGTTTCGATCATTGACTTAGGATACGCCGTGATTTCGTAATCAGGTCCTGGAATAATCCAGGCCCGATTAAATCCCGGTTTTGGCGCAGGCGGGAGGCGTCGTTGCGTTGTCATGACCCAGCCATATCGTTACCGAAGATGGTGGTTTCGAAGCGGTGTACGGAGTAATGCTGCTGCATTACTACGATAGAGTGTCCGATTGCCGGGCTCACTTTACCGTACCACTCTCCTCGACTGGTCTCACACCCATTTCAAGCAATCACACTAGTTCACAGTCGAGCTCTTCTTCAGCAAAACTTACTCTAGCGGGAGCCGAGTCTAACCAACCTTCCGGTCTGACGCCACTTGAATTATCGAGCTGTCCAACGCTGACACCGACCACACCCGGCCTTGCATCACAATACCAGAAGAGGGTCGCACCGCAGACCCCACAAAATGCGCGGGAGACTCCACGGAAACTTACATATTTTTGTATCGTAGGTATATCGTAATCCATCATCGTATTGCCGGTTCTATAGATATTCGCCCGCGGAATAAATGCCTAACTTAGAATGGGAAAACCCGCTGCAAGGCGACAGTGTGTACATGCACATAATCCGGTAAGATACTTAGTATCTCGCTCCTGTAGCCACCACTTACTATCTTCTCAACTTTTGCCTGGAATCGGCGATGTAGACGAAAGATACGGGAGAGGTAGATAAGGTCAGGGAGATGATGGCTCGCGGGAGTCCTTATTTGGGCGTGTGAAGTAATACCGAGTGCCACCACAAAGGTAACGTGCATGGGATTGGATGTCGGGGTTCAATAGACGAACGCTTTTGCAGCTCTGGGGGATGCACCTTTCCTGTAAAACATTTGTTGGAAGCCTCTTGTTCGTCTGACATCAAGGACGCCAACCCGCCATTCACGGTAGTGTGCAAGCATAGATTGCTTACATCCCAAGTCTGAAAATGTCCTTTCTCTCCCATATGACCATCCACGGCCAGTAATCCCACGGAAAGGAAGAATTTGCCCTGTTCTTTGAGCTGGATAAATGCATGGACACCACACGTCCCAGAGAACCAACGACTGATCATATCCGATTTGGGTAACTCGATCATACCGCCTTAAATCTAGGGACACAGTTGTAGGACAGTATATGACATGCGTAGCATCCCACTGGTCCTTGGACATGGTTCGCAGTGGCAAACCGACAATTTCGAGTAATTAGAGCTGACCTCAGAAAGTCTGTGCGATACTAAGGCACAGACAGGAAATCCTTCGTTCCATGGCACAGGAAGATAACCAGGGAAATCTCGGGTTGCACTGCATGCGCTCTCCTCTCAAAACCTGCCGATGTAAGAGAAAACTCAACGGTGAGCCGTTAATGGTCAGGGAAAGAGTAGTAGATGGAAGTTGATAGCTCAGAAGGTTATGAGACTCTTCGACTTGTCCCAACGGATGGACCATCAGCCATAAGCTTTTCTATGAACAAAAATCATATTGAGCCCGGCGATGGACTACGTTTCAAATCAGGGTCATTTTTAGAGAAAGCCATTCCATATCGGTGGTGACTACTTTTAGAGAACTAGGTGGACAGTCATCAGCTGACGAACGTAGAACGAGCCCCGCGAGACCCGAAGGGAAAATAAACCGCCTCAAGAGGCCTTTGCGTCAGAAACGCAGGGAGTTATGCACCTTAAGATATCTCTGAAGGTCAGCTAGCCTGCGGATTGGAAGGACGGTTTGCCCGCAGATTCCTAACGACTCCAAGCGCCTTTCGCAGCGATGGCAGTAAAGCTAGGTTTACCAAGTATTTGGAATGAATTGCCCGATGATCTGAATCTGGGGTCATACAGAAGCAGGGCGTCGAACCGGACAGAGGTGGCCGATGGCAGATGCTGGCGGTAGCGGTGGTGCAGGACGGTGACTTTGTGAGCCGTTCCAAGGCGGTCGAATTCTCGGCATTGCTTCCCGGCGAAGGGCAGAAGCCTCGGCATAGTTTCCTAGTTAGTCTGGACTAGCTGGTTAGTCAGCTAACTAGTTACTGCCACCGACCGCCGCCTTTCGTGTAGGGTTTCGACTTTGTTGCCCTTTTCGGAATCCCACCAAGAAGTCGAACGTGTCGGTCAACGCCATCAACTCGGCAGTCTCCTCGTGTCTCTGCCTAGATGATTGTCCTGGGGGCGAGGTAGCAACACAGTCTTTCAGAGCAACGCGACAAAATGCCCACAGCATACGAGTTTCGCGGCAACCGGGACAATGCAAGGTCCCGGCCGCAACACGAGTTCACTTTTCGCTCTCATCCGCCTCGAACGTCCGCACGCCCACTGCTGACAGCCCAGCGAGAAACCACTCCTGAGTTTTTGGGCGCAAACGACATTAATGAGAAGCAGCAGCCCAAGTTCATGAATCTCGAGGACCTGACTGATAGCGACGAGGAGGTTATGGACGTTTCCTCTGCGGAGGACAGTGAGCCACCTAGGAAAAAGCAAGCCATGGAAAATACAGTACCGTCGACTACACCCAGGTGGTCCAATCCTGACCCTTACACTGTGCTACCACCTCCCGATGAAAGTCAGGGAAAGAAGAAAGACTTTGTGAAATTGATCCGCAAAGCGAGGATCGCTGCTCAAGTGAAGCCGGAGGAGAACGATGCCATTGAATCCAATGAGGATTTTATATCCCTAGGTGCAGATGACCTCACAGTGGACCAGCCGCCAGAGAATGCCCCGCGCGGACCGCGCGGTGATCGTAATGGAGATCCTGCCCTTGGAAATCGCAAGCGTACTCGAAATGATGAGATTGTTGGGCCTGCACCAAGGAGTCAGCGATATGAGAAACCCGACACGCGTTTTAATCTGGATGGTTCAATCATACAAGCGTATCGTACCATTGCTGGCCAAGACTCAACTCCGTGGTTTGATCGATCACGACAAGCGACCTTCCACTTGGGAGCCGCGTGAGTCCCTCTTTCTTTTCTTCCCCCGTTATATCAGGCGTCACTTGATATAATTGACACTTATGTAGACTTCAAAACGAGATCGTTGATTTCTATCACTGGGTCAAGCCAAGACCTTTCGAAGACGTAATCAGGACTGATCTTATTACACGCTTCGAAAGACTTATGCAAAACAGATTCCCTGGATCGCAACTACATGCCTTTGGTTCATATGCATCCGGTCTTTACCTTCCAGTTGCGGATGTTGACCTCGTTTTACTGTCGAGATCATTCATTCGCCAAGGTAGGAAATTTTTGTGCCAGAAGATAAAGGATATATATTCTCTTACGGCATACATCAGAGATACTGAAATTGCTGTTCCCGGCTCCATTGAGACAATTGCTCATGCAAGAGTCCCCATTATCAAATTTGTAGACCGCCTTACAGGGCTGAAAGTTGACTTGTCTTTCGACAACAACAGTGGGTTGGCAGCAAATAGGACCTTTCAACAGTGGAAAGAACATTTCCCTGCCATGCCGCTTATTGTCTCTGTCGTCAAACAATTTTTGCTCCTCAGAGGCCTGAATGAGGTTCCCACTGGGGGTTTAGGCGGCTTCTCCATTATTTGCTTGGTGACAAGCCTGCTTCAGCATTTGCCTCACGGCATGTCCGAACCAAACCTTGGAGGAGTTCTTATGGACTTCTTTGATTTTTATGGAAACAAATTTGACTTCTCTACAGTGGGAATCGAGCTCAACCCACCCGGCTATTTCCACAAGGTATTCGCCTTACACCCACCCGCATTATAATTTCTAACCTATGTTTTCCCAAGCACACTCGAAACATCTATCAAGCAAATAGTCGAGATAGGCTTTCAATAATCGACCCCAATAACCCTGATAACGACATTTCTGTCTCGACAAAAGAGATCAGGCGGGTTTTCAAAGCATTTGCTGAGGCTTTTCACGCACTAAGCCAAAATATCAGATCGGCCTCTTTTCTGCCTCCCCAAAATATCAGCCTGCTAGCATCAATCATTGGTGGGAACTACGAGTCATACCACACACAGCGCGAACACTTGTTTGAACTTTATGCAAACCACCCGAGATTCGTTCAATACCACAATACCGTCCCTCTACCACTGCTTCCAGGTAACTCAACACCGCCACCTCCCCCTATTTCACCACCACCGCCGCCCCCACCCCCAGAGATAGGGAGCCAGGAGTTATCCGGACACGCGGCTCCTGTTGCCAAAGTCGGTAAAAAAAGGCAAAAGTTCATGGACCGTGCTTCGCGTCTGAGGTTACTTCGGCCTGATTTAAAAGGGATCCCGCAATTCATTACCCATGAACAGGCAATAAAGCTTGGAGGCTACTCTAACGAAGCCGAGATGGTCCGTGACCTTCTCGCTCGAGAGAAAACCCTTGAGCAGCATCAAGCAAGTTAAACAGATATTCGACACAAGTCATGAATTTAACGTGGATTCGAGGCAGATACCGCTTGCCTTGCACACTTACCTCTATTATTTCTTGAGGCAAATGAGATATTCTTTTCTGTTATTCTCAAAAATTCTCGTCTGGCGTGCTTGCGTGGATGCTTGCACCGGTGACAATATCCTTGTTCCTCGGTGACTATGATGCATGTGATACCCAACAAAATATTTGTTCTCCAGGGATACGTGATGGCGATTGTGCTATGGCCTTCATCAAGAGGGTGGTACATTAAACTTTGCATATCGATATTTGTGATTTCTTATATGTAATGAATACCGTCTACAGGAGTACAGTTTCTGAAGCTTTCCCTCCAACTCTCAAATTCCCATTCTTATTATCCTATTCTTTTTCTTTTCTTTTCTGAAGACGTCCATTCCGTTGCACGGAATTGACCTTTTCACCAAACGCGGATCAGAAAGAGGGGCGCATTCCACCCTCTTTTAGCTAACTATTAGGTTATACAATAGATGTGACTACCCGGCCAGAAAGATATCACTGTTCAGGTGCGTCACAAGCATACGGTTCTCATGTTCGTTGTTTTCTCTAATGCTTTATTGAGAAGTTGACCAAACACCAGCACATCCTTGATCATGGATTATTCTTATCTCAGTTTTCGTCGCTCAATCTAGCCAATAGGCTACTGGGTCCGCCTGCGGAAATGGCTTCCTTTCTTCCTCCAACTCGCCAGGTCTGCTGTCGGATTGGGCCACTTCTTTTCCTTCTCATCATAGGATACGCTATATGCGGGTCCGTGAAGAGGAGCGGAATGAATCATTCAATGGGCAAGGAGAACTACACCCTGAGACTTTCTTTTTCTTCTTTTTCTTCAATGGCCATGGTCATTATTTCCATGGCGCTAACAAGTGGTATCTATTACTATTTACGGAGTATCCTGAGTGCTATTTCGATAAAAGAAATTGTGTGGCCAAGGATTAAAGAACTTGTTTAGATTTCATCTTCATCTGTTCAACTCATATCAGAATCGTATCGCGTCCCAATGACAATATTTAATATTTAATATCTTTATCGTAGCCTGGCGGAGGAGGTTGGTTGGTGAAACCTTTTTCAGGACTCGACCACGTAAAATCCACCCATTCCTGTCCCAGGACCTTCCGTATCCCAGCGACGAGAGCGAGGATCTCCTGACGGCGAATATGAGACCGTTCGTGGCTGGGAACATTATCGCTCACGGGGAGGATGGAAAGTGAGCTATCCTGCGATGCGGTGGGTCTCACGGTCACAGAATCAGCATGTTCAGTGAGGGCTTTCTCCGAGTTCTCGATGTCGACTATCTCCTCAAGACCACCGATGATCTCCCGCCAGACACGAAGCGTTTCATCAAGCTCCTCCATTTTGCTAACGCCCATGACGCTGATGCCCAGTTTGCGTCCTGTAGGAGCAGCTGTTTGACTAGAAGCGCCATTCGATGACGACGACGAAGAGGCCAATGGTTCTCCCAGCGATCCCACCGCCGAGCCTTCCCTTAACCAAGCTTCGAGCGCGTAACGTATGGAAATGATTTCAATCCTCTCGCCCTGCTCCTCCACCCACCGACTCGCTTCCCTCACCGCATCTCGCAGCCCAACCGGTGCAGGGTGGAAATCACCCATGCTTCCAATGGGCACACCGTGGCGTCTCAGCAGCCCCAGGCCCAACGGCGACGCATTGGGCACCACATCCACACCGGCCGCAAGAAGGCGAGGGAGCGCCTCCGAGACCAATCTTGTATTCTGCACGGTGAAATTCGCGTAGGACATCACCGCGTCAAGCGGCTCGCCCGTTTCTCTGAGTATCCTCTCCGCAAGGTCACATAGGACGCCCACCGGATAGCCCGATATGCCCACATATCGTATGGTGCCCTCTTCGTCGCGAATCCGGCGCAGCTCTTTCACGGCGACGAGGACTTCTTCCGCCGAAACGAACTCAACGTCGTGACAATATACCAGGTCAAGATATTGGGTGTTCAGACGCGACAAACTCCGTGCCAGGCTACGTCTGATCCAGGTCGGCGAATAGTCGAATGAGGCGGACGCAAGGCGGCCGACCTTGGTGATCAAACGGTATTTGTGGCGGGGATAGTTGTCGCGGACAAAGGGTGTAGAGAGAGCGTATCCAAGAAGCTCTTCGGCCGGGCCGTAGTAGGGTGAAGTGTCGAATGCGCGGACACCGGCGGAAAAAGCGCGATGGACGAGAGCCGTTGTGGGAAGGGCGAACGGGTCGACATTGTATTGGGAATTGAAGGTCGCGGTGCCCATAATCAGCGGAGGGAGGTCCGCGGAGAGGGGGATCTCCGGCTTTCCTTTGCTGGCCATTTGTTAGGGTCTCCTTTCTTGAGCTGAGAGAATCTTTACAAGTTCAACAGCGTTTCCTCGTCGAGATCTTTCATTGAGAGGCGTGGGAACGGGCGGTGGACGAGAGCGGGGGCGGGGTAGAGGAGGAATGTGTACGAGAATGGTCGTGTTTCTGTCAGGAAACCCAGAATATCGTCAACGGAGACATAATTCGCAGAGAGACTCGGTGCGTATTCATCCTAACCCCGGCAGTAGGCAGATGAGAGAGAAGCGCCGTCGCCAAAATGCAAAAATTTTGGTAGCTCCAGTCGCGAACCGCAAAAAAGCCCTCCTCTGCCCAAGCTCCACCGTCAGTCAACAAGAACTACAAAAAAAAAAGCCTAAGAAGATCGTCTCATCGCTGGCAGAACACCCAAAATATGGGATTTCCAATTTGAAAAATATGGCCTTTCTATGGAACGCCAACGCTCTCCTCCTCCTCCTCCTCCTCATCATCATCATCATCATCATCATCATCAAACACACCCGCCTGGATACGGCGCGTCCTTCATCCCACTCATCCAATCGTCCGTAAGCCCATTCCAATACCCAATCTTCACTTTACTCAAGTCCAGCTTGCCCTCCTCATCCGCGACCCCCTGGTCCACCGTCAACCCATTCACCGACACAAACTTCACCTCCTTCCCTTCCATGACATACGTACCCCTCGAGAAGACAGAGATACCGCACGTCTTGCAGAAATAATGGTGCGCCGAGCCGCTGCCGAAGGTGTAGTCGCCCAGCTCCGCAGAGTCGTAGGAGGATGGCTTTACCAGCGACAGGGTCTCGTCCGAGAGTTGGAGGATGAGCCCGCCCTTCTTGTGGCAGATGGTGCAGTTGCAGCGTGCTGCGCCCAGGTTGGTGGGGTCCAGGAGGGCACGGTAGCGGACGGCGCCGCAGTGGCAGCCGCCGTTGTAAGGGCGGAGGTTTGGAGGGGAGGATTGCTGCTCCTGGGCCATGATGGCTCAAATGCGATTTAAGGGAATTCAACGACCTCACTGGGAGACACCTTGGTTTTCGGTTTCGTCCTGTCCTCCGTAGCCACAGAGTCCAGAGCACTTTGGCCTTCACAGCCGAAGTTTGCGGTGATTTCCAGGAAAGTAGGCTTTCAGAGTAGCACTCGCAGCACGACCGCCACCCAGTACCTGTAGCTATGGCGAGCAGAATAACCTCAGGGGGACCCGGGGCTCTATAAGGGCCTCCTTAAATAGACATCAATCCTCTTCGAGCCCCCTTGAACCGCACTCCCTCCCCGCAACTAGCCAGCCGCCGGCCAGCCTTGTCTTCATCGCTGCCTCCTCGTATCTCTCTCTCCACTCCGCGTCTCTGGCCAGCCCGTATCAACCCGCACGTTCTTCTTCGCGTTCGCCGGCCGGTTCCGCGCTAACCAGATGCGGCAGACGCGGGCCGGAGAAACCCTGAATTTTGCCGGCTGCCGATTGGTCGTGCCCTCTATTACGTCAAGACAACAGTTGCGTTTAGCGACGAAAGCTTTACATAAAGACCGCCTAATAGTCCGCAATACGGTAGGGAATGGCTGGCAGTCTTGCCTGAGAACTGAAATTGCATTGGGCTGGCTGTTATTAATACATATTACGTCTGGAATTCAATTCTCCATTCAAAAAGAAGAGAAGAAGAAGAAGAAGAAAGAGAAGCAGAAGGTAGAGGAAACAAAAGAAGATCAGGAAAAAGGAGGAGAAGAAGCAAAAATATCACAATGGCTTTTCCTTGTCTCTGCAAACATCTCCGAGAGATTGACGACTCAAAATAGGAAGCATGACTTAGCCTAGGGAAAGGGGAGTCACATTTTGCCGTTCGGGCGGCCCGGCTCCGCCGAACGAGGCCCTTTGCCCGCTGACGCCGCAGTCCCAATTCCTTTCCAGATCCTGCTGACGGTTATGTTCTCGTTTTCTTCGACGACGAACTCTTCCCATCCGAGCGGACCACGCGAGCGTCGAGACAGGCCCTTCTCGTCCCTGCTGTTCAATTCAAGTTTCTGCTTCATGCTCTTACACCGCAGTTCTCGTTCTGCCACCACTTCCCGGGCAAGCTTCGCGCTCAAAAGCCCCCATTCGCGCATAAGTCTGAATGTATATTTGAGATATCTATATGGGAGCGTGATAAGGAGCGCCGACATGGCTCTATTCTTGTCCGTGCTGTTTTTAATTCTCCCTTCCATCTCGGCTGTCGTGTGATCCTCGTCCTGGGTCCATCCCAGTCTATCCGGCGTCACTGTCGGTCGAGCTCCAGCGTCAAATTCAAATCGCGCTGCGGCACTATCAACAGTCATGAATCTAAGGGCCCATCTCAAGAGCCTGGGCGCCCATATCTTGACCATTTCATTGTTGAGTGTCTTCGCCGACAGGAAGGGGTTGTCGGGTCTTGGCGCCCGGTAAGTATCATCGATCCTGAAGTTTGTTCTAGTGTCAACGCTTTCATCGCCTGAGCTCTCGGACTGGAAATTGGAATCACTGTCCCGAGCATATTCTTCGTTGCAGGCGATCAAATACTGGCCGGGGACGAGCCCAAAGTGGACCAGAGTTTCGACGTTGTCCCAGCTCAGAGCCCCCTTGATCAGGTCGATGGCCCCGTGAACAATGTCACGGTCCGCCAGAAAGGCCCCAGAGCTGAGATACGACAATGCAAATTTCATTTGGCCAGCACTGCCAGGATAGGATTCCTTAAATTGCTGCTCGGTCATCGGCACGGCGCCATACAGGTTTTGAAGGGCGACATAGAAGCCGTTTGTATCGGCAAACCCCCTTTCAGCAGTGAGGTTGATAGTTTTGGGGTGCTCTCCCGCCTCAATTTTCTTGATCAGGGCATTTAAGTGCTTGTTCCTACACATAACGACACTATGTGCACCAAGGAGCTGTGGCCGGATTCCTTCCTTGGTTGGCATCAGGTTCAAACAGTAATCGGTGCGTTCACCGGATACGAACAAATTGAGAAAATGATTGATCATTTCTTTAACCGGTGGCGGCGGCTCACGAGTCTCCATGTGGCCCTGATGACCATACTCCCAAATTCGATGCATCGGGCCAACCGCACAAGGCTGCATATCAGAGCGGAACGGTTCAGTCATCCCAGCCAAGGCTCCGTTGCTGTAAAGCCCAGCACTATGATTAGGTTCTCGAAGCCGGGCCTGCTGGGACTGGTGGAACTCGGCGAGAAGTCCGTACGCATCTAAGTTATTTGTATGAAATCCCACTTCGACTGGACTCGGAGCTGTAACACTATTCTGGTATTGCGCGGCCCCCCAGTAGTACCCCTGGCCAGTCACAGTATGGGGCCCTGCGCAACCACCTGGATGATACGGTGTGCTCTGCATCGGATAAGTTTGCTGAGCTTCATAATACCCACCATTAAGAAAACCCTGAGGACCCGGAGGGTCATATCCCAGATAGCAGCCTTCTGCGTGAGGGATGAGCGGCTGAGTGTCGCTATTTTGACCGTTGGCTTTGTCTTGCTGCGTAGCAGGGGTTGGACCGGGAGGCACGGCTGTCTCTGTCGACGAGTCGGAATGATGCCCAAAGACTATCCCGTTTTTCCGGAATGTGGTTTTCTCACAGTCGTCGCGTCCTTTTCCCTGGTCGGCTGTAGGCTCCATGGCCTGCGGGGTGGGACTGGGCTGTGCGCTTCTCACAGTGACAGTGACAGTGGACTCTGTGGAACTCATTTTGGGGTTGCTTTTGCAAAAGAAACAATTAAAAAAAGAAGAACAAGAAGAAGAAGAAGAAGAAGAAGAAGAAGGAGAGGCCGATAGGGACAAGATTTAATCCTTTGAGAATGAGTTGCAGTTGAAAGAGTCAGTGAGTAGAGGATGAGAGTTGATATATTGTAGTTGTGGTTGTGAAGGGAGAGATAGAGGGAAGGAAGAAGCAAGACAGCAGGAAGAGCAGCAGAAGCAACAAGCATGAATTTTGAAGAATTTCACACGTGCGGGTGTGTGGGAGACGTGGTGTGTGGCATTTCCCACGGTTGGCCTGGCGAGTATCTGCTGCTGCTGCACACACACTCGCTCGCTCTCTGTGATGGCATCGCTACAGTGCTCTGGATTTTGCATTTTTTGATGATGTCAGGGTGCCTGTTGCGCCGACCGACCAGCACCGACCACACACACACACACACATTTCCAGAATGAAAATGCCCCAGCTCTGGAAGCGCAGAGAGCGTCTTATCCCATCTCATAGAAGATCGGCTGCATTATCAGTTACATCTGCTCAGCTCTGAGGTGCCTAGCAAAGATGTCGTCTATCAGCTTACTTGACTTTACCCCCATGGGATGATGCTGCACCCTGTGGAGTGCCAAGTATGATGACCCTTTTCTCTCTTCCTTTCTTTCTTTTCTCTCTACGCCATCCCCAGCAGAATAACGGATCGCTTTCTACAGTGCTCTTTGCTCATCAGGCCAGCGAACCCAGAGACAAAGGACATCTCGAAGCTCTCCCTGTCCAATTACATCAGCATGCTCCCTTCGCCGCTGATTCGCCGGCTTTCCCAGGCACCCCCCAGCGCCCTGTGAACTCTGTATCGGTGATGATGTTGGGACTCTGTGGTTCCAGCCGCGGGTGACGCAAAGGATTTCTCGCGCTGCATCTCGTAGTGATACCTCTGTGCCGCGGGAAGCCGGAGTGTTCTGGAGGTGGGAAAGGAGCGTTTAAATTACATTTGTCCTGGATAATCTTCTGTATAATGACCTTTTTTTTTTTTTTTTTTTTGCTTTTCGGTAATTCAAATACTACTTGTTGAGTACAAAGTACAGCCTTCCATTGCCCTAACCCTAACCCCTTTACCGATACACCTTAAAAACCGACCCAAAATCATCCCCTGACCTTAATGACGCTCACGATCCATAGCCAGCCCGAAGCAGAGAAAGTTTGGCCGTGAAAGAAGGGATTAAGCGTGTGCAATAGGATTCCGGACGAGGATTCCCCGCGGACTTTCTCAAGCCCTCTCACATTTTGTGGTAGTCGGGGGCTGGTTGGAACGATTTTAACCAACCTTCTTCCAACAACTCCTCTCTAAAAAAAAAAAAAGAAAAAAAAAAAAAAAGGGTGTGGTAATAATCGGTTAAAAAGTGTAACTTGTACAGTGAAACAGAAACTGATCCCAAAAATAAAGGGTTTCTCAGGGGTATTATGATAGAAGAAAAACCATATCCCAAAGTGGAAAAAGGGAAAAAAAGGCAAAAACGGGACAAAAAAAAAGTACACAGCAGGAAAAGATTATGATAAAAATTGGTACATCGAAGAGAAAAAGTAGAAAGATATCCCCAGGGAAACATACATAAAAACAAAGACACCTATGCCAGTAGGAACATACCCGGCTCGGCCCGACCTCCCTCAGAACATACCTCCTTCCATGGGACCTCCAACCTGGGCTGGCACTTGGGGCATCGCGGGCGATTTCGCCATCATCGCCTGCTGGCGCGCTTTGGCGTTGAGATTCCCGCCTTCGCTTGAGATCTTGCGTAGCCGCTGGCGTGGTCGAGACCGCTTGTCCTCGTCTGAGAACGTGCTCTGTTCCTCTGGGAACTTGCTTGAGGATCCAGGCATTGTCGACCCGTCAAGTCTGTCAGAAGAACCTTTGAAGGCGCCCAGGATCGTCTGGGTCGCCGTTGGTCGACGTCTTCTGGGGTTCATGGGCGGAACCGGGGGCGTAGAGCTTCCGTTGCTGAGGCTGGCACCCGGAGGGAGTCCGACAGTCGGGACGTTGGAAGTACTCGAGACAAATTTGGGTTCAGAGATCTGCGATTTATCAATAACTCTCTTGTGAGCGCCCAGGCTTTGGTTCCATTGCGCATTTTGGTTCGGTGCCGAGCCACCACCGTACGCATTCGAGGCAGCCATGGAAATATTCGGCGGTGAGGTTTCGTATAGAGGCGGAGTTGCATTGGCCGAGTAAGGAGTGACTGGTGATGGCCGAGGAGAGGAGCCGATCCCTAGTGCCTGCCCTGTCTGCACAGGGTGTGGGATTCGAGCATCGGGAAAACTAGGCGGCACTGGTCGACTATTGCTCCGTAACCGACCTCCCATCGAAGATCCAGACCTATCGGATGGGAGGCGTTCGTTTTCAGCCGAAGGCCGTGTCGAAGAAGGTCCAGAAGGGGGTCCTCGATAAGGCTTGTTTTCCTCCCCAGCGGACCTGTGTTGCGGACTGTCCACACCTCTACCAAAATTGTCCAAGTCTTCCCGATACCTGGGGCGGCTCTTCGATCGCCCGGAGGCATCGGATGTTGATCTATCCCTTACATCCCGAGGGTGCCTCCAAGGTGCAGATGGTCCGTCGCGGAAAGTATTTCTAGATTCATCCTGGCTCTCGCGGAAAGGAGGTTGAGCTTGCGGTTGACGTGGTCTGCTATGCCGGGGACCGATGTGGGGTGATGAGTTTCGAGGCTGTCTCCCGTAGTCACGAAGCATCCTCTCCTCTTCATCAGGCCAAGGTTCGCCTTTGGACACGAGGTTTGGTGCAGAAGCATTATGAGCAGTGCTTTCCATGCCTAGTACTTTCAGCGGTTTCGGGTGGGGAACATCATGCATGCCGTTGGTTCGGCTGGATTTGTTCTTCATCATCGCGAATGCATTGCCAGGCTTTGCAGGTCCAATGTCTCGGAAACCTCCAGAGGTTGGGCTAGTCGATCTACTACCTTCAGTTTCCACAAAGCTCTTCAATTTCTCTTGGACTCTCCTTCGTCGTTCAGCTAACTCGTGCGCCAATTCCTCTCGCTCCATTTGTGTCTCTGAACTGCCACCTCGTCGATGCCCTTGGTGAAGCTCCTCCTGCCACGATGCTTGGGGCCCTGAGGACCTGTGACCCGTGCCTTTGATGACGGGGTCTGGGGAGTGTCCTTGATTGCTGAGAGCGTTTGCCTGGTCAAGCATCTGCTTAGCTCGCAGAGACATCATTGAAAAGCCTCCCTGTTGTTGGGAGGGCTGTTGATCAGGGTGTTGTGACAAACGCGGAGGAGAATGGTTTGATCTTTCGGGGGTTTGTGACGGTTTTCCCCAATCATCTAGTTCCCAGGGATTACTGTGAATGCTCGCAGAGTGGCTTGATTCTCTGGCGGCTTGTAGAGAGGGATTATGGGCGCGATGGTTATCGAAAGAACTAGGAGGCAACCCTGGAGAAGGAGGAGGAAATATGGAGGATTTATCGCTGTCATGCCTCAAATGCATCCGAATTAGGCCACTTAGGCCCCCAGTTTCTGATGGTCCTAGAGTTGGCGAATCTCTTGACTTTTTGACCTCCTCCCCGCCGCCTAATGAAAGCGAAGGGTCCGCTGTTTCAATTTCATTTATAGTCTTAAGGTCACGAGATTCCGAACGCTTGAGCTCAGATTGGGTCGAATAGGACCTGCTAGGTTGACTGTACATCGCAGAGTCACTCGATGCGGTACTGCTCCTTAAGCTTGCATGAGTACCATCCAACTTTGGAGCAGAAGACACAACATTCGACTTTGGGCAAACCTCTGCTTCAGCATCACTACCCGCTTCGCTTTCACTGAAGTTCGCCAGAAACGTTCCATTTCCCATCCGAGGCGGCGAAGCCCTTCGAAGGCTAGGGGTAGAACGGGGTGGACGTCCATCTTGAGAACCGCCATATGCCGAAGCTGCTGACTCGGCCCTGGAACGATAGCTGGTCGTCGACAAACCTCGCGACCGCCCTCCTCTTTCGACCTCGGAGCCTCCACAAGACGGTGAAGGACGCCGGAAGGGAGAAGTATTTCTGCCTTCGAACATCTGAACTTGGCGCTGCTGAAATTGAGATTCATCATATTTATGCGATGGCTTATTGAATAGGCCTGCAGCCGTGGCCTTGCCTCTATCTTCTGGCTGAAGGGCGGCCGCAAGGGGCGACACCTCTCCACTTTCACTCAAAGGTGGGCTTAAGGGAGCAACGCCTGGGTACCCTTGGCCAGAACCAGCACCACTCGCAGGGCCGGCCTTCCTGCTTAATTCGTTCCCTGAAATAGAGGACGCGGACAGAGGGGGGCTATTTGGGCGAAAATTGGACGAAGCATAAACTGGGGAGAGCTTTTGGTATTTCTCATTCAAGTTAGCAGCACTTTTGGAGAGCGATCGGGTTATCTGTGTAGGATCAGGGACTTTGGGCCTCCTGCTTAAGCTTTCGATCCTATCCAGAGCCGAAGATTGTTGATTCTGAAGCTCGAGGCCTTGTCCATACAAGCGTCGCGTTTTGGTTCCACTTCTATCTAATCCAGGGAAGTTGTGCTTTATTGGCGTTGAAGAGGCCGATCCATGTTCGGGGGGAAGTGCCTGAGAATCGTTGGCATTTGGTGGAGGCGTACCATGCTCGCCTGGTAATTGTGATAAAATTTCGTCCTCGAGCTGCTTGGCGACTCCGTGCAGGTCCGGACTCTCCTCTCTTTCCATTCGTTCCTTCTCTTTGATCTTCTGAAACGTTGACATAGGCATATCGTTCTCATAGATCGCCTTGCCGCCCATACTTCCGCTTGATCCCCTCTCCATCGAGTCAGAGTCGCCAGTTGAGCTGTTCTTGACGGGAATCTTATAAACCTTCTGGCGTCCTCCAAACAGATTGTTTCCTTCAACAGGCCTAGGCCTGCTCAGGACACTATTCGGATGGTCCTCCTCGGAAGGAGTGGTGGCTTCACCCGACGTGTAGGAGGTACGGGCCAAATTGAGGGATGGTCTTGCCGAACCACTGAGCGAGGAAACTTCAGCTATGTCCGTGAGGGGGTTATGCTGGAACAAATTGAGCCTTGAGACTCTTCTTGGAAAAAGTACACTGTCGTCGTTCGCCTTTCCAATCTTTGTTGTTGGGTCATCTTGTTCTCGAAGCATGCTAAATCGAGCCGATAAGTTAGGCATCAAAAGACTCGTCCGAAAGTCATCTGCAGAGGGTAGGGCTGTAGAAAGATCAATTTCCGATTTCGACTCGATTTGGTTCTTCTTTTTCCTAAATGGCTTTCCGGTGAAAGAGGGAAGTGTAAGCGCCTCGGAGTCTCCATCCTCCCTGTGTTTCTTCTTTGTGCGAAACCGATTCATAGTCGCAGCGTGCAATGCACCCTTAACGGACTAATCGCTAATAGTCCCTCGAATGCAACAGAGTGAATATTCCAAGCATTCCTTGCTATGTATTTGACCGAGGCGAGAGGGTGCCTTTTTTCCCCCCAAAGGTGATCTGAGAAGGGGAAGCGTATCGATCCTTTGCGACTTTCCAAGGACCGATCCAAGCGTGCAATCGAGCAGGGAAATAAATTTTGAAGGGAAAGACTCTCGCTGAGAAGACTACTAAAAGTAGATATGAAACGTCGGTCGTCAGTTCTCGGAAGCGTAACAGGAATTCAGACGCGGTTTCAGGACTGCAACGTACCGGCTGCTGGGATCCAACAGAGAAAATGCAAGAGGACCTGTCCTCTCCGATCAAACCTTCAGGACTAAAAAATATGCCATGCAAAAAGAATAAAAATATAGAAAGATACTTCGCTGCGAAAGGGCTGGTCTGTTGAGCGATAAAGCGAACGAAATTCCTGGGACTGCGCCTAGGGCAAATCGATGGGCGAATTCTTCGCCGTGGTGGGCTGACGGGAAATCTAATTTACCGTCTATCAAAGGAGCGACAATCACAAATTGTGATGAAGACGAGTAGCCAGTGAACGTAAAGCGCAAACCGGCGCCCCCCAAAGGGGAAAAAAAAAAAAAAAAAGAAAAGGGAGATGGGAATGTAAAGGGGGGGTGTGGTGGAAAAGGTACGGTCGCACACGATCCGCTGATATTAGAATTAAAAATAAAAAAGAAAAAAAGGGAGGGAGCACCAAGTTCAAAGAGGAGAATAAAATGATACTATGTACGGAGTACTCCGTAAATGTTGGATAAATTTGAACAAGTTCAAAAAAGCAGCAGCAGGGATTCACTGTCGTTGGTCATAATACGAATCCATGTGGGAGTAGATATCTCGAAGATTATGAGGAATATTAGGGTGAGAGGTTGAAAAGGGACAATTGGAAGCTTTTTGGAACGATTGTTAAAGTTGGAGCGGTGTCAACACTCGATAGCCAGCTTGGAACTGTTCTATGACGAACAACAATTGAAGAAAACACAGACGAAGAAGAGCGCAGAGGAAGAGGATTGTGGATGGAGTGTCGTTGGATTTTGCCTGATCAGGCTGGCGATTTGGGGGGGAGGGTCTCAAAGACGCAGATTGGCGCCGCTGAAGCAATTAACTTTCTGTACTGTAACCGCGCCGTACGCAAGAGGTTCCTGTTTCAAATGCAGGCGTCTTGACGACTTTAGTTCGGGCAAAGTTGGCGTGTAACGCAGCGGAAACATGCTCCCAGGGCAAGCCAATAGAGTCGGGCCTGGATTGGAGAAAAAGAAACAAGAGAGCGACAAAAAGCAATTGCTCCAATGAAATTGGCGTTCTCGAGCTGCCTTGGTTCCAAATATTCAATGCTGCTCGATGCTACGGAGTCAACTTGAGGGTAAGTGGGGGTTAACTATTTAACTCCCCTACCGGAGGGAGAGCCCCTGATCAGTTTTCCGGAGTCCAGAATGCAGCGCTCTGGGATCAGGGCTAGGATGCTGTCTGCTGCTCTCCTTCGGTAAAGCTCAGAGTGCCAGATAGGACACGGAGCAACGGCATCACAAAGGCACACACCACCGAAAGACCTCCCTCAGGCGGGCGCTTTTTCAACGACGCTTGGTGGGCCTTGGCGTCACACTCTCAAGACCCCATCGTCACCCTCATCGAGACTAACTTTAGCTCCATATTAACGACGTTGGTATTATTAATCGGGGTCGGATACGGAGTGCAAGATGCGCTATTGGATCAGAACCTGAGCGGAGAATATCGACCCGTATCCCGCCCTGGGTTAGACTCCGGCCGCTCCTGACGCTATTCCGGCACGAAACTGCTTGTTGGGAGCCCTATTACGTTGATCCTCTGGCCAGAGCAAGAAATTCCGCACACGAGGCGTGAGATCTCTCCCATTTGACCGTCGCCGCGAAAGAGCTCGGGGATGTGTCTCAGTCTGCGTGAAATGCCGAGCGCTGCCCCGTTGAGCAAGATCGGAAAGGCGCGCGATTTCAACATCCCTCCCACGCCGACTGGACTTCCGAGGGCGCCGGATAGCGCAGGGACACAGCTGGGCTGTCGCAGTCGACGTTGCGATCGGTGGGATGGCAGGCAGCCAGGAGCCGACACGCCTGGACGCGCCAAGCATGCGACCCCCAACGCCGGTTTGCCAGGCGTTTCAGCGGCATTACCTAAGCAGCCGTAGCTGCGCGCTGATTCGTCGATTTGGCGGGAAACTTTGGGCGTCGTCCCTCACTAGGCGATATTTGGACTAGCGTCTGCCCGATTCGGCTGCCCAAATTAGGTCCTTGGCTCCACTCCCGGTTCCGTCAAAGCGGGACCTGCCTAAATTACTACCTGCCTAGCGGTAACTTCGATACACACCCAGTACCGGTACCGCCCATTCCAAGCAAGCTAACTCTCCCATCCAGAATTTCGCGATCAGGGCTAAATCCTTCGAGCCAACATCCGTCCTCCATGCATCCAGCGTTTTCCATCTGCGCAGCTCATCTTATTCGAGAGCTCCCCCCCTCCCCCTCCGTCCATACGTGCTACATTTCCGGCTAACAGCATTCCCCTCCCCAACCATTGACGTGCACGCCTCCCAAAACACCCGCAGCTCAGCTAACTCTGGATCGGTGATGGCGGGAGGCTGCGGCTCTTGACCCCGGAACAATGTGAAACAAATACGGGAACGGAGATATTGAGGACACTCCAGGGTGCTCCCAAAGCATTTCCAGCTCTCCTCCTTCTTTGAAGTGGTCCTTTTGAAAAGTCAATTCCGATGAGCAGCCTACATCGAGGGTTAATATCAGCCTAAACTAGTGTTCAAGTCGAGTGGAGATGAAATCGAACATCTGGAGCCGCCGATCACCCACAAGGCTTCTTCGAATTTTTCTTGTCTTTTTTTTTTTTTTTTTTTTTTTTTTGTTTTCCTCCCTAAATCGAACGATGGGCACGATGTTCTGCTTTAGTTTCATACTTCGCGAGACAGTTTTCGAGGCTGGCGCCTCCTTTTTTTTTTTTCTTTTGTCTTTTTTATTTCTAGCGCGAGCAATTTCGCAGATGTACGGAGTAGTTTGTCCACGTCCAAGAGTCTTTTCTATCTTTGGAGTTACGGAATATCTTTGTCGATCGACAAAATCAGCAAGAGGCCCCTTGCGGCCAACTTTCGTTCAATGCTGGGTCTCAATATCACGGTGTTACATGCGATCTCGCCATCCGAGATGATTGTGTGGACAAGCTTCGAGCTTTGATCAGGGATACGCTGCATACTTTCAGGGATTTGGGACAAGGTTCGAAATGCACCCTGGACGCCACTTGTGATTTTGCTGCTTGACGGAATTGAGTGATCAGATGTTGCTATTTCCACAATCCCAGGTGACAGCCAGTATATGGTATACAAGAAGAAGGAATTCCTAGGGCGCCCATGCATTCCCAAATGATAAAATGCCACAAACATATCCATTTTACTAAAGAGATCCGTGCACCCTGGCAGGGTACCGGAGAGTGAGGTCATCCTTGAATTCTTCACATCGACTCATGCCATATTCCGAGGAAAGAAGATTAAAAGTTTTGCCGGTGTGGAATTCCCTGACAGGAGTCAATCAGCACTGTCATTTCAGGCTGCATGATGGAAGTAAAACATTCCAAAATTGAGCCTACTCTGTTGCCACGTATCGTATCTCCAACTCAGTCAAACTCTGCATTACTATCCAGCTAACGGCTCCTCCCCTAACGTTTGCAACGCTGCGTAACATGCACACTATCTCCGAGGCGAAACGCCAACTCAGAAGTTAAGCGAACAGATGATTTTGAAGGGATGGTAGTATGGAGCACGTTTCCGCCTTAGATTTTAAGTATACGGAGTACTCCGTATGTATGTATGTATGTCTGTATGGACTGCACCTCAGCCCGCGGCCTGTTTCGAATCTTGGTTCGGCCCGGTTCAGTCCCCCAATGGTATTTTTCGATTTCCCGCGCTCGAACGGGTGTCAGGGCCGCTGCATCGTGCATACATACATACATATGTATGCATGCATCGCTGTCACACGATGGAAGCTATTTCACGAACAGCGTCTGAAACAAACGCGTGGATACGCGGGGTAGACTTCACTACTGAAATTCTTGGCCGCGATAACAATCAGATATGAGGACGGAATCATCAAAATGGACTTCCTATCTCGAGAGCCCGATAGGGACAACCCTTCGCTGATACTCCGTAGAGGAGCTTGGGTATTGGAACCGATTCATCAAATTGCCATGACGGCAACTCGGCCACTTGCTCGTTGCGCCACGTAACGAGAGTGTTTAGCTCCGCATCATCGCGGTGCTAGCGAACGAGAGAAACGACAGACTTGCCTCGAGGGGCAAGGAGCGACCGATTGTCTCTACAATCGGTTCACAGAAATTCACTTCCACGCTAAGCCCTGTCCGCCACTTTGAAACAAGACCGCGCGTTCAGAAAGATCTGGAAACGTCCTCACGATGTCCAGTCGGAGCCCATGGCGACTGGCCGTTTCCCGTACAGCAGATCCCGACGGTCGATCATTTTACCACTATCTTGGAGGGAACTAATATCTATGAGATGACTTCGAAGCATGGGTGGAGTTGTCCACTCCGGTATCTCGGCATACAGGTTAGAGACCACATCCATCTTTGCCTGATATTAGAGTTATCACCTGGAAGAGTTTAAAGCTCTCCGTTGTGCAAAAGAGAACACGTTCATCTCGCATATGTTAAACTTCATACAGGATTCCTGGCATATGAAAAACCACTGTGCTGACCTGTTGATCGTCATTTTCATTTAAATCAAGCCACTAATTGTCTTCCACAGCCAGGTCTGGCCAATTTCTCAGGATGTCAGCCCTTGTTGATTCAACTGCCTAGGCGTCTGGAGGAGCTTTCCGTGGGAAAGCGAAAAAAGCAGAGGACATTCTCGGCTTACTTTAGCCACACAAATAACAGGACAATGAAGTGAGCAGTTCCCTCGGCAATGTCCAAGGCGATTTCGTGCCCTCAGCAGAATTCTGGGGCGTGACTTTCCTTTCCAGCTCATCCTGGTTAGTTCCTGGGCACAAAGCTAACCCAGGACATCACAACAACATTGCATTTCATTTTCGAAACAAAAATCTCAACTTTCTCTTCAATATCTATGCGTCTGAGCAATGAGGCCAAGAAAAGTTACCGCAGCACAGCATGCTATTGAGCTCATTTTCAGGGATAAATCATTCCTGAGTCTGATAAATCATCAAGAAACATGAACTGACGCGTAGACAAATCAGTCCCATACCAGAAAAGAATGGCAGGATATGCTTTGTCGATGTCACGTCGGTATCCTGGCTCCAGCAACCCCTCAAACTTTCGTTGGAAGTGATCATTCCCCGCGGCGAAGCTGAATTCCATCAATATCAAAAGCAGCAAAGTCCCAACGAAAGTGAAGGCACAATATCTCCACGTTGGGAGACCAAGACAGTTCCATAAGTTAAACAATCGACTATTTTCAAAGGACACAACTTCCATCCGTAGATAGCTGGGGGGAGAAGGGACAAAGGTTGCTGCGTCGTCCTGTTCAGCCCGGGTCGGCAAGAAAAGTCAGTGGGAAACGTCAGACTACCAAGGTCAGGCCATCCATGGAGCTTGGGATAATATCCCGGCGTAGATATTTTTCCCCAGGTGGCTTGCCTGGGGTATTGCTGTTCATCGAACCGACCGTTGTCTTTTCTGCAACCTTCAAGCAGCAAGCGAGCTGTACCTCCGAGGACTACGGAGTAGGGATATGTCGTTTTAAGCTAGTCCGCTGAGAGCCGGTCAGACCGTTTCTAATGCATGCCACATCCCTGTCATCCACAGCATGCGGAGATGACTTTGGCCAGGGAAGCATGCTCACAGGGAAATGAATCTGGCGTGGAAGCTGAACTGTGCGGGTTTGCCGTGGGCGGTGACACGATCATCACGTGGCCTGGCCTTCAACTGCGCAAAGCCCGTCTGGCAACATCCTCTGCTCAACTCACCGAAGGCCTGGCAATTCGCAAATTCCACCGACTGAATGCTAGATGCGCCGAGCTGCCAATGCGTTGTCAGACGAAATCATACATAGCCTGTTTAAGCAATAGTGTTTGTCGAGCGAGTCATGAAGCGAGTCGTGAAGCAAGTGAGGACCACTGTGTCCTGTTCACAATTCGCGGTGTTTATATATTTCGGGTCTTTTTCCCTTCTCATCTGATATCGATGTTTTACCCTTTGATGCGATGTCCGGAGAGTTGGGTATGCCGGGTTTGCCAGAGTTCTACACCTCGCTTCGCAGTGAACAACCGGGCCACAGCCGTCTCCGCATGGTGCATCATTGATGGCTTTGTGCGGAGTAGGATCAAGCAGTTTACTTACGGAGTACTCCGTAGCCTGCATCTTTTTTAACGTGGACCTTTTTCCTTTCTGCCCTCAACTCCTTAAACCGGCACTCGTGGTGCAAAAATATCATAGTGCGCCAAGTCCACCTCCCCAGCTCGCGCCGCCATGAGCCGAGGTTCATTTCCACTTTGCCAGAGTTGTCCATGACCACAACTCAGTGGACCGATCGAAGTTGATCTTCGTCGGTCGAGCCGGAGAGTGTGTACCAATTACCCCAGAGTGCGGGGAGAACATGATCTTAGTTTGGGAACATATGCTATAAATGCACCCAAGTAAAGAGCAATCCAAAAGATACCATAAATCGCTCCCATTCTCTATATTAACACAATATTAACCACGGGATTTGGTTGTTTTGTGAAAACGAGCCAACATAGTAACGGTGAACTTGACTTGATCGAAAATGGCAGACCAATTCAAACATCTCCGCAACATCGGGATGATGCGAAACCCGCTACCGGAAGACCCGGTTGATCGAGCAAACATGGAACATGTCCTTCAGCATGGCTATGTGGTGATTGAGAACTGCTTCTCAAAGGAAGAGGCTGAAGCTGCGAAGGCAGAAATTGATCGCTTGAGTGGTTCAGCGCCAATGATTGGGAGGAATTCATTCGAAGGATTCAACACGAATAGAATTTATTCGCTGTTGAATAAGTGAGCCGCACCCTCTTTGTTGACCCGTCACCGTCAAGAGTTCAGAGGATATTGTTTACTTCTATCCTGCTTCGGGCGTCTGACAATCGGCTACCAAACAGAACAAGAAAATTTGACAAATTCGCAATTCTTCCGCGAGTCCTAGCGTTAAACGATTTTTTCTTGGACCCGGGATATAATATCACCTCCTTTCACACTATCCAGATCAATCCAGGCGAAAAGAACCAGGACATGCATCATGGTATGCCACGATCTTTGCTGGGACGCTGCAATGAGTTTTCATTGTGCAATAATTATGTGATATTCTATCCATATCGGAGGTTTATCCCATAGCTGATTTTTTTTCTCCCCCAGACGATGCATTCTGTCATGTTCCACGCCCGCGTCTGCCATTGGGCGCTGCCATCATCATCGGTATTCCCCCCACGAAGCCTATTCGAAAGGCTCCTGGGCTGACTCATCCTGATAGCATTTGATGACTTTACCGCCGAAAATGGTGCGACGGGTGTGATCCCGGGCAGCCATACCTGGGGTGCTGACAGGCGCGGAAAATACGAAGAGACCGTTCCCATGGTTTGCCCTGCAGGGAGCGTTGTCTACTTCATTGGTACCACATGGCACTGCGGAGGTGCCAATAACTCCTCCAAACCAAGAAAAAGCGCAACAGTACAGTACTGTCAGCCATATGTGAGGGATCATATACATATACACGGAAGGTTGACATCAAAGCTCATATGACCTAATGGCATAGATTCGCCCAATTGAGAATCAAATCCTCGCCGTTGACCCTCGCAAACTGAAAGAAATTCCCCCACGGATTGTCGAGATGATGGGATATCGGATCCATCGACCGTTTATCGGCTACGGTACGTGAGAATCCTTGTGTTTTCTGAGAATTCAGGCATCCCGTCCAAATCCGGATATGAAATTTGTGGATTAATGTTCTCTTTTTTTTTTTTTTCTTTTCTTTTGGATAGCGGATGGTTTGAATCCCATCAAAGCTGTCCAAAGGATGGTAAAGTGGCTTCAAGAACCGGTCGATCACAGCCCTCCAACGTTTGCTTCCACCTCCCATGCCGATAGCCGGCTATGAGTATTTACTCTAGCGAGGTCGACTTCGACTCCAGGAGATATTGCGCCTACTCAAAGAATCGGATATGAATGAATATAACGATCAGTTGTCTTTTCAACTCTTATTTTTGTTAATGTTCAAGTAACGCAAGAAAGGTCGATTGATCTCGCTCACTTGCGCCCATCCAGCATTAGGTACAGGCCATATCTAAATGAAAGAACCGTTGCAAACAATCTCTAAAATATTAGACATTACACATTACACATTATACCCATCATCTGGTTAAAATAGAATTCACCACCTGATGGACCAGCGGAGCGCTCATAATGGTGGAAACCTCGACCAGCTAACCAGGGCTTCTGTCAATGCAGAACAAATTATTCGATATCTTCCAACTTTATGTTTGTCTCTTGCTCCTCTGTTCTTCGCTTCTTCTTGGCAATCCGCCACCTGTGTGTAGCAATGGATGCGTGTACAATATACGCCAAATACAGGAGGAGAAGGCAATATCCGAGAGCCTGACGTATCCAGAACAGCGTCTCCCAGGTAGCTGGGAATTGTCTTTCGGCTGCGAGATTAGCCAGCGGACTATAAAAGGAGGAGCCAAACCAGTTGCCGAAGGAGAGGATGGAGAGCACGAGCGCCGTGATCGGGTGGAGTCTGCCTGTTGAGAAAAGGAAAATGTGGATTGAGAGTTGGACGGTTTCAAAGCAGATGCCAAATAATAACGCAACGATTTGTCCCCTAGATTATTCAGGAAGAGAGCCTATAAATATGCTTCTCTCGGCGAGCACAAGGGGATGTGACTTACTGAGCAATAGTGCAGTCATCAGAGACTCTGTGCCACCAGATGGGAGCGTTCAAAGCACGGGCGCTTTTGTTGTCTAGCACCACGCTGTATATAGCAGAAGCGATAACGAAAATCCACAATAGAACCGAAAAGATGACTGCTGGGAAGAGGAAGAATTGACCCGCGCGACAGTTGGGCCACCAAGAGCGGCCCTGGGTTCTGGTCCCGAAGAGCTTGGGAAAAATCATCTTTGAACGCGAGATAGGAGAAGAAATGACACTCAAAGAGTGTCACTTCTTCGAGTGCGAGCGTCGATATGTGGTTTTATGCCACGACAGGAGACCAGGATGGCATCCATGGTGGCAGTGTTTGCCCCAAGAATACGAAGTTCAGCACCTCGTGCGAACGACGATCATAGCGTGCTTTGAAGTTAGTTTCTCAGTTCTCAGTGAATCCATTAAAAGCCTTTGTCGAAAATAATACCCTGCTGGGTTTGCATCTGCAAAGCAAAGGGAGATGGGATATTGGATGAAAGGCCCCTCTGAAGAACATTTATACCAGGTTATCACGATGATGTTTTTCCAAGCAAACCCAGAAGCCAAGAGGAAATAGGGCCTGGGTTGCTTACCCTGCTACAGGAAACGAGTGCCTCGCTGCGCAAAAAGCAGCAGGTAGAGGATCGGACGGAAGCCAATGCTTATTCGGCAAAAGAATGGGGCCGGGCGCTGATCCCGCTCTTTGGGATTAGAATCCTGGTGGCTGCTGCGGCTGACATGGAATGCCGAGGAGACCGAGCAGAGGTTGGCAACTCATAGGCCGCGACAAAAGATGTTGCAGTGCTCCGCACCTCTCCACCCGCCGGTGATGATGTGGATGCGCAACGCGTTCCTTTCGTGTTGGTGGTTCGGAAATATCACCACTTAACTATCCAACAAGCACGAGTCTCACAGATAGACTTTTGAAGGTTGCCGTAGGAGTATTCAGAAACTGGGCCACCTTGGGCCCTTCAATTGCACGGCTGCGACACCGAAGGACAAGTATGAAAAGTCAAGCCAGCAGTCCTGATCAAGATATCAGCGAACGGGCATGGGATGCCAGCCGGTTTGAAGCAGATGATGTCATTGCATGGAGATAACTTATGCAGCAGCCAAGCAATCATGAAGTTCTGCATGGAAAAGCTCATCCATGGAGATAAAAGAACATTGTCGTGGGATCCTCCCGGAGCAACGGGGCAAGAATCCATCACAGCCACCAGGGCTACAAGGTTTGGTATCTCTAGTGGTCATCTCTTGATGGCCACATAAATGCTAATGATAGGCATGGCTTGATGAAGTTAGAAGAAAGATATTATTGAATCTCGCCATTCCGCAACAATCATACTACATTATGAGACCATAAGAACTATTCCCATAATACCGCTTATCCCTTCATTTCGCCCTTGCTCCGATGGCTAACTCGACCAGTAATGCAAATCGAACCGAGACATGCCAAATCAAGCATAACAATACACGCAGGCGGCAAACAGCCGAGGCAATAACAGAACTCCGAAAATGGGGGGAAGGGCACAGCCAAACCCAGAAATAGACGTTAAATAGCCAAAGGCACCATACCATAATGTAGAAGCTGGGAAAATTCAGCTTAGCCCCATGTGGGCCTCGTCCCCTAGACCCCAGGATCTCTCTGCCCTTTCTGCTGCTCCTCCAGGCCTGGTGTCCCATTGATCAACCATATTCTCCGCTTCTTGGATTTCTTTCTCCCTCAGGCTCAGGGTCAGACTCTCCCGATCCGTATCTGTGGCGATACTAGCGGTCTTACTTGCTCGTCGACCACCAAAGCTACTTCTACCACCTCTTGTCCCAGGAGAACCTGCTTGAGGAGCACTGCGAGTGCTGGCCACGCTGGGGGCTTTGACGGTACATCTGCTGTTGTTCGTATTCTCATCTATGGATGTAGAAAGCGCGTTGTCGAAGTTATTTGGAAGGCTGGACGACGCAGCACCAACGGGGACAGGAGGAGATGACGAAGGCGGCTTGGAAATATCACTGGTGCTCCCGAACCAGCGGCGCTTACGCTGTTTGACACCATTTTTGTTCTCTATGCCAGGCTTGTTGTTTTCTTCGTCCTGCGCGCGACCAGTGGTCGTGCATGGCGATGAATCACGTACTCTTTCTGCTGGAGGTGATGGGGGTGGAGTAGCTTCCCTGCTCGGGGTTACCTCTACAAGCTCGGCATCACGACACCATCTTCGACGCCTAGTGTATCGATTCCAGCTATCCTGCCCACGACGGCCATCGTTCCACTGTCACAAGTATTAGCTTTAGTCCATCTTGGCAAATTGGGATCCGGATAAGGTATAGCGCGATGGAGAGCCGCGTCGCCTAAATGGCCGGATCTTACCTTATTGTCGTAGTATATCCAACCACCGTCATCAGTATCTCCACCCTTGCCAGTTTTGCCGGATCTTTTGCTGTTTGGGTCTACTCCATCAATTCGCCATTCACTACCAGATACCCAGCGCCACCTTGAATTCCCACCTTGAACTTCAGGAAGCTCAAATTCGTCTTTAGATGGGGCTGAGTTCAGGTGCTCGTCCGTCCAGGGGGCACGCTCGTAGGCAAACAGTGAAGTCGTCCATCCGATTCCAAGCCATCGTCTCTGATTCTCATATAGGATAAATGTGAAACGGACACCTGGTGATTCAGCCCGCCTTCTCGTAGTAGATACCTCAGGCACTTGCTGAGTCGACTTCGAACGGAAAGGGCGAAATGATAACAGCGATAGGATTGGCGAAATTTTGAAGTCGTTGGTTGTGTTATTGGATGGCTGCGATGAGAATGGAAGCCCCGTGATTATGGAGCATATTAGGCGCACTGTTAGTGACCGCCAGAGAATGACCCGGCAGATGCGCGCCGGTTTCGAATGCCACGTCAAGATGACGGTTCCAACGGAAATGATAATTCGGCGGGTAGTGATCAAATAGAACGGCGGAAGCGTAAGAAGGATCCAGACGGGCGTGACAAGTAATATCCGCGTTAGCAGAGCCGTCAGGGCGGGTCGAGTTGTAGCCGAGGTAGCGGTCCGCTGAGTCGAAAGGAAATCAGTGAATTCAATTAAAGGATCTAGTAAAATATTGCATCTCATGGTAAATTCCCTCAGGGATTCGACGATCTCATCCAGTGTCTTATGGTGTTGGGGCGTGGCTTCCGAGTCGCCCCTTCGGTGTCCGTGTTTCTCTCCGGTTAGTCCCGTCGACGAGAGAGGTGAATATCGTCGGGAATACAAGCCAAGTATCAGGCCAATCACCACAAGAATCGGTCCGGCCCATAGCAGAATAGCATCCCCGTACAGAGTGGTTGCCCAAAATGCAGCGACAAGAAGAAAGCTTTCCCATGGGTCTCCGCTCGTCCATGATAATAGCCCGACCAGCCGGTTCAAGGGAAGCAAGAACGGATGGGAGTAGGCCAAGGCACGGGTGACTGCGGGAGGGGTTGCAACAAGCAATGGCGACTTCCTGTGTACGATTATGGTAGAGCGTTGTTTGGAGGTTAATGAAGATCCGGAGATGTTCGTTGGCGAGAAAGCGGCAACGGTAGGCGGAATCGGGTCACCGGCGAGGGACGTCCCTGCGGGCCCGTCGTTTTGGGCGTAAGAGCTTGGGGACATGGAAGCTATCCACGGCGTTTCTACCAGTACATTAGAACAGCGACATCCAGAGAATATTGCTGTTGCGTGGAGGTTGAAGGGAGCTCTAGAGAGGGATATATGTTGCACAAGAGGAACTATAGCACCTACCAAGAGCTGCCATACAACCCAGATCTGATCGTTCACAAGCCCAGGTATGCTCATCCTGGGTACCTACTGGCACAGCACGTGGAGGGTAGAGGCAGGCAGACAAGAATGAAGCTTGGGCATCAAGTCACAAAGCAGGCGAGATCACCACTCCAGCGCTGTCCTTGTTTCGTCTGATCGTGCGCCCGGCGATGACAGCACTGCACATCACGTGTGCTGGACAGCTGTCCGCCGGCATGTGAAGCCAAGGCTGCTGATATAAGCTGGTATGTGCGCCCATGACTAAGCAAATGCGCCGCCCAAAATTTTAACGGAATAAAGTTTCCATTCCGAAATCTTTCGCCTTTGCCTCAAACATCGCGGTTGACAGCCGATAGCGAACGGTCGTACCAACCGTCCATTCAGTCCAATTCCCTTCAGCTCGGAGGATTGAGGGTAGCAGTCCGGTTGCTTTATATAACCTCTCTCATCTAGCCAATCCAAGATGGTATATATCCCTCTTTTTTCCCCCTGATTTGGATTGAGGTGTCGCAGCTAACCGGGCCATTTTTTCCTCTCAGGCGCACCGCATTCTGACGCAGATTGTCGTTACGGGAAGTCGGGTGCTTGGCCGCGCATTTGCAGAGGCATACAAGCAAGCATCGGCATCCTCGAAATATGCAGCTCATGCACAGAAGAATGGATCCTCGGTATCCAATACCTTTGCATCGTCCGGCTTGACTCTAGACGAAGCCTGCAAAATTTTGAACGTCAAGCCTCCCAAAGCCGGGGAGGCCAATCTGGAGCACACCATGGAGAGGTTTAAGAAGCTCTTTGACATGAACGACCCCAAAAAGGGAGGTAGCTTTTACCTGCAAAGCAAGATTCTCCGCGCTCGGGAACGCATTGAAATGGAAGTCAGGGAGGCGGAACGCAAAGCAAAGATGGACAAAGAAGTACGAGAAGGATGGAACCCGAAAGTTTACAAAGACAGATGACCGACATTGAAGCAGTCCTGAAAGTCAGAATGGAGTGGATCCAACCCCGGCCCGCACGTCGAAACATGCCAACCCTCTTCACTCTTCCGACTCTCAATCGCTGAGCCAGAGCGCCATCGACACCCCTGTTACATCATATTCCCATATTTGTCTCTTTGGAGCATAGCATCGGCGTTAAACGTTTTGAAGGCGGATAGGAAATATCAAAGACTTCCTTTATTCGAAAGACGACCCGTTTTTCCTTCTAGCCCCCGGTCTATCGAAGGAGATGCGAGATATTGCGAGGTGCTTTCACCGTGTTTGTGGCCCCGATTTCCGATGTGATAGTATAAAATTCTACCCGCCCAAACAAGCCCTCTTTCCTGCACCTTTATGCTTGTCATCGTTCGGATGGAGGCAATTCGCGCCGATCGACATGACCTAATATAATTTTTCTTTTATAGATGGACTGAACCCGTTTCTTGAGATTTTGTTGGACAGTCTTAGACGTTCAAGTTTGGAGCGATGCATTGTACATACATATGACATTTCTTATTTCCCTGTCGTCGGCTCCCTTCCCGCGGGTTAGTGTACTCTCCTCTCATCTTTTTAGCCTTTGGACCGGTTGCTTTAAAGACTCTTGAGGGTTTACTAAATGTATTTTTTACAACAAAAGACGCACATCCGATTGTACCAATAGAGTATTATTGATGATACCAAGCTGAAAGTTCTGAATACCCCTGATAACCATTTTTCCTTCCCTGCCTCTGTGACTTACGGCAAGCATCCAACTTCGCCATGCTGTTTTCGAAGAAAGTGGGAACCCTTGATCTTAAACGGTGAGTCTGTCGGCTCATGGACGCTTAGGTCCCAAGTTTACTCTCGCTGTCAGCGATCGCCGTGCTAACTAATAACTAGGGGTGCTCGCTCGCTTGTGGATTACGTTATCGAGTCGCGATTAGTAAGCCTACATTGTGACTTCGACGTCTTAATAAAAGCGAGCTCCCCAGAGGACATGCTCCTCTGACTGCTTCCGCCTTCGATGAAATATCGTCCTCCCTCTTCTATTCCACCAGGAGAGCCATATGGACAGGCGCAGAACCGCAAATCGTTATGCATCCTCTGCTGTGTCCTTGGGTGTTAAGTTATCTCACACCGGGCTTTCACAGATATCCCGTACGTAGGGGGGACACCTCCGTAATCGGCGTTGCTGTGAACAACTGATGGAGTCCAAAGGCCGACGAAAAATAAGATTGGCAGGACTACTCCGCCCCCAGACTCTGATCTCCAAGGAGGAGACTGCACCATCTTCAATCCTACCCTCAACCCATGGGGCCTATCTAGGTTGACCTTGGTGGCTGTGGCAAGTACAGAGTCGGAACTAAATTTGTCGATCAAATCCGCTCTTACGGAGATTGACATACTTGCAACCATGGGACTAATAGAGTTACATATAGGAATCCCACGGAGCACCAAGCAACGATATCGGGACCTGGCGAAGAATATGGATCGAGAATTCAGGGCAAATCTAAAATTCCATGTTTCCTGACGTCTGGTGAATGGCCAGCAGGAAGCAATAACCGACTGCTTCGATATCTGCTCAGAATTAATTACTATCTTGCTGGCCTCAAGTCATCCCCCGGTACTGGATGCCCTCGTCTGCACTTATCCAAAGCAGAGGCTTACTTTTTCTATATTTGCATTATATCCCCACCTAAAACTCACGGTAGTAATGGTACTACGCCTTTGGCTTCACCATGGTATGCTTCCAGCCCCAACGGTGTGTCGGCTAGCTCATGTCAAGCGCGAGATGCTATTTCAGCCAGACTTCCCCGGCTGTATCAAACTCTGATTCCCCTCATACTACTTTGGTTGTGTCTACTCTGATATTTAGTCAGAATTTTGCTTCGGGATGTTGCACACGTTACGTTCATTGCCCTTTAAGCTCAAAAAAGGGCCGTTGAATAATAATAGCATCTTCTCCCCTAGCCGCGCAGGAATTTTTTTTTTTCTTCCTCAGGAATGGGCTAAGATCATCGTTTATTCAATCGGCTCTTACTCCCTTCCATTCCTCGAGCATCCTCAAAGCGCAAGTCGGCCTTAAAAGTCGTTCCTACGTATCCCCTTTCCCCGGGTAACGAGGACCATGGCCCCAGGAGTAGTATATACGGTGGTTGGCAAACCAAGTCCCCGAGAGCTCGAAGACTTGTGTGATGAGATCGATGCGGTCAACGCCTATCAAGCTAAAGAGCGTGACATTTACCAGCTTCCTCAATTCGATCAGGACAAGGATAAATCCCAATTCAGACGATACAATGAAGCCCGTGACCGAGTTAAGGAGTTCTACCTCGAGCAGCATACGAAGCAAACCGTCGCGTTCAACCTCAAAGCCAGGAATGAGTTTCGGTCAAAGGTTCGAGCCAGACTCACTGTCTGGGAAGCGATAGAGAAGCTCAACAGCCTCATTGACGACTCGGACCCAGACACAGAGCTCTCCCAGATCCAGCACTTGCTCCAGTCTGCGGAAGCAATTCGACGTGATGGGAAACCACGATGGATGCAGCTCATAGGCCTTATCCATGATCTCGGAAAGCTACTTTACTTCTTCGGCGCTGAAGGCCAATGGGATGTGGTTGGAGATACGTTTCCGGTGGGATGTGCCTTTGATGATCGGATCATCTATGGATCTGAGTCGTTCGAGAAGAATGAGGACTATGGACATGAGATATACGGCACCAAATTCGGCATATACTACCCGGGTATTGGGCTGGACAATGTGATGCTTTCGTGGGGTCATGACGAGTATCTTTATCATGTGGTGAAGGATCAATCCACCCTTCCACCCGAGGCGCTGGCGATGATCCGCTATCATTCCTTTTATCCGTGGCACGCGGCTGGTGCATACACGGAGTTGATGAACGAACATGACAAGGATATGCTAGCAGCTGTTCGAGCGTTCAACCCTTATGATTTGTACAGCAAGAGCGACGATATCCTAAATGTCGAAGAACTCAAGGTTAGCAATTCCTCCTCTTGCCGGCTACCCAGGAAGTGGCACCTTGCTGACTTAGAATCTAGCCTTATTACCTCGAGCTTATCGATGAATACTTCCCTCAGAAAGTTCTCGATTGGTAACACGCAACACTGGGGGTGTGTATATCCTTATTACTTGAGCTCTCCAGTTTCTAGATGATTGATTCGAAGTCTGCGGCAGTTATTCTCTTTTGTTCCAACTTTAATGCCCCTTTTTAGGCGGGCCGCACTCCGTTTTCAATATTTTGCTCTGTTGGTCAGTTTTATCGTGTTTTGTACGCTTTCGTTAGAAGCTATGATTTTCCAATGTCACACGATCCTCAGAGAATTATCATTTCTGTGTTACCGATAATTAACTAATAGGCCAGCTGCCACTTCTGCATTGTGTACGAATATTGTGGTGTACAGACACGAAGAATATGCAGGCCTTGGGGAGCACAGCCGAATCGTGGCATTCGTCGGTTTTCAGATACTGTGTCACATATCCTGCGACCGGTCTTAACACGGCGACGGGCGTATTGGTGCCCATTCTCTAGAGAACGGCGGAAGCGCAGCCCTTTTGGCTGAGTCAGTTGACCACTAGTCACTTTTCCGCCCATCTCGCAGAGAAAGTTCGCATTGCTCGGCATGAACAGTCTCCCAGCGGCCATAAGCCAGGTCCCCCTTCAAAAAACCCCACGAGCTGCCAAAAGGGGGTCTACGAGCACGAGGCTTCCCGTAAGTGCATCGGATCAATTTCAGCCCGGGCTACCTTAGTGAGGGGTACCTACATCCACCGTACATAACTTCATACTTGGGACCCTTGTGGCCCAAAAGCGTTGAGCAACTGGATGACCCAAAGTTTAATGTGAATACATCCCCCCTTTGGCTGCACATAAGCTTTTTTGAGTCTCAAACCTACCGAATCCAGGGAAGATCAGATGTGTATTTATGGATGAGGCGAGTACATCCCGTCGAAAGCCTATTGCTGACTGTCGTGGAAGATGTACTTCCGTACATAACTACGAAGCAAGCGGCCGGATTGTCAAGACATGCCGTGAAACTTGGGTGGGGGTGAAAGGGGTGAGACGGGAATGTCACAGCTCGGCTTGGGCATTGAAGACAAAGAAAGTCGATTCGAGGTCCGCCGACGGAGGACGGAAAAGTATCTAGCGGTTATAACCGTTGGGACCGGGAAGCTTTTTTTTTTCTCGCTCCCTTTCTTTCCTCTTTCTCCTTTTTCCTAAGATAACTTCTTTTTTTTCCTCCGTTCATTGAAAAGTGCTTGTGCACAGTTGATCATGGCTACAGAAGTGACTGGTACCCGATTCACACTAAACACAGGGGTAGAGATCCCGGCCCTTGGATTAGGTTGGAATACCCTTATCATAATGTCTCATCAGCACAGTCTGTGGAAGAATGGTTATTAGAGGCTGACGGAGAGACGTACAGGAACATGGCAATCTGCCCCGGGACAGGTCCAAGCTGCAGTCTACCATGCGTTGAAGGTCGGATATAGACACATAGATGCCGCACTATGCTACCAGAATGAGAAGGAAGTTGGAAGGGGAATTGCACAGGCTGTCAGGGAAGGGATAGTCAGGCGAGAAGACATTTTTGTGACGACGAAGCTATGGAATACGTATCACAGACGGGTAGAGGAAGGGCTAGAGACAAGCTTAAAAGACCTTGGGTTGGAGTACGTGGATTTGTATCTTATGCATTGGCCAGCACCGATGAATCCGAATGGTAAGTGTGCAAAGCTCCCGGTTCGCTCGAGCATCGACGAGAGTCCACGACAAGTAAAACTAACTCGATTTGCTGCAGGAAACCACCCGCTTTTTCCCAAGCTCCCCGATGGATCCCGGGATATTGACTGGTCACGGTCCCATATCGATAGCTACAAGGACATGGAGAAGCTCCTCGCGTCCGGCAAAGTGAAGGCGATTGGCGTTTCGAATTACAGCCTCAAGTACCTTCAACAGCTCCTTGAGCACGTTTCGGTTGTGCCTGCAGTGAATCAGATCGAGAACCACCCACTTCTGCCGCAGCAAGAGATTGTTGATTTCTGCAGAGAGAAAGGAATCATGGTCACGGCATATAGCCCTCTGGGGAGCACAGGCGGACCGCTGATGACGAGCGACGCGGTGGTTGAAGTTGCGAGGAGAAAAGGCGTTTCGCCGTCGACGATTTTGTTGAGCTGGCATGGTATGTGTTGCATCCCCCGCATCTCCTTTCTCGTCTTGTCCGGTGTCTAACTCGGGTCGTCAATTTTATTTTACACAGTTGCACGTGGTTCCTGCGTCCTCTCAAAGTCCGTCACACCATCGCGCATCGAAGCCAACCTCCATCTCCTTAAACTGGACGAGGATGATATGAAAATAATTGCAAAATTTACGGCGGAATCGGTATCTCGAAACGGGTTTACAAGGTTTGTCTATCCGCCGTTCGGAATAGACTTTGGCTTCCCCGACAAGACGTTGAAGGATTGAACCTTGTGTGTGTGTGTGTGTGTGTTTGCTAGGTCAAGGGCATCATGTAACTAGATAGCTACCCATCTGGCGCAATCAGGTCTAGCGAGTCACTGTATGTCGTGAGCAGCTGGTATTTTTCCCTTTTTTTTTTTTTTTTTTTTTTGGGATAGAAATGGAAGATTCATCATCCCGCCTATTAATAGCAACCCTGCCTTGACTGTGCGGGATGACATCAGCCTCGGGGCCGGAAAATGACGCCATTCCGCACGCCGGTTGGGGTTGCTTCATGCGGTGGAATTTTTCGCCGCTTTTTCGTTGTTTTCTGCTCGCAACGGCTATCCATGGCTGTCATATATTGAGTCCGCATTTACTCCGATTCTCGCCAACGGCCATTCTTGCCGGTGTATCTTGGGGATATCTGTTACGGTTGTATCTTGGCTATTCCATTAGTGGCTCGTGTGACTTTCGCCCCGCCTTTTTATCTTATCATATCAGATCATCCCATCCTCGCACATGGCTACGCCAACCATGATTACGATGTGAACCAGCCCAGGCCAAAGAACAGCCAACGCAGCCAGACAACTCTCTTCTGAATTATTCATTGGGGGAAGGGAAAAAGAAAAGAAAAGTAAAGTAAAAAGAGGGATTCTTCTTCGAGCAACCGCTGTTTCCGACATTTAACACCCGCCCACCCTAATTTCCTCCCCCCTCTCCCGCCCAAAACTTCAATCTCTTCGTTCCTCCACAAAAACCTTCGCAGCCCTATCAGGCCCGGCCCGCAGCCAAAATACCCGAGGATTAGGTTTCGACCCTTCAAGGTTCCAACCCTTTTCTCGCCCTTGTTTAGTGTGGGCATATACATATATATATGTATATTTCCATTCATGATACGGGATACACCCTCGAACTTTAAAAGAAAAGGAACGAGGGGGGTTGAGAAGATCGACAGTGGAATCGGTACTCCTACGATCGTGGGACGAGTGAAGTGAGTGAGCGTGTTGGCGGATGGGAGGCTGTTGAAACTTGTCTTCTTTTTGGCTTGAATTTCTTTTTTCCTTCTTTCCCCTTCTCCTTCTCCTTCTCTTTTTTTTTTTTTTTTTTTTTTTTCTTCCTAGAGTCTTCCTCTCTTTTTCTTCAATGCTCTTCCTCTTGCGCTCGCAAGGTACCCTGTAAAACGCCTCTTCTTTCTTTTCTTTTTCCCTTTTCTCTTCTGTTTGAACCCATGGTCGCTTTTCATCTGTGTTCGTGTGTACATATTTCTGAAGTTAAAAGAAACCATAGGTAGGTCAATCTAGTTGCAACCCGTCTCCGATCAGGGTTTGGCGAGTTGCGTCTGTGCACGCCCGCCCGCTAGCAACCGCGGGAAAGTTTGGCTTGAAAGTGTGAAAGGCGAGATGGCGGACGGTGAAGCAGGCAGTAGAAAATTATTGAATGCGGAGGAGTTCCAACAAGGTTCGTAACTGTCCCTTTTTATATCTTAAAAAGAATGTGAGCCGGGTTGATGCGTCATACTTCCTCCCCCCCGGGCGTAGAAAACCCCCCACCCCGGAGAGGCTTAGTTCTTTGACAATGAGGGAAAGAAACAAACGGATTGCTCATCATGTCCATAGGCCTTGCAAAACTTGATACGGAGATGGGAAAAGATCCCATTCTCTCGGCTTTTGCTCCCATCAAAATTATCACAGCCGGTGGCTTCGTTGCGGTGTCTTACCTGAAAAGCCGCAAGAGCACCGATGACATCGACTATCTGCTTGATCCTGAATGGGCCCAGGACGAGGATATAAAGCGACCACTGCGCGGCGCCATGGAGAAAGTCGCGCACCTACTCCACCTCAACAAGAATTGGATCAATGAAGACATGGCCCTTTTCGTCACGCGAAACTCAAGAGAGTATCTCTTCCGCAAAGCTGAAGAGCAGAATATTATTCTCTGGGAAGGCACAAATCTATGCGTCATGGCCGCCCCGATGGAGTGGGCTCTCGAGAGGAAATTGAGGAGAATTCATCATGCCGACCGTGGCCGGAAGACCAGTCATGATATGCAGGACGCCATTGCCATGCTGAAGCATTTGAGGGATAAAAATGGTGGGCCGTTGGACCGGACTTACATTGCTGGAATGAATGTGAATACGTTTGATGTGCTTCCGGATGCCACAACAATGGATCGGGTGGAAGCTGAATACCAACGAACTTTTAACGAGAAAATATTTCGATGATGCATTCTTTGTCGGGCATATTAAGGGGGAAAAAGTATTAATTTTAAAAAAAAAAAAAAAAAAAAAAAAGGAGCATCCCTGTGGAGACGAGCATTGACGGCCTTTTCTATTGTCTGAAAGATGAGTTGAACTCGACATTTTGCATTCAAAGCGATTTGCTGTGTGGGACGATTCGATACCATTGCTGGCCGGACTTGAGCCTTGGTTGTCTAGAATTTATTAATGAAACTTTATGTTTTGAACCTTCTTCCCAGGTTATTGTTGAGAAACAATTGCTTGAACAAGATAAGTGACATAAATACAGCAATAAATTCTTCTCTTTGCCTTGAGAGCTTTGGTTCTTTTTTTTGGGGGTTGAGAAAAAAAAAACGGTGATGGCGGAAACTTCTGGCCAGAAGAGTATCCATGGCGTAGAAGGGGCCACTGCTCTCCCTTGCCGTTGCACCATGTCCTCCAAGGTCCTTTGATATAAGCCTCCCCCTGGGGCATCTTGCAAAGGAGCTTGTTGATTGCATGATAGGATGAGGTCTTCCGCAAATTTTGCGTCATCATTGCACTTGAATTCCTTCATTGCCCTGTTAGCGTGGCTTGTCTGCTACCCACGCACGATGTTTCCGTTCTATCGAGGTATCTCATCGATCACCTTATAGTTTCTTGATCAACCATAGATAAAAGTCCTTGCATCCATCAGCAGTCTCTAGCATCGAAATGAGAGCATCCACACTACCAAATAGTTCCTTAAAGCCTATGGTATCGACGGTGGCGACCCAATCCGACGGTGGGAGCGCGCACACTCCGCATTCGACATAGCAAATTGAATGCGTCGCATAAGCATATTTCTTCAGTTCACTGCAGCTTTCGTTCTTTTGGCCTGTGGCGTAGGGTACGAGCTTTTTCTGGAGACAGTACATTGTGTCAGTGAGCCAAACCTGGCCCCTGTCGGAGAATTTGCCGCGGACCGTGGCGAATTTTTGGCAGTAGTGCTGGCCGTAGGCGACGGGATAACCCGTGGGGCCGCACCTGACCCTCTCTTCGAGGCAGGTTTCGTAGAAAGTGCAGGTGTTCCTGACGGGTTCTGAGCAGGAGTCATGACGCTCGCGGCGGCTGTATTCCGCCTGGCTCCAACACTCCGACGAGTCAACGCATCCATTTCTCCTGTGTCGGGGATCCACCCCAGTGATGTTAAGTGTTATGGCAGTGGAACGTTGTCCGTAGACTTCAAATCCATTTCCGTCGCACCCTCGGTCGGGGTGCTTGTAACGTCTGATACTTCCGCCTAGCTTGATGGTGAGTCCCCTGAACCATAACAGTCTTTGGTAGTGCTATCATACCTTTGGCAGGGGTTGTGGCTTTTCCTTTGATGCCGTCCCAACCGGTCATTTCCCGGCAAGTATCACCATCCTATACTCTATTAAAGATATGATAAAGAAATTTAAATTTAGTCTTATAATACCTCCGGCATTTGACAAACATCGCCCGTCGACGAAACAGCTAATGTCTGAACTAATGTGACAAAGGCAAACACGACAAGAGTGACTAGCGGCATGGTGTCTTGGTATCCGTCACTGGGGTCGAAGGGGAGATAAACAAAGAGAGAGCCGGTTTCAAAGGTTTTATTCCTTTCCTCCCAGAAGTGCGCTACGCTCCAGGATGGTAGGGATATGCCAAAAGAAATTTCGCGTGTCGGTCGTGGGAACAAAGAAAACTCGTGTAGTGGACTTTTTGGCTTTGCTTCTGGGATGCATCGACACTACCTTTCGGAGCGCTGATTGTATTTGTCAACGACGAAACCGGAGCGGTGTCACGATAAAAAAAGAAAGCCGAACCGACGGAGGAAGAACAAACGCGATATCCCGGACTGAAGGATCGTCAATGCGTTTCAAAACACAGGGTCCTTGATTCGGACTCCCTATTCGGCACCAAGGAGACGGTAGCAAGAGTAGTTCATCTCCCAGCCCGTTGGTGTGAGTATTCTCTTCTAAGGACTAGGCTTTGGAGGAGAGAGTAAGTCATACGGCACGCGATGGGTTTTAGAATTTACAGATCACCGTACGACGACTCTTCCCTGTCCGCCGCCCTACCTTGTAGCACCAAATGGTCAGCACCACTGCGTAGCTGACGGGTTTGCGGGGGGAGGGGGGCGGAAAAGAAAAGGCTCTTTCGAGCTGAAAAGGTACTCCTCTCATTTCCTTCAGTCCCGGGCCTCGCATGCAGGTAGTTTGACTATCGATCTGAAACCGGTTGGCTGCTGATGCGCGGTGTGGCGCTTTGGCGTAACTAATGCAAGGTTGGCGCCCGAAAACGGTCTCGTACATGAACACCGACGGGGGCCTCATCGACACATTTGGGCCCAGAAATATGTCGGACACGGCGGCGGTGCTGAAGCAATCGAGCAAGCGGCTCTCATTTGCAGATGTGTGTATGTACAGCGTGTTGGAGAGCTTGTGGTCTGATGGAGTTCGCCCAGTTTATTGCCCCGCATCACCTCGAGGCGGCGTGACGACATGGCTGCTCGTTCAAAGAAATATTGAAGACGAACTAAAAAGGTAGACACATAGAGTCAAGGTACAGGCACACACGAGATATATGCAGGAGTGCTTCAGAAAAAAAAAAAAAAGAGAGAAAAGAAAACCAAAGGAAAAAGGAAAAAGGAAAAGGAAAAGTCTATGTAGGAGAAAACATGCATCCAGCAACCAAGCAGACGAAAAGGACCATCGGGTATCAAATGGCTGCACAAATCACACCCAACTCCCAGACAAATTCGCCAGAAACACATGTAAAGATGAGAGCATTTCATATCGTATAGAGCCATCCCACATTCGTCACGATATTCCTTTTCGCAAACGTCTCGTTCACCCCTCCCTCCTCCAGCACCAGCCTCCCCGCCGCATCCACCACGTCGGCGGGCAAATCCACCGTCCACTGCGCATCGACTGGCGGCACGTTCTTCGTCCACGGGGCCACCGTCTCCGGATCATACGGCGGATACGGATCCTCGTCCCTCTCGCGATACAAGTGCCTCCCGTCGCGCCTCATCCCCAGACTCAGTCGCCAGTTGAAGGCGTGCACCAGTTCCTCGGCCAGGCACGCCAGTATCGCATACCGGATCGGGTCGGTGTCCTGCGGGTCCGGGATGAGGTTGAGCGACCAGCGCGACTGGTACCAGAAGTACTCCGTCTCGGTGCCCATGGGGATGTAATCGCCCGACGCCATGCACTCGTAGAGCCGGTAGAGGGAGCGGAGCGGGGTGTCGCGCGCGCTCCAGAGAGGGATGCTCCAGAGGTTGTGGATGTCGCCGCGTCGGGCGCGCAGGAGGTCTGGTTTACCCCATAGTTCGCGAATAGAGAGGGCGGGAGGGAGGGGGAAGTACCATGTCGGGAGGGGGATGAACAGGCGCAGGAGGGCGAGGTAGGGATGTTTGTGGTGGGCGCGCAGCCGGTCAATGCTGGCCCGGAGCTTGAGCGGGCTGCTGAAGAGGTAGAAGAAGCGACGGATGCGGGTCCAGAGGGAGAGCTTTGGCCGCGGCCGTGCCATATGAGGGCTGGGTGGTTTGGTGATGACCCGGACTCTGCAGGATGAGATGTTTTCTTTTTTCTACTTTTTTGTTTTTTTTTTTTTTTTTTTTTTTTCCCTCTCTCGCTCTCTCTCTTGCTGTTTTTCTTGTTCCCTTTCTCTCCCTTTTTTTTCCCAGTTAGTGATTTGATTAGCTGCTGATTTTCAGGTGAGCATTGTCGGAAATGTATGCTAATTAATTACCTCAGAAGAGAATTCCCTGGAGAAACCCAAATGGGCTGTTTGGGCCGGGGGAGTGGGCAGCAATTGGTGTTTTGTATGTTCCTGTGCTCTCCTGTCAACTTTTTGTTTTTTTTTTTTTTTTTTTTCCCTTCTTCCCTGAGCGAGATAAACTGCTGCAAGATGATGGCATCAACCCAGCCAGCACAACTAGCGGTCAACAAGGGGGACAAACCTTAAGCTGCAGCACTGCTCGCTAACTAAATAATAGTTGGCTCCGCAGCCTCAACGTGCGCACTGGCTGGGGGAGAGGGCAAATGAAAAAAAAAAAAAAAAAAAAAAGCGAAAAATAAATACAAAGCCATGGCCCGCCTCACGGAGCGGCCGGAATCAAAGAGTTAAATAAGATGTAACTCCCTCCCCTTCTGCCGGCCAAACACATGGACAGGGCCATCATGACACTGCAACTTTGACTGCCGATGCTGTTACATGGCCCGTCATTCTGAATTGCCGATCCTGGCTCTTCCCAAGCCCTGAGTTTAAAAATGTACGGAGTACCCGTTGTCTAATGCACAGGAATCTGCTATGGAGCACCGAAATAGATCACAATAATACTCCCATAGTTAAGATAACTATAAAATTTTTGGCTGTAGAACGCACAATCTTCAAACAAACCGCCCGTCAGGCGTTCCCCCCTGAATATTCGCCGGCGCAATTCAAAACGATTCTGCAGGATTTACCGTAAAAAGATATAGTTGGTTTTGAAAGGCTTGGGGCAAAGCAGCAACCGCCCACCTGCTTGCTCGAGCTGCCCGCCCCGTCAAATCAAACCTGAATTTCTTCTTGTCCGTGATCATCGCCTCCATGGAGCGCCGAAGCAATCCGCACCGACTGATCACTTGCCTCCCGAGTCCCGTCCAGACAAGCAGCGGTGAAACTCCTTTGCTTTGGCCACAGCAGAGGCCTGTTCGAACCGGTCGTCGTAAATATGTAACAACTCATGCTAAGGAATCTTGCACCCGACGCCATTGCCGTCATCGACCCTTGACAGGCTTCATCTGTGGCTGGATGTTCGCCGTTAACTAGCTTTCCCTTCGTCCCAAGCAATCCCCGTGGAGCCCTCCTGCCCAACCACCGCCATCCGCCGGGCATGAAAACACGCAACCCACCCGCAGCAGAACTCTTGCGATCTCAATGGCGTCATCACGATTCGTTGGTCCTGCAGAGCTTCCGGCCGAATTGCGGTCACACCGGCAGAGCCCGGATTGATTTTCAACATGATGTCCTTGCCAGAGAACCACCTGTGTGTGTGTCAAATGCCATGAATCAAAGTATTCCTAAATCGACAACAACAAGCATCACACCCCCCACACCCCAATAAGAGATCATCAAGCGTGCCACAAAGAAGCCGCCGTGATCGTGCTTGTCACACGCCTGGCTCCGGAGAACACTCGGGGCGGCCAATCAGGCCATCCACCATCGTGTTCCATGCATCTCGGTAAAACGCAATCGAATCGTCGAGAGAACCCTCGGAGCTGTTTAAGATTAGGCTTTGTCTTGGCCGCATCCACTAGTTAACGATGGCTTCAGACTGCGGTTGCGACAGGTGCCGATTAGGTGCCCCGGCTCGTTGAAGATGGGTTGGACAATAAGTAAAAGGGGGGGTTGAGGGGGAGAAAAAAAAAAAAAAAGGAATGAAAAGGATTAGTGCATCATATGAACAGACAAGTCACTGCTCACCGCCTCACCTGCAGTTGACTATGACTTTCTCACGCTGGTGTTTGTTGACACTGATGGCTTTGAGCGACTTGTCAGCAGAAGCGGTTGTGACTCGAGACAACAATCACCGCATCCAAGCCTTCATACAGAACTATGCATCACACTGATTTCCCGCCATATTTGGAGCGCTGTGTACAACAAGCCCATATAGCTCCAGGCCCTAGTTCTCCCACGCTTCCTCGTCTCTATCGACTAGTTATGGGCTGGACACTGCAACCGGGAATCCGCGGAGAGCTCGATGCGCAATGTCTCATGCATGCTGCCCACGCATGTGACACACAGGCCGGTGCAGCCGAAGATGAGGATTGCGAGTGACGGGCACGAGACGAACTCCAGGAATGCAAAGTGGTCGAGCAGGATATTGAGTATAAGTTAACTTCTCTTCACACTTTAAAAAAAAAAAAAGAAATATGCGAATTGGTTGATGAAGACATACGGTGTTCAGTGGCCTGCCATATTTGCGGCCCTCCCTTGAAAAGAGGGGAAGCCAAATTTTAGAATACCCCGGCTTTGGCTAGGAGTCATTGGAAACTTACCTTCGACACCAAAAGGAGGCACCGGGTTAGATGAAAGCAAATGACAGCTGTATTTACTTACACAAAGAAAGAAAACATCTGGTTTGACTGTTAGTCTACATATAACAAGCCATCGACGTGAAGGCTACATGACTTGTCTTGACAAGCTTGGACACCCTAAGTATTATCCTCCCTTCAATTCTTCAGATTGCCTTTCTAGGCCCTATCTCGCTTGATGCTAGTGCAGTTAACCGACAAGCTAACGAAGAGATATCAAGTTTGCGGTGCGTGATGGCGCCATGGATGTCCATCGCATTCCCATACCCCCAACAGTGACACCATGTATTTGGCTTTGTGAACACCAGTGTCTCAATCAAATAGTTGACTTTTGGGCAGCAGATAAGAGTAAAACCAGCTAATGACAGCCCTTCTTAATCAGTGATGGCTCTCCCTTGTCAACACGGGCTCGCTGCTGCCATGGAACAGTCCGTCGGCAATTGGAAACCCTGTCCCTTGGCTCTGCTTGTCCAAGAGCAACTCGCTGTTCAATAACCGAGCGTGCATCAATGTGTACTCACTCTTATTTGCTACTGATCCCCCCATATTCCCATGCATTTCTGCATCTGGTGTCCAGCAGCATAATGCCTGTGAGCCATTTTATCTTATTTTATTTTATTTTATTTTTTTTCTTTGGTCGTATTCCGTTCCTCCGACCCTGGCTGGCTTTTCTTACTTGTAAGAGCCCGAGGACAAGCGAACCATGATTCTTCTTTGATGAGTTGGATTCTTTTTATGCAACCTGTTGTCTTCTTACTATCAAAATCTCAAAATTCTGTTCTACTTGTTAACCAGAATCGATTTATCTGGGCCAGCGAATAGAGCTTAAAGCCATCCTACTCCCTTTACGGCTGCCATCTGCTTGTATAGATATGGTGAAGCATTTTCTTGGATCTAATATATTGCAAGATTAACCAAATTTCATACGAAAAGCCAAAATCTTTGGTATCTGAGTCCACTGCCGGAGCGAAGCGGTTTCCAGATCCTTCCCTTTCAGATACTCAGCGTCAAAATTTGGCTCCTCCAGTGCATCGAGGACCATACCCGCACGAAAGAAGGTCGAAAATAGCTGGTGAAAGGGGCGGTGGAAGTACGGCTTCAGGGAACCATGATCTCACCTCAGCCATCAAATGTTGATGAAACCATGGTCAAAACAATTCAACAAAGGTTCAAGCTCGTACCTGTGAAACAGGTTGATCCTGCATCGCGACACCCTTGTAGGGTGGAACATGAAGATATTTGGACAGCTTGATGTACTGCGTCGCCACCTCCTGTCCAGTTTCTGTGTCTTCGGCGTATTCCACGCTTCTGATCGCGCCAGCTGTAAAAAAAGGATGCAAAAGGGTGGCCACGAAGCTATCAGAACGTACATCAATGCTCTCCTCTTGGAAAAAAACAATTGCTTGAGGTTGTGTGCCATCTTTCTTGTTCTTTTTTTTTTTTTTTTCCCTTCCCCTGGCCTAAAATGCCAAAGACTCGCTGAAATGGAGAGCACTTACATCCCTCCGTTTCTCTTCAGGATTCTAGGCAAAGCTGCTGCTAGCGGCTCCAAATCAGCCACGTCCATAAACGCCATGTTCATGGTGATAGTATCGAAAGCGCCTCCCTGCTTCATTTGTCAGATAGACAAAATCGGGTTATCACGGTAACATTATTCGAAAAAAAAAAAAAAAAAAAGGAAGACGCAGCGAAAAGATAATCTATACCCTTTCAACTTCCTCGCGAATGAATGCCTCCCATTGCTTGCTGTCTGTTACATCTAGCACCTGGTACTTCACGTTTGCGGCGCCCTCACCCCTCTTCTCAGCCAATCTAACCATCTCGTCGCATCCATCAGTCGCCACAACACTCGCTCCCTTTCGTGCCAGCCAGTGAGCAACCAGACCATTTCCCGTCGCGAGATCGAGAACGCGGAGTTCGTTCCCGAACTTTTCTTCGCCTGGAGGGACTCGGATCATGCGTTCGAGGGCGGGTACTTCAAGCACAGTGAAGTAGTCATTTCCACTGCAGCCCATGCTGGTGTCCCAGAATGGAGCGTTTGTACGCCAGGCAGACAGACTGGCTTCATTCATCGTTGTGGGACTTCTCAGGTGCTTTCTGAACAATGTGCACGATGAAATTGTTCTCGGGTGGAGTAAGAAAACAGGGGGGAGGGGGGACGATGAACAAACTAATGAGCCAAGATGGCTGCCTGATGAACCCATGCCAGTCCCAATGGCCGTCAACTCTGAACATGGAGCTCTGCATAATTCCATCTGCTGTACGGAGTACTCCGTAGAAAACAAAAAAGTCTATAGACCGAGAATATTCACAGTATGTATTTGCGATTTCGTCATAACAATCCAAGAGAACAAGTAAGCAACGCCTAAAGAATTCCCAAGTGAAACAATGCTTCGACATCGACAATCATTAATTAAATAGTACATTCGGGAAGCAACAAAAAAGACTCAGGCTTTTTCTTACTCCACAGCTGGCTTCTTTCCCTTCTTCTTCGCCCGAAGCTCTGCTAGATCCGTATATCCGTCCCCGCGAATCCACGCCAGAGCTTTTCTGAATCCTGGTCCCGCAATCGCGTTTGGATGACTCTCCAAAACAGCGCCTATCACTGCCCACGAAACGGCCAAGACCCACAGCTCTCCGCCCTTCCATCCACGCCATAGCCCTCGCTTGACTCCGGCCTTCCACGCCGAGGCTATAGCAAGACGGAAGAAATAGAAAAAATGTGACCGATAGCCTGCGGCACCAAAGAACATGAATGGCGCCCCGGCGAGCGCGCCGCTAAGGTAGAATCGCTGAGTTCGGAGGACAGAGCGCGGCAGAACGCCGTTGAAGAAGCAGATGCTACCCCAGGCGGATCCGATGGCGGCTGATAGAACTGCCGTCCAGGACAGGATCTTGCGAGATAAAGCGTTGATGCTAGCGATTGGGTGGACTATAAAGGATTTAAGCTTCAGGAGAGATAAGGCTAGGGCAACCTTGCTGACGGAACGCGCAAGGAGGGGGATGGAGAGGAGATTTTGCTGGAGAAACGCAGTGAGGCATGACGGGGTTTTCGGGTGGAGGAGAGCGCACGATAATGATGACATCGCTGGATGTGCTGGAGATGTAATGAGCGATATTCCCTGGAGAGACGTAGGTAGCGTGTTGGGATTGTTAGGATGGAGAATAGGCGATATGAATGCGCTGTTATTTCTTTCTATAAGCTAGTGAAAGCAAATTTTTGGACAGGCTGACGACTTACGGCCACTTCAATTCCGAAATTTTTGCCAACGCGTCAACAGTCTCATATTTGTCTGGCCAGCGTAATTCCGTGGGAAAGCCCTCTGGACGGTCCTGTATATATCCCGGTGAAAATCTCAGGATAAAATCACCGAACCACTGTAACCGCATAAGGTAAGAAATGAACACATGTGGGCTTCTCGAGAGTTTTGGTTCCGCCTACCTTTGGTATTGTTTCTCTGTCGAAAATGAATGCATGGAACAACTGTGCGCAAGAGAGCGGCATGAGTAGCCAGCTTCCAACCCACCATGGCTTATTCCGGAACCACCCTTTTTCCCGAAGCGCATTGTATACGAACTCCAATGCCCTCGTCGTCGTATATATCGCAGCCGTTATGCGAAGCTGGGCCCGTGGATAGAGTCCAAGGATAAAGCAAGCTAGACTGGCCCCGATGGCGGGTGTGTATTTGCAAGTCAAAGCCTTCGCTATGCGCGGATTCCGTTTGCGAAATGGACGGGCATCTTCGGTGCGAAGATTGGCACGCAATCGAGAGAAGAATCGATATAAGAGGCGATTCGCAAGGACGAATAGAGAATGAGAAAGCGACAGCCGGAAAATGGTACCTTTCGGTGCAGTTTGCCTTGCAAATTATGTTAACCTCCCTGTCTTATACGTAGTATTTTTAATAGACTGGACAAGATCCTTACGGGTTTTTTAGCAGGAGTTTCGCGAGAATCTCCGCAATATTCCCTATGGCGCCCGTAACCAGGAATACTCGCAACGAAGACCGGAACGCTTCGGTAGTGTATTGGTCGCGAGATTCGGCGATAGCAGTGACAGTATCAGGGGAGATCGTCCGGCCTTTGAGCTTTGGGGGAAGTCTCTTAACCAAGCTGTTGTGGATGAGCTCGTATTCCCTGGGAGAAAGGGAGAGCGAGAGGGCGCGGATTAGGATGGGGTTCGGCTTGATGCTAGAAGAGCCAGAAGGGGGCTCTGGCGTTGCATGTGAACTCATCTTCAGAGAGAGGACGGTGGCATAGGGGGTGGGCGGGCAGCAATCAGCGAGTTATTAGATGATAGATTCAAGGTCCAACTTCTTGACAGCAGCAAGGTTAATGGTACAGGGGGAGATTTGTTTTCTTTTTAAATGACAATTTTAGATTTCAAAGTCCTTGATCACGACCCAAGCAACATCCAGACTCGCCCATGCCTCGGCCACGATGAGTTGGCTGCTTGGGCAGTCTTGGCATCTGTTCGCAAGAGACCAACGATTAGGGGGGTCTTGGGAGGTTCAACAGATGCGAACGCCAGCAGCTTAGTATTCTTCTACGTATGTCCTTTAACTCCCTGGTTCAATCTCATTTGGCTTGTCCACTGCACCAAGACCTGGATAATAAGTCCAGAATACAAATGGCGGAAGGACTGGCATAAGACAAATTCTCTCTACTAGGTAAAGCCAATGCGGTCTTTGGTGAGTGCAGGCATTGCTGTGCTAACAAAGATAACTCTACTTGATAACTTGAGGAGAGAGAGCCTTTGGTCCATCACAAATTGTCTGTCATGCCCATCACAAGTGACATGCGAAGTACATACCAGGAATTAGCAAGCCACAGCACTCCAATGGAGTAAAAGCCATCACATCGAAGAATATGTCCTTACCGATCTAACCTATGGATCCTATGCATGGTCTATAGTCTTCTTCTTTTGCTCGCTCTTACAGCTCTGAAATCGATAAGTTGTGGCAGAAATCCTACAAAATGCCATCCTGCATACCATATGGTGACTTTTTGTGTTAGCGCTCTTAGGACAATAAAGTAGCTGACAGGCTGAGCACTGCTCACCCTGCAGCTTTCCTTGGTGTAGCAAATAAAATGTCATTATCGTCAAAATACCGTCGCCTGCTTAAATGGGCATCATAAACGATATCCGAAACTCCACAAAGAAATGTTGCTCCTAGCCAGAAGGACAAAAGAGAAAAGAAATACAAAAAAGAAAAAAAGGAAAAAGAAAGGGTTCAGAGGCATCCATCACCAAAAACTGCACCACCCAATGTAATGCTGGCACAAGTTCTCAACGCTTGTGGCCTGAACAAGAAGTTTGTCCACCTGGTCACTAACATTAAGTTCTTCATGTGGTTTAAAGTCCCGACCAGTGAGTTTTTCCCGAACTCTGCCAAGCACTTGTAGAGCTCGGGCATTTTGCACTTCTCTGGCTTCGTTGGGAATACCCTGTTGAGCGTCCAGAATGCCACCGTCTAGAATCGAGGGACGGCGGCGTGTAAAGTTACCGGGCTGTAGTGGATGATCGAGATCGAGTTCACCTGATTGGCGACGGTCAGCGAAAGATGGCTGTGCGGGAGATTCGCGGGCTCCCAGTCGCCAATTGATCAATGGGTCATGGATAAACTAAAGGTTAAGAAAGTCAGCAACCGCACGCGATCCGAAAAAAAAAAAATAAAAATAAAAAAACAAAAAGGCAAGTGAAGAACTTACAGCTTCCAACACTGCCATTAAAGACTCTTTATTCTCTCGAAGAACCCGCATCACGGCTTCACAGGTGATATGGTAGCTTCCCTCAATGTTGCTGACTTCCATGGCAAAGGTGAGCATACGAGTAAGTCGGAATGGAACCCTTTCAGGGTACTTTTCGCGGTGCATAGCAACCTCAAAGCAGTCACCAAAATCGATGTGAACGATCTTGCCCGTGATCCGATCCAACAAAAGATTGGATGGGTGTCGATCACCCAAACCGAGGATATATCCGACCATTGACATAACGCCGAGCGAGCGAGTGTAGTTGGTCCGCCGTTCAAGCCAGGCTTCGGAGCTTTTACTCTTAAGCCAAAGAACCCGATAAAGGTCTTTGCCGGTCGTGTTATCCATAGCGTAACCAAATACTTCGACCTTTTGCATAAGAGTTAAACTCTCGTAGTCTGGTGCCATTTGCAACATTATGCGGTGCTCGATGTTAAGGAGAATGCGCCGGCTTTCCCGATACTCTTTGATCAGGGCATGTAGTGTGTCAGTATTTGTTACCCAACCTATCAAACCAGAGTTTTGGGATAGGGGGATGGCAGGGAAGCGTTGAATAGTCAAGTGACGTTTGAAACATTCACTGTCTTTTTCTAAGAGAGTATTGACAAGCCCAAACAGTTGCATGACTCTCTCGTCTTGGCGGATATCTTCGTGACCCTTTAGGGCGTACATATACGAGTTGCCATCGCTGCCTTTAACAATCATCTTTCGCGGCTTTTTCTTTGTTTGAACTAGAGTTAATACAGGATCAAAGCTCAGGATTCGAATCACAGGTTTTCCGCTTTGATAAGTGCCTGGTATGGCCAGATCCAAGTCGACAGCATCCTTTAGCTTAGGCGAAACGTATTTCAAATCAAGGGTCCTCATATGCCGGACCTGCCGGTCAATCTTCTTAAACACAGTGTAGTACAGATCCCATGCCTGGTTGAGGTCTCCAATTTCCTGTGTTTCACGGTAAAGAAGACAGAAATGTCTGGCTTCGGCTAGGTCACGGCCGAAAGCCTGAGCGAAGGACACCTCTCTCAGAGTTTCAGCGCCTTTGTCTAGCATGTCATGTAGTGGCGCCAGGGTCGCGAACATTCCTTCAACGTTGTGGTTTGCAAAATACAGTCGGGATGCTTCTTCCAAACCATCATACCAAAGTTCATGCCAAAGGACGGCAACCCTAACCAGCTCATGGCTGACAACTTCGGCCTGTTCGACGAGCCTGGGACTGTGTTGACGCATGCTATCCATGATGTGGATCGCGGATTGCGAACGGCGAACCACATTGGATTTCGTGGCCACAGTTAAGGGATATACGAGAGCTTGTGGATGAGCCTTCCCCAGATCCGCGAGGAGGCGGTGGACTGCAGCGCGAACCCGAGGATTGGGTTGGTTGATGCGTGCGATAAGTTGGGGAGTCACTTCAAGCCACGTATCAATGCTAACAGTGGCGAAGCCATCAGTCACAACGGAGTTTACGTCTGCGTCACCACCATGTGTGAACCAGAGTGTGAGAAGTCTCAAAGTGTCTTGGAGGGCGCTTGATGATGAAAGTGCGATCGACCGAAAGAACCCTTGGATAGCAGGAACTACATGCTCGCTAATAATGTGATGAGGTATCGATACTGTTTCGTTGTTGGACTGAGGACTCAAGGCGTTCAGCACCTCAAAATTTGCGAGCGCCCAAGCATGCCAGGCCTTGTAGGATTCGCGATTATAATGCGTGGCGGCGGAATAAGCATTCAGCACATCGCAGACATTCTCGGATCTCCAATCCCCTCTTTGTAAGGCTGTCTGCCATTCGCCTTGTTTGAGATGGCTCTTTGCAAGAAGCCGCCGGAATTTGCCAAGGTCGCCAAGGTGTTGACGGATTGCAGCTATCTCCGCTTCTCTTTGTTCCGTCTGCCCGTTAGTCATATGGTTGTTTTCTGCAGCCTGCTGCTGCTGGCCCCGTGCGGCACTAACTAGGGAATTATATTTCCCATATTCTTCAGTCAAAGAGGCAGTAAAGTCTTTGAGTGCTTGGAGGGCCTCTTGCTGGCGGCCTGCGGCCCAGTCAAATTTAAGGCGAGCATAAGTCACCTCTGGTGGAATTCCAAACTCGGAAGATTCAACGGCTTCGAGGGACGCGAGAGAGCGTTCTGCAAGTCCCATTCGATTCGATTTTCGACAGAGATTGGCAAACTTGATCCACATATCCAAATTTTCCCTTGGTGAAATAACAAGCGCTCTGACTTTAAGCATTCGTTGCCATACTTCAACGTTCTGTTGACAACCTAGGAGCCGTTTATTCCATGTTTGTCTCATGGCCTCTTGCTTCTCAGGATCACCAGCACTCTGCTTATAAGTAATGATTTCTTCGAGCTCAGCGAGCATCTGGACACGGACGACCACGTTGTAAGCGCGATTATAAGATTCACCTAGCAGTGCAGATAGCTCCGTATCAAGACCGTTGCGAGCTTTCTCAATATATTCCGCCGCTTCTTTGAACTGATTTCGATGCAAGGAAAGAATTGCACCAAAGAACGATCGATCAGGCGACTGTTCCTTCATTACTCCGATGTATGAATCCATGAGTTCCCATTGCCCACGGCCCCAAGCAGCAGCTGCGGCAAGAGGCGCGATAGCTATCCGGTGGTCGTTGGTCGCTTGATTCCATTTTTCTTGAGCCAAATCCGAAAGCATCTTCCATTCCCCAAGAGCATGCAAGCAGCGCATCTTTCCCATGGTGACTTCAAAAGAATCAGGATCAATCAATTCACGTCGCTTATACGCGGCTAAAGCTTCCTCCCAACGTTGAAGCTTTACGAACCACGTCTCCTTTAGCTCCACGTCTCGATATGCTTGCGCTTTGCGGAGAATCCCAATCGCCGCATCGAACTGCTGAAGCTGATTATTGATACTAATCAAAGCTTCAACAGCGCCGGAGTTTTGGTCTTGCTCAAATTCAAGTTCTTTATAATGCAAGGCCTTCGCAAAAGCGTGACATTTGCCTGCATACTTCCCAAGAGTGCGGATATCAATAGGAAGTGCTTTGTCGTCATGTTCCATGAACTCTGCTAAATTAAGAAGAATCTGAAGAATTTCCGGCGGTATATTTCGAGCCGTAAGGGCAAGGTCAATCGAGTGAACTAGTTCTTCTTGATAAGTATGGTAAAGCTCAGTCCAACATGACACAAATGCGGCATTGAACAGATCCTTTGCCAATGGTTGGTAAATACCCGCCAAGCTGGCGCAAGCCCGAAGGGCGTGAGACGGGGATTCTTTAAGAAGCTCTACGCTGAAACGTCTCATCCACTCTTGCCAGTCTTCTCGAGTTGATTTTTGAGTTGCATCCCACGCATTCTTGAGATGCTGCTGGTTTACAAGGATCTTTCTTTGACCAACCTCTCCAAAGGATTGGTCGTCACCAAAAGAACCGTATTGCTCGTCAGGATTCAGGTCCTGGGGTAGGGGTTCGCCTTTCTGGAGCTTCGATACGAGGATCTGGTAGTTGTGGTGGTGAATTTGATTATTTTTGAGCACCTGCTGAACGTTAGTAGCTAGAAATTGTAAACTGCGAAAAGGATACAGTACCTTGTTGATCAACTGGATGTAATTCGTAAAGTCCTGACCTATCTGAAAAATTAGGGTGCAAACGCAATCTAAAGCAGATTGTCTCAAAGTGCGGTCACTTGAGCCGATTGCCCTTGCCAATGGATGGATCATAAGGGATGCAAAGTCAGACACATTGACTTGGCGAGATAGTTTCGCCAGGGTTTCGATGGCCGACTTCCTGATGTTTTGGGGAGCCTGCTGTTTATCAAATAATCTAACAATCGCCGGGACAATTCTGTGCATATATTCCTCTGCGCTGGATCCATACACGAGAAATGCATGCAAAACCCTCTCTGATGGCTGGCGCCGTGGACTACTGTCCTTTTCGATTGTTTCTAGCATCAGGGGGATCAATCCGGCTAGATATTTCTTGAACTCTCCCTCCAGAGACTTGGATATTGCTTCCACAAGAGACAGTATTGTCGCCTGGACCTGATAGGACGCATCCCAATATTCGCGGATAACAACAATAATCTCTGGCAGATATGCGCGAATATGTTGTCTGACAATTGTAACCAATATTGCAAGCTGGTTGAAGTAGGTATCCAGGCGGCTGACCGGCGTATCTCTGATCACCGAAATGAAAGCTGGGATTATTTGTCCCAAGAAAGGAACGCATTTCAGGCCCAAAGTCTTAAAGATCGTGACGATAGCATCAATGACGGCGGAGTGATATTGGGCAAGGGAACTCTCACTTAGGATATTGTGTAGTAGGGTATTGATAACAACTGTAGGATAGTATTCCTCGTTAGAAGGGGTAAGCCCTTGCATGATTAGTGACACATCGGACACTGCTTGGATTTCATTGATGTGATGAACGTCTGGGGTATCTTGGCTTATTTGCTTTTCATGAATGAGCATAGGACTTATAATTAGATGGGGAAATGTGGTACCTGATATTTGTAGGGGTCGAGAGCTCCTAGGGTGCCAATGAGCTTGATAGTTTCTTTCCGAAGGGACCCGGCTTGTTCCGTTTTGATGATGTTAATGAGGACAGCAAGGAGTTGTGGGTATTCCTTATAGGGCTCGATAACGTAGCCGGCATTGCTCGCAAGCTGTCCAAGAGTGCGCAAAGCGGCCTCTCGTTTTGAGGGCGAGGACAGATCTTGTAAAGCTTCCAATATAATAGGCATAATCTGAGCCAGGTATTGCTTCATGCCCTCACCGCCAATGGTTGCGATTTCTCCGATTGCTTTTATGGTAGTCGCTGACACTGCGGCATTGAGGTCTGTTGTCTTCGGCAATAGAGTCGTGACCATTGGGTCAACGTAGGAGCGAACCAATTTGGTTGCATTTGTGACAAACAAACTAATCAACTGAGCACTTTCTTCCTTTTGACGGGACGTCGTTGCAAAACTAAGCCCCGTTAGAAGATTGACAAGCAGCTTTCGCAACGGTGGGAAAACATAAGCAGGATTGACGTTTGATAAACGACCAATTATACTAATTGCTGCTTCTCGAACGGAGAACACTTCATCATTGACAGCGAGAAAAAGGCAGCGAACATTTTCCGGTTTGGCTAAATGACGATCAAATTTTCGATCCAGTGATTGTAATACCGTGCAGCGGATTTCGGGTTCAGGGTCACCAACTCCTACAGATAAGAGCTTGTCGATAACCTGGCTGACAACCTGGAGAGAATGGCTGCTTGTCTGGTTGAGAATAGGGTCATGGACAAACAGTTGACAACAAGTCAAGGCGGATGCTTTGCGGATCTCGGAGTTATCATTGTCCACGTATTTTATAGCCACATCGCGGACAAACTCGTTCAATATATGGCCTACTCGAGTGAGATATAGCTAGAAATTATAGAAGCGCGTGAACTTACCAGAGAAGTCGAAGCTCCCTAGTGTTAGCAGGGCAAGGGTAATCTCGCTGTCAGTGACTTCTTGGGGTGGCGGTGCAGATTCTTTCACAAAAGACGGCATAGGCGGGGCGCGATTGTCAGGGCAGCCAAGGGGTTGGAAGGGCCTTCCACACAAAACTAAACTTAACATGTCGAGCAGCTTTTCTTGGACCGTGGCTCTGATAGGCGGAATATAATGTGCCATATCGACTAGAGCTTGAGTGAGAGCTTTACTCAGGCCACAGGCAAAGATAGGGTCGAGAAGAGATTCCATATACTTGCTGAGAGTTTGCCCCACGGCCATAGATAGCATGCTGAGGCATTCTAGCATTGGAGCTTCGTTCACTGCAGCACGATTGCGTCTAAAATATCATCAGCCGGTGCTAACCCAATGGATATCGCTGGGGGTCCTACGCTTTCAGAGTCAAGCCCTCACGAATATACACAATGATGCCATCGAGGAACTGACCAATCGCGTTCCCCACAGCACTAGCAATCTTACCGATAGCGATGAACGCGGCATTCCGCTCTTTCTCTCGCTTTAGCTGCGCCTGTAGGTATATCATGAATCTATGGAGATAAGTATTCGTAAAGTCTAATGGAGCATATGATGCAAGCACGGGGATTGTAGCGACCACCTGGGTCCGGATTTTGGGGTCTCGGTGGTCTTTCAGCCGGAGAACTATCTCACAAGCGTTGCGGTAGTGCTCGTTCATAAACATGGCCCCTTTAAGGAGCAATTCTCTAAGCGCAAGGAGAGAGCCATGGATCCAATCCACGTTCGTTGATCTTAGACCAAGTAGCGTCTCATCGTAGATTCCCGCAAACCACTGATGGCGAACCTGGCTATCTCGAGCCGAAATAATTTCAAAGCATTCGCTGATAGCATCAGCAGACGTCTCTCGGATAAGCACTTTCGGATCACGGATGGCAACCCAGATAAGTTCAAGTATTTGCGCAACGAATCCGTAGATGAGAGTTGGGGAGCCTTTGGCGAGTTCCCTGATGACCAACACGGCAGCAAAACGTCGATTCTCTTGTCTTTCCGATTGCAACCATTCTAGTGCCGATTGTATCTCACTTTCCACCAATTCTGCAGTTAATGCACCGCCAGGTTTTGCTAGGCGCCCCAGCGACCTGGCTGCATAAAGCAACACTGCATTATCGTTACTCCTCAATGCGCTACGCAAGTAGCCAGAGAATCTCGTTGTCTTTAGGGCAGCATCAACACCGTCGAAATCGATCAACCTATCAAGCGCAAGAAGTCCGGCCACCTTCTCATTCGCGTCGCCCCCTGTAACCACGAGCTGAGCTATTCGCTGGCTGACCGTGTTATAATACTCGAGGAATTTATCCTGCGGGAGCTCTAAAATACAATGCTCGTTAATATCGCGCGCACAAGGCCGGGGAGATTTCATCGGTCTCACCTCTCGACGCTGCTACTACATTATCGTATAGTTCAGTCGCTGCTCGCAGCCTTGTTTCCTCGTTTTTCGACTTGAGCTCTAGGAAGAGCTTCGGGAGCGCATCGGTTGCAGATGATGATTGTGACATGGTTGGAAATCACACCCCCAATACCGGCAGTGCATCTGCCTCTGGGGAGATAAACATTGATTACCGCATTGAAAGACTCATTAAATGGAGGCAGCTAGGGGCAAGGCATTTACACGGATGTCCCCAACACTATGGGATTTGTTGCTAATGACGAGGGCAGGTAACGATAACCGCCCCGTGACCAGATTTAAATCGCTGTTGTTTCGTAAGCATGTGAGCGGCGCCGGGCGTTTGATTTGGACGCGGCGGCAATCGGCCCGATGGACTCTCGAAGTTAAGTGGTCAGGAGCTTGGTTAGCGTCAAATATGGCGCATCCGGTCACTGTGCACAGCCGAAGAAAAATCCAAATCGAGCATCGGAGACTGTGAATCTTGACCATCTCGACAGGTCACGAGCTGCGGAGAACAAGGAAAGCAAGTACTCCCGGTGAGGATGGCGGGCCGATTGTCTCCAACGGCGAATTTGCTTCGCAAGTCCCGTCTCTTCTCCTTACCCCAGAGCCTGTCGCATCCTGCTACTCCCACCTCTTCTTCTACCGTCGTTGAATCCGACACGGCAACACTCCCTTTTCCGATCCGCGCTGCCATTGCAACACCACCTTCATCATTAGCAAGAGGCGATTGGGGTCTCAAGAGACCCCTACCGGCGAAGTCCACGACCGAGAGCTCATCATCCCCCGTCGTTCGCGTCAATCACTTAGATACTTTCGAGCATGTCACGGATTTTGAATCCGCTGCCGATCACGCTACCACGCTGAAAAAATGGCAAGAACTTTTTCTTCCGCTGTCAACCGTGCTGAATACCGGTATTCCATCTGCTGCCGGGGGCGGGCGACATTTAAGCGTTTTTGAGAAAAGTGCAGATAACACCCACGAAAGCAAGAATGTCGATGATCTAAACGCAAAACGATTCAGATTCAAGGGGCCGTGGCTGGCAGGTCAGACGGAAACTGAATTTCAGAATTATCTAAAATCCGTTAGAAAGCAAAGACCCCAGTTTCTGCAGAGGCTACGTCAGGTCCTTGCGGAACGAAAGGCCTCGGAATCCCGAAAAGCCCTTTTAGATCGGGGTGAACCCATTGGAGAGCGTCAGGTGTCGCAAGAACTGAGCGACGAGGAGTTCGAAACAGCTCTGAGAGCTTTGCGCGCAAATCCTGAGGCCCTCGGCCCAGAAATTCACAAGTTCCTGGATCTGGCCACGCCGCCGAATGTACCTGATCAATACCTCACGCGACGTCGCTGGACCGCTGGACCGTCAAACATATCTTCTACCGAATATGTAACGCATGGCCCTCCAACAACACATCCTTCTGCGGGCCTATCCTACCTTCGCACTAAGGCGCATATGGACAACCACCCAGTTGTTGGACCGCAACAGCAACCCAAACCAGTCGAGGCCCGTGTTCTAAGCGCAAAGAGGGCTCAAAAATTACGAACGGTGATTGGTGTTGGTGGAATTGTTGTCGATGATCTTAAATCGCAGGGATGGAGACAAAATAGGTCGCTTGGGGGACCTGTCGGTCCTGATCCGGATGCTCCTGGTGGCTCTAAGTATTGGGTTAAGGCTGAAAGAGCCGCTATACGATCAGACGGCAGAGTTGAGCTACAGGTTGGGCGGCCATCCGAAGCAGCTAAGTCTCTTATCGGAGTATCCGACGCACAACAGTCGTCGGTTTCTTTGCCAAAGAATCTCTTTAGATCCGTCCCTCGGCTTGACACTTGAGGGTCAGATTTAGTTATATGTACTATAGTGTCAGTGTGTAGTTATAAGCAAGCAACGTATTTCCACCTCATTTTTTGATCTACGATGCCATGTCGACGGGTCCTTTCTTGCCCTGACTGTTATATTATCTGAGCATGCCTTTCAATCTGTCCAACCTCCATTGGCGGGCGGACTTTGGGCACCCGCTGGTATCACGTGATGAACCTAGGGCTTTTCCACGTGATCGGCTGTCCGCTGTGGTGAGCTAAGCGAACAGCACGAAAAAGATATTGACCTCGACTGCCGCAACCTCACGAACGATCCGACAACCTCAACCGTTGCAGCGCAGTCAGCCAACACCGCCAAAATGGGTCGCGTTAGAACGAAGGTGAGAATAACATAGCTCCATCACTGAGCATTTGAATGTTGAGACTTACCCGTTTATTTTGTGAAATCTACAGACAGTCAAGAAGTCCGCCAAGGTCATTATTGAGCGCTACTACCCTAAGCTCACTCTCGACTTCGAGACCAACAAGCGAATTTGCGATGAGATCGCCATCATTGCGTCCAAGCGTCTTCGTAACAAGGTGAGTGCCCTTTCAGATGTTGGAGACGCTATGTTCGGCTTCTCCAAGAGCCTCTGGCCTAATGTGCAAATTTCAAATGTAGATCGCTGGCTACACTACCCATCTGATGAAGCGTATCCAACGGGGTCCAGTCCGCGGTATTTCCTTCAAGCTGCAAGAAGAGGAGCGTGAGCGCAAGGATCAATACGTCCCAGAGATCTCTGCTTTGGACATCTCCCAGACCGAGAGCGGTCAACTCGAGGTCGATACTGATACCAAAGATCTCCTCAAGAGCCTCGGTGTATGTTTCCCACTTCCCATTCACACTCGGTTCTCACCCGAATATACAAGCTGTCTGACGACGAAATATTGATAATTTGCTAATGATCAACTTTTAAATGTGAGCAGTTCGATTCCCTCAAGGTCAACGTTGTTGCTGTTGGCCAGGCCCAGCAGGCTGAGCGCCCACGCCGCTTCAGATAAACTCTCTCTGACTTTATCATGGCGGTTTGTTTAACGAAAATGTCGTTTGATTTCTGCGGCGTTTTATAGGTAGTAGCTTGCAGATGAAATACAATGACGTTCCATGAATTCAAGGTGTCGCTGATTCCCTACGGGATGATGCTTGATTGCCAAAATGAATCCCTCATGTTTTTCTCTAAGGACGATTGGCTCGTCTTGCACCGAGGCTGCGTCGCTTTGTAGGGTGATTACGGTAGGTACATAAAAGAATTTCAAAAGCCCTGGAAACAAAGCGCCATTTCCGAAATTGGATCTTAGTCCTTAACCCAACCGGCTCAAAAACTCCGAATATGCTATGAGTATTTCGCATCAACAAACGCCATGGGTGTCGTTACGGTTAAAAGAGCATGTCATCGTTCTCTAGAGGATTGTTGTCATATGATGTTTCGGTGCGTGGGCGGTATGTATGCAGTTGCGGATGGAATCCCTCAATCGAACCACCCTGCATGCTACCCGACTCCAATGTTGGCGCGGACGCTGCTGTTGAGTCCTTTTCAACGATGCGTACAGGCACCCTCTCCTTGTCAGACGCAATTGTAGGAGAGTCACCCCGTTCCATCGCCAGCACTCTGGAACTGTCTCCATCATTCACGGTCAGTCTACCCGGCGGGCAGCCAAGTGCATCCTGTTCCGCCTCTATCGAAGAGCCGATGTTTAGATTCCGAAACTTATCTTCCACGGTCGGCATGCTCGTAACGGGCTGCTTGCCCTTCCTATCTATCTGGTGGCCTTCCCTCCCTTCTTCCAACAAGAGCAGATTCATATTCTTCTTGTCTATCCTTTCCCAGGCCGGTTCCTCGCTCAACTGAACGCGAACGTAGAGAGCCCGCTCAGCGCATTTGTCAGAGCACCATTTCTCCAATTGTTCTTTCGGTACGACTTTCATCTCCTTCCCACGCCCGCCTGGTCCACTCCCCTTTGGACCCCACACTATGCGGAATTTCGCTTTCGGGTCCTCTTTTCTGTGGTCTTTGGGGCAAAGTGTATAACCGCATCGCCCGTCGATGTTCCTTTCCAGGATCAAATTATCGTAATCTGACGGCTGGAACGGGACCAGCGCCGACTTGAAAGTAGACACGTCTTCTTCGGATGGCGACGCGGGGTCCGCATCAGGATCGCTAGGCAAGGTCATCAGGAGTTCAATGTAAGATAGAATTGCCGCTTCTGTGTCTTTGCGAGCTTGGATATGGCGGGCATGGTGTAGTGCGATGGCCAAGTGACGGGGATTGGGGGTATTCCCGCGAGGCGGGGTGTAATTCATGGAGCTAGGAGCGGTGCTCGAACAAGCATGGACGGCAGGGATCGAGGTCTTGACCGATGAGCTGGTCGAAGGAGAATCGGTCGCTGGATCCATGACCGCTTGAACAGGAAACGGATGTTTATCCGGAGAGGATAGCCATTTAAGGAAAAGAAGCACAAAATGAAAGATCGGTGAGCAGCATCAAGGAGCTCTGGGAGGGCCAGTTCCAATAAGCACCAAGAACCATGTGAGGCGAGAAACAAGTAACAGCTGTGAAAGTGTGTGTTTGGCCTGACGTAAGTTCCTTTTTTTTGGGGGGAAAAGAAGGTGGCGTAATGGCCTGAGCCACAGATTAGGTTATCTTGTTGTCGCTGTTTGGTTTGGTGGAGCAACGCCCGAACACCTCACCCCTCGACGACCTCCCTCACCATTGCTGCACATCACAGAGTGGTATATCTGAGAGCAAGTCAGTCTGGACCCGCGTTCCTTTGGATCTTTTGACATTCATGCTGTCACTAGCACCAAACCTTGGTCTGAAATGTGAGTGCTTTCCTCCTGGAGTTTCTTAGTTCTAAAATCGCGCTGACCTCGTTTCAGAGTAATCACAGGATCACATCTTCTTCTGATCATTGAATAGCCTTGCTATCTGGACTCAAATTACAATTGACTCTGGTGTTGTTTGATCTCGGCGGCAGGACCAGGAGAAGGCCGGCTCCATAACCGTTACGCGACATCTGTTGGTTCCTAGTTGTTATCACGCAGACCCGCTGCCCCAAATGCCCGCAGTTCCATTCACTGTTAAGGGAATATTTGAATACACCTCCGACCATGAAGATGATCTTACATTTTCGATTGGACAAATCATTACGGTAACAGCAGAGGAGGATGAAGAATGGTATTATGGGGAGTATACAGATGAGGCTGGAACCAAGAAGGAGGGCATCTTTCCTAGGAACTTCGTGGAAAGATACGAACCGCCAGCGCCACCCCGACCTTCAAGACCAAGCAAGCCAAAAAAGGACTCTGAACACCCTCTGCATGCCGAGGCCGTTCCCCAACCACCTCAAGTCGCCAGCAGCCCCGCACCACCAAGTCCGGAATTTGAGGCCCCACCATCGATTGAAAGGGAGACCGAATCCAAACCACCTCATCCCGTTCCTCCTCCACCCGCAGAGATTCACATATTAGCTGCTCCTCCCCCTCCTCAGGCACCATCACAGCAGCAACCTACGAGCGCCACGCAGCGAACGGAATTTAAACCCCCGCCTCCACCAATCGCCGAGAAGCCTACAGGAACTTCTTTCAGGGATAGAATTGCAGCATTTAATAAGCCTGCAGCGGCACCAATAGCGCCATTTAACCCAAGCGCAGCAACTTTAAACTCGAGCGCCTTTATCAAGAAGCCTTTTGTTGCGCCGCCTCCAAGCAAAAATGCTTACGTTCCGATGCCAGTCGAAGCGCCTCCCCAGAGGGTATATAAGCGGGAAGAAGACCCAGAGGTTATGGAACCCCACCAAGAAAGACTAGCTACAGATCGATCACCCCCTCCTCCACCCGAAGCCGCTGATGATGAGGACAAGCCCAAGCCTACCTCTCTAAAAGAACGAATTGCACTCCTGCAAAAGCAGCAACTTGAGCAGGCAGCACGGCATGCAGAAGCAGCTCAAAAGAAAGAGAAGCCGAAGAAGCCACCTCCGAAAAAACGCGTGGAACCGCAAGAAGCTCCGGACCACGTGGACTCCGTTCCTGGTGCGGAATTAGAAAGAACTGATACATCGGAAACAGCCAAGGAATCTCACACAGGGGTGGAGCACCGTGATGATACCGGTCCACCCCAACACCGGGCGCCTATTCTGCCCTCCACGATGAGCGCTGCACATCCTTCGCCAGAACATACAAGTGATCCCAATGACGCTGACCACTCCGGCACAGGGGATACCGAAGAAGCGGAGGAAACTTCAGCTAGCAAGGAGGATGGTGATGAGAAACTAGCGAAGCACGGCCTAGGTATGACTCAAGGTGAACAAGAAGACCAGATCGACCAAGGGGGTGCTAAGGGCGAAGACGTAGAAGAAGAAGAGGAAGAGGAGGAAGAGGAGGATATTGACCCTGAAATCAAAAGGAGAATGGAACTTCGTGACCGTATGGCGAAAATGAGTGGCGGGATGGGCATGATGGGTATGTTTGGTCCACCACCTGGCATACCAGGCATGTCAGGTAGTGGATATAAAAAGCCACAACCCAGCCATTCAGCCAGTGCTGAAGCCAAATCTCCGGATGAAGAGCGCTCGACTCCAGCATATGCAACCCCGGTCCCAGTTATGGTTCTGCCGGGAATGCAGTCACGCAAACAAGAATCAATAAAGTCTCCCACTGAAATCAAGGGAGATGAGATAGATACACAGTTGACAACTGCCGTCCAAACTCCCAAAATGACCACTGAAGAGGCCGATGTACATCCTTCGCAGCCCAAGATGCAGAGGGCACCCCCGCCTCCACCACAAGAAGGTATTTTTAAATGTCCCTGATTAGATTTTAAACCATTGTGTTAACCGTCTTAACAGAACGCTCCCCGCCGCTTCCGCCCGGCCATTCCAGGCCAGTCCTGCCACCTATGCCAGGAGATCGACCAATCAGCCCTTCTCCGCCTCCAGAGTGTAAGTGATCCCTTGAGTATCACGCCCAAATGGCCTGCCACTGATTACTTGTTTAGCGCGCCCCGCCCCACTGCCACCAACAAGGAGAACAATGTCTCCAAGTCTCGGCGAAGAGTCAGACGACGAACTCTCTGCTGCACCTGGTAATTTACAAGCAGAGAGCCAGTCAAGCGACGGCTGTACAGCTGCGGTTCTACCTGACCGAAAGAACGATGCGGCACCACCTTTGAGACCCCCTACTTCTGAGAAACGTTTAAGCCATCCACCTCCTGTTCCACAGGTGCTCCCTACTTTGCCATCGGCTGCTCAAACTCGCCCGCCTCCACCGCCTCCGCCCTTTCCCGTAAGTCGTAAATCAACGAACGACAGTCGAATGAGTGTGCGCACGCAAACCGGCCTCCCAGGCCATGACACAGAAGAGGAGATCACAGAATATGAGGGAGATTATGATACCGACATTGCTTCTAGCGCCAAACATAAAGATGCTCTGAAGGCGCACGGACGTGATTCAAGTGTAGACGAAGGCACCATTACGGATGAATTCAGCACTCAATCTCCTCAAAGTCCAGTGGATATACGCCCACCTCCCCCTCCTACCATGGCTCCTCGCGCAGCTCCTCCGCCCCCTCCAAGATCCATGCGACAATCTATCGACATGCCAAGAATGCCTCCCCCTCCTATCCCGCCTCCTAAGAATCATGCACACGATGAGGATGAATACGATCCATATAGATATGATACCCATCCAGCCGCCCCACCTTCCCGGGGTGCACCGACCGCCACGAAGTCACCCTCAGAAGAAGCTGGTGGGGAAGATTTCTATCCTGAATCATCGCCTAGAAAGTCCATTCACTCTTCTCCTCCTCCAAATCCGCCTTCTCTGCAAAGTGCATCTCGGAGCCAGCCTTCTCGTGGATCAGTTGACCTCCTCAGAAGTCAATCCAATACTCGTAGGTCTATGGATATCCAACGGCCGCCTATGGAAGGTTATATTGCAAGTGATGTCGACCTTGGAGAAGGCACATTTTGGTGGACACAACCCAATACTCCTCCCCCTGTCTTTCAAAATAGAAGAGATATAATGTACGAAGTTGAGGAATCGTCATCCACCAAAAGAGGGGGCAAGACCACGATTTCCAAAGACGTTTATGTTTTGTTTATGGATTATTCCCAAACGATTATCACAGTTCAGTTCGATTCGAAGAATCCTGGTGACGTTATCCTTGAACAGCGTCATGAGGCGCCGCCACCGCGCCTCCGTCAAGATCAACTTGAAAACGCCCACGCTCTGTTTGGATCTCGACTTTCGGAATCTGTAGCCTCCAAACAAAACACAATTGTCGGCGACGGAACGTCCTATAGTTTAGTACAGTCCCTCCTCACTCCCTTTTCCGATGCCCTTCTCCCGGTTGGTTCCCGTGCATTCGGAGCTGCGGTGTACTCCAATCTAGCCAACGCTTCCGTCCAGCAATATGATGAGATTCGTCCCGGTGATATTGTCACATTTCGCAACGCTCGTTTCCAAGGTCATCGGGGAACGATGCATCAAAAATATAATGTTGAGGTTGGAAAGCCTGATCACGTTGGAGTTGTTGTTGACTGGGACGGGACAAAGAAGAAAATTAGAGCGTGGGAGCAAGGCCGAGAGAGCAAGAAAGTCAAGATTGAAAGTTTCAAGTTGGGTGACTTAAAGAGTGGAGAATGCCGTGTCTGGAGAGTTATGCCTCGAAGTTGGGTTGGCTGGGATGGAGAGAAATCATAACTTTCATGATCTTATGTCTTCTCTCGCTCTCTAATGAGCTCTCAGGGTTTTACCATGCCCAATGTATTGGACATTGGAATAAAGAATGATGGCGAGACCACATGAAATTGAAGAATCATTTTGATCAAGCTCAGCATAATCCTGTTGTTGTTACGATGCAATTTTCTGATTCACTCGCTGGCACCAGTTGGAATTAATCTGCCTTTTCCCGCTTGTGTGTATTCTGTGATTCTTTTTTCTCCCTGCATGCATATTGACATATCATCATACCTCTTCCTGTACAGCTGGCTTGTATCTAGTTTTACTCTTAGCCGCATAACAGAATTTCCTTGGGGGTTAAAAGAATGGAGGCTGCTGTTGTCATTGTACAGGCCATACCATACGCCTCTCAAAAGGTGCGCACAGGACAATACAGCCTACTGCAAGCTCTTGGAATTCAAAAGACCAGCAACAATTACTGGCACAATACAGAGTACTTTAAAGGGATTACAAACTCTAAACACGCCTGCGAAATCGTTGCGCCATTCCCATGCAAAATCGGACAGGCCACAAGGGATTGCTTGCTATATATACAACTGATTTCCGCCTGATTATCCAGTTCATCCTGCACATTACCTCCACAATTCAGCTCGAGTCTCAGATAAGCAACAACTCACCTGTCGCCGCTCCACCTACTGCCTGCGGCTGGTATGCATGTTGGCCGGCCTGATTCACGATGTATGGCGATTGCTGTGAGCCATTTAGCCCATCGCCTGCTGCATCACCACCAGACAAACTCATAGCTGCCATCTGCTGGCTACCTACTCCAGCAAAGTACACATCCGCGGCATTCACAGCAGCAGACATTTCGCCTCCTGGGGTCACAAGCCCCGAATTGGTACCAAGGTTCGGAGGACTGGTGTTATTTCCCGCCGCAAGCAGAGTAGATATTGGTATCGAGAATGGCGTATTCGTACTCTCGTTTGCCGGTAGTTTTTGTAGAGCAGGGCTGTTTCCTAGTTTCTTCGGTCTTGAATTCCGGAAAACTTGTTGTACAGGCTTTAGGTAGACAGTCGCTAAGGTTCCAACATTCAGGCATAATTCCTCAAGCGTACGGGGATCCAGCCGTTCACTCTCGGCAGTGATAGGTGGCTTTTCGCCCATTACAATATCTTTTGCAGCCGTAGGGTCGGTAGAAAGGAGACGCCAATACATGAAGCCTCTGTCACGGAGGTCTGGATCGTCTGTCTCTTCAGTGCACCACTTTAATACCTGCGGCACAATCTGCTGGCCCTTGGTGGGTCGTTGAATGAATAATTTCACGGTCGCCGTGAGAAGTGCGAGTTGGACCTCCACCGGCTCATCATGGAAAGTTGCCAAGAAGTCTTGCAAGAAGACGTCCGAGTTCTCTATTCGGTCTGCATATTGTCCAATAATCCAGATTATAGCTGCCTTTGCTTCTGGTTCGTCAAGCTCATCAATATTCTTCATAACAGCTCCAATGATGCCTTCGTATTGATTGGGGTATTTTCGAAATATGTTGCGGATGACCACCGTTGCTTCCTGGACAATATAGGGAATTTTGGCATTGACAAGTTCTAGTAACGTTTCGATGCATTGATTGGAAGCGGATTCAATTTTGATCGCCAATTTTCCAATCGCTCTTACTGCTTTGCGAACGAAATGCACATCGATCTCCGTGGCATACCTATGGAAAGTTAAAATACTGTATAAATAACGGCACAATAGCAAAGACTTACTCCCGCAGTTCCGTTAGCACAACGGAGATATTGTCTCTGGTTGCTAACATGAAAATTAGTTCAAGTTTCGTGACCTTGACATATATCGGGTCGTTGTATTTGCAAAAGAACACGCGAATATCGTTTCGTAAAACCTCTGGTTGCTTTTGTAAAATCAAAATTGCATTTCTAAGGGCCAGATACTGGACCTCAGGACCTTTTGACAAAAGAGTCACAAGCGGAGGCGAAAGCTTGCGCGCTAAGGATGCGATCTGTCTTTGGTCGGCAATATAATTCATTAAGTAGAGAATGACGCGGATGCAGGTCAGTACAACTGCAGAATTTGAATGCGAGAGACGCGGAGCGACTCTCTCAGCCAACAAGAGCGCTTCTGATGACTCTCGTGGTACGTACGACATTAACGCTTCTAGGATATAAGTTTGGCCCCATCTAAACCGCAAGTCAGTTTGGGACATCATGTCTGAAGCGGGAAAGACATACTCGGAGCAATCTGGAAGAATAGATATCATCTTCGACGCACTCGCATAATCAATTGTAAGAGTGATGGCTTCACTCCTTTCCCATATATCCATTAATGCGGCTAAGGCACTGGATACTACGGTTGGATTTTCATCCTTAAGCATGCTATTCAACCTATCAATCAAGTCTGATGTTTCCACAGTTCTCCTGTCGTGGTCATAAAGCTTCGCAACCGCAAAGCACGCAGTTTTACGGACATATGGGTCTCCGTCATCGAGCAGCCGTTTTATTGGTTGGACGGTAGCCTCGACGAATTCACGAACATGGACATATGAAATGGTTCGCAGGGCAAGAGCACGTATAAGAGGATTGTTATCGTTCAAATCCTACACTCTCTGTTAGCTCGTAAACACATCAGGATGAACTGGTACTACGGGAAAAGCATACATCCAGCAATAACGGTAGCGCTTTCAATGCTACATCAGGTTTCGTCCTGGCATAATTGACGAGGAACAGAAAGCACCTGGTTCAACGTTCCGTTAGCCACGTTGATCCATCGTTGGCCTAGTTCTCGCAGTGTAGAATCCCCTACATCTTCTTAATCTCAAGACTCGGAATCGTCATGCACTCAACCACGTCAGGGAACAATGAAACCATATCATTGTTGCTCATTGTCATATTTGCCACGATCCTTTTCAACGCAATCTTTTTTCCGGAGTGATTCTTATCCTTTTTGCCTCCGCCATGGAGCTCCATACGGAGCTCGTTGACCTTTCCCTGCGAACTGTGAGTCCATGAATTTATAACAGCATGTGCCGGTGGCGTAAATAGCTTCGGAGCAAACATGGGGATCCCAGGAAAAGGCGTCGTCAAAAGGGCAGGTAGAAGAAGATCAAGATGTCTGCAGTCCAGACTCCCGCAAAAGCAGAACGGTAAAGCGTGGTCAAGATGAACAAGGCCGACGGGGCACGGGGGCGATAAAATACGGCAGTAGGAGAGATGGGCAGATGACCTACCCTCGCAAATAGCTTAGCATCTCCCCCGCTCGAAGACATTGTTTCGTTCGCTGCTTAACCGCGGAGAAAGCTCTGGGGTTGCGTCAAGGGACGTAGTGACAAGGAAGTACGTAGTAGATCGCAAGGTTGCCTCTGGCTTTCGCCCGGGCAAATCACACCGAAAAATGGCCAGACGGAGAGATGGACAAAGTAGCTGCCACTTCCATGCCTCTAAATCAGGGTAATGGTTTGATTCCCGATCCAATTCGGTGTGGACGGTGAGACAATAGGAACAGAGCGAGCAGCTGGTTTGAGACGGAACCTTCAAGTGACAAAGGGGCCCCGGCGCAGTCCAGATCGAAAACATCACCACCTCACCAACTCGTGGCCACACGCGACAACCGGCAACCCCAGCTCACGGCTATCGATCCTACCTAACACGTTACCCTCCTATACATTTGCACGAAGAATCTGCGAAACGTTTATTCCCCGAGCGACCACCATGGTTCCACCTGTATCCCTACCTCCGTGGGCTATCGACATGAAGTCACCGCCTCCACCACCATCAAAAGCGAACATCCCGAATCCGCCAGGCTACTCGTCCTCACCACGATCCAGCTCAAAACAAGTGAGTTTTGGTCCTTTTTCCCGTGCTATTCAAGTACATCCCCCTAATCCTACCCCGCCTTTGCAGCCCAAATCCCCCCAGCAATCTTCGACGTCGTCTAGCATTTCCGCACAGAAATCCCGTGAAACCGACGCTCTCAAGCTCAAGAAGGCGTGGGAGATTGCCTTTGCACCAGCAAAGCAATTACCTATGAACGCAATAATGATGTACATGTCTGGGAACAGTCTACAGATTTTTAGCATTATGATGGTCTTCATGCTATTCAAGGGACCTATCCAAGGTCTGATAGCGACAAATTCCGCCTTTGCCAAATTTGAGGCGGAAGGGATTAAGGCGCAATTGATTGGAGTGAAGATAGTATATGTTCTGATGCAACTTATGCTATTGGCGTTGGGCGTGTGGAAGGTCAATGCGATGGGTTTGTTACCGTATGTCCGACTTTCCACACTACCAGAGCTTGAATACAGCTAATAAATGTACTAGGACTACGAGGTCAGACTGGCTTGCTTGGGAGACGGAAAGGGTCCCCCTAGAAAGGGCGTATTTTGCATTTAGATAAGAAAGGAACACGAAATATTTCTCCGTGAGAACCATAAACGTGGTTATTTTTGGCCAGCCGCTATGATATTTGAGCATAACATTTCTGGGTTCCTGGATTATATCACCCAAGCAAACTGTCTCCCATAGGATAAACAGCTTCCCCGAGCGTCAATTCTCTGCTTTACCAGCACCATCGCAACCCCTTCTTCTTGGATTGAGATAGATGGCAGCGACCATCATGGAAGCCGTGGTAAGCAAGGCCAGGGCCACCACAATAAAAACCCATCCACGACCCAACCAGTTTACTGTAGGCAAAATACCCACCGTCCCCCCCGCCTTAAGCAGACACCGAACTAAATTGTTCGCAGCCGTGGCTGTGGCTGCATTATTTGGATGCAGATCAACAATTGGAGTCCCGAGTATTACGCTGCGAGGGTTGGAGCTCCGAAGAAAAAGAGCAGAGTCAACGGGAAAGTGATTGACAAGTTGAAATTCACGGTCCAGCCAAAGGCGAGAATGCTAGAGGTTGCGACAACGAGCAACGGGAGAGAAATTTTTGGTCTAGCTCTTTCGATTAGAAATTTCCCAGGTCTCGTTCCTTATTTTTGTGGATGGTATGACTGAGCTTCTTGGAAATTCTCCTATAGTTTTAGTCGACTACATGGCTGTTGGCTATCGAGGTAAACGCAGGGCCCAGCCCCAAGGGAAGGAAAGAAAGGCCGATCTTCTGATACTCTTTCAGTCCATATATGTGATGAAAGATCTTTGGAATCGAGGCTCCAATCACGTAGTAACCACAAACAATGATCGCGTTGCTTAATAAAATCAGCGTAGTAACCATTCTAATCACTATCGCAAGCGTATTCAGCGGGTTAGGAATTCCGCATTACGCTCTCGCGGGTGGCTGTGCCGGACGTCGCTCTAATTTGCATTCGGCTAGGTAAGATGTCAGGGAGATATTCTATCCTGGTGGTGAAATTGACCCGTTTCTGACAATATTCCTTGACGTTTCGGGGACGAATATGGCGAATTGAACAATATAAATGGATGCCATGATAACAAGAAACCAGAATATTGCTCTCAGCCCAAATATTGGGTAGGAACCCCGCCAATTTTGGGCCTAATTGAATGTCCTATTAACGAACCTGCCCTTATATAGCCAATATATGATCCTCTTTGGGTCGCAGTAGCGATATCAGCCACTACCCCAGATGCTAGGGCAATCGTCTTGCTGCTCCCAGCACTCTGCAAGCAACGGAGCACAAAACACCAAAATTGTTCTGTAATGATAATACAATATTGGCAGAAACATATATGATGAAGGAAATGATGTATGCAGGTTGTTTGCCAGCAGCATCTGCAAAATCTCCCAAGAACGTTGGTGACAATCCTTGCATGGCCTAGATGGAGAGCAGGATACCCTTAGTTAGCAAGAAAACAACAACACAGCTTCTTTCAAGTTTCATACCATATAGGTGGTGACAGTCAGGTCCATCTCCCATGCGAAACATTCAAGCTCCTCCCCATAACATTTAGTGCTGAAAGGTGTTTTCCGGAGAAGAGAAAAAAGCCCAGCCCATGATGCGCAAAATGACAATATGCAGACGTAATGACAAAGGAAAAGTAGATTATACACGTTCTTCCTGAAGATTAGGGTTATAATTGTGCTCGGCCTTCTCAACAAACGTGTAACTGCGAGAACACTCTGTTTCAGCTGATGTGATATCCCCTAATGTGGTACCATTGCTGCTCTGAAAAGGAGGATCCATCGTGTTTGGGTTTGAAAATGGATGGAAGCCTTGGTTTCAAGCCTTCTTATATACTGCATGTTCAAAACCGGAATGTAGCCAGGAATTGAGGAGTCCATAATTGGCAATTGAGAAGAGTCCCGACCTTAAGTACCCTGAAGTCCCGCGTTCGTGGGAACAAGGTATAATTGACCTTGAGAAACCAGCCGCCGATGCATTCCCGCGCCAGACTCGCAAAACAAGAGAAAGAAGCATGCAAGATCAAGACCTGGCTTGTTGTACATACATACAAACATGTTTGATGGATGTGTCTTTCCATTACTGCGAAGTGAGTAGTACTGTATTAGGCATATATTCGGGTCCATGCAAGCCGCTTTCCGGTCCGTTGCCTGAGAAAACTGCAGGCCACACTTTAAAGGAAGAGGAGATGGTCGAGTGTTACCCATCATACACAGAGTGGTTGCAATGTAGAAACCAGGGTTTGTCGATGTATGCAGGTCCATTGTTGTACCACTCCGTTCACCATTGTATCTGCAGGCATCGCTGCTGGCAAAATGCAGGACAAAGGGGGTGAGAATTTGGGCAGAAGCTCACCCAAATTACCTCGCTCAGCCACCTTGCAGGATCTTCCTAGAGATATAGTGTATGACATTTTTTTTTTCCTTTTTTTTTCTTTTTTTTTGTTTTTGATGATAACCAAGCTAGCTCCGTAAGAAACTAGGACAACCAATCCTTCTCGGATAACCTCTGATCTGGAGAATAGATGAGACTGATCAGTTTCCCTCAATGGCTTCTAATGGTGGAATTATAACACCAACACCTCATGGTTATCCGTGGCCTAACATACAGGAAACTTATTAGAAAATAACATTTGAAGTAGACCAGCACCCAGTCAATAAAGGTTCCCCCTTAAAGGAATTTGGACTGTACTTCGCTTTGAACAGCCAATGGACTATATGTACATACTTTCAACCTAACTTGTTGTATCCTTTTCCTGAGCTGCCTTGCGGCAGGCATCAAAGAAAATCTGAACAAAATCCCACACATCTGTGAATGTGTTGTATAGTGGTGCTGGGGCGACACGGATGACATCAGGTTTTCTTTCATCCAGGATAACACCATTGTCAACGAGATGACTAAATACGCTGTCGAGAAGCCCGGGTTTCAATAGCACACTCAGCTGCGCACCCCGTGCTTCAGGATCAGATGGAGTAATAATCGAGAATGGATCGTCGCTGGGTCGGACACCCTCCGGGGAGTTGAGGAGTAAATGTTCCAGATATGCAGTTAACTCAAGGGACTTCTTTCGAAGCGCAGGCATAGTAGCCTTGTCGAAAATGTCGAGAGAAGAGAGTACAGCAGTCATATCAAGGACCGAAGGGTTCGAAAGTTGGAATCCAGCCGCACCAGGGCGAGGAACAAAATCTAGCGACATTGCATTAATCAACCGACGATCAACCGCGCCCTGAAGCCATTGGAAAAAAAACTTACTATTATCCATGAGAAATCTCAGGCTCTTATCCCCGCCCCACCAGCCCGTTAGGCGATGTCTGTATGGATCTTCTTTATTCTCCAGGTTGACTTGGCCGTGTTTTTCATGCACGAACAGAGCTCCCATGGAACCAGGGCCTGAATTCACGTATTTATACGTACACCAAGCGGCAAAGTCCACATCCCAATCGTGGAGCTTCAATTCAACATTTCCAGCAGCATGTGCACAGTCCCATCCTATAAGTAGGCCCTTAGAGTGCGCATGGGCTGTAATAGTTGGAATATCAAGATACTGGCCGCTGTAATACTGGATGCCGGGGAGTAAGATGAGAGCAGTGCTGGATGCATGCTCGTCGATGGTTTTCAGTATCCTTTCTGTCGGAAGGACAGGCTCTTTAAGGTCCTTCGGCTCGATTAGCACCATAGCATCTTTCGGGTCGAAACCATGATGCCGAATTTGAGACTCCACGGCATACTAAAGCGCAGCTTATCAGCCATTGCCTGCAATTCGGACAGTCCACATTACGTTGAGAGTCAGGGTCGGCCCATACATGATCACTAGGGAAAGCCTTCCCTTCAAGAATAATCTTATACTTCTCCTTTGTCGGGCGGTAAAAGCTCGCCATAAGAAGGTGCAAATTGCCTGTCAACGTGCTCATAACGGCCACTTCGCTCGGAAGCGCTCCCACGACCTGAGCCATCAGCTTCGACGTAACATCATCGTAGTCCATGTACGGAGGGAAAGGGGAGTCTTCGAGCTTAGTGAAGTGTCCGAGAACGGCCTTGGTCGCCCATGTTTGTAAAAATCGATCAATGTACATGCGAGCATTTTTCGGTTGAAGGCCAAGGGAATTTCCACAAAGGTATATGCAATCTGAAGATGGGCTTTCTATAAATCCTGTAAGTCACGCTGCTTGTGTGGATTTGAGCTGCCAGAAGCAAGGGGGCAAAGGGGAAAAGCAGAGCTCACCTCCTTCGGCAACGGCAAGGGATTTTCTTTTTAGATCTGCTTTTGAGGGAATGATGAACTGATTCCTAAATTCGCGAAGCGGATCCTGAGCATCTAGAGACTCTGCGTACTCCCTCTTGAATGAAAGAGCACTGTCTCTGAAAGGAAGAGGGGCTTTCGAACTGTCGACCATGTTTTCCTTTTTGTTATTATAGACAACCAGCTTAAGTACGGAAGATTTCTCTTCTTGCTGATAGATTTAGCAGGACAGAGGAATTAACTCGTTCAGGAGGCGATGGATAGATATCTGCTACTTATCCTTCCCCTCTGAGCGCGAGGATATATACGGTGACGGTCGCAGAACATAGAGGGCAGTGTTGACTCTGCAACCCCCACATCCACCGTTACAGGCGTCATCTCTTTGACTTTCGGCAAATTCTTGGTCCAGGCACTCCGTGTCTCTGAGGGATGCACACGCTATGAATCACCGACCAACTCAACCTCCCAAAGCCCCAATAGCCGTTGCCAGCCGTGAACTAGGGAAGTTTATCGTCCTCAATTGAACACCACAATTCATTCTGGGAGCGCTCTTGATCTGTAGTATCTACTCCATGCAGCACCTCCTAAACCTGGGTTTGGGATACCGTCTTTAAATTCCCAGTATCGTATAACAGCTAGGTAGTAGTATCTCTACATTACCAGAGAAATCCCCCGCCACAGAGTGTTGGATTTCATCTTCATTCAGAATGTCAACTTGGCTCCGACGGACGGCGGAACCAAACGACCGGGCATTTCCTTTTCGATCTCATACTTTACTCTCCAGCCGGAACAGTGACCCGGAAGCAAAATCTTAGGGTTGAGTGCTTTGAGATCCTTAACCGTGGCCTCAATCTGGGCTGCTTCGCTTCCAGCAAGATGATATCCGCCGAAAATTGCGTAGGCGGGAATATTCTTCCCGGCCAAATCCACTGCGTGTCTCGATGCATTGACGACGCCGGCGTGGCTGCAACCGGTAAATATAACGAGACCCTTGCCTGTGGACACCGACAATTCGTTAGCCTTCCGCTCAGCCGCACGAAGGTGGAGGTCAATTCCTCTCCAAATGGGCTGTTCAATAAACAGTCCTACCCTTGAGGTTGCATGCAAGAAGCCGCTCATCAGCAATTATCTCATCTTTGTCCCATTGACCTGTTGATTTCTCAAAGCGCACCGCATGCGCCAACCCGGTCTCATATTCCGTGATGCGCGGAATCTCTCCTGAGATAAGGAACATGCCGTCCAGGACTGTGTGAGGGGAGGTGGTCTTTTCTACCTTCGCCCCCGCATCCTCGATCTCCTCAAATGTGGGGTCTGCCTCAAGCGAAATTATTTCAGACCCGATGCTGAATCCCCGGTAGTCTGGGCGTGCTTCGTGCAAGTCGACCACGAGATCCTGACCGCTGCGACCATTCGCCGCTTGTGCGTCTCGAATCATCTGTATCGCGCGAAGCATACCGCCTACATATTCAAGTCTCATTACCGTGCTAAAATAGGGACAAGCTATATGCGTTACCTGAGTGGTCTCGATGCCAATGCGATAATTGGATACGCTCAATGGTCGAAATATCGGCCCTGAGTCGCTTAACATTGCGTTCCCAGACGCTTTCTTCTGGGCCAGTGTCAAACAATATTGTATGCCTGACATCTCCTCTAGTCGCCGTCTGTGAAAACATATTGATGAGTAGAGTCATGTATCACTCAGCTTAAGTACCACACGCATTGTTCTTACAATCATCACTGAAAGTCCATGGGCAGAGCAGCAGATACTGTCCATGCGAAGCTCCTTTGAAGCGTCGCCTCGGTGATGCAAGTCATATGGAGATTCGAGTGCTATATTGCCCATCAACCCAGTCGCTTGGACGGTATCGGGTGGGGGAGGGGACATGACATCCAGCTCATTGTCAACAATAACGACAATCTCTAGAGAATCAACTTCAACAAGTGTCATTTTCACTCGGGTGCACAGCACAACAATTTCAAGTCTGCAGATGAGTGAAACGGTGCTTGGAGAAGGGTGTTGTACATGTGGCTTTGGTAACAGTTAAGCCTCCTTATATTAGTGGGCTTTAGCCATCCGCTGCCGGACGCCGCCCCGCGCGATATTCTCCTGTTCAATACCGAATTACTTTTGGCAACTCCAGCTGGAATTTGAGATATTTCTATCAAGTATGCCTAGCTTAATCTTGTGCAGCAACTGACTTGCCAACCCAACGGATACTCTGTTAATGGAGTGGTAGAACAGATTTGGAGCTGCACTCAAAAAAAAAAAAGAAAAAAAATAGAAAAGGATTAAGGAGCTCCTCGGCAGAAAGTGTAACTTCTCCATGGGACTAAAGTTTAAACCTTTCCTCAACAAGCTTGTGGTGATCCAGATAACATGCAGAAGAACCTGTTTTGCACGACCCGAGAGAACTCAATCACTGAATTCTGGAAGCTTCACAGCAATGACGTGATGAGAGCTTATCCTTGAAATATCTACCAATGGTAGAAGAATACCAGGTGAAGACCCGGAGCTCGTTGCCTGCTGACCTGTGCGACATGACCTTATATTAGCCAGCACCCTCGGGGATAGGAGGTGAGCTCCGGGATACTTTAGACTCTTATCAGGAGGCAAAGGCACCAAAGAAATTTGCGTCTCATTAACAACACAGATTATACATGATCCAAAGAGGTTGACAAGCACCTGCTAACAAAATGGCTTCCATTTCAGATGTGATGAGGGCGGATCAGCAGCAGATGCGAGATCACTACCAAAAAATCATCGAGGCCCAGGATGACGACACCAGGAAGCGTTGGGGCAACCAGGTAAAGCTCTTGATGAAGTTAACTTCAAAATATCTCCTACGCTGAACAGCAACAAAACAGTTCGTCTGGGAGCTTGCCCGCTATGCCGTGGCCGAGGAGCTCGTCGTGTATCCGGCCCTCGAGTCTCACATGGACCATGGCAAGGTTATAGCCGATAAGGATAGGGGTGAAAACCAGCAGGTATGCTGCTCGAGATTCTGGAGTCTGGTCGGATGCCTAACGGGGAATATATACTAGATCAAAGAGTTGCTGGCCAAGTTCCAAGATATGAAGCCTAGTGACCCGCGATATCTACCCATGCTAGATTCCATCATGGATAATCTGAACAAGCATTTTGATGAAGAACAGGAAGAGGATATCCCTTCCCTGGAATCTGTCTTGGAGCCGGCGGAATCCGAAACCATTTCTAGGCGGTTTGAGCGGACTAAGATCTTGATGCCGACACGCGCCCATCCAAATGCGCCAACTCAGCCATATTTTGAAACAGCAATTGCCTTTATGCAAGCACCAATGGATCGTATTGCAGATATCATGTGGAGAGAATTCCCCGAGTTTTAGGGCAACTGAAGGCGAATCGTGAGCCAAAACTGGCTTTGAAGCTGACGCAGGAACTCTGCTGCTTAAGAAACGATGTTGCAAATATTATCCATGACCGAGGTACTTCCTTATGTTAGGGGTAGCTAATTCTGGGGTCTGATCTTGCTGGAAAACACCTGCGATCGTTTTGAGGTTTTCACAGTAATGATGACGGAAAGGCACATATTCAAGTTTTGTAAAGGGTAATGTGAGGTATAATTATGAGCCATTAAAAGAAAAAAAAAAAAAAAAAGATGTATTTCTAGCTGCTAGTTGTTGACAGTTGAATTTCAATTCCTTCTGCTGATGATCTCTCTGCCTCTGTATTGCTGGAGCCCAAAATGCCATAACCGTTGCCAAGAGGGCGGTGTGGCGGCGGATCCAATCGGAGCGCTTGGTTGGACTGAGCTTAAAAATGCCGGGGATTACTAAAATCCCATCTCTTGGGCGTCCTGAGGAGCGGAGTTCAAGCTCCAAAACACACCAACTTCATGGCACACTTGTTCTGGATGCTCGGCTGAAGGTATCTTGTTTTGCATCTGAGCGTGGCTCTTCCCGTACAATGTCACCGCCAACGCTCCTTTCTACCGGCACCCGCCTTGTCCAGTGCCAAAACATCCCCGCCGCAACCGTCTCCCGTCATTTTCAGCGACTCGCATCATCGAGCAGCTCAAGAGCTGGCTTCAAATCGTCGGGAGTGCCTTCCGGCACCGGCCGTGTGTCTCTGTCCTCCTCACGTTGGCGGGCCGCCCAAGAGTTTCCAATCTTTCCCCCTCATCGGAGGGACAACCGCACCTTGCTCGATCGCAGACTTGCATTCTCCACAACGGCTTTGAACCACACAACAATAGTGGCTCTAAACCCTAGAGTTGATGATGATGGAAATCCGATGACGATTGAAATATCTCCCCGCGCAGCGAAGGTATGTTAAAATGCTCTTTGTGGGTACTAGTTTTGGTTTTCAGGCAGAGAGAAATTCCGCCTTCGGAAGGCCATCTCAAGCCTTTGTTTTAGAAAGAGGGGATTTAGCATACTGCTATGATATTGTGGATTCACTTCTAGAACAATCACATACGACCATAGGAAGTGGAAAACAGGGCTTCCCGTCCGCTCAGCCGTACTTAAGCCACTTGCCGGCTGGCTAGTAGTTGGGTGGCTCACTACCAGCGAATCCCGGCTGTTGTATTTTATTTTATTTTATTTTTTTTTGTGTTCAGTTTCCCAGAAAAGATTTTCTTCGCATTCCGGATTTGCGTTGGGCATTTCACTGTTCAGCCTTGCCGTTGCTAACAAGTTCTACCTATAAGCGTCTCCGACAATTAACTGACCCGTCGTCCAAATCCTCCCTGAACTCTAAGTCCGAACCATACGACCATCTCCGAGTCACTGTCACAAGCGGCGGTTGCCATGGCTTTCAGTATATAATGTCTCTCGACCCACGGTCCAAAATCGACCCAGAAGAAGATACTGTTTTTGAAGAAGAGACCCAAGACACGCCCATGGAAGCATCGTCATCCCCCGGTCTCACTTCCAAAACATCCGCGGGAGAAGCGAAAGTCGTTATGGATTCTGCATCTCTTGAGCTGCTTAAAGGCAGCACCATTGATTATACGGTTGAACTGATAGGAAGTCAGTTCAAGGTCGTGAATAATCCAAGAGCGACGAGTAGTTGTGGATGCGGTACTAGTTTCGACGTTACTGAGTGATGATAAAAGATAGTATACTCCGGAATTTACAGCAAAAGACCTGTTTGGGAGGACCTGTATGTAAGAGACAGATGCCTTCACACTGATTTACAGGATTTGCCTAAGGGCGCATTCTCCTCCCTCTTATGCCTCCAGGTACCAAAGCGATTGGGACAGTCTGATCGAAGATACCTGGGAATGCATCTGGGCAATCTATTCCTATGCTTTTCATTTGTATAGTACATGACATAGACAACCAAGTAAAGACGCAAAAAAAAAAGAAAAAGAACAATCAAAATTTTACCAAAACAGGAAAATTACTCCGTACAATGTAAACTGTTATTGGAAGGGCGTCGAACAATGAAACCAAGACTCGTTAGCATAATAACATGGACCATAAGCGCCTAAGAAGTAAAGAAGGACTATAACCATGACCTTCTTTATAGGATACCTTTTTGGGGATAGGAAACCGCTTTTTGACACGAGAATCCAAGCAAAACTCCACATTTTCTTTCCCTTCATGACAGGTACAAAAGAGTATTATCAGACAAAGATCCATAGCTGGCAGGCTCTCATGAGGCAACCATCAGACTTGTATCTCGTAGAATGCAGAGTAAACTTGAAAAACCACCTAATCCGTTCATGAAATCCTCCCTTCGATGGTCAATCTAGTATGTTCTGGCAAGGTTGCGCAGGTACCAATCCACTAATCTTCGACCCGCCTTAGTTTCGCTGATGTGAATCAGATTGCCTTCGATGGCATAATCCAAGTCACTGGAGTTGACGATTTCACCTTCCAACAAGCCTCCCTCAGACCATCTCACCTGTCTACTCCGCAACTTGTTCACGAGAAGCCACGAGCGGAGTTGCTCTGGCTCAACTTCCAGGAACCCAGCGAGCTTCTTCAAATCCATCGTGGTGTATAGTTTAAGATATGATTTCACAGTTGGGTTGTATAACGTGTTGCGCACTTCATCCATAAAGACGGCCGTATGATGATCCACAGGATCGATGTTAAGAGCTGGATTGTCGAAATCCGGGGGGGTTGGGCTGATGAATTTTGGGCATGCCGAGCGGAAAAGCTCTTCATAGAGTGGAAGGGCGTCCGGCCCACCGCGCTGAAGGCGAATGAACTGGTCACCATACTTCTCGCGAAGGCCTGAGTGGATAGTGTCGTCCAATCGGGTGGGGTGGAAAGAGACACAGATTGCGATGAGCGCAAGAATCTGATCGTTCTTCTTGGCGATAGCATCGTAGCTCTCCCTGCCCTTCTGGAAGTTTTTCGTTCTCGAAACGTAGACGAGAATGTGACTAAAGGTGCGAATGGCATCGGCATAGCGGCGCATCATCATATATGAGAAACCGACATAGTAGTAGGTTGTGAAATGGGCAGCCATTACTCGAGCAAACATGGCCTTTTTGTTCATCTCGATGTCATCAAGAGTCTTGAGAGCCAAGCTGAAATCACCTAGCAAGCAGTGGACACGTAGCAGCCCAATAATAGAGAAATATCCGAGCATGCGATAGAGGGGGCGAGATCCGTAGTCTCCGGCGACGGCCATGGGATCTTCATTGGCCTTTATAGCAGCCAGCTGCTCGTTAATTTGAGATCGTTGAATAAGGGAGTAGAGGACGTTAAGGACAGAGTAGCATCCCCAGGTGTTGGGATTCTCTCTCAAAAGCTGTGCTTCCTCCTCGTTCGAGCCGGTACGAGCAACCCGGTTACGATAGCGGCAAAAAGACTCGAATTGGTAGATGAATTCATCGATCACGTCCCATGCCCAGTAGTACTAGAAATAAAATCCAGATTAGCCTCGCCCTTTCATAGCCACATGAGGAGCGCGACCCACGACCTCGCAAGTCAATTAAGGCGCGAGCTCGCGGGAAGAAGTAGGAAAAAAACATACAGAGGGGACTTCCAGATCTACTGGTCCATCCGAGTTCAAGATATAATGGAATAGACTGCAGTAATTATCGTAGCTCGCGAACTTCGTCTCAAGGGTGGCCTGAAACTCCAATGGAGTCGCTGCTGCTGCCAGCTGCGCCTGGAGGCCCTGTGTCTGCGAGGCAGCTCCCAGTGAGGTAGTCCGATCCAATTCGCTCATTCCATCATCAAAGTGCACTTGTTCTTTATAGTTGTTCACGAGGGCCTCTTCTTCAACGTCTGATTCGTCCTGCATATTGGCCGGTGGGCGACTCCCCGGGTACGCTGTGCGAGCGTCGACGGACATTGCTGTAGATCCCCAGCGAAGATTGGTACACACTATTTGGAGTAAGCACGAACCCTTAAGATGTTGCTTGCAGTTGTTGGCGTCGAGGTTGCTCCACACTGAATTTTTGATGTTGAACTTCAGTTTTTCGATTTTCGCTTCAATGTGAGTGCTTTGTGCTTATCTTATCTTAGCGTGCATCCCAATCATCTCACAATGTCACGTGAGTCAACTTCTGCTCCAGGCAACTCGGCAATGTTGTGCTGCTTGATTAGAGGAGGAGCTGTACACAGTGGAAGATGAAGCCTGTGTGATAAGTGTAACCAGAGCTGAGGGTGATACTAGGTTTACCAAGAAGATATTGCTCCCTTCCACATCGTGTCTGTTGTTGATGATAGTTAATCAGAATCATATTTTTGCATGAACACACTCTTCTTTAGCCTTGCTGCAGATGACATATATTGAAGTAAAAACTATTGCTGAAAAGAGCAGGACAAGAAATATCAGATTAAACAATGCAATCATCCTTCCCAAGTAACTTCCTCACCTCGAATGATAAAACCAGGAAAGCTACAGAGATATTGGGTATCTAACAGGAAGAATTTCAAAAATGGCAGGACAGCTTTGGTGCTTTGACCCAGTGCAAGGCATTGGAGAGAAGAAAGAAAGGGAAGGGCTGTACGGAGTAGGGCATTCTAGATGAATAGAACAGGGTGGGTATGATGGCCGAACATTAGTTTTGAATAGTAGCTTGATGCTTCCAATAATGCAAGAGTGAGCGAGAGGGCAAAATGGGAAACTGAATGTCAGCAGATGTCCAGATAAGCATTTAGACAGCAATCGGATTCGCCCAGTTGACTCCGCCTGTAACAGAGGCACAGCTTGTCAACTCCTCCGTTCCGTCAGAGTCAGCGTCACTATCATCGAGATGCAGCATCTCGAACCGATTGGCCATAGGATTCAATTTTTTGGCTGGTCGAGGAGTTTCCCTCCTTAGCATATGCTGGATCCGTGGCAACGGCTCTGCGCACTCATCGGGATAGTACTCTATTCTCATAACTTTATATGGCATGCGGGATCTCATGCAATTGCGAGCATATGACGCTTTTTGAACCGAGTTTGTGGAAATATATGCATTGCCTTGGGTAAACGTAACTGAAATAATCACCAAATTGTGTATATGCTCCATATCCTCTCGGATTTGGGATTCGGTCAAATTGGGGTGGATTCCGCGAATCAAGATATTGCGGGAAGCCCCATTTGACACCTGAGAGGCGATATAGTTTGACAGAATGAACTGGCGGTCACTCCATGAAACATCAACCTTAAAAGGCAACGGTGTGAGCTATCAAAACGAAAAATCTGTCCTTCTCAAACTTACAGGCTTATCAAGGATACACAAATGCTGCCGCTTCGCATATGTGAAGAACTCCTGGGCAGCTCTGCTGTCAGCAAACGAGATGCTCGCAGTACGCTCCCTGGAGCGAAGAAAGACATCTACCAGCGCGCCTCCGCGAACAGCAGCGACAATGTGGGAATGGGTTGTTCGATCTGGAATGCCTTTTAACACGATGGTACGATTATCACTTCCATTCCCGTGGCATTTCATTGCAACCGTATGCCCGTCACCAGAATATGGTGAATCCAACTTCCCATCACTTGGGGTTGAAACATTGTCATGGTCATCAGAATCTGGGCGACCTGGTGTGTCAATTATGGAACGGGTGGTTGGCTCTGCTGAGCTTCGTTGTGGATGGCAGTATAACGCAGCATCTCGCTCAGTGTGATTTTTGGTCGTGGTAGTCTTCGGAGAGCTACAAGCAGAAATTTGGTCATGGCGAAGAGTGGAATTCGAACTATTCTCGTTTTCTTGTGATACCTCGTAGGAATTATCGGGACTACGGATCAATGTCTTGCATAGAAGTAAGCGTTGATAATTCCTGACAGTCTAAAGCGGGATGCCCTCACTTCAAGAGATGACTGCGGTATGCCTCCACGAATCAAAGCTTGCTTTAATCTCTCTGGCGCCGCAGACATGTATTTAGACGGAAATCGAGGGAGGGCCTAGATAATGGGGCATAAACATACCGTATTCACAGGACCGACGCGCCTTCACCACTCGTTGTTAGCCTCATAGGTCAAGGCAATATTTAGCAGATCCATACTTACCAATGAGTCGTATTCAGACTTAAGGATCGTCACAGTTGCAACATCAGGACGTCGCGAGGCTGAAGACAATTCATGCTGAAAGTGTTGGCAGGGGATGAATGCCATTAGCATGGAAGTGTCTGTCAGCTGTTATTGTAACTGCGGGTATTCTTACGCTATCAAACAAAGTACTATAGCTGTATGCGGTCAAAAGTTAGCCTTCGCCTTGATCTTGTAAAGGGGATGGTGTCAGGAGCAGAGAGAGCTCCGAGAGAAGTAACCTAGATGAAAACGGGGCCGTATGAAGGGAGCTTCGCGTACCTTGGGAGAGACCCAGAAGAGCCTTTTACATTCGTATGACGGGGTGCCATTGTTTTAATTCCCTGATCACATCTATGGCATGATAAATCAAAGATGGTCAGTGTTGGCAGTGCAAGGTTGAAATTGAAGGCAGAAAAAAGGAGATAGGGTACGGAGTACGGAGTAGAGGAAGGCGGCGTTGGGTTATAAGCAAGTGAAAGGTAACAACATGTTGACTTGTAACTACATCATTAATCCGGGAAAAAAACGGACCGCCTTTTTACTTACACCAACAGGCATGGAATACCTTCCACTTTTTCCCCTGAAAGAGAAGAAAGTAATAACAATAGTGAGAAGAAGTTGAACTGAACAAGAAACAATCTGGAGAAGTTACAGGGAGCTTTCAGTGCTACCCAAAATATTTGTTAGCCCGGGAGGTTAACTTAGCGCAGGGCTGTTGGGCCGTTGTTGCTTGCTTAACTAACCAAAGAGTAATGATGGGAGTGGGTTAAGATGTAGGTTCGGGCAACAGGTACGGAGTACATCAGACAGCAGTCCACACCCCGTCACCCAGCAGCTCAATGTCAACCCGAAGATGCACCGGGTGGCGAACTATGGAGTCCTAATCACTAACTAATCAAGTGTTAGCAAATCTGGAACAGGGGTTCCCCTTGCCAATGACAACTCTCTGGCATATGCAACTATCAACCACAAGACATTATCTGGCCGCTAGCATCGAAATGATTCAACTTGTGGATAGTTTTAGGATCAAGGAACTAACTCAATGCTAGAGTGGAGAGAGTGGTCCTTTTTTGACCCGAGGGTATATTGTTAGCCTGTACTCCGTACGGAGTATATCGTTAGATTCTGGTAACTCCCATAGTTTGAGGTGTCCAAATGAGTAACTTCTGATAACTGTTCCTTAGGAGCTTCCGCATAGTAGCAGCTTTTTATACACTTTATACAGACTACTAAAGTACTTCTTTCACTCCTACTTTGTTGGTATACCCTATACATGAATATAAGTGTGGGCGGACCGGGAACAGCACAAGCTTTCCATCTTGTAGGCTTGCGAATTTGGAATGGGAAGCTCTGCAACTAAAATAACTAGCTCCAGTGCATGCAAAAAGTCTGTCAGGCACCTGTCGCAGCAGGGATAAGTAGTGTGTACCTCTTTTGTCTATTTCTCGAAAATTGCATGCGATTTAGGCGCTCTGAAATGCACAGGTGTTATGATACTGGCAAAAGCGCATTTTACTCCATCTTTTCGGGTACTCTCCTTTTCAAGGAAACCTCTTTGAGCAACAGCAACACAAGGCCCACTTCCCACAAAGCTTAATTTTAAGCTTGTTTGGCAGGTATCCCGTACAGAGTAATCGGGGTGCTCCTCTCGGCAACCTTGCTTTGATGCCACTTCCAACTACTTTGCGACGCATCGATTGTGTCAACCCTAGCGAGCAGACTCCACCCATTATACTCGCAGGAGTACTCCTATTTGAAATAGCTTTAGATAAGACAAATGGTTCTATCCATAGGGAAGAAAGAAAACATGAATATATACAGAAGTGGTGCGCGATAACGAAGTTTTGCCATTAACAAAAAATATAAAAAAATAAACAGCATGTATGAGAAAACTATGTATCATGCGTGATACTTTGTTCGGCCGAACCTTTTGGGGGCGTGTTGCCATTCGACCCAATGGGCTTCATTTGAGCATTGCCTCCCTGTTTCAAAGACTTCACCAGGACGATTGCGACATATACAAGGCCCATAACGCCCGCGATCACTCCATATGCAATGACACCTGCTCTCGGTACGGTGGGATTACCAATTCCACTAAATTTGAAGCCCAGACCGCCATTGACGATGCCCAAGACAATCAAAAGTCGACCACCCCATCGGTGAAGATCACCAAAGGAACTCCTTTCGCCTGTCTTTCGAAAATGCATATGCTGGAGTAGACCGAGAGCGGGCTGGAAAAGGATCAAACTTCCTATCATGATAAGGCCTATAACCGGATGATAACCAGATATAACCCCTAGATCCAATGCCAAAGAGATTCCGATGCCAAAACCTGCGATTGCCAAACATAGTGCGACCAGTTGGAGTGGCGCATGGATATATGGGACGGTGGCTCTGGAGGGGATAACTTGAAGACTCAGCGCGAAAAGAGGGAATAGGACCACAACGACGATAGACATAATCAATCCGTGAGCGATGCGTTTAATTTCGATTGCTGATCTTCCTCCCTGTACAGGCACGGCGCCGTTGGAATTGGTGGAGGTCGGGGGCGGGGGGTCATTTGAAGGGATATCCTGGAACGGATTGTCGGAGCTGCCGCCGACAGCCCTTGTCAGATCAAGAGTGAACGTGCCCATAACATCATGTTGTTGGAGGTCTTCGTCAGTATCCGACGAATCAATGGAGGATCCCATTTTCAGACCCCATATCCATGGGCTAGCAGTATCTGTAGGATCCATCATCCCTCCTTCCCACGACATGCAGGTGTCACATCTGACATTTGCAACCATCCTGCCGTCTGAGATCCCCGTGCCTTCGAGGAGCGAAATTTTGGCATCCGGATTCACTTCAGGTTCGAAGTAGCCCGCGGCTAACCTCGGCGACAGCGTCACATTTGTGGAGGATGCGGAATAAAGCATGAAAACGTTGGCACCGTCCATGCCGGCTCCTTGGCCTAGGCCAACCCATTGGACATCGTTCGGGGCTGAAATTTGAAAGTAAATTGGGCCTGATCTTGAGGAAGCCGTAGATGTTGGAACGTTGACACGGAAGCTCAACCCAGAAGCTCGGCCTCCAGGACTGAATTGAATGCTGTTGCCCAGAACGCTCGATGCTAACACGAGCATTAGATGGCTCAATTCATCAACGGAGGCTCTTAGACCCATAGCACTGAATGAAAATGTGGCTTACCAAAGGCCAAAACCGCTGTCGGCCAACCCAAGGGCTCTAGTCTCATTTTGCACACGGGCTTAGGGTATCTGGTTCAATGACCAAACAAAAAAAAAAGAAAAGAAAAGAAAAGAAACAAGGTAAGAGCTCAAACTGCGAGCGAAAAAAAATCAACAAAGGAGAAGAAATGGCGGCTCTTCTGGGAGACGAACGAGTGTTATGTATTGACATCCCAATGATCAGCGACGGAATAAGCTCTTGGGTCTTAAGTGAGAGCAGCCCTGTCGAGAGGAGGACGCGTTTCAATTTCACCCTGGATCCGGGGTATAAAAGGACAATCAAGAAAAAAAATCATATCTGCAGGGAGCTCGGAGTACATACATACAGTACGTAATTTCGGCTGGGAGGATCTGCGGCCTCGACCGCGAATCAAGAGGGGGACAAATATAATCCATGGCGCATGGCGTGTACGAAATTATGGAAACTTCACCTGGGAGTACGATGCAATGTGAAGAATTGGCTAACCCTATCCCATTTTAAATGTGGTGTCCCTGCTTGATGCTCACTCCAGGAGGGGCGGAAGTCGACCATAATGCCCAAAGCCAAGCCCAGCGTGTTACTTGCAGATTCCCGGAGGAACTGCGAACCCAGCAACTCCTCCAGCTCAAGATCGCAGGAAGTTTTAAGACACTGAGTTCGAACAGGACGAAACATCCTCCTAACCGCTTTCTGAGAGAAGAGTTCAAGGGGGGGGTCAAGCGTTTTTCATTCACTAATCGCCAGGGGCTCCGACAACCAGCCATAATCCAGATTGAAACTCGCCCTTTCGCAACCACCGAAGCTTCGGAGGATAGGCTGGATTATAGGACTCAACATTATTGCGTTGAGTTATCGAATTCCTCGTTAAAGAAGAGTCGAGATCTCAGCCACAGCATAGCCTTTGAGCCTGACACGGGGAAGCCTCAACAACAGGACGCAGTGGTTACGCCAAATTCGAGGCTGACGACCTTAGGTTCACTGTCTGGCTTGCCCAGCCCTGGCAAGGGGGAGCAGATAAGGATCATACACGGCCAAACCCTGCGAGATCGTCACCGAGGAGAGTGATGCATTATCGATGACATCCATGTCAATTTTAGTTGAACTATAAGTATAGCCTCTAACGCAGTGGGGTTCCAGCAGTTCAATTGTTAAAGATCTCGGGCTTATCTCACGTTCGATAATTTTTGTTCCAGCACTCTCCAACCAAACACCTTATCTTTACTTTCTTTTTCTTTCCCCTTTCCTTTCTTTCTTTTTTTTTTTTTTTTTTTTTTTTTTTGAGAGAAAGAGAATCCCTTGATAGGGGTGGCCTGTACTCCGTACCCCATGCTCTGTGTGTGTTTCCTTACCCTTGTTCGGCTCGTGTACATACTGATGCACCTTCGGCCTGCCAATGTGATGGTGCAACCCTGGAAATCGTAAGTGTGGAACTTGGCATCTGTCTAACTGTGGAGATTGAGCATAGCCGTGGAGAGCACAGAGCGGTTACAGTGACCTTATTCATGGGACAATCCTCTCCCGGAAGGGACCCCAGATGATCAGTTGCATGCAGCCTAAGTAGTTTGTGACATCAATCCCTGGACACTCGTTCCCACCGCTTTTCAATTGTCTGGAATTCTCTCTTCAGTAGCTAAGCCACAAGCCAGAAAACCGCCAGTTGCCCAAAGATATACTACAGTAAAGCCTCTATATAGCGATCACTTTACATAACGAATCCTCTACATAACGGACGAAAATCTCTTCCAAAATTAAATCTCCATACAAAATATTCGTTAACCTGTATACTACGAGATTCGTGGAATATCTCTCAAGATTTCTTAATATATCGTTATAAAAAGGCCAAAAAGACCAAAATGCCCCACCGAACCACAATTTTGATTGGGCAGAAGAAGAAATTACACTCCCACAAGGCTCTTAATCCTTCTCTCTCCAACAAGGCCTTGATGACATTGTGGAAAAGCTTCACTTGTATGAAGAGCGGCAGGATAAGGGAGATACAGAGCTAATTCAACAGTTAAATCATTATGAGAGAAGATTAGGGGCTCGGAGGCTTGAAAATCAGCAGCAGCAGGATATTAGAGTGTATTTGTATGCTAGCTCTATATAACGGATCCCTCTATATAACGAACTGAAAAGACTTCCAAAATTGATTTGTTATATAGAGGCTTTACTGTAAGAATAAACACTCTATTGTGTGGGGCCTGCGGCCTTGAAATCGATCGCGCCTGGGTCAATGCGCTTTCGACCCATGCACTAAACAAAAAGTCGTCTTTTGGAATACTTTCTCCAAGGGCGATATATAAAGGCAAAGTAACTCATTTTGATTTGAATATCCTGCTACCGGTATCGGGCCTGGCACAGCACCAGGCCACCCTACCATTGGGATGCCACATATCTTGCTTACATTGTGTCGTTCAGACTGAGTTATGAAAGGGCTAAGTGGTTTCTATTCCGGTTTTAACAGCCGCGTTTTATATTCAGTCCAAAGAGCCCAATGCTTCGAGAACGAACAATCTGCCCTGTTTTTATAATAGCACTCTGTACTCTCCCACATAAAATCCTTATATATAAGTCATAAAATATACAAAAGGGCAGCCAGGGATGCTATTCCCATTAGATCCCGTCATCAGGATAACCCCGTGCTCATGGATTCATTCAAACCATAATAGTTCCCGAGATATAACTGCAGAAAAAACCGGAGTATGGATTCGAATGCGGTTCTTGCGAGTGTTACACCAGGTAGAGGGCCGGGAATGACACCGACTGCGTGGCAAGTAGCGTGAGCATATTTTTGGTGGAAGATCCTTATTGCGGCACTTTTTGACGTGCAGCGAGTGGGATGTCTGGTTTCTCCGTTTTCTCCAGGATCGTTTTCATCATCTCATTTCCAAGTCTGACAGCTTCGGGGAACCGAGGTGCAAAGTAGTTTTGTATTCTCTCGAAACGATCTCGATAAGATTCAAAGTCGCCGAACGAAACGCAGTCAGACCATGCCTGTTAAATTTGTCAGCAAACTGTAAGCATCAAAAGAATTCAAGGGTCAGAGATGGAGGGCTGTCTGACTCGAGCGGCAAATGTAAACTCGAGATCGTCGGACCGGAACGTATTGTCATCAATGGCAATATCGAGGACTTCGTCTAACAGGTCCTCTTTTCGAAATAAATACTCCGTCACCCCAAGCCAAAGCCGAAAGAGCTGGACAGAACATTAAAAATTCGGAACTATCAAGATTGGAATAGGGGTTAAGTAGAGCAGACTAACTGGAGTTGAACAGATCATATGGTCGTAGGGAACAATTCCCAATTTCCACCAACAGTCAACAATTGCCAGCAGACTGAGATGGTTATTCGGCGTCTTCTCTGTCAGCCCCCGGGACAGGGAGAACCGATCAAGCACTTCATCTTCTAGCAGCAAATTTTGTTTCACTGCATCAGACCTGAATACAGCCGCCCTGGCAGCCTTGACTCTGCGCTTAAGCTCATCACGATGGCCGCCTAACATCAATTTGAATAGTTCGGTCACTGATTCTGCATACTGACGGATCTGTCTTTTGGCAGCAGGGTTCAATATCGCAAGGCCAGCATAGACATGCCACTTATTCGAGTAGATGCGTAATGTGATATTAATTTTGACGTTTTCAATTCCACCCACATATCGAGATATCTCCCACGGGAATTGGTTATTGGCTTGCCACGCAGTTCCCATACTCAAAAATGCAGCATGCGTCACGGCCTGAGTGTCCGCTGTGATTCGATCATGCCTCTCCCCGGTGAGGTAAACGTATTTGGATTCGAAAGACGCAAACACACTTTCAACAAACCTGAGGCTCTCGTCAGAGGCTCTGTGCTGAATCAAGACCTAAATATGCGAGGTTACTACTGACGCCTCTGACGCGGATTGTGATCTCGGCAATAATGCATACCAACGGCTGTCCTTTAGGGTTCACGTTCGGTCCATGTAGGGAATGAACCGAAATAATCTCCACGTCCCCAGGAAGATGGTTCTCAAAAGCAGCCAGCTCTGGGGCTTTGCAGGAAGTCTGACCACCAACAATCGCGCCAACTTTGGTTGCTTTGAAATTGTCAGATAAAATTTGTTGACAGACTATGAATTCGATAAAATTTGCATACATGGGCCATACTCCGCCACAATTTTGTTGATGGCTTCTGCCTCTACACTGTAGATAATGTAGTCGCTAACTCTGGAGACCAAATGTCCGTTGGGTAATATATTGATATTTGTCTACTCGAAGAAAAAATAGGAATTGAGCATCAATGTCGATTGATGGTAGTAGTGGACATACATGGGATATGAATTCTTGCCTCAGTGTGTCATAATTGGTAGGTTTGTCGCACGCATTAATGCTAGTATAATACATCAGCCCACGGTATTAGAGGGTCTTTTAAGTCTAAGCAAGCCAGCAGGTTCGATTAGCATCCATAACTGTGAATAGATAGGGTGGAAATAGATAATTAGAGTAGATGCAGATATCAGACAAGGTAAAAGTTAGGTAGCGAGCGTTTACATCAGTGACAGCGAGGTATCTTCCATGCACACCAGAAAGGTGGCATAGTCGACAACAAGCCATACTCGAGCCAAATGCACTCAAGTCATCATGTAAAAGGAAAGATATGAAAAGAAAGCCAGAACTTACCATATACCAGAGATAGTATTGGTTGGGAAAACGAGAGCATGGAGGCTCAGCAAGGGGGGGTTTTACCTCCAACCCGCTTGGCTCAAGCGCTGAGCATACATCCTTCCCATATCACCCATCCCAATGATCCCAATGGATCTTGGGTGAGAAGTATGGCCCGCCATTTTGAGGAGTGCTTGACTGTAACCTTGGTCTGCACGAGAAAAGAAAACTTTTGTAGACCGCAATTCAGTAGCAGAGATAGAGATAAAAAGGGTATACAAGAAATAAAAGAAGCCAACAGAGTCCCTAAGATCCAGCAACTTGCGTAACGTGCACGTTGTGTGTAACTCAGTGACTCATAGCGGAAATTCTACTGTCTTTGTGTAATACCAAGCACGGAAGCCATTCCTCCAACATTGGGTATTCTCTTCCAACATGAGCAGTGATGGTCAAAGAGAGGAGGCAATTGGATGAAAGTCAACAAGCGACGATAAAAAAAAAAAAAAAGGATGAGGGAGAAAATTTGCTAGTTCTCGATTTTAAGCCGGCGAGATTAGTCAGCATCTAGTTCACTAACTAAGCTAGTGCCGTTTTGGAAAGTTAGGGCACACGGGGAAAAGCCCTATGCCCGGACCACTGCGAAATCAAATGCTCATGAAGACGAACTCGAGCTGCTCCCTTTTCCTTGTGCTATCCACAACATCCTCCATCCATCGCAGCCAAAATGCCTCCAAAGAAGAAGACCGATAGACCCGCCAACGAGAACGTCTCTCTTGGACCTCTGTCCGGAGATGGTAATGTCCCCTACTCTCTTCAATTCGCCAATCATACCCTCTGACTCCGACTAGGCTCGCTCGTCTTCGGTGTCGCACGTATTTTTGCCTCCTTCAACGATACTTTCGTGCATGTCACCGATCTCAGGTTGGTTGCCCTCCATCCGTGCTCGCGGCGTTCGTAGAAATTGTGGACGCCGGCCGAATTATGAATAATCTAGGAGAATGCTGACCGATTTTTGCGCTCAGCGGTCGCGAAACTATCTGTCGTGTTACTGGTGGTATGAAGGTCAAGGCTGATCGTGACGAGTCTTCCCCCTACGCTGCTATGTTGGCTGCCCAGGATGTTGCTGCTCGCTGCAAGGAGCTTGGCATCAACGCTCTTCACATCAAGATCCGTGCTACTGGAGGTATGCAAGCAGACAATTTATACAGAGCTACAAAAACTTTTTTATGATTACATGCCAACATCTTACTCTCCACAGGTAACGGCACTAAGACTCCTGGCCCTGGTGCTCAGTCTGCGCTCCGTGCTCTCGCCCGTTCCGGAATGAGAATTGGAAGAATTGAGGATGTTACCCCGACTCCTTCCGATTCTACTCGCCGCAAGGGTGGTCGCCGTGGTCGTCGTCTATGAGTCGTCTACTTTCGCTTTCCGCCTCCATGTTGCGTACCTCTGTTTGCGGCTGGAGCGAGGATGGAATGCATGGATACATTGGCGCTATCCTTTTGCATTACGTGGATGGAATAAACGCGAAGAACGGCAGTAACGCCTGGTCTTCTTTTTTTTCTTTATCCCAAAATTTCTTGCTCGTGTACGTTATGTGGGTGTTAGTACTGCCCTCATATAATCCAATCAAACGAGATACTTGAGCATTTTAAATCGTTATTCAATACTGGATGTGTTTTGTATATTGGCCCTATACATGGAGTACTCCGGATATTATCCTAAGGTAAACCTTGGTAATAATGTAGCTGTGCTCACGTCTTAATCTCAGCCAAGTTCCTCAATTTGTGGAGTACATACCGCCGCTCACCGTCTGCGTTTGATCTATAGACCGGAATGGACCTATTTTCCCTATAAAGCCCGATATCTGTCTTGCACTTAAGTTCTCCCATCTCCCATTTATCCAATCATCAGGAGGCTATTTTCTGTCGGGAGTCTGATGATACATCTTGCGCTGGTCCCTAGTCGCCACACCATCACTCGAGTCGACAACGGCTTAGCCACCACATCTTGCCAAATGTCGGATTCTCCTCGACCGACTCCTACTCTTGTCATCAGCGACCTCCCTCCAACAACGCTTGTCGGCATCGACCTCTTCTCATTCAACTCTACCCCGAATTTCTACGGAGTGAAGGACCTACCTCCAGGCGCACACTTTCTCTACACAAGTACAACGGAAAGTTTCTCACTTAGAAGCGGTGAATGGTTCTATGTCGGAGAGAATGGCAGTCCAAACCAGCTCGCCCGCCAAAGTCATATCGATATAAGATTGCGAAAATGGGACAAGGCGCTGGAGGCGGTCGTTCCTGTTGATGAAAATAGTGATGCTGGGAGACAACAGGCGATGCGGCAAAGAGCCAATCTGGGGAGGATTTGGGCTTCTGGAGGCTTCCTAGCCTACCAATCGCAATTGAACGCGAGGCCGACGACGACTGTTGGAGATGGCGCGAATACGATAAGCTATCAACATGAGCGTGCCCCTTCTCGAGGCGATTGGCAGAGACTCTCAAGTTCCATATCGCCATCGGTCCTAGACCGCATCTTGGGCCAGTCTGACTCTCTTGACCAACGTTGGACAATTACATCCGGAAGCTCTGCATCGAGGGATACAGATTATATCCCTGGGCTATCGACCACGGATATGGCGAATTCAATGGGGGTTGCTGGAGAGCGGGAGAAAGAATTACGCTTTATCCCTGTTGATTTGAAGAAAACTTGGCGAGAGGGTGCTATAGGCCGTGAGCGGACGGAGGCTGCGCAGGACCGTTCGTGGGCTCTAGGCGATCTAATCAAGCATGGTATCCCAGCCCCCAAGCTATCCGACGTCAATAGTGATGCAGCAGGGGAGGAGCAGGTGCTGGGTGAACTACAATTTACCTTCTTGATGGTGCTTACCCTGATGAATTTCTCAAGTTTAGAACAGTGGAAACGGCTTCTGGGTCTAATACTCACTTGCAAAAGCGCAATGAAGGAGCGAGAAGACTTTTTCGTCAAGGTTTTACAATTGCTCAGGCTTCAACTGTGCCATTTCGAAGATGTCGAAGGGGGGCTGTTCGAAATGGATGGAGATGATGGTGGAAATTACCTCAAGAGTCTCCTCATTAAATTCAAAAAGTCCGTTGATGAATCCGAGGCCTCTGGAGAAATGAGGGTCAAGAAGGAGTTCGCGCGTTTGGAGAACTGGATTAAAAGCAAATACGGCTGGGAGCTATCAAGACGTTCCATAGTACGGCGAGGTATGCTGGAACTGGAAGATGGAGAGCAGGTAGAGATGGAGCTCAGCGGTGCTGAGGAAGAGGACGAAACTGGCGAATATGCACCAGTTATCGTCGACCTTGAGGAGCCGGTCCTTGCAGAACACCCAGGAGAAGACATAGATATGACAGACACGCCGTCACAATGAAGATTCCGGCAAAGGGTTTTCCATGGTCAACCATCGCTTTACCATGCATCTCTGGCTAGACGTATGGTGTCAAAAGAAGGCGTGGGAAACACATTCTAGCGTCGCCATTACTTTCAAATTACGCGCAAATTCACACTTCGAGGCACCAATGACATATTCTCTCATCAAAGCTATAAGCGCATCGCCTGCACGTGGAGTAAACGTTTCTTGGCCAAAAACCCATCTATGCCGCAACTAACCAATTTTGATAGCGACAAACAATTTCGCGAGCGATGAATGATAGGGTATGATCTGATAGCCTATAAAAAATTGATATACTCAACGAGAAAATGAATGGGATACACCTCGATGCTTCTGGTTCACATTTAAATAGTAGGTGTAGTTCCCTTAGGTTTATCATGTGAAGTGGTTTTGAATCTACAAACGATCCCTATCTTCAGATGAAGGTAGTGAACCCGTTGGAGATGGGTGCTGTGTACGGATAAGCAGATTGCTATAACATATTAACACTATAACGTCATTTCTCAGTGAGAGAGCCAGCCGATATACCTTCTATCAGCCACAATCCAGCGCTATTCCGTCGCATATCTGGTGCTGCCGGGAGGCAGGGACCTGAGCAGGCTCTGTATGTTGCAAGAACCCCAAGAAAAAGGGCAATAGTATACCAGCGGCGACATTATAAATTCCCACGGTGGAAAATGGGTTTTTATTGGATTTGAAAATGGTTTTGCCATTGCGCAGATAGCATTATTCCGTTCCTCTTTTTTTCATACAAAGGAACAAAACATAATAATTTGAGACATGACATTTTCTTCCCGTCCGTCCCAGCGCCAACAACCAATCCTCTGGCACATCTCCAGTCGTCGAACCCCACCACATCGCAAACGCAGGAGGTAGATTTAACGGTAAGATTTCTGGAAACGAGCACGGGCACCTGGACCACCGAACTTCTTTGGTTCAGCCCGTCTGTTATCGGCAACAAGAAGGGTTCTATCGAATTGAACAAAGGCCTGCTTGAGCTGGTTCTTAGAGTGCTCATCGACGTATTTCTGGTAGTAGGCGATTAAAGCCTTGGCGATGGCTTGTCTAATGGCATAGATCTGGGAAGTGTGACCACCACCGGTGACACGGACGCGGATATCGACATTGGCGAACTTGTCAAGGCCGACTATGAGGAGGGGTTCGTAGACCTATTTATCCCAGATGGGCCGAATTGCATTAGAACGGATTTCCCAGTAGCGCCCCCCAAGGTAAAGTATGCCCATCGTAGCTTTCGCTTCGACACCGTCTTTTTCCTCTATTGCCACTCTATTTCCTCTTTATGTATTCCGGGGGCATGCGCGTACCTTGAATCTGAGGATTTCTGGTTGGACAAGTGAGATCGGCTGGCCGTTCACTTTGATGAGCCCTCTGCCTTGCTATTTGCATCTTCTTAGCATACATTCCACCAAGACCCGTTTTTATTCCCAAAATTCCCTTCTCCCGGCGGGTTCATCGTACCTTGCAGTGGGCGACAGCGGTAGCTAAACTCGTTATATGTCAGTCAAACAAAATCCATTTTCCCCAAGCCAAGATAACCGGGGTAACAAAAAGTTCGCACCTGTCTTCTTCTTGCCGAAGCATTGCACGCTTGGAACAGCAGCCATGTTTGCAGATATAATGGCGGATGGCTTGGGTTCGACGTGCAGAAATCGGAGGTTGTCGAAGGTCAAAGGTCGATGTCGCCGTCGCGCTGGTGAGCCGCAAATCGATATTCCAAAAGTCGGAGATGGTGGGCGCGCTCGCTTAGTGTGCCCCTAGGGCAGCTTAGCTAAGCAGTCACGTGATACTAAGGAGAAAATGAGTGCCCCATCGCCCAGTCCACGCAGTGGCGGGAGGAATAATCGAATCGTACCCGGTCAATTGAGCATTTGCTCGTCGCTTGCAGCATTTGAAGGTCTTTGCCGTGCACAGTGCTTTTTGTTTTGTCCCGCATTCTCTTTATGTGTCAATAATACCGCTTGAATTCGCTATGTCGCAAAGCATTGGACGAGTATGTCGCCAGATTAAAATAGCCAGCCATTAGCTTACTGACCATATTTCTGCGTTCAGACCCGTCTCGCCTACTCTCGAACATGGCACTATATAGATGTAGGCTCCGATCCACGGAGTCTGGGCCGCGTCGCCTCCTCGATAGCACTCTTCCTCATGGGCAAGAACAAGCCAATCTATGATCCCTCGACCGATTGCGGTGACTACGTCGTGGCAGTCGGGTGCAAGAACATTCACACCACGGGTAAAAAGAGATTTCAGAAGCTATACTATTCTCATTCGACGAGGCCGGGAAGTCTGAAATCTATGTCGATGGATAAGATGTTCGAGAAATGGGGTGGTGCGGAGGTACTGAAAAGAGCAGTCCGGGGAATGCTACCTAAGAATAAGTTGAGAGAAAAGAGGATGGCCAGGCTAAAAGGTGCGTGCGCTTTTGTCGGTCTTCATCTTCAAGACTTTTAGAGGGCGATGACTGGGCAAATTGAAGCTTTGATAGATTTGGAAACTGTGCTGACTGGATTTTTACAGCCTTCGAAGGCCATGCCCACCCATACAAAGCAAACATTGTCCAATTCGGCGGAAAAAGCGTACTGGGTGAACTGCCTGAAATTAAGAAAGCTTTTCAGCGAACGCGAGAAGTAGCTGCAGCGCAGTGAGAACTTTTTTGATTTCAATGCATCACATGCGGAGTATCTAGGAGCGAGGGTTTATGTATTACTAGTATCACATTTTGGTCAATTGTATTGTATATTGACCTTAGATTTTTGATTGAAGTCTTGTATGATATTTGATTTACGAACGGGACTAAACAAGTCAGGTGTACAGCGCTCCTACTTAGGTTTTTAAAAGGTCCAGCATCACGGCTCAAGGACCCTGGTTAGAGCTTTGAAGTTGTCGCCCGTATGTAGCGGTCAGTTCCACGCGCAACCGTGCATTGAATTAAGCCATTCGGCGCCGAGGTCGGCACATATACTTCTGCATCTTTACCAACATTTTTCAGTCCTTTGTGCCAGCTCAGACCTTTGCATCGTTAGCGCGGCGAAACAGAATGGACCACCAAAGTTCGAATGATGTGACTTGCCTAGTTCAAGGTAATGCTTGTTAGGAAGCGAGTACGACACAGCTTTCAGCAACGGCTCAGTGCCAAGGATTTCACTAGCCATTTTATACATTGTGTTTTGCACGCTTGCGCTATCATCTTGCGCAAAGAGCCTTAAACTGATATCTCGCGCCGAAGAGAAGGCCCGGTCGAATTTAGGAACTACGGACTTGACATGGTCGAGGTTTTCAAATGGCATCCAAGTCCAATTCGCGTCAATCTCTGTGCTTAAAATCCTGTCCCAGGTTTCAGGCAACGTGGTGAATTCATCTTGTATGAACCCGTGAAATTGGGATCCTGTGCTCTTGAGAAGGAGAAGGCCAGAGATCGAAGATTTGATTTCAATCCCCTTGCCCTCAATGACATCGGCGTCTGCGATTCGGACATCCGTACCATCGCGCATGAATGAATGTGGGTGTAGCTTTCCGTCGATAGCCATTCTTGTCCACCGATGAGCAACGATATGGACATGCGCCGCATGAATATGTTTATATGCCTCTATGAAATGACTCCCGATAATAGACGCAAAAAGCTCGGGAGAAGTGACAGGATGCTGTTTGGCCAATATATATATGGTATTTTTCATAGAATCCGTTGCAACAACGACGCTATTGTCGGCTTTGGTGTATCTGCTTCCTAGGTAAATGCTTGGTCTGCGCAGCTAACACTGGAGAAACATACGAGCTTTCAATATCACCCTCCAGCAACACACTGACTGTCATTTCCGTGACTGTTTGCCAACCAGTTGTGGTATCACGGTGAACCTTGCACACTTTGACATTCTCCTTTCCATATCGTGCCGCGGCTAGGGTGGTCTCCATCGTTGAGCAGAGTAACTCTAATATCGTGCCAAACAGAAAAGATCTGGTGATTTGAGTTATATATAGGGCTTGGTGAAGTGACAAAGGCCAGGTCTGGGCTTTTAAATATAATCTGCAGCAGGGTATCAACCGGGTCTCGAGGAATAAGCTTGAAAAGGGGAGAAGGAGAGATGTAGCTATAGCCCTTTATATAAAGTACAGCGGAGGACGATTACCGCCGAGCTCACATTGGTCAGGAGATTTAACTAGCTCTATCAAATGCTGAAACAAAAATTCCCAACACGCACTTTCTGGAATGAACTCGATCTGGTTGACTGCAGGGCATGCCGGAAGGTACAGTAGCATAAAGGGGCCTTTGGCATCCCGCTAATAGCGCCAGCAACGTCCGCGAACGGGGATGTCAGGTTTGGAACTTGCAGGTGGCCATAAAGACCGAACCTTTTCACAGTCTATCGTGTCACAAGGTATTAATTCGGAGCACGGCGCGCGGGAGGGTGGAAAAGGGGCAAGCATGGGCACTGATGAGCTGTCGGCGAGCGCCGATGGCCGTACCAGAGGAAGCGAATGGCCCAAGCCCACCTCCGTACTCCGGAGTTAGTGACTTCATTTTAGAGTTCTTCAAACCTACGACACTGAAACGGTGGCGCAACTCATGATTCTTTACTCAAGAGCCTTCCAATGGAAGGATGGTGTTAACTACATTCATCAGTTGACAAAGATTTGGTCTATAGCGCATCAAATCTGTCCAGTGACACAGCGGGAAGTATTCAGGAGCCATGAAAGATATCCCTCTGATCGACTCCTCAAAATCCTTGAAGGACCCATCCCTCATCCCGGAGAAGGCATGCATAAATAACGTTATCGTTTCCGTAGGCTTCATACATCACACCATTCCATCCCTTGATCACTCCAAGGCCACAATCCCCGCGAAAAGCCACCAAACGCCAAACCGCCAGGGCTAAGGTACAATAGATACAAGCAACCAGAAGAAATCTGATCTGACGACCTGAAAATCATCGTTACAAAAAAGACGTGCATGCAACAATGACGTGAACCCTCAAATAAAATACATACGTAAAGACGAATATGGCAAAATGGCAGTGAAGAAGTCTAGTCCGATGCGAGACTGTCCGAATCGAGTTCTAAATCATCTTCTAAAACAATTCGCCCCATCACGCTCTTATCGAAGAGGTCTAGCGCAAAACGGCGGGCGGGGAGTCGAAAATGATGGCTTTCAAGGATAACTAAGGTGTTTCGAAAAAGCTGTGTTTGCCGAAAGTGATCTGGATGTTTTGTTTTGATGCTATTTTGAACTCAATTAGCAAAATGTTTAAAAATGAGGATGTGGTTATCAATAACTTCGTCTCACCTCTGTAGGTCGGCAGCCGCCCGCTTTGAAAGGACCGTATTTCCCATATCCACGAGAAGGTTCAAGATTTTTTGGTTAATCGGATCCGAATCGGTCACAGCGGATTTGTATCTCTGGTTTGCTGTCCCGTTCACCTTGGAATTGGATCCAACGGGGCCAAAGGAAATCTGACATCAATTAATAACCCATTACTCAACGTTTTCGGAGTCCATCAACGTCGGAATAACGCACCTTATACATCCTTTCCAGATTGATAGGCATACATGAACCCAGAGACTGACCCTTGTAGTCCACTGGAGCATCCCATCCAGCTTCAATGAGCATCTCAAGCCCATGTCTACTAGTCGAGATAAGGCCCAGCACAAAGAAAGCTGTACCCCTCATAGTCAGCACAGCTGCATGCTCCGCAATCTTGATGATTAGTTGAAAAACAGGGCTTCCTTCGAAGAATTGGGCACTAAGTTCCATCGACCCAAGGTGTCCAACAGCCCACAATGCCCCCTTGACCCTCTGCAGCACCTCGGGGTCTTCTTCCTGTATATCGTAGTCTTGAATTGTAACCACGAACTCGTCAAACTGACCAGAATCAGCCAACAGTCTGCAACCTTCTTTAGTGCGAGCCAGTTCTCTATAAAAGTGTGGTGGCGCCCTGCCCGTATCGTGCATATCTACGAGATCCTCAATGACTGAGCTGTTCCGACGGGGCTGATCAAGATACGCTCGGCATAGTGATGCTTCAACCAAGCCAACATATGCGTCATTTCTGCCGAGAAACCAGTCATCCATCTCTTGATGGACAAAGTCGAGGCCATCTAAGTAATGGTACCCGACAGAAGATGAAAGGAATCGAAGCAATAAAGATGCCCCAATTTCGCCGAGATGGTCAAGAGATGGGCGACATTGGACCACATACTCGAGCAGATCTCTCTGGTTACAAGCCTCTTCAAGAACTTTCATCGCGATCTGACATACGGCAACATCAGGATCGTAGAGTTGGGAGATAAGAAGCATAATAATCCATTCCACAGCCGGCGTAAGCTCCACGCCACCCACAACATACTTGCGCAAAACCCGCGTTGCGAAGATGCGAATATCTTTCGTGCCAATTGTCAAGGCTTTGAGTAGCATTAACCGAAGCTGGCTGTCTAGTGTGAAATCCATATTGGCAAGTATTGCTTGTACGAGGTCACTCCGATCGTTCAACTCAACTATGTGATAGAACATATTGAGCATATGCCATCTTTCCATCATATGGAGCCCATTCGGATCGCTGCTTAAAGTGCCCAACATTGCAAAATAACCCCAGCTTAGGGTATCCATCATCTGATTCCGAGAGAAAACAGGTGAAGAGGAAGTCAGGCCGCTCGTTCGATCCACTTGAGCTAGGCATTCCGCGATTTGCCTTAATAATTTATTCTCTGCGAGATACTTTGACCCTTCAGGAGTCTGGATCAATGTTCGCATTAAGGCACAGCCGGTCCTAACGTAGCGCTGATTTGGCTTGGTGTTGCGGATCATTGAGAATCTATACTTGAAGGGACGATAAAAGCCTACAAGGCGTTTCATGAATTTGGATCCCTTAATAGCTTCGTCAAGACGTTTTGGGTTGGTCAGCGGGCCTTCAATGATGTTGTGGATCAAATCCCATTTCCACTTCATAAAATTCACAGAGTTCAGTACATGTGTGCTCATAATGGCTGTTCGGAACTGAGCTTCATCCATGGTTGGGCTTAGTTTCGGCTTCCCTTGTTCTGCATTGAGAAAGGAAGCCGATATATCCGCTTCTGGGTTGTATTTCCCAGGCCCAGATGACATCCAGGTTGATCGTGTCATCGTACGATTGATGCTCTCCATTTGATAAATAGTCGAGGCGGATACACGATGAACATACATATCGTTCGCCATTCGTGAAGGTACATTGTCAGGGAGGACCTGGAGATGCGCGCATACCGATTGCGGTAGGGAGCGGTAAGCACGCTTTAGCACCTCTGCTAGGAGCAATATGCCTTTCCGTTTAAGGCCTATGTCCTGCTCATCTTCAACCAAGACAGCTAGGGACTAGGGCAAAACAGAGTTAGCGCTTTCAAACGGCAAAATTTTTGCATTTATTCTGTGACGGGGAGGTTACCTTGATCAAGCCAGCTTCGATCAACATTGCAAGGACTAAGGATGCAAAATGCGCAGTGAGGTCAAATACGCCATCTTCCGGCTCATAGAATGTGTGAAATTTGAAGTCCTGCTCGGAGCCCCTTACACTCGCAACCCCAGCTCTGCCGTATGTGGTTAATCGCCGACCAGCAAGGAAAGATGAAGACCATGAAGGAGGTTTGATCCGTAAAGCGTCGAAGAGAAGTTCAAGAATTACGTGTCGTACCGAAGCTTCTGGGCATTCCAAGGAGTCCATCAGAGATCTGAGAGGCATGAATTTATTCTGAGCCAGCGTCAGGAGTCCTGGCCAAGTCTTCAACATAGTGGAAATTGCCTTCGCAGAGGCATTAAGTCTGGTGCTTCTTTCAGCTTCAGACATGGGCTCAGTAAAGGTAGCAAACACCCCATCCAGTTCCGATCCTGATCTAAGGTACTGCCTAGTGCTGGGAGAATCCAGTGCGTGGATGAAGCTTGCGGCCAAAGTATCGGATGCAGCAAAGCTACCATCGCACAATGCATCGTTTAACACCCCAATTCCACCGGCAGAAGCGAGTAGCCCAGGATCTTTTACTAGTATCTCAGCCAAGGTCATAATGCATATACTCCTCAGGCGATCGTCCCTATGCTCTGCAAGAGATACCAGCGTGCGGACGACAGCCCGTGATATTTCATAAACCCCATCTTTAACATCCAGGAAGGCACGAATGAATTTCAGCGCCTGCTCGCGCTCCATGCTGGCCTTTGACTCCTTGACCAGCGAACAGATTGCCAGCGCATCTGTATTAAACGATCTGATTATCTGGATGGAGTGTCGATCAGCAATTGCGTAGCGTGTTAGTCTGTAGCCAGCTGCCACGACTTGGCGACTATCGCTCAACAACATCACCTGAATCCGCAGGCCAAAAACAGACCATTTCAAATCATACTTCAAAGTCGGATGGCGCTTGAAAAGTTCCACAAGGTTATTTGCCCTTTCAACGTAATATCCTGGTGACATCCCCTCAACCTCCAGCTCTTGAAGAGTCTCAGCAAGGACGAACGTGGGCGACTCGCTCTCACTGACATCATCCTCCTCGTCGTCGTCGAAGGTGTCGCCAGTGGTTTGAGTAGCTCGCGAAGGGGATCGGCCTACTGGCACGCCGAATAGGCTCGATGGGCGGTTGAAAGTCAATGGATCGGGAGTGTGCGCTCTCTGTAGTTCCTCCTCGAGCTCGTGTTGAAGCTGTGCAATTTTGCGATTTGATGAACTCAGCTCAGATTCGACCCGTAGTCTTTGTTCTTTTGTCTGCTTCAGATTCTTTGCCAAGAGCGCCTCCAGCATGTTCTCCGTCCCATTCCTGATTTTGAGCTCTTTCTCCAGCTTTCCGCGAATGATGGCTTGTCGTTGTTCTGAGGTGGCAGGCTCTCCATCGTCGGCTGCGCCGTTGCTTCGGTAGTTATACACGGAATCCGGTTTTGGAGTCGCACTTCTCGATACGCTTGGGACTCTTAATTCCGAACTGAAGCTCCCGGGTCGGATGCTGGAGGGAGCGAGGGAAACCTGTGGAGCACTGGTGGTACTCCCGACAGACCGCGGGTAGGCATTTCGCTGAGATCCGGATACATCGTCATGCCAGCTCCCATCTGTCGAGCCATCGCCCACGCTAGAGGAAGGCCGCCTGTCGCCCAAGGCCCGGTTCTGAGTCGGCGTAGCGGAGGAAGTACGATTGTACGTTGCAGCCATGGGTCTCCATCCAGAAACCCCGGTGTCGCGGTTATCTGGCGGAAGCACTGTGGTGTCGCATTGGAGCTACCAAGAACCGGCAGGGTTTGGGTGGATGATTCGGCCCGAAATCGAGAGACAAGGCTGCTAGTCAATGATATAATGAGGGGAAGAGAGGATGCTGGTGGGGGATTGTGAATAAAAGATGGTAGTTGTGGAGATCGCAGTTATCTGAAGTAAGAGTCAAAATGGAAGAGATCCTCAACAGATTAATGTGCTAGCGAATGGAGTGAGAGGTGAATGAAGCTGATACTCTTGTTGAACTGGAGGGAAGATCTGGCTGCGATGGGATGCGACCTCACCCAGGCGTGAATTCTCAACACGTGATGCATCCATCAGATCGCAGCTCAAGGCATTGGACCAACGGGCGGATCAGCCCGGCCGACATTCGCAGGTTCCCAAGGCGACATCATAGTCACTCAAAAATAGCGGCTTGTTCTTGATTCTAAGCCGGTCATGCTGCCATCCATGAACGCGTATACGCAATTAACTAACCAACATCCGCTGAGGACGATATTGTTCACCAACCCAGTACTCCGTACTTTAAGGAACATTTTCGCAAACAAACTGCACTATTCATACGTAGTTACTTCTCTACAAGCCTCCCTAGTGAGTATCCTTAAAAAAGTAGATGGTACTTTAGCATGACAGCCAGGAAATTACCTACAAACAGGGCAAAGCTACCCCTGATTAGTTACTCCATACTATCGAACTACTAACTACAATATGGTGATGCGCTGATGTTGCTCCGCGCTGTCTTCTGTCTCTCTGCACGTGATCAGGCACTCATCTCGTAGCTCAACAGATGAATTGAAATGTTTGCAAACGTCAGTGCCGGTTGGAAACAATCAACATGTCACCAAGCGTCCCTGATGTCCAGTCTCGCACTGGTTAAGCACCTGTTTCTATCAGCATTTTGCTGACATATGCTGTGGCTCTGTTCTTTCTCATTTCCAGGTTTCAGGAGATTCCCCAGATCCTTTCTCATTTGTTGGCGGAAAGCATGGCAAGCAATAGGAATTTGGATAATACGACACCCTCGGTCAATGAGCTTCGAGAAATTATTCGCCTGATCCAATGCAGGCTGTGCTCTCACCTGTTGAAATCCCCCGTGAGGCTACCTTGCCAGGAGACCGTCTGTCAAGGATGTTTACCTCCCTCTCATACCAGGAAGCATATCACTTATCCCATTAACAAAGAGCGAGAGCAAGGCTTTTACTGTACACTCAAGAAAACTGGTGGCCTGGAGACAAACCCAATGGAATGTAGGGCAGAGCATTCATTGGCTGATTGCGGTCTTGTTGTGGCCCTAGACAAAGTCATCGAGAACCTTGCGGGACGAATGAATAAACTGTTCTTAAGCAACACCGTTTCAAGCCATGATACGGCATTTGCAGTCGAAACCGTTGACCCTACAAGTCTGGGGCTGAAACTTGACGATCAAGCCCTGCCGCTGTCCTCTGCCAACGGGAGCACGTTTGCTGCGATGTACAGACTCGCAGGGCAGGGCCAATTACCATATGATGCAAATATCACGTATGTCTCCGAGGTTGAACCCGTCTCGTCGCTGGACCAGTTCGAGTTGGAGGTTTTCCGGGACGTGCAGCGATCTATTAAAAATGAGCTGGACTGTCACATATGCTTGGCCCTCATGGTTGACCCGTGTACGACTCCATGCGGTCATAGCTTCTGTCGCCTGTGCCTGGCGCGAATACTGAACCATTCAGACCTGTGCCCTGTTTGTCGCAGGAAGCTATCTGGCTATTTACACTCAAGCCCAGTGAACTTGCGTCTTGACGGGCTAATCTCATCTTTCTTCCCTGAGCAGTTAGCAGAACGGAGAGAAGCATTGAAGGTAGACGGAAACGGAGAACTTGATGAGACAAATGTGCCACTGTTTATCTGCACCCTTGCTTACCCATCTACACGAACTTTCCTCTACGTGTTCGAGCCTCGGTACCGACTGATGATTCGCCGTGTTATGGAGAGTGGAAATCGCAGGTTTGGCATAGTGGCGCCAAAGAGTACGGCATCAACGCAAGACGATGTCGCAGATGACGCACCGTTTCTGGAATATGGGACACTGGTTGAAATAGATCGGTTTAGCCCACTTCCGGATGGAAGATGTATCATACGCTCTACGGGTAAGTATCGATTCAAGGTGCTGGAAAGCACCGTCGTTGATGGCTATGCCGTGGGAAAGATAGAACGCGTTGAAGACGTGTCGATCGCACAAGAAGAAGCCTATGAGGCATCCGAGACTGGGCTGCCAGTGCCCGTGGAGCATGACCCCAAAGACGAAATTGACCGTCTCTCCACCCATCGATTATTCCAAATTGGATTAACGTATGTTGCTAAATGCCGGGCAAGCAAAGCAACCTGGCTTGATGATCGAATTTACAAGTTATATGGACCACCTCCGCCGGATTTGCGAACTTTTTCTTACTGGTTTGCCAACGTTCTCCCGAGACCTGAGGAGGATCGATATACCCTTCTTCCAGTTACTACTGCGAGAGACAGACTCAAGATTATTACCAGGTGGATCAAAAAGCTCGAATCTGGAGAATGGTAAGGATATGTTCCTGTCCTGTCGCGAAGGCTTTGGAAGCATTGCCACCGCACTTGATTTGGGCTGAATGATTTTGGCTAACAAATGCCACCATCCAGGGCCTTAAAGTCTCCTTACACTATCCCCCGGGCCGATCTCTTCCTTTCCGCTTTTCGCCCCGTATCCTCATCCCTTGTAGCGACTCTGCAAGTAGTCCTTGGCACTCTCTTCGTCCCTGTCTTGCTGCTTTTGATCTACAAATTCGCCACTAAAGGGAGCGACTCTTTCCCCGGTCCTTCTAGCATTTCGTTTTCTATTCTACCCTTTGCTTTTTCCTTTACTTATACCTACCAATCTTCTTCTCCACCCTCAGCTGCCCAGGAAGGACAACAACACCATTCACGAGCTCAGCATTATATGAACCAGGGCCGAGGCTTTGTTAATCCCAGTTTTATGGATAGAGAGTACATCTCTAAGACGGTTGTGTTAGGGGCTATATTTGTTTTGTGCATTTCTAGGGTTGTCAGGCGCGTCGTGGAGGTCGTCAGGCTCGAAAGAGATAGGGCGGAGAGGCTACAGAGACGGGAGGCCCGCTTGGGATCCCTCTTAAATGAGGCTACCGCTGGTCGCCCGATCACTTTCGGCGATACCATCCATGGGCAGAATCCCGCCGGCCGTTCGGAGGCGACGCAGATGACTAGTCAGGAAGTCTCTTCTGGCACAAATGATAGGGCTCGTGACGGCTCTTCTCAGGATAATAGCAACTTTAGTGAGAATATCTAGTCAAGGAAAGGTTGGCAAAATCGGGGAATCGTGGAAACTTATAGCTTCATCACGGTTTCAATATAGCTAGCGTCCCTTTCTACTTTAGCCTGCTTAAATACGGGCAGGAAAAGGACTGCTCACTAGCAGATAAACATCGGAATAAATATTTGATTCTCCTTTAAATCAGACCCATCCCTAAATCCAGTGAGAATCGACTTCACTAATAGTACACGCATTTCGGTACGACTTCCTGCTGAAAAATGAAAGGAAATAACGCCAATTATCTAGATAAGTACGAAAAAGGCCACATGAAAATGCCTCCCCAGATCAAATGCTTCAGCGGAATTCGATGGAGAAAAGTTAGTGAAAGAAAAGCTCTTGGAAGGAGATCAATGCTGTCATTCCACAGACAAAAAAGAGAATTTAACGACCGATTACGGCGAGTGAACCTCATCACCTTCTGCATCAATATCGTCTTTGATCACCTCCTCAGCGGAGGCTGGCGGAGAAGGCATATTCTTTGCAAACTTCGAATCTACTTGCGCCCGATGGCTGGCTCTCTTGTACGTTTCATCTGGGTTCGGGTCACGAACCGAAACCTGGATTTGATGCACTTGCTCTTCCTTTGCTTTTGCGCGAGTAGGGGCCAAGCCAGCCTGGGCAATCGTGCGGGAACGTTCGGGCTTCAAGCGAGTCTTGCCCAAGATTGGGTAGTAGTATGCTGCTTTCTGAGTAAGACGAGTGTCTTGGGTTGCCTGTGCTGGATCAAAGAGGACAAGGCCGATATCTTTGTACTTTTGGTCGGTGTTTAGGACCTGTGTACTAGTCGCGTAAGTGCGAAGACGGTCGTATCGGTGGTATTTGGTTCCGTCTGGTCCCTCGTGGGTGTAGTTATCAGCATCATCTCTGTTGGGGTTTGAGAGGCTCAGACTATTCTTTATTTTCTTCGCTGAGCCCTCTTTTTCAGCCAGGAAAAGATCATAATCCCAAGGAATCGGTCCAGGGTCGGGGTAAAGACTCGGGTTGGCTTTGTGGAGGGCCGTTTTTGAAGCATGTTCTTGACAAACTCTTTCTTCTGGGGCTGATGGGAGCAGGATTGCAACATCCATACGGTCATCACGCTTCCCTGCGGAAGCTTGAACCGGGGCTTTATCGAATTTAAATTGTAAGAAGCCACCAGGGTCCGGAAAGCCGTCAAGATCTGGAATAATAGGGAAGAGTCCCACTGGCTTTAAGTTTGGATTATCTGGATGCACGAGATTTGCCCAGGCATCGAGCTCCGCCTTAGTGGCAGGCAAGCCTCTAATCTGTGATTCTGTATCCTCTCCTGTATGCTTACTCTTTGGATATGCGATGTCAAATCCTTTAATAATATACTTTTTGATGTGCGACGGGTCGTCTCGCGATGGTTTCGGTTTCTGCACTTTGTGCTTGGATCCTCCCGGCGCAATCCTCGAATCCACACTCCGTCCAGATCCTGCTGTGGCGATATATTGAGTTCTGCGAAGAAAGCTCACATTCGCATTCCTTGGGGCTGGGTTCCTCAATTGGTCAGGGGTCATAAGTAGAGGCAGATCAGCTGGGTCAAGGAGAGGGGGGTTCTCCGGAGCCATGATAGCTAGTTGAGAGGAATACGTTAAAATTGATGTAAAAAGTATAAGGAGGCGGCCAAAGCAGTATCTTACCACTTTCATCACCCAAGTGTAAACCCGGAATTCCGACCAGGTCAATAGGCATTCCTCCTTCTGCATCAACATCAATATTTAGCTCCTCGCGACGCACCATATTCGCTACAAACCCGGGACTGAGGAAGTGCTCTAGACCCTCATGCGGGACCTCCAGGAATTTAGGAGGCATATCAGGGACGGGAAGATCATTGCGATAGCGAAGTGAAGTGATATATTCTTGATGATAGCCCCCGGGGCCGCTGTTCTTTGACTTTGACATTGTGCGGTCGCGGAAGCCGACTTGTAATGTGAAGAAGAGCACAAGGCAACGAGCGCAATTAAGTTCAAGCTCTTGTGGCCGAGGGGAAGGATCAAGGACGAAGTAATTCGCAGACAAAGGTGCCGAGAGCTACCGCCGAAGATAAAAATAAAGGTCAAAAATTATGTAGCTTCGTTCAACCAGGCTCTAGGCAAGGAGGTCGAAAATCTAATGGGGACGGAGGACGAAGCGATTACTGGCCGATCGCAGTTTGTCGTCGAGCTTTACTGTGGTCGCTGGCCGTTGATCCCAGATATTTTGCCTCGTTATACCGCTTATAGTGACTATCCCAAAAGGAGTTTAACGCAATTCACGAGAGAGCGGTGCCGGAAATAAATTGTTCCTTGTCCCACTGGTGACCGGGTGGACGGCTCCGGCGTGCAAGGACTGGTGTCCAGAAGCTTTGAGCATGACATTCTTAACAATAATAATCTAGTTAAAGCAGATCAATATTACAGACCTATCACCAGTTCCACATGCACTTATAAGTCATTACTCGACTGCCAAGGCGATCATATTCCAGGCTGCCAATCCAGCTGTCATTCGTGGCGTTAAGTTTTCCGAAAACGCTGGCCCCTTTCCATGCAACGACCTGGGGATCAAGTTCTCGCGGGGGTGCTCCAACAAGGACGGAGTTGGAATGCTCCGGATGCTTGGCTTGCAACCGTTCCTCCAGGAATGAATGGAATCCCGAGATAAGGCTTCCACCCCCGATAACCAATATTCCTCCCAGGAAGTCAGTAAACCGTCGGTTGTCAAGGCGCGACGCATGAGTAATCGAGGTGAAAATGGCATCATCAAGAGGGAAAATAGGTAAAATATCGTCCCTTTCATCGACGGTTGGCCGTCGGGTGGGGTTCACCTCAGCTGTACTTTGCCCCGTAGGGATAGGTGTCGACGTGCCCCCCTGAGGAGTTGCAGCGACTTCTGGAGCTGGCGAAGCTGCCGCCGATGAGCGTGGGGTCGCTTCAAGATCCTGGAGGCGGTTTAGAGGGTTGCTATGTTGAAACCTAGCTGGTGTAGATTGGACATCTGCGGGCGCGTTTGAGCTCCCATTCAGTGAGAGGTCGCTGTTAGTAGTTGGAAGAGGTGGAGCAATGGCTGTGAGGATTGCTGTCTGAGCTGCGGACACGGGATCATTCGGCTGTCCATCATAGAGGTCGTATGTTCGGGCAATAAGTTTTCTCCTTCCTTTTAACTTATTGGAGAGATCAAAGATTTCGGGCTGGAACCACCCCATTGGTGCTAGTATAACTTCATCATAAGCCTTGAACGTGTACTTCCGCGTGTCCTGCCCTGAAGCTCGGAGATGGAAGTCAAATACTTGAACGGAAACATTCGTTTCATTCAATGTACAGACATTTCTTTTGAGCTCCTCGGCCAGTAAGAAGTCGTATCGTCGGTTCAAGTTGATCTCGTCATATGGAAAATGGTCGAAAAGCATCATTTTGATAAATGTGTCAGTGACGTCTGCTCCGCCATACTTGAGATTAACACGGGAATTTTCGATACACATTCCTTCTTCCACGCAGCAGATGGAAGTCTTTTGTGCTCCGATATCAACCACACAAGCAGCCGTATATCCGGCACCAAACGTGCCCGCGAGACTTTCTTGCACAAAACAAACTCGACCAAAGCCAAATTCACGCATTAACATGTCAAGGATTTGCGTGACGTACGCCTTCTCGTAAAGATCCGGTATAACGAAAACGCATGAATATTGGGCCCAATCTTTCTTGCGCGTGAGACCTAGCTGAGTTTTAATAGCGTCTTCCATGATAAGAGAAATATCCAAGAACAACATATTTTTGTCATCGTAATCTCTCTCATTACACCATCCACTCTGAATTGGCCAGAAGAGTTTATATCTAGGCTGGGAATAGTCTGGAATTCTCAAGGCGGCCTCTCCGACAATATATTCAGGTGCATCATTTGGCCCAACTGTAGTCCATTCAATCCTCATAGGGTCATTGTGCTCCGAGATCGTTTCTGGAGGCGTTCTTCGGTTGTAGTTGACAACCATCTCTTTTGAGTTTGGAAGTGTTCTCCTCTTGTTGGCGCGCATATGCGCCTTCAATTCCGCGCACATCGTTGTGTACTTCGAAGCAAACTGTACGAGCATATGTCAACAAAGCTAATCAATAAGTCCGTAGCTTCTGGCTATCCTTACCTCAGGTCCGAACATTTTTTCAGGTTCCATAGGTAGACCATCATCTAACTTCAACCTCTTTGGCTTGGGCTCTCCACCATCTTGTTCCGCTTCGTTCTCCTCTGCTTTTCGCGCTATAGCCATTGGGACGGTTTTTGGCAAGGCGTCACTTGCGAGACCAATTCGCAAATTCTGGCTCCCAACATGGATCACGATCGTCTTGGATCCTGCTACTTCCTGCACCTTCTCTCCGCTCGCATCGACCATCGTGGTATCCCCGTCGGCTTCGGTTTCTGGCTCAGGGAGTGGTACTTCATTTTTGATCGCGAGGGCTCTATCCCGATCTTTAGCATTTTTTGCCATCCGATCTCTCGCCGCTTCATTTTGTAGACGATAAGCGAGGATCTGGTCGTCTCGTTTCAGGTATTCCCTAAAATAGGAGAGGAGAATCAGCATCATTATGTTTTAGCCGCAGCTTTTACTTAGAGAGTCCACAGCAATCATACTGCTGCCATTCCGGGTAAGTCTCACGTATAGTAATTCTTCTGGTTGATGGCGACGACCTGCGGCCAGCTCGTAAGCTCCATATTATTATCAGTCCGCTCCAGGCCTGCGGAATAAGGAGTCAGTTCCAACGTCATTGATCCAGGGTAGGCTATAATCTAACCTTCCTCCTTCAGGATGGCCTTCCCGGACTTTTTTCCCACCATGATGAACAGCCGGATCTTCGAGAACCCCTCCGCGAACGCCGGCGCGATACCGGATGGAGGAATGGAGGTGAAAATCGACGTAGGAGATAAACAGTGAGACTCTTGCAATGCTATGCAAAATGAGAATAAAATCCAGAATCACTACTGTGGCACGGAAAGTTCAAGGAGATGTAGAGTGAATGGGCTTGAAAGTGAACGAGGTCCCATTGGCAAACAACGTCGAGACAAAGGTCGGTAGAACCATCTTGATTGGTGCGGCATCCAGCAAGAAGCTTTGGTCCAGCTTCCTGCAAAGTATCATTCGGCATCTTCCGAAAAAGACAGAAAACTATACAAACTAGCTCCAGGCCAACCTTCACTCTCATATCACTCCTGCTATTACAATCTGGCAACACTTTTGACGCTTTCCTTTAGGGCTCCGACTTTCATCCGCACCTTAGGGATATCCTGCCGTCACCGACCGGCGTGTTGAATGTACCCCTAAACCGTCCTCTGCCCCAAAAACCCGATACATAGTAGCCTGCGCAGCGTGCGATTTTCTAACCTGGAAAGCTAACGGCGTGGACTAATAGAAGAATTCTCAACGTTTCGTTGGACTGTCTAAGAAACACCTGTCATTTTCGGTGCGAGCCCGCCGGCCTTCCTATAGTTCTCGCTGCACAACGTCCAACGATGGGTGGATCGCTCTCCAGACTCTTGTCCTTTGGATGGTGGGCGAAGAAAGAAATACGTATCTTGATTCTGGGACTTGTACGATACATGCACTCTTCCCCGAGAAGCCGAGAGCAAAGGGTGCTTACAAAGAAACTAGGACAATGCTGGGAAGACGACACTTCTCTATCGCCTCAAGGTAGATTCACAAGACTGCATTTTGAAGCTGAGCAACAGGCAGCCGTATAGTATTGACAGAAGCTATGAATTATTTTAGATTGGCGAGGTTGTAACCACGATACCTACAATCGGATTCAATGTCGAATCTGTCACATATAAGAATCTCAATCTCAACGTTTGGGTATGTGATCTCCGCCATTTAGGCAATTCCATTAAAGCTTGAGGCTGGAATATTGAGGTAATCAAAGGCTAACTTGTGTCTCATATAGGATCTCGGAGGACAAACGTCGATACGCCCCTACTGGCGATGCTACTACGCCAATACAGCCGCCGTTATATTCGTCATTGACTCGACAGATATTGAGCGACTAGGCACAGCGTCAGATGAGCTAGCAGCAATGTTAAATGAAGAGGAACTCCGTGACGCGGCCCTTTTGGTTTTTGCAAACAAGCAGGATCAACCAGGTGCCAAGGGCGCTGGAGAAATTTCAGAGGCGTTGAAGTTGGGTGAACTGAGAGACAGGAATTGGAGTATAGTTGCTTGTTCTGCTATTGATGGTAAAGGCATTGACGAAGGTATGGATTGGTTGGTGGTAAGTATATTCGCTATTTCCTGTTTCGGGTTACGGCTGACGGGCCTACAGCAAACTGTTCAGTCAGAAAATTCATGAGACCAGGTTACCTAGCTTCTGCATTGCTCATCACTAAGGAACTATTACGCATAGCTCCTGTCGGTTATTCCACCGCATAGTTTCCTGCATTTGTGAAGGCGCGTTTTCTTTAATACAGGCCATGACACATTCACTATATCCGTCTTTATATATCCGACCTTGCGCCTCAGCGAGTACACATACGGAGGGATTTTTGATGCTAGATATAGGAAGTTTGGGTTTAAAGCAAAGCATCCACGGTCCCAAATTGATCGCTTCGAATGTCGGCAAGCCTAGATGCCGTCTCCAACGAAAACCCATCAGTTAAGAGCCGGTATTGTGCGGCGACCGGGAGGAAAGAGCAATTTATCCGACCGGGTATTTCTGTTCCGTGGAATAAATTTTTTATCCGAGATATTGCCTTGAGTTCTATATTCATTTCTTCTGATCCAAACGAGGGAAGTGCTGATGGATTACTCCGTCAGGAGCAGTTGTAGGAATAATTTGCGCCCTGGGACTTTTAGGCTTGACCCGTAGAACTCTAAGTCAAATCGCGCTGGCTTCCAGAACGATGATTTGAAATCTCACTCGATGAAGCGAAACTGAGAGTGCGACATTGGTCGATTCTAGAATGGGCTGACCAGGCAACAAAGTTTCCGGTTTCAAAGCTTTGAGGTGGCGAGGATACTCACCGTGTACTCCATACTCCGTACTCCGTACGGGGTATGTATGCACTATAATTAGTGACGGCCTGCAATGCAGGGTGAGCACCCAGCATATGGCCCTCAGGGGAGAAAGCTGGAACAAGAAGTTCATTCATTTTTCATGTAAGAGATGATGATCCAGACTGATCTAGAATTTGTGGCCATCATTGATTAGCCAGTCAGCTCCAAGCACCCAAGTAATCTCTTTCTTGGAAGAAGGATTCGAGCTCTGTGAATTATTAATCGCGATTCCCCGTACGCAGCACCGACTCCGTACCCCGTTCGGCAAGCCCAAATATTGAGTGTTTGTTTTATGTCAAACGCAGAAGCTTTGCTCTACGAAGTTTGATCAAATTTCAAATTTCCAAAGTTTTATTTTGCGTCCGCTGACGGTGGCCAAGAGAGGCTCTCAACGCCATCGGGTAATTTAGTCATATAGCTAATCGGCACTATAAAGATATTCGGCGTGGAAGGTCCGCAAACGATACCTTGTGGGTGGATGGTGATGTCCTTTCTGCAATGGTGCGTACTCCGTAGAGGGTCCTGTTGACCGTTGAGAGTCCCCTCAACGGTCAACCCCAACTTGCGGCTCAAATGAAACAATTCCCACTACATAGACGCTTCTCTTTCTTGGGTAACTATGGTTTGAACAGAGTTCTCCCGGCCGCCGTACTCCAAGCTCCGGACCTTTGTGAATTTTTGAATTAGTAAGGGTGGCGTGGACAAGAACATTTGGAGATACTCTGTGTTGATTGTAACGCTTTGCTGAGGTAGAGCTCACTACCTAGCTAGCAGTTAATCGGCGCCTGTTGAAGGTGCATTCAACTAGTTACAGGGTACGGAGTAGTTCCAGAGCACATTGTGAGGTACAGAGAAGTCGCGAAGCCGATTCAGTGAACGGCCCTCCATGCTCTGTCGGCGCGTCCGAAGCGGAATGTCCCGTACGCCATCCGCAGTACTTCGACTGAGAGTGAATTCTGCGCTTGGATGTTTTGAGTTGAGCCAGGACCGAAGGCGCGAAAAGGAAAGTCAAATCTGAAAGCCGATTGACGAATCAGGCGACGTTGAGAAATGCTGACGCGTGACTCCTGTCTCGCTCAAACGTGTCTCAGGCGCCCAGTCCATATCTTCGAGGTCACCTTCGATACAACCAACGCTTAAAAAGGGGATAAGTGATGTCATCCCTCCGAAGATAGGCATAGGGGTCCCCAAAATCGGGCCGATCGGGCAAGGTCAAAACCCAAAAACCAATTCAACACACGAACCGTGTCTGTGGAGAGTCTGAGGCAAGTCTCACGCCTAAAGACGGTGACAGGATGCGCGCGCCGTGGGACGGAAGATCGCACGCCAGTTCATCAGCTTCCGGCCCCCAATGAAGTCCCGCGGTTCTGCCAGTGGTGTGTGGAGCGCGACGCGGGACTTGCGGGGCCTGACAATTCCTTCTCACTTGATTGGCCCGCCTGGGCAGAGGGTGAAGGCAAAGGGCGAGCAACCTCCAAGACGGGGATGGGGATCGAGTTACTTCTCTCGGTAGCACCCTTCCGAACTCTCAAGCCCTTGGCGATTTCGTGCACTGACATGACGCCGGACGGGCGCAACGAGCTCGCCGTTAACTCGGCGACATTGGCGTCCCCAAACACAACAAAAATGAAAAAAAAAAAAAAAAAATAACTTGCCCTGGCCATGAGGCACTGTCTGGTAGGTCTGGCTGCCCCTTTTTATAAAGAGCTTCTCCGCACAGTATGGGATAATCTATAACGCGCTGTGTGCTGCCGTTCTCCGCTCGAAGTTTTCACTGCCGCGGGTAACTTGCTGATGCTCCACCGCATGGAAGCGACACGTATGTACGGAGTACGGAGTACTCCATACCTCCTACCCTGCTGGAAAGGGTGTAGATGGCGCTCATCACCCCTTGGAGTAATGTTCTCGTGGGCAGACAACACAGATTGTGCAGTGTGCTGCCATAAGGCGCCAGGTAACTTTCGCTCAAGCCCCCAAGCCTCCGGAGGTCGGAGTGCGCTTTCGGCTCTCCATTGTTCCCAAAAAAGGAAAAAAGGAAAAAAAAAAGGAAAAAAAAAGGAAAAGTATTATCTGCCTTTCCCCGCACTCTGGCCCCACCCGTGGTTGGCCTTCCCCCCGACCATCCGTTCCTCCCTGCATAAAAATAACATCAAGCCAAACCTTCGCCTCTGATGGAAATATCGACTATAAAGAGCCCGCCTTCCTCCAGCGCCTGGTTTCCCTTTGCTTGACTTCTCATTCTCTCCTCGAGGCAGATTTGATCTATCGGGCCCCTTTGGCAGCAGCATATCATCCCTTTTTTTTTGCGTATTATTATATACATACATACATATATATTATCCCCTTACTTCCCCGGTCCTTTGTGAGCTAGATCTCCCATCAGAGCCGCCACCATGGGTGCAGACGACAAGGCCAACCATTGTATGTAGATTCAATTTGTACCCTCTTGTGCCATTGATGCTCATATTGCTCTTCACACAGCCACCTACCGTTACAATGAGGTTCCCGTATATACCACCTCGCAGGGTTGCCCGGTGAGTTCCTTTTAAATACAGGTCAATGCTTCTCCCTATCCATCAGTGTACTGATGTCTTCCGCTCAGGTTATGGATCCGGAGTCTTCCCAGAGGATCGGCGAAAACGGACCCCTCCTGCTCCAGGATTTCCACCTGATCGATCTTCTGGCACATTTTGATCGCGAGCGGATTCCAGAGCGTGTAGTCCATGCCAAAGGAGCTGGAGCTTATGGCGAATTCGAAGTTACCGATGATATTAGTGACATTGTGAGTGCAGTTGCCTGACCAGAAACGAATGATGGGCCTTCTAACGTGTGGACTGGACAGACCACTATCGATATGTTGAAGGGCGTGGGGAAGAAGACTAAGCTTGTAACTCGCTTCTCCACCGTTGGCGGAGAGAAGGGATCCGCCGACAGTGCCCGCGACCCTCGTGGATTTGCCGTGAAGTTTTACACCGAAGAGGGCAATTGGGACTGGGTGTTTAATAATACGCCTATTTTTTTCCTGCGTGACCCCTCGAAGTTCCCGATCTTCATTCATACCCAGAAGAGAAACCCGCAGACCAATCTGAAGGATGCAACCATGTTCTGGGACTACCTGTCGACCCATCAGGAGGCTATCCACCAAGTTATGCATTTGTTCAGCGACAGAGGCACTCCTTATTCATACCGCCATATGAACGGGTACTCTGGCCACACATACAAGTGGATTAAGCCCGATGGCACTTTCAACTACGTTCAGATTCACTGCAAGACCGATCAGGGCAACAAAACCTTTAACAACGAGGAGGCACACAAAATGTCAGCTGAAAACCCCGACTGGCACACTGAAGATCTCTTCAAGGCTATTGAGAGGGGTGAATATCCATCTTGGACTTGCTACGTCCAAGTATTGAGTCCTGAGCAGGCCGAGAAGTTCCGATGGAGCGTTTTCGACCTGACCAAGGTTTGGCCCCAGAGTGAAGTCCCTCTTCGACGCTTCGGACGCCTCACCCTCAACAAGAACCCCGAAAACTATTTTGCCGAGATCGAGCAGGCTGCTTTCTCCCCGTCTCACATGGTTCCCGGTGTCGAGCCATCTGCCGACCCGGTTCTGCAATCCAGACTATTCTCCTACCCTGATACCCACCGACACCGTTTGGGCACCAACTACTCCCAGATCCCCGTCAACTGTCCACTCCGGGCCTTCAGTCCTTACCAACGCGATGGTGCTATGGTCGTCAATGGAAACTACGGTGCAAACCCGAACTATCCGTCCTCCTTCCGTCGCTTGCAGTTCAATGCAGTCAAGGCAAGTCAAGAACATGAAAAGTGGGCCGGAGCAGTCCTTGCAAAACAGATTCCAGTCACCGATGAAGACTATGTGCAAGCAAACGGACTCTGGAATGTCCTCGGCCGCCAACCTGGGCAGCAGGACAACTTCGTCCACAATGTCTCTGTGCACCTTTGCAATGCTCAGGAGACTGTCCGTAAGCGAACTTATGGCATGTTCAGCCGCGTGAATAAGGACTTGGGTGCTCGCATCGAGAAAGCCACCGAGGCCTTGATTTCCCAGCCACGCCTTTAAAACGTCTGATATGCGGAGAAGAACTTATGAAGAGATTTGAATAAGGCATGGAAGTTGTGCTGGTTTTCCTTATGAACCTTACTGGTATAGCTGCCATTTTTTTTCTTTAATCAAGTCTCCCTACAAATGACCTGTGTTGCATTCTCCCCTCTAAAAGACCGAAACTGGGTTAGTGACAAGTTGCTATGTATGTTCTACTGTGTAATAAGACGAGGTAATTGCTTAATCTAGGATAATGCCACGATGTTTTTCTGTATCGGCCTTCAGTGCCTAATACCTGGAAATTAGTACCATAAACCCTACTCTAGTATATGTGCTATATATACAACTACATGTGGGTAAACTTAATGTAGTACTCCGTACTCCGTACATTCATTAGATATATATATATATATGTTCCCCAGTCTGCACGCAGGACAGGGCAGCTATATTGCTATATCACGGCCCCTGAAGCTTGCTAGTTATTCAGATTAGGTTAGGTAACTTTGGAACAGGGACCAGGGGTTCCTGCCCATCACACACAGCCTTCCCGGCTTAGTTCAAACTATGTAGTTAACTAGGCAATTTAAGTTGGTTAGCTGGGATGATGTTAATGAGAATTGAAAAGGTTAACTTAACTTCAGTCCAGCTGTCAGCGCAGGAAGAACATGAACCGCAGAGGATGACACAATGGCAATATGTAGTTATATGAAACACTGTCCAATTACGAGTTATCAACCACTCACATCATTCCTATCCTAATAGAGCACACTCCGATTCCTCACAGCCAATTGCTTCATATTATTCAATCATGTGAGAGGCGAGGTTTGGATTGCTGAGAATTCTACAGTGTTCAATTCCTGGCTACTCTCCTGTCGTCTATATTTCTCTCTCTAGCATCATGCCATCCTTTTCATGCATTCAAGCTTACCCGCAGAAATAAGAAAAAAGGGAATGGATTGTCGCTTGGTTTCACCTTCTTTCATCCGAACAAATATTTGAACACCGAGAAAGGCACGGGTTTGATCTTCTGGGGAGAAGAGTGTCTCATGGCCGGATACGTCCAGACGGGCGCTGTCCAGCCAAAGAAGGCCATGGTCCAGAGATAGCCCAAAGCTTTGGACCTGAACACCTTTGGGCCGCGTCGAAGCCGCTCGTCATTAAATCGGTGAGTGGTAAACAATATATCTTCGAGAGCTATTCCCAAAGCCTGGGTCAAAAAAAAATCCATGGCTCCCGACTCTCGAACGGGGATGCCCATCGTATGGTCCGTCACCACGTGCAGAATCCCAGACAATGCGAACACGAAACCTACACGGACATATCTGGCCAATATCCCGTTGCGCTTCGGGATGCGTAGTACCTTGTATGTGAGAAGCTCCGAGTATGATACTAAGGGTCGACGCAGCTGCTGATGCCAGACCAAACTGTGCAGTTGTCAGCTATGTTTGGTTTCGTTTAACAAGAGAGCCGGGGAACAGCATTTACCCCCAGAATCGCCTGACAGACCAGGCATCCGAGATACGCCCATACATCAATGGCCATTCTTCCGGATCGTGAATTCCCAATCCCACGATGACTGCAGACGCGAAGGCATGCAGCTGGACAATCATGGCCATGGCGGCCGCAGCAAAACCTATCACTGATCCGGTCCGAATCGCAAGTTCCTCGAGGGATATTTCAGTCATTCTGCGAAAGACATACTGCTTTTCCACCGTAAAGGTCGAATTTATGATTTCTTGCGGCAAGGCTACCCAGCCAAGCAAATCCAAAACCAAGTACGCTGCAACTGATATTTGAAATCTGCGCATGGCAAACCCTACGCGACCAATACTTTGACCCTTACCCTTCTTGTGGCTCCCGTTCACGGTTTCAACACCATTGATTCCTTCCTTCACATCTCGACGTATGCATTCTTCCTCCCAGCGTGTCCCAATCCAGCGGCCGTTCCAAATTGTATTCCATGCCCAAACAATCCGGTCCCACCCTCTATTAGATATCGCGTTGACCTTTCCCGCCTTCATTTTCCATTTCATTTCGTTCACATATTCGATATTTGTTACCAGCAAAGCATTGATTAGGTGCAAAACCTGGCCCCAAACCGAAGGAAGTACCATGTGGTTAAGTGCAGAGTTGTTGTATGGAAAAATCCAGTGGATATGTGCTGCAAGGAATACAGTCAAGATAGTCACACTAATACGGATCTTTATGGCTGATTTCGGTGCATATGCCAGAACCGCCACGGTGGTAGCTTGCATTATGAAGATCTCGACCAATGCCAACCATGACGGTACATCGATGAGGCCAAGTGCCATGGTATCCACAACAAATCGGAAATAATAGTAGAAAGATGGCCCAAAGTGGCTCAAGAGAACGAATCCACCGGTCTCGGGATGGTAGGGACAAACCCTTTCAGTAGAAAACGGAGTATTGAATCAGGTTTGGTAATTATTACTCCATAGTGCAAAACGAATGCCAACAAAATTTAAGGAGAGAGAAAAGCTGGCTGTAGCTGAGATTGAGCATTTTTCCTTTTTTTTTTTTTTTGGCTTTTGCTGGTGTGCATTGACTAGTTATTGTGGCTTTGCAGGGTGGTTCATCCCTGCTGTTTTTATGGACTACAACACCAACAAAAGAACGGGTCTCACAAGCGGAAATATCCTTTGCCAGGCTAGCAATCATTCTCCTCCATGGAATACTACTCCAAGTTTCTATCTGATGGGCGCCAGCGAGCGTTGAACCCAAAGAAGCCATGAAAGAGTTAGGGAACCCACGCTACCATTGCAAATACAAGCGGATGCGAGATAGGGGAACTATCCCTGTCAAGGGTGGCTTTTACTCATATCCTTTGCACATGGGCCTCTCTCTCTCTCCCTCTCTCAAGTTGAGCTGGATGCACCGTTCTCTTCCCTGCAACATGGCGGTAACTTCTAGGTATGACGATGGGAAAATTTATAATCCTGATAGCAACCAAGGGTGAGAAGCTGGAATTTTGGGCACTTGTACCCAAGAGTCTGACTAACAATGCAGCCAGATCAGGTTCAAGGCTGACCTGTTTAATAGACTGTCACCAGGCAAGGATCCTGGCCCTAGAACAAGCTTCCTCCACTTATCGATTCGTGTAAACTTGAATCAAGTCTTGTTTTCGGGTTTGGGACCGACAGAGTAGGCCCATTGCTTCTGAAACTGACGTTCTGTTTCACAGTCACTGTGAGAACTGTTTTGTTCCAGGTTTGTCCCAAGATATGCCCAGGGAGATAAAGCGGGCTTTCAGAAATATGGCCCACAGTGAACTTAGTCATACAGAAGTCCGAGCAAGATAATCTCTGTCAGTGTTTGCAGATGGAAATCCAATATAACTCCTCCTGTCGTAAACATCAAAGAAGAAAGTGAAAATTGTAACTTCATTTGAAGGGTAAGGGAAGAGAAAGAAATTAAGAAACTTAATAATAAATCCACCCTCAAGGATTGAAACAGAACAAAATGTTAAGGGGGTGGGGGAAAATATGAAGCAGACACAGAAGATTAACGCACAAGCATCCACCAGGATATTAGGAATCCTGCTCATGTAAAGCATGTCGGCGTGAACATATTGTACAAGAAAGTTGAATGACCCTCTATTTTGCTTGCTTGTGGTCTGCCCAGAACAAACGGAATATTCATAATGCGTGTGCCTCACCCATAACCAAAACCGTAATATTGAAAGCGGGCGCCAGATTGAAGCAAGGCCGCTCAGTCTGCAAAAACTGATTGATCCTTACTGAGTTTTCCATAGCGTTTAAGTCCGGCCATATCTCGTTTTGCCGAAAGAAAAGGGAACATAGCGATATTTAATCATGTGTTGGATTTGTCGTCGCACTGATCGAATCATTTACCGTTAGAAGTACGCTCGTTGCAACCTAGGACTACCCATGAAGACTTACTCGTCAGGCTAAAGAGGATTAACCAGTAGACCACCAACACCGGCCAGAAAACGGGAATGTTGAAGATCTCGGACCATGAGCAGAGGAAAGCAATTGTGATGGCTCTCGTCGCGGAATGCCAAAACTTGAATTCGGGGAGTCGTCGGATAAAGGGGCGGAACTCATCATCCTGCTTTGTTGGAAGCGAAGACGCATGAGCCTCACCATCCTCCAGACCTTCATCTTGGGTGAGGGATGGATCGAATTTTGGTTGTAGAAAAGCGAGGAAGAGATTCAAAAGGTAGATTCCCAAGGTATAGGCAACTGCAGCACATCGTGCGAGATTTAGCGAAAGATACCCCACAGAACAATCGATCTCAAACGGCCGTCAAGAGAGCGGAAAATCGCATACCAATATACCAGCCTTGCGCGAGAACAATCCTTAGGAAGAATATACAAAGCAGGGCGCCCGTTCCCAGCCATCGATAAAGAGTGAATGGTGTGCATGCATCGAGATAAGCTTGGTATTGCTATCACAGAGGAACCATCAGCAAGCTCGACGACTTCAAGGCTTCGTAAAACAAGGCTAGAATGTCACGCCCGGGGAATAGGGCAAGCGCATCTGCTAAGAATGGAGCTTACTTGCGCTATTCTCGATGTTTGTGCCGTCACTGCGGTAAAAGGAGTCTGATCGGGTTCTGGCACATCCATGGCTACTGGAGACGAGAGAAACGAATTATAGCCAATCCACTTTGTTTATTCGAATCGAAAAAGGTCCCGGCTCAGAGCCTAGATTCAACAAGAGTAAAGCGAGAAGAGAAAGGCTAAATTAGAACAATACTTCCGCAATGAATAAACAACGATGAAGAAACAACAGGCGTCTCCGAAAGCGATAATTTCACGAGTTACTCCGTACGATTGCTGACAAGGAGTTAATTCCTGGGCGGCCCTGGCGTGGCCACGAAGCACATAACAGAACATCAGCCACTCAACCACAAGCTTCACTTGGCCAAATATGACCTAGTGTGGCTCACTTTGGATTATATAATACGTGGCTGGAAGTTTCACGTGATGATGCCAAGGGTTCGGTTGGCCTCGGATAATCTCCCCGTAGGTCCGGGAGAAACATCCATGGATGGACGCCGGGTTGTTTTGTTGATGAGAGCATCTGGACTGCAGCCATTGAGCATCCGTTGAATTTGTCAAGTATTGTCTTTCCGGCGCAATCGATCACAATGTTTTCAAACCGATGTGCAAGGCTTGTTGCCTCTCGAACGTCAGTCCCATTGACGTCATACCTGGCCCGGGCGAGGTTCTCTTCCACAGCTTCTCCAGCTTCTGCAGCGTATGAATATATCTTGACCTCTACACCAAAGCCGGGAGTGGGATTGAGTATGTGACGGCCCTTTGCTATATTTTTGAATGAATCGCCAATCTGGCAGCTCGCGTATACATTTGGAATTCCAACTCACAGTCCTTCCAGTCACTCTTAACCGACCCAAGGCTTTAAACGCACTCTGCAGCCCCCTCTTCCATGAACTCAATGAAGCTCTGACGAAATATGACGAAGATAAAGACATTGGTGCCATAATCATCACTGGCAGTGAAAAAGCCTTTGCTGGTATTTAGCCATTCTGGAGATCAGACGAGAGAGTTCCATGTATAGCTGACATGCTATAGCTGGCGCCGATATCAAGGAAATGGCACCCTTAACGTTCGCTGCAGCATACTCGAACAACTTTATTGCCCCTTGGTCCCATCTGGCCAACTCAATCCGCACTCCCGTCATTGCCGCCGTTTCTGGTTATGCTCTTGGCGGTGGGTGCGAATTGGCACTGATGTGTGACATGATTTATTGCACATCCAAGGCAACCTTCGGCCAGCCCGAGATTAAATTGGGTACCATCCCTGGTGCTGGTGGCTCTCAGCGTTTGACTAAGATCGTTGGAAAGAGCAAGGCCATGGAATTGATTTTGACTGGAAATACCTTCAGTGGGAAAGAGGCCGGAGAATGGGGGGTGGCCGCTAAGGTCGTCGACGGTGGAAAAGATGAATTACTCGCAGCTGCACTGGAAACCGCCAGCACTATCGCCGGATACAGTCGTGTCGCTGTCGTTGCCGCAAAAGAAGTTGTCAACAAGAGCCAGGAGCTGTCGTTGGGAGAGGGCGTTGATTACGAGAGACGCCTTTTCCACGGGTTATTCGGCAGCAAAGATCAAAAGATAGGTATGTTACCATTGGCCCCCAGGGAGTACTTTCGAGGTAAAGTTTGCAATTACTAAAAATGGATTAGGAATGACTGCGTTTGCCGAGAAGAAGAAGCCAGAATGGTCCAATGAGTAACCGCTGGATTGCGGCGTGTATCTTTTACGACTGTATATAATCAATATACCCCACAGTGGTTAGGGGGATGCTCTGTGCATTGGAAATAAAAATATAGCTTTCGACATGCCAACTAAGGGAGCCGAAAGCATCCCGTGTTGCAGTTCTCGACGGATTTTTGATTCTTCATTCAATGTCCTGGGCAAACGGTCCCATCAAGAAATCGTGGTGATATACACTAATATAAAGAGTTTTTGAAACAATTCTGTTTTCCGCACCAATGGCTAATTAAGAACCGCCACCAAACCTGCGTTCCGCAGCCCTTTGTGCCCTATCCCCGAGGCTGCTGATACTGCCGAGAATACCACCTACACATAAGTCATCAGTATCTATCCACTATCCGCTCTATTTGGGTAACAGGTTCATTACTAGGCTTGGAGTCTTTCTCAGCCTGCTGTTGGTGCTCTCCGAACCCCTGACTGCCATGCTCACCCATAAACCTCTCGTCACTCGGCTCATCTTCTCCAATTCTGGACGAACTGTGCATTCCTTGTCCGCCCATGCCTCTCTGACCATATCCACCCTGTGTGCTTTCAGTCTGCGGATACGCTTGGGCAGTTCCGCCTTGATATCTTCCACCCCAATCTTCACCCTGAGCTCTGCCACCTCCTTGCATGGCGGTGTGCTGTTGGTCGTACTCCTGGCCATGGCCGCTGGAATACTTTTGCGATGATTCGGACATGGGATCCGACCGAATGCCCTCGTCAGCATTATAGTCTTGCTGGGTGCCACTCTGCATTTCATCTTCCCAGTTGGGCTGGTCGCGGCGTCCGCCGGGACCCCAGGTGTTTCCAAAGCCAGCCATGACCTGTTAGTCCGGTATTCGCTTATGTTAAGACGATTAAATAGAAGGACGTTTTTTTGAGAACTGAAAATGGTCAATGCTGCTATTTCAAAAACTGGAGGTGTGCGGTTTGAACCTCTTCGATTCTTTTTGACCAGATGGGGGTATTTTATAGGAGCGATGTCAATGGCAAATAGTGATATCATAGCTCGCAAGTTTCAACTGCAACGCCCAAACGTTCTTTAAAACCGGCTCTCTATTTTGATGAGATCTAGGCGCTGGCTAAATCATGTAGAATTCAACTTCAGCGTCCAATAGCAAAGATCACCCGTCGTACTAACACCGACTGGATACAGAAACGTTTGGAGATGTTGTCCACTTTCCTAGCAAAGTTATGTTGTCAAGTCCGGGGTACATAGACCCAACTTCCAATTTGCAGGTGTTAACATTTCCGCAGAGTTGCTTCACAATGGGGTCACTACGAGTTACGATCGGCAATTGGAGAGCCTCAGCCAATGTGTGATGCTTTTAACTAGTTACCGGTTGTTGCGGAGGAACTACTCCGTACTTAGAAACTTAATTATCCGCTCATTGTTGAAGACCTTGCTGGCTGTCTGCGGAGTTCGCCGTGTGTTCACCAGCTGACAAGCCTACGAAGACCTCGAGTTGACTCAAGCAAATGTAACTGTTGTACGGGGTAGATACTCCGAACCTAATCTATATGTGGATCTAACTATCAGGCCGCAGAGCGAGAACGCGATACCCCCAACGAGTCAAATGCAACTCGGCTTTCGCATTTAACTCCTTCGTACCAGGATCCATCCAACAAAGTTATGACAACTCATAGCTTCCTCCCTGCCGCAGCCCCAAGGCACTGACAAAAATACATTCAGTTCTGGCTGCGGAGAGGATACATTTAAGTAGTCAAATCTAACTCCTTGTTATCACATATCTGCAAGAAGCCGTCGGTTTTCTTCCTTCTCTTGCCAACTGAAAGTCTCGGGTGTTATACTTCATTTGGTGCACGGCATGGAAGACCCTGTTCTGGCCGGGTTTTCACATCATGTATCCGCATCTGTGCGAGAGCACCTTATAAAGCGAAAGGAACTGATTTCCCAGGAGAAGAAGCATCGGAGCGGTTAGCCCTCGTTGGCTTCTCCTAGGTATGCTCTTAATCTAATATATATGCCCCTAGATGCCGAATTCCGTCGTACTTTGAGCCCAACAGCCCGAAAAGCATGCGAGATCGTCCATCACATCCGTGCAGAAGAGCAACAAAGACTATGGCGTCACACCGGGACCCAGGGAGATCATGATGCTGAACTCTTCCCGGGTATGATGTTTAGCCTCGCCAAAGAGCGGATGGAGTCCACGAATCTTTGGCGCATTTGCAGAAGGCTCCCAAAAGGAGCGTTACTACATTCTCATTTGCCTGCTATGGTTGACCTGGGGTGGTTGTTCAACGTGGCTTTAGACACTCCGGGGATGCAATTTTATGCTTCTCAACCGTTGACATCGGATACGGCGTGTCAGGCTGCTTCCGTTTTTTTTGGTTTTTCAAAGGCATCAACTAAACCAGGCTTGTCGATTTGGACTCCCGAATATTCCCCAAATACCCTGATCCCAGCGGCTGTCGCGGCGGAAACTTTCCCGAAAGACGGACGTGCCGGCTTCATTACATGGCTGAAAGACCGGTGCTCTATCGTCGAAAAGGAAGCGATCGAGCATCACCTCGGAGTCGATGCTATTTGGCGGAAGATGCAAGGCGCTTTTCCTATCATTCACTCCATAATTTATTACGAGCCAATCCTTCGAAAGCTTATAAGAAAATTGCTCCAGACCCTCGCAGAGGATGGCGTTCAGTGGGTGGAAATTAGAGATGCATTTGCGTGTCCATATAGAAAAGCAAACAGCGACACCACGGAAGACGACTTTTGTTCAATGATTGGAGTCATTGCCGAAGAAATTGAAAGTTTCAAAGCTAGTGAGGAAGGGAGAGATTTCTGGGGTGCACGAATCATCTGGACTGCACTACGCTTCAATTCGGCAGAAGCAATCTTAAGAAGTATGCGTTCTGTTATACTTTCTCTCATTCCCTTTTTATACTTACGGCTCATAGGCATGCAAAACTGCATCAGGGCGAAAAAGCAGTATCCAGATTTGATAGCCGGATTCGATCTCGTCGGGCAGGAAGACCTTGGTAAAACCCTCAAGGAACTCTCCTATGAAATCCTTTGGTTCCGTCAGAAATGTGTTGAAGAAGAGCTTGAGGTTCCCTTCCTCTTCCACGCTGGTGAATGCCTTGGAGATGGTGATAGTACAGATGAGAATCTCTTTGATGCCATCTTGTTTGGGACTCGAAGGCTTGGCCATGGGTTTTCGCTTTTCAAACACCCTGACTTGATCGAAATTGTCAAAGAGAAGAGGATTTTAATTGAAAGTTGCCCTATATCAAATGAAGTTCTTAGATTGACATCTACAGTGCTAGCTCATCCTTTACCCGCGCTCCTGGCGAGAGGGATTTCGGCGTCGCTTAGCAATGATGACCCCGCATTATTAGGTCAAGGAACCTCCGGCATGACCCATGACTTTTGGGAAGCCCTCCAGTCATGGGAGAATCTTGGACTTGCTGGTTTGGGCTGCCTTGCGGAGAATAGTGTTCGTTGGGCAGTACATGAGGATCAGACGGAGGCGGACTGGGTCAAAGACATTGATAACGGATATGGTGGGAACGGAATTCGCGCGGATAGAATGAAGAAGTGGAAAGCCTCGTGGGAAGAATTCTGCCAGTGGGTAGTGGATGAATTTGGGAAAATGGAATCGAATTAGTTAATGTCTCAATGTTCAGATGGGTCATCGTCGCCGGATTTGAACACTGATGTGAACCCATGTATTTGTAAGGTCTCTCTCATCCGGGGGAATACTGGACATCAGTTTCTTCGCTCTATAGTCACTCACTCTATTTCACCATAATCTTTAGAGTCGGTAGGCATTTTTTAGACAATGGAATGCGTTGATCACTTAGATCTGGCTGCTTTGTACTATCTACCATCAACATATATCGAGCGGGCATACTCTGCTGCTGGCATGGATTCTCCACGAGCAAAGGACTAAGCACTTGAAGTGGCTCCTTTTGAGGGTCTCAGCATCCCTACGGTTCTCGAAACGGTGCTTCCACCGTATTTGGACAAATCCAGATCGAAATGTTCAACATCTTGGAACCCGAACTTCTTATATACAGGGTACCCTCGAGGCGAAGCTTCAAGCCATACAGGAATATTGTATTTATCCGCAACGGCAAGGCCATCTTTCAATAGTGCGGATCCGACGCCACGACCTTGGAATTCCGGCCGCGTGATTAGGAGCGCAAGAACTTACCAACGATAATGTTAGTCGGGAGGAACGCTCGCTCCTCTTTCTTTTCAAAATTCCAAGAGAGTAAAAGGGCAAAACATACGAAGAAACTTTTGTCCCCCCATTATCCTCTTCCTTGCTCCATACATCCAGCCAAAGAATTCCTCACAGGCTTCTACATTTGCACCCGGGGGGAAATTTTTATTCTTCTTATCTTGCGAGTCAGCGCCCCCTTCCTCCTCTTTCTTCTCATCTTTCAAATGCCAATTCGGATCTAAATGAAGGTTCCATTGAGCAATTCCGGCGAGTTTTCCGCCAATCACGACTTTTGCAAACCGAGTAGTAGGATCTTCGGTCAATGATTTCTTCAACCGTTGTATGCGGAACTCTTTTGTAGCTGAATTGGGGCTAGCAAATACTATCCGCGAGACTTCCTCGCCTTCAAAGGCAAGATTTTCGATTTCGCTGATACTGGCGAGATCGGATTCTAAGATCGGGAGTATTTCGTAGGTTGCGGATGACATTTTCGGTATGATGGATCAGATTTGAGAACAGGGTTTATAATTGTAGAAGCGTGTTTCTACGGCCTTGGGATAACGGGGGAGAGGGGGTCTATATAAGACAAGGGTGCATTTTGAGAGCCTCACGGTCTCTTTCAAGTTCTCGTTCGGCGACAGCGGATGGTTACTTGTGGAGACCACCGTCGTAAACTCAAAAGGGTTCGCCGCCCAGAAGCCCTGGCCTTCCTGTGAGTCCGAATGTGCTGATACGGGAACGGGATGTTTTCTCTGTGCATGGTTGTATTCACAGGCCGACAGGGGTCGGAGTTCGACTTGACGAGTAGTTCTTTTGAAAAATGTTGGTTCACAAGCTGATCGGGGCCGTTGGTTGAACTTGGCCGGCGGTCAGGGTTACGCTGGCGAAGGCGCTAGGCAGGAAAGGGACCCCGACCCGTGGGTTCGGGTGCTGGAACTCTAACTCATGTGTCCGAGATGACTCCTCCTCCTTTGCATGCAGTGGCAAACGACTCGGAACTTACCCGTGGGTGGGAGTGAGGCGATGTAGGCTAAGGACTTGCCCTCGCTGGAAAGGCGAAAGGGATATTGGCGAGCGTCGGCTCCAAGCACATTGCCCCTGGATCAACACTATCAAGGACAAAGAATGACAATCTCTTTGTATCTGCAGACTCAGTGTGCACCTTGCATGGAAAAATCAAAAATTTCCTTCAAGAAAGGTGTCAATTTGGTTAACAGTTCTCCATGACTAAGGACATCTAGACGTAGGTACTATATGTAGCTGGTTATGGAGCATTATACCTAAGTTCCCCGAGGAGTGCAGTCTGCAAGACACCAGTTGACGTATTTTGCTCATGACATGCATACGTGTACACAGACTGCCGTAAATAACAGACAAAGCTTTGCTGGAATTTTGGGGGAGAGTTGATTATTGAAGCGTTGACGCATAATCCGTGCACAGCAAAGTCGAGCTCAGTGTAAAAACAGAACCATGATTCCAGACTCCCCCGCAAAACGTTTCTCAGAAGTATGAGGAATACTGCCCATGCAAATTCAGATTTCGAGATCATCCACACTGCTTGATGAGACACTAATAGTTCTCTGTTTCAGCGGGCGTACTGATTCTGTAGAATTTAGAAACAACTCCACAGTCTTCGTTACAATCCACGTCGATGCATACATATTCACACTGCGGGTTTGTTGTCAGAACGACCGCTTGAATCGGCTCAACATAGGGGAAAATATTTTTTCTCACCGATCAATGCATGATCCGGGAAACCTAGCTCCTACACGCCGGGCTGAAAATCCATTGGCTTCAAAAATTTTAATATACCAGGGTTCAATCGACGCGGACCGTAGTAGGATACGACCGTCCATTTTAAGGACTTGATTGAATGCTCTTGCCTGTGAAGCTGCTGCGGTACCTTCCGGATCAAACCAATCCATCGAGTCCATTATCTAAAGTTCACAGAGTCAGATTTAGTATGGAACGATTGGGAGTAAATTGTAAACCTACCACAGCAATAGTAAGCGTTCCAGGAGTTATTCTCGCGATAACTTCGTTAATCTCATCTGTATGAATACGCAAGCCATCAAAAGCTCCCGGAGTGGACAACTTCAAGTGTGATTTGGGTGTTAAATAGCTTGGGTGACAACTGGGCATTGTAAGCACCGAATTTTGGGTACGGTGCTAGGGAACATACCGCCTTGAATATTTGCCCTGTAGGCATAGGAAATAAAAGTAGTTATCGTCGCTGATTAATGTGTGGTTGACAACGGGATCCAGCGTGTCAACGACATATTCCCATATAGCCTGACCGCTGACATCTGATGATTGTTTTACCCCACCGGATAGGCCATTTCTCGTCATGTAATCAGATATTATCATATTCCTCTGGGGTGGTGGGACCCCCGCCGCTTTCCATGCAAACCACTCTGTCCCAACGACGGCCCAATGCAGTGGTTTACTCAGCAATATGTTTCGAATCCGTGGCCATAATTCACGCTGTTCGTCCAAGGTTTGTGACTCACAGAGCCTTTTAACCTCAGAGTTCAATCCGAAGATGTTGAAAAGGTAGCGAACCATTTTGAGAGCATAACGTGAGCCACCGGTCTCATATAGACCTTTTCCAGAGGTAGAGGTAAAAACGTTGCAGTGGTCTAACCAGAATTGAAAAGCTTGGCTGGAGAGATGAGGACTAAGCTTAGAAAGCAGGAGTTCTCTAAAGTGAGGGTGTTTGCCCTCCCCAAATATCTTCCAGACGTCAAGATAGCTCAAAGCCGTGAAACTTGCTACTTTAAGCTCAAGTAGATGGTTCTGGCTCGGGTTGAGGTCCACGGCGTGGATTTTTCGCGGGCTGTATTGCAAGTAGTCAAGTATATTGTCGCCAGCACTTGAGATGGCCAAAATCACGTCGTCACTACCAATTCTCAGTAATCGGTGGTCAACCCGGGGGTCCTCCCACGTGAAAGCGTAGATATATTCATTATTGAACTGGGTATGTTTGGGATGAAGCTCATCATACCAGATCCTCCAATGGTGATGCTGGTAGAACGACGAAGGTAGCGGCAAGTTGGAGCTTAGATTGACAATGGCTGCTTCGTATGCTTTGGATCTTATCCCGGGAACGCTTTGCTCAACTGCTTTGGACAACTCTTTGCGGTGACGTGTGGGCGAAAGGTAAGGTGATTCCGTGTAAGCAGCATCGAGCTTCGCCAATGCCTCGGGGTTTTCCGTACTTTGTTTGTGGCATCCAATGAATATGTAGTATGGAATACCACCGAGGAGATAGTTTCTTTCGCTAGAAGATATGACCGTTCCAAATCGGTATTCAAGGTAGTCTCTTCGCGCCGGCTCGAGTCCAACCCGGTCAACATCAAACCAGGCGCGCCAGAATACCCTTCCAAGCCAATTGACATGGCGATTAAATGAACCACCTGTATAATTTCTGGCTGATAAATCAACAATGCTTTGTACTTTGTGCCCATTAGCTGCTAAATTCCTCTAGGAAGAGATCTGCTGCTCACCGTAAAAATCACATACGCCGACAATTCCCGATGGACTTAGAAGCGAGGTTAAGGAATCAACAACACTGTAATAGTCTACCAAGGATCCAACCCTTAGCAAATGGCTTTAGGTTTAAGCGGTGCATTGAAAACCCACCAGGAATCATAGACAGGCTGTAGCTCATGGTTATCAAATTCGCCTTCATATCGTCTGAGCTAGTTCCATGTCCACTGGGCGCAGTAGGGAGGCGAAACTCCCGTGCATCCTGGCAGACTACGGATACGTTTTTCCATCCAAGCCGGGCAAATCTTTGTCGCGCAACTTCACACAACGATGGCGAGAGGTCAACCAGATATACATGGCTGAAAAAGGTTTCAACAGGCACAAACGCGGCCATGGCCTCGATGTTGTAACTGTTGGGGAACTGTTAAAAACGGCCCTGGAACCATATCCAGCTTTCAAGCATACCCGGTTCCACCACCGATCTGTTTTCGATTACAGTAAGTAACCGCGTCCTATGCGTACACGGAATATTAACTCACATCCACCCAAACCAGCTTTTTTTGAGGGTCGTTTTTCTGGCTAGCTTGGAACTCCAACTGGCCAGCCAGCAACCCGAGCATATCTTCTCTACCTTTGAGAAGACGTTTGCGGGTAGAATCATAGATATTGGCCTGACTAGAGATTAGCGGCTCAGGACTTCTTGTTGCATAGATCGATCTCTTCTCCGGATGATAGCCACCTGCGTTCCGTAGAAACTTTCCAGCGCATGTTTCTGACTCCTCCCTTCTGCAAAGTTAAATGGTTTGAGGAAGTTGGCGTAAAAAAAAGTGGCATATGAGAACAGAAAGCCATTACAGTTTGTCTTTGGATTGCGAATATTAAGCAAGAATATGAAAAAAATGAACCCCACCACTAAAATGCCAGCAGCGGCAATTTTAATGTACAAGGTGCTGGGGCCTTGTAGGCCTAGGAGTGAGAAGATGCTGCCAACGATGCGCATGATTGCTGCAAAGTCGACCAGGCAGGATGTTGGCGTGGCTGGCAACAGGAGAATCAAGGAGCACAAAATATTAGAGACAAAAAGAAGGACGATAGGGGCTGAGGGAATCAAATCCAATTTAATGGTGCTGGGTAAGATGGTTCCGCGACTGGATCTTCGCTGCGGAAACACCACAAAACTGGATTTGAGCTTCGTCCTATCAAATGAACACATGCCACTGACATGGCGGGGACGGAGCTACATGTATCTTGCAGCAGAGCGGAGAAATCAGACGTCCCGGTCTCAATGGTAGCATATGCCTCCTGTCCCAGTGATTGTCTTATGCCGCCCTGTTCACCGCGTGCAGGACCGTACAGGGGCCAGCAGGGCGACAGAGTAAGCTTTAAGGTACCCGGCATCACGATAAGATGTTCGATCGCAAAGCCAGATTTCATCGAGTCAGAGTTTCTGATGCCGCCATGTGCGATTTGTACTCGCGGGGCTTGTGTGCACGGGTGTGAGATGTCAGGAAGGGCGCTTCCCGCCGTGAGCTAGTTAGTTGGCAACGTGCTCGGGACAGGGTCGAAAGTTGTTCCAACCAATCACCAGCCACAAGGTCACCACGTCGTTGTGTATGCACGGTACGGAGTACAGAGTACCTGTTCGCAACATGATTGCGGACAACGGATACTATTCCTCTGTCCAAGGTCCAGCCATGGTTTTCAATATGTACACCCACAGGAACAAAATTCACCCCTCGACACTTCTATGGATGAAGCATGTTATAATTATATCCACTGTAAGTAGGTACTCCCCATTTCTTGCACCTATGGTGTATCCATCCCACATCTAATGTAATATGTGCACAGGTGCTCCCAGATAACTCCAAACAGGATCCCAAATGATGAAAATGCTTGAAGCAGCATATCTAGACTGACTGAATTTTGAACCCCGCTGATCATGCTGAATTCGCCTTGAGCGCCTGCTCCAACTCGGTAAACCCTTTGAAAATTTCTGTCATCCTCCCTTGATCCCACGCCTGTCTCGTCGCATCAGCCAGTATCCCCTCTGACATAGCGGAGGCGATATCTGGTCCCTGGAAAGGTAGGGATGGCCGCGTTGCACAAACTTGTAACCCCATCCCGCTAAAGATTTTGTCCAACATCTCGGACGCGAAAATGCCCCCCTTTGCTCCGTATGTAACGATGAGAACGGGTTTCCCCTTGATCTCATTGTACAAATAATCAATGGCGTTTTTGAGACCTCCAGGTGGTCCAAAATTATATTCTGGGCTTAAAACAATATACCCGTCGTATTTTTCCATTTCGGAACTCCAAGCTTTGGTGTGATCATGGGCGAACGATGCTTTTGCAGGAACTGTTGCTGGAATCACATTCTCGTCGAAAACGGGTAGTTTGAATTCAGCAATATCAACGGTTGCGAGCTTGATGTTGGACTTTTCGGCTTTCGGCCGGAGATTGTCGAGGAGGAGAGACGCCACACGAGATCCGACACGAGGAACTCGTGTACTTCCAATAACAAGAGCAACGGTTTTCGGTATAGATACCATGATGCTGGATAAAAACTTGAGATTTATCGGACTGCTTCTCGGGGGGAAGACCGGTGCAAAAGGGGAGAGGAGAGGGTGCGCGAGTTTCTTTCTCGAGAACAAGAGGAAACGACAGAATGACACTTTCCGAGATTCTACAGATATGGTGTTAACTATGGCTTTATATCTTTTCTACTATTTCACTATTATATATTATCGGAACTTCGCTCGATCTCTGTCCCCGAAGGCGAGACTGCCAACAATGGAACCAGCGGCGCTGCATTGCGCGGGTGGGGATTTGATTTCAAAGCAATTCATGGCTGGAGATGGCAGCTCCACAGAGAATTGATAACATTTCGCGGTTTTGCCATCGACTTTAGAAGTTTGTACGGAGTACCGGTGGCCACTGTTAGGCACAGAAAAATCCAAATCAAACGGGCGAGGGCATTTCTGAGAGGCAAAGGCAGAGGGCAGTTGCATTGGCGGGAAAGTCTTTGCCCTAGGGACGCAGATCTTAAAACCTTGTTTACGGAGCACATGCTTACAAATAAACTTCAGGCCCGGAGGCTTGGCGTGATCACGAGTAACTCGTTTACTAATTAGTCAGTAACTTCTTACGTCACAGCTGGAGGGAAAAAAGCTAGTTACCAAACCAACGAGGTACAGAGTATTTAGCATGGAGCTGTCGCATAGCCGCAAGAAAAAGGCCCAGGATGATGCTCTTGCTATCCCTATCGAAGCACTGTACATATATAGTTAAGCATTATCTGGTCATTCTACATCCATTAATGCTGGAAGATCGAACCCCAAAACTTGAAGATCTTGGTTTTCTAATATAAAAGCGCATGACGACCCATGGAATTGGGAGGCGGAGGGCCCTCTATAACTGCTAACGCCTCCTGCTCCCTCACACATTCAAAGTGAAATTTTCCCCTATGAAACTCTATGGTGGCTCGCATTAAAGCCTTTTTGACACTACGTTAGTCGAGGGCTGGCCGACTCGCTGAGTGTAAATTGGATACATCGTTTGCTTACACTGACTAGCTCTCCGGTGGGATAAGCCCTGGGATGAGTGGTCGGGCACGCCTTAGAGCAACGATTATGCCATCCGATGCGCAAGTAATTACGGCTTCGATTTCCGCATGCCGTGACGTTTCCGGCCACGAGGATTCCCGAGCGCTCTGAGCTGTTTCCGATGTCGTACTGCATGTTTTGCAATGGAGGTCGTGTTGGCGGAAGTTGCAAGGATTCCGATCACTATCCCTAATGATCGTGCCGGGCAAGTATACGGGAGAGCCACCTTCGGTTTCATAACCATTTCTTCCAATGAGTTCGTCGACCTTTTCAATAACTTCAGGCTCATCATCGTATTCTGCAAGCATAGTTCGTAACCGAACGCGCAGGTATGCAATTGTGTCATGCATTTTGCTTTCCTCCAGACATCGGGCCGCTTGTGTCAAACAACATTCTTCCACGAAAGCATAAAAGCTCCGTGAAACAAGCTGGTTTGGAGTTACACCTAGGATCTCTGCTACATTACTAGTCGCAAAAACGATAGTTGAGGACCGGGTAAACCGATTTAGAACCAAGGCTGCACGTGGTTCAGGAACCGAAGAATTTGATGACCGTGAGAATTTGCTGGAAAGAGAACAGACCATACGATAATGGGGATCGTATGGCGAAGAGGAGAGAAGCCTTCTCACCACATAACTAGCAGCGACACGCTCTTCGAATCGAAAGGAATTTTGGCTGGTTGTTAATATCCGGTATAGACAAGTTACGGTTTGCACAAGTGCTTACTTTTACATTTTAATCCTTCTCGGCAAACTGTCGTCCGTGCGAAAAGAGTGTTGCATACCACGGTAAATACGCACTCGCAAGAAACCCAAAAGCCCGCTCTGTGTCTGACACGGAAATGGTTCAACGCTGCAGCTTTGTCTTGACGGACTGCACGTTGATAAATCCCTTTTGCCAGTGAAATTTCATCTGGATGTAAAAATTCCCATCCAGACCTGTTGATGACTTCATGGGGCTGATATCCAAGAAGATCCTCGATTGAATTGGAAACATATCGTATTCGAGCATCTTGAGAAGAATCTGCATCTTGTCAGTTCCAAGGACAAAAGGAAATCCATGTTGCAAAGGACACATTGTGAGAAGTGAACTTGCCAGATATTGTGATGAAGGCAATCTCCATAGCTATTTAATTCATAGGAAGCCAAGAATCACTTAGCAAGCCAGATTTTGACACTGTCTTGGAGCTGCTCCTTTTAAAATTCTTGATCTCAATAGTCGATGACCCAACCACTCGGCGAGACAACTGGATTTATGCTGCACAGCTCCAACGAGCAGGGTTCAAAGAAGACCACGAAAGCCTTATTTTAAATGTGTTTTCTGACGCTGCTGTTACTCAAGGAGAATTTTTCGAATCCAAGGATGCAAGAGTTCTCCCCTATCCTAATGATGATTCCACATAGCGTAGTTCCCGACTGCTAGGGGCATCACTAGCGATTGTGACAGGTAGTTAGCTCCCTTAACTGTAGATCAAGTCTTGAACCCCCCCGCAGCCGTGCTGGACAAACGCCGACCATGTCTACTCCGTAAGTACAGCACGGAGTTAACAACCGCAATGTCACGCACTTAGTTTATCGAGGCCAAGCTTCAATAATGCTCAACAACACCACGAGAATTCGCGGATCTTTAGTCTTTGTTGGCGTGGCGCTTCGTATCCTGCACACAAGAAGTGCTCCAGTTTAATGAATTAACCATTCCATCACCGAGACGGACTCGAAATCTGCAGGAGGAAAATGGGGCGGGATTCTGTCGTTGGCAGGTGACAGAAAGTAATTTCAGAGGCCCGCCCCTTGAACTATCTTGTCACTTTCATCCTTTCTTTGCCGCATTGGGGAGAACATACTCGGCACAACGGTGTGGGTTGTGTCCTGAGTATCTACCAAGCTTAGGACAAAAACCATGGTACAATATTTTTTTTTTTTTTTTTTAAAAAAATAATCGCACCAAATTGAAACTACGATGTGTAGTTAGATTCTGGATCGCTGAAGATAAGTACTCCGTCAAGTAAAATTGTCTCTGTATTGATCCCAACGAAAAAAAGTAGAGGATCCCTCTAGGAGCCCAAGGGTGAGAAGATGGTTGGCAACTCCCTTTTCTTGCATTGGAGTTTCTTGAACATATATATCTAATTGTAAATCTAAACAAATAATCAATAAGAGTTCATATTCTTCCAAAGCAATCTGCCCGAAATAGCGCGATTCACAAGCAATATATCATCGCGCTATATTTAAAATCCGATGGGCATAACCGCTCTCAAAACGCCTCAGAGGAAAAAGGGGTATATTCAAAACACACAGCAGCAATAGATTGGTTCAAGGCACCACGGCGGCAAAGTCGTAACATCATCACACATAGGCTAACGAGGAGTCGTCTAATCAGCCCTATTCTTTGAGATGTCCATCTCTCCCCGACTATCCGGTCTACTTTGAGCTTTCACTTTGACGTGGCGAAACTGTCACCGGGGAGCTGGGGTTGTGCAACTTCGACCAAACCAGGTTTTAGAAGCGCAGCTTGTATGGGTTGCGGTGGAGGAGAATGCTGCTGTGGGCGTCTCCGACGAGCTGGTGGGATCCCAACAGCCCCAAAAGAAACCCGGACGGGTGCAGGTGGTGCTAGTTGAAGGGGAAGACGAGTTAGGTTTACTCGTCGCAGTGGTAGGGGGATCGTTGCAGCCGCCAAACCACCCCGGAGTTTCGCATGTAGTACTGGTTGGAGTAGGCATGGAAATTGAGGTGATGATTGGAGTTGGAGAAGGGGTGGCGGATGGGACGGAAGAGGTAGTTGTGGGATCTTTACAACCAAACCATCCTGGGGTCTTGCATGTGCTTGTTGAGGTAGTGATTACATTCGTAGTTGTTCCAGTTGTGGTCGTTTTATCCAGACAACCCCACCATCCCGGCGTTTCACAAGTCGACGTCCGCGTTCGAGTGGGGGACGTTGTTGAGCTGCTTGGTGGAATTGGATGTGAGCCATTACTCTCGAAAAATTTCCATAGAGCACAGTCACGACATTCCGTGTCCGGTACGCAAGTCGGGACATCTTCATATCTCTCGATGACGTCGCTGATCACGTTGAGAATCCTGTGCGTCCCGATACCCACACGCCAACCCAGGTCTCCAACAGTGTCGTAAACACATCTTTGCCCGGTATGACAAGCTGATTCCATGGCATAACCCGCCAAGGTACAGAAGGAAGTGGCTCCGTTACACGTGCCCATATATACCGGGTCAGCTGTATGGCCAAAATGATAGGCTCCAGTATATTCACGCGCCTGTGGAGTATTGGGGTCGGTTCCTGGAGGCACCGGTAGGCCCAGTCGTGAAGCAGGTAAGGCTTCGGGGACTCCTTCAAATGTTACAACGGGTAAACCGTAAGTCAGCCCGAGGAGACTCGATACCGCACCCCCAAGAGAATGACCAGCAAGCCATACAGTCGAATTCGGGTATATATCCGTCACGTTAGCATAGAGATCAAGGGAGGCCCGATAGTACCGGTTTTCAGTCACAAGAGCCGAGACCAAGCATGTTGAATTGCAAGTATAGGCGGAAGAATAGCAGTCGCAAACCTGTCTCCAGAAATATTGACCTCCCTGACCACAGCAGCAGCTGAAAAACAAATTATCATTGATTTTGTCATTTGTGGTAGTTTCATCACCGTCAAACAACGCGGCGGAAGTTCCTTTCAATGCGATGATAATTGTTGAATTTGTCTGATCGGCATATATATGGCCACGGAGGCCGTCCTTTTCCCATCCGAAGCTTAATGACTGGTTAAATGGACCGGAAACGTCCTCCCATCTCTCTGCTCCCGGTTCCATAATATATGCATTTGCGGTCATCTTGGCGAGGTTAAGGACCGTCGTTTTATCGGATATATTAGGTCCAGGCAATTCATCTATCGTCCATACTGGCGGGGATAAAGTGCTGAATACTTCTGGCGTCCTTGCAGCTGAGAGTCGTGCTTCCATCACCTGAACACGTCGATCGGTAAGCCGCTGGATCTGGGAGGGCTGTGACGACACCCGGAAATGGGGAGAAAACTCCAGTTTCGCGCCATCTTCAGAAGCCACCCATATTTTCGTTTCGGGGTTAACGTCGAGCCGTTTATGTAGAAGTGGGTATTGATACGTGCCGTGATGAAAGATGTGGCGTAACGCCTGATAATAGGTTCGGGTTAGAAAAAAACCAAAAAAAGAACCGGCAAAAAAAAAGGGCGAAGAAAATCACGTACAAACTCATGACCTTGCGGTGATCGCTGCGGAAGGAATCCTAGATCCTCCGGCTGAACAAAAGGGACTTGAAGATTTCGATGACTTTCTAAGCCGGTTGCAAAAACAACCGGTGAGAAGATAGGCAGAAGAAGAAAGATCGCACAGGCCACCATGGCGAGCTGAGAGGTGCAGATATCGTCTTTCCATTGAGACGGTGTCATCATATATCATCCATGCATAGACTTTGTTAAGAGAAAGGACCGTTAGGTGGTGCATTTGAAGGGAGATATCCTGCCAAGATGGAGTGACGACATGCTTGCCTGGGCGTTAACAACCCCAACAGAACTTTGAGGTACGGAGGAATTACTCCGGAGTCGTCCCCGAACTCTGTCCTCCGTTACCCGCTCTGCTTGTAACCAGCAAAGGCGTTATAGCTTAGGTAATCGCTTATACTTCCCAGCTCACCAAATCCAAGTGTGTATATCTAATTTACCAATCTACCCACTTTGACATGTAAAGATGCCACGAGTTTGCAATAAAAATAAAAGAAACTTTGGAACTTACAATTCCTGCTTTAAAAGTTAAAAGAAATTGTCAGAAATTTTCTGAGCAACATTATATAAATTCTCAAGATATTTAAAAAACATACGGAGTACGGGGTATTCTGCTAACCACTATGTTAGTATTATATTAGTCATCCACCAGGCATTGGGTCGCCTGCCAAAGCCAAACCGGCTGGCATACTCCCATGATCAGTTCCTCTGTTCGCACGCGGGTCGAACTTCGTGCCAGGAGCCCGGAGTCCGATAGAGAACATGATGCAACTTGCCAACTCCCTGATCTACCCAATTTGCCAACTGAGCTCCCTCGTTCGCGTGCATCCTGAAGCTTCAACACGACGCGTGCCTTTCACCGACGACCGAGTCCTCTCCTCCGTACCAAGGATATCTTTTAAGTCTTTCTCCTCGTTAAATCGATGCACCAGGAGGGTCGGGTTTTGAGGTATCATTTCGCCTTGGGAGTTCCAACCTAATTCTTTTGTTGTTGCTATGTGATGGCCGGTGGTACGACAACGTACTTCTGTCTTTCCTTAGCTTCGATAAGTCCTGGAGCAAGGTACCATCCCGAGTTACCACGGAGTGTCTCAAGATAGTCTGAAACACCTTTTCGTGCTAAAATCTCGACAATCACTTGGGATTATGTCACCAGCTCGGGTTGATGCTCCCTTATCGCAATCCAACGGTCAATCTTCATGCACCCAAAGTATGCCCTCCATGACCAATCCGTTCTCGAGAATTACCCTACCGACTGTTGACCAAGTCGTGGGGCTTGAATCAATGGATCCTGTGGCTGCACCTTTCAATCCGCTTCCCGCTGATGGAGAACCCGATGTCTTTGAGAAGCAGGATTCAATCAAGTCGGCCAATGGAAATAAGGAACAGGATGAACTTCTACAAATACAAGACAAAAGCTGTTTGGAACGCTTTGATGATCTTCCTATTGAAATGATCAGCCTGACTGATAGGTTAGTTTCCTGAGCCTGGAGAACTGGAATCACAACCGGCTGACCCTGGCTTGCAGATTTGTTGAATCCTTGAGCGCTAAGGTCTACGACACTCCACCTTCAATAGACAAACTTTCCAGTTTATTTCAGGACTTCTATATTCGTGCTTCCTCGCATGTTGAGACTCATATTTCAATTTTAGCGTCTCGTCTTCGCCGTGGTGAATCTCCGTCTCCCAGCCGTTCCCAAAGCAACTCCAAATATTCGTTTACATCGAAAATTGCTTCTTCCCAAAAAGGAGATAGAAATAGTTCCGGTAAAATATTTGGAGAACAGCAAATGCTTACGGCGACAGAGGTCACTGAAAGGCGACGAACGCGAAAATTATTCCAATACAAGCGCCAAGCGTTAGAAGAAGCCATAGAAAAACGTGCGTGTGAATCCGTCTATGACAAAATCTGGCGTCATAGAAGCACGCTAGACGAGGTAAGGGATGAGAAGTTACGCTCGAAAACTGCCGCCTTGGCCGTCATAGGGTTTGGTTTGAAAGATCTTGGGGTCGATATCGACGATAAGAACGAGGAAACCACACAGTCCGATGACTGGCTTGCAGCTGCGCGTCATAGTCTAATGCAGATGAACGATGCAAAGTTTCCCTTAGGGAAGCTGCAGCATCTCACTACGGCTCACAAGGCCATTGTCGACAGTTTAACGAGAGTTTTGCCTTCGTCCTCCTCAGCCGATGAAATTCTTCCCACACTCATTTTCGCCCTCGTCACGTCGCCACCGGAAGGAATGAACGTTATCAGCAACCTCTTATTTATTCAACGGTTCCGCGCTGCCAACAGAATTGATGGGGAAACTGCATATTGTCTCACAAATCTGGAGGCGGCCATTAGCTTCTTGGAGAACGTTGATCTGACTAGCACGGATGAAATACGGAATGGTACTCTGGTCTCGACTACTTGCGACCTGCCTCCTGAAACCGGCGATCTTGTACCACTTCCGTCGACTACAATAGGTACAGTCCCTGACAAGGAGCGTGATGTCTCTTCGTATCTGAAAACAGACACCCTATCGAAGTCACAACCAGCAGTGGCTCCACATCACCGTCTAAGCAGTATTTTCCAGCCTCCGGCAAAAGCCTTAGGGGCGGCAAATGATATAGTACGCAATACCGCTGATCTAGGTATCAAAAATATTAGCAACACACTTGACAACAGTTTCAAATTTCTGTTTGGCCGACTGAAGGAAGTACAGGTTAAACAAGGAGAAGGAACAAAGGATGTTGGCCTAGTGCCGAAAACCCTTGATGACGCCCGTCGATTAGTCAATAATCCAGTCGGGGTATCGGTTGACTTCCCCTATGCAGACGGCCCTGCCAAATGTGACAACAGTGCCAGAGAATCAGCTTCTCCAAGACCTCGACTCGATGATAGGTTAGCTAGCCTTGTTGCCGGGCGGAAGCCACCTAGCGACCGCACTGTTCGACCAATAGAAGCGGACTCGGATGCTTCCAACCCTAGTTCGAGCAAGCCTTCAACGCCCAGTCTCGCCTCGTCAAACGCTCAAACATCTAGCCCTGCCTTTGGCTCGATGAGAAGTTTTGGTAATACCCTTAATCCTTTGAACCATATCCCTGGAATGATCCGTGGTTTAAGCAGGAGTTCAACGGAATCCAGTCAAGTTATAGGCGTTCCGGAGGAAAGCTCCCGATCACCGGAGCGACAACCTGGATTTGGAAAAGAAAAGGTTTCGATTGCCGACGTGGCTCCTCCAATAAAGAGATTCATGGAGCTCGAAGATGCTGCGCAACTCACACTTGGAGAAATCCCAAAGCTTCTTGAGGACTACAAACGATTGGCGTCTGTTTTTAATAACTTCAGGTCAGATTAAGCCTGCACCTTTGTACTATCTCTCGCTGGCAATGCTCAGGAGAAAGGAGACTCCCTAGGATGGATGATACTTCGATGGTTGTCTCCTACCCATTCTGAACACTTATTCACATCAAATTTTGTGGAACCTGCAAAGAAAAAATAAATTGCAGGTTAGAAAGGATTGGTTGTCGCCCTTGATTCCTCCTCACAACTGAAAATTGGACAACAATATCCATAAAAGTAGTGAATCTTCTGGGAGGATCGCCAATGTCCTGGAGGAATAACATTCTATTAGTTAACCATCCCACGTCCCTAGATAGGCTGGGCTTGTTTTGCCTATTTTGATAAGCTTGCCACCCCAGTTTCACTAGCTTTTTACTCTTCTCGAATACTTTGTTCAGGTATGCTTTCAAAAGAATGTCATGCAGACTATATAAAAATGATTATGCATAAAGATATTGTACCACCCTTAAGTCTCCCAATATTGCAGGCCTACATGAATACGCCCAACAAAAATGAAATAATCTTCAATGTGTACAGATGCCAAGTCATTATTGCTTATTGAAATCAAATTCCAAGTGAAGCAACCCCGAGGCATATACGCCCGAAACTCTCAAGACAAAATAAATGGCGATATACCATGACCGAAACGGGTCTATTCATTTGGAATTGTATTTTTCTTTCCATATCCTGATATGGGTAACATTTTTGTTAGTTGTAGGAAATTTTGAGGCATTAATACACTTACCATGTGTTACCAAGAGTTTTACTTCCATTCTCTTCTGCCAGACGATAGTACTTTGCAGCTACGTACTATTCGAGGAGTCAGCGCACCTCTCTCCGAGGTGTATTCCTAGACTTACTTTATCCTTTTTCCCCCCGAATCCTTCAAGATAGCACCATGCAACTTCGTTCATCGCATCAGTGTCGCCTAGATTGGCCGCAGTTTCGTAATACTGCCTGGCAGCCACTGGATCCTTTGCTATGCCCCAGCCATGACGCAAACAGTTGGCTAGCTCAAAAATGGCTAGAACTAGCTCGCCTTTTGCTGATCCGCCTTTTTTTATTCCGGCGTTTAACGCTTCCGCTTCAATGGAGGCGCAATTTGCTGCCGCCGCCGAGAGATATGTGACAGCCGATTCAGGATTACGCTCACATCCCCATCCGTGCCTAAAGGAAATCATTCAGCGATTTATAGCCATCTTTAGTATGTTGGAGAATCTGACCTGAGCGCCAGGCCGTAAAGGACTTGGCTCAGCGCATTATTTTGGCCGTTTGGGTCGGCAAGGCACTTGAACATCTCGGTTGACCTGGTCAGCTCTGCCAATCCAGGGACGTCAGTAATGGGCTTCGATATTAATTGCTAGTCATCCCAAGACAACGCAGCTGTGGTGCATCCTACCCCCTGCCTCGTGTAGTCGAATAGCCTCTTGGATATCCACCTGCAAGTATCCAGCGATGAGTAAAACATGGGACTTGACATCTGCCTGCCTGAACGTAGATACTTACATCATCCTCCCGACCACTTAATCTTCCAGTGCTGGGGCTTCGCGGTCGCTGATGGGGAGACAGAGGTGATGACGGCCTCACGCTAATGGGCCCCTGCGCCAACAGTGTCGCTCGCTTTTCCCATTGAGCCTCTCGCTCCTGTGCATCACTATCATTTGCGACCGACGGTAGGTCGGTGGGAATATTCACGGAAGAAGCGCTGCCAGATCTGGACCTTCGACCCAAACGCAGACGGTGAGAGATACGCCTCGTATCCTTCTCCCTTTGCGGCGACTGCTCATGGCAAAGAGATCCATTGTTGGAGGCACTGGACGAACAGTGTAAGGAACCGGCATATCTGGCTTCCGAGTGACTTGTCAGTGGCGAGTCGCCAAAACTAGGTGGCTCGATGTCTTCCTGCGTATATGTATCCGATCTAATGAATTTGAATTCCGGTGGCGCCAGTAGACCAGTAGAGGATGCCTGCGGGCGGTTGTCACTTTTATTTTTCTTTCGTAGAAGACCTTTCAAAGACATATTTAGCTATTGGCGCCTAACGGGTCGAGTTTCTCCTCAAAGACGAAACTGCGACAAATGGGTTTCTCTAGTCTCTAAATAATACGTCGAAGGCCCTGAGATTTATATTCAAGCGCAGTACAGAGTAAAGAGTGTCTAAACATATGACGCGAATGGGGCAAAAGAGAAGACAGGAAAATACAAAAAGGATCCAACTGGCGTCGTCATCAGTTATTTAAAAGAGGAACAACACCGCGTTCAGCTTGTGGTATCGCTATCCTTGCCAGCCACAGCCCATAAGCACTTACGCTGCAGCGGCCATGGCGGCATGGCGCAGCGAGACGTTGTTAACGATGTACTCCGTACCTAATGGAGTTATTTGTCTGATATGCGGAGGATGGGCGCTATGAACCCCACCTTCATGCAAAGCTAATAAGCAACTATTTTGGCACCCTGTGAATATTCGGTCGACGCTGTCAGAAAGTTCCGAAAATCATCTTCGATTATTTATTTGCCTTGAGCCTTACACTCGCTATATCACAAGCTAAATATCAGTCACTGTATTTGCAGTATCACATCCTCCTCTGGCTGCTGCCTACTCACTCTGTAACCATGGAGGTGTCTCTTTCAATATCAGCATTTGAAGTTGCTCGGTCCCACACCTTTCGAGGTAAATGTGTACTTACTCCGTACTCTATTCAATTCCATCAACGGGTCCTCGAGTGTCACACAATCACCTCTATACAAGGACTTGTGGGCGCCGGGCCCGTACGACGATCGTTGTGGAATTTAACTAGGGCTCGAGTCCAGTCAACTGCTTTGTTCACCGTGGTTTCAACTTCTTAAGTTGGCCGGTCTATAAATAAAACTGATCTTTCGGGGTCGATTTCCCACTTTTTCCACTGTGCTAGACACATTGAGGCATCCTACACTGCGACACTGGTGAGTAGAATGCTTCTGCACCAAATACAGCTCCCAATTGAGCAAGTACGCACGTTTCGAGGACTGTCCACCCAGAGAGTAGAGTCAGACCCAGTTGATAAAGTTAATCGCCCAGCGGCTCGAAACAAATTGGAGCGACATTGAATTATAAACTGACAGAAAAACTTGAATGTGTATCAAGCACAAGGATGATAAAGAAACACTTGCAAGCATAGGAATATTAGTTTGACTTCAATTCTGGAAACAGTGTTGGTGGCTTGTGTTTGGAATTCTCGTTAGTTATCATGAGATAGCAACAGCAGAAAAGAAGAAAGAAAACCATGTTCAATGCCCTTATTGTCAAAACAAAGATTCATATAAATCTAGGATGGTTTTCTAATTCTGAAGTTTTGTACACAAAATGAAAGCCTTGGTGCTTTGAATCACATAACCTAGAAAACCTATTGAGCCTTGGATGACACGATCCCTGTCACATCTGTTGTTAAAGAATATCTCTAAAATAAGTTTGGAAATCACTTACTCTCAACATCGGCAACACTTTGCTGCAAAATTTGCTGAAGGAGCTTGGGGTTTTCCAATTCCTTCCGGATCTTGGCGATAACAGATTCGGCCAGCTCGCGTTGCTCGCGTTGCTTGACCTGGCCCTCGTATTGGACCCAGGAGTCAAGGACCCTCTTGGCCTCTGCGGCGAGGGCAGTGCGTTGTTCCAATTCATAGGCTTGAGCTTCCAGTCGTGCGGTTTCCTAGAACCTAATGAGCTACACGACTCTAATTACTTTTAGACATCCACTTTGGGACGACAGTACCTTTGAGACTTCGAAGAGCTGTTTCGTGATGTTAACAACCTCACTCAATGGTTTGACATTCTCGATACGCTGCGTAACAGCATTGGTATGGTCAGCACGAGCAGCGGATAAGATGTCCTTCTGCTTCTGAATCTGGGACTCAGCCCATTGCTTGTGCATAGGGCCGGCGAGTTTGAATACGGCCGTGAACACGCTGAGAAGACAGAAGGCGGCAATAGTCTCCTCATTGACGATGTAAAGTTCGTTGCTAATCGCGGCTATGGCCAGACCGGCGCCTCCGGATAAAATGGCGGTCTTTGACACAAGGGAGCTTCCTGGCAAAGCATCGATGATAGATTGAGCTTTGGTTTTTGGGTCTTCCACCGGAACATTGGATGCGAATCGAGCGGTGACGGGCGAAACGGCGGGAAGTGTTCGGGTAGAAAGGACAGGCCGGAGACGGGAAGCGCCTAGACCCCAATTGCATCAGCAGACTAGAAGAGAGTAATGCAGCTGTCCCTAATAAAGCATTCTAACTTACCAAGAGCGCTCTTTGCCAATCGCGACGCCATTGTGATGCGTGGAATTCGGTAAACTTGACTGATCGTTGGACGGGTGTAAGTTGATGGTTTTGGTTCTGAACTTCGGATGTCGAGGAGGACGCTAACCTCAAATGGAAAGGCGCGTTATCGCTTTTTCAGTGACAAAGTCGTCCCGGACCGAATTATTCGTTGCAAGCATGTACATATATACCACACAGTCTTTTGTGGGCGCGTGAAGGCTAGATTCGACCATTGTCACAGCTATGTCTGATTCGATAAATGCGATCCACATTCCGAAAAAAAGGAAGAAGCATGGCAAGGGTTCAACCTCCATCGCAAACAAGCGCCGAGCAACCGGCAATATTGAAGATGCGGAAAGGGAAACAATCCAGCAACTAGAAGAGCAGATTTCGGAATCACGCAAATATTACAACAATATAGCGACGCTCTTGTCGATGCTCAATGTTGACCGTCCAAATCTAGCAGTGGCAATATCTATTTGTAGGGTTTTTTGTCGGCTGTTGGCCGGCGGGCATCTCAATAAGCAAAAGGGCGCCAGCGAACAGCACTCGATATTGGTTGCTTGGCTGAGAGAAAGATATCAGGAGTATCAAAAGGCATTGATAACCATTTTGCGGCACTCGGGGCCTTCAAGCCAGGTATGTTACTCATTGCTCACACTTTCGAAAGCATTTCTAAAGGCATTATAGGCCGCCGCAGTTTCATTATGTATGCGCCTCGCAAAAGAGCATTCCACTCATTATGCTGGAGGTCAGAACAATGTATGGGATGATGGGTATTTCAACGACGTCGTCACAGCTCTCATCGAGGCTGATGACGGTGACCAAGCTAGAGCTGAGTTCACAAGAAAATATTTAAAGGAATATCATGATATCAGTGTCTTTACAGTACTTCGGCTATCGTACGTGCGCTAATGTCTCCTTTCCTGCTGGCTTCTGCTAACCCTTTTTCTCTTTTTTTAGAAATTATTTATCTGTAAAACCGTCTGCAATTGCATTGACAAACGTTATCTATTTTCTTTCTGAACTCGGGACACCTCCTACCACAAATCAGACGTTCGAGAATTTTTACACCGACATATCCAAAGCTAGCCAAAAGGTCAAAGGCCCATTAATGTCCGTAAATTCCTATAAACAACGAGTTCAATCCGCCTGGTTGCTTGTCCTCTTAAATGGTCGAGAACGATCTGTGCGAAAGAGGCTACTTCAAATGATGACACACGAAATTGCCCCCTGGTTTATGAAACCAGAACTCCTGATGGACTTCCTTACCGATTCTTATAACCAGGGTGGCTCGATTTCGCTCCTATCCCTTTCGGGGCTGTTCTACCTTATACAGAACAAGAATCTCGACTATCCACAGTTTTACCCTAAGCTGTACTCCCTCCTTGACCCTGATCTCCTGCACTCCAAACACCGATCCCGCTTTTTCCGACTTCTCGATACGTTCCTATCATCAACTCACCTCCCAGCGACGCTAGTCGCAAGTTTTATAAAGCGACTCTCCCGGCTGGCGCTCAACGCTCCCCCGGCAGCGATCGTGGCAGTCGTACCATGGATCTATAACCTCCTCAAGTCTCATCCATCGTGTACATTCATGGTACATCGTGCACTCCGTGATGAGTCGCTCCGAGCTAAAATTGACGCTGAAGGGATCGACGATCCCTTTGACCCCCTAGAATCGGACCCAACTCTCACGGATGCTATTGAAAGCAGTCTTTGGGAAATTGAAATGTTACAGTCCCACTATCATCCCAATGTGGCGGCGCTAGCGAAAATCATATCCGAGCAGTTCACTAAGCAAATGTATAATCTAGAAGACTTTCTGGATCATTCTTACCAGGCCTTAATAGTCGCAGAGTTGGGCAACGAGGAGAAGCAGTTTAAGAAACCTCCTGTGGTGGAGTTTCAGATTCCCAAGAGAATATTTACAGATCGCCTACTTGAGGAAGACGGTGGGAATGACACTGAGCTTGGAAACATCTTCAGACAGCTGTGGAATTTTGAATAGTGAGAAGTGAGCAGACTTTCTGATCTTCTTGTGTGTTATACCCGTGAAAACTAGGTCTTGCTGAAGAGTTTGAATAAATGCATTATTAATATTAACATCTCATCTGAAGTACTCGGTACAAATAGGCACATACAATTCAGTGGATGTCAAGGAAAGGTTTCAAGCCTCTGAAGAATTTATTTCTCCGATTAATAGCCCCTAGTGTCGTAAGCATCAATCGAGAACAGCTCCTTTGCGAGAGAGAAAAAAATAAAATAAAGGGAAACCTAAATAACTAATACAAACAGTTGCCCACCAATTGTAAAGCCGAACCACAAAGGGAGAAGGTAATAATAAGTGTTTCCCTGTCTTGAAATATCAACGTTTCTCCAAATATGATCCATAATTACCGAAAATGAAGAGGCATCGAGTAATCCGTCGGCATTTGTGCATTCACCCATTGAATCATCCCAATTGCTCCGGCGAATATTCACGTCATTCCAACATCGTTGCTGAACCAATCAAGCCCCGTGGATGCCGCATGGAGAGCTCCTTGGAATTCACCGTTGAACCCCGGCCTGGAAGGCAGATCTGGCTGCTGCCTGAGATAGACTTCTGCATACTCTTTCCCGACAGCGTGTTTATCCCATTCTTCGGCCATGGAGTCTCCTGGATGATAGTCGCCGAAAGGATCAAGTGCAAAAATACCTCGTTTCACGTCATCGAAAAGGTGATCGGGAACATCGACGGGGATGTTCTCCAGGCCACGTCTCAATTTATCAAAGAGAATCTGCGCGCAAGATCGTCTTATCTTTCTAAACCAGATGATTTGCTGTTCCAGCTGGCGCCATATGGTTCTCGCTTCGTGGATAGTTCGCAAATGTGCCATTCGCTTGCCAACATTGCGGGTTATGAAACACATTTGTTGTGCCATTGTACGGAAAAGTTGCTCTACTTCTAGAAACACGAGAGTAACGGCTCTGGTCATTGCTTGGGCAAGGCCCGGGTCGTAGATCTGTCTCCAGAAAAGAATCCAATGTCCTATGCCTTTTCGAGCTTTGCGCATTCGGGTCAATTCGAGCATAACGATGATTTTGCGGCATGTGGCTAGATCTTGAGCTGCATAATGGCGGATATTTATGATTGTCTCGGACGGCTCTGATCTAAAGGTAACCGTATTCATTCCGGAGACCGTGGGCGATGCCAGGGGATCGCTATCGGGCGCATGTCGAGGAGACGGGTCTCCGAAAGGACATGGGGGTCGGTCGATATGGGCCTCAGAATATCTGGCCCGTGCGTTCAACGGAATGGTACCTCGAGAAAGGTGCAGGCTGGGGTTAAGAGGGTTATATTGCACAGAATCCATGGAGCTAGTGACCAACAATCAAGATCCCTTGTTTCGGGGAGGGAGAAATAACAGGCAATAGGATATCACAGTTACATGGCGGTTAGCGAATGACAATATAGATATGGAGTTAACGGAGGCATGAATAGGGTGAAATGCAGGACAAACGAGTGAAATCCTTGATGTCTTAGGACACCAGCATGAAAAGCCGAAAGAGATGGAACACGACCATCGACAATGGCCAGCGATGGCGCGTGTCGAAGGTACGCCCTATATTTCGGAAAGAGCAGAGCACTGGACTGTCTGCGTTGCAGGCAGCTAGGATCGCAAATCCCAAATGCCGAGGAGGCGTGGGCTTCGGATGCGCTGCTGCAGCTGGACACGCTGACGGGCGTCTGCTTTCGACCCCCGACAGCTCCTCGTTTTCGGATCCATACAGAGAACGCGGTGATAAATAATTCCAAGACCCAGCCAGAGCTATTCTGCTTCAGCAATCCAGGTTCGAAAATCCCATTGAGCTTGACGGCGACGGTTACGGACTTCCTCAAGTCTACTCGGTGCATTTAGCCGATAGCCAAAGCACAAGGTGTTTTATGGAAGTGGTTGGACTGGTACTTTATGGAAAAGCGTTTTGCGGGGCAGTCCATGGCAGTTGAAGATTTTTTTAACCAAGGCAGTCCAGCCGAAATAAAGAAAGAAAAAGTTTTGGCTGCAGCGCGGGGAGGATCTAACTCGTCTCCAGTCGAATACCGATTCACAATCGGTTATCATCAGTGCTCTAGTTATCCATGTCCAACGTCCTTGAAAGCTGGAGAGGAAACGGAAGAGCTTTTTCATATTTTTCTCTCCGAACACAGGCATGCTTGGACGGTTCTCACTCACCCACAAGGCTGCTGGGCCGCCACCCTTCGGCCAGACCAACTTCTCGGTTAGTTAAGTTGGTCAACAGCAACAAACCTGGGAATCGCTCGAATTCCGGCCAGTCCTCAGGGGTACATGAATAGTCGGCCCAACTAATTAGGGAGCATTGAACTTCTTCCAAGGGTTGAATGTCGTACATACTCCGTACTCCCTGTCGTCAAGAGATTTTATCCTTTCTTCCAAATGGAAGCAGGCGATTCTCATTTCGTCGGAGAACGCAGCTGTCGGGTCCCTTGCCGTCTGCCCGTCCGACGCCTGCATGCAACTACCCCTGAGCTGCGAGTCCCCCAACGGCAGGGATTAACTTCCCCAGGCACGCTGATTCCCGGATGGGGACTAGCCACTCCGCGTCGCCATGGTCCGCTTCCCGCTATTGAACGTTCATAGCGGAGAAGTCGGGCGTGACCAGGGCGAAAAGCCCAATCAGCGTCGTGGGCGGAACAGCAACCAGCCTGCCATGCCTCGTGCAATCTTAGGCTTCGAGGGAATTTCAAAAACTCTGCACGCTCCTGGTCTTCGCACCTTTTACTCTTTCACCCATGTGTCTCTTTTGCTGAAAGCACCGTCGCTCCTTTTTCGCATGCTTTGCACTTTCGCTCCTTTTGCTTCTACGCTCCTTCACTTAGACCAATCGATCTATATCTAGCACATTCGCTTTCTCCCAATCATTCTCACGAAACCGTAGATTAATTTTTCTAATCGTCACTCCTTTCAGCTGTTGAGACAATGCATTTCTTTAGAACCTTGCTTGCAGCCGCTGCCCTGATTGCTTCCACTGTTGCTCAGAGTGAATTGGCGTTCACATCTTTCCCAAGTGATGTCCAGGTTGGCAAGCCAGTGGCTGTGACATGGGCTGGTGGCGACGCGACAAAGGTATACTTGTACCTCACTTGCCTCATTCTTGCAAGGCCAATACTAATTTTCACAGCCTGTCACTATCAAATTGCGAAAAGGACCTAGTGATGACCTCAAGGATATTGCTGTTTTGACCTGTAAGTATACAAAGTATTTGGCATCCTCAAACACCCCAATAAAATGTCTAACTGCGCTGCTCGGTAGCTTCTGCTACTGGAGGAAGCTATACTTGGACCCCTTCGTCCTCGCTTGTCGACGGCGATGACTATGCTCTCCAGATTAACCAGGGCTCCGACATCAATTATACCAACCTTTTCTCCATTTCGGGTGGTTCCGGCAGTGCTATTCCATCCACAGACTCCGCAACTTTGAGTGCAACCCCCTATTCTTCTACCTTTGCCACGCCCACTACGATTCAGCTCACCACTGGTGTCACCACTTCGCATATCAGTAGGGGTACAAGCCTGAGCATTTCCCGGAACGCGACCATCAGCACCCCTGCTCTTAGCAGCACGAGGGCTGTTACCCTGACTCCAACTGCTGCTCCGACGGAATCTGAACCTTCTGCTCCCACATCCACTCCAAATGCCGCCCCGGCCATTCTGTCCAGACCTGTTGCTCTTGCGCTTGGTGGCCTTGCCGCATTTGTTTATTTAAACTAGGAATTATTTAGTCGACTTTTGTTTCCTCCTACTCCCAGAGTAGTGTTACTTTTATTTTATTTCGTTTTATCTCTGTTATGATATACCTCTTTGTCAATGGCTATTTTCGCGAGAAACTGTGCTTAATGGGGCTTATTTATGGATTGTGATCACTTACTTGTTTTATTGAAAATGAAGGGGATGGAAACTCCCTCTTTAGGCTTTCGCTTTGCGGTGTTTTATTTTAATCAAAGAACAGAAGATGCGCAATTGATGCTCTTGATTCTCATCTTTCTCCATGATGTAGGAAACCTTTTATTTCATAATATAGGGTAGTTCTGGTCGAAACTTTATGCTTGGACAAGGTGCATTGCACTGTAAAAGAGCCAATGGGCTGGTTGAGCATACTGATTTGTGGAGCAAATTGATGCAGGCATTCATCAGATAGGTGTTTGAAATCTATGAACTGGTTTACAAATACTCTATACATACATATACAGAGTGCTCTGTAGAGTGAATCCATATTCAAAGAAACAAACCAGTTACAATTGATTAACCAAGTATGGTGTTATAGAGCACAGAGGACAATTGGCGGTTGAATTAATGCATCTCATTAGCACTGCTTGTCGCAGCCGTGCCTCTGAGCCCTGGCGACTACGGACATGTGTTATCCTGGTGCCTATGCCGAGTGAATGACCGCCGTGGTGACTGAGAGAAGCTTGTCTTTGGCAGTTGGTCAGTTGATTTCACAGCCTTGCTCTAATGTTACACTTTGCTATATTATCATGCAAGCACCTTGCGGGTGAAACGAAACAACTAAAACTGACACTGTCATAAGATTTTTGAACATGTATGGAGCAAATGGGTTTGTTTCCATAGTCCCAAGATTTCAAATCTGCTATGTAGTTACAGGAAGTATATACACATCTGCCGCTCAATTTAGATACATATGTGTAAATGTAGGTTGGGCATGTATTTACTAAGAACCTGAACTCTGTACAAAGTAGCGAGGAACCATTTTCTTCTTGTCCAAACTTTCCTCCACGTCACAATACTTGCAGATAAATACATATCAGGTTTCGCTCTTTTTTTTGACACACATTCATTCCCTGATGCTTTAGTGCTTTTGGTCTGTTGGCCTGCTGATTCCACCGGACATTCCGGGATCGCGTGCCCTACAAGGCTTACTTGCATGCAAGCCCTACGTTCATTCTTTTGCACTACCTTTTATATCGTCCATCGTCTGGATGAAGTACAAATTCACGTCCTCTATAATGGTGTCTATACAATGAATTGAAAGTACTAGTCGCCGTACCTGATCGATTCAACTGCAAAGGTGGAAGCTGGACTCAATTCGCGGTAGTAGAACTCTGATCATCATTTCGCTTTCTCAGCTCTGTTGCTTCTTTTTTTGGAGCCACATTGCCTAAGTTTAATGGACCATGTCAGAATGGTCAAGAACTTATTCGGTATTCGAAGAGTTTCTACTGACGCTCGATTGGTCGCTACCACCTGCCTAGCAGAATCCCCGCCCCAAGTCTCTCTCAATACGATTGAACCACGTTTAAATATGCACCAATATAATGGCCTGTTTGACACGACGAACTCGCCATCTGAAAGACACGCCAGTACTGTAACGGATAATATATCTGGTGGGTGCGCATTTCCGATTTGTACGACTAATTTTACACTCTTTGGGAGCTTACGAGTGACTCTTTCAATCGGTCAGATGCAGTGTCTCGCTCACCGTCCACAATGACAAACGGAACGTCTACGGCGACAGAATGGTCCTCAGCGGTGGGGCATGCCATGACCGGTAAATCCGGCCGCGTTATCCACAACCTCCAAGAAGACATTGCACGCTTAACTCGTGAATGTAGCCTCCAACGGTCTCGCGCCGAAGAAGCACAGCGGATGAATGAAGCTCTAAAACAACAACTGCAGACCGTGATAGACCGATTAAGGAACTCGGAGCAGGCGTATGAAATGAATCTGGCAGCTGTTGAGCGAAAGGATAGGAAGATCAATGACTTAAAATCCGAAGTTCTCAACGAGAAACAAAGACGTATAAAGGCCGAAGAAGATGCTCGGAGGACCACGCAATTGGCCACAGAAGAGCGGAATGAACACCGTCGGGCCCTCGCCGAAGCCCAAGAAACAGCCCAGCAAGCACGGTGCCAGTATGAAACTTTGTCCCAGGCCCGGTTAAGAGATAAGCGGGAATATCAGTCCCGACTCAACACGTTTCGCAAAGAATTGGGGGAACTTTCCCTTCGAGAAACAGAAAGACAAGATCAGCTCAATCGATTTGACGTCATCATCGAGCAGAAAAATCGTGAAATCGCGGCAGGTCGCGATCGTATGGAACGGTTCAGTCGAATATTCGAAGAATACAAGGCGGACAGGGAGCAGGAGATTAGGGATATCGTTGAGAGAGGGTATCGGAACGACTCGAGGATCGATGAGGCTGTTGCAGAGGCGAAGGAAACCACAGAGAAAATGAAATGGACGATGAATGTGAAGAAGGAGGTTAAAGGGCTGGAGTAGGCATCATTGAGAGACCAGTCATTTTACAACATCCTTGGGACCGTGAAGGGTCGTTTCAAAGGGCAGACTTACGTCTCACATCTGCCTCTCTCCAAGACAAGTAGACATCTCGGCCTATATACCCTACCTCAGGATATCTATTTTCTGATGGCTTGGTGTTCTGTCAACGTTCCTGGATCATCAAATGCATATATATGCTCGAAAAAACCGGCTGATAGGAGGTTGGCTGAACATCAGAAATTGGCCATGGAACCAGAAACTACTACGCTATAGTTAGCGATGTCGACACTGCGAACTTCATGGCGTCCCCAGACATCGCCGTCTCGGCAATATTGTTATCCCTTTAAAAGTCAAGGTGATGTGGCCTTTTCGGACACCCACCTCTTTCCCGGGAATCGAGGCTCCTATTTTTTATGTACGTACCAATTACATCCTTTCCACAGTGTAAGATCACCGCAACTAGCTGTGGAAAGAGCTTACACTAGCGTGTGGCATGGTGAGCCGCGCCGCATGAATATTCCAGAATTAGAGAGGGTTGAAAGGCAATTCATGCCTTATCGCGACAAGGGAGCTCTTCTTCCGGGAATGGACTGGGTTTGCCCATGATGTTTGGATCTTCTGTGCCTTGAAACAGCCCACCCGAAAGGACACCCTTTCTTTGTAAGGTCTCCCTACGTTGGCATGTACGAACCCGCTGGGTTACTATGAAACCATATATTTGCTTACATTTCTATGCACACACTTGAGCACGGAGGGGATTCTTTATGAGGTGTTTGATTTTCTTGCAATCAAATATTATCCTAATCCTGAAAATTGGGGTTAAAGCCTGTCGATAAGAACTACTGCTGGTATTTCTGTCTCTGGAGGCAAGTTTGCTGCAATGCTGATAATGAGCAGGACAGTTCACTCTGGCAATTGAGCCTGCCCTTTCCAAAAGCCTCACAGCATGTGTGCTCTTGTTTATTACCTTAAAGCAAACTTTTGTTTGATTTGTCTCACTGGGAAATTCCTTACTTTTGGTTGCAGAGCTTCAAGGCTATCTCTCATGCATTCTGATTCCCCATCTGCAGTGCCCTCATAAAGATACCTAACTGCTGCATGTCAAGGTGATTCATAGGAACACAGCGGGAGTTTCCCTTGACGCAAGCTTTTCAATATCGAATCTCCCTTCAGCGCTTACCTAAACAGAACAGGTCGTCATACAGGCATTAATTTTGTTGCCCCCCTCACAAGATCCGGTGTTCGGTGTTTGCCTACAGCCAGTGACCTTATATATTTAAGGTGTGCTCTAGCCTGTTTGGCCTGTGTTCTTTGCAGCCATCCACCCGACTTGCTTGAAGTTGCAAGCCATTTGAAATGGATGAAAGACAGAAGTTGACCGTGGCTTCTACCTGGAAGTTTAATCCTCAAGCGGTATTATTCCTCTTGCACATTCTACACTATCTTTAATAGACAATTTGCTAATCGATTGGCTTGGTGGTTTTGATATCCAGATTCTTGAAATAAGAGACAATCTTAAGTATGACAGCTTCCACATACCAAATGCTTTTCCCGAACCAAAAAGGAAAAGGAGAAGGAGACGAAATCTTTTCTCACAAATATTATCTAAAGGAACATCGAAGATACAGGGATATCCTGTAGATATGAACAGCCGGGCGATGTGAGAGATGTCCTTTTAGGTGTTAAGGAATGACCACCCTGACTGGGTCACTGCAGGTCTTTATCGTTGACAGCAGCGGGACCGCCGAAAAAATTTCCGCTCTCGGTCAACTACTAGCGTCTTTTATTGACGAGGAGAAGGACAATGATTTGCTAGAGGTATTTCTCGCGCTACTTTTCAATGTTGATCAACATGCATGGGGTAGTTATTCATTAATAACCTTGTGGCAGAGGCCCAAAATCACCCGCATTGTTGCACCTCCGTCAATGGAGGAGCGGGGTTTCGAATCAAGCTCAGAAAATGATGAAGCTTCCCTCATGGAAACGCCTAGTGATGTGCAAGAAGAGATTCCAATGTCGCTCCCAGGCAAACATTGGGAATCGAAAGCCGGCGGGGTAGAATGCTTTTTAAGGCTGCCATATGATGTGTTGGCTGAAGTTGCTGATGCAACGGGAGCACATATTGATTTGGAGGCGGAAAATAAGCGAATTCGAGTAGCAAGTATCGTTCCCGCACGAGTTGAAGACGCTGTTCATAAGCTCGATAATCTGGATAGGGCTATAGTAAGTAAAGACTGTCAAGCTGGTTATCTCTTCTTTCCCTTTCTCTTATCCTACGGTGTGAACTGGAAGTGAGCAAGGCTGACTCTCGGTCGCCAAATAATAGTCCCTTGCAACATCGTCTCATGTTGAGAATATGCTACATGTGACTGACAGTAAAGATTTCACTTTGAGATTGCGTACTTACGCGAGTCTGAACCATCTGGCTCTCCGACGGCTTCTCGTTGACCCACGTGTCAAGGGAGCAACCCAGTTTGAGAAAATGTATGCGACAGTCATAGAATTTCCAAATTCAGAAAACAAAACCAGCGAGATGCCCAAAAATATTGCTGCTCCTCCACGACCCACGCTGCTCCGAAAAGGGCGCCCAACCATCTGGTCTGATTTTCTGTTTGCGGAACTCGGGGATGTTGATAATCTCCCGGATACCCCTTCAACTGCTGAAGCCACCACTCGCCACGGAGCACAGTGTTACCAGACCTATTCAGCCCCTCGTATTACGTTATCGGAGGAGACGGAAGGAGATAAACATCCATTTCTTAGCCGTGAAAAAGTGTCACTCGTTGATAAGTGGGTTGCCGATGGCTTCGAAGCCGGGGTTGTGGGACCTTCATGTTCTGGGCCGAATATTCTACGTGCTTATGATTCTTCACCAGAACCAACTCCGCCACTACTTGCTGCCCCCGGCCTTAAAAAACGTGTAGCCATGGTTACTAGCTCTGCAGGCTCCTTGCATCAAACTCGAGAGCCGCACTCCTTTGGCGTCAAGGCCCCAATGCCTGTGTCCATTGGATCAAATCTAACCGGCGCTGAGGCCTCTCAGCCAAATCTATCTACCACTCAGTGTGAGCTCAACGCACAATCAAACGCTCTGAGGAGTTCGAAGACGAAAGTATCTGAGTTGATCGATACCTCGTATGCTTCTGATACCATCGCCGCTGCTGTCCCAACGCTGGCATTCGACCAGGCGCCCCTTGTTCCCGCTTGTCCCAGCCAAGCCACGTTTTCGCCTGACAAGCCAGACCTCCCAAACGCAGCACTGATTAATAATTCTGTGCCACTACCCACATCTTCCGAATTGGTCATCATCTCTCATATGACTGGTACAGAAAGAAGAGATTCGACTCTTTCCAGTTTTAACTTGGAAACGAGCTTTAGGTTTCTGAATCCAGACCTTGGTCTACAAGGGGCTGGGTTTCTACAAAGGCCCATACAAAGTCAGAACGTGGAACGACCTGGCCAGGACCTGGCGAAGATTGCAGACGGAAATAAAGAAGGCCATTCCCTGGACAACCCAGATCAAAATGTCGGTGGGGTTCAACGTCGCTGTTCCCGCTCTAAATGTGAAATGCTATCCTCTGATCATATCGTAGAGCGTTTGCAACCTGTCAGTGAAGTGGAGACGAGGGTCTTCTGTAAAATAATGAGGCAACACTCTTCAAATATCGGGAGCGGGCGCAGTTCAAAAGCAAGTCGAAAGGCTAAAAAAAAGGCCGCAATTGCGGAAGCCTGGGGAACTCCTGTTCCTACAGGGCGCTCTGCATCCGCCAAACGGGCAGAGTCACCGGAATATAGTAAGTGGCAGAGAGAACAATTGGCAGAACCGAGAGCTAGTGAGAATAATCGCATAGCTGATCTTTACACTGCCCTGAACCCTCTTCTCGCCGCAGCACAATGCTTCAGCGGCATAGTCTCGCTTGAAATCCAGTTTGGGTTAATTTTGATACATAATGTACCCAAAATTTATGTCGACAAGGCGATTGATGTGAAGACATGGGAAAAACTGTTTCGACCACAGCATGGCCTTCGAGGGCCGGGCACGAAATTCATGAATTTACTCACCTCGTCCGGCGCAGACATTGACTATATGCTTGATTTGAAAAACGACTCTCGCCATAGTTTGTTTTCGCGAAATCCGTCCGTTCGCTTTGTAAGCTATGAGTTTCATTGCCAGACCAAGAACAACCAACCGATTGTGATTAATGTCAACGAGACCGGGATGACTGTTGTTACCAGGCCTGAGATTGTTCTCGGAGCGGTGAACGTACACTTTCCACAGCAAATTTGGGATATGAGGGTTGTTATCAAGGGGGCGCAGGAATATGCTCCGGGGGTTGATAAGGAGATCGATTGTGCCGTGGAGGCCCTCATTTCCAACCTCTATGTCTATCCTGGTAGAGCAAAGGTCTTATTGTTCACCCGACTTGACAACTTTGACATCCTCCATATTACAAAGGTCTTCATGCGGCGAACAACTCGTCATCGTTGCCTCGAAGACGTGAGGAACGTGAAGTACAACCCGCAAGCACAACCATGGAGTGAAAATCATTGTAACCTGCCATCCAACATGACAAGTGCTTCCTCGTCAGAGCGAGGCTTATACCTGCAAATTACGGAAGTACAGAATTTGCTCCTTGGTCGGATGGCGACCGATAAGACTTTGATTCGTGCTCGCGCTCTTAGCCCTGATGAAATGGTTGATAATTCGAGACTGTGGTACGAAGCGTGCATTGTTAGCCCAGCCGTTGACAAGGTATTGGAGTCAAACAGAAGCCTTCCTGTGGGTGCATGTGTATGGGATTGGCAACCAGCGGACCTGATGGGAATTGACGCTAATATCATGACCGAATACCCGTCTGAAACCAAGCGAAGGGTTGGGTCTAATGGCTTGGCCAGTATGTACCGGGTTGCGTCCCAAGTTCCAGTGCATATTGATGGGGTAGGGTGGGCTAATTCATGGCCTACTGCTGAAGCAAGAACAAGCTTTCCAGCTTCAAGTGCCACCGCCGCGTCCAACCTCGCTGTTGCAGCTGATCCCAATGTGGGGATCGCTGAGCCGCTTAGGGACATGGAGGGGCGTATGCTCCAGGAAGGGGTTGACTGCTTGGAAAGCATTAGCGGCAGAGATACAGGGGATGTAGGAGAATTTTGGTAGATGTCTGTGACGCAATGGACCTTGTGTCTTGACGAGGAACTAACCAACCACGTCGAGATCTTGCAGCAGGCTCTAGCACGACGTCGCTTTGTTGACAAGTTAATCAATGCTTTGCTTGCTCTTTTTTCGCCAGCTTTCTGTTAGCTATGCCTAAGGTCTGAATTGATGGTGATTGTGAAATTGAATCATTACCATCATTCATGCCACTCAATCAATATTAATCCCTGAATTGTTTTGCTTCTTTAAAACACACCCATTTAAGCACATGCATTGTAACTATTAAATAACCATATCAAGCCTCAAAGAAGTTCAACGAACAGTTGAACTACTCATGATTTTGTGCACATGGGTCAATAATTTTCGCAGCCTAACTATCATTCCCTAGGTTGTCACCACCCTGCTTCAACCACACCATGCGTGCATCCACAGCTGTTTTACGAACATCCCTCTTCGGGTCATCGAGTATGCATTTCAGGCCTATGAGGACGCGATTTTTAAATGGGAGTAAAGCTGATGGCTTTGCGACTCCACCTCCTTCGGCTGGCTGTGGTAGCGCTAGGATGAGGAGACATTGGAGGGCACGCAGGCGGGCTTCTGGGGTATTCGAGATGGCCTGGTTATAACCGCCCCTGCTGATATCAGTGGCCGTTGTTCCCGCAGCTTGCAGCAATCTCGTAACTAGATCTTCCAGGTAACCGATTTTGTCAATCACATGAACACCGCTTTCACGAATGACTACAGCGAGTGTTTCGAGTGTGGCTGTTCTGATTGGCTGGGAATCGGTGCCTGTGAGATCTAAACTCTGGAGAAGAAGCGGGAGAAGCACTGAGAGCTGGGTCATTACAAGTGACGAGGGCACCGTGCGTAAAATGCCAGACAAAGCTGAAAGATATGCTTGCTTCCTATAAGCATGTCCAGATGAAGGTACTGCGCTATCACCCGCATACGTGGCAAGTGCACGAACCTTTTCAGAAATAAGCGGAACAACCGTAATGAATACGCGCTGTTTCGCAAGTAGGCGGATGTTAGCGCCATTCTCAGTACACAAGACATCGTCCGCACTTAGCAACATGCGAAAGCCTTCAGATGACGCTCCCCGTACAAGGGGATCCGAGGATGCGAGTAATTCCACGAGAGACGAGAGAATTCGGGGAGTTTCTGGAGGAAGTCTTGATATGATAGCTTTCGAGATCCAAAATATTGTCCGAATTAAACCTGAAGTAGCCTTTCCTTGTTCTTGCGACGCCGGCATTAAGGAGAATAGAATTCTGGAGGCTATCTCCAAGTTGGGAGTAGGCAGAAATTTGTTAATGAGCAGTGCCAGGTGCCTAACAAGCCCAAACTGAATGGGGGAGCTATCCTCGGACGTAGCAAGCAGCGCGATCTTTCTGAGCAAACCCGCCATGTCATGTGTCAGACTAATACCATTCTTCGGGAGCCCTGCAAGAAGATATGTCGACAAAATCATAGTTTGTCTCTGGGATACTGTCGAATTTTCGTGTAAAGGGACCGTAGGGAATTGGTCATGTTCCACAAATAAACGGTACACATTGTCGCAAACCTCCTGATGTTTGTGGTGTGGCAGGGAGCGGACGATAAGATTGCAAAGACGACCAAGTGTATCAAGAACGGTAGAATCTCTTAGAAGCGATGTCTGTTCGTCCCGAAGGGCTGCCAATGCGGCCTTTTGACATAAGTTGCGGACAATCCCCTCGTAATACAATTCCATATGGGGATCGTTCTCCAGACCCTTTCGGTCCATCGCATACAAAATAGTCATCAATATGGACCTGGGATATGCCGGTGTGCTCGAATTTCCAGGAGTAAGGATAGTCTCCAACTTAGCCAACAGTGCAGTAACAAGAGTGTAGAACACATCTTGGTCAATAGCGACCTGTGCAAGGTTCTCCAAAGTGCCGAGATACTTGGAAGTCGGGGTATTATTAGACTTCGGAAGATTGGCTATGAAAGCTGGAATTGTTATGTTTATGAGCAGTGCCGGCTTGTGTTTCGAGATCTCTGCGAGGGTGCCAACAACTTCTTGTCTTGTTTGGCGTTCAATGGACGGTTTGTTCAGCAATATATCGCCAAGATCTTGCACATACATCCCGACCTCATTGTCCTGGAGAAAATCTCGGAGGATACAAATTTGTAACACTCCGCGAAGCGCTACCTTCAGCAGTGCTAATTCATCCTTCCCAGAACCCATTAAGGCCTGACTAAACATCCTGATAAGCTGGTCTCGAAACTCTGAGAGCGGGTTGTCAGGTGTTTCAGCAGGGCCCGCAGCAATCCACGTACCAAAATTAGTAATGGCGGAGTCAAATAGCCCAACCAGAGCATCTAGTAAACCACGCCGCTTTGATACCCCGTCGGCATTCTGATAATTCGCAAGCAGCGGAGGAATCGCGCCTTGCGAAATCAATCGAAATGCTGGGGAGGAAACAGATGAGAGTGACGCTAATATTCGCTGGGCAGGTTTCGCTTGCTTTTGAAGAGGTTCCCGCAACTGCTCATTGCATTCTTGTAAAATGGGTTTCAAATAATGGGCTAGAAATGACCGGTTTCCTGCTTTGGAGTGGGAGGAGAGCCTCTTTGATAATGATTGCAGGACTTGCAAAGACTCTTCAGCAAGGACGTCTTCCTGCGCGTTGAGGATTTCGAATTTCAACGAATCCCAGATAGTGATGGAGTATCGCGTTAAAACTGAAGGTTCGTACGAGAGAATACAAGCTTTTAGGGCGTTCAAAGAATCCCTCTACCCCGAAGTTAGAAGACTTCGGAAAAATGGTAGGCATCTGGTACCTTCACGTTGCTTGAATTTGAGTCAAGTTTATCGAGTAAGGTTGGAAATGCATGGGAAGCGAAGGCTTGGTTCGAGGCAAGACAATCTTGGAGACGGTCCTTTAAATCTTGGGCCGTGATTTTGTAAGGGTCATTTGGATGCGACCTGAACGTCACAGGAAAGTATCTGTATACGGAATCGAAGAGAGTCTTTCAAGGAGATTTAGCAATATTCCGTTTGGAAATAAGGGGTGCCATACTTCCGCATGACCAGATATGTCCCACTCTACCATCACGACCCTAAGGATGGAAAACACAAGCATGAGGTTTCGTGGATCCCTTTCTCCATCCATGAGCTTAACCATACCGACAAGGGACTCGTCTTTCATGTCTCGAAGAGCTGTCGACAGTTAGTCCCAGCGGTGTTTTGCAGGCGACAGAATGCCGAGGTACCTTCTCGATGCCCGAGCATCAGCTCGTTGAGAAGCTGAAGAAACTGAAAACGCTGAGACTGTGAGCGTTTTTGGAGATTTGAGCCATGCTGAAAAAGCCTGTTCGTATATTAGCGGACTGATGGTCGGACAGCGGGAGGAGCGGCTAAAAGAGAGGGTTCACGGGAGAAACCTGGCTGGTAACGACGTAATTACCCTCGAGCAATCAATTGTGCTATATTCTTATCCAAGCGGTTAAGGCTCTGTAGTGACTTTAAGCCCGCAATGGCACCCTCGTCTTCAATCCGCTCGCAATAGAAGGTTGCCAAAACTTGGATCTGTTGGCGGGAGAGGAAATTAGACGGGAGCGCCCTTATCACTGCTGTTAGATACGAGACAGCTTTGCCCCGTATAATGGAGTCCTCGTCATTAATGTATTCGCCTAGTGATTGCACGACGCCGATCAGGGTTGCTTGTTTTGTGACCAGTTCTGGTCTGGATCAGCCGTGGAAACGCGACAGCAGAGCAGGAATGAAGCGTACTTTGCGCAGTTATGTCGGCGAGTCGAATTGACTCGGCTTTGTCAGATTCAGTCAGTAATAGGAATTCCTGTAGTTCGGCCATTCTCCTTCAAAAGTTTTGTTATTCCCCGCGAATCAACCCTTGGTAAGAATCGGCGTCAGGAAAAAGTGAGGGGCGGTATCACTTATCGATAACGAGTCAACCACCGAGCAGTGGCTCTGGTTGTGCTCTATACTCCTTGTGGCGAATGTATATTCTTACTGGTATGCAGAAGTTGTACTCCGTACTCCTACAATACATACATACTTACATACGGAGTACTTACGAAGTGCAAAGGTTACATAAATCATCTACGGAGTACTTCGTACATTGGACTTAGAATTGTAATACTGCGTACGGAGTACCATGCCAAGATTTCTAATGCTTTTTGAGAGAACCTACTCCGTATTGTGCTCTGTACTTTATACAGTGTAACTACAGTACAGAGTACTCTGTACAGGGCACATTACTTCGTACAAGAGTTGCAACTCGAACAAAGACCATATTTTTGGCTTCCCGCCCGCAAGTGTTTTCATTGCGTCATAACCTCTCCATTTGTGCTTTGCATAGTTATGTTCTCATCACACCAGCTTCTTTAAACAAATTACATGTTATAACCATGAAGTTCTTTGTGTATATGATATTCAAACTCTTTATGGTGATATCTGTGTCGAGCCGACGGATCCTCCGAACTGAATCTTTTGAACCAAGTCGACTGATTCCGAAAAACCATATCGACGACGAGCAGTCCAAGAAAATCATGCACCAATTCCCGATCACTATGGAAGACCTGGCGGATATACCTCACGTCTCCAATCAAGGGCCTAGTCAAAGCGGGTTTCCGGATCTTGCCCACGATAGTCCTCTCATATCGGATATCCTTAGCAAAACTAGGGAAGTCAATATTTTCGCCTCCTTAACGCGCGAATTTGAATATCTTTCCAATCAGCTTGAGAACAAGTCGAAGAATGCAATAGTTCTGGCACCGACGAATATCGCCATAGAGAATCTATCACACAAACCTTGGGAAAGCACTAGGCACTATGTCAATTTCGGAGAAAGGGAAGCTTACGTGGGGAAGAATGGCGAGGAAAGAGCCGCCGATAATCTCAAGACGTTTGTCGAAGCTCATATAATACCTTCTAAAACATGGTCTGAAGAAAAGGAGGCGTCAACTTTGGCAGGTCAAAAATTGATTTGGCGAAAGGACGAAACTGGAAAATCCTACGTAGGTCCCATTCGATAAAATCTCACCAGCTAGCCCAATTTTTGTACTGATAAGGGCCTTCCGGGCCCCCCCCGGGGGGTTTGGTTTGGGTTCGAACTAACTTTGTTGAATTAGATTTATCCCGGCCACATTGGAGTCAAAAGAATTGCCGGCCAAGTTTCCAACGGTGAGGTTTGGATCTTGGACGGTGTGATCGAGCATCCACAGCCAGAAATTAGAAATTCAGCGGAAAGGAAACTGACGCCCACATCGTAAGAAGCTGATCATAGCAAACCTCATGCAAGGCACCACCTTTTATTATTATATGGTGTATATTATCCCTGAACAGACGGAATTGGAAATTGCTATATTGCTACTATCTATTCTTGTATGCACCTAAGTGGACGATACCCTTTGGAGGAGGCGGTCCTCAATTCCATCAAGAATACAATGGTGATCCATGACCTCTAAGTTCTCTGCTTCGGCCAAGAACATCTTATCTGGATCTTGTCCAGGACCGAACGGGTTAACTGCAGCGGCAGGATTATTCGGCCCCATTTGGTGCATCATCTGTCCAGCGGCTGAAAGAACAAACACGTTAACTTCCAATGATATCTCCCATAAACCAAGAACCGTACATCTGTGGAAGCGGGAAGTCGGACTCACCATGATCACTCCCAAAGATGAAACCAAAAACAGGTTGCAGTCCGAACAAGTTAAGAAAGTACCAAGAAAGACTAGACACCCATCTCACATCGAGATCACGAGTCATGACCCCCGATTGCAGCATCGACTTGAACCGAATAGTCAATGGGAACGGCATTTTCACTATGCTCAGTTGAATATGAGTTTGTTGCCAAAGAAGGCTAAGAATGTCGTTCAAGACATGAAGACATACGTATAACGAAGCCCGAAAAAAACGCATTGATCCACCCCATAATAAGGGTCTGCGGTATCATCATAGCCATATTCCCTTTCATCATACCCATCATCGCGTCCATACCGGCTGGATCCGTCATAGGATTTGGGGGTCCCTTGCCTCGCGCATCAGGGTCTTTCAGGAAGACGCCGCTTTGATACGAGCAGATAAGGTAGGCCTTTCGGGCGCTAAGGGAAGAAGGTGTAAGGACAGCAGAAGCGTTATTGCGGAGGTTAACCCCACGGAGCAGCGCCAGACGCTCACGGTACTCTGCAAGGCTTGCTGCCGGTTTTGGCGGAGTTGCCATCAGTACGGTGGCATAGTGGCGAAGGATACCAGTTAATATCTAATCGCATGAGGAATTAAACAATCCCATTAGCTGAGATAATCATCACACCCCTGGGGGTTAAGAAGTGAACATACCATGACAATAGTAATAGGGATTAGGATCCAGTAACTCCACAGATGAACATTAGTTCTGTTCGCAGCAAGCAGAAGACATTACTCACAACAATGCTGGATCCCGGAGAATCATTTGCTCAGAGCTCTGAGACACCATTGCGACTGGCAATCGAGTAATGTCCAGGCCAGGAAATGTTGCAGTCCCAATGGCAAAATCACAAATGCCAAAGCGACCAGTGCTCTGTGTAATCAATGGAATAACATACCACCTGGTAACATAAGTATGAACTGATGCAGGTACAGAGGACAGCCACAGTGTATGCCCATTACATTCCTTTGCCAAGACATTTGAAGAATGGAATACAGGGTACGGTACGCTATGGAGTACTCCGTACGGAGTACTCCGTAGTGAAGGGAAAGATTATCCGGTAATTTTTATGCGGATTGCAATTTTACCCTGTTAAACGGAGTACTCTGTACTCCATACTTTGAAGGTATAGAGGCACAACATCACAGTCCTCACCCAAACTATGGAAATAACTTATACAGAGTACTTGGCATTCGATAGATTATTATATTTTGTTGCAGATGGGCAGACTGTACTCTATACTCTGTACTCTGTACTCCATAACTACTAGGCAGCTGAAAGCAAAAACAACAGATTGGAAGGTACTGTGTGATGTTCATCATTTCCAGCACATACATGAGGAGATAGTCCAGCGTGTACTTTATATATGAAGACAGGATATATTAGCTGCATAAAGGAAGGAGTAATATGCTTGCGTGGAGATTTCCTTCATTCGTATCTGGCTGTACGGGAGACGAACTGCACTGTAATGATCACCACTGTGTAGAGCTAACTGTTTTGGGAAAATCAGAAGGCCAGCTGGAGGTTTGCACTCCAAAGGAAGACCTTGGATAACAGCATAGGTTTCCCACTCTCCTTGCCTGAACTATTCTGCTGCTATCAAGACTGTTGTTTCCTTACTACCAAGGCTCCTAAACTGGCCATATTGGACAGATATATGATTTATACAAATGGCCACCAGCCTGCCCAAGGTCCCTATATACTCCCTCAATGGTATGGTTGGTCTAACGCTCCTGACTATCGCTAGAATCAGGAGCACTCCTCAGGATATTTGGCTTATTTTAATTGTCCTAGAATTGAAGAGCACCACCGATGATGCTATCGCGCCGTATCTCACCTCGCTGCCGAATCCATACACCTTTGTTGAAAATAATTCGAAGTCCAACATAAGACTACTATTAGGCTATGGTGCCGTGAGCATCGCAGCTGTTTCTTTTTATATCGACTATACCAAAGGCTGGGAGGCTACAAAACCATGGATCCTCCCGGCAGTAATTGCGTACTTTGTGCTGAACCTTGCGCTGACTCTCTGGATCTGGGGAGTGGAAGGTGGTCAGATTTTTGAGGGATCGGGGGATGAAATTGAAAGAGTAAGGCTCACCCTGGTTCTTGACTTGGGCAAATCTACACTACTAACACTGCTCATCTACACAGCTTCGCATTTGCTCTTCGACCAAAAAGCATTCTCCCTTATATCATCTTCACATTCATCATACCTCATCTTTAAGCAATATGCCGCAAGAGAAAACAGCTGTGGCGCCATTCACACAATGGTTTTCTGGAGATGGTACATTTCATTGTGAAGCATTCAGGCAGTGGCTTGCAGCTGAGATTGGCATCCCATGGTCAGCTCCTAGAAGCAAATTGAATATGTAACAAGAAAGCGAGGAAGCAAATCAATAGCTAGGGGTTCTAGGGCTCTTTTTTGTTTTTATCTGCAAAATATGAAAAATGACATCCACAAAGTCATGCTTTTTAGCATAATTCCTGCTCTTGTCCTTGCATGCCTTTTGCTTCCCCAATCTAATTGAACAATGTATTGCTGTGTTCTCTGAGGTCTCTTTTGTGATAAGGATTATTACCTAGGTGCTAATGCCTGTGTATCTTGGAAGCCGAAGTGGTGAGGAATGGGAATGATTATTCAAGCGCCGTCCCTGTAGAAGTTTGAGTGCCAATAACAAGGGGCACTCGCGTTTGAATAATAAGTCAATTACAAGAATGTCATGCAAAATCACCTTTTATATGCCAACCTGGACAATCTCCACTCAAAACATAACATCTCACCCTGATGGCGTGCTGACACCTTCAAGTGTGCCAGGTTTCTCAACCGCATCGGCTGGATGGACATCATCAACTCTTCGATTTTGCACAAGGCGCTGCAAAAGATGTTAGATGAGCTTGGGGTTTGAAAGAACAAGGAGAAGTACCAAAAGATTGCGCAGCAAAACCACATTTGTTACTTTCCCAATTGCAGGTACATATATGGATGCCTTATCCTTGACATCTGGGTTAAAATTCTATAAAAAAGAGTAAGCAATTGGGTTCCTGTCTTAAAACAGACTGCATATTAGGAAACCAAGGGGTCCCTGACTTCCTCCTACCTTTTGGCTAGAGAAGTTTATGCAGACAGCTCCGGGTCTCAGTAGGCTGGTATTAAACTTGAATGAATCCCCCGGTACTCCGGTTATAACAACATCACAGTGCGGCACCGCGTCTTCCAACGTCCATCCATCCATATCAACAACTTCATGTCGCCGTTTTTTTATGCCTTCCCCTCGAGTAAACTGCTGGATACCAGTGATATCCGCACTGTAGACACGCGCGCCGTCATTGGCCAGTAAAGCTGCAAGGGGGCGACCCACGACTTCAGATCGATTCACGACGCAAATTGTATGGCCAAACAGTCTGTTTCCATATGGTAGGATTGTGTTGTAAATTTGTAGATATTCAAGAATTTTAATCACAGCGAGGGGGGTGCAGGGTAGGAGGGACTTTTGCCGCTGAGGGCCCGGCTTAGGGTCCAAAAATCGTATGTTTTGATACATATTAAAAATGTATCGGTGACTGAGCCCTTCAACATCCTTCGAGATGTCTACAAGCTGCTGCACGTATTGATCTTGTCTGTTATTGAAAATTGGATAATAGACAATAATCCCGTCAACGTCAGGGTCTAAGTTGGCAGCGAGAATGGTCTCCTCTATGTCATCACGATGCACTTCACGGAGAGAGTAGCGGAATCCACTGCAGAATTTATTCAGTAAAGGTTGTTTGGTTGCCATATAAAGAATTGAAGGAGGTATGGGAAACCTATAGACACGGTGGTATAGTTGCTTACTTTTCTTTACAAGTCTTTTCTGTCCAATTTGCATACATGCGCGCTGCCGGGTCAGAATTTGCCAGTAAGCCGACAAGGTGGGGTGGCTTCTCAAGGGCTTTGCGGCCCTCCAGCACCTCCTCGAGTAAACCTTTTGCAACATTTCCAGACAAGACAACCTTGCATGAAGCAGGAATTGATTCAGGATCGGTTGCCATGGTTTTAAAGGTCATCGAATACTGTCAATGGATTGCAATCCGTCTGCAGCTTTTGTGGGAATAAGAGGTCATGTCGCTTTATATTGCAATTGTATGATTGCAAAACAAACTTTTCTGAAGTAGTTGTGTTGGTGGCCCTACGTCCAGTGCTGTGACACCATCATATTTGTCTACGTCAAGCCAGCGGCCCCAATATTGGGCCTGATAAGTTGCAGTACATTGGAATTTAGTTTATTTCATTTTACTACCTTAGAATAAGGATACTCACATTCGGCGCACAATGGTTTCCTTTTGAGCCAAATAAAATTATCAACAGAAAGTGGACATTGGAATTCAGTTTTATGGTTGCTACAATACAAAAGGAAAACCATTCAAGGATAGAAATTTGGTCAAGTATGAGGCGTCAGCTAAAGAAACAGTTTGTTTGAGGATTGTACATGAGCTACCCTTCTATACACTCGAGAAAAACGGGTTGACATCATTTTACGAGAAGCTCTTGTTGAATGCGACGATGATATCCTTGAGTTGGGCCTCCAAGTCCTTGCTGAGCTGCCCTTCCTTGTCGATCTTCTCCAGCACCTCCGCCTCGTTGGCCTTTAAGTGGGCTAAGAAATCAGCCTCCCATTGCAAAATCTTCTTGACAGGGATAGAATCAAGATGGCCATTGACGCCAGCGTAGATCAAGGGGACCATCTCGTTCACCGCCATTGGAGAATATTGTTTCTGTTTAAGCAATTCTGTCAAGCGCTCACCACGATTGAGAGTCTGCTTAGTTGAAGCATCTAAGTCGGAACCGAATTGAGCGAAAGCGGCGACTTCACGATACTGGGCCAAGAACAATTTCAGAGAGCCTGCGACTTGTTTCATAGCCTTAAGTTGGGCGGACGAGCCGACACGGGAAACAGACAACCCAACGTTAATAGCAGGTCGGATACCCTTGTAGAACAATTCTGACTCCAAGAAAATCTGGCCATCGGTGATAGAAATGACGTTAGTTGGGATGTACGCTGATACGTCACCACCCTGGGTCTCGATAACAGGGAGCGCAGTGAGGGATCCGCCGCCATGTTTGTCGTTGAGTTTGGCAGCGCGCTCCAATAGCCGAGAGTGAAGATAGAAAACACTAAATGGATGTCAGAAGTGCCACACAGCAGTCTGGATCAATGAACTGCTTACTCTCCAGGGTAGGCTTCACGACCTGGGGGTCGACGGAGCAAGAGAGACATTTGACGGTATGCAACAGCTTGTTTCGACAAGTCGTCATAGATGATCAAAGCATGCCTTCCGTTATCACGGAACCATTCACCCATAGCACAACCAGTGAAGGGCGCAATGTACTGAAGAGGAGCGGCCTCAGAAGCGGTAGCAGCAACAACAATACAGTATTTCATGGCATCATTCTCTTCCAATGTCTTAACAAGCTGAGCAACGGTCGAGCGTTTCTGACCGACAGCAACATAGACACAGTATAACTTCTTGGTTTCATCAGAACTGTTGTTCCATCGTTTCTGGTTCAACATAGCATCCAAGGCAACAGCAGTCTTTCCGGTTTGACGATCACCGATGATCAACTCACGCTGACCACGGCCAATGGGAACCATGGAGTCCACACTCTTAAGGCCGGTCTGAACAGGTTGGTTAACTGATTTGCGAGGCAAAATGCCAGGCGCTTTGAGCTGAGCCCGACGTTTTTCAGTAGTCTTGATGGGACCTTTTCCATCAATTGGATTACCAAGAGCATCAACAACACGCCCCAGCATTTCAGGACCAACAGGGACGTCAACCTAACAAGTTATTAGATACTTAACGTATCTTAAGGCTCCAGTTCCACTTACAATCTCGCCGGTTCGTTTGACAGTTTCGCCTTCTTTGACAAGACGATCGGAGCCGAAAAGAACAACACCAACTTGGCCAGCTTCCAAGTTCATGCACATTCCTTTCACGCCGGATGCGAATCTAAAAGGGGGAAAAGGAAAATATGGTGAGGAATTTGCTTTCAGGAATGATAGCTAAACTTACTCGACAAGTTCTTCAGCCTGAACATTAGTCATTCCATGAACACGAGCGATACCGTCACTGGTTTTAGACAATTAGTACATTTCCAATCCTAAGCTGAGTCCAGTCTAGAACATGAACTGGAAGAGATATCAAGGCCGATATTGGGCGGCAAAATGGTCTCATACCCAACAGATAGAACTCTGCCAGTCTCGGCAAGGCCGGCCTCCTCCTGGACTCCACGAATCCTTTGTTCGAGGATAGAGGATACCTCAGTAGGCGCAGCCTTGGCCTCGGCAGCATATGAACGAACTTGCTTTGACACAGATGCCAAAGGGCTCGGGGTACCGGCTCGGACCTGTAGCATTCGAAATCAAGAATTGTCAGTTTTATCAAGATAAGTACACATATATTAGAAAAAGAAAAAGAAAACACGTTCAATGACTCTACAATGCTTCAATTGACCTCCATAAATGCCACTTTTGATACAATTTGAAGCAATTGGAGATGTGCCGATGAAGGTGTAGAACTTTGTGATGAGAATTTCTTACCGTTGCGATCCTTCCTGTGGCAGAAACTGCCGTAACTGTGCGGCTGGACTGCCGTAAGGCGTTTCTAAACATTGTGACGAGTATCAGATAGGAGTAGAGATGAGGTGTTGAGTAGGGAGAAGGTGACTGGGGCCAGAATGGCTGAAGAGAAAGGATTGTGGATGTTCGAAGACATAAGGTGTGTCGTCTGGGGAGCAACTGAAAATAAGCTAGTGGAAAATTGTCGTTGCCGAGACGAGGCGCCTTCACCTCTACAGCGTATTTTTCATTCCGGGTAACAATATTACAGAGTCCACCAATAATTATCGTTCACCTGTGTATGTATGTACTCCGTACCAGACATATATATACATTATACTCCATACAAACAGGTTTACAGTACAGAGTAGTCATCAGGAGTCAAGTTTATCCTTCTGACAGAACATATGACCGTTTGTGATTAAAGCAGAAACTGTTTTGCATTTAACATTAGCTCTGCTTGATAAATATGACGGGAGAGGTTGGAATTTTTGATGTGTCTGGAGGATGGCTTGATCAATCTAGCGGGTTTATTTTGGTTGTGAAGGTAAATTTTACAATGGAAATTATAGTAGCAGTTGGTAATTAATACATAAGTGAACCCGCCATGTTACCTTGAAGTAACCACCAACCCTTTGGGTTGGATCTGCATCTTTCCTCGGCTATGCAAGGAACTTGGTTAGAGCCGCATATTTGAGAGGGCTTTGATGGGGAGAAACTACGAGAGGATTTGGGTGCATTTCGTTATAACCAAGTAATGGCGTGATGATCGAGCGAAGAATCCTTTTTGAGGGAGAGCAGTAACCACTATGTTTTGGTCAGAACTCCGGAACTCCAAACAACATTTGCTAGGATTCAGAGTCATGGAACCGATAGCTGTCAAAGAATGTAAAATGACGCAAAGGCGGCATGGTTTAATTTGAATACTCAATACGGAGTATGTGGAACATAATACTCAGCAAGCGTTCCACGTCGCATGCTAACCCGAACGCTTGGGAGGTGTCAAATGTGAGTAGTTGCCGATACAAATAGTTATTTTTGCGGCGCCTTGGGAGAAAGTCCTTTTTTCGATATGTTAAACCTAGCCACTTCCACTTCCACTGCTTTATCAATACGGGCTTTCAATGCCGGGCGATACCCAAGAGAAAAGAGGACCTCAAGCCAGACAAAGAATGGAGCAAGGAAGAACGCTTGAACGAGATTGTCAAGTAAAGCTGGGGCGCGCCCTTCAAAGACTCCGTGCCCTACGAATTGGGCAATCCATGCTACGGCCTGAACGGCGAGAGACCAATAAATCGCTGTATTCCCGTGGGTGCTGCTGAGATGGTTTACGAATGCAGTACCCGCCAGGAGGAGCGGCGCAAGAAGAGCACCGGCTACCGGCTCCATCAGGATGTATAAAATGGTATAAACAACACCGGCAACAGTGGCAAGGTTTGGGGGGAAACTCTCAATAGCGACAGCTTCTGGGACAGGGAACAAAGGCTGTGCAAGAGTCCCCTGATTGAAATACCATGTGTCAGCTGTGATCTAGAAGGAATGTCCAGAGATTGACTTACCAGGAGCAGCATACAAAGCATTATGACGGGAACACAAATAATGTGAATTACAACATTGACCTGATTACTCAGTTAACAGGAATACCTCTGCCAAAAAAAAAAAAAAAGGCTACACTTACAGGGTTATGGTGATATGAGCCATACTGTTGGAGTTTCTATTAGTCAATTGGCCATAATTTACATTTGAGATTTCAAAAATACTTACAAATCTGAATTGCTTTTCAAGGTTCAAGAGCATTATGACTGAGATTTGGGCTGTCTCTCACAATATGGAGTATAAATATGATGATTGTGCCTAGGGTTGATGGAAATGGGTGAGTGTCAATGTTGTTGAGATGCCAACAATAGCTGTGGTAATCCCTCGAAACCAGGTAATCGGGGGTCTAGGTATTTCCGGTGACGATGGCAGCCCGCCCGACTTAATGTGTGCAACGCCCGAGGTAACTAACTAAAGACCCAAACTAACATGACAATTACCTGCCTGGAACGCTATATTATGTAACAAACAAGGTGCTGGAAGACCAAATCACCTAACTAGCTAGTCATGTGAAACTGATCATGTGATATGAATCTTGAGTGATCCTTGCTGGGATAGAGCGCCCAGGAATTTCCTCATTGATACAATTATTACTTCTATTCCTCTCTTTATGGTGGTGATAACACTATCTCTATATGTTAAACCCCCCATTGAAAGTATTTTCAGCTTTGGTACCCTTGTCAGTACAAATGTCTTTTCACAATCCTTGCTCAGATTGACAAGCTGTGAATGATTTCTTCCCTCTCTTTACAAGCCCAACACCCTTTCGGCCTTCGGAGTCTACAGTCACTCTGCAGAGTGCAAGTAAGGCTGATAGGAACCATCAGATTCCTCTCTTAGGGGTCTCGGGGCAAAGCTGATTACATTAATAGCTATTTCCAAACTGTGCCCACAAACCTGTGCTGCTTCACCCCCCTAAACCTGGCTTATCATGTTTTTCATCCACTTTTTGGAGCATGTTCTCACCCTCCATCCATCATTCTTTGGCTCTCATGTTAAAGAATATTTAACTCAGAAGCTGTTGGATGATGTGGAAGGCATCTGCACTGGAGATTATTATATAGTTTGTGTGATGGATACATACGACATATCTGAGGGACGGATCATCCCTGGTAGTGGTATGGCAGAATACACTATTATGTATCGAGCAATTGTGTGGAAACCCTTTAAGGGAGAAACAGTATGTCTACTCTTTACTGTTCATCACTTTTGTTGTATTTGCTGACTTGGACACACTCCAGGTGGATGCTATTGTCACATCTGTCAAGAATCAAGGTATTTTTGCAGAAGTTGGCCCTCTCACTGTCTTTGTATCCAAGCATGTATGTCTAGGCTTCTTGCTGAAGTCGCGCTTAATCATATACTAACAAGCCGAAGTTAATCCCTCCGGAGATCAAGTGGGATCCAGATGCTACTCCCCCGCAGTATACAGATAATGCGGACCAGGTAATTGAGAAGGGTACTAACTTGAGGATCAAATTAATCGGACTTCGAAATGACGTCCGAAATATGTTTGCGATTGGGAGCATCAAGGAGGATTATCTTGGGTTCGTCTCCACTTCCTCGCATGCTTTGTTCTTCTGCTGATCGTCTATTCTCATGATAGAACTTTGTAGTCTTTCTGAGGGATCCTGCTCGGGAAAATCACCAAAATCGTAAATGTTCCAAAAAAAAGGTTTAACAGCGTGGGTCAGCCGGCCGTATTCCTCCCATCGACAAAACGCGTACGGTCGTTGCCAATCCATTTCGGTATCACAGGAGATCCCGGGGAAATTCGGCGACAGCATATTAACAATCCAATCTGTGAGCTGAAACGCAAAGTGCCTTGTGGAAGGAAGGCCGGATTATACCTGACAAAGACTAGTATGAGATGTTGTTCGAGGCCTGAATCATGGCTCACTCACCCTTGAGCTTGTTTATCCATAAAGACAACAAACACTATTACAGATTTACTAGCAACAGGGAGGACCTAGAACCAAGAAAAAAACAAGAAACTACTTTGTAAAAATCAAACAACAAGTCCCTGGGATAACATGTAACTGATTCTGGAAGGTAATTTACCCTGTATACGGAGTAGTTACTTCACATATACATCTACTTTATACCTTCAATATTTGAGGTTCTTCTGCTCTGGAATAATTAAGCAATTCTTGCCGAACTATTCAAGAAAAGCCAACATCTAAGAATTTTGCTTCAGGTTTATGATGTAGGTTTTTAAAATTTTGAAAAGTATTATAGATCTTGTAGCATAACAAGAGAAGATCCAGAACAATTGGATAACTGAGCCTGAAGCCTAACAAGATAGAGGCATAAATCATTTTAGAGAAACTTAAAAGAAAGATAATATAATATAAGAAAGTGTTACAAGCAAGACAAGATGCAGAGAAGAGTATTATATTTTATAATATTATAGTACAAGATATTTGAGAAAAAGTATCACAGGTATTATCCAAAAAAATAATATGTACTCTGTAGTTTAGATTTTGATTGTGATTCTAATCTTATTCTAATTCTAGTTCTTATAGATTTGTTTTAATATGTTGTTAAACAATCTGATTCTATTCTGTTGGCTGGACTTCAATCTGATCCTGTCCATGAAACAGGAATTGGGACAGGGGCCAGGTTGGGAAATCCTGGAAACGGACACTACCCTAACCTTGAGTTCAGGGCAGTTGGGAAATCCTGACCTGTCCCAGTCTCAACAGTTAGTCTACTAGTGGCTCTTTCACTGCAAAACTCTTTTGGAGGATGGCTAAACATACCTACGCTGTAGGCGTATAGTTATTTCAAGCGAGAACCATTTTATTATACATATATAGGTCAATTACTCAACACTAATGAAAGGGAGATGCCAAAATATCATAGGGAAGCTGCGCCATATATAATAAATGTTACAATGAAGCAAGGAAGTCATCAGGTGTAGAACATATAGAACATGCGCCATAGTGTAAGTCCATTGATCTGTGCCACGTTGCAAATGCTCATATCTCCATTGAAAGGGGAAAAAATGCTGCCGCAGCCATACAAAAGGTTCATGTTCCGAACTTACACCTGACTTATTGATAAACTTGTCTAGATGCTATCAGTTCGAGCGCATGGGCTAATCACTGCCAAATGTAGCTCCAGGATCATCCCGTTTGGGAGGCCCGGCAGGCTGTATCTTGATGTTGCTATGACTGTAGTCTATTCGAAGGGGTCGGCCGTAAGGGGTTTTGGTGCTGAGGAGGGTGAAAGCTTTCCGGGCACTTTCAATATCAGTAAAGTCGGCGTGAACAAAACCTCTTGCTCGACCAGTGCGGCGGTCAACAGCAACGCGGACGTCGATGATATTATCAACATCCTTGAAAAGTTCATTAAGATCGCGATCAGTCATCTCGAATGGTATATTTCCAATGTATAACGTTCTCGTAGGAGGCTTTGTGGGGTCATGGTTCATAGGTTTGTCAAGCTCCACCCTGGCGAAATTGACCGCGAGGTGGCGGCCCTCAAAAAGCTGGCCATGCATAAGAGCGACTGCCTTTTCAGCAGTTTCCACATCGTGAAACTTCACGTAGCCGAATCTATAGTTAAATTATCTCGTTAGCCCTAGTCCTTTCAAGGGTAATAGAGATTATAGAACGGAGATGGACTTGAAACAATATAACTAGACCGCGAGGAATCTTACCCTTTGCTAACCCCACGATAATCGTATAGCAACCGTACTCCTTCAACTGGGCCACATTTGGAAAATTCATTTTTTAAGTCTCCAGCAGTTACATCGAAGAACAGGTTGCCAACGTAAATTGTAGATTTCGGCGCGATATATCCGTCGGGTTTCGGTCGCCTTATTGAGAAGCGTGGTTGGCCCACAGAACGAGAGTCAACAGGTGTTTCAGTAGCCTTCGCGGAGTCAAGTTCATCGGAAGTTGTCTGAGTAGCATTCACACGGCTCGAGTCACCAGAAAGGGACCCACTAGAAATGGCAAAACTAGATTCTTCGGAAGGTGTTCCATTCTCCTTTTTTTGCTGCTCTTGTGTGTAGGGAAGGGGAGTGTTAAGCTGCTCGGATTGAACTTTGCCACTAAGCCATCTCTGCTGGAAAGTGGCTGCAGTAATTATCCGATCCAATTTTGTTGAACGATGAGGAATTGTGGTAATAGTTCGAGATTTAGCAAGCTGTGAGTAAGGAGCACAGACAGCCCGACAAAGAGCATGCCTGAGAGAAAACCTAGAGATAATCTCGTCAGTAGATCGAGTACAAAACAAAAGGGGGGAAGGATTTTTAAACATTTTGATATTTGTTGGAGAACAAGTATTTGCTAGCAATCCAATCAATTTAGGAGGAAAATTGACAACCTCAAGCCAGAAATGAAATAATTGATATGATGAAGAAAAATCTTCGGTTTCTTGGAATGCCCACAGCTTGTCATGTGACATCAAAAAAAGTTCCAACCTTCCTTTTTACATCATGTCAAAGTTTACTCTGTAACTACGTAACTACTCCATACCGTACTCCGTACACCCCAACCAAAAAATGGTCTTGCAAAGTTTGGTAGTCAGAAAATGAAATTCGCTACAGGGTACAGAGTCCTCTGTACGGAGTACATAGTAGGGTTACTCTTGTATGAACTTTACACAAGGCTTATGGTGTGGTGCACAGTGCTTCTTTATTAAACTGTAAACATTCAATTGGTATGTTCTTGTATTGATTTCTACACAGTGAACTGTTTTAGAGCTACATCAGACACAGGGTTCTCGGCCAGCAACGAAAACTGTCTAGTACTAGGAACCCATAATAACAGTCCTAATGCTCTGTAGTTAAGTCTGCTTCCCATTACCATCCCAACTCAGCCTGAGAGTACAGGATAAGTCCTTTGCAAAGATATGGTCAATCTACATTGTTAGAAATTTTATCCACTGTGCAAAACATGCTCCTTGTAGCTTACTGAATCTCACATTTAGGTATCCAATTATACTCTTGTCCACTATTTGTTACAACTTCATCCCTTGACTACCTTTATCATTTGATGTCTGCCAACCAAATTGAATGGACTGGCCAATTCCAGGATCCACAATAACATTTACAATGACAACTTTCTCATTCTCCAAGAAACCTTCCCGTGTTGCCTTTTCCAATTCTTCCTCAGTCCTGGCAAAAAATCCCTTCCCCCCACACATAGCAGCTAAGTATTCATAGCGGGTATTGTAAAGGAGGCTTGTAGATCGAAGTCCCTTCTTGGTTTGAAAGGAAGGTCCATTGCTTATGCCGCTGCATCTTATTTGGTTCGTGAAAGTCTCCTTTTGCAACTTCCGCCATTCTTCTTCTGTCTTGGTATCCCCATGATATATGCCTGAATTGTTCATAACAAAGATCAATGCAGGAATCTGTTGCCGAGCAAGTGTTTCAATTTCCATGGCGCTAAACCCAAAGGCACTGTCGCCTTCAAATGCTACAATTTTTTTCTGCTTTTGGAGATTTTCACCAGTCGAAGATAGGTTATACGCAGCGTGAGCTGCGACAATGTACCCCAGGCCAACCCCCATGGTTGCATATGTTCCTGCATCAAGTCTCTGTCGTGGATGCTCCAGTTGAAAGAGAGAGCGAGAAATATCCATAGTGTTTGCGCCTTCGGAAACGTACACAATATCTCCTTCCTCAGCTGAGGATAGCGAATTGAATACTGTTCTAATGATATGGAACGCACGCTGAAACGTCAAAAACCCATTTGCAGGCGTTCGTTGGAGTGCTTGCCTTCGGGAATTATTTTCGTTTTTTATAGAAGAGACTTTAAGAAGCGACTTGTATGATTGGGAGGGGCTAGCGGATGGCGACCGATACTGCCAATTCGCGAGAGCTGCCAAAAGTTGTTCGACAACAAGGTCGACATCACCCACTAGCCCTAATTCTGCATCCCCGGCATTGCGACCAACCTCTTCGGCGTGGATATCCACTTGGATAATTCTCGCTGATGACGACCAGCGAGGCTCCTCTCCAAAGTGGAGGATCCAGTTCAAACGAGCTCCGAGGAGGAGGACAACATCTGCGTGCTTTAATGCTGTACTTCTTGCACTAGACGTATTTAAACGGTGGGTATCGGGCACCACCCCCTTGCCCATTGGGGTGGGTAAGAAAGGTATTTGGGTCTGTTCAATGAACTTGCAGATGGACACCTCTGCACGAGCATACGCAGAACCTTTCCCAATTACCACCAATGGCGCCCGTGCCAGTTTGAGAATTTCTGCCACTTTAAGGACCATCTCAGGATTAGCGCTTGATTTAGGCGGAGGTGGTAATCTTTGAACTGTAGACACAGAAAAAGGGGGTCGAGTCGATTTCGCCTGGATTAGATCTGCAGGAAGGTCAACGAAGGCCGGGCCCGGACGTCCGTACCAACACATCCGATATGCGTCTCGAACCGCGCCGCCGACGGCACCAAGCGAAGGTGGTCGGACTGCGAACTTTGTGTGCGGAGTGAGAAGAGAGATTGCATCCATTTCTTGAAATCCTCCCTTTGTAACACTGGTGGTTTCTGCAGAACCTGCAAGGACAACTAGGGGGAAGGCATTTGCGGATGCATTTCCGATCTAAATTCGTCCAGCTGCATCAGCAATACGATCGGAAAGAATGTCCGTTTGGCGATCTGCCTACCCCAGCCATTGCATGCAACACCCCAGGCCCACCCACAACAAGACAAATGCCTGGGCGGCCGGTTATATAACCATACGCACTGGCGGCATAGCTACATGCCTGCTCATTTCGAAATGCAATAAAACGTATGCCAAGGTTGATGGCTTCCTCTGCAATCTCAACGACAGGGATACCAACAATCCCAAAGATGACAGTCACCCCAATGTCATGGAGGGAGCGAGCAATTAGTTGCGCACCAGTTAGATGTTCCATTATTTTTGATTAGTATGGGTTGCTTAACTTGGTCGACAAACAAGGTGGTTGTTCATGGTGCCATCACACCCAGCAATTGGAACAGGTGATGAGGGTACAAAGTATCAG